CGACTCAACATGTCAACTAGCGCCGAGGACGAAACTTTTAGCAGCCACTGCCTCGTGTAGTTTGGCAAAGAACTTTAATTTGAGCATTACTTGCGACGCCGCAAGGACTCGCAGGGAAACTTTGTCATATATAAGTTTACACCAAGTTGCGGCTACGAGAAGGTGGCGGAGTCTCTCGCCTCTTTAAGTTGCTCGTAATACAACTCATTAAATTTAGAAAATACTGGCGGGCAAAGTTTCGCGGAGGGCCCATCCGTTGACATCTACATTTGCACAGCAGCCAGCCATAAACTTGGCCAAGACGGAGAAGGCCAAGGCAGCGGGCCGCCAGCGGCGATTCCTAACCCGGAAATTTAAGTTCTCCTTTGCAGTTTAATTGCAGCGGATGTCGGCGTGTAAATTATTTTGTCTGCCTGCCGCAGCGCTGGCCTCATTTTCTCTGCTAATGAGCAACTTATTAAAACTTTTGCCAGCCCATCCGCCTACCACTCACCTCCCAGCCAGGAACCAGGATCCAGCATCCAGGATCCAGCATCCAGGACTCAGGACAAAAGGATGCGGATAGTGGAGCGCGTGAGGCGAATAATGAAACACAAACAGAAATAACTGATACAATTGGCTCTGGCAATTGAAAACAAAGCCGTCGCCGGAGTCGAAGCCAACAGATAAGTTTTACAATCAGCCAAAAAACTCATTTACGCTCTCGGAAGGCAAAGAAATGAATCGAAGGAAAACTCCAATTTCCCCGAACTCAATGGAATGCTTTTCCGTACACGTAAGAATGGCGTAAAGAACTCGGGGCGGGTTTTCCAAAGCGTACTTTTCAGCGGATGAAACAAAAGCCTCTGCTTAAAGGTAGGAAGGGGAAAATTTCTCAAATATGACCGACCAGCGGAATGTTTGTAAATAATTAAAGCCGAGTGTACGTGGATTCTAGTACTTCTATTTTGTATTGGGATCTTTAAGGTCTGAGATAATAAAGATCTTGAAAGGTAACTCATCTGTTTCTCTAGCTGAAAAGTGTTTTAAATTTCCACTAACGCATTTCAAGCTCTGCAATTATTCGAAGAATAATAACCTGTATAAAATACTTTTATCTGGAAACTGGTGAACTGTGTGTGAATACGTGTAATCTCTCGGAAAGCCTTCTTTGGTCCCACTCCCAAGCTCCCTGCTCAGCGGAAAACTTGGTCTACCCTTCCTCGTCAGAAGTGTTCATAAAAATCTTCGAGGAGCCTTCAAGTGGCGTTGCGTGCAAGGAAGGATGAGTGGCTGGGTGGATGGATGGTTGGATGGATGGTTGGATGGATGAATGGTGAGAAGCATCAAGATGGGTGGACTGGTGGGGGTCTCCTCAAGTGCTTAGACAATCGTGTTGAAGCTTTGATTTTCGAGCTTATGCTGGATTTGGTGGCAGAAGTCTGCGACTGGCTCTCCGCCGGCTGCTTTTCCACTTTCCCGCATCCGCAGTATGCTTATGAGGGCGGGTAATTAAGTTAAAGTGCCCAGAGATATACATGCGCCCCCTCCATTGCGAATAGAAGAACCATTTGCCTAAGTAATGCCTGAGTCGATGACAGACCGACGGACCAACAGCCTGACTGACTGACTGAATGACTGGTAAAAGTGTTGAAATGTCTGCGGCAGCACTTAATTAATTAATGTCGAGCCAAGCGAACGGGCGAGCCAAATGAGAAAAGTTTCTGTGCTCGGGGATCAGGATGCTGAGGGTTCCTGGGGGTACTGAATTCCTGGGTCCCAAGTACCCAAGTACGAGTCTCAGGAAACTTGGCAGCTATTTGTTAAGTTGCAGCCGTTCAATATTTGTCACCGAACTCATTAAGCAAATTAATAGACAAAGTTGCCAATTGCTGACAATGGAGGTTGCCCTCGGCGCTGGGTATTGCCGTTTGCCATTTTATTTACCGAACCGAGCTGAGAAGCCAACTCGGAATAGGGTCGCCGTGGACCTGTGGTGGCAATAAAATGGCACGCAATAAAAAACCCAAAGTCAACAAACAATTCCATGGGAGTCGCGCGGGGTCCCCGGCGCAGAAATCGATTATAGACGCCTCAAGGAGGAGTTCTCTGCGAACCGACGACCCAGTCTTGGCCACGTTTTCGATTTCGCCATTCGGCACTCGCCACCTGATGCCCGTTTGGTCTGCTCTGGTCTGGTTTGGTTTGGTTTGATTTGGTCCACCCCAATTGCCCCACCCCGCATCCCATTTATCTGGTCTCCTCTGCGAAATTGCCAACGTTGCAGCTCAAAAGCGGAAGTGATTTTCCAGCGTGTACGTGTCAGCTCTCTCTCTTTCTCCCCAAGAGTGTGTGCGTGGGTGGCCGAGGTTGTTGGTGTTGGGAGAAAGCAGTTACTTCGAAATTAAAGTACGCTCTGTGACATAAATTACAAAAATAAATTATATTAAGTACCTACATTTCGTGATATTCAAACATGGAACCTTGAAGTGAATGCCATTAAGTTCAGAGAACATAACCTTTGCAGGACCTCTAAAATATTTAATTCTTTTCGATTCTTTTTTTGATGAACAAATGTTAAATTTTTATTTTTCTGTTGAGCTGATTAGCCGCCTCGAAAGTGTACAAAATAATATTTATGTCGTACGGGTTACTCCAGTGACTCCTTTCCCAAAAGTGACTTCTGGGCCACCACTAGCGAGTCCTTGCCGCATAAACCCCACAACCAATATGTGTGCTCAGCTCGGAGAAGCAAAGGAGCAAAAGAGGCAAAGGGGGCGCGGTGGCAGTGAAGGATTTTATGACCCTTGATAGTGGCAAGCGATTTGTTGCGTGCATCGGTGGCTGCCGTTGCATTTTCAATTTCGCAGCGCGCACTCTTGGCATCTTTGAATAATGCAAAGGCAATCGGGGTCGGAGGAGTCGAGGAGCCATCGCAGCCCATCAGTATCTCCACCTGTCGACGCAAAGCTTATTTTGGCAGCTTATTAGGCAGTCGTTCCGGTGAGTTTCGCTGGTTTTATTTTCCATGCTCCATGCCCATGATTTCCAAACACGGGCAGCAGTTCGAGGGAAGCCAATCGCGTCATGTGGGGCGAGCTGACAAATACGCAGCACGTGCTCTGGTTTTGGCCCAGAAGGGCAGTTTGTGGTTCCGGATTGATGTGTCATCTGTGCAGCCACAGCAGCTTGATTTTTGAACACAAATCCTGATTTTCGTCATCCAATTATGCGCGATAGCGTGTCAAATATGCTTTTAATTAGAAAAAACAACTGGCAGAATGGAATTGGAATTTTAAACAGATGTCTGAATTTAAGCAGATGATTATTTCGGAGTAGAGAAACAGTAGGATTTAAACTCACTATACAAAATCTACAAATCTTTACCATCCTTGTAATGATCAATAAACAGTTTTTACTGCTTCCATCCATTTATTGGTTAAATGACTTTAAATGACCGCCAGGTATTTACCAGGAGCACTTTCACGCAGCCATAGCCTTGCGAAAGCGTTCAATACTCATTAACGTTAAAGGGGATTTCCATTTCCAGCTTAATGTGCCGTGGCCGGGCTTTTCACTTCCATTCAACTCTCAATCGCATCGAGCATTCTCATTGTTTTCGCTCAGCCGGAGCTGAGCATAAATAAAACGTAAATGGATGCATTTTTAAGTGCCCCAGCGATGCATTAATTTTAAACAATTTACCTGCCTGCCGAGCGCCCCGAACCGAGTTTCGAGGCATGTGCGAAATTGTGTTTTAAAGTCGGATGGCGAACAAAGGCGATGCCGGAAACGGGAAAAAGCTGGGCCCCCGGGGCGAGTATCCTTGTGGCTCCTGCTGCTGCTGCAGCCAGCCGCCACTTCAATTTCAAAAGCACCAGCTCCCGGTTGCCGGTTATGTTCCGTGTCCTGCGGTGGCCGTTGGCCGCTGGCCTTTCCCTCTTCCCCGCTTCACCCACTTTGGCTCCAGATTTGCTTTTCCTCCTTTTTGTTGCACGCTTTGCTGAAGTTTTCTTTCGAGTTGCCAGCGTGATTTTCCCTTTCCGGAAGCGCAGGAGCCTTTAAGCCAAGTTCAATGTTTGATTAGCCCGCTGCCGCTCTCAGTTCTCTCTGCCTGTGATCCTGTGAGGCGGCTGCTTATTAAGCATACGCCTCGTTGTGTGCAAATATTTGAAATGTCTGGCATTTAGCGACTGTGAAATGTATTAATTATAAAAGAGCCGCGTGCATTGACCGCAGAAACCGCACACAAAATCGGTAAATGAAATTGAAGCCGAGCGGAGGTCTGGCATTTTGGCAATGATAAACTAACTGACGAATTTCATTTATGGCCACTGTTGGCCAAGTGCGGTTGCCAGCGGCGAAAATGTCAGTTCGATATGGAAATGAAAAATGAAAATGGAATGGATAAAGCAGAAGCAGCCCAATCAACAGGGAAGTATGTTTAAAAACGACGAGTGGGCGAAATAAAAGTAAATTATTAAAATCCGAAAGCACACACGACTGTAGCCAGGCTCTGCTGTGCTGGAAAATAGTGCGCTATAAAAACGTCGAAAGCAATTTCATGTTAATTTTATGCCAATTTAATTTGACCAAATTAAGCGAAAGCGTGTTTAACAATAATTGCCCACTTAATGATAAACACTCGCATTGGACTTGATTAAGGTGCAGTTCCGTGGAAACCGAATCGGATTCCAAATCCTGGCTAAACAATCTGCTCGATTTTAATTACGATTTTCAATTAAAGTGCGACACAGAAAACCAATTTGCAATTGGCTCCGATGGAACGAAGGACCCACACGGAAAAAAAGGTTTTAAAGTCAATCAAAAACCAATACTTGATGACCTTCGAAAAAGACAAAAACAAATATAGTTTATGAGTTAAGTTACTAATACAAACATTATTTAAAAGCAAAAGCAATGCTCAAACTAATTCAAAGCTAGAAATGTTAAAAGTGGGAATAAAATCTCTTTTTCTCCCAGTGCACTCACCTTCCGTTTCATCTTTTCTGCCCTTCCAGATATTGCTGTATCCCGAGGAGGGCTGGGCGCGCACGGCCTCGTCCAGCTACTGGACCATCACGCCCTGCTTCTGGCAGCCCAATCGCTGCCGCATCGTCGAGTGCTCCGGAACCCAGCGGCGGGCGACGAAGGCGCGGATGCTGCCGCTGGAGCAGCAGGGCTCCCTCCTGATTGCCGGACACTTTCGCCGGACAGCGGGCACGGGCGCAGGAGGCGCCTCCTCGCCGGCGGGGGCGGGGCACCGGGTTTCCGTTCGGTGGCTGCCACGCCCACTCCGGCGACGCCTGCCAACCACAATGGCGCATCTGCAGTCCGGACGGGCTCAATGGGGTGCGACAAGTCGCCGCCGGCGTGGAACGACGAGTTCAAGCTGTATCTGACGTCGAACATTTCGATGGAGGACTACAACATGGGCTACTGCCTCACGGGATTCGTGGAGCGCCGCTGCCAGGTGACCAACACCTTCCAGATGACCCACTTCGCGGTCATCAAGCGCCAGTGGCCACCGTCGCCGTCCAACCTGGGCAACTCCTAAGGCCCCAGAACCCCAATTTTGTATTGTGATCCGATCTTTTGTTCCGAGTTGGAAACGAAATGAAATTATGCACAGGTCTCTTGCTGTTTACACTATCAGAAACTGTGGGGAATTGGTACCAGTGGTATTTCCTTTTGGATAAAATTCAGGTTTGCCGTATGCTACAATAAATAAATTCTAAATTCAAAAAGTTTCCCATTCGATTTCTTGCGCTTTTGAAAGTGAAAACGGAAAGAGACCCAGTAGATACCAATTAAGTTGCTAGCATTTAAGTAGAGCCAAATGTTTGTTGTGCAATCTCGAATTAAAATCAAAAATAAATTTTGAAAAATCTATAGGAAATGTAACATAATTTGCGAGGGCCTCAGAATCCGATAGCCACTAGATCGTAAGTCTTCGAAAAACTAATGACTCAAAGGATCTTTAAGGAAGTACTGCATTTGCCCTTACTTACGAAAATTCTCTGCATGTTTAGGGCGTAAATTGTAATGTTAACTAAATGTGCAACAAGAACCGAGAAAAACGCAAGTTAGGAAACCAAAACAAAAACTTTACGTGTGCTTTCAGTGTTGTGTAATATGAAAAACGGAAACAAACCGGAAAAAATAAGCGAAAAAACGAAATACTAGTAACTGTTAAATGCTAAATGAAACTAAACCGCTTTGCCAACTCTCACAAACACACACGCCAATACACACAGGCACCCACTCACACACTCACACACTTGCACACTTAAGCTTGGGCAGCTACTTAATGCTTCAAAAAAGTGCAACAAATTGAAACTTGTGCTTGTCGAAGCATGTGATTGTGAGTGCTCCACTATAAGCTGCTATAGTATATTTACGAGAGTGTGTGCGTGCGAGCGAGACGCTGTGTGTGTGAGCCGGCACTCCTTTCTGCAACATACAACTATGTACTTTAACGGCCATGTTTGCGAAACCTATTGCCTTTAAGCTTTAAAATATAAGCACAACTCAACGTCAGGCGAACAAGTCAACAGCTTAAGGCGATGGCCAGAGGCACTAAGCAGCAGTTTGATAACAAGTGCACATTTAAATTAATTATTTAATGACCTGTTTTGGGGGAGACAAACATGTTTTTGAGTAAAACGGGGTGCTTTAGACCAATTTCAACCCAAATTGGCTTATCTTTAGCGGGAGACACACTGCATCTCAAGCTTAGGTCTCTATTCCTTGAATATCTGTGTTTAAAAGTTTAAGAACTGCTGAATAGTGTCCTTAGCTATTTAGACTAGTCCAAGAAGTTTGCCAACTCTACGCTAATCTAAGAAACTATGTCCTAAAATCTCTCTATCTCTCTCTCTCACCAACTCACCTACTCATGCTACGGCTCTGTCCCACTCATTCACTCACTTTGAGCATGATACGCAACGTATATCAACAATTCGTCCAATAATTGGAGACTTTAGGCGCCACAAATTGCCAAGTGTCAAATTGGCAAGGCCGGAGCTCCAATTGCCAAAAACCCTAAGTGTTAAAAAACAATGAAACCAAAACGTAAAGAAAACCAAAGCTAAGTCAGAACTCAACGTAGCCTAAGTTAAGATAGTTTAAAAATCAATATTTACAAGCTAGAATATGAATCTATATATCTATATATTTGTGTGTAGGCTGAACCTTTTTGCGTATATATCGGTGTATTTATATATCTATATTGCGATTACGTATACAATAACATTTTTGCTGTAGTTCGCATAGCTCGCTTTTAGGCGCTTTTACACGCAAGCGAATAAGGCCGGAAACCTCTTGAATCTCTCATTTGCTTCAGACAGATCTCCCCTGCCAGTTTACTCCTAAACTAATTGATATTTAAGTATCAGGTACCTGCCAGAATCAACAACAACAACCAAATAAACAAAAGTAACATGAATATACATACACAAATATTTATTAAGCAATTATGTCTGTGCAAATATTGGTGTCCATTTTAATTAGACGAAAATAAAAACTCGGAAAAAGCGAATTATTTTTTAGAAAACACTCTCAAACGAAAGAATTCTACCCACACACACGCAAATCGATGTCGTCTCCCCGAATTGTATAAATGTTTATTAGTGTGAGATTCTTGCTCTCTGTGTGTAGCAAACATTTCTGCGCCTATGCTTAAAAAAACAAACAAAAGACACGAGTCCCCAGCTTCAAGCTGCATGTCCAACACCTAAAAACAAATCTAACAAAAACACGCATGAGCTTTTTTGTAGATCTATTTAAACATTTTTAAATAGCCAACACAAGTCAACGTATAAACCCCGTGCTGCGTGAGCATTGGGAAATAATTAATGTTAAGCTTCTATGGATTTAAGCGATGTAAGCGAGCATAATTAGTCTAAAACAGAGATAAGCTAAACTGGTAGAAAAAGCGGAAAACAAAACAAACAGCAAATCAGATGGAAATGCGAATGAAAATATTAATCGAAATCAAACACGTTGATGTTAATGCGAATGCATAAATCAAAAGCAAAAAATGCGAATTCAGCCGGTAATGAAAATAAATACCCCAAAGGTCGGCAGTATGCAATTGAAAATGAGAAATCAAAACATTGAAAATAAAGAAAGAAAGCAGATAAAAATGATTTTTGTGGGAATCTAGTGGGTGTAAAGAGGGTGTTGACAGTGGTAAGTGCTGGATAAAGGGATTTACAATTATCACAATAATATTTTAAGTATTGGGCGTGATTATTTACTGGCTTTATATAATACAAATACAAAAATACATTAAAAGTCTGGGTAGGTTATTTAGTTTCAAGGTTGGGCAAAAGAAAAACCTTCCCTTTTTTTTTGCCAATTATTTTCCCCATCGAATAGATGAACCCCGGCCTAAAAGTAAAAACTTTAATTTGTCTTTATGTGCATATTCAATCATTTAACTCGGCACCCAGCAATCTTCCATGGAGCCCCTGGCAATTCGGCGGGGAATCAAAGCAAGATCTAACCCCTGAAGTGCGCCACGCCATTAACTTCTATCATTGTGCGAGTCTCACGCTTCAGTTTTGTTTCGCTTGCTCCGGGCAAGGACGAAGCAGGAAGGACGAGTGGGCACTTCAGCCCGCCTGAAAATGCACCTGCAACTCCTGTGCCTCCTCCGCTGCCTCCGATGCGCCGGCGGCATAAATCGCGCCCTCAGTTTCAACTTTCAACAAAGATGTAAGCCAAGTTAATTGCTTTTTGTTGCCTTTTTTCCAGCTCACTTTTGCCAGGCTGCCGTTTCTGTTGCCTCTGCAATGTCAACAATGAAACTAACGTCAGGCAGGTTCGCCCCGTTCGCCCTAAACACCCCACCTTTCGGACCCCAGGACCCCAGGACCTCAGGATGATGCTGTTGTTCTTGCTGCTCCGGTGCTTATTTGAACAGCTCTTCACAAACAAGAACTTGGCAACATGGAAGCATTTACGAGCGCATTTCGCGCAACCATTTCGTTGCCTTGGCAGACAAACGGCTCAGCACTCGGCGCTCCTGTCACAGGACATGGCCTAAACCTTGAGCACCGAAGGGCTAAAAATCCAGTGCCGGAGTCAAGCAAAGCCGAGGCGAGTAAGGAAATGAAAGCGGTAAATTCTGAAGAGGCACGAAATGTATATTTTCACTAATATACCAGAGCAGTAAAGTGCTGCAAAAACTAAAATTATTTGCACTGTCATTAGGGCCTAGGTTTAACTAGAAACAACACATAATTTAGTTGGTTGCATAAGATATGTCTTAATATTGTTAGATTTAGTAAATCAGTAACAGTAAGAAGAAATTATTTGAGGTTCTGGTTTCTTCCAGAAATCTTTTACGAGGCGAAAAACAACTTCCTTGAGCTGCTTCTTCCCCACGAATTTATGCCCAGAGCCACAGGCCACTATTATTAATGATAAATAACAGTGAGTCTTGAAGGGACAAAGCAAAATTGGAAGATTTTCGCTTGCGTCCTCAATCAATTTACAATTCATGGTGTAAGCCCAGAAAAAGCCGTCGCTAGAAATCGAAATCAGTCGTCTGTGAATATTGCAAAATGAGCTTCCGCCTTTTGCCTTGGCTCCCAACTTCCGGCAACAATTTCCGTTTCCTCATTACCTTATTTTTTCATCGGCGAAGTCAGGACTTTTTCGAGCAGCCTTGGAGGCCGTGGGGGCGTATCGCCGCCTCCTGCCATATGACAATTTATTACGCTCGGAGCCTCGATTTAAATTGCTTGACAATTATTACACAATGACGAAGGACGACGCCGAATGAAAAATGTTCCCGTTCGACAATTTACCATGGGGGCGCACCCCCCCTGCTTCTCTTCACTTGCCCCCCGCCCAGAATTAATGATGGCAAATTTGCAAAGTTCACAAATTTCTTATTAGTAGTCCATGGCTGAGGAAGTTGGCTTCCCCCTTTCGCCGACATTTCCACCCTCATCAACATTCGGCGCCCAGGGTTCATATTTCATTTTAGGCAGTTAGTTTTCCGGCGGCGGAGGAAAGTGCGGAAAGGCTGGTGAACGGTGCACCTCCCTGCGGTTTTAAGTTTTCGCACTTTTGCCACCAGGCAGAGCGAATTTCCCAAGCGCTCTAATTTGAATTTTAATTGAGGTTCTCTTTGTGGTTTTCCTGGTTTTTTGTAGTCGTGCTCATTTTTTTCAGTTTGTTTGGTTGGTTGCTTTCTTTGAAAATTAACAATAATTATAAATAATTGATATGCCGAGCAGGTCTGCTTTTGGCTGTGCGGCGGAGATGAAAATACGTGCTTAAGATTACTTTTAGAGGCAACGCCGGCGCATCCTGATTGTGATTTATTTATCAATATATAACTTTAAAGAGAGCCGAAATTTTCTTTATGACTTACTAAGTAGGATTTATTTGGAGCTTTATCCCCCAATTGAAGTCCCTTTGTGAATGTTTGACAGCGGCAATAAATGAAAAATAAATGTTTATACGTTGCAAAATCAAATCAAAGCGAAAGTCTTGTATGTATATTTTATGTGTACATTTCACAAAAAACTGGCATGTAAATCATAGAAAAAGAATACGTACCGGCGACAAATAAATAACAAAAAACAAACCGAATATGCAAATGCCAAACAAATAAAAAGGAGCAAAGGCACTTGATTGCATCATATATCTATATATCTGGCTTGATTTATCCACCGGCTGCTGTGTGTGAAACATTGCTGTAAATATAAATTTAATTGCATGAAACAAAATGCGCAAAAAATTGGGCCGCTATTGAATTGGCAAGGTTTTCACTGCGGGCGAGATGCAATTATTTCGCAGGCAGCCATAGAAATTGCAAATTGAAATGCGAACGCTTTATTGAATATTATTTTATTAAGCCCGCACACCACCAAGGAAAACACAACAAGTGTATGCACGGGCTTAATTTGATTGGAAAATGCTGAGCTGCCTTAAATCAGTTTAACAGACAAAGCATAAATTAAAATGTTAAGGAATTATAAATTAAAAACGCCCGAGCCAATAGTTAATATCCAAATCGTTTAATAACGGAGTGTTTACCCTTTTAATCAAGAGAGTTTATCGCACTCATTAGCTGCCTCGTATTCTTCGGTTGGTCGTGCCACCCATTTGGCCGAGTGTGGAATTAATTAAAAATGCAATCCTCATTAAATAGTAAGAGGCATTTTCCCAAGCCAGAATGCCAGACAGCAGACATAAAACTCGCCCTGCATCTCACATTTCACCTGACCAGAACTGTCTGGCGATGAATGATGGGGACGACGTTGATGATGACATTATCTCATGCTCATTGAACGCAAATGTGGCGTGCCCGCCAAAAGAGAGCCAACAAAAGGTGGGTGGGGAGAAATAAAGGAGCAGAATCAGAAACTATGAATAACGAAGTCAAAATACCCTTCAATAGTAAAGGGTTTATAAAGAACTACCAGACTATTGCCCCATGCGAGGTTGATTAGCAAACACTCAACACGTAATAAATAATGGAAATGGTGTTTAATACATAAAGTGTATACATTATTTAACAACATTTTTTAGGAGTGAATGCCCACTCACTTCCCCCTTGCCATCAACCCCTTCGTCTAGTTACCCGATGTCACTCATTGTGCCGTGAATTGTTTTGCAAAGCTTTTGTACTTTGCCATGAAACGAAAGTGGAGCCCGAGATGTGGCTCCTTTCCGAGGCAAAAACAAAGTCAAAAATGCGGTTTTATTTTGTGTGCCAAAGCAGGTGAGTGATTGAGTATCTCGGAGTGGAGAGATGCAATATGGTTTTTCTTTCGCTGCCCTTCATTCCCCTCGCTTTGCCTGGAGGGCCATCGGATTGAGTTAAAGCGCTGAAGGCGCATTTAAATTAACTTTAATAGCGGGCCCATTCAGAGGACCCGCCCAACGTCCTTCGGGAACTTCGGGAACGCACAGCTCTCTCGGCCCCTCGAAAAGCCACATTTACGCCAAGTACTTAACAACTTTAATGAGCAGGGGATAGAAAGAAAGGAGCTGGAGCTGAAAAAAAAACCTGCTACATCGGGGGAGGACCCAAAGTAGCCAACGCGCACTTAATACTAATGGCTGTCATTATCCTTTATCCTTTGGCTGTCGCAACAACTGTCTGAGCCACTATCCCACTCCCGCTCACTGGCTGCCATTTTGGCCCTTTGTTTGCACGCACATTTATTAGGCAAACCAAAGCGCAAACTTCCCGCTGCCAAAAAAATAAGCCAAGAACTTGGTAAAACAAAGAAAAAATTAACTTAACTCGATTTACAAAAAACTTTTATTTCTATTTTTCTTGCTTGTTTTGTTAGCTGTTGACAAAAAAAAAAACGAAAACGAATTAAGCGCCAAGCCAGGGCAAACTTTAAGTAGCTTTTGTGCGAGAAAGTATTAAAATCGCTTTTTCAAATGGGTCCCAAGGAAGTGCAGAAGGTGGAAGGGGCGGTGGCAGCGGGCGGTGGGGCGGTGGGCGGTGGGCGGAAATCTGTGCACAAAAGTGAGTGGCCAAAGGGATTCCACAGCCAGTCAAGTGTCCTTGAATCATATTTACTTAACTCAATGCTGCCGTTGCCATGTTTTCCCCCACCCAAGGTTTCGCCCTGATTTTATTTTCATTTGCCAGCAATTTCCTTTCTTATTCGAGAGAAATGAATTTCCATAGGTCTGGCGTACTTGGCTCACAAGTTCATTTCTTAAAACGCTTAATATGTGATGAGATCCACTTCAGCCAGGCTCCAAAAGTTTTGCGGTTTCGGGTCAAGTTGCGACTCGGTTTTTATCGAGAAACGGCAGAAGGAGGAGCTTATAGAGCCTCAACCCATTAAATGGCTGAGGGGCGGAATTTTCGACTGACCTGACCACAGTCTATTATTGCCTTTGCTGCCATTGAAAGCCAGACAAACCACAGTTCTCCGATCCGTTCCATTATTCGGCGACATCACATCTATGCTGTGTAATAATTTCACACGCCTGTGTCGCGGTCGTTTTAATTAGCACGATTGCATTTTCAACACGTCCAAGCCATTCAGATTGTAAATCACATAGGCTGCCCAGCATGTGCTGTCCACTGTCAGTCACCCAGTCAGTCAGTCACCCAGTCAGTCAGTCATTCGCTCGGTCAGTCGCTCATTATACATGATATATACTCAAACGCTGGTACATATTTGAGTTCCTCTCCCTGTGCATTGTGCAGCAGATTGCGGTTTGCTCTTCAGTTCACCGCTGGCATGGCAACAATATAGCGCCAAATCGGCGAAAAGCAGCGAGTAAATTAATCCAGCTAATTAGAACATAAGTGTCCGGGTGGCTAATTTGATCAAGTACGTGGAGTGCTGAAGAGTAATTATGCCAGAAGCATAAAATGTTATTTAAAGCCAAAAGAAACACATTGAGTAGTAACTTCAGGCACTCGAAAGCTGCATATTTTTACGTTTCTAGGCCACCTACGCAGTAGTCATCGATTGTCAGTCAACAAAAGCGGAAAATGTGTTTATTTATAGCTCCCATTCAGGGAGCCCCTCCGCGCCACCCGAAAGCCACGTTCTCGGCCCACATTGCGTATACGCAAACACAAAACCCGAAAGCGAGTGCATCGCCGTCCGCAGTATCCGTTCGCACGTCACGTGGCATCAGTCATGTCTTAAAGGCCGCACTCCGAATCGAAACGGAATGGAGCTCGGCTTAGTTATCTACACTGTCGCGACAGCGATCGGCTGGATCCAGTTGGCCGGGGGTCAGAGCTCGCCGCTGATCGACTCCGTGTGCCAGGCGGTGCAGCGGCAGCAACTCCAGTGCCAAGTGCATCGCGTGGAGACCGCCGATGGCTACCTACTGAGTGTGCACCGCATTCCCGCTCCCCGGAATCCGCAGTGTCCCCAGCACCTGCGACCGTTCCTTCTGATGCACGGCCTCCTCGGATCTGCGGGGGACTTCGTCTCGGGGGAAGGGGCAGATCCCTGGCTCTGGAGCTCCACGCCCGCTGCTTCGACGTCTGGATGGGAAATGCCAGGGGCACAACCTACTCCCGCGAGCATCGCACTCTGCCGACAAGCGACGCCCGCTTCTGGCAGTTCAGCTGGCACGAGATTGGCGTCTACGACCTGCCCGCCATCGTGGACTACGTGCTGGGAAGGACGAGCCGCCGGCAAGTGCACTACGTCGGCCACTCCCAGGGCACCACGGTGCTCCTCGTGCTACTCGCCCAGCGGCCCGAGTACAATTCGCGGTTCGCCAATGCGGCTCTAATGGCGCCTGTGGCCTTTCTCAAGCACCTCAGCAGCCCGCCTCTCCGCTTGTTGGCCAGCGACAGTTCCGCGGTCACGGTGCGTATACTTGATGGGATTGCTGGCAAGTGCTCTTCGCGCTGAACAAGTGATAAGCCCCAGTCACTTAGAGAAAAGGTTCACTCAGGGAGATTAACATCTCTGTGTGTTTTTTCATATGCAACTGTCCCACTGCACATACTCACTTCTTCTACGCCCATAACTTTTCCCATTTTCATCCGATTTTGAAGTGGCATACATCTAAACGTTTATATTTCAATTCTCTAACGAATGCATTATTAGCTATTTTTTTTTTTTTTTTTTGCAGGTTTTTTTTAATCCCCTTTCTAAATTTCCAAAAAATAGGTTTTTTCATTGAGCAAAACTCAATAGTTCTTAGTCCCTAACACTTCCAAATTTAATCCGATTTTGAAGTGGCATGCCTTTACAAGTTTCTATTTTAATTCTTTAATTATTCACTAGTTAATTTTTTATTTTTTGACCGATATAATTCAATTTTAAAGGCAGTGTCTCGCCGAAGCTGGCTTCCTTTCTTGTCGTTACTAATTTCAATTGCAAACAACACTGTCCAAACGCAAAGCAAAGTTCGTGTGACCATTTAAAACTGATGCCTTTTTCCCGAACAGCTGCTCCTCAACAAACTTGGCCTCCACGAACTTCTGCCGGCGACGGCGCTGACCCAGGTGGGCGGACAGTTCTTCTGCGCCGCCTCCCGGCCCACCTACGCCCTCTGCACCCTCTTCACCTCCCTCTACGTGGGCTTCAGCGACTATCCGTTGGATCGTGTGAGTACGATTATATATGCGGGCCATAATTTAGCCAACAAAGCGCCCAGAAAACTTTTTTCTTGTTGTATGCAAAAGTTTTTATTGCACTCTGGAGCGAGCCCAGCGTTTCCACCTCCACCCCCGCAAAAGCGCCCAGAAACAGACAAACATACGTAGTTTCGATGGTCCGAGGGGGGAGGGGTAAAGGGGTTTAAGGGGGCGGAGGCCTTAGTTTCGGTAATAAAAGTTATTTGAATTTAAATGCGTAAACGAGCTGCTCCTGCCGGGCAAAGCTTCCTGGTTGGAAGTCAGGCCGGAACTATTGTGCAGCTGGATAAAAAAGGGGAGGGGGAGAAGGCCTTGTACTCGACAAAAAAAGGTTAATTGGCAGTATCACTCAGTTCGCCTTTTTCAAGAATAATTTAAAAACCACATTATGTCATTTTTGAAACAATAATTTCACTACAAGAACTACCGTCATTGCTGTAATTTTTGCTTCTTTAACTTACATAACTAAAATTTTAAACTAGAAATTAACATCCTATTAAAACAATAGACTACATCAATAATATCTAATTTACATGAATAATTAGAACATTGCCCCATTGACTCTACTGTAACCGAAATTCCCGCTGTTATGTGCGACGAAGCGGTGCTCTAACCTATATTCCCGCCCGCCGTGAACTACTCGAACTCCCCCCTTTCCCCGCAACCCCCTCCGCCCACAAAATGCCGTTGCAGCTGGCGGCTAACTAGAGTATAACACACATTACGTATACGCCACGCTGCCTTAAACACTTTTTGTTTCCCGCGCACACGGTACATTTAAATTTTGTTTTGCCGTGAAATATGGCAAATAAATCGCGTCCGTGGAACGAAAGAAAAAACTTTATGGCTTATCTGTGTGTTTTGGAGTGTTCCGGGGCGCGTGCTCAAAAGGCTTACCATCTGAAGTGAGTTGTTGGTGTGTTTTTGGTGATTCTGGGGCGTATTCGGGTGTTTGGGGGTCAGGCCCTGGCGCCAAGTGCCGCTTGTAAGTTATTAAAGTGGGGGTTCCGGCCAATTGGCTGTGGCCCTGGACACTCTGCTTCAGTAGCTGGATTTGGAATTTTTATAGTTGCCGGAATAGCAGGGAAAAAGGTTAGAAAGTTCCCGTGGATAAAGTTCTTAAATCTTTTACATATGCGGCCATAAATAAGCATTTCAAGCACTGAATAATCCAGGGGTTAAGTGAGGAATCTAATCGGGAATACAATTTAAGGTAACTTGAAAAATACTGCGGCCTTACTTTAAGTACTATGATTTTCAAAACTTTAACGAAAGTTAACATATTTACAAGCTTTTGTTTCCGACGCAAATGTTGAACTCCCAATGCCAACGGAGGCAAGTAAATAACAGATTCCCGGAGATTCCATGCGAGAGTCATAACTTTCATAAAAAAGTCAACAAACCAGAACCAGCAGCGAAAAATTGTTAAGCAAACACAGTGAAAAGACGCCGAGCTTGAGCAAATGATGCGAGGCGATACTTGCGACAACTGCCGAACATGCCACACCACACAGATAGAAGTCCGAATAAATATTTGTGCATATTTAGTAACCCCCGTAACCCACGAAACCTCGCCAACGACCCCGCAAAGTTCAACACTCTTGGAAAACTGCACTGCGTCGAATAAGATTCGAGGGGTAATACAAAAAACACAAGATGTAAGAAAAATAAATGCAAAGAAAACGAAACGAAAAGAAGAACTCGGGGAAACACAAACAAGCTGGCGGCACAAAATTGCCAGTATTTGCCACAAGTTGCTGCTGGCTGGCTGTAAAAGGAAACAGAGCTGAGAAAAAATGGGGAAATGCAACGGCCAGGCGGAAAATCAAATAAACATCAAAACAAAAAAAATATGTCGCCGCAGGACGCATGCAACGTTTCAATGGCTTGTCATGGCAATTTAAAGTCGGAACGATTTACATAAAATTCTATAACTGAAGAGCGGTTGCCGCACTCTGCAAAAAATTGCAGACATCCGCACACCCGCAAAAAGTGAACAGTTTTTTGCAGATGCAGTGTTTAAATCAAGGTTCTTGGATTTAAACTGTATTTTAAACAGGGCTTACGAGAAAAACCCAGCAATTAAATAGTTGAATGTATGAAGTCGAATGAGGCCCATTAACTCGTGCTAGAAAAACAGTAATTTCTTATTGTTTTTAAACTTCACCGGAAGTTGCCTCGAAACGGCGCCTAAAACTTCTATGAAAAGCAAACAGAGTTAAACTCATTTTCCACTTAATAGAAAAACATCAAAATAGCCGTAACATCGGTGTAAAGGCGAACTCGAGCTACTTATCCTTGCATCAATATTTCCTTTAGAAAACTACTTTACCTCGCCCACCTTCTCAATGCCATGCCTTTCAAATCCGTTGGCAATTTCAATCAGTTGCTTCCATTGGGCTTCAACAATATCAATATCAATCTCGGTATAAAACTCAAAAGCTCATTGCACTTACCTTAATCAGGGGCTGAGGCGAATAAGCAGCTAATTTCAAAACAAATACTCGCAATATAAATTCAACTTCCCGGCCGCAGGATCAAAGCAAGGACCTCTTGGCCTTTTGGCCCAAGGACCTCGCTCCTGTGCCCGTTCATGTGTGAGTGGGCGTACGTGTGAGTGTGCCTGTGTGCACTTCCGCATATGCTTTGTGTCGCAATGAAACGGAAATAGCAGCCTGAACACACACCGATACACACATGAGCGGTCAGGCGACGGGCGAGCGGACGAGGGGAGGTGGGGTCTCGTTTCCGGCTGCTCTGCTCATACAATTTAAACGTTCCGGGAGGTTAAGCCTAACAAAATGACCTCCTCTGCTCCTTTCGCCAGAGCATCTTGCCCCGGATCCTGGAGACGACGCCGGCCGGCATTTCGCGGGGTCAGTTGCAGCATTTTGGCCAGCTCATCAATAGTGGTAAGTCGCACAGCGGACTGCTGACATATGCACAGATGCACTGTAAAATGTTGCTAGTTCAATCGGAACTTATAAACTTTTGTTTGCCTTAAAGAAAGACAAAATATTTAAGTCAGTCGAAGTGCTTTCAATAGTAGAATTTCCTTATCATCTATTATTATGTGCTGGTGTGGCTTTTAAAAAAATCTACCAGTCTCTTCCGATTTTTTCCTGCGCATGCCAACCCCAAGTGACGGGGAGAAAAGTGGAGGCGGTGGAATTACCATTGATGGGTTTTTCGTTTCGTCCGCAGGCAAGTTCCAGCAGTACGACTACCGCTCGCCGAGACTGAATGCGCTGCGATATGGCCAAACCACGCCCCCCTCGTATCAGTTGGCCAATGTCCGCCTGCAGCTCCAGATTTTCCACGGCAACCGGGACGCGCTGTCCAGTCAGGCGGATGTGCAGCGCCTGGTCGGCGAACTGCGAAACAGCATCACGCAGATGTATCAGGTGCCCGGCTATAATCACATTGACTTTCTGTTCGCCTCCTCAGCCCCGCAAATGGTCTACGAGCGAATAATTCAACAGGGCTGGCAGTTGGACGCAGCAGCGGTGGCGCTTCAGGCCAGTTAATGAGTGAGAGCAACGGGCACAAGCCGCGGCTTTCTCGCAATGAATTAGTTTCATCAATAGTGCGAACTGACATCGCTTGCCCTTTATTGAAATCTTCTTAGCTCGCATTGATTTACATTTATATTTTGTTATATGAAAAACAAACTCAAACGAACTACAAAGAAAAACTTGGATAAAAAGACCTCATAAGCTTCATACTTTACACTAAGCTATTACGTTAATCAAAATGTACATTGGTTGTAAATTAACTGGAATAGTTTGCCTGCCTGCCGACCAGCTGTCCTGCTATTTTGCATTTTTTTTTCCAGGTGGGAAACTTGTGGGTACCTCTATGTTTCTTTTTGGCGGCTGTGATAGTGGATATGTTTTGGGATTTTCGAGGGTGGATAGCTTAGCTGAGTTCAAAGCCAGCGCCGGACTGAATGGCATAGAGCAGCTTTTCACGCATTTGTTCCACGCTGTTGAAGGGGGGAAGCTTTAAAAGATTGGTGCAGGTGCTGGCTGTGGGCAATCGTTCCATGTCCCCGGCATTCTGGATCAAGAATGGAGGGTCCAGATCCTGCAAAAATGAAAAGAACACAACTGTGCTTATTGGAAAGCCAATAGTGATGATATACGAACCTTAAAACCCAACAGCGGTGGCCGAGAGCAACTGGTGACGAACTTGAGCAGCTGCCTGCGCTGCAGATCATCGAATCCCTCCAGAGCCGCCCAAAACGCCACGATCGACGGGTGTTCCGGAGAAAATTCACCGCCGTATTTACAGTACTTCTTCAGATCCTCCAGGTCAATGGGTATCTCGGCACCCGAAATGAGTATTTGCAGCTCCTTGTTGCTGAACATGTACAACCATTCGATAGGCAGGACGTTTGACAAACCCTTGCGGAAGGCGTTGCAATGACGACGTATCTGCACGTTGAGCTTGTAGTCGGCTATCAGCTGCAGATATTCTATGCGGTTCGAGTTGGTCACCGGAATGCTCTGGCCCTGTGGCTTTAGCTCGACAATCTGCGTCTGACCCAACGAACTGCTCGCCACGGTGAAGTCCAAGTTCAATTCACTAACATCGCCGGTATAGTCCTTCAAGTACAATAGATTGCGGTACAGCTCAGGATCCAATGACGCCAACTGATGGATGTCCACGTCCGAGTACTTGCCAGCCAGCTTGGTGAGAAAGAACTCGGCCAACGGCAGCTCCACCAGCAGATTCTCGTAAATGGCCTTGCCCAGGATGCGACCAATGAAGTAGTAGTGCTTCTCATAGTCCTCGAAGAGATCGGCCACGTTTGGGTTGGGATAAAGCTTGTTGTCCGTGGTTACCCTGTAATTAAAATTAACACATTTAAGACGGTTATCACAAAAAATTCATTATTACTTACATAAAGAATCCACGATTTGGATCGAAGGATGTTTTGATCAACTCCGAAAGGAATTCCCGAAAAACTCCACCACCGTCGATGCCAGCCTCATCGAGTCCAAGCGAGGAAACGAACTGTATGCGGAATTTGAAGCGCAAGTCTGGTTCTAAAAGAACAAAAAATTATCTCTCCAAAACAAAATATGTAAAAGAACACCCACCATTTTCCGGACGAAGCTTGTCGTAGGCATCTTCGTAAAGATGTGAACGCCTCACAGTAATCATAACCGAAGGGCCCTGGAGGAAGGCCTGCAGATTGCCTTGCACCCGCATCTTGTTTGCCGCCACCAAGCCCTGCAGAATGCTGACACGCTTGTTAAAGGCCACCACAAAGGGAATCTCGCGCAAAATGGTAATGGAGCGAATTTGCTTGGTGGACATGGGCGGTCCGTTCTCAAAATCTTCCCGAGTAAAGTCTCGAATTGGCTGAAAAGGCCGGATACCGCGAAGGCGACTGCTGTGGGTCAACGGCAGATCGGTGGGCCTGTCCAGAGGCAAGTCCAATCGGGAGACCGTCCAGTGCGCCTCCGGACAGAATCCCAAACGCAGGTCTCGTGTGTGAATCTGGTTGAGCACAAAGACGACCACATTGAGCAGATTGGCCCAGATTTGCTTCTGGTGTCGCAGCTTCTTGTCGTCAGCCTCCGTGTGCCCTAGCACACTTCGGTAGTTGGCCAAGTTACTCCGAGTCTCTGGAAAAGCCAGCTCCACCAGGCCCATGCTTATGTCCTTTAGGGTCTTAGACATTTGCACAATTTCCGCAATGGAGAAGGGCATAAGTTGCACATGGTTAATGGTGGTCTGCACCTGCAGCAACAGCTTGTTCTCCACAAACTCAACATCGTGAAGGGTGGGCAGTAGGCGTCCGAAAAGCATGCAGAAAGTGGCCAAGAGTGGGATAGTACGATCCACGCCTTGTTGTTTCGCTGTCGAAGGAAATTCTACTTAGAAAATATGTATATTCATAATGACTATCAAATACTCACGCACAACGCCTTTAGAAATAAGGGTCAGTGGAGCAGAGAAGCCTAGTTGGCTGGACTCTGCAGCCAACTTAAACCACACAGCACGAATGAACTTAGGAGTGAAAGCCAATGTATAAAGTAACCTAAACGGAAAAACGAATTAGAATTTTTCAAACTCAATATTAAGAGCTTCTTACTTGTATTCAAAGACTGCATGCTTATTGTAGATCATCAGGTTGTGACAAATCTCGCAGAGCGCATATATAAGTAGACTATTCTCAATATGCGGATCCAGCTGCTGGACAATAAAGTCCACCCGCTCCGTTTCGTTCAGTATGGCAATGGACTCCAGCAGACAGTCACGTTCCCTGACACTCAGTTCGCCACTGGTTCGGCAAGTCTGCTCCATATCGTAGTCCAGCGTACGAGCCGACGGCTGATCCTCCTCCTCTTCCTCCTCAGAGTCATCGGAGTCGTCATCACTGTTCCGATGACGATGCGTGGCATTGGCATGTCCACGCAACGTTGACTTGGGCAGCTGCAGAATGTTGGGCATCATTTCGGCGATGAGGCGCACGTAGACAACCAGCAATGAACTTTGCTGCAGAGTAGCTGTATGAGGAGTATTATTATTTGTGGATTCAAGTTTACAAGAAATTAATCTACTTACCCAACTGCCTCCGATCGAGCACCAGGAGGGAGTTGAGTAGAAACGACGAAAACAGCGACTCAATGCGCTTATTCTTTTGGCCTACTTCCGCTTCATGAAAGAGGAAACTGCGACGGCTGGACATGCTATCCGCTTCTGTGGACCCGGCTATCTCCATGACGTCGAAGAGCGAACGCATCAGCAAGTCGAAAGGAAAGTCGGCATTGAGCGCAAAACAGGGCAGTACAAAGTACCGCAAAGGATCTGTGTGTGGCGAGGCGAGAATGTCCCGGATGAAATGCTGGCACACGGCCAGTGACATAGGCGACACCTGGCCGCCGGCGGAGGCCCTCTTGGCCACCGTCAAGGGACGAAGCAGCAACTGTAGCAGAGCCTCGGCCAACGGACTTGGGGCTTGCAAAGTTTCACCGTCCAGCGGCGGACACTTGTCGTCCAGCAGTCGCCGCAGGCGCTGATAGTAGTTACGGGCAATAAGGAAGCCAAAGACGCGCTCCAGGTATTGGAACAGCAGAGCCTCTTCCTCCACATAGCGCTGCACAGAGGATACGGTGGTGAAGGTCTCTAGCATGCGCAGCGGAATGGCCTGAGCAGTGTGCGACAGACTCAGCTGGAGCAGGCAAGTGTCCAATAGCTTGCAGAGCCTCAGTAGCCATATCGAGTCCAGGGAAGAGTGTCGCAAAAGACGAGCTGGCTGGCGAAGGATCTGCTGGCAGACCTCGATCTGTGGGGTTTGGATAAGGCATAAGAGGATGATCTGGTGAACACCGTTAACTTCTCACCAATCGCTCGCCGTCCTTGGCCTCGCGGCTGCTGTAGAAAAAGTTGAGACGCCTCAACAAGAAGGTCAGACTCTCGTCCTCCGAGATGCGATCCTTGTTGGCCATCAGGTAGCCGTCGAATGCCTCTCGCTCCGCTCGCTTGCGCCGCTTACGGTGGATAAAGGAGCGGGCGTAGGACTGCAGCACCACCGCCCCATTTTCCTTTTGGCGCAGCTCGTTTCGCTTCTGGCGCTCCTGGGCCGCCTTTCTGATTACGGTGTCCCGGTCGCAGGTATGCGAGGCTCCGCCCAGACTCTGTACCGGTCTCCGGCGGTACTCCCCATCAAATCCGAACATGACGCTGCGTTTTTCGGTTGTTAAGTTGGCCCGAGTGGACTTATTCCACCAGCCTTTAGATTCCAATCGTTCAGTCAACACTCCTCCACATTCTATTTCTGGCTGGTGCGGTGGGCGGAATACTGCGATTTCACGGTAGCTGGGCTCCTTTTGCTCCCCGATCAGAAATTTACGGTTTTACACACTTTCCCTCCCAATACGCACGAATTTAAAATGCGTAAAACCCCAGTTCGCAAGTGATTTGGTGATTTGTATATTTCTCTTGTATATTTCGATAACAGTCTATCGACAGCTGTGTTACACTGCGCTGGAATGACTGAGCACGTTTCCCACCCCTAGTAAAAAGGGGCATTCTTGATTTCACTTTCTAAATATTCAAATTCGAAAATTCTTCGAATTTTATTGTTTTTAAATAAAATTATGGCTTGGCAATTCCCGTTCGATACATAACGTAAAAATCATACTGAAATCTTTAAAATGAAATAAATAAAAAAATTTTAACGAAGTTTAAAAATCGATTTATAAATTATTTGTACAACTCTTGACAATGACAACAAACAATGTTTTTTAATAGGATTTTATTCATGAAATAAACATTCATTCGTAAAGATACATAAGTAAAACGGCTAGCCTAAACCACCTAATTAGTAGCTTCTTTGTTTTCCAGTTAGCAGCTTGCCTTGTGAGAGAGCAGGAGCAGCTACGAGTACATTTCAGCTGGAGGTAATTCGCATCCCGACGAGACTTAGAGCGAGCTCTGCTTGGAGGCCTCCAGGTTCAGCTGGTGCTGCTTTTCGATTAGCGCCAGCAGTGTCCTGGGTACATCCATCGTCTGGTCGTCAACGAGGACGATGTCGAATGTGTCCAAGTACTTTTCCATGTTGGCCTCCAAGTGCTCGAACAGGAAGCCGATCTTCATGATGTGCGAAGACGCCGGCACTCCGGAGGCCATGTCCGCATCCCCGATGGAGTCGCCCATGACGATAATATGGTCCCTCGAGTGTACCAGGTCGTAGTATTCGCTGCCATCCAGCACTGTTTCGTTCTTGTTGAAAGTGTGAATCATCGGCTGCTGGAAACCATCTAGCAACCCATTCTTGAACTGCAGGAAGTTCGAGACCACCTTCACGTTCGGGTGCATAACGTTTGCCTGACGCAGCACGGAGACCACCGAGTTGCCCAGTCCAGCGGAGAAGACCAGCGTAGGGATTTCCAGGCGCTGCAGGTCCGCGAAAAACTCGTGTGTGCGGTCACGTAGCGCATGCTTGTATTTGCTGGCTATCTGATCTATTTCCGACTGGTCAAAGGCAAACCCGCTAGTCAGTTCCCCCGATTTGGTCCACCACTCGATCATATACTGCACTTTTTCGGAGATAGGCATGTGGGGGTCGATCTCGATGGGTCTATATTTGTGGTACAGCTTGTCCGTCTCCTCCTTGAAGTTATTCGGCAGCGATTTGCAGGCATTGAAGATCCCGAAGCTTGAGGGCACTGCTCCCCCGTCCTCAGTACGCTGCTTGGTGATAGTGTAGTCAAAATCCGAGACTATTTGCATGCGTTCGGGTCCGCCAAAAACAAATTCATTGATGATGCGCTCTACTTTCGCTGGATCACGCATGCGGCAGTGGTCCTGGGTTAGTGCAGGAATATCCTGGACCCGGAGGCGCCCGCCAACGGGCTCTCGCTTCTCGTCACAGCCCATCCTGAGTAGTCTTCTTGTCCAGCAGCTCAGAGGTCTTCCTCTGATCACGGTGAATGAATATCTGGGGTCTGTTGAAACCGATCCAGCAAAATGCGCTCCGAGCTTTCGCCAGCGGTATCTGCAAATTATTTAGGCAAGCGAATTAGTAGCGCTTATATGTCCCATCGTCTGTATTAGTGGTTCTATATCTAATGCTGACCTTGAATGAGTGTTTTGGTTATTGCCAATTGTTGTTGCTATTCGTGCAGTGTTGACTGTTATCAGCTTTGACAGTCAGTTGATATGACAGGATATTTATTTATATAAATTATGTCCAAACCCTAAAGGCAACCAGCTGCGTATACATTTGATTTTAGTTTAAAAAAGACATCTTTCGTACCTTTTCACTGGTCTCATGTCGTTGAGAATCAGCTGTACTTGGCGAAACGACATGGAATTGGAACTAACAAACAGCTGATATTCGCGCACATTTTTAAATACCCAGACAAAGTCAACAATGTTGCACCGTTTGTATTAAACTTATCGAAACAAACCTTCTTCGTTTTTCCACAATTTTAAGTATTTTCTTTAGTTAATTTTTTCTGTTTAATGATTTACTTAAATGACAATCTTCAGAAAATTAAACTTGGAATTAAATATCAGATTATACAAAATTAACATTACAATACTATATGTAATATTGGATGTGAACCGTAAAAATCTGCCGCAACAGTGGCAGGCATTGCTATCACGCTTTACACAATTTAATAAAATAATTAATCCTTATTAAACTCAATAAGAACATTACATGGTGATGACTATAACTATAACCTAATCAGTTTACATATTAAATATGTATCCGGAAAGAAGGAGTGTACTGCTGAGCTGAGCGCATTGCCTCAAAACACTCCTTCGTAAATAAACAAACAACTGAGTGCAATGGCAAACAAAGGAAAGGACGCTTTAATCTTCGATTACGATGGCGGCCGGGGGCTGCTGATTTTTAGATGGCACACGGGAGGCGTTGATAGCCGCCATGGAGACTTGATTGTTGCGCGACTGGTCCAATGACTGGAACTTCCACTGCGCCGGCAAGAGTGACTTGAATTGAGGATTTTTTACAAGGTGGCTGTAAAAGAGAAAACTGAAATTAGCATATTTGCATCAAGAAGAGAATCAGCTGAAACTCACCGGTTGAGATAGCTGGCGGCTGCTCCGAAGGTCTTGAAGCGCAGGACGCCGTCCTCGGGTATCTTGACCATAAAGTCAGAGCCTTGCACTTTGACGCGAAAGCGCGGCAAACCCTTGGCGCAAATGACGCCATGGCAGAATTCTTCGGTTGAGGGCTGAGCTGCAGACACATTGCTTGCCGGTCGGCTAGAAGATAGATCTGGATCCGACCGAGCTGCCACCATGGGTTTGGCAGTCACCTTAGCTGGCAAAGATTGACGGGAAGGCAGCTGATGTATGCTTGACTCAGCGGACCCGGACAACTTCGTGGCGCACACCGGAGATGGCTTGTTGCTGGAGATTCCCATCTTGGCTGGCAGAGACTGACGAGGCATCGGCGGGACCGTCGTCTTAGCATTTGCCGGCGTGGACTGCCGCTTGGTGGGCATAGCCGGTCTGGGGTACAGCTTAACCAAAGTGCTTGGACTTGCTGGCACGGGCCTGATTGCCGGAATGCCCTTGGCAAGAGACCCCGCCAGAGGTCTGTTGCCAAGTTGTCCGACTGCGGACGTCATTGTGGCGGGTGCTGGTAAAGCCTTAGTTGCTCGCTTGGCAATTTTGAAGCGTTTGTTATCAGTCTGGACAACATCGCTGATCGGTTTCTTTTCCTTGCTGTCCATCTTGGTGATCGTTATGCTACCCGGCGTTATATTATTCCCACTGCTTAGCAACTCCTGCAATGATTCGTTGATCTTGTTGGGTGTCGCCGAAAAACGACTGATTTTCGCTGGAGGGGGTTGGGCGGAGGAACTGGGCAAGACCACTCCAGAAACACTTGCCGACGTGGTAAGCTGCACTTGGGGAGTTAGGTATTGGGTAGTGGGCGGGGCCTCCCCGTTCTTAACGGGAACGTTTGCAATGTAGGGCATAAACCCTCCAGAAAGGTGGCAGGTGGTCGCCTCCCTCGGCGGTCGTGAGGTAAGGGTTGCCGACTCTGCGGCAGTGATTTGCAGGGCGCCACTAGAGGGAATTGTCTGAATTGTGAAGTTTGTGCGCGACAGCTGCTCTTCCTTAATATCCGCCATCAGCTGCTGGTCCGCCTGCTCGTCAATCACAAGTTGATCCTCCTCATCATCGTCTTCTTCGTCACTGTCGATAATCACCACCGGAGGTACTTCATCGTTATTATTTTCTAATTCCACCGACAGTTGCGACGGTATTTTGACCACATTAGGACCCGACGTTGCCGTAGAATCTTTCTGTTGTGCCGCAAGCTTAACCGTAGATTCCATGTCGATCTCAAAGTGCACCTGCCCGTTTACGTGCAGTACCCAGATGGCCATACTCCGACGGTCCCGCTGGACGGGAATGGAGTGCTCCCGCTGGTACACCTCGCGAAGCATCATTTTTCGGTCAACACTTTGCAGGAGTACAAGTACCGGCGGCGGCATATCCAGACTCAGGGGTCCAAAGTAGATCTTTTTCCTAGACGAAGGCGTGACAAAGGCATCGTAAGGCGCATTGGGGAAAAACTGCAGCTTCACAACCTTTTGCGTCTCTTGAGCCACCTGCATCACGCTGTAGATTCTGATCAACGAGATTATGTCCCCGAAGGCTGGCACGAAGATGTGCGAAAAGTCGTCAAAGATGTCCAGCACCACCCAACGGTGGTCGGTCTTGTGCAGTTCGGGTATTTGCAGTTCGTCCACATCGCAGTGGTTTACCTTTCTGAACTCGATGTTGCTGCGGATTCCAGAAGCACTGGACTTGGGCTTTATAGCGGGAGACACGATCTTGGCAGGAACGGCAGAGGATTTAACAGATTCAGAACTAGACCCTGGAGTACTACTGGTCGGCAAAGGCTGAGATACACTTGTAAAACCTAACGGAGGTGATACTGTTGGCAACCTCTCCAGTGAGGTGCAACTGGATGACGCTTCTGCGCTCTTGGGCCCCTTCTGTTCGCGCTGAGAGCGCTGTCTAAAGAGCAACGAGCTCGGTGGAGGAACCTCTGCTGCCAAACTGTCTGAGGGCGAGCCGTCACCGCTCTGGAGCTTCTTCTGATGCTCCCTAATGCGCTGCTTCACCAGCAGCGAGCACAATACGTTGATCTTCTTGGTCAGAAGCGGGTGCGTCTGCGGCGTGGGCTTCGTGCAGGCATTGCCCTCCATGTGCCTCAGGAAACCCTTGACGAGCCAATAACTCTGCCTTCCCTGCATCACCACCGCCAGTCGGTTGGTGTTCTCATTGCGCGTCGAATTCATCAGCATTCTAGCCATGAGAGGCAGTGCCTGCGGATCTGGCGCAAACTTGGTGTTCACCACTCCGATTGCGCCGCACACTGAGGGCATCAAGTTGGCGGTGGTTGCCGCCAGAAAGCTGTGACTCTTCATTTGCACGTCCCAAATGAACACGAACCCGGACTCATAGGCAGCTAGAAAGTTGGTCCACTTGATGATGCAGAGGATCTCCTCGTTGGGGGACGGAATTATCTTGCTTTCGCGCTGCAGAGCGAGGTCTATATCCTGCATCTTTTTGCTGACCAGTGTGTTCATGTTTTTCACGACCTCGTTGTAGAAGGATCGGAAGTTGGGAGAGTCTGTCTCGGAGGGGCAGTGTGCCGCACCAGTGGCGGCTGCAGCTGCAGCGGCTGCATTTGCCATTCCAGACCCCAGAACATCCACAGAGGCCGAGTTCAGGGAGTAACAGGCGGCAATACGGGGAACTTGAATATCCAACTTGTTTTCCTCCTCCGGCGGCGAAAGCTTATCCGACAGCAGTTTTATCCGTTTTGCCGGAGTCGGCCCCTTGGCCGGTTTTCCGCTCCTCTTTTGCCGGTTGCTGACCTCACTGCCGTCGGAGTCATCTCGCACCTCTATGACGGGGGGCGTTTGCATTCTTCTTAGTCAGCTCCCGCTTGCGTTGACGATCGAGCTCCTTGCGGTAGTATGTGATCGCACCCTGAATGCGGGCCTTGAGCAGTTCTACCGTTTCTGGAGTCTCTTGGCGGGCCGTATAGTGACGCAAGCGTTCAGCTCGACGTTTGTTTAGGCGCTGGTAGGAGCTCTTAGGCACGGAGATGGCTCTGCGGCAAAAGTTTGGCCGGGAACGGTAGTAGTTGAATATCGTATCCAGCTCAAATGACCTTTGCAAGGGAGAATCATCGTCAAACAAGTCTACTTTCGGCTCTCCTTTTGATTCAGTCGTGGGCGAAGTTGTTTTCTCCGATGAAGTCTTCGGTTTCTGATCATCCTCGGCCGGCTTCTGCTCTAGCTTAGCCTTGACCTTGCCCTTCTTCTTCGCTGGAACCTCTTCCGCCGGTCTCTCAAAGCTGTAGTGCGCCCTGGTGGCCAGATCCGGATTGAAGTGGGTCACCGGTGTGTTCCACTGCTCCTTTTCGATTACCACTGGCTTGCCATCGGGCGAGTCGCCACCACAGAAGCATTTGTAAAGCTGGTGGGTCATGCAGAAAATGGCCAAGTTGTCGATGTCCGGCAAGCGGCGCAGCCCCACTAAGCAGTGCTTCAGCTTGGCCAGATCCGTGTCTCTCACCAGTACGGGCTCGGTCAGTGCAGGAGCGGCTATCTTGGCACTGGCAGCGGCGGCAGCAGCAGCAGCAGAGGCGGCTGCAGCTGCAGCAGCAGCGGCTATTTTCTTTTGCTTCTTCGAGGTAGGCGACACGACATTCTTTTCCTCCTCGTCAAACATCGTGTCGTCGAAGTCTTCGTAGCGCTTGGGTGCCTTTGTGCAGCGGCGCTTCTTGTCGCCCTGCGACTCGTTGATTAACAGCGTCTCGTTGTCGGTAAGCACTAAGGTGGACGTGAAGTCCTTCTCCATCTTGGCCAAACGCGCAGTGGCTTTGCGGCGCAAGTTAAACGCGTCCTCGTTTGATATACCGCGTCCCTGTATTTAGGATTAGATAGTAAATTAGGATAAAAGAGCAGGAAATAAAACTGATAATTACATCTGCAGCGTCCACGCGCATTACACGACCCTGCTCCGCGCCCAGGCAACGGCAATCCAGGACACACTCTGCCCTTCCGCAGTGATCTCGTACAGGTAACTCAGTACCTGCCAAGCTGGCACAAATGCATCCCAACTGGCAGAAGTCTTTAATACACGGCTTGTTGGCTGCAAGGGAGATCCATATACATAGATTACTTCCAAAAACAGGTAGGCAGAGCTACTTACCGTCTGTGTTCCTGGCAGCAGCGTCAATGATGGTGGCATTCAATCGCCTCAGTTCGTTAGCCAGGCGCTTCTGCTTGTTAGGCAGTCCTTTTGGCTTGCCGTTTAACTTTTCGACATCCTTACCAGCCTCTTCTTTCGCGGGGCTTACTTCAGAGGACTTGGAGTTGAGAGCACTGTTGGTTGCAGCATCTGGATCCTCGCTTATGAAACTGTTTTCGCTGCAGCTGATAGCAACGGTGTTGATCATGTCGTTAATCATGTCTGCACAGGCCAGGATCTCGGCATCCGGCAGAGTGGGAAGTTTCGCCCGGAAGCCAAACTCCTGCAGTTTATTGGGCTCCTCGTTAAAGCTATTGTCCAGCTGCTCGGATCGGTCCACCACTCGACGTACTAGTATATGATTCCGATCGTTAAGGTAGGGAATAACGAAGGTAAAACTTTTTCGACGACCAGCTGGCGTTTGGGCAGCCTGCTCCTCGGCATCTTTCATGCAGGCAGGCGGGGCTTGCAGCGTAGACACACTGAACTCGGCCCATTCGCGCGTTATGTCGTGATGAGGCAGGATGTGCTGAAGATATCGCTTGGCAATCTCGTCCAGGGGCCGCCCCAGCTGAGGCATAACATCCAGCTGCACATTCGGCATGCTGACCACAGCCATACTACCTCCGGCCAAGAGCAACGCGGCGGTATCATCGTCCAGCGGTCTTTGAAGCGGTTTCTTGGACAACGGGCAGGGACGAAAGATGGACGGCAGCGGAAACTGGTTGAGGATCTTGGGGTTTCGCGGTGGATCAACTTTCGTAGGAATCACTCTCAGCTCCCGGCAGATGCGGGCATCCAAGCATTGACTGTGACACTTCATTTTGTTCTTCTCCTCGCAAGTTAGTTTGCTCAAGTACGGGCTCTTCTCACGCTTTAGATTATTTCCCCGCGCGCCCGGTAGACGCACCATCTCGCCATCCACTTGAATTACCTAAAAAGCAAGGGATTTTAAGGGCGAATCCAAATAAAAATAATTTTTTGAAGTCCCACCTGATAATAGTAATTTGAGTCCTCCGTGGCCACATAACTGGCCGCCTGCCAACCCTGGCGGGAGAAGGGCATCTGGGAGGCGGGCGCCTGCAGTCCCTGCATGGCCCCGATCTTGACCTTCAGGTGTCTCTGCTTTCGCTGCAACTCCCTGTATATGTTTGCCTCGTTGTTGATAATGCCCATCTTATGGTTTTTGCAACGCTGCAGATACTGTCGCCGTTCCCCCACCGTTCGCAGCCGCTGCAAAGCCTCCGGAACGGCTGGCATGTCCATCGGCGGCGGCATACTGTGCGATGTAACTTGCCCATCGTGTCCCATCGGTTCGAGCAGCTTGTCCTTGTCGTCCTGCCGTGAGTCCAAGTCGTTGATGTGATGCTCCCGCATGTAGGCATCCAGTGATTCACTGACGAAGGCACAGTTTCCCTCCGTGGTTTGGCAGTTAGTAGGGACGAGCGGCGTGAGCAGCATGCCTGGCTGGTGGACACTCTCGTCAAAGCCCACAAAATCCTCACTGCCATCGTCCTCGGAAACAAAAAAGGAAGTCGCCGAGGCTTCTGTGGGTATGTTCTCTTGCCGCGCAAAGTTTTTCACCCGCACCTTGCTGATGAGCATATCCAGGAACTTGCTGCCGCCGGCCGCTTTTTCCGACTTCTCTGCACTAGAGGATGTGCTAATCTGCCCGCTCTGCTCCTTGCTGGGAGTAGCCTGAGTTGGGGCATCCTCCGAGGCGGCTGTTTGGGCGGGTGACTTTGTGGGTGTCCTTTCTGTAGCCTCCTTGGAAGATGCCAGGTCTAAGTTCAGTTGATCATCGATGGCTTCATCTGGTGTCACCTGGGAGATCTTGGAATGGTCCTTAAGCTTTTTGGCTGGAACCTCCAAACTGGGAATAGAGTCTTCTATAAGGGACAGACTTCTTTTGCCGGTCTTAAGCAACTCCAGTTGCTGTTTCATCTGCTTGGAGAGCTCCTCGGCTCCCAGGGGCTGGGCGACGCTGTACACCTCTGTCTCCTCATACTCCTCGACCCTACCCTGCTTTCGGTAATAACCCACCAGAGTCCTGGACCACTGTCTCACGTTTTGAAGGCGTCGCTTAATCATCGCCTTAAGACGCGGATCGAAGAGCAGGATCCGGACTCGTCGCACGATCCGCACGTGTGTGCTGCGCCGCCTCCTCCACGCATAATTCCTGATGACGCAGCGTGGACTCAGGGCGTACACTATGAACCTCTTTACATTCCACCAGTTGCGCTGCAGGAAGGCCGTGGACACAGGGTACTTGCGCTTTAGGTGGCGGTATTTAATCAGTTCTTTGCCCTCCAAAACGATTGGCGGCAGTTCGTAAGTCATGCTGCGGGGAACAGATAAAATATCATTAGAACCTGGTGGAAAAAGTTTACCCTCAAAACAAAATTATTTTTAGTCTTTAACAACACTGGCCGGAACATGTTTTGATCACTTTAGGCAGCACTAAAATTCCTTAAATCTTAGCGATCTTTTCATAAAAAACTCAAATACTAAACTATTTAGAGGTTATAAATTAATGCAGGTCAATTTATTAAACCACTCTGCCATGAAAATCAGCAGATACACACAACACAAGAGGTAAACTGAGTTTTTTGCAACATCATTTTTTTGGCTGCCCATGAGTTAAAGGAATTAATTTAAGGCTCATTAATAAAATTCATTTCGTACTTTTTGAAACAGGCCCAGTATCACAGAAACGTAATATGTTTAGTTTGTGGTTAAAGCGCCTTTTGCCGCACACCCACAAACACAACCTCGCGTTGCAAAGAAGAGCACAGTCAAAACATTTTAAGACTTTTATTTTCGCCCTTATGTTGACTACAAACGTCGGCAGTAATGCGCGCCCGAGCACAACAATTATGCACAGCCGCGAAAAGTAATTTTATTCTATGACAGAGTAAAATTAAAAGACGGCGCTGCGATCAGATCACAAAATAATCCGGACTCCGACTCAACGTCAAATACATGTTTTTGAGTGTGTGTGTATGAACCCTGGACGCTTTTTCACATATTTCCGAGGAACACATGGGAATAGACTAGCGGCTGTTGTTGTTGTTTACGCATGTGTTAGAAGGAGAGGGAAACGGTACGGGGGTGGCACACGTGCGCCTTTCGATTACCGATAACTGTGTTATGTAAAAAGTCATTAACAAAAGGCAAGAAGAGAACATCCAAAAAATGTCCTGATTTTACAACACTTAAGATGGACAGGCAGGTGTTGAAGAGAGCTACCTTTAACGAAAAACGATCGAAAAAGCCTTCAAAAAAGAGTCAATTTATCATGTATAAATGTGAATTAGAACACAAGATTAATTTTTTTTTTTAGGGACAATGGTTGTTTAACAACACTAGGTTCAATTAGTTTAAACTTTTAAAATAATATATCTAAGCACTCAAAATATATCGAAAACCAAACAAATCTAAAAACTGACAGCCGGGAAAGTTCATTTTTAATGTTCCTTATAATGCCCACTCTAAAACTACGACAATTCCTCTTGCGCACTACTTTATTCCAATATTCCAAATGTATTAAACTTTTTACAAATTTACATTGGCTTCTTTTATTTATCTTCGCAAAATTATTGAAAACGAAAGCATCGCTCATACAAAAACTAATCAATAACCTCAAACTAAAAATGGAAGATGGCGTCGCAATGGATACATACACAAACGATCGCATGCGTCACTAGAAAGCACCCTCTACACTTTGCACAAATTCTTATGCCGGCGATGTCCTTTTGCAATGCAATTTTAAACAATTCAGGGGCCACTTACCTTCCCCAAAAATGATTTATGATAGCCTCTTAGTTCGTCGGCGCAACAAATCCTTAACCAAGTCGCAATTTTTGATTAAATGAACACAATTAACTTAACTCGTGCTGACGACACGTCGAAAAAGCATAGCCGAATACATACACAAATTGTGACAGACAAATATTCTGCGATTATTCCAATATGGCGTCCGATAGGCAGCGCGCCAAGGTGGAAGACGGAATGAAACACAGGGCTGCGTGTGTAAAAAATCCACACGCTGATATTTTAAGGTCGCCAAAAACGTGTTTGCACAGCCAGCTGCAAGCACAGAAATTTGTACTATATCGAGGATCAGAATCGGATCTCGTTGATATCCACACATCCGGCGTTAATTGAGTTGTCAAAATAATGAGCTCTACACCTCTTATTTGGCGCTTTCTTGCACCCCTGAAAACGAAAGCCCGCCCAAAAAGCCATGTCAAAGATTTCAGCTGAACTTTTAGTTATACACACGTATGACCCAATCCAACAAAATAACTGTCACGTGTTCTTTGTTTACTTTTATTTTCGCAATTAGGTGCGCATTAAAAATAAAATAGTTTTTTGAACAGTACTGTACCTGGAAAAACATTGTTCTCAATAAATTTGCAGCGCGAGTTATCAATGTTTACCAAATCAGAGGAAAAGACATCGACTGCAAATAAAGAAAAATTGTAAAATTATTAAGGCTATAAATATAATCCCATTAAGTAGTTTTGAAAATAGTCAGAAGGACCTATTGGAGTAGGATTTGTTGCGGTTAATGCGTAAATCATGCCACATAATTCAGTAACTTATTTTCATCATTAATAAAAAACATTTAAAAATATGTAATTTATAATTACCTTGGTAAAATAACAACATGCTTGGCAAACTAAAAACGCAAAAGAAAGTTAGCAGTTAGTGGATATTAAAAATAAATTTAAAAATTTGTTTCTTGCCAAAATTGTCAGTAGGACCTATTGGAGTAGGATTTGTTGCGGTTAATGTGCAAATCATACCACATAAATCAGTTTTAGTTTTTTCATCAGGTAAGGAATTAGTATTTTACAAAAGTTTGGAAAACAACAGTCAAAAGTGGCGAAGAACAATCAGCCAATTTGTTTTTATTTACCTATTAATAAAGCATCGGTATCCGTGTATTGATTATGCGACTAAAAAATCTGAAAAAAGATAAATAAATTTGTTTAGAGAGGGTTGTAAATAAGATTTTTGATCTTTTTTTAAATGGAATCATTTTCAGTAAGACCAATCTCGCATTCAACAGGAGAAGTTTCAATTTCAGATAGGGGCGAAAGTAAATGCTCATCACTTAATTTATTTTAGTTTGATATATTTAAACTTTAATATTTACCTTTTTATAAGAATCCTTTTTGATAGAATGATTTCCTTCAGCAATCTGAAAAATTTAAGAAATATACTTAGTAAACGTGAGCTAAATGTTTTTACGTTAATTAGTTAGGAGCAATTTCAGTAAGACCAATCTCGCATTCAACATGAGAAGTTTCAATTTCAGATAGGGGCGAAAGTTAAAGCTCATCACAAAAAGCCAAATTACGAGGTACAAAAAAAAAACTTTATCTTACCTTGGACCACATGCTCACGAGAGTCCGGTTTATTGTTTTGTTTGCTTTTTAGAAAAACTGAAAAAACAAAAAATTTTAATTAGTGTTTGCGTTATTTAAATAATTTCCATATCGTTCTGACAATTTTAATTTTCAGTAAGACCAATCTCGCATTCAACAAGAGAAGTTTCAAATTCAGATAGGGGCGAAAGTTAATGCTCATCAAAACAAATAATACTGAAAATTTACCGTTACATTCAGACTCACCTTTTATTCCCTTTCCCCGCACCATGTCCTGTCCTTAAAGCTGTTTCGCCATCTAAAATAAGAGAGGTATTTTAAATAAATTTTCGTAGTCAAGGTTAGTAGATATATACATATATTAACTTAAATGTGCTCGCTTGCGTTATACCTTCAGTAAGACCAATCTCGCATTCAACATGAGAAGTTTCATTTTTCAGCTAGGGGCGAAAGTTATTGTTCATCAGATAACGCAGACGAAAGCTTCATTTAAACATATAAAAGTGTGTAATAATAAGCTCACCTTGCGTTTTAGTGGACTTGTCTTTCTAACTGCAGAGCTAAAACTTAAACTTTAAAAAACTAAACTTTTTTACAATAAAATATACAATTTATTGCATTGCGAATGTCACTTAAATGCATTTTGTAATTTGTATGCACTTCTACACATAAAAACACTCCTTAAACTTAACAGCTAGCAAATTTGTAGGCGTCTCCACAAAGAACCGTAGAGTTTTCTATAAAACCTAATCCTATAGAAACGTTCGATTTCTATTCCTGAGCTTCTCTGTCCCTATCCTTATCCTTCTTCTTCTTCTTTTTCTTCTCCTTTTCTACTGGCTCTGAATCGGCAGGCGCATCCTCCTCAGCAGCTGGCGCCTCCTCCTCGCCCTTGTGCTTCTTTTTCTTCTTCTTTTTGTCCTTGGAAGGAGTCTCTTCGGAGGCAGCTGGTGCCGCTGTTTCCTCAACACTGGATGTGCTCAATTTGCGCTGAATAAATAATGCTTTCTTTAGTAAATGTTAAATAATGAAAGCGAATCAGAGAGGCCTACCTTGCTGGGTTCACTGGAGCCGTTTGAGGGAGCAGTCTCTTGAGACACTGCCTTCTTGGCACTGTAGTCCACAAAACCAGTCAGCCACTCCTTGGGCGTGTTCTCATTGGGCCGACCGAACTTGTCTAATTTGCCGGCGGCAATGAGCGCCTTCTTGGCCGATGCCTTGGGTCCCAATCCCCACTTGCGTGGATAAGTGTCGCGCTCCATAATTACTCGTTTTATTTTGGCCACCACTCCATGATCACACGAAGACATGGTAGCTGTGGTCATAAGGGCAATTGCCAGGCAAATTGCCTCGCCCTTGGTGGTGCAGATGACGATCTCTTGATCGATCTCAATGCCATCCTCATAACGCAAGACGCCGGGCAACATAATTTTGGCTCCATAGCAAACGGCATTTACCTGGGGAAATAGACAGACGGTCAGTTGCTTTTAAGACAGATATTTGGATGGAAAAAGTGTCGACCGAATATTCTTTGCCGGGCACGCAGAAAAAAAGCGCTGCCCAACATACACACATCAGTGGCTTCACTGTTCCCAATCATAGTCACAGGTGCCCGTGGGGATTGCAAGCACCTGCCGGCTTAATATCATGGGGTAGGTGGGACTTTTAAGTCCCAGTTTTTTAACTTACCGAACTGTCCTTCATGATAATGCGCTTGTGGTTGACCAGCAGACCCTCCAGCGGCTTGATCACGCGACGCAACATCGACTCGTCCTTGTGGTTCTCGTACAGCCACATGGCGTCTAACACATCGTGCATGGTCACCATGCCGTCGCGCTCCGACTGAATACCTGAGCGGACGCGCCGCAGTTCCAACATCTGGCCACCGACGCCTAGGACAAGGCCTAGATGGACGCACATAGTACGGATGTAGGAGCCGGCCTCGCAACTAACCCAAAAAACACCTAAGATCGTGAGTAGGCGGCAGTGGGGAAAAAAAAATTATTTTTTAAAATGTACACTGTGCATTTGCGGAGGCTTGCAAATACTAAGATTTTAATAGCACAAGCTAGCTGCATCTCTGCCAGACAGTCTATTCCGGCAACGACGCACTTGCTCAAAAGGATTGTAAATATGTAGATAAAGCCAGACTTACCCATATTGCGGCTCTCATCATAGTCCAACAACTTGCTGTCGTAAACAGTACGAACGCGCAGCTGGCGCTTTACGGCAGAGATGAGTGGAGGACGCTGGAAGAGAGCACCACGAAGCTTTTCCAGACCCTGACGCACCTTGGCAACAGACTCTACGGCTCCGTGGAGTTTGAAAATGGCAACGTACTCCTTACCAGCGCTTTGTTGAGACTTCACAAGCCGAGTGGCCCTGTCGATGCAGACAATCAAGCAACCTAACAAAAACACGCGGCCACAAATTGAGGTTATGTTGCGCTTGGAAAACATTCGCCGTACTTACCCGTGACTTTGGGATCTAGCGTGCCCGAGTGACCCGTCTTTTCCACCTTGAGAATCTTCTTTATCCAAGCCACCACCTCATGCGAACTAGGGTTAGACGGCTTGTCCAGGTTGATGAACCCCGTTTTCATGTACTCCTTGATGTCCCGGTTCAGGGGAGAGGATCCGTGGGCCAGCGGTGTGTAGTGGTTGGAGCGAATATTCAACTTATCGAAATTCTTAAGGAGAAGCGGCCATTGTGAGGTGTCCAGCTCAGCGATCTTGGAGGAGGGCTTGATCTGGAAGTTACCCTGCTTTTGCAGCGTACCAATATCATCTGCGTCCATGGGTTCCTCCTTGATCTTCTTCTTTTTCTTTTCCTTACGCACTTCTACGGGTGTTTAATTCCTTTAGTTGGAGTCCCATTTTCATTCATGACTTTCTCGACTTACCCACGTCGGCCATTTTATATGCGTTTGTCTGAGAAAAACTCCAAGTAAATGAAAGAACCTCTGCACGTGTTGCGTGCGACGAAAAAATGGACGAGACAACACGTGGAGCGCGAGTTCATCGATAGCCCGCAGCATTGCAACGACAAAAGTTATCGATATGCTTTGACCAATTTGTTGATAAGAAAATTTTGTAAACTTAAGTTTTCTATTAAGGCACATTAATATTTAAAGATAAAATTATTTCTGTACAACAAATAAAAATGTTTAAATACTTAATAAATTGTGTCAGCCCTACAAAAAAAATAACAGGAACAGCTGTTCTCATCGATAGTTACCAGCTGTTTAGTGTAGTCTATTTGGTCACACCGGCTTCTTTTTCTTGAAACAAGTTGTTTATTTTTAAAGATTTTTGAATAAAAGCCTTGTAGGATCATGTCGAGGCGAGGACTACTACTTATGGGCCAATGCGTTCCTTGTATTAAGCAAAATGCATCAAAGATTCGCATTCGCCGAATGGAACTGGATAAGAACCTGAATATGGTAGGAAAGCATTAGCACAATCGCTCCTAAAAAAAATTCTAAATCTTTATGTTGGCCTTGCAGTATTTTAAGAAGGACGAGTTCTTTTTCGCCCACGATCCACAGAAAGTGTGCAAAACCGGGGACGTGGTCCTAATAAGGGAACTCCCTGAGCGCCTTACCCGCCTCATCACACACAACGTGGAAAAGGTCGTCTACCCGCTGGGTGACATAACCGATCCACTGTCTGGAAAGAAGGTAGTGGTGGGCAAGTACCGTGACGACATCGAGTTGGCTAACCAGCTGTTCGGCAAGTCCGAGAAGGCCTTCAACTATGACAAAGCTCCGCCACGAGGTCGCCTCGAGGGAACCAAGGACTTTACGCACGGAGAGACCTATATCAAGTACCATGAGGATGGCAAGGATCAGCCCTTCGCCGTGTAGAGGATCGTCAGTCGTGTCATTTATCTGTTAAGTTTTCTATTCGTTTAAAAGTAAAATGCATTACTTACCTGAGATAAGAACATTTTTTGAATTTATGTTCGGCACTAGACAAACCTTGTCATTCACCCTTCACCAATCGATATTTCAATATTCAGATATTTATTCTAGTTCCCTCTTTCAAATTGGGTAATCTAGATAAATGAAAGATTGTTTTAAAAGATTTCGCTACATATTTTATTTAAATGGTCGGTAATTGTTTTGTATTTATTAATGAATTGGTTTCTTAACGTATAAATGTATTCATTTCATATTCCACGCGCTGATCAACAGTTTTTTTTTTATTCATCTCTTCATTTTCCTAATTTAAACGAATTTTCCGTGTTGGGTGCCAGGACAAACATGCAGTACACACGATCCGTGCCATAAATTAAGCTGTAAACTAATCACAATCTCTTACGATCCTAAAGTTGTACTGGAGTATGGGGTTCGCCAGGTGAGCGTTATCATCGCAAAGTTTTTGCTGCAATTGAAAGAGTAGAGGATTCACTGAATAAGCTTAAGTACAGCCCAAAAACCCACCTGCTCCAAGTCGTGGCTGGCGCGGAGCATGAAGTCCCGCAGGAAGAAGCCGCGGGCGGGCAGATCGAGGGCCAGGCTAAGTTTGTTCTTGCCCAGTTGCTTGAGGATCTTCACGCCGCTGGTGGCTGTGGCCTCGTCGTCCTCATTCAGCTGGGCGTTGGCACTGGGCTTGGCCTGGTCCTCGTCGATACAGATGGACCACTGAAGCGGTTTGTTTGAGCTGTAAGGAGTGTAGTCGTTTTATGTATATATGATATACATATAAACACGAGTATAATTGTACCTCAGGTGGAGCTCCAGACTGCTGGCCTGCAGATAACGCGACACCGGAACTGTGTAGCTGACGTTGAGGGAGGTGCCCGAAGTGGGACAGAATTGCTCCATGTCAATGGTGCGATTGTACTGGGCGGCCAGGACGCAACTAGACACACTCCAGCAGTCCAGCTGGAAAGGCGGCAGCACATTCTCATCCTTCGGGGCCTCATTCTGAACAGAGGCGGCCTGCACCAGCTGGTACACCGGATCGTCATTGGCTGCGACCACCGGCTCCGTCTCCTGGGAAAACTTCTTCGACAGGGCATCGGTGCTATGAGAACTCTTGCCCTGTATTCCTGGCTGGGCCTCGGCCAAAGTGTCGTTGCCAGCTGGCCCAGCGGGCTGCGTCTCAACAATGTCCGGATCTTGATCCTGCTCCTCGGCCGACTGGAGATCATCTTCCACGTGCTGCTCCTTCACATTGGCGTCCACATTGTCTGGCTGAGTCTGAATCGGAGGAAGCTCCTCGAAGCAAACGGACTGAGGATAACACGAAATGCATTACTAATTTGGAGGCCGATCATGCCAGTTGATGCCTACCTGACAATTATCGCTGACCGACTCGTCGCCGTTGCATTCGGCTGGCTGTCCAAAGACCGCCGTTTTCACGCTCTTCTGTCTAATCCAGTCCAGACTCCGTTGGCTGGCCGACCGCCTTCCCACATTGGACTCCCTCAGTCCAGAGGCCTGGTACTCAAAGCCATAAACCCCGGTAATCGGGTTGTCCACGGACTCGTTTGTGTTGCTCAGGTTCTGCAGGTCCAGGGCGTCCGGGTTGTCGCTGCTGTTCCGCAGCGGAATAGCCGGCGGCGGAACGTCCAGGGCCTGGGTCAGCGGACTCTGGGCGGGCTCGGTGCTCACCTTGTTAGTGGTCAGGGCCAAGTTCGCCGTGGGAGGCGACACCGTCTTGTAGACATGTGTGTAAACCGTTCCGGGGTTGAACTTCCGGATGGGATGGGCGGGGGCCGGGGCACTGGAGTCGTAGGCATCGGAGGCGGGGCTGGCGATCGTGCCAACCACCACGATGTGCTCGTCCAGCTTCAGCTGCGACTGTTTCTGCTGGGCATCGATGTCGATCGAGTTGTTCTCGAAGTCCTGCGGCAGGGGAATGGCCTGGGACGGCTTCTCCGTTGATGCTATTGTGTCGTTCAGGGAAGCCGGAGGAAGACTCCTCGCGGGAGCGGGCGGAGCCACGTGGACCGGCGCCGTGAGATGCAACTTCTGACCCGCCGCCTGACGCAGTACCTCCTGGGTGGGCGGCCACTTGCCCTTCTTGCTGTTGATGGTCTTGTTGGCAAACCGCGGAGCTGTCGTCGTGATGACGCCATGCTTGAGGCTCTGCTGCTGCTGCTGGCTGCTGGACACCTGCGGCTTGGTCAGCACCGCCGCCAGCTCCTCCGCCTCCTCCTCATTTCCAGAACGGGATCCGGGGGGTCGGCTGGTGCTGGTTGCGTACATCCTGCCTGACGACCACGGGCCGTGCGTCTTGTTTTTGAACAGCGTGTGCAGGTTGTGTAAGTAGTGCCGCTCCTCGTCGCTCAGGTGAGTGGACCCCGTCTCCGGCCGGAAAAGTCCGTTGCCGAAAACCGGGTAGCCGTCCATCTGCTGCTGTTTGTTGTGCTCTACGAAGTACAGCGTGGACACCGCCGCCAGGCTTGAATATAAAAAAAAGGTTATAAATATCGAATTGGCAACTTAAAAAGAGTTCAATTAATTAATTCATCATAATAGGAAAACGATTCAATTATAGTAAAATTTATTAGGTTATTAGAGGATTCAAACACAATGTATACTTTAAAACAAAAATGACTCTTACACATACAAAAGAAGGATTAATTGGAGAACCCGATGGGTTACCACTCACCAGGCTGCCATAACGATGATCAGCAGGAAAATGACGATCTGCAGCGATCGACTGGAGCAGACCTCGTACCCGTCCTTGCGGCTGCCGAAGGATTGGATGGCAGCGCGCTCCGGAAGGATGCAGCGCGGCTCCAGCAGGTCCTTGGCACGGAGTTGGAGGCTGTTCTGGGTGACATTGGCCCGCTCCAGGTGCTCGATGCGGGACTCCAGCGAGTAGGTCACCTTGCACAGCTCCTTGACGGCTCCGATGTTCTCCATCAGGATGCGGTCCTTTAAAGGGAGTAAGCGGTTAAGGTTAGGGGCTTAAGGCACTGAGCAAAGGACAGTTCCCACCTTGTTGACCAGTAGGAAGTTCTCGATGACGTTCCCGTTGGGCAGCACCACGCTGCCAGCCTCTTGCACCGCGTCCGGGATGACCTCGCGCACCTCCTGCGCAATCACGCCGGTGTCCTCGATCTCCCGGGTGTCGCTCTCCCGCCGGAGACCCGAGTGCACGGCGAACTCGGGCATGTAGCGGTACCGCACGATCCGGATCTTCTGCAGGTTGCGCAGCTGCACCGAGGTGTCCAGCTCGCCGATCTCCTGCTTGGCGCGACTGTCGCTCGGCTGGACGATGTGGCCGGACACCTTGAGGTTGCCATGCACTACCAGGCTCTCGTCCGGCCGGTCCGTGTTGATGCCCACGCGGCCTGCGTGGAACACGGACTCCTGGGTGAGCCCGCGCTGCCAGCACAGGTCCACGTCCGACTCGAACTGGCCCGGGTTCGAGGCGCGCACGATGATCTTCTCGCTGCCGTGGCTCACCACCGGGAAGTTGCCCGAGATGGTGTGCACGTGGAGGCCGACCACCAGCTGGAAGAAGCGCTGCTCGGGATTGGGGCGGCCCTTCTTACGCATGTTGTTGTTCGTCGTCTCCGAGAAGTGCAGGCGACCCACGGTGATCTTGCTGACGATGTGCTTCTGGAGATCGATGCTGTGGGAGGACGGGAAATGGTTAGCTTGCGATTCGGATCCTTAATTTACTAAAATTCCCTTTGTATGTTTAATCAATTCATTATCTTTACATGTTCATCTAGCTACTACACTTGCATTTCTGATATTTAGGAATTTGGTTTTGGATTGGTGGAGCTCTACTTACGGTACTGGGTAGAAGGCCTTCTTGGAGCGATCCGACTGGCTCTGCTCGACGCGGATCGTCTGGTTGGGCGCCTCGAACTTGACGCCGTAGAAATGCAAGTGGAAGGATTTGATTTTCTCGAAGCCGGACGGTGTCTTCACGAATTTGGCATCGCCCTGGAGGCGCGCATGGCAAGTAACCTGGAAGTGGTTCTTCTTCTGGCACACGTACGCGTCGTCCGAGACGCTGAAGTTGAATCCCTTGTCGGCGTCCACGCGGTAGTAGATCACGGACAGCTCCTGCAGGCTCTGGTCGAACAGCTTATGCCAGTTCTCCGGCTGGAATCCGTTGAACCGGATGCACTGCCCGCCCGCCGGGTCGCCCGCCTCGCTTCCGGACCCCGAACCCGATCCCGATCCCGAACCCGTTCCGGATGCCGCTCCGTTCGCCACTCCGCCGGACTGCCCGTCCAGGCTGTTCTCCGCCTGCGAATTCACGGCGGACAGGGCTGGCGACACGGAGGCGGAGCAGTGGGAGGGCGCCGGGGTGGGCGTGGCCAAGGAGTGGTGGGAGGCGCGCAGGGGACTCATCTGCAGGCCCGCGTCCACCTTGGGAGTGGGGGCGAAGTCCGGGCAGTCCAGCTGGGTGGACATCTTCCGCTTCCGCGACAACGAGTGCACCGGAGTGGAGGGAGCGGAGACGCGGTTGAGGGACAGCTGGCTGGTCCCGATCACCTGGACACGGTCGTCCAGTCCCAGGGCGGAGGTCAGGGTGCAGGTGGACAGGTTCTGGTAGCTGCCGGCTGCATACATCCCCGCCCCTACTCCGCTGTCGTAGTAGAGCATCTGGTCCTGCTCCTGGAGCTGCTGCTGGTGGGGATGTGTGGCGAACTGCTGCTCGCTCAGCTGGTGCTGCTGGTGCATCTGCTGCTGCTGCTGTTGCTGTTGCTGTTGCTGCTGCTGCTGCTGGTGGCACAGCAAGTTATTCGGACTCATGATCAGTCCGGACTCGTGCTTGATCCGCACGTCGGCCTGCGGGGCCGCGAAGTGGTGCTGCTGGTGCTGCGGAGGCGAGGCGTACTGGCCCAGGTCCGTTTGCAGGAGGCCCGGCTGGTGCTGCATGGGCGGCAGCCCCGGGTAGATGAGCTCCCGACCCGGCATCGCCATTCCGTGTGCCTCGCCCAGCGGACTGTAGGCGGGCTGCGAGTCCGGCGGACTCTCCGGCAGCTGCGGGTGCACGTGGCTCTGCGCCTGCGTCGCCACCGGCGCGCTGCCCACACGCCCGGAGCCACCCAGCTGGGCATCGAGGCCGTTCATGGGCGGTGTGTGCGGCGAGCCCATGTGGGAGTGGACTGCTCCGCCTCCCCCTCCTCCTCCGGCGGACAGGTGGGCATTGTGACCCAGCTGGATGCTGTCGTCGAGGGCTCCCTGCATCAACAGATCCAGATTGTCCATGCCATCGCTGTTTATGTCTTCCAGATCTTGGGGAGCTGTAACCACAAAGTGAAGTTAACAAATCAAATGAGATAATACGGTTTAAGATTAGCATTAAGATGAGAACAAAATAAATCTTGTAATCTACTTTAATAGTTTTTTGTTTTTAGGAACTTTTGATTAGTCCGAACGAAATTGAAGCAGAGGAATAAGTTCTTTAACTTTCCCAAATAGTGGCGGTTTGCCAGGAGGAAAAATATATAGTATAGATATAGCAACACAATCTAAAGATACGGGTATAAATATTTTTGGACCTAGCTAATGTAGGTGGGTATGCATTATACAAAAAATGGCAAAGAATCTAAAGTACAAAATGAGTTCTAAAGAACTAAGCTAAATAATAAACTAATCAGTGCGAAAGCCACTCCCCCGCTACGTAATTAAGGAGTAAACATGACATCCAATATCGGAGCGATTTGTATTATCTTTCAGAGTAGAGCGAAGTCCGGGAATCGCAAGCGACTCAGACGGCAAATCGAAATACCAGAAAAACAATTCACTTATAGAGAAATTAAATATCGCACGTTTTTGTGGGGGCGTTTACCATACCCCGAGATAATTATAGTTAAATAAACAGATTCGGGGCACTGAAAACAGTGAAAACAGGGAGCAGCCCGCTGATAAGCCCTGAAATTCCCGCTCTGTTTGATCGATACTTGGCCGAATAAATTGTTGACGTGCCGAATGTAAATTGTTGTGTAATTTATGCGGCTGCTTGGGGGATTATGTTAGCGTTTACCGTTCAAAGTCTTGGGATAGTCCATAGTTGATACTTCGGTTATCGGTCGCCAGGACTTATGGAGTGGCGTCTGCAGGACCAAAAACTCTTTCAGCACGAACGCTCCACAGCTCGGCAGCCCAAACGAATCGCACTGATGGCCAAGAAAGCTGGCTGCCAGCATCCATGGAAACAAAATGGAGTTTCGGTTTCAGTAACTCCTCGGTTTTGATGCATTCTGCTGCTGCCGTTCCGAATTAGCCGAGAAAACAATTATCTAACGCACGTATGAGCGAGCATACGGTTGATGCACTCTTCACAACTGGCTGAGCAGTGAAAATGCCTCGAAAACGAGCAAAAACTAATAATCAAACTATGAGGCCCAACTATGAGGCCCAGCTTACACCAAATCGAAACCAAGAGCGGTTCACATCGGCGTGGTAACCAGCTGAAAGCGCCGATGAAAACGAAACCTAATTGCCTGGAATAAAAATTAAAGCCCTAGAATTGGCGAAACCCCAGCAGCAGATCATCGTTTTACAGGGTTTTTAATCGCACTCAGTGTTTATGCAATTGTTCTCAGATCAATATTTTTACAAATGCTTTCGCAGCCCTCCGCATGCCCTTGATTATTCACTGAAAACTGTTTCCACAATCTCGGAACTTGGTTAATTGTCACTAATTTGCAAGCATTTATTATTTGGCTTTGTGACTTCGCGACACGTCGGATGTGGATTGGAAATATCTGAGCACTGACTGCGGCCAACGAAATCATAACCGGAGTGCAAATATTTGGGCTTCCGTCCCCCGGAGTCGGTTATTGATCAAACAACCTGCTCGTTTCGTGTGCCGCACAAGTGGCATGCAAATCCCAGCCAGTCGGGCCGAAATTGTTCAGAAATGTATTAAACGATTCCAGCTATCATGTAGCCTTATTGTCCCATTCTGAGTCTTTGTGGGTGTACGAGATGCAGAGTGTCAAAATTCAAATCTAGATACCCTTGCTAAATCTTAAAGTAATTACAATTTCAAATGAAAAAATGAAAAGAATCTTCAATGTAAGCTAAGGGCGACAAACTATATACATCTCCAAAAAACTTCGTCTTCGTTTTAAAGGTATTCCTTATTCTGCCATCTCAATGGATAGTTCCTAATCTAGAAATCCGAATACAGTATTTTAAGCGCTTGCTGGTTAGAGTATCTATAATTTTCGGATGGCCCTTTCCTCTGTTATATCTATTTTCGGTAGCCACTTTGGTTGTCAATGACGAGGAGAGTCGAACCAGCCTTCAACGGGGCCACAGCAAGGACCCCATTTGAATTGGAATTAGTTATCCTTGCCGAAAATATGCACATAAACACTTGTGGTAATTGAATGGATTTGCAAGTCGAGTTTCGAAAGGTTTTACTTACAGAGTTCGAAGAAATCAAGGTCCATATTCGGGTCACTTCAGAAGCATCCTGTCTACGTGGCTACAGCATGACTGGTGATCGGTCTATAAAAAATGAGAGAGATGTGCCCATGAGCCGTCGGCCTTGCCTCTTGAAATTTCCACTGACATTGCAGCCAAATTTGATGGAAGTGTTGAAGTTGGACAACATAGCAAGATTAGCCTTATCACATTCGTAAAGTAGAACAAACCCAGTTTATTCTAAACATATCAGAAGTAAGGTTTCCTCGTAGAATCAGCTCACAAGAGAGATTTATTGAAATGGGTTTTTAATATTTTTTTCATTTAACGATAAATGTTTTAAAAAAAGAGCAAACAGATTGGTGGAAAATTCCCCTGTCAAGTTCGGAGTTTATTTAAGGTTCGCGTTCGAAGAATCCGAGGTAAAGAATTAAACAACTATGCATTTAAAATCATTCATTTATTACCATCCCAAAAATTTTGAACGCAGATCGTGACTAATAAACAATCAATAGAAAATAAATTATTTAAGCCATTAAACTTTATAATCCTTAATTTGGAAGCGGAATAATTTTAAAGTGGAATGCTCTGCTTCACCTTGTATATATCCACACTTAAGTTAGAGTTAAAATTATAAATTATAAATAAATTATAAAATTAGTTAATGTATTAAAATAAACCCTTTTATAAAGAAGATAAAAGAAATTGTGCAACATTTTGTTGAAGGAAACCTTCCCTTTACTCAGAACAATGCATAGATCGGCGTGCAAATACATATGTCTGCTTCAATGCAACACACTGGCAAATGTGTATGTATGTGTGTACGCAGACTTGATATCTCAATGTCTGGCATCGGAAGAACGCAAAAAACACAAGTGCCAGATAAGCAATTCGCGATTCCAACTCTGCGACGTCTGATCCGCAGCATTATCCGCTTTTCAGTGGGGGCCGCAAAACGACACGAATTGATCCGTTGTGCAGCAGCAACTCATTTGCATCGAATCCAACACGTGACACTCAACTTGAAGTGCATAATTGTATCGTAAGTGACACACTGCTGGGTTACTTAGAAATGCAAACTAAAATAGAGTGCCTAGAGGGGAATTCCTGCGCAGATACGCTCTAAAGTAGGCAACAAAAGGTGGGCAGTCCCGCTTGGCGTATGCGCAATGTCGAGGGATCTGGGAGAAGTGGCCTAAAACAAGATTTTCGAGTGAAAAAGTAGGTGTATTCAATTCGTAATAAACTACGCACAGCCTTGGTTCGATTCCCTAATACGATGCGATAGCCGCTGACGGCTGAAAGTGGTTTCTGAAGCCAGACTTTGCCTCCGCTTTGTCATGGCTGTTTTGTCGCAATGATTTGATTGAATTAACGCCTTGGATTTCATACATATAGACATGTAGACGGGCTGTTTGCCCGTCGGATAAAGAACGCTTCCTCCTATAATAATATAATGAAATGCTCAAGTGATTTGATTTAGTCGGCGGCAGGGCAACTAAAAATAAATCCAACCGAAAACCAGAATCACGATCGTGACGAGAGTTTCACTTGAAGATGACAGCAAATGGCAGAAAAAACCTGTAGTTGTCCGGCGATTGATTTGTTGTTCGCCGTTTCTATTACGGAGTCGGAAGTTGGCATCGTGGCTTTTTGCAGGGCGCTTGACTTCTTCGCTTTTCGAAGCGTCGTGGCTTTAACCTCATCCTTGAGGCTTTGGGGCTTTGGCATTCGCAAATTGGCTGGCTCATCATGCCGGAGCATTTAGCGTTTTATTAGCATTTCAATAAATCCAGCGAGACCAAACTGTACGACATCTCGCGCTCTAAAAAATGGCGTGCGGCGGGGTAAAAAAAAGCGATTGCACGTAAGCAACGGTCAAATTGAGCCATAAATATGAATAAATTGTATTTTGTTTTTGTGCTAATTGCCGCTGGCATGGGATTCACTCGGCCAACAAGTCAATTATAACTAGCACTCATTTGTTGGCCAAAATCTCGAACCCATGACTTTAATTTGGCCAGCGAGCCCAACCCACAGCCCAGTTGGGATAATCAAGATGTTTGGCAAAGGCGTCAATAATTAATGGAATTAGCACCGACTGCCTAACTTTATGGCCAAATATCGGAGCAGTGATCGCACTCGAAAGCACATATTTCACCAGATTTTTGGACGGTCTATAAGATCCCTTAACGGAAGTGCGTCATATAACATTACTCAAGAAGTGATAACACAGTTGACAAAATCAAAAATGTAGCAAACCACTCTTAGGATTTAATTTGAATTGCAAATTTGCCGGATGCGAGAAAAGAAAGTCGAGGCTTGGCCAATGCCAGGAACGGAATATTCCATTTGTTATTGATCGCATATTTAGCATCTTTTTCGGATTCCAGTTAAACGGATCCGACCAGAACCCCCTCCCCCGCCCATTAGCGCAAAAATAAACTATGCTAAACAGCTTTCTGAGCCGAGGTGGCTCTTCTTAGCCATCTAGATTGTTATTTATAAGTATCGCCGCGCGTTTTGCCTGATTTTTTTTCTCAACTTTTACATATTATTGCCGCTACGCTGTGGACCGGGGGTCTTTAGGGGGGTCTGCTCTTTCGGTTTCTGTTTTTTCGTTTGTTTTTCTGTTACTGTTGCTGGTGCTCGAAAACCTGAACCAACCGGGCGACTTTTATGTCTTGGCCCGATGCTGTTGCGAGCGTCTTTTTGGGCTATGGGACACGTTTTTGCTGTTTGCCTTTATTTTGCCTGATCTTTTTGTGTGCTTTTGCGCTTGGCACAGGTTGAAACGAAGATCGAAGTAATCTTAGAGTGGTTGGAACCCGGAGCATGGCGATCGAACTAATGAAATGAAGACGTGCACTTGGCGACGGCAAAAACAAAGCCGAAGCTCAAAGAAAAACAAATAAATAACTCAGAAAAACCCCATGCCGCATTCTTATTGTTGTTACTGAATGAAAGGCGAACTACGCTTTTCGATTTTTCAGTGGGAGGCTGGGCCCATTGTTTCGGTTTATTCTTTACAGATTTGACAAGATTTGGGGTTACGTATACGCCGCACTGGCTGCCAACACACTTGCACGCCAGTGAAATCGTTAAATCACTCGTTTTGCACAGGTTTAACTGGGTTTTTATTTAGAATTTGCGTATTTTCCAGACGCTCTCTTTCAGTATGGTTGTTTAATATTAGTTTTAATATTTGATCGCTGCGGAGGGGCGGGTCTTCCCCTGGTTTTCGTTTTCGTTAATAAAGATCTTAGTTTAGCTAAAGTCGCCTTTAAATTAGTCACACTCACACTCGCACAAATTGCCGTTACTTTGATTGTTTACGAATCTTTTGCCTTGTTGTGTCGTTTGTCGTTTTATAGTAACTATTATTTGTGTTTCACGCTCCGTATACTCGATGCAGCTGCTGTTAAGATCGCGCCTTACAAAAAACTCTGCCTTTCGGTTTCAATCGCCGCCTCTCTCGATTCTCCCCGGTTTACCGCGATTTTCTCACGCCCGAGCGACTATATCCAAATCCGTTGGAGTGCAGACCTCAACTAACCGATCGCTCAGGTCTCCACACGCTACGCCGTCCGCTCACTTCCAGTTCGGGCTCTCCCGAAAGCCGCTCTGGTCGATCAAGCGCGGCTTCAGGGGTTGCCACTGCGACTGCAGATCGGTGCAACGGTTCTCCCAGTTGATTAAAAAATAACAATTTTTTTAAATATCATACATTATCATTTAGCAAATGATTGTTTAAATTAGGAGAAATAACCGGAAGCTTTATGATCTTAGAATTTAATTGTGATCTATTCACAAATATTTAAACTATCTGCAGATTGAGGCAACGGTGTTTCTAAAAGATTCAAGAATTTATTTCAGTCCAGTTCAATAAAAGTATGAATTCTAAATTTATAGATCAACCTTACTTAAATTTCCTAAAATATTGCAAGGGTAAAAAAACTTTTAACAGGTGTTTTTGCTACCTCGTCTTTGCTACCCTGTAGGCAAATATTCTTCGGCAAGAAACGACTTGCAGCTTTACTGGCGCCAAAAGCACCGACAACCCTGGATAATCGCTCTTGTAGGTTCTCTCGCAGCGAGAAATTGATAAATCGCAGCCAGCGTTTGTTAAGAAAAAATGTAAATTAAATTATAACTAGCGGCGGCAACAATGGGCTTAAGTAAAACCCGGCCCCTGTGCTTAGTGCACCAGCTCTCACGCAATTAGCGTACCGCACGGTCCTCACCGCCCGCGATACTCGCCGGCATGAGCTTCTGCTCGGATTTAACCCCTCCGGACTCTGGTGTCACCTCCTTCCACTCCTCCGACTGGTGTCGCTGTAATGATATGTGCGCGGATCGGATCCCCCGACTGATCAGCGCTTCCAACTTAACGTCGCTTAATGGAGTTGTTGTTCTTGCTGGAAAGCCCATTTTAGGTGGCTTCGCAGATTGAATTAATCTCCTGATTTATGTAAATTACACTTATTCGTATTACTCAATTGGTTACTTAATATTCATGGTCTGGCAAAGCAAGAACGGTTCTGTTTGTTCAAATGGTCTTTTACATATTAAATTTTTGGATAAAACTAAGCTAAAACATGAGTCACATGATAGAAATTCGCAACTAGCGTAACTAATGCCAAAGATCCAAACCTGGCGTATCTAATAACCATTGAAATAAATTCCATCATGCATTCTGTGTAACATGTTGGGGATCCTATCTACACATCCTCTTTATATTTGTAATGTTGTTTTTTATGCTAACAATTTGAAGCAACATAAGTACATTTAAACTATAAACATTTGCATTTTAGGCTACATCGTAGGCCTTCAGTAGTTTATCCAGCAAAGCCGGATTCTTATCAGGCCAGTTTTTGATGGCGCTTAAAATAGACGATACCACTGTAAAAGGGGATGACAGAAGATTATTATAAAAGAAATATTTCATTTTAGTTTAGGTGAAATGCTTACTTTTCTTTTCCTCGGCTGACATTAGCATTGCCAAAATGGTAAACTCATCATTTTTGCTGATCTCCAGGAGAACGGCTGCCGTGGTTGGCTCCTTATTTGGTACATAATAGTCCTGAACGGTGCGTAGAAGGTCCGCAAAAGTATCCGAATCGAACCCAGCGCCCAAGACCTTGCACAGATGCGGCACTTCAATGGATTTTAAGTAATGGTACTTCTGAGAAGCAGTCAACTCCTTCCAAGTGACATGAAACTGAGCTGTGCCGGTAGGCGCTGGCGGCAATGAGCGCTATAAAAGGGATGATTTAATAATAATTTATTCTTTTTTTTAAAAGTTAGCTCACCTCAGACTGATTGACTGTCATTTCGTTGTCCTTTGAAAAAGGTTCAGTCTTTTCAGTTTTACCTGCAAAGACTTTTGCCGCCTTGACATCTGTGCCAGGTTTTTCGAAAGTTTTGTGTGAGGGGTCAGGGCTCTGAATTTTTGCAGTCTCGACAGCCGCTTTTTGGGAGGAGCTTGGTTTTATCCCCCTCTCAGTTTCTGTCTTTCTTTCTAAGTTACTCTTTTTTTCTTTAGTGGACTCCATTAATGAAGTTACATTAGCTGGATTCTGCTTATTTTCTTTAACTGAGGCCTTAACAATTGGCTCAGCTTTGGAAAGGGTCTCCTTTGCTGGTATTTGCTTCACATCTGCCTTTTTGATTTCCTCGAACGACCCGCAGTTACTATTAAAAATTTTGTCTATGTCCTCATCTGAGATGCGTAGTTTGCTGCTTTCATCGTTGGTGCCGCGAGGGGATACCACATCAACAATTGGCACACGTCGCATTGACTTTTTGGAACGTTTGTAAGCGGGCTTATCGAAGGGCAAGATGTCGATCAGTCCTGGACGATCAGGAGTGAAGTTTGGACCGCTTTTGGTGGCTGAAAGTATACCGATTGGATACAAAATATTGCAATTGTTTAAAAAATAAAACGGCAATTATATTTATTGCTTACCATTTTTGCGCAGACGATCGTTGATCCGAGCCAGACTCTTTTTGGCCTCGATGTTTTTGGGCTCGATGGCCAACACAGTGGTGCAGTCCTTAAGGGCCTCCATGTTGTTTCCTAAGGACTCGTTGGCCTGCATCCGTCGGTAGTATGCTTTAACGCAGAGCTTGTCCAGAGAAATGGCTGCCTCGCAGTCTTCCACGCAGAGGTCATAGCTGCAAAATATACAGGGCTTAGTAAAGAAGGATTCAGAATATTCTAGAACACTACTACCGCTCCTGTTTGAGATAGCACAGTGCCCTGTTTATGTAATATATAGGATCCTGCGAATAGACGTTAATGGCCTCGGAGTAGGTCTCGATAGCCCTGTCGTATTCCGCCAGCTTTACATAACTATTTCCGCGATCCTTTATATCGTTGGCCTTTTTGTGCTGCTGGGCCACAGGATCCAATGGCAAGTCTTGCTTTTCCGTGGGGGTGCTGGCCGCCGAGCTGCTCGAGCCCTCCTTTTGTGACTTGTCTGACTTTCCATGACTGCGCACTGGTATGTCCTACAGGAAATGGACTGACTTTTAATATTTTCCAGGAATAATCCAGCAACTTCGTACTTACCTTATTGGCGGCAGACGCCGGCGCATTCTTAAGTTCCTTTTCTTTACTCTTAATGTCCTGCTCCCACGAATACAGCTCTTTCACAGAGTTCTGGTACTCCCGCGCATTCTGACGCACCTGTCGCTGCAACTCGAAGGCCTTTTCTTGTCCACTCATCCTGGTTTCTTTTTCTCTTAGTTTTGACAAATATTAAATGACAATTTTTGTTATTTTTGTTGCTAGCGCTTACTTAAATGGTCTGGCAGCACTGTTTATCGGCAGTTGCTGTTTCATTAACCAGAGTATGTGACACCACTTTCAGTTTATCGATAATTATATCGGTAATCGGTCATCAAAAGCCCTGGGAACAGCTGTTTTTGTTATGATAAAGTTGTTTTGAAAAATCTGGCTTAAAATTATGGTTTTTGCCACAGATAAAAATAATTAATAGGAACTAGCTAACAATGCTGAGGTTGTGTCTCTCCCCACGAACAGCAGGTGGCTCTTATATGCGTAAGTAAGGACTCGCTGGCCACATTGTTGTTATATAAAGTTAAAATTTTTTCACTGCGCAGTTTTTCCCACGAAAAACAAAAAAAAGCGGAAACACATTATGAGGTTCTGAATGTACGTAGGGATTGCACTTCCCGAGAAGTCCGCGATGCCTTTGTCCAGCTATCCAAGTTGGTAGGTACCTCTGGGAATTGTTTTTACATCTCTTAATCCCAGTTTCCCTTCAGTATCATCCAGATGCCAAGAGCAATGCTGTTTGTCCTGAGAGAACCGCTCGGTTTGTTCAGATTTCTGAGGCCTATAAAACCCTGATAAAGCCGCAGAAGCGAAGGGACTACGATGACAGCCTGTTGTGGCAACCGAGTCGATCGGATCGAAGTCCTGTAGGCGATACCGGTAATCCCGGCCAGCCGTGGGATGTGAAACCTAACTATGATCCCAATCCAGGACCCTACTATGGCATCCGGGGTCTAAAGAGGGTCTCTAACTGGCAAGTTGCGCTTGTTTTAATGGCTCTCGGGGTTTTAGGTGCTGTTTTTGGCTTCACCTCCGTCAGGTAAGTAAACGGATGATAGTTTCTTGAACTTGCTTTTATTGGAGTTGTTTTAACACCTTAACAGGACCTCTTTTCGATTAAATCGCCAGAGCCAAGATGAAATCTCCGCAGAGGCGAATTCCCACCACGCAGCCGTTGTGGCAGATGCGCAAAAGTACGGAAACGAGGAGCAGGTACGGCGCATGGTTGACCGAATGTCCAGGAGTCCTTTCAACCAAACATCGGCTAAGTGAAATCCTCTTCGTTTTGACCAAATTAAACGTGATAGCAGATAGATATTTTTGATAGTTTTCTTTTGGTTCAAGGCAAAATTAAACAATTTTGTCGACCTTGGCAGCCGACTTGCAAACTGTGCAAACAAACAGGGCGACTACTTAAACTCTGCGGCCGCATCAATCGAATCATATTCCCATCCAACCTGCTCAAAACATGAAGTCAATTATTGAGATCAGCGGCATCTGTATCGTGGTCCTCATTCTCTGCAACATGGAGATTTCAAGGGCGCAGACCAGTTCTCCCAGCTCTGGTAGTACGACATCGGATGACTCTCCCAAGAATGTTTACGTGTCCAATCTCGTGTACTCGAATGTGCGAAGGATTCGGGTAGGCAGCACAACCACTAGCAGCACCAGATCCCGGAGTGCCAGGAGCAAGAGCAACAGAAAGCTGAGTGCCAAAAAGGCCCAAGCAAAACGAGGCAGCCAGGCCAAGCGCTTGAACAACCGAAGCTCTAACTCCCGACGGGTGAGGGGTTAAATTGTTGTAAAACTGATTTTAAAGGCATTTTATTTATTGCCGTTCTAAACACAAAACACTTAAGCTTACCGTCGCGAAGGGATAATTAAATTATATAAATACGTAACTTGTACTGTTTGTTTATGCTACTATGAATCGAAAGTGGAGACACTTGACATGGAACTACCGGAACCCGCCACCGAACTACAAACTAAAGAATCACATAGTACGAAATCCAAATTCAGATCATCTAGAGCTTCGTCTGCGCTGTCTTCTTCGCAGGCCCCACTTCCTTGGCCATCACCTGGATGCCGACATGCGGAGCCGCCGGCTTGAAGACCACCTCGCCCTGCGGCTTATAATCGGCGAACTGCAAGCTGAACACCTCGTGGAAGCCTAGCTTTTCCATTACCCGGGCGGAATAGTGGCTGGAGCACAGGACGTGGTACACGTTGATCCCGTTTTCCCTCATGTACTCGTAGGCTCGTTCGGTGAGCCGTCCGGCGATGCCCAGACCCCGATAGTTAGTGTCCACCGACAGGATCTTGCCGTCCAGGATCAGCTCCTCGTCGGGATAAACGTCGAAAATGTTAAACTTCTCCTCCACGTGGTCCATCAGCGAGAGGATCTTCTTGAACTTTGGGTGGTCGCAGGAGTCGGCTGCCTTTTCGGGCACATCATCGGGCGACTATTTGATGAAGAAAAATTAGTAAGCGAAAGGTAAGATGGTTTATTGTTCCACATACCGGACGTCGCATCAATCCATTTAGGAACAGGCCAATAATTTCCCCCTTCTTATTGACTGCTTTGTATGAGCAATTGTCGGGAAGGGGCTTCAAGGAATACTTCTCCAGTTCCTTGCACTCTCCCAGATTAAGGAAGGTGTTGAGCGGTTCATCCTGGGAAGAAAAGTAAAGACGTTGTTAGAGGTTGAGTCGATCATCAGTCTGAGGATTAGCTGAACAAATTGCGGGCGCATTTACGCGAAACGATCGTGGAATTGATCAGCAATTCAAATGATTTATGCACGCATTTGCCGCAGCGAGATTTTCTAGTGATTTATTAGACAGTTTGAGAATTGCAAAAACGGAACTCGATTTGCATATTGCCATTATCACCGGAGGGCGGCGGGGCAATTGGGGCGTGGCATGCATATTAATTCGCGCTTTTAATATAAATATAGGTTTCGATTATCCAATAGGTCTTTGCTCTTTGCATGGGGACAGTCTCATTGGGCGACTGGAACCAGAACCTGATCAAGTCAAGATCAACCGAGCATATTGGTTTCAGTCCGTCAAGAGTCGTGATCCAAGACCACCTGAAAGTTAGCCGTGACATGGATCATGTCAAAAGGCCTCACGACAGCCGAATACTTCGCTAAGATCTTATACCAGTCCCAAGAACGATTTCGATTCCGGGGAATCGGGAAGCAGAAATACCCGAGATTAGTCAACGCATGGCTTAATTAATTCAGCTTTTAGTGTGCGACTTTCGAACGAAATTAAAGCCCAATTAGGGCGATCGAAGGGGCACGTGATCTCGCTAATTGAAATTCGTTGGAACATTATTCAAATTCACCTTTGTGCCTTTCGATTTAAATTATTCGACAGTCATACGAGACGATACATAAATAAGTTTAGAACTCCCAAATCAGAAAGGCAGGTGTTCGGCCCTATTGAATTCCATGAAATGGAAACGAATCTGCATCCAAGTTCCCCGCCGATTACAATACAATGCGTTATGTTTCTGCAATGTGGGAACAGGGGATCGCACTTACCTTGAAGAAAAAGGTCTTGAGCATGGCGATCACCGCCTCCGAGTCCTCGGGTTGCACCAGCTCGATGGTGTAGGGGCAGTCCTTGTCGACGGCGGCGGCGGCGGACGGGGTTTTCCCAGAAACACTAAGGGCGTCCTCCATTTTCTGCGTCAGCCGGGCAATCGGATATAAGTCGTTCAGCTGCAAATGCGGAGCAGACAAAACAAATCGTTTAGATTGAGGCTCTGAGGTGGGGGAAAGACGAACCGCGTATAGAAAACAGTATTATTTATGGCTCTTAGATGAAAGGCATTTTAAATTGTTTTGTATATTTTGTAGCACATGTAGAGCGACGCGACGCTATCCCCGTGCATTTTCATTTTCACTTCCAATTTCCCCGACTATATTTTTCAAATTTTGTTTTCATGTACACCACGGACAGACGCCATAAATTATACAACTGAAATTAAGGTCGCAGTCGCAAAATACTCTATAAAAGCGAGGCATCTTACTTTCTAAACAGAGGGATTTGGTCGTCGTCCATTTTGCGACAGGGTTCTTATTGTACAGCTTGTTTCTGTTTATTATAAACATCTTAAGCTGGCCTGTCGTAAAAGCTTTGATACAGGTTGTTTATAAAATGTATAAGTAATATGACAAGATGGGTGAATACCAAAAATAAGCCTTAATCTCATTGTATTTTCTCTCACTTTAACAGTAAAGAAAGAAAGGGAAGGCATAAGCCACCAAATATTAATAAACAACTTGCTATGACAGCTGTTGCTAATAATATTTGCTTTTGCTTGAAGACTGATCACTGGATTATATGGTTTGATTATGAATACAAACACCGAAATCTAAACTTGGAATGCGATTGCATTTCTTCAAAAATGCCTGCAATAAAATCACGTATCATTAACTTAAGCACACAGCAGATGGGCCATAAAATCGATCCCGAAAATGTTTGAAATTTTCGCACACGCCATATTTTTAATGTGGATACCTTGCCCCCAGGAAAGTGGCCTTTGAGTTCTGTTTACTCCCACTTGATTCTTCACCCGAGACCTCTATTATCTATTATTGGATGCCCCGCTGGTATTTATAGACCTTTTCACTGCCACCCAGCTGCGGCTGCTGGATGCTGCTGGTGGGTCTGGGTGATCCAGATCCAGATCGGCGGTCTTTAGCCACACTCACCCCACATCTGGAATCGAGAATTATGCTGGAGAGCAGCGACTGATCCGGCAGCTTCTGCACTTCCATGTTGATCTGGTTGGCCTTTCGGGACTTGTTTATTGCAAAATGCTTTCTTTTGTTCTACGTAGACAAACAATTTATTGGGGCACGGGCGTCTGAATCGGGGAAATTTATAGCGAACTTTTCCCTGGTTGCCGTTTTTTGTTGGCGCGCACGTTTTGCGAAGTTTTGTTTATTTCGCTGCCGAGGAATCGTTGTTTGTATTTGGCGCTGTTTGGCTTTCAGTTTTACTTTGCTTTGATAAACAGTAGAGTACACAACACACACAGTTCCCGAGACTGGGAATCGGACTCGGAGCAAGATTAATAATGAATGAAGCGAATTTATGGCCCGTAATTTGTGGAGTCGCAAGTCCTTTGGTCCTCGACTGAGTTGAGTTCATGCGCCTGCGAGCAAACAATGAATGCGAGTGAGTCGGCCCCGTTCGCACTTATATAGCCAGCGGATCGTGGCGAGAATGTGTGGAATCGATCTTGGCACAAAAGCCCGCACCGCCGGCTGTTTATTCGCGACTGAGAGAAGCAAGAAGCGCTGGCTGAAGCCAACCGTCGCCGGTCGATCGGTCGGCTATATGGGCTATATAGCAGTCTATTTGCTCGCTTCTCTCGGCCGGGGAGAGGAATCGTGACCGGTTGCCACTCTCTTTCGAGACCAGTCTAGTTTGTCAGCCGCTTCCTGGACTTTCCAAGATGGGCCTTTCCCCGCCGACACTTCCGATGCGGAGGGCGCTGAGTTCTGTTTGTGTTGCGGTCTGCGGTCTGCGGTTCTTGACATTTTCCTCTTGTCAAGATTTAAACAAAAATAAGCATAAACAAGCCCAGGCAAACAGGTTCGAAATTGGTGCAGTGCTATCGAGTCTTAAATGTGCTAACTATCAAGGTCGGCTGCTGTCCGATCAATTGAAAAAGGAGGAGCTCTCTCCTAACTTGGGTTACGTTGGCAATTGTTTCCAATTTCCAAATATATAATAATGAGTTATAATAATGAGTTATAATAATGAGTTATTATAATGAGTTATAATAATGAGTTATAATAATGAGTTATAATGATGAGTTACCGTGACAAACAACTACTTTCGAGAACCCACTGATAAAAAAGCAAACTGTTGAAAGTAACTAGAACCTTTCTAATAATTATAGGTACAGTTTGAGTAGAAATAAAAAATGAACCCAATAACATATTCAAATACCAATAACTTAATACTTGACACGGAACACTCCCCGACTGTTTTCTCATTAGGGCCCACGGGTCGTATGAGTGTTGCCACCACTCGGAGTGTTTGGATTGCCCTAGGAGAACGTTATGTAAACATCCATGGGGCACACCCCCAAAACTTTTGGCGATTAAAACCCACACGGCGTATGCGTACTATTCCGTCCGTGAATGATTTTCCCGCCGCAGTCCGGCCAGTCAGCCCGTTCTGTTTTTGTTTACTTTCCGCTCGCAGCTGTCGCGTATTGTGTTTTTTATTTTGGCCGTGCAAACGGGCAAAAACGGAGCGCACGCCGCTGGCTCAATTAATATGCGACAAAAGAAAGAAACACAAAAGCCATTGTGGAGGTCTCTCCCCAGAAATCGGCGGATAGGACGGATCGGCGGGGCGTATTTACATTCTTCGCCGTCGAATCGGTTTGTTTAGTTTGGCGCGCGCTCTCGGGCCAATTATCGCCCTATGATGCGGGGATCTCTCCGATTCCTCCACGCCAATATTGCGGAATTATGCAGGCTATTAACTCCCTCGATTTCCTAGGCAAACCTCGCCGATTTGGAATATTTTGATTGTGGATTATTTAACCGGTCGAGCACTATGTGGTTTGTGGCCCGCAATTAACAGGCAAAAAATGCAAATTGTCGCCGAAACTGTTTATCATGCACAATCGTTGGAAACTTTTCATGGGTAATTTTGTTTACATTATATATTATTTTAGTCAGCGGTTCGCCCTCTCACTCTGTCTGGTTTTTTGCGGCTTTTTGGGCGGGAAACTCGTTTTCGGTCATCTGATCTGGCCCACTCAAATGTGGAGTACTAAATTTATCTCAGAGCCCCTGAGTCGCGCCTCTTTTCATTGCGCCGGCTACAAGGTTTCCTTTCTTTTTGTGGGATGACTCAATTCTTAACGGGCCGGGTGCAGGTGCAATTTTTCGGGTATTTATAAATCTAACCGCATTTGTTTCTGCATCCGGCGAGTGACTAAAACTTTACGCGATTTTAATTAAGGAACCCGCACCGGCTCGATTATTCTTGGTTTAATAGGTATGCAATTCAGCCCGCTTGCACTTCTGTATCTACTTCTCGCCACGCCTTCGCAGTCTCCACTTAGCGCATGTCATGCCCCTAATGATCCTCCATAAATCTTCCAAGCGATCTACGAGTTTATAGAGCTGCCAAAATTGCCAAACGGTGGCCACAACCAGTTTGCACCACCACAACGCAATTCAGTGGGGTCTGCGGATTATGCACGTCGATATCGAATTAATTGACACTTACAAATGTTTTACGGCACCATAACTTATTAATACGCATAAGTTAAATAGTTGTTCGACCCCCCAGTATTATTCATAAACAGTCGAGTAAGTACTTAAGGTGTGATTTTAACAAATCATTCGTGTGTTGCTTTGATTTTATTCAGATTTAATTACTAGAGGAAAATACAGCCATAACAATTTTCTGTTAAACAATTTGCTTCTGTGTGAAATTCCCAGTTTAATTTTAATTTTATTTATATAGAGCTATATGGGTGAAGTTCCCATGCTTTTGTGTTTTCGAGATATAGAAAAACATTCAATATTTGGCAATAATTTTTTCATTTTTCAGGTACCCTACTCAATTGCGAAACATTGAAAAAGAAGTATTCACTTTTTTATTTAAACGGCTTAATTATGTTGCATTTTTCTGGGACCCACTGTGCGAATGAGTGATATTCCGGCGCTATTAACGACTCCAAAGTGCTGAACTGCCCGCCGTCATCGCCTCGCTGCGATTCTGTTTGCATACGGATAATTAAAATCACATTAACGCCGTTTAAGTGAGCAACGAGATGGCTGGCAATTTGTAAACAGAATCAAAATGATTGAACGTTTCGTTAAACGCTCGAAAGCAATCAAATGATTTGATGTTTTCCTGGCTTATCTCTAGCTGAAAACTAATTTACCCCCTTTGTCTTATCACCTAATCTGAAGCCAGTTACTTTCCACAAGAACTTTGGGTTGGTTTTAAAAAGCTAATTGTTTAGTTAGACTAGCTCAGCCCAAGGTCGCATGCAAATCAACGTCAGGTGTCAGCACCTGGGTCATTTATCAATATTAATAGGTAGCTCAAGCATTAATTTAACAATTATTTAAGGAAAACGCCAAGCCGATTAAGATTTCATATCATGAGTGGGCGTCCTCCTACCGATGTAAATGCTTGCGAACCAATGAGAACTAGTAGATTTTTCACTGTCTGCTGGTAAGCAACACCATTGGACTCGGAGTCATCCATCTTGACATTATAATGTCGATTAATATATTATATATACACGCTTATAGTTCAAGCTATGAATTAATATTTATTAAATGTTGTAGATCAATTACACGTGTAAGAGTCGATTTGAATATGCAAATATTCCCAGAAATTCGCAATAGTTTTTTGCTCGCGGACGGAACTGTCACATACCCACAATTGGTGGCCGCTGTCATATAAATTACAACTTTTTTTTTGCATTTACCATTAATCATTTCCACTGGCTTTGGGATCTGTAAAAACAGCTTCGAATAGTTCTGGTGATTGGGCCGTAAACTTGGCAGGCTGGTCTCTGCTTTTCCGACAGCTGCCATAAGGCGGAATTGATTTCCTACGGCGCCTTGGTCAAGTGGCCCACGACCGAAGCCGGAGTGCGGATTTTGAAGCTGGGCAACTTCGGCCCGAACTCGTGACTGGAAATCGAAAGCCCACATCGGATTTGCCGGTGTAGCTGGTTGGGGGCGGGATACGCGAAGGGGGAGGGGTCGAGACATTGAAAGTTTGATTCGGCCTTAGAACTTTACTCCAAAGCGGCTAAAGCCGCCTAATCGAATTAGTCGGGCCACCATCCACTGGATGGGCCCCAGTCCACTGCCCAAGTCTGGGGCAGTAGCTCCGGTTGGCTGCCAGTCTGGATTCCAGTTTGCGGGTGGTGCAGCCGGTCTTAAGTTCTATAAACCTGTGCGGATCTAAAGGGTATGCTGGATCTAGGTTCGAAATACCTTTCCAAATAAGATAATTTATAGGTAGTTCAAAGCTTGTTGTGCTAAAATACGGTTATAAAATATTTATTTTTACAAGCTTCATATATCTGTTTCTTCATAGAAATGTCAAAATGCCGAAGTTTTTAGTTAGATGCAACTTTTCCCATTTATTAAAAATATAAATTATCAAATAAGATAATTTATAGGCAGTTCAAAGCTTGTTGTGCTAAAATACGGTTATAAAATAATTATTTTTACAAGCTCTATAAATCTATTTCTTTATAGAAATGTCAAAATGTAGAAGTTTTTAGTTAGATGCAACTTTTCCCATTTATTAAAAATATAAATTATCAACTAAAATATAATTTATCAATTCAACGACACAGATTTAAATTGATAACAAAATGTAAAGCATACTATCGGGGATGGCTTTAGTTCGCTGAGTAGCAAATAGTCGGTTCACTAAATTCGAGCGGTCAAATCCGCCTCCTAAGTGGTGTTCCGTTGCATTCTAAACACATTAGAATTAATCACCTCCTATCTCGCCAAAGCGCACGAGTGGCAAACACAATTGTTTGAGCGGGCGAAACAGAAACGATCTAAATTATTTATCAGGTTATTTACAGCAGCACTTCGAGTGCTTTTTGAGCATTTCAATTTAATGCAAATTGCTCGTTTAACTCAACATCGGATATGGCATATATGCGGTGCACTTTATTTGCATAAACGAGCGCGCCCAACTAAGCCCCATCTGCAAATTACCCATCTCGGTTGTAAATTGCATTTTCCCCATTCCAACAGCAAACTTCATTTAAATTCATCACAGGCCCGGGCAATTTCCCCGCCCTGAATTTCCATTTATATTTGCTTTCGGTCGCAGCTGAAAAGGATGTCCGAGATTCCAGTCCACATGCCCAACCAATTCAATCTGGGCTAGTTACCATTGAAATGCGAAATCCCTGCCAGGCAGCTGATAATTTCTGCCATCTGCCAGGACGCAAAAACCGAGGGAGGACTTCTGGGGGCAGAAGATGCTGTTGTTGCAAGCAACAGTGAACAATAAACTCCGGCTTCCTCTAATCTGGCTGGCACATACAGCCCCATTCCCAGCGCCAGCCTGAACCCCTTCTCCCTCGGGGTTTTTCGCCAAGCCAACGGATGCAGTGACGACGACACATTGCGCATTCGCCGTGTGCGCCCTGCGGAACAAGCACTGAGAAATACCAGGCAATCGAATATCCGCCTATCAAGTCGTTATTGTGAAATAAATATTCTCAGAAATACATAACCAATAAACGAGCTTATCGGCTGATAGACCGATAGAGTTAAGTTGAAGTTTACGGGCAATCTAGGGACTTCTTTTCCAGGTATCAGTAGTTCAGTATTGTATTAGTGAATTCCCTGATAAATTTCTCACAATGTTGGTTATAACGACCAACGAATAATCCAACTAGAGTACACATTTTTTCTCTGTACAAAGAACGTAGGAGAGCGCGAATTGCTGGCAGGAAGCCAAACGAAAGTCGTGCACCAGTGGGCATCATCATCGGCGCCGTGATTATCCTGCAGGAGCAGCAGCATCCTCATTATGGGCATTGCCGCTCGACTGCCTCGAGCAGCAGAGGCAGCAGGAGCAACAGAAAAGCGAACGGCAACAAGCTGACACTCTGACAATGTTGGCGCCATTTTGCTGTTTGTCTTTCCTCTTGTAATAAAACGACATCCTTGACTGAGGAGGGTAATGGGATTGGGTTCGGGAGAAGGAGGGAGTGGGAGGGAGTGGGAGCCGCTCTGTCGTCTGAAGGGTGTTTTAAATACTTCAGGGACGGGACTCGTCTCCGCTCCTTCAGAACGCCATCATGATGAAAAGGACTTTTGTGTGGCACGTAGTCAGGACGCTTTGTCAGTTTTCCCGGGGCGGCGTCTCTGTTGTCAGCACTTTGCTCGACTTTTGTTGACAGATTGATTTTGATGTGTTTTCATTGTTATTGTTTGGCTGAGGGTCCTTATAAAATAAAGCGGAGATGGGCTGTGCTTTTCCGCGCTGATTTCGGGGCATCAAGTGCGCTTGAAGAGGCAGCAAACATTTTAGCCTAATTGGTTGGCTCTTGAAGCGCTTTGACTAATTGGCAAAGGCTCTTCCATGGGTTTACGAACTTAATGAACGCTCTGAATGGACCTGAAATATTCATGCGCTTTCATTTATTTAATTGAATGAGAAACGGCCTTCTATAACTCAAGCAGCCAACACAAAAGGGGCTCTGGTCAGCCATCGAAGTGGGGAAACTTTTCCGCCTTCAGCGAAACTAAATCACGGAAATCTGTGTTGTAGCAAATCCTTAAGCAGAGTTTTCCGCATTTCACCCATTGGTTGTTTGCCTTACAGCGTCGTGTACAGTACACTTTTCCTAGCTTGGAAATTCCGGATCAGGAAAAGTCTAGGTTCTATTCTCCCCCAAAGGGTCCAACTATTTTTCAGTTTGAATTATCCAAGTTCGACTGTAATTAAATCCAATTAAGGGGGCTGATGTTTGGGAGCCAGTCGGGCGTCCAGAGAGCTCAGTCAGCTTTATTGGAGCGTATTAAAAAGCCACAAAGCCCGCTCGGCAGGAGCATCAAATGGAATGAAATCAAATCAAATCGATACAAAATACTGTATCAAGTCGGAAGGTCGAGGGGCGGAAGGGAAGGAGAACGTGCCTGCCAGCAGAATCCTGTTGCCCGAAGCCAGGAATTTCTGTTATTCCCTTCTTTTGCTGGCTGCGGCATTGCTCATACGCAACGTTGCCCCCGAATCAATTGAAATAAATAGGATACACATGGTCTGCCTGTGTGTGATGGCTGTGTGTGGTTCGGGGGGTCGTGGAAAGAAGTTGTTTTCCACATATTTGCTTTTTCCTACGGCCCAAGGACTGCGATTTTCATTGCCCGTGTGCGGTTTCCTTGTATTTATTTGTCTGCTTGTTATTGGCAGCTTAGTCGTGCGTGTGGGCCACGATTAAATTTGGTCAATTGTCACGCCCTCTGGTCAGCGATGGAGGGCTTTCGAGGGGCGGAAACTTAAAGCTGACCGCCGAGTTCGCCTTGACAACGGGTTAACTAACAAACATATTCCTGAATCGATTCGAAAAACCTGGTACTTCTTCACTTTAGTGTCTTATGTATGCACGTATCTGCGGGTAGTATTGCTTATTTATGTAACCTTTTTGGTCTGATTGCTCTGGGAGATAAGGAAAATATCTTATCTAAGGTGCTCACCCTTCAAACACATTTTATGCGTTATCAGGCGGTTACTTTGTTGATTAAAATCGAGGAAGACTCTTTAAACTTATCGGGGGACGAACTTAGAACATTTTTCTAAGAAAACAATGTTCTTGAATTAATTATTAATTTCTAAAATCATTTTGTTCCCTCTCCTTTAAGAAACATAACTAAAACAGCGTTGTGCATTTGTTAACGTAAATACTTGTGTTTCTGTGTGGTTTCGTATAGTTCGTCAATTTCAATAATTTAATTTGGTCGCTTGCCAAATAGTCGCTGTTCACATTTAATTAGGACGTGTGCGCCGTTGGGAAACACTATGGACCGATGTCCGACAAATATATATAGTTTATAGTGAATTTTTCTTGTTTTATTTCCACCGAACTTGAAATGAAAAACACTTGGCGGCAAAGTAAATGTCAACGCAGGCTTCTATAATTAAAAACGAAAATAAAAATGTATTTTCGTTGGCAACTTACGCGTGAAATTGGCTAATAAGTGGGCCCTAATGTGCCGTCTCCTTCGGTTTGTTGTTTTGGGGTTATTTGTTGCAGACCGTCGAAATTTATGTTAAAGATTTCCGCCCGATTCGTTCAAATTCGACCGACCAAATGAACCGTTAGCACGTTTTCGAACAAATAAAGTTTTTACAGGCTAGCGAAACTTATATGTATCGAACTATTATAAAAACAATGTTGTTTTAGAAGAGCCAGAAATTCTTTTCGTGATTTTAGGCTGACTGATTTTCGGCTACCGAAGTTTTTTCGTGATATTTTTTAATGGCAAACGAAAACACATTGAAATGCAATGGGCAAATGAGCGTTGCTTAAATAGTTCGCCGGTCGAACTCAGTCGCTTCCAATCTCTCTCCCAATCTTTTCTGCTCATTCATTGAGTGGATTTGGGTTCCTTGGGTACCAAAGTTCTCTCTGCCGAGCACTCAATGCTAACAGCGGATTCGGTCGCTTTAACGGAGGATTTATTGGAGTATGCAGACTTTGTATATCCTTTGATATATCTTTTGATGGCGACAGGATATGTTTATTAGTCCCTGAATATTGTTAAAATTATAAGAACAAATAACAATATTTTCATTTGCAGGAATTTTATTGTTCCAAGTTTCTTACAATTTTTAATATTTTGTATTGAATTATTACAAAAAATATGAGGTGCTGATAAAATGTATCATTTATTTTGAATTAAAGAACTGTTAATATGAACATTCGGACTTTTAGTTAACATGAGTACACGAACTAAAAATTGAGCACAAATTTGAGTAAAGAAGAGAGATTTTGGAGCCGAGGGAGAGAAAGATAACGACTTGGGGAGAGAGGCCGAGAGAACGGGGGTCCTCTGCTGTAAACAAACCAATCCAACCCCTCGGATTCTGATTTTTCACTCGTAATTTGGATACTTGTAACACACGGGTGGTTGGACTACCCCAAAAACCGTAGGGAGGGCGCCCAGTTACTCGTGGTTTAGAGTGGAGCTGCAGAGTGAAAGCGTCGGGAAGCTTTTCCGTTTCAGATAAGAGCGGTGACAATTGCGGAAGATAAGATTGTTGGTTCAAAGCATATTATATTCTTTTTTGCCTTATCAAGGCGAACATATAAAACTGTGAGTTTCTGAACAAACACTTCTCCTACTCGGGCCCGTCTCTTATCAGCTGCGGAACTGTTCTGTTTCGGGTTTGACGGTTGTGCGGCTCTCGAAAAACGCTTGCTTGCAGTCTCAGTCATTTGGTTTAGTTAATGAGCCACTCGCCAGTCCAATGAACTGCGTGGGTTAGTCGGTTTTCCTGTTTATTTGAATTTTCACCTTACTCAGCATTTAAACATTGCAACAGTAGCAGAGTCTGGCTGCTCTTCAAATTAAAAGTATAAACAAATCACCAGAGCCAGGAAATATAAAGTATTGTTCATATATTTATGAGCTCAGGTCTTGCCAATTTTTATTTAATACATAGTTAATCTACCAATATGAAGTATTTTTGAATTTTAAACTTTTTAACAGAAATAACGTCTGTGCGCTGTTAACAATAACAGCATTAGTGTTGTATAATTTCGATAGCCCAAATACCGTTAATACATAAACCACATCAGCACAAGTTTAGTCAATTAATGAAAAATCAGTTGTTCTTGCAAGGATTCTAAGTTTTTTGATTTTCTTGAAGAGTTTACACATTTACAAAACTTAGACAAACCTCATAAAAAATTAAAAAGAAAGCATAATTCTTATGGTATTTAGCGGTATTTTTCGTTAATCGAGGTATGCATGGTCAATTGAGATTCGGTCACACTAACAGTTACATATGTTTATTCGTAAAAAGTAGAACTTTTATAAATAAGGGAGAATTGGTGGCAAATCGAGCCACAGGTCGCTCCAGCTGTACCGCCTGAATAGGATATAGAATATTTCGACCTCTGCCTTTTTCACGATAGAAGGAACCAAGCACAATGAATGGAAGGTGAATCCGCCGGCAAAATCCCGCAGATGTATCCATAAAGTAAACCTCATCTATATATTTACATATATCCCTATTTTTATAGCGTTGCGGAGCCTACGGATTTCCAAGCGGCCACTGCCGCCGCGGCAGCAGCTGCACTGGCAAGTAGTGCGGAACAGGACGAGTGGAGCGTGGGCGAGTGTGGGTTTCTGGATCCCGATGTGCAGCGCACAATGAGAAGCGGCAGTGCTGCCGAGGACATTACCCAGTACCCAATGCACGGCTGGGTGGACGTCACCCGGGAGTTTCACGACGCCTGCGCTGAGCTGCAGCCCGGAGAACTTGCCCAGGACATGCTGTTCGGTCTTTTTGAGGCCATGTCGGCCATCGAGATCATGGATCCCAAGATGGACGTGGGCATGGGCTTCGACAAGCTGGACCTGCCGCCGCCGTCCTTTGAGGCAGCCATTGCGGTAGGATTCCTATTTTTAACTAACTTCCAGATCAACATTCTTCAACTTTCTTTTAAATCCAGACGGGCGCCATCAAGCTGGACGATCTCACGCCCTCCGAACTGATCGGCATCTACGATGCCTTGTTTTCCTGCCTCGTGTCCTGGCTGGAGGGCAACTCCATGGACCAGGTGCTCTTTACCTGCCTCTACCTGCACGCTCCCTCTCAGATCAAGGATAAGGCATTGCGCGTCTTCTGCACTGCCGTGCGCAATCTCATCGTTGTCATCAAGAACATCATTGCCGTGGCAGCCGTCAACGAAGAGGAGGACTTCCAGTTGTACGGCAACTCCGCTCTCTTGGCCGCAGAGAAGGCACAGCCGGGGACGGTCTACAGTTTGCTCAAAGAAGTGGAAGACGAACTGGTGCGAAAGTGCAAGAAGCTAACTACCACGGAGGACTGGATGGCCGTGGTTCATCGGCTGCGGTTTATGCGGCACCTCTTCCAGGTTATCTACCACGTGGAGCAGATGGCCAGCTCCGACACGGTAGACGATAAGGTCGATATCTACAAAATCCTGCTAGTGGCTTCGGAAATGCTTCCGGGCATAAGAAACACATTGGATCGGGGCACCCAACCCGAGAAGGGATGTAAGTTGACTGCGAGAGTACGCTCCTATATAAATTAAAGCTATTTTCCCTTTGATGTTCAGCTGAAGCCCCGAACCCCATGGGCTTCTCACCCCGAATCCACGATCGTAGTCAGCCGCCCGCTTTTCCGCGAAGCATCAAGATCAGAGATCGTCCGGCCAGCTATCAGTTCCTCGAGGAAATGATTTCGCGCTTCAAGTACGCATGTAAGGTTACTAAGTACAAGGACTACTACTCGGCACTGGTGCGTTGGGTTTTCATTTTGTATTTTGGGGGATATAAACCTCATTGTTTTTTTTTTAGAACTTCTTCATTGAGTACAGCAAAAAGTCGGGCCAGTGCATCCTGTCCAGAAGCGTTCTGCAGACTTTGTTTAGCGCCAACATGAGGGTAGCGCACGGGAAGCTTCCCATGAAGCAGTTCCTGCGCCACTCAGTGCAGACATTCAACTCGCCGCCCGTGCTAAATATTAAGCATCCCGTGTCCGCCGACCCCAAGGTTCAGCAGCACCTTGAAAACTTCTTCCGTTACTGCATCAATATGAACACCTTCACGCAATTTATCCGCATTTGCGGATTCAATCGCGCTAGGCAGCGCGACAAGCTGGCCCGCCTGATTGAGCACTTTGACACCATCCAAGTAGACGCGGCGCGGCTGGACTCGTTGATGAACCAACTGGCCAACGAACGGGCGATGGAGGGCAACGAAACAATGGCAACCGCCCTAAAGCACAGCACCCACTTCTCCACCTGGGTGCTGTACAACTGCTTCCGTGCCATGCTGATCTTCCTAATGTCCGGCTTTGAACTGGAACTGTACGCCGTGCACGAGTTCCTCTACATCTACTGGTACCCATACGAGTTTTTGATCGGCTTCCTGGTCTCCGCGCTGACACGCACGGAGAACATCCTGCTGGCCCAGGAGGAGTACGCCGAGCACCAGAGCAAGATCCTGTCGGGCGGCGGTGGAGCAGCAAAGAACCGCAAAGCAGCCAAGCCGAAGAAAAATAAGAAGCAGCAACGTCCCTACCGCGCCGAGATCGTCTTCTACCACGCCCTCCTCAGCCTCTGCGGCGGAATGTACAAGGCCATGGGCGCCCTAACGAAAGACGGACGCGTCCGACTGCCGTTGTCCAAGTTCGACAACGAGGAGATCCGCTACAACCGTCGCTTCCTGCCCTTCGCCACGCTCACCAGCCCACCTCCGGTCTCATACGCGGAGTTCAAAAACATTCGGGAGCACATGATGCGGCCCAGCGTGGAGGATCTGTACACCTATGCGGCTAAGCACTTCGACCAGGCCCGCAATGTCCTCGAGAGCATTCAGAACCCTGATCAGGAGGTGAGTCAAAGAATTATTTTTAGGTATTTAAATTAACATTTTCTTCTTCAGATGCTCGACCTTCTTCAAATTGCGCGAACCAACTTTGTGGTAATGAATGTGCTGGCTCGCGGTCACCAGAAGGAAGTAAAGCGCCAGCCCGAGTTTGACTTCTCGAAGCATAGCTACTTTCCCATCATAAAGCTGAAGTAGATGTTCGTGTTCCGTAATTGACAAGAATAAAATTTAAATGTATGCATTTTAATGTCAACTCTGCTCTTCTGCCACAATATCCTGCTTAATTAGGAGCTCCTCCGCGTATCCCTCGATGGGGCAGCTCTTTGCGCAAGTGTAGACCGCCAGAACGCCCCAGTCGAGGTTTTCGTCTTCAAGCAGCGTCAGCACTTGCGGCATGATCTGGAACTCAAACTGGCGGGCTCCGCCGCAAAGAGGACAGTTCGGCAACTCCTTTAGTTGATCCTCCACTGTTTTGGCGATATTGGTGATCCACAGTGGCTGACCACCGCGTTTGTAGCGCACAATCTGATCGGGTTCCGCGGCAGTTTGCTTTTTGAACAGACGGAATGTCTTGTCGTCCGCAGCTGCCGTGTCCGCAAAATATTTGTCCATCTCCGACTCGGAAACGTTACTCAGGTCTCCTGTCTTGCCATTGGCCTCCAGTTCCTTGAACTCAGCCAAGCGGGCATCCTCATCTTTGTCATCCTCGCCAGGTTCCACTGGATTACTGTCCATCACAATCTCGAATTCAGGGAAAACGATGTGGTTTAGTGGCTTGGCATGGGATCCTGTTGTTGCTCCGCAGTTTGGCTTGTGCTGTGGCCAGTGTGCCCTTTGGTGCTCCGAGGAGCAGTAGTGGATGGCCTTGCATTTGCTGCAAGTGTGCGGAGCATGGCAGCCGCAGGCGACGCACAATTTCTTCGAGCTGGGAATAGCGGGCTGTAAAAAGTTAGTATTAATTTTTAAGATCTTTACGTTGTAAGTTTTAGTTCCTACCAAGGGATCTCCCAATTCGCTTGGATCTTCCTCCGAAAAAAACTTGTTTTTCCGCGGCAACTGAGATCTCAGCACCGTAAAATTGCTAAAAGGGTAGAGTATTAGTCACTATTGTTGTAGGAAACCTCGGAGTACCTTACCTTGCACTCTGTGCCTCCTGGCAGTTGGCATTTCGACAGAGAAACAAATAGATCGACCGGTGGAAGTTAAAGTCGTCATCGAAGGGAGCATACAACTGCGCTAAGAAGGATTTTGGTGCTAGGCACTTCCTGCACTGCAGCTGCGATGTGGACGGCAGAGAATCCAGTTCTAGCCAGGCGGGCTGGCCACCCAACTTGCTGGGAAAGTATCGGTTACTCAGCCAGGCGGCATTGTCGTTTTTTTCAGCGAATCCCAAGTCAATTTCCATTCTTAAAAACTCGTGTTCAGTGTGACCGCAGCTAGATCGCCAGAAAATGAAACATGCAAAATGTACCAACATTAGTATGCAGACTGCAAATTAGTTATTATTTTATTTAATAATATTAAATTTACTTACTTAGCATCTTTTGATTTCTTTACAAGTTAAAAAAAAAAGCTTAAAACGTAATTGCAAAAAAATTAAAATATATAATCGTCAGAACTAATCCCCTTTCTAAGCCCCTGACAACCGAGCTTTTTTTGGTATTTTCGCTTCCCTTGATATCCGGGATTTCCGCCACATCAGTTTGCGGTCATCTCTCACAGTTAAAAGTTCTCCGAACTGATTTAACTGATTTAATTTGTGTTTTATTTACCATTGTGATAAACGCGTGTGAAAAACTGAGACTTTCCAATTACCCAAAAGCACAAACAATATGTGGGTGAAAGCGTGATGTAAGGAAAACGTGAGGAAAAACGAGTTTTGATTTGACTTCAAACCCGATTGTGAAAGCGCAGCAAGATTTGTCAACGCAAACAAGCAAGAAGAAGAGCGCAAAAATAGCGTAATATTTGTTAATAATCACAGCATCGCAAACAACAACATTGCGGAAGCAGAATTCGACTTATCGTTTTGCCCGTTTCCGTCGGAGGGCTAAAAATAAACCCACCCACGCTCCCTCGCACACACACACCCCCGCCCACAATTCACCCACACCCACGCACAATTTCGGGAAGGTGAACTTGTGTTGACTTTTCCAGCGCGCGGACTTTTTCGGAGGAAAATGCAAAAATGAGAGTTCGAGCATCCAGCAGACGACAACTGGGATTTTGCGTAAGTTTGGCGCGGATACTTCCTGGTTGTGGATTACAGGGTATCAGTGTTGATTTGTGAGTGAGTACGGCCAAATAAGGGGTTTCCCCTGAATAAAATAGTTTCATGATGCTCAGCTATAAGGTGAACGACAGCAAGGTTAATAATCAGTAAAAATAAATACAGACGATCTATTCTCTGGTTTAGTATGACATGTGACGAATGTTAAAATCTTTTGAATTGAACAGTATCTTCTTTTTAAAACAATGGTATTTTTAACAGATTTAGATTTTTTAAAGCAAACTCTTATCAATGACTTTACTTGGTAGCCACAATAACAAGGTAACACTTCTTCGAAGCCCCCACTTTTCGGTTGTTTTCGGTTCTGCCTGCCAAAGAGCCGGGTGAGCTTTTATTTGCTAAATTTAGTGCCGCAGTGCTGAAAATAAGAATGGGAGCACCCTGCCATCGGTTGCCGGTACAATATATACTATATATGTATATGTTTGTATAATCGCCCATGATGGCCAGCTTGCAGTATCCGTATATAACTTGGGAAAATTATTGGGTTGGCCAGTTGAAGCTGTTGCATGGCTTATCCTGCCCCAATGGCCAATCGATACTTTCAGAGCCTCCTCTGCACAATTTGGCTCGGACTCCTGCCTAAATCAATAAAACGCCTCAAATCCCTGCCATATTGCGTCCATTGTAATGTCAGCACACATTCTCATCCAATCCAAAGGCATTTTCACTCGGCTTCAGGCATTTATGGGTCCACTCTGCGGCCTCAACTGACTGGCCGGCAATAAATATTGAAAATTCAATTACCCGATATGCAGCCAGCCGAAATTCCATAAAATTATCATCCGATACGTGTGCGCGAATATGTTTGTGCATCACTTGCCAAGGCTTTCGGTTCTCAGTTATTGTATTTAAATAAATGAACACATCTACTGACCACATTTTCACTCAATCTGTTTCGTTGACGATGTCTCATTACTTTACTTGCATGCGGGCTATTGATTTTAACTCATCTTGTAATCATCTTGCTTTATTTTGCCACTGAATTTATTTTTTTCCAATGGAAGGAGTTCCTTGCCTCTTTTCTTGATTTTCCTTTGCTTTTTCTACAGCAAACAATTTGGGGGGTTGCTATCAATTGCATTCTTATTTGGCGTTTGCATCCCATTTTTGGGTTAAATGTTCACTTCTTTAGATTTTATCCATGTATGGATTTCATGTTAAAAGCAGAAAAGGTGTGGAGTAACTTGTCAGTTTATCAAGTGTTAAGTTAAATAAAGAACACTGTGCCAACATCAGCATTTCAAACAAAAAGCAGTCATATTAGTTTTGGTCTTCTTTTTAAGTTTATTCTCATCGGAATCCAAAAAACAATACTTGTATGTTACTACTCTAGGACAAAAGTAACGTTTTTTTTATATTTGGTTTCAAATAAGCTCTTATCACTTTAAATTAATTTGATGTTCTGTAAACTTTGCTCGCCCATTCACACCTCGATTTATTTAGTTCTTTTTGCTTCCTTTTCGCTATTTACTCAGTTGGATGTGCCTGCAATTACACTTGTTTTTTCGCGCCCGCTTTGGGTCTTATTGAGTCACAAGTGAGTCACTCCCCAAGGTTGTTAAACGAAGCTCTCTTTCCCCAAGTTCTCCATTTGCCCCGACTTGGTGTGGTGTATGTGTATATCGAATGCTAAAGGCCAACGGACGATCTTTGTCTTACACTATAGCCGATATCAAGATTCCCAGGCAAGTGGCTCTCTTATTTTTTTTATTTTTACTCAAAGAGATATAGCGAATCGGTGTCGTCGCGGGGCTTCGGGCGTTCCTATTGAGCAGTTGTGGGCTTTCCTCCAGGTCAGCGAGTGAATAATACTTTATTGTACTGGTTTTCACGAGTTAACCCTTGTCACATCCGAGATAATCTGCTAATTAAAGCTAAATAGGAGGTAAAGGGTGGAAATGCGAAGTAATTAGGTGGTGCAAAGGCATTTAACGTTATCTACAATTAGGAACACATATTCCCTAGAATAAGGGGAGTTTGGGCAAACTACCTCTTTTATCTTTAACCTCTATATTTTGAAATAGCTTTCTATACTTAAAACAAACTAAACATTGCGAAAAAGTTTTTCGTTTTTTTGCGGTTTTACTAATCAGTCACATTAAATACTTGTGACTAAATAGATTAATATTTGTATATCTACCTTTCCTATTTCAGCATTTGTTTTTTAAAATATACCGACTACGTTGATAAAATGAGCTTTAAGATAAGAAATTTTAAAGCTTTTTTCCCTGACATATTTACCAAGGGATTTCTGCACTAGGTATGAAATTAGTTGTATTACATTATGCAAGTTTCTTCTATTAGCTCAAATATTCCCTTTATAAGATAATCCGCCGTATGACTCAGTTTTGCACCGCTGTGGAATACATTGTTGCCTTTATTATGGTTCCCACTTAGTAGTCAGAGGTAAGCGTTCTGGTAAGCTTTTTTGTTGTCAACTGTTTTTGTCATCGAGGGGGTTACTAAACTACTGGTTAGATTCTGTTCTGGCTGGGAGGAAATTGATAAGCCCTGCGGGAATGCCACTATCGATGACGGGCCACAATAGAGGCCCATTGTTGGCTCTTATCTGGCCAGTTATTGTTACTCCACTCGAATAGGAACCGACGAGCAGAGGTGCGTATTTATTTATTTATTTGCTGCATGCTCGTTTCAATTGCGTGCGTCATGCCGGGGGAAAGATGTGATTCCGATTCTGGCGGTGATTCATGCCAGACAAGTGCATCCTCATACTCTTGGTAGAAAATCAATAGTAGGGGCTCGAGGCTCTGCTCTCGAGATGTTTGCCGTAGTGTAACCTTGCTGCCTTGTGTTTTGCAGGAGCCGGAGGCGCCTTGAATGAGAGTCCTTAGCCCGACATGTCAGATTTCGTGCCGCGCGACCTCCCCGACCTGTGGGAGGAGATTCTCCGGCGCCACTGGATGTTCCTTGAAACGGAGGAGAGCATACAGAAGCTCGAAGAGCGCAAGCAGCTGGAGGGTGAGTTCAGTCCTTCGAATTCAATTTCAGTCGGAAGTGGAACTAATCGACCCCGCTTTGTTGTCTCCGCAGGTTGTCTCAAGGAGTTCCTCTGTGTGGTGCAGCACGATCGCAAGTTCTTCCTGCCGGAGACTGGGCAAGTCCTGCGGCGATCGGTGCGCGAACTGCCCGACTTTTCGGCCCAGAACGCCATCGTGGCCTTCGAAACCATCAGCCAGTATGCCAACAACCTCTTCACGAAGCCCTGGCGGAAGGAGTATCGCACTCTCAAGGTAAGTAATACCGAATAGTTACTTTGCTTGACACCCAATCTTACCTGAGACACCTTCTGCTTGCAGACCTACTCGGGATGCTTTCAACACGACATTCAATCCCGCCTGATAGACGCCGAACAGCTCTTCGTGGCCATGGGATACCGCAGGGTTTCTGAGGACACCTTCGTACTCGAAGGACCCATCTGTCCGGATCAGGTGACAAATGTGTCGCGCGATGCCATGGCTGCCTACGTGGAGTGCCAGATCATGAAGCACATCTACGCGGGAGTCACGGCAGCAGGATACAGCTGCAGCTGGAAGGACGTACTGCAGTTCCGCGAGCGAATCGTGGGCAGCCCTTCGAGGACCATCAAGGAGATGGTCGGCCACCTGAGTGAGAAACGGATGCGCAAGGAGCAGCCGCCAGTGCAGGAGAATACGTACAGCAATGTGGCGACAGTGGCGCCGACCAGCTGTGTCATGCACGGGCATAGCATGGCCCATCATCCCAGCAGCTCCGCCAGCTGTGCCCTGCATCCGAACGGCTTGAGCGAGGTGGGAAAGTACATGCCGCCGTACCCAGCTCCTCCGCCGCAACAGCCTCACCTGCCCGGGCCGCTGATGACGCACTCCCGCAGCCTGGAGCACTACCAGGAGCCGCACGCCCACCTGCCGCACCGCCACTCCTTTGACCAGCAGCTGCAGCAGCAGTGCCAGCTGCCCCACGTCTACGAGGCGCCCTACGACTGCCTCGACGGCTTGAGCCTGGGCAGCAGTGCATCCTACGCGGCCGTCGCCGGGGCCTACAATGCTCCGGGCAACCGCTACCCGCTCCCTTACAACATCTCCAGCCAACTGAACGCGCCGTACGCCTCGCCAGCCGAACTTTACGGAAGCGGCGAGCCCGTCAACATGTACGCCACGTTGGGAAAGACGGGTCCGGCCCACAGCTGCGACTTCCACCGGCGACAGACGGGCAGCTCCACAGCTGCCGCGGCCGCTCTGGCGGCCATGCAGCACCGGCAGAGCACCTACCCTCCTGACCACCACCTCATCGACTTTGATGAACGGGCGCAGCTCACGCAGCACGACTTCGGGACGCACGACTACGATCCCCAGTACGCCGAGCTAAGGACCCAGGTGCAGCCAAGCATGCGGGGAAACCCGGCTGGCATGTACGCCACCTATGGGGGCTACGACCTGCCCACCACGCTGCCCCAGGCCCCGCCGCCAACGGCCCAAGACATGTACATCTACGCTAGGCCGGTGCCCAAGAGCAGCCGGATGCGTGCCCTTGCCGAAGCGGGGGGCATCAACTCGACTGACAAGCATCCGCGATCAGCGGAGAAGCCAGTGAGTGCTGCATGACTTTCTTGTTATCTGAGTCCATAAGTATTGTTTCTTCTTTTCAACTTAGAACCCCATGGACAATAATCGCAAGATGCACAAGGAATTGAAGGAGCGCGCTAGTCGAACGGCGCCTGCGAAGAGGTCCGGCAACGAACGTGATATCCCCGCCACCATTTCCGACTTGAACAGCTACGACTCGGCCAGTCTGGACGGCTTCGTGACCCTGGACAGCAGCTCGCCACCGCTCATGCCCAAAGTGCAAGAGGGCGTCGGCAGTTTCGAGTCCTGGAACTATGTGTTTAAAAATCTCGAGCGCTCCGGCTACACCAAGGACTTGGGCGACCGCGAGGACCTGTTGGTGCAGAGCCTAGATCTGGACTCGCTGGCCATAACGAACGGCGGAGCCGCTCCTCCGGCGGAAAAGAGACGCGAGCCCGCAAAGCCGACGAACGGCGAGAAGGCACGCACACTGGAAAAGAAGACGACCGGCCCGAGTCGACGCGAGGTGAAGGTGGTCCAAGCCGCGGCGCCGAGTCCTCTGCCCAACAGCAGCAGCGCCGGCGTGAAGAAGGTCAAGTCCGCTCTGAAGACGGCCGTCGTGGACAACCGGGGAAGCGCATCGCGGCATCGCACGGGCACCGTGCCCAAACAGCCGCCGGCCGTGTCCCCGCAGCTGATTGTAACCAGCCCGAACGAGTGGAGCTGCAGCTTCTGCACGTTCCTCAACCCGGACACAAAGCGCATCTGCGAGATGTGCTGCCGCAGCAAGGACTTCAACCTGGAGGCCGCCACGGCGGCGTCCTCGTCGGCAGCGGCTGCTGCAGCGGCGGCAACCAGCGTGTCGCACGCATCTTCGACCTGCGTCTAGAAGGACGCACGCTCGCCGGCAGCCGGGAGCCGCGACCCTCGTTAGTGATACAAAAAGTGTAGAGCTGGATATATATATATTTTTTATACAACCAATGTAAGCCTGTGCGCGTGTCTCCAAGATCTAGTCTCGTAGTCGTCGTCCGATGGCCGTCAACCCTTTGTTATCCGGATCCCTTCTCCCCGGGTCAGAGCGGATCGCGCTGCGGAGGGAGGGAGGGATTTGTCTGCAGCCTGTACATAGAAGTATTCTAATTAGTTACCCCTACATGTAAACACACGCTTTAATTAGTTTTAGATTGTTTCCCCATTGTTAAGGGCGCTTCTGTTTCAAATTACGTGCCTCCCTGTATAAGTCATCTATATATACACAACACATATAGACATTTATATATTTGTACGTGTGCATGCGACGCGAAAAGCGAAAATCGCAATGCGAAATGCTAAATGCGAGAGAGAGTGATGTTTGAACTTGGACGTTTTCTAGGAAATCAACTGATAATTATATACCTTATACTAATAGTTGCATTCACAATACGTATTTCCGATAGTAAATCAGAGTAAATAGAAGTTCTTGGCGAACCCAAGCGTATATACCGAACTTTGCATAGATAATACACCTATAGCCGTAACTTAAGCGATTTCAATTCGAAGAACCGAGCTAAGCATAACGCGAAACATAATAAATCGAACAGGACTGGTACGGGTTGTAAACTTAACGTTTTTGATTCAAATTTTACCAGACAGGAGTCGCAGGAATCCAGGTTCCTCGCCCCCATCCAATGTGCATGGTCGGCGGAAGAGCGAACCGCAGTTGGTAGAGCAAACTTGTCATCCCACCCACCCAAGCTACGCGAGCACCGAGTCCCAAAGCTGATATGTTGAAATGTTACTATTGATTACCTGTTGCTAGCATCCCGGAACAATCGAAACCACTCGAGATATTTTTGTAAGGAAGCGGAACCACGTACCTTTTGCTCTATGTTAAATAGTTTATTACATATGCGTATTTTTCGTGCCTACGTTAACGTTTCGAGTCCCGACTGCCTTTCTGTAAATACCATTTGCCAGCAAATCGAAAGAGGAAACTCTTTGTATTTAGACCGATGGATAATAAAAATTTAACTCGACTAAGGCCATTTAGGCACAACCTTCGCTCAAACCATTTTATTACATAACTTTGCATACTATTACCGAATGAATTTAGTGGCAGCTCTTCCTAACAAAACCCCCTATCGAAAAACAATAAATTCAATTTTGACAAATCTATGCTTTGTTTTAGTGGGGGGTTCTCCATCGTTCTCACATTTACTTCACACCTGCTCCGAAACGTATAAAACACTGCGTAAATTCGAAGTAAGTCCCAGCTCAAAATGGCTTTGATCTTGGCATTGCGGGTGGTGTTGCTCCTGCCGTTGATCTCCGGCTACAACTACTGCAACAACCGATCACACGTGTGCAACGTGGGCAAGAAAAAGCACTTCATGTGCCAGCTGGAGCAGGAGCTTCGTCCCTACGACAACAAGAGCAAGCTGCACGCCGTTTTCCCGGACACGCCGAAGCTGCGAGTGAAGACCCTGGGCATCCTGAACAACTTCCGGAACACCTTCGCCGGCGGGGATCTCATCACGAAGGAGAACAAATCGTTCCCGAGCGCGAAGCGGATGCGCAGGATCATCTGGGACAAGGAGCTGGCTTACATGGCACGCAACCACGCCGCCACCGTGTCATTCAAGCACACCGAGTGCCGGTCCACCCTGCGGTTCCCGGTAGTGGGCGAGTTCCTGGCGCTGCTGCCTCCCGCCAAGAAGAAGCGTAACGTCATGGATCTCCTGACAAAGTCATTCGAATCGATGTTGGAGGAGTACAAGGACGTCAAGGATCCCGAGGGACTTCTCCAATGCTACGATTCCGAAAGGTAAGCCGCCGTCCCTTGATGCGAGGCCGGTTTTGAAGCCAGCCCTCCGATTCCGCAGGGACTCCAACGTGGGCCACTTCACCCTCATCGCCAATGATCGGGTCTCCCGGGTGGGATGCGGCATAGCCGCGAGCTCCAACTGCCACTTGGACAACAAGGTCGGCTACTGCCACTTCCTCACCTGCCACTTCGACTACAGCAACCTGGAGGGCTCCTATGTCTACAAGGCCGGAAGGCCCGCCGCCGGATGTGACGACTGGAACGGAGTGGGCAGCTACAAGTACGCCAATCTGTGCCAAAACCTGGGCGTCATTTTCCCGCCGGTAAGTTTGCACTTTTCTGTAATGGATCTTCTCTTAAAGATGTACTGTGCAGAATCAAGGCGACTGAGGAAGAAGACCTAATCTTTCTTCCCTGCGTTTCCTAACAAAATACTGGATTATGTTGACCAGTCTAAAGTTCGTTTAGTATTACGTCAAAAGTTCTATTATTACTCAGCACTCGATAAATTCAAAGTGAAATGATTTGGACTTTGGTTACAAAAGTGATATTGCCCATTGCGCTGGCTTCCGGCTACAATTACTGCAACAACAAGACGCATAGCTGCGTCCAGAACGGCATGGAGCACTTCATGTGCCGACTGAACAAATTCGCCCCTTTCGGAGGCAGTACCCAGTTTCACGCCATGGTTCCGGATACTCCAGAGCTGCGAGAGGATATTCTCAGCATTCTGAACAATTTTAGAGACTCTTTCGCAGCGGGGGAACTGATGACGAGCGAGAACAAGACCTTCTCGAAGGCCAAAAGGATGCGCTGCCTGATCTGGGACAATGAACTGGGCTACATGGCCCGCAGACACGCCTCCACCCTGTCCTTCAAGCACTCCGATTGCCGGTCCACCCAGCGTTTCCCCTACGTGGGCGAGTGCCTGGCCATGATAACCCCCAAGCACAAGCTCAAGATCCACGAGATCCTCGTGAAGATGTTCCGCGAGATGTTTAACGAGCATCAGAACGTCCTGGATCCAGAGGGTCTCCTCAGCGGCTTCGATTCCAACAGGTGAGCTGGGGCACTTGAATCTGCGAGCTCAGGGTAACCGAATAGTAATCCTCCTGCAGGGATGACGATTGCGCCCACTTCGCCATCATTGTCAGCGATCGAGTGTCTCGCGTGGGATGTGGTATCGCCGTGGGCAGCAACTGCCGGTACGGGTCATCCACCACGTGAGTGTTGTTTAGTTTGAAACTATAAATAGGAGCACTGAAGAAAACCCCTATTAGGTACTGCCACTTTCTTACCTGCCACTTCGACTTCAACAACTTGAACGGATCGTATGTGTACAAAGCCGGGGATCCCAGCAGTGGCTGCGGCGACTGGGACACGACGGGCAGCACCGAGTATTCCAATTTGTGCCAGAACAATGGCCAGATTTTCCCCCCGGTAATTACGCGATCTCTTTATCTAGCATATTTTAAATGTGTACTCCACAGGACCATGGCAGCAATAAAAAAATAAAAGATGATGCGGAGGATCAGGACGATGGGCAAGAATGAAAGTCCGTTTGTGAGGTGTTTAATATGTTCGTACATTTATATATTTTTGTATGCTCCTGCCTAGGGGTTCAGAAGCACAGGAGACCAACTGTGAATCCGAAATACAATCCTTACAATCCTACGGTCCTTCTCGAAATTATTTCTACGCTGATGCGAGTTCTGGGCTCTCTGCTCCTTACACAGCTATTGGGAAAATGTACTAAGTTTCCTTGAATGGTTGTTCGATTTGCATTTTACTACGCACTTCACATGCAATTTTCTAATTCCATCTAACAGCTAACAGACTTAGTCGGTTCTTGCTTTTCGATCGCTCGTGCTCTTCTGGTAAAATCAAGTGGATTTGTCGGGTGAAACCAGCTTCATCTTGGGAAAACCACTCCAGCATGCACGTAAAGCCAATGTTAAACATTTAAACATTATAAATCAGGACCACATTAACCCTCAGACTAAGTTTCGCATATTCGTTTGTTCGAGTACATGATTAAGGTATCAATTCGATGCAGTTAACTCACTTTCGCATTTGGAAAGTGCCTAGGCTGAAATGATTTCGGTCTAAAAACGGGCACAAAAGTGCCGACTTCCTTACTCTACGGTTTTGCTGATGCTGATGTGGATAACATTGAGTGGTGTCGACTTTGCGGCATTCCCGAAATACCCCAGTACTTTCGCCTGGAACATCAACAATTTGTTTTGGAAACGCCTAGAGTTCTGTTGCGAAAGCTTCTGGCTTCGTTCGGCACTGGGAAGCCGCTCACTTCGCCCTCAATCTCCTGCACATCTTCTGTACAAATAGAAAAATACGTGGATATAAATTTTAGGGGGTCAAAGCAGCAGGGGAATACGTAAGTATGTAAATTTCTGGATGACAAGCTCTAAAGGCTGGCCAATACATTTGGTAGTTGGGAGCCTCTCGAATGGGACAGATACAGCGAGTTTCCAAATACTCAAGCGATTAAAGCCTCTAGAAAAAGAACACACTCAAGGATATTTAGATGTTCATCTGCAGGTGGGCATTATTACCTATCAATTAATTTCATTGCTCGATTCTGTCGCGTCCTAATTGTCCATGCCGATTCCCTAAGTCCTACTGCTAACACCAAAAATATACTCTTACCCGATCCCGATGGCCACTTGGCCATCCATAAATACTCCTTCCCAAATCCCTATAATAACGTATATCAGTGCAGCATTACCCTAAAATAATGTGCGAACATTCAGTGCTAGATAGGTGAGAAGACGCCTCTCCCAAAACATTTACAATACGGATAAATAATTGTTGTTGTTCAGCAAATCTCGGGCACATCGGCTTGCTCGGATGTCCCTACAAAATGTTGCACCCGGATCCGTGCATCACCTCGCTGATGAACATGGGCGTGCCGGCGCCCAGTCCGCCGTCCGTCTTCTGGTGCTCGTTCTGCGGATGGAAATGCTCAGTAAGTATGGAGTGATCGGGGATACGTGGAGTGCCACTCACGTCATCGTAGTCGCAGTCGAAGTAGTGGCTCTGGCACTCCATGCAGCGACAGCTCTCGGACATCTTGCAGGTGATGCCCCACTGCTTGGCCAGGTCCTTGTAGATCTCCTTGCTCGTCTTGTTGCTCATCATCTCCGGCGTGAGCAGGCTGGCGTTACAGCCTTGCTGCTGCTGCTGTTGCTGCTGCTGCTGCTGCTGCCTCCTTCCTCCCCGTCCACTCCGGGATGCAGTCGATCCGGAGGCGGAGCCGGAGCAGCAGGCCTCCTGGCACAGTTGGCCGCTGCCGGAACCAGGTCCCACACTCGCATTGCCGCCTGAAAAAAACGGAGTTCCCTGTTTGATTGAGTTATTGAGTTTTGCTTTCATTCACCATCGCTGTAGTTCCCGTAGCTTCCCCGGTTCAGAAGGGGATCGTAGAAGTGGTGGCCGCCACCTGCGCCGCAGGCCGCCTGGCTGCTCGTGCTGGCCGCATCCCCGTCGAAGATCGCCTCGCCGCGCTCCTCGCTGCACTGGGCACACTGGTCGTCCTGGCACTGGTCCTGGTCCTCCACGCACACGCCTCCCTCCCCTTCGCCCGCGTAACGCTCCTCCTGGCGGCGCGAGGGCGAAGCTGCCATCTCCGTTTCCAGCAGGAACTCGTTGATGCTCAGCTGCTCCTCGCTGTCCGCCCGCAGCTCCAGTTCGGTCACTCCCTCGAAGACCTGCTCCCCGTCGTCGTTGTTGTTGTTCTGGTTGTTGCCCCGGCTGTGGTTGCCTTGGTTGGCTTGGTTGCCGTGGCCAGCGGTGGCTCCGTTGTTGTTCAGGTTCTGCCGGCAGTCGGGATCGTTGCAGATGGCGCCTCCATTTCCGGCCAGCTGCTCCAAGGCGGCACTCAGCTGGGCGGCGCTGTGCCGCGAGCTGTTCGCCGAGCTGCGCCGGCTGTTCTGGTTCGGAGTGGCACTGTCCAGGGACAGTTGTCGCTGGTGCTGGGAGAGCCGTGTGTTCTGCAAGGGGAGAGCAGCAATTCACTCATTTAAATTAGCTTAAAGGTTCAACAGAGCAACCCACTCCTGACTCCTAACCACCCAGAACTTACTTCTTCTAGCACATGCTCGTAGGAAGGCGGCGGGGTGGTGGGCACGGTATCCGCATCCGCATCCGTCAGCGATTCGTTAATGCACGGAGTGCGGCTCTGGTTAAGGTATCCTGCAATTGGTTTGGTGGCAGGGTTAGCAACATGGGTGTCCCAACAACAAGGGTAAATGCAGCTAGTCGTATTTTATTTAGGAGATTCCGAAAGAGAAGTTCTGTGCAACAGCGGTGGAAAGATTCGTGCGTGGAGTAGAACTTATGGGACCATCTGTAACTACTTGTTACCTAGTCTTGTGTGCGTGGGCATGCAATATACTACACAGAAAAAAAAAACTTTCAGAGGGCTACCATAGAATTACGTATTGCCTTGAAATATCTGATAAAGATATAAGATATAAATTGTTTTCCTAGCTACAAATGTGTTGTACTAATTTTTTATAGACTCTGTTTCATTCTATTTGCTTTAAATTAATTCATATCTTTAATATATACGAGTATTTCCCTGCTTAATACAATAATCTAATTCGGCTTGCATTCTAAGTCACATCCAAACTATCCCTTCAAAATTGTTTAAAAATATTAATGGGTGGTGAATATCAAATGTGTAACTAGCCTCTCTTGTGTTTCTTTAACAAATGTGTGACAAGTGTGTAACTAGACTCTTTTGAGTTTCTTGATCGCACACTATTGTGTGGCATCCGAATATGGATGCCCTGTTTGGGTTTGGGCAATTTCTCGCAGTGTGCAGTGGCTACTGTGTCGTCCTTACCCAATCGCATGCTGGTGTTGGTGTTGCTCGCGGGCGGCAGGAGCAGCTTCCGCTCGCTGCTCAGCTGGCCTGCCAGGCTGCCGGAGTCCGCGAGGTCCAGACTGGAGCTGCTGCTGGCCTCCACCGCCTCCTGCAGCGGATGCGGATGCTGGTGTGGGTGCGGATGCGGCTGCAGGTGCTGGCTCTGCTGCTGGCTCTGGGCGCCCAGGAGCGCCTCGTTGACCTGCGGGTCCGGGTCGTGCTCCTGCGAGGTGCTCCGCGAACCGCCCATCCGGAACTTAAGCTTGAACGGCGCCATGTGGGTCCGGGTCCACCTCCCGCTCCTCCTCGCCTGCCGCTCACCAATGGTTACTGTTCTACTGCGAGGGCTTTCTACTCGAATCAGGCATTGGATGCGGCGCCAGACTTGACAACACCGAGATTACGGAAAAGGTACAAAGATTACGGAAGTTACAGAAACGAGCCAGTGAGAGAGTCGGATGGAAAGGAAGGAAGAGGAGGGACAGCGGATTTACAATTCTATATCAGAGGTGCGGACTTAATTACGAACAGAGAGAAGTGAACACAGATATTCCATCAGGTTTACATCGATATTAATTCGATTTGCTTTCAGCTCTTCTGGCCTTTAATTAGTGGCATGCAACGGCTTTGATTTAGCTTAATTATCGTTCAGCTTACAGCTCAAATTACCTGGTTGTCCGAATTCAGTGGCCTGCAATTGAATGACAAAAACATTTCGAATGTGAGTAACATATTTGGAGGGATGAGTGGTTCAGTAAATTGACTCAAAAATATATACCCGAACTATTTCTTGTTCCCTGTTAAATATATATAATTAAGTATTTGCTATGTAAACTGAGCTAATTAAGAAACATAAGTCAAAAATCGTTTCTGAGTATCGCCTACTTGTTCTGATTTAAAGTGTGTAGTGGCCACATCACTTTCTCCACAATTGTTGTGACCGCCTTTATAGCCGCACCCCTGAGCTGTTTATAGTTTCTTTGGGGCGCGACAAGTTGCTCGAAATTGGTGCACCACCTCCGGCCACGCCCCTTGCGCCCCTTTGTCATTATTATGCAGATTGCACAAAACCCACTTTCGCATGCCCATCCAAACGATCCGAGATGCACAAAGTATGTCTTGGCGCAGGCAAACTATTATTATGCTTATTGCGCCGAGGAAGCTCATTAAGTCTTGTTTGGAAACGTCCTTGGAGGATGCGCCCCATGTGGGTGCCTGCATCCCCATTAAGCCGGAGTGTTTCGCCTATTTGCATAACGATACCCATCAACTCTTGATTGATAGCCCATCACCGCCGAGCAGGTGAAGGACGGCCTCAGTTAATTCCGCAAACATTCATCTTTCCATATTTGCCGGCAATAAACTGAAAACTGGCGGTGTTGACTCAGCAAGCAGATTCACACGGAACTGCTGATTGGATGCACCCCAGTCCCCATCTGGAGGAGTCGCCGAATAATTGCGGGGAACACTTTGAGTCAGTCCCCCCAAGCCACCCGCACTTTGAGCGATTTGTGCGCGACTTTCTTGGAAATTGTTTGGTGAGAGGGTTGGGGGAAAAGATTATTTAGCTATGGTTTTAACAGACTATTCAAATGTTTTTTTTTTTGACTGAAACACAACCCAGTAAAAAAAAGAAATAATAAAAAAAAATCTATGAATTTGATTTCGAAAGTCGTTTTCCAATGCCACTTTCTGGTTACTTTGGGAGAACACATTCCACTCTCTCGGTTCCTGTTTTAAAGTCCTGTACGAACATTAGTGGGATTTCCTGACTCCAAAATTTTTCTTAAATTTCGGATGGAACCGCAAAAAAAGCAACTTGGTTTTATATCCACAGTATACGATTCAAGGTATTTGGTGGTGAGCAACAGTTGGTTTTTGGGTGGGGCCTCTTCCCTCTTAAATGCACATGCATTTCCGAGAAAGGGCTTATGAATTGGCAATGAGTCGCGGGATTTCAGACGAGTTTGGAGCGAATGGCTGCTCTAATATGGAAGCCAGCTTAATCTTTAATCGAAACTTTTGACTTTGAGCAATGGCAGAGCGTTTGACATTCTCATTAATTTCACAGCAGACAGCAGACGGGAGACAGCAGGAATCGCTCCCTAGCTTTACGGCCCGGACAGTTGGTTACGTGGCCGTGTCGTCCTGCAGTGAATTGTTTTCCCTGCTGCGGTCGTAAACAAGGATATTAAAACCTGACTGACTTGCCTCGTCCGTGGAGCCCAGTTGCAGCTCCTCCCAGCGTTATTCGATGCCTGGACAATATTCGGCCAATGCCGTTTAAAAATAGTTATGGTAGCTTGACCCAGTTGCCTGTTGTGGAGGCCCTGTTGGCGTTCTGTCCTGCTGCCAGGACCAAAATAACAACCATAGGTCCTGTCAAACGCAAATGCATTGCAGTTGACGCCAGCAAGGTCGCTTCAAATCCAGAACCTCGTCTCCCGCCACTTTCTCGGCGTTTTCCCTGCGACAGTGGATAACGGCCGAGATGTTTAAATGTCCTTATTCGCTCACCCTCGTCGAAGCTCCATCGGTGACCACTTTTTACCCATCAGCATAAAATGTACACTGAGGAAACCCACCTTGCTTTAAGGCACTAAGAGTGCGCACTAACTCTTTATTTAAAATAGATGCGATAAGGCCCCCAATATCTGATAAACCTTGATGAAGTGATAAACATAACATAATTTGATCAACTCTATATTTGAATTTGGAAACCAAAGACTTCAGGATCGAAGGAAAACGTTATGATATTTTTCTCTCTGCACTCCATTTGAATTCCGGCCATAAAAACGCTCGAAAAGTAAGTTCTTTGCCGTTATTGAGACGCGTTCCTCGCCGCGAGAAATAAATGTGTAGCTGCGTTTTTTACGCCCAAGTACTCGGCAGAGTGCCTTGTGGATTTCGGGGCAATGGCATTCGAGTTTCGAGCGCAGAGCGGGTGCGGCACAATTACACAAATTGGATATTAATGTGCTGCTCCGGCCGACACTTGAACCGCAATTAGTGGACATTCGAGGGCGCCCAGGTAAACAAACGTGGGTGCTGGGTGAGCCGGCCTGATAAGGGGTCCCTGCAGCCCCAGGACATCAATATCGATGATGAAGTGCCTGGTGGGGCATGGCATCATCGCCATTAGGAGGGGATATGTCGGAGTGTTTGACAGGATAGTGCGTCTGCCGCTGGAAAGCTGATACCGAATTGAGCAAACAGCTTGGGGCTTTAATTCGGCTTGTGGGGGTCAGTCGTGGCTGGTTTTCCCCTGCCACCCGCATTGTCCTTTGTGTTCTGGTCCCATTATGAAAAATCGAAAACACAGGCGCCTAGGACTCGGCAGCCTTGAAGCGCCCAGGACCGAGGAACAAGACTCTTACCTGCGGAAATTTATACCCGGATCGGATGGGGATTAGGTCGAGAACTAGTCCTTCGATTTCCCGATTGCACAGTAGCTCAGATGGCAATCACTTTGCCTCATTGCGTGTTGGGTTAAACTCAGTTTTTCTAGCACTAGCACTCACTAAAGTCCTCTGGGCCTTCTGACTGCCACAGACTGCGGAAAGCTGGCCGAGGAACCGAGCTTTTATTGTCCTGCAACGGCTGTTGAGCTTTCTTGGAGCGCCCAAGTTTGCGCAAGTCCTGCGCCTGCGCGCTTCTCCTTCCGGCATTTGTCCTCTCGGCTTCCTTTCGCACGGACCATCCTCGGCCATTTTGGTTTGGCTCCACATTCGCATGAAAGGGAAAGCTCACGGATGATGCGATCCCTCGTCAGGAAAACCTATTTATGCAGCCTTTGCAATATAAATATTACCATTTCAAGTAACCTAAATATGCTGTTGTACAGACTTAGTTCGATTCAGATCGTGATGCTGACCAAGAATATATATTCTTTATCGGGTCTGAAGTGCCTCCTTCACTCCGTTTAGAACCCCCGATTCAGGATTTAATTAAGAATTCATCGGTGTATGACATTCTGTATTTAGATCAGTACTTACCGAGATAGAGACAAAAAACCAAGTTTTTATAACTAACTTTAAGCTTCCTTTCTTGTTTTTCGATGCAACTTATGTAAAATCCTGCTAGATTAGTAAAACAGAATAAATGCTATCAACTAATAAAGTTTTTATTTAACTAAGATTTGATTCCTTTTGGATTTCAATAGCAGACGGGGGTCATTTTTGTACCGCACAAATATTTCGCTTTTAAAAACATCAAACTTTCTTCGATTCGCATTGTTCTGCTGCTCTCGCCAAGCAGGTCTCGCCTGCTTCCTTTGTAATCCCCAATGGCCGGTAAAAACTGGAGACAATACATAGAACTGATAGCCAGCTATATGCATTTCATACACCTGGAAAATAATAGACTGTAAGCAATTAAATTCTTAAATAAACTGGGGAACTCACTTGGGAGTTTCTGGTAAACCCGTAGCCCAGAAACCTTTCGTCGTGGGCGGGTGCGTTGTCTACAGCAATGTAGAATGGTTCATAGAGGAATTCAAAGTTTGTTACGATATGGCTTACTGAGACCTCCGTCTCACTTGCGTTTGTGGATAACCATCTTAAATAAAACACATACTGTTGAGATACGTTTAAAAACTAATTGGCTAAACTTACTTGGAAAAGTTGGTTGCATATTGGTTGTATATAAACACCTTTTCGTGGAAAGGTCGGGCCAAACCTTTTCTTATCAACCGTAGCAAAGAGTTCTTGGAGTGGGGAAACGTGGCTCTAACGTCGATCTCGAAAGTAGGGATTACGTAGGCACAACTTTTGGAGCAGTTTGCTGTCCTGAAGAATTGGTTTAGCTGCGGCACGCTGTTCGTGCTGGGCACAATGTCGATGTCGGTGAGAAAGACGTACTTTGTCTGGCAGCCCTTGCGCGCCAAGTTCCTCATGTGGTTTTGTGGATAGGTGTTTCTTTGCCGCCACTGCAGGGTTTTTAAAGATCGGAACTTGAGCAGCGATTTAAGCGTTCTATCCGGATACTGGCAGTCGAACTTGCCTCTCATATTCAGGGGGAGTGCCTCCACTCGGGGCAGCTTATCGTAGTCCCTGGGCGTAAGCAAATGAAACGTGGCATTCTCGCGGATGTTGGCAAAACACAGACGCATGTAGGTCACGAAATATTGCAGGACAAAGAACTCCTCGTGACCAGCGGCAAAAACGGCCACGGACATCTTTCCCTGCCAGTTGGCAGCCACCTGGGGCAGAGAATTGAGGCGCTCCACCGAAGTCTGTGTGGCCAAGCAAATCAAACTGCCATCGGAAGAGTCAATGTACTGATCGCCCAGCAATGCGAAGTCCTTGATCCTGTACAGCTGCTGATTGTCCCAGCGGCCAAAGCTAAGATCGATGTGCTCAAATGCCAACACTGCCGAGTTATTCGGAATCACAAAGCCGTCCAAACTGTTCAGAGGTTGCAGCAGTGCGTAGGCGACATCCGAATGCTAGGGACATTCAGCGGTGGCAGGACTTCGAGAAGCCGGTTCCAGAGTCTGGCATTTTTGTGGTACTTCCCCTGCCGGAGGATACACCTTCAAAAGCCAAAAGATGTTGACCGACAGGAAGGCCAACACAATTTTCAGAGAACTCCAGTTGGATATATGGCACTGTGAAAATAGTAAAAATGTTGAGATATCCTTAAAGTTCATTTTTTAAATTACCATTTTTCGTGCAGAACAAATATCACAAAATCGGTATTTATTAGGAAAACACAACCTTAACAACTCTTTATATATTTATATTACGTTAAAATCCAAAGGTCCTTGTAGTGTGACCGAAGCCTTGAATATGAAAAATAAATGTTTAGTCTTTTAACTGTGTCGAAAATACTGCATTTTTATGTTTTTACATTTATGTAATTATATATTCTCATCACTTATTCCAAAACCAGTTACCAAATTTTAAGTACTTATTTATTTAAGTTTTAATTCCAGAATCGGTTGTTCGTTTTCAGATGTTTCGATAAATATCGAAGAGCTATCGTGTAACGACCCCTAATAAACTGGTCACTCTTCATGCAGCCTGACCGTGCACCAGAGCAAAACTTTGTTCATATCTATGTAGAGTAATGTATTCATTATATACAAATATACATGTTGAAAACAGCGAGATATTAAATCGAGAAAAACATTTTAAATTAATATAAAAACAAACTAAGGAGCTTGGTCTTCAAAATAAAAGTGGCAGACGTAACTAACCGAGAATCTCAAAACCGAACACCAATAAAAATAACCTTCCAATCGTGCATATAGAAATACACCCATATGTATAAAATAACAATTATCAAGAACCTGTGTTATTAATTCTTTCATCTAAAAAGCATAACCGCCGGCTGAATGTAATGTGCGTAAGATTGTTTATCACCAAAACTAACTACAGAAAAACCTGCTTGTAACTTGTGCAAAGAAAAAAATCTTGACAGTTTATGTGCACAATTAAATTAATTAGTTTTTGATATAATGTCTGGTGATCCCATTTGTTTTGATAAATTATTTCCACGCCGATTAAGGACTGAGTTACCCTCTTTAAGGCTAAAAATCCGTCCCGGTTACAGTTTTAGTATGTACTTGGGTATATGAGTATGTAACGTGCATACATGTGTGGCTTATAAAAGGAAAATTAAGTTTAAATGTTCTTTAAACGTTGTAGTTGTAAGAGCACTATCGTTCAATTACTATATGGGAAATCTGTTGGCAAACCCCTGCAGTTACGAACAGTTTTATAAATGCCTTCTAGAGGCTAGCAACATTTACACCTGTTTGTATGTAATTACATATAAACAGCGGCATTTGATAAGTGTCAGCATCCAAGTTTTAAATTTATTCATGCCAACTAAAGACGATCCCTAAGTACCAATGTAATAGCCAATATCTGAGGTAAGGAGATTTAGTTTATTACAAGGCCACCGGCTCCAAAAATGTATTAATTGATTGTGCTACAGTTGTTGCGTATATACTGCTTATTGTATTCCCCTTCTTGATTACCCCAAATCTCATATTAAGGATTTGTTACTCGATAAAAAAATTAATAATTAAAACAAATAATAAAAGCAAGCAAATCTAATCAATGTCCTCCTTTTTTACAGGGATACATCAGAAGCCAATATGGAAGAATCAAATCCCAATTACGATGTTAACCAAAGACTACAGAAGCCAGAGGGTTGGCCCATCGTCAACGAGTTTCATCCCTCAATGATGTATCCGGAGGACCCGAGACGGTACTTCCACAATCCCTCCACAGAGCCACAGCCAGAACTGCATGCCGGCATACCGGTACCAGGACCAGTACCAGTACCAGTACCAGTACCCATACCTATACCCATACCCACAGCCATCGCCGGAGCCGTCGAATTACCAACTAAAATGCCAGAATACTGCCCGGAAATGAGCCAGCATGTGGAGCCCGACCGGGTAATAAATCCCCTGGTCGAGGTGCCCAAGAACACAGTACCTAATGCCCACAAGCGGAAAAACTCCGGGGCAGACGACCAGGCTGCAAACAAAAAGATCAGCCTGACGGCCGCCGAGGAGAAGAAAAACAGTCATCTGCGGAAGAACATCCGCGATGTGATGAACGAAAACAACCTAGACACCACCACCCTGGCTGCGCAGCGAGAGGAGTCCGAGCGCTTGGCTCGCGTTGCTGGTCAACAGAAGTCAATGCGTGAGATCCAGAAGCAGGTTGTGCACAAGCAGTTCTTCCGCATTCTCCAGCTGGACGAGAGCGAGGGCATAGAGAGCTGTGCGGTGGCCAACCCCCCGAGAATCCCCACATCCCTTCCGTGGACTTTCCTGAGGAGGAAATCGCGTCGGACACATTCGACGAGTCGAACAGCAGTAGCCTCAGCGGCGGCAGCATTGAGGACGTGCTGCACAAGGAGGCCAGCGTGCAGCAGCCCAGCGAGGTGGTCACAATCGATGACAGTTCCGACGACGACTGCATCCTCCTGTCCGAGGAGGAGGCGGAAGACGAGGACGAGGACTTGAATGAGTCGGACGATGCCACCAACAGCGGCATGCATGTGAAGGACGCGTACAATGTCCCCGACGAGAACGGTCAGGTGGTGGTCAACATAGCGCACCCCGAGGGCGAGGAGACCCTATACCTGGCTCCACAGATCGCAAAGGTGATAAAGCCGCACCAAATCGGGGGCGTGCGCTTCCTGTACGACAACATAATCGAGTCCACGCGGAGGTACAACAAGTCGAGCGGCTTCGGCTGCATCCTTGCCCACTCTATGGGTCTGGGCAAGACACTGCAGGTCGTTTCGTTCTGTGATATTTTCCTGAGACACACCTCGGCCAAGACGGTGCTGTGCGTAATGCCCATAAACACGCTGCAGAACTGGCTGAGTGAGTTCAACATGTGGGTGCCGCGCTATTCCGCAGATGGTAATGTGCGGGCCCGCAACTTCGACATCTACGTGCTGAACGACCAGCAGAAGACTCTGACGGCCCGGGCAAAGGTGATCCTCAACTGGGTGCACGAGGGCGGCGTGCTGCTCATTGGCTACGAGCTGTTCCGCCTGCTGGCACTCAAGCTGGTCAAGACGCGCAAGCGGAAGGGCAGCGTCATCCGACCCGACGGAATGGATTCGAGCAGCGATCTCATGAATCTGGTGTTCGAAGCCTTAGTGAAGCCGGGGCCGGACCTGGTAATCTGCGACGAGGGACACCGCATTAAGAACTCGCATGCCGGCATCTCGCTGGCACTGAAGCAGATCCGGACACGGCGCCGCATTGTGCTGACAGGCTACCCTCTGCAAAACAACCTGCTCGAGTACTGGTGCATGGTAGACTTTGTGCGGCCAAACTACCTGGGCACTCGCACAGAGTTCTGCAACATGTTCGAGCGGCCCATCCAGAACGGCCAGTGTGTGGACTCCACTCCGGACGACATCAAGCTGATGCGCTACCGAGCGCACGTGCTGCACTCTCTGCTGCTGGGATTCGTACAGCGGCGCTCGCACACGGTGCTCCAGCTGACGCTTCCCCAGAAGTACGAATACGTCATTCTGGCCAAAATGACCGCCTTCCAGCGCAAACTCTACGACACCTTCATGACCGACGTGGTGCGCACGAAAGCCTTTCCTAATCCGCTGAAGGCCTTCGCCGTTTGCTGCAAGATCTGGAACCATCCGGATGTTCTGTATAACTTTCTGAAAAAATGTGAGACTGATTTAGATTTAGAAATCGACGAGGAGGTGTCCAAGGTCGTTCCCACCCCGACGGTCGAGCCCAGTCCAGAAAATTCCTTGAGTGTGGCTTCGCCACTGTTCGAGAAGAAAATCAATGGATCCGGCGAAACGGTCAATAGTATTGATAGCTTGCCCAAAGCCGAACAACCAAACTTATTTAATATGCCTGCAACATCGGATTTGAATGCTAAATATTTAAACAAGAGGTAGGGTTTTCGCTTCTTCACTTTGTCATTTTTATATTTACTTATAATACTTACAGCCCTAGTTTCTATGACGAAAAGCCAGAGCCACTTAATTATGGAACTTTCGGCAGCGAGGGAAAAAATAACTACTGGATGGAATCCAGTATTCTTCCAAAGCCGGGATGCGTAGAAGTCATAAAGCAAACAGACACAAACATGTCGAACAACTTTGAAAGTATTACGGGATCTTCAGAAATCGTCGATCTGGACACAAACGAAATAAAAACTGTCGAGACGACAATACAAACGCCGTGCTCCAACAATCAAATAGAAAATGAGTGCAGTTCGAGCAAAGCAAGTGAATGGAGTGCCCCGGGCATTAAAAACGTTAGTGGCGTTGCCGCCGAGCCGTTTAAAAAGTTGCTAAAGAGTAAGCAGCGAAACGATGAATTTTCATGCTCGTGGGCCGTTGACTTAATGAAGAACTATGTGTCGGGCCTAATATCAAATTCGCCGAAAATGGAAATTTTCTTTTGCATCTTGAAGGAGAGCCTGCAGTTAGGGGATCGTATTTTGCTGTTTAGCCAAAGTTTATTAACCTTAAACCTACTTGAAGTGTATCTAAAGTCTAGTTATGTCCCTGGAAGCAATCAACTTTGGTCAAAAAACAACTCTTATTTTCGTAAGTATGCCAACCGATTAGATAACACTCTGTCAAATCGAATTTCTTTGTTTCAGGTTTGGATGGTTCTACTTCTTCGCAGGAAAGGGAAAGGCTAGTCAATGAATTCAATGCAAATTGTAATGTTAAGCTTTTTTAATATCTACAAGAGCCGGCTCGCTGGGAATCAACCTTACTGGAGCAAACCGCGTCATAATATTCGACGCTAGTTGGAATCCCTGTCACGATACACAAGCTGTGTATCGGATTTATAGGTAAAGAAGTTTTAAATTAATTGAATCGCCAGGACATTTACTTAAATGCTGTCCGCCATTTTCAGATATGGACAGACAAAGCCCTGTTTCGTGTACAGAATTGTAATGGACAAGTGTCTGGAGAAAAAGATATACGATAGGCAAATCAAAAAGCAGGGAATGTCTGATCGAATTGTCGATGAATGCAATCCTGAGGCACATCTTTCAATGAAGGACATTACCAATCTCTGCCACGACTATGACTCCGACGAAGAAACTGGAGACGAATTGAACAAGACGGCAGACGAATTGAGTAAGCCAAGCTCGCCATCGGAGAACGGCATTAAGAAGGAAGACGAAACTAATTTGTCGTCAGATGAGCCAAAAAAATCGGAAGAAGGGCAAAATAAACCAGCAGACGATCAAACTGAGCATCAAACACTAAATGGGGCTTCTCAATCACCAATTAAGAATGAAAAAGATGATGTTCGGGAGAATATTGTTCATGCCGACTCAATAATTAACACCATTCTCGAATTGCACAGACACTGTGTGACAAAGGAACCATTCTTGCACGAAAGTTTGTTGGTTGATCAAAAGGACAGAAAGCTATCCCAAGCTGAAAAAAGACAAGCTCATCGAAGCTACGAATTGGAAAAGAAAGCCGCCGTCAACCAGCGATTTACATATACTCCTGCTAAAATGCACTATAAGGTCGTAAATAACGATGGAACTGTAATTACAAAACCAATGAATCAAGTAGGTACTAATGTAAAAAAATTAACAAAATCTTACACTTTTATTTGATACGTTTAGCAAATTAAGACCAATACGTCCTCTTCTACTGGCGGACGTTCAACTCGTTGGATTCCCGCTGACGTTTGGCAAAGACAGGGAATGACTGCCCAAGAAATGACGCTACCACTTGGTAAATTAACTTTTTTCAATACCAAACATTTTACTGATCAACTGTCTTTTAGACGTTGTTATTCCCACAAATTCGGCCGATAAAGCCAATATAATTTTGAAGGCAGGCCAACGTGTAATGGTCCTGAAGTCGGCTAAAGGTATTTACATGCAGTTGGATAGCGGGAAGATCATTGCTATAAGGACTACAGCAAAAACTGAACCAGAAAAACCAACAAATAAGGATGACGTGATCGACATTACTTCCGATTGCGACACTGACACGGCAAAGCCGCAAACTCCGGAAGAAGGTACGGGTGTCAGTTTTGGAAAAAAACGTACTTGATACATATTTTATATGATTTCAGATGTAAAAGATCTTACAGCTGATGACGAACCACACTTAGTGAAAAACAGGGAATGCTCACCAGCAACCACTAGCCGGCCAGAGATTTCAGCCAAGGATCGAAAGTCGACGGAGAACATGCTAAATTTTAAGCCGCAAACGCAACCAAATAGTACTTTAACCATACCGTCAAATCAGCATCAGCTGCCATGCGATTTGAATTACCCACAGCAATCGCAGCAACAGCAAACTCAGCCGCAGTCGCACCAACAACCGCAGCAGCAAGCACCGCCACAGCAACCGCCGCAGCAGCAAGCCTCACAGGCGTACAAACACCAGAATCACCTGCCGAATGCTGGCGAGGGCTACAACAATGCCAACAGTATTCAGCCCAATGCGACACTACCACCGCATCCTGGAGCTCCAAGTGGAGAAGCGGCGACTTCAGCGGACAATTCGTACTTTCAGTCCAAGCCTTTCCAGCACACATATCCCCCCCAGTACTACGATTACTATGACAATAAGCACAAGGCCGCACCGCCTGCTTCCAGCTACCACATCAATAACTACACCTCGTACGGCAATCTGAACTTCGCCCCGTATCACTCGAATCTGCATCCTCCGGCAGCTTACATCGGTGCTCCGTCGTCATACGTCAACTCAAACGTCTTCCCGCGACAGCATTGGAGTTCGGTTGTAAACTCACCAGCGTCAAACGAAGCTATTCGGCAGCCATCGTACATTGGTAGTAATTACCCCATCAACGAATGGTCGTCCCAATAGCGAGTGTAAATAGCCTAGGTCCATATCTCCGTGTCCAGTTGAGGGCTTGAAACTGTTTACTGTGTTGTTTTGTTCGTGCTCAATTTTAAACGATGCTTTCTGTATAAAATAGTATTTGAACAGTTTGTTTTTAATCGCTTAGTTTACATTTTTTATGTATTAAAAAAGGGCCTAAAATGTTGACTTGTTAGGCGGAGCTTTAGCCGTTTCGCAAGTTATAAACGCCTAAGAAGCAAACTGTCTTATTAAAGCATTATCATTATACTAGACAATTAATGAGATCGCATAACTGATCGAAAAACCACACGCAATGCTTCCTATACTTATTAAACTTCAATTTTACCCATAAAGTTCTTAAGGCTTGTCAATCTGAATCATTTGGAAGGCTTATTTATTAAGGTGTTACCTTGACTGGACAAAAGAGCTCGGCCTTTATTCCTTATCATTATTTTCATGTAATTTATTTATTATCTTATCATAGTAAATTCTTTTTTAAAGCATAATTACGATAAGTTATTAGTTTCCATTCAGAAAATACAAACAAAATCTAAATAAATATTCATAGGTCGTAATATACTGTTTAAGCAATCGTTCAACCCAATTGTATTTAATTTAAAAGCCCATGAATAGAACAACTCATACGGAATAACATTCGAAATTGGTCTCCCTTTCGGACAAAGGTAGCAATACCCCGAAAAGGAAACTAGAAAACATTGACATTAGCCTAGATAATAGCACATTCGAAATAATAAAAAGCTTTGATTAAACAATGTTAGGTCTAAGCAATAAAGAAAAAGTATTAAACAACCGAATCGCTTCTGGCTTCTAATTATTTGAAAAGTTAGGCGATCGGATTGAATTGTTAAATTGACGTATTATATATTTATTTACAGCACACATTAATATACAAATCATACTCAATACAGTAACATATAAAATGTGCGCATCTATTATCTGCGAATAGAACCGTTGAGAGGTAAGTAGGGGGAATACGTGGGGTACATCGGGTTGGAGGGCGTGCCCCGCTGTAGCACGCAGGCATCCTGGTACTGCGATGGCATGTTCATCATCTGCATCGGGATCTGCGAGTTGGGGTACTCGCTTCCCGAGCTGTAGCTTCCAGTAGGCGGGGACTGCTGCGGTGACATGCGGTAGCTGTTGATAGCTCCGTAGGGAGCCATCAAGTTGGGACTGATGTGCACGTTGGCCCGTTGGTTGTTGCCGCTGCTCATGGACGTCGAGGTGTGCTGCACCGGGGCGGAGGGGGTGTTGCGGGTGTTCCGGCTCGCGTTCTGCGCCGACGCGATCGGCGGGATGTTCATGTTGCCCGGATAGTACTTGTACTGCAGAGGCGTCACCTGCGTCTGCAGCATGTTGGGCGGGGTGGAGATGTTCCTGTTCTGCATCAGCAGGTGCGGCGGGGGGGTCATCGAGTTCGGTGGAATGGGGTGATGCGGCGAGGGAGCGAGGTTCACCTGGGCTCCAGGCGACGTGTTGCACGGCTGGCTCTCCAGGCAATTGGTCAGCTGCTGCAGCTTGGCAATGCTGCACCCCGCCAGGGAGGCAGCGGCTCCTGCGCTGTTGGTCGACGTTATCGACTCCTGCCCAGCCTGCCGCTGGTCGTTGTTGCCCGCCGACGGCGGTCCGCCCAGGGAACTGGATACCGGCACCCGCGGCACGTTCTCCGCAGCGGGCATGTTATTCTGCAAGTAGAAGTTGTTGACGGCGCACGCCGATGACGGCTGATCGATGCGCTGGTGGCTATTGGCCAACGAGTGCACGGAGCTGTTGAGCGACATCCTTTGCTGGATGCCCACAATGTCGTAGTTCGAGGGATTGGCCGAAAAATTCTGGCTGATTTGCGGAATGGGCACATAGTCGATTGGCTGCATGTTCTGCTGGTGTCCGTGCTGTGAGAACTGCAGGTTGTGCAGGGAGTCGTGGTGCGACTTTGATATATTGGCCGCGGCCCCGCCCTGGGGAATCTGATGATGAGTATTCGTTGTGGTTGTCGCGGGCGCCGCGTTCTTGGCGTCCCGTTGCTGAGTCGTGTTTCCGCTTCGAATTTGCTTGGGCGTGGTGGCTCTGTGCGAAGGTGTTGGAGAGCTGACCGCGATTTCCGCCTGAAAATGAGAGTGCCCATGAATTATTACACAATTATCAAGGAATTCGATTTGGGTATATTACCTGGGCATTCAGTTTCCTATTCTGATGCTGGTGCTGCGGATTGCTGAGGAGATTGATGTTCGACGAGCCCTCCGGCGCCATATTAATGTTCAGATTGTTTTGCTGCTGCATGTGCGAGTTTTGGATGGACATGTGCATGGGCGTGGTCACGGGCTGGTTCTGCATGGAGCAGTCGGAGAACTGCCTGTGCGGCTGGTGCATATGGACGTTCGGCGAAGCTGCGATTTCTTGCGCCCCATGGGCGATGGCAGAGCCAATATTGGCCGGCGACTCCATGTTAATCTGGGCATTGATCCCGCAATCGTAGTGCTGCATGGTCGCATTCGTCGAGGACTCAGTGTTGTATACTAGATTGGGGTTTACGTCGGACTGGCCGCCGCCCACTTGGAGATTAGCATGCTGTGCGGAAGCGTGAATGTTGGGGTGGCCAATCTTATTAAGCTTTCCCTCGCGGGAAATGACTGAAGCCGCGTTGACACCGTGCTCCACCTTCTGCTTGGCGGGCACAGCTCCTGACTGGGCGTTCACTGGATTGGGCATCAGAACTGTCGCTTCGCTCGGGTTTGCCTTGCTCTGTCGTGGCACTGGATTCTGGACATTGGCCAGGGCCTTCATCTGCTGCGCCTGCTTTTGCTGCGTGACGCACTTCTGGTTGTAAATGGCCGCCTGGTTGTTGCCCGCATACTCGTTGCACTGCTGGACGTGCACCTCCTCGCGGGCAGAGCTGACCACGTTCGACACACTAGACACCACCTTGGAGTGTTCCTCCTTCTTGCCGCTGTTCTTGCGCTCCACCTTGTGCTTCTCCTTGGTCTGGTGCATCTGGTGATGGGCGTGCTGCATGGCCAAATTGGCGGATTGGTAAAGGTTTTGCGTGAAATTGTGCGTATAGGCCATGGTGGTGGCCAGGTCCTTGTGGAACTGCTTTTGGCCCTTTTGCGAGGCGGCGTCCAGGTGCGAGAGGTTGTAGCCGTAGTAGTCCCACTGCCAATACTGTGAGCCGTGGTAGTTCGGCATCTGGTTGAGTGGGAACTGGGAGGGAATCGAGTTCTGCAGCTGGGCGTGCTCGTTGCCCTTCAGCTGGATTTTGTCTCGGATGGGAATGGGAGCGGAGGGTGCCCTTGCAATTGACTTCTCCTCCTCCTTGACCTGCACTAGATGCTGGTCGGACTTGATTACTTCCTTTTCAGCAACAGCTGCCACCTTGCTGGGCTCGTATTTCTTTTCCACGCTGTTAATCTCCGGCTTCACAACAGTTGCCTCCGACACTGTTCTCCTTATTGCCTTTTCCTTGACATCAACGTTTTCCTTGGCCACTGGCAGCTCTAATTTTTCCGGTGCGATCTTTTCCTTTACCGGCTGTGCTTGTAGTTGCTCCACAGCGGAGCAAGCATCTGCGCGGTTAACAAGTGGATTCGACACAGGGACTTCCACTTTCTTCACTCTTTCCGTTTCTGGCGGTTTTGGTAATGCCTCACTTGGCTGAGCGATCACGGTGTCCTTGTCCTTTTCCTTCGGAACAGAAGGGGCAGGCGCCTCAGGCACTGATTTCTGCACTGGCAGCACTGTAGGTGGAGCCGGGGATTTTTTCAAATAGTTCACATCCAGCTCCATTTTTTTTCCTCCACGGGGTTGTTAGCGTTCTCGGTACTCCCAGGAACCTTGACCTGCTCCACGGGCTGGGCAGCCACTACAACAGGTTCCGCTTTTTCGGGACTCTTGGGCTTTTGTTCCGGCACTTCAAGCGGCTTGACCTCCTTTGTTTCGACCTCTTTGGATGTCTCCTTTACCTGCGGAGTGTTAACCACTGGCTTATCCTGCGCACTAAATTTTACATCTTCAGTATTGTACGAAGTAACATCGGAGGAGAATAAGGTCTTCTTGGTTTTCTTAGCCACTGCATCGAGCACTTGTTCGCTTACACTGCTGGCTTCGCTCTCGGTCTTTGCCGAATCCTGGCTTTTCTCTGAAATCTCAGTTTTCGTCAACTGCACCAATTCTTTAGTGGTTTTCTTGGCTGGACTTAGTAAAGAAACATCACCAGGATCCGAAGTGGTATTCCCATTAAATTGAGATTCCTCTGTTCTTTTTCCATTGGACTGTTTGCCCCTTAATTTGGGTACGATGTTAACCGGTTTGTCGACGTGCTCCTTTTCCAGAACACTTTTGTTTATCTCCTTGGCAGCAGTTTCTTCCAACTTGGGTTCACCGTCGGGTAAACAAACTTCCGATTGACTCTGTACCGGAGGATTTTGGTCGCTTGAAAAAGCATTGCTCTCCAATGGTCGGTCGAAATGTTTCCGTTTGTTGGTGGGGGAATTATGTCGTTGCGTTTGGCTAATCGCTGAGCCCTTTTAGTGAGATGCTCCGACAGTTCTTTAGCAGATTTAGAGTCAGATGAGTCGGACTGCTCACCAAGCGACTGATCCTCAAGGTGCGGCTGTGGTGCAGACACCTTGAGTTTTTTTGCCTCATTCGGAGCCGATTTAAGGAACTCTTCCGGGCACGCACGTTTTCTGTGGTGTTCTCTATCTTCCTGCAGCTTTTCTAAGCTAGGCCCCCTATTCCTTGCTTGAACCTCTTGACTGTCCTGATGCATCTTCGGGGCAGTGGGCACACTTTGCTTTACGACCACTTTATTATCTTCATTCGTTTCCTTCAAATCGGATTTCTTCTCAATTTGGTTGTTCAAATATTCGCGATTCGAAATCGGCTTGATTATGTTGGGCACTTTCGAAACCGACAGCAAAGGGCTCCATCTCAAACAGTCCGCTTCGATGATTATTCGAGTCTTACTGTTGGTCATTTTATTATGATGGGCAACCACTTTCTTCCAGTCAATCTTCACGTTAATCTGATACCTTATGTCGCCGTCATTTTTCCGTAGCTTTATAAAGTTCAGTAACTCGAAGGCCAGGGCAATATCGGATATAGCTAGACCAGTTTTAATGGCTATATCCTTAAAGGTGATCTTTGTATGGTTGCGATATTTGTACAAGTACTCCAACACAACGGATTTCCAGTAGGAAAAGTACGAGAGACGACCTAAATCCGATAGCGGTTTTTCTGGGGTTCCCAACTGTCCCTCTTCGCGGCTCAACAAGTAACTGAAGTCGATTAGAAACCGTCCGTATCCTTGCCTCTGGTACTGCGGCATCGTTAGAATGCACGACACGTTGTACTTTTGAGTGCAGTGCTTTTCTTTTGAGAAGTAACCAACCAAATGGCACCCACTTTGATCATTTTTGGTCAAAATATAGAAAAGAAACGGTTCCACGTCGTAGTAAAGAGTTTTGTGGTCAAGAAAGAACTTGGCCAGCAGACACAAGTTCTGGCAATAGATCTTGTTAACATTGCCATCCACCTCGAACACCGATATGTTTCCTTGTCTGAATATTTCAGTGCCAGGCGGCTGCTTCCAAATGCACTTGTTCTGATGCCTGTCCAGCACAGAGCGACTCTTTGTGTACTTTAGGCAGAACTCACACAAAAACAGTTTCATTAACCTGGCGTACTCCTGCGGAAATGGGCTGGAGTACCAGGTTTCAATGTCCCACTTTCCAATTTGGATTGACTTGGGACTCTGGGTGTTCTGTCCGGGTTTTATATTTAAGTCATTTACTTGCTCGACGTGATTGTTGGACATTTGAACGACGGCCTTGTGCAGAACCTCTTGGTACAGTTCCACATCCGTAGCTGTTACTCCAGGCGGCAGCGGCTGGTTTTCGAAAGGATTGGCGCGCTTTGTGTTTTCCCCGGGCGAATCTTCATCGTTGTTTGTTTCTGCTTTGCCATCGGCTTCGCTGTGGGTTTCTCTGCATCGTTCAATCTCTTCCATGAGCTGAACCTTCATTACAGTCTCCTCTGTTAAATACGGAATGTCGTCTTCGCACTTTTCGTACGACTTGCCCACTTCAAGGGGCATGCTCTTCAGGGGAATAATCTTTTTCTTTTGGCCATTTACGGTCGACCGTCTTATGGTCATTCCGACTATGGGCGTGGAACTTTTGTCAGGTGTAGAAGAAGCTACTGGCGTGCTCTTTTGCGTCCGATTGGCAGCTGGCGACGTCGCGAACGCGTTCCCTGCTGGCTTGGTGTACGCAATGCTCTTGGCACTGGTGTTGTTTTTTGATTTAACAAATATGTCAATTGGGTTTTTTGCCACGGCTGCGAAGCCCCAGTTTTCACTTGCCACCTCACTGTTGTGAGGCGAGCTTAAACCTTCGCCGGTGTTAAGTTTAGAGCAGCTCTCCTTCTCGTTCTCAAAGATCTTTCCCTTTAGAGTACTGCGATCCGTGTCATAATCCTCCTCGTCGTTTTCGTCATCGCATTCGGAACTGTCGCTGGAACTTTCGCTAGAGTCCGAGTCAGAGCTCGATGAAGTACACGAATCCGAGGATGTGCTCTCGTCCTGGTCGTTGTCGTCGCCATTTCTGTTCCTGTCGTCGTCCTCATCGTCGTCATCTTCACTTTCGCTCGACGAACTTGTCGATGAAAGGTCCGAAAAGGTTCGCTTCCGCGTTTCCTGGCTAGCCAAGTAGCCTCCCTGTAATACATGCGACCTCTTTTGCTTGCCGGGGAACTCGAACTGATCTCCGCTGTGATTCAGTTTTCTCGAATTCAAACTGGCGGCAATTTTTCGCCTCTGACCATTGCCGTCATTGTAAACGCAAAGTTTCGAGGTCGATGGACTGTCTATGTGGCCCTCTTTTTTGATGTTTTGCCGCTTATTGGAGCCATATTTGTCAGAGGTGGTCATCCTGAAATAATAAGTTTTGGCTTAAAATGGGTGGACGAGTTTAAAAGAAAACTAACAGTACCTCTCATTGCCAATCTCCATTTTTACTCTTGCATTGTCCCTTTTCAGCAATTTAGGGTTGTCAATGCTTTGCTTGGAGCATGTTTTACACCTGTGAACAAATTGCCAGTTATAAAGTCCGGAAAAAATCTTAAATTTAATGTGGCTTTACCTGTATGGATGCTTGGGCTTCTTGTCTGGAATTGTGTCGAGACATGTTAAATGAAAGTGGTCTTTACACACGAAACACTGCAACAGGCAAGGTCCTCGGTTTCGCATCTTGCAGACGGCGCAGTCGGCGCAGTTCTGGCAATCCCAATTAGTGCCCTTGGTAACGAGCATGTAAAGCAGCACGTAGGATTGGGACTTACATCTGCCGGCAATATTGGCGCAGGTAGTGTGCAGAGAAATGCCGCACTGTTTGCAAGAGCTCAGGGGTTCTGGGATGCCGTTGAGATTCTTCTGCGAGTTGCCCGAGCAGTGGGTGCAACTCTCCTCGCCTTTTATGACCACGTCTGAAGCAGGCGCACATTTTCGCGGCGTTGTAAGGGATTTACCCTTCTTGTATAGTTTTCCCTCCTGTATCAAAAAGCCGGCATCCACAGCCTTCTTAATGGACGCCTTGATAACGGCCTTAAAATCTACATTGGGCGACAGATCAATGCAGTTGAACTTTTGGATGTAGTTCTCTATGCTCTTAATCGTGGACCCTTCGCATTCGCCCAAATCGTGGACTGCCTTGGCCACTAGCTTGTACAGATTGGTGTTCTTGTCTACTTTAATGCGCCGCTTGGCCATTGGAGCCTTGTAGGAGTGGAGTCCCTTGTTGTAGACTTTAATAACTGCTCCCGACTCGACTGCCTTCTCTAGTTTCTCGGCCACAATGTCCTCATGAAATTTGTGATGGGTTCCGATCGCTTGACAAATCCTCTGCACTGAGGGCCTTTGTTTTTGGGACCTGATCTTCGATATGGCCTCGAGGATCCACTGCTTCCAGGTGTCCATGCTTATATCGTGAGCCGACTCCCTCATCATGGCTTACTAGAAGGCATTCAAAATTAATTTTTTTGGATTTATGTTATTCTTCAAAACCAAACTTAAAAACGTGGATTGTTAAGTATAGCAGCACTAGTTATTACCGAATATTACTAAAACCGATATCTCGAGTAACACACACACATTTTAATATTGTTTGAGGATAAATGCATCCTATAGATGCGTTGAAAAGCACGTACGTATCTTTGATCGACAAGATAGCTTGACCCGCATTGTATTATTTGTCCGAAACACTATTTTTCTTAGTACACTCAAGCAGGAATACGAATTTACTGGTCGCCTTTCTTTTTCCCTTTGCACATATTCAGTTCCGGCAACTGCAGTGTATTCAGTTTGCGCTTTCAGCTTTAATAATTTGTAACCATGGCTTTCACACTATTCGATCACACAGTTCCGCTACAACTATCCCATTTTTTATGTACGTATCCACCTAACAAAAACTATTCTACGGCATACACACATATTTAGATACATAAGCAAGCCAGTATGCTCGTATGTACATACTTTTATTATTTCAGTTATGATGAAAGTAAGCACGAATGTATTTCGAACTGCGAGTTTGTCTCAACCCTTCATTAGTAACTCTACGATTAACGCGTCTGAAGACATTTATTATCTTGAAAACAATAACAAATTGTAATTTTGCAATGAAGTTCGATTCCCGAGTATTAGAAGGCTTTAAAGGGGCCCATCTACACTTTGCCACAACAAAAATGCGGCTATTTCGCAAGGCGGCAACTTTGGAATGACGGAATGAAACGATACTCCAACCCATTTAAATGAACAATTAAATAAATAAATAAGCAGTAATAGTGATTTTAGGAATCTTTAAATAATTTTATTAAATATTGTTAGATTTCATTAATATGAAACCTAGATTACGATATAAAGTTACAAACACTGACCCTTGAAGTTAATTATTTCCAGCTTAGCATTTTGACCAGGTGACGATTACACTCTTGTACAAAGTATATTTAAATTAAGGTAAAATTTAAGCAAACAGTTTTAACGTTTCAAGTCCATTTCTTTTATGTGCCCCAGTATGACCGTTCATGATGTTAAAATCTAGAAAGAATAATCAGTATTTTTGACAATATTTTTAGGCTCCCAAACATATCGATAGTGTTTTTCAACAATGTAAAAATCTATATTCTGTTACGCATTTCTGTTAGTCAACAGCTAGCTGAAAGCGCCTCCAGTGGACGAAAAAGCAATCTTCTACGGATTATTGTTCGGCTTTTTGCACTGTTTTGGATAAATATGATTTAGTCCGAGTAAAATAGAATCAAAATGGAATACGAATCTTCCGAAATTAGTGGTAATACTATTAGTTCAGTGACATATAAATCAAGAAGCGTGCAATTGTGTTATTTGTTGTTTGTTGACCATTTGTTTCTCGCACTTGTCAAATATACATACATATGCATATAAACAATTATTTATTTATATCTGTGCGGAAGAATAAGCGAACAAACAGACAAGTACTTACGCTTAGATACATGTGTATGGATTTATGCTTAATATACACCCTGCACGGGGGGTCGGCCAATACATATGTACTACCTCACATACATATTTGAAAAATCGAAACGGCCTGGATATGCTTTGTTAATAATGGTTACCAATACGAATAGAAAGGCCACTATGATTTATTAAATAAGTTTTTTGTTTTATAGTCTGTTGAAGTCTATTTCAGAAGAGGCTCTGTTTCAATCGCATTCAATTGTCGGTTATTTTCTCCCCTTATTTGTTAGCAAAGTACATATATGTATAAGACTGCAAGCCTGTGTTTCCACACGTTTCGGTTTCAGTCTCCATGATAACCCGCCCGTTCGAGCTGATTTTGTGCCCCCCGAGCCACATTTTTGAGATGGAAGGAGCCAGGTGATTACGACGTCAGTGGGTGCGGCATTTTAATGGGGCTTGCAAATATTGGCGATGACGGTCTACTTTTTCGGGTATTACAACAATTGACAATCTTGGCCAAAGTAGGACATGTCTCTTTTGCTAGATAACTTCTTGTTAAGAACTAAATATTTAAAAGTTGTCTGTTTACCTTCAGCTGTTTTCAAACCACCCATTTTGTTTCAGATATAACCACAGGAAGCTGCAGGAAAAGGCTTACATTTCTGAAATATATTTTAAGTGATACCACAAACGATCAAAAATGGGCAGCCGAATTCGGCGAAGACACGGAAGGACATCAGTTTTCACTGGACTATTTGTTGGACACCTTCATCGTTCTCTACGACGAGTGCAGCAACTCCTCCCTGCGCAGAGAAAAAGGGGTCTCAGACTTCCTCAAACTATGTAACTATGATTAAATTCTTTGAGCTTCTTATTTTGAACCTCACTTTTCTTTAAGCCAAACCCTTCGTGCACATTGTGCGAAAACTTCGACTGAGCCGCGATGATTTTGACATACTTAAAATTATCGGGCGGGGTGCCTTTGGAGAGGTTTGCGTGGTTCAGATGATATCCACCGAAAAGGTGTATGCTATGAAGATCCTGAACAAGTGGGAGATGCTAAAGAGGGCTGAAACGGCCTGCTTTCGTGAGGAGCGGGATGTCCTGGTGTTCGGGGACCGTCAGTGGATCACCAACTTGCACTACGCCTTTCAAGACAATATTAACCTGGTAAGTACATACTTCATTTAGTAGTTTCTCCGTTAAAATTCATGGGATTTCCCGTTTTAGTATCTAGTAATGGACTATTACTGCGGCGGCGACCTTCTGACGCTCCTTAGTAAATTCGAGGATAAGCTTCCCGAGGATATGGCGAAATTCTACATAACAGAGATGATTTTAGCCATCAACAGTATTCACCAGATTAGATACGTGCATAGGGATATTAAGCCTGATAATGTGCTTCTTGACAAACGTGGTCATGTGCGGCTGGCAGACTTTGGATCCTGCCTTCGATTGGACAAGGATGGCACCGTGCAATCAAATGTGGCTGTTGGCACACCCGACTACATTTCTCCGGAAATATTGCGGGCCATGGAGGATGGAAAGGGGCGCTACGGAACGGAGTGCGATTGGTGGTCTCTCGGAGTGTGCATGTACGAAATGTTGTACGGGGAGACGCCCTTCTACGCAGAGAGTTTGGTGGAGACCTACGGCAAGATTATGAATCATCAAAACTGCTTTAACTTACCGTCACAAGAAACCATTAACTACAAAGTATCGGAAACGTCGCAGGCCTTGCTCTGCAAACTGATATGTATACCCGAGAATCGGCTCGGCCAAAATGGCATTCAAGACTTTATGGATCACCCCTGGTTCGTAGGAATTGATTGGAAAAACATAAGACAGGGGCCCGCTCCGTATGTGCCGGAAGTGTCGAGTCCCACGGATACCTCCAACTTTGATGTGGACGACAATGACGTCCGGTTAACGGACTCCATTCCTCCGTCGGCCAATCCCGCCTTTTCCGGCTTTCATTTACCATTCATAGGATTCACCTTTTCGCTTAGCAGCAGCTCCGCCTTGGACTCAAAGAAGCACCAGAGCTCTGGATTCGGAGACGACACTTTGGACACCATAAGCAGTCCGCAGCAGGCCATCCTTCCGGGCAACAACTCGGAGGCGTCAGTGGACTCAGTTCAAGAAAAGCAGGTCAAGGCCCTAAACGAGCAGCTAGCAGCTATAAAACAGGAAAAGATCGAGTTAACGAAGCAACACAACGAAATTTTTGAGAGGCTCAAGTCTCAGGAGGCGGAACTCCAGGACGCAGTTTCCCAGCGAAACATCGCTATGATGGAGTACTCGGAGGTCACTGAGAAACTCTCGGAACTGCGCAATCAGAAGCAGAAGCTTTCGCGGCAGGTGAGGGACAAGGAGGAGGAACTCGATGGAGCCATGCAGAAGAACGACAGTCTGCGGAATGAGCTGCGCAAATCAGACAAAACTCGGCGCGAGTTGGAGCTGCACATCGAGGACGCCGTCATTGAGGCCGCCAAAGAAAAGAAGCTAAGGGAGCACGCGGAGGACTGCTGCAGGCAGCTGCAGATGGAGTTGCGAAAGGGATCCTCGAGCGTGGAGACCACCCTGCCCCTGAGTATTTCATCGGAGATGTCCTCGTACGAGATCGAAAGACTGGAGCTGCAGTTCTCGGAGAAATTGAGTCACCAGCAGACGCGCCACAACATGGAGATGGAAGCACTGCGTGAACAGTTTAGCGAGTTGGAGAACACCAACTTGGAGCTCAAGAATGAGCTACAGCAAACACAGGATAGGCTGAAGTTCACCCAGTTGGAATCAATTACTGATTCCGCCGAGACATTGTTGGAACTGAAGAAGCAGCACGACTTAGAAAAGTCGTCCTGGATCGAGGAAAAGCAGAGGCTGAGCTCCGAGGTGAATCTTAAATCGAAGAGCCTGAAGGAACTCCAGGCCGAGGACGACGAGATCTTTAAGGAGCTGCGCATGAAGCGGGAGGCCATAACATTGTGGGAGCGACAAATGGCAGAGATCATTCAGTGGGTTTCGGATGAGAAGGATGCGCGTGGCTACCTCCAGGCACTGGCCACCAAAATGACGGAGGAGTTGGAGTACTTAAAGCACGTCGGAACATTCAACAACAACGGTGTGGACAATAAAAATTGGCGGAACCGTCGCTCCCAGAAGCTTGACAAGATGGAGCTGCTCAACCTGCAAAGTGCGTTGCAAAGGGAGATCCAGGCAAAGGCCATGATATCGGACGAGCTGAGTCAGACCAGATCGGACCTAATTTCCACGCAGAAGGAGGTGCGGGACTACAAAAAACGATATGATTCCATTTTGCACGACTTTCAGAAAAAGGAGACCGAGCTGCGGGATTTGCAGAAGGGAGGCTTGGAATACTCGGAGTCGTTCCTGAGCAAATCAAGCCATCACGGTTTGAGCAGCGCGTTCTTCCGCGACATGTCGAAGAACTCCGAGATCATAGACTCTGCCGAGAGTTATGGCAACGAGTCCGGCGACAATTTCACGCCCAACTTCTTCCAGTCCGGCAATTCGGGCATGCTCTTTAACTACGAGCCAAAGTATGCAGGCAAGAACAGTAAGGACAGCTCGGCCGTGAAGGAAGTATCGGTCAGCGATTTGTCGCGAGAGGAGAGCGACCTGCTGGTCAAGGAATCTCAGAAGAAAGTGCCCGGCAACACGGCGATCCATCAGTTCCTGGTGCGTACCTTCAGCAGCCCGACAAAGTGCAATCACTGCACCTCCCTGATGGTGGGACTTACGCGGCAGGGAGTTGTTTGCGAAATCTGCGGATTCGCCTGTCACACGATTTGCTGCCAGAAGGTTCCCACCACGTGCCCCGTGCCCATGGATCAGACAAAGCGGCCACTGGGAATCGATCCCACCAGGGGAATCGGCACCGCATACGAGGGCTACGTCAAGGTCCCCAAATCGGGTGTGATCAAACGCGGTTGGATTCGTCAGTTTGTGGTCGTATGCGACTTCAAGTTGTTCCTTTACGACATTTCACCCGATCGGTGTGCATTGCCCAGTGTGAGTGTCTCCCAAGTGCTGGATATGCGGGATCCAGAATTCTCTGTGGGAAGTGTGCGGGAAAGCGACGTCATTCATGCCGCCAAGAAAGATGTGCCATGTATTTTCAAGGTAGGCTAACTGAAATTATTATGTTTAAAACCTTATTTTAAATATTTTTGCGTTCCAGATAAAAACCGCCCTTATTGACGGCGGACTGTCGTTAAACACCCTTATGCTCGCCGACAACGAGTCGGAAAAGTCCAAGTGGGTTATTGCCCTGGGCGAACTACATCGAATATTGAAAAGAAACAGCTTACCAAATACTGCTATATTTAAAGTTAATGAGATTTTGGACAATACCCTGTCATTAATACGTAACGCATTGTGTTCTGTCATCATATACCCAAATCAGATTTTGCTGGGAACAGAAGATGGCCTGTTCTACATAAATTTAGACCAGTACGGTAAGTGAATATATATTTTTAATATTTGTAGCCAGTATGAAAAGTGCAACTTACTTGTATTGCAGAAATCGCTCGTATTGGAGAAAGCAAGAAGATTCTTCAGCTATGGTACATTGAAGAGGAGCAGATTCTCGTTATTCTGTGCGGAAAACAACGTAATCTGCGTCTGTTACCCATCAGAGCATTAGAGGCTAGTGATGTTGAGTGGATCAAAGTAGTCGAATCGAAAAACTGCATATCTGCTTGCACCGGAATTATCCGCCGTTTCCCCAACATTGTTTATTCCTTTATCATCGCGCTTAAGCGACCCAATAACCACACACAAATCGTAGTTTACGAGATAAACAGAACGCGCACAAGACACCAGAAGACTTGCGAATTTACCATTGGCTATATGGCCCAGCATCTGCAGATCCTGTCTGATATGCGATTAGTTGTAGCTCATCAAAGTGGATTTACCGCCTACTTCTTAAGAGGAGAAGCCACTGCAATGTGTTAGTAGTGAAGTGATTTCAGTGATTTCGTAATCTTGAGTTCTTTTTCTATAGCGTTGGTACACCCGGAAAACCAGCTATGTGCGTTCTTGAACTATTCTGGAGTCGATGCAGTGAGGGTGATTGAAATTCTTTGTCCGAGTGGTGGCAACTTCGGAGAGTACTTACTGGTCTTCCAAACTCTGGCCATTTACGTGGATCTGCAGGGCCGAAAGTCACGAGACAGGGAAATAATGTACCCGGCCTTTCCAACGTATATAAGTAAGTATGGCGCAAATTCTTAGTGACTCGCTTTGTTCAATTGCTTTGTGTATACTTCTAGCATTTTGTGATGGTCATTTGTTGGTGTTCTCGGATACACATTTGGATATCTTCAACACTCAGACTGCTGAATGGGTACAATCGATTGGTCTGAAGCAATCACTCCCCCTCAACAATCTGGGAAATGTGGTGTTGGCTTCAGTAAATGACACCCCGTTAATTGTTTACCTATCCAATATTCACACGAGTAAGTAGGACCCGAGTTGTTTAAGACAGTTTTACAAAGTTCTTTTGTTTCTTACAGAGGGCCTTCTGCAATATCGCGATGGAAATCGAAAAGGACTTCCGAGTATAAAGCGCAGATTTTCCATTAGAGAGATTAACAAAACCATCAAAAGGTTGGGATTTACTTAAAAAACCAGCGCAACAAATCCATAACCGCCTTGTATTCTTGTAGTGATCGTAGATCAAAGATGATATCTGCGCCAACAAATTTCAATCACATTTCTCATATGGGGCCGGGCGATGGCATTCAAAATCAACGACTCCTAGACTTACCAACCACTCTCGAAACAGCCGATCAAGCCAGCAGTCCAATAATACATTCGTTGAGTTCCATACCCCAAACTAGAAAATCAAATTTTCTAGATCAAGGCAAGCTAAATTTTAGTGCACGACCGTGTCTCGTGTAATCAATTATATTTAATTTTATTTACTTTCAGTGGATGCAAACTCTGACGACTATGGCAATGATAATATAATCTCTAGAACCCCCAGTCCAATGGCATCGTCCTTTATGGACGGCTTGAGCAATAACGATTAGTTTCAGTCAAATCTCTACATATGTAGTTTACTCGATTTTTTAAGATAACTGTTTGTAATAAACATATTTAATTTCTCGAATATCAATCCTCTGAGTTTTAATTCGATGGCCAAGTGTACGTTTAAATCATCAAATAAACCGGCCCATTTTATATTCCTTGAGTAGGTCTGTTTTATTTGTATACATACTTAGTTGCATGATAAATACATACATTAAAAATCTTTGATTTGTACACAGAAAAATCTTCAATATTTATAATTTCCTTAATCCATATCCTAGCGTAACCTACTTCTTTGATTTTTTCTTCTTCTTCAAAATCTTGCTCTTTTTCTTGCTTTTTAGTTCCTTGCGTTTTTCACTTCTCAAGGACTCGGTTGACGAATATTTAGATTGTTTCTTCAGTTTCTTATCTTTTTGCTTCCTATGTTCCAGGCTGTTGTCCGAGGACACAGCCTCATTTTGTATCGTGTTATCATATTTTACAACTAAACTGCTCGACGAACTGTTGTCGACGAACTTCCTGAACGGGTTGTCGGGTCGACAGGGCTTGGGAGCAGCTGCCACAGCAGTAACGGAAGACACCACTCGGCTTTCGCTGGACTTCGCGTTCCTTCGGTCCCCCCTACGTTCCGAGTCTTCGCTATTGATTTGATCATATTTGGCGAGCTTGGGGTCGGAACGCTCTTTATATTGACGCCGTCCGTGCTTGTCGTCCTCCGGTGTATTCCGCTTGTAAGAACGCTCCTGTCTTTTGTCGGATCCCGTGTTCCTGTCCCGAGACCTGTTGTCCCTTTTCCGGCTGCCATGCCGATCGCTTCTGCCCCGGTTTGCATCGTCGTCGGAGCTCTTTGTTGTCGCTTCCCTTCGCCGGGCTTTCGACCTGTCCGGGGAACGGCTTCTTTCACTCCGAACCTTGATGCCCAGCCTCTCCTTGACCGACCTGCTGCTGGTACGCCGTGGTGAAGGCGTGCGATCCTTGTCGTTTCTGATTACAGAACGTTCCTTGCTGTTGCCCTTGGAGTTGATGATAACTTGAAACTCCACCGGCCTTATGGCGTTTATAGCCTTCGCAAATATTGCATTTTCGGCTTTTCGCAGCACATCCGATGTTATCTCGGACTGGTCATCCAAAGCCGCTCCAGATTTTTTGGAAGAGTCTTCCAAGCCTAAGTTGTTCTCCTCCAGTTCCCATTTAGACAAATTGATGGAATTAGCCTCGCTGCGTTTGCTTCTCGGACCAAGTTTGTCGTCAGTGACAAAATCCCCACTTAAGTGCTCATGGCTCTTTTTGGGATTAAGGTTTTCAGAAGTGTTGTGGGCGGGGGATATTGCAGCTGATTCAATTTCAAAGTTAGAACTTGCCTTCGGAGACAACAAGACCCTATAGTTTGTATCATTTACCAGTGATCTGTTGTTTATATCTGAATCAGATCGATTCACCGAGGAACTCTTTTTCTGACGTTCACTCTTTTCCTTCTTAGCCCGCTTGTCCTTCTTACTTTTCTTTCGTTCAGCCTTGTCCTTCTTCTTTTTTTGCGCTCCTTTGATAAAGGACTTTTTGCCTTGTTTTCCTTTCCTACATTGGCCCCCAAATCCGAATCGTTAATGGCAGGCTGCGGTGCAACTACTCTAGCCTTAGCCTCAAGACAATCATCGTGGGCCCTTTCCGGCGTTTTCGGTGAGCACTCGCGCTCTCGCAACTGAACAGCCGTCATTTTCGGAGTGGTGATCTTCGCCGGCGGCGTCAAGCTTCTGAAGTTGCCGTCGATCGCCTTGGAGTCCTTGCTCTTGCTGCGGGACCTGTGGCGTTTACGAGGCGCCTCTTCGTGTCTGCCATCCTCACTCTTCTTTAAGCTTCCGCCCTTGCTGCCGCTACTATGTAATACTTCTGAGCTGGCTTGGTGCTTGTTCTTATAGCCTTCGTCATCCGTCAGCTGCAACGGTTCGAATCCGGGCGGAGGAGGCTCAACTGGGTCTGGTTTTGGAGCAAACCTCGGCTTGTCTCTGTAATCACTCTTATAGGCCGGCTTAGGAGACGCAGAGCGGCGATGACTGGATCTAAACAGAATGAAAAACACCAAGCCGATTTAAAAATTGTGTTTGTATGTTTAAATCACTGAAAACTACCTTTTGCCTCTGCTGCCTGGTGATCTGGAGCCATCGCTGGTCTGGCGACTAGAACGAGGATGTCGCATATGCCGCTCATAGCTATATTCTCTCTTTCTTTCCCGGGACCGCGGTCTCTTGTCCTTGAGGCTGTCCCTGGGGCCATCCTTTTCGTACATGGGAGACTTGAAGCGGTGCCGCTGCCTGTCAGGAGACCTCGACCTGTGGTGATCTGAACTACGAAATCGATCTACCTTCTTCCGCTCCTTCTCCTTCATGATGCGATTGAAGGCCTCCAGCGGGTCGTCAATCAGACTGTAAATGTATTTGCATGATAATACATTCCTTGCCATTGCCCACGCTAGACTTACCCGGAACCGACCTTGGCCGCTACGCCCTGATATATCGAGGCTAAATTTGGGGACTGAAAGGGTTGTGACATATTCATATTCATACTTCCGCCTGAAGTTCCGTACGGCGTACGCATTGGGTGTACGGATTGGTTTTGGTACGGCACATAGCTGCAATTTTAGAAGTTAATTACAATTCAAAAAGCTTAACGTTGATTGTAAGCAATACTGTTTTAATGAAGAATATTTCAATTAACCAATGATCAACAAAGCGTAAAGGCTCGCTAGCCTAAAGCTTAAAATACTCTTAACTTAGTGTGTCTGGCCTCAGTTAAAACTTAAAAATTATGAGATCGGGCAGGACCGGCTGCTTAAGGATTCATGAAGAGCCTCGGATTTCCAGTGGCTTGGACACTCAATCCACACGGTGGCGTGATCCGCAGGGTTGTTATAGAAACCTACCTTAAAGGAGGCCTCTGTCCCATGTTGTTATACCCGTTGTTGTAGGGCGGCATGTGGTGACTCATCATGTGCATCGGAGGCGGACCCCGTTGCATTTGCATGTACGGTGGCTTATAGGCACTCGATCGGCGAGCCTCCTCCGATTCCCCAATCATGTGTCCCGGATAGCTGGGCACTGTACCAATGGGCGTGGGCAGGAGACTTCGTTCCTTGTGGCCAGTCTCCGACTTTGATGACACGTGATGCTTGTGATCTCGTTCCAAATCGTAATCCGGTCCTTCTCGTCGGTGAGAGGATTCACTCGTCTTTTGGGAATAAGTCGGAGATCTCTGAATTCATAGTATTCAAATAAATTCAAATAAGTAATTTTACAAATCGAACCATAAATCGAAAAGATTTGTCTCACCTTGCTTGGAACTGACGTAGAATCTGCAGAAAATGGGGGCATTTTGATGGTTATGTTATCTTCATAGTCTGAGTCAAATTTATCTTTCTCCTTTTGTGATGGCTCTACGTTTGGTGGAGGTTCTGGGGACTCTGATTTCGGCAGATTGTTGCCATTAGTTCCCGATTCTTCCTGTTTTTCGTTTGTTTCCTCTTTCTCTTCGGGTTCCTCTTCGGCGATCACCGGCTTTTCCTCGACATCCTTTTCAACAAGAGGTTTATCCTCATTTTTCACAGCAGCTGAAGAAGAAGAGTTGATGGATTGTGTTTGACATCGAACTATTTTTTTAATACTTTACCTGATTTAATCGCACTTATTTTGTATCCAGTCTCGTTTTTGAAGGCATTAACAGAATTCCTCAAAAATCGATTAGGAATCAAAGAGCCAGGTGAGCAGTTTTTCTCTTTGCAATCGGGACACTCGCTATCCTCAGACTCCAGTAGCGAAGTGCGAACACAGTCGTCGCAAAAGGAACTTCCACAGCAGGGTATCATGACTGCATCTACGAATAGGTCGCGGCAAATTCCGCATATTAGATCCTCAGGAATTTCCTGGTTTTGTACAGCAGGCAGAACGAAATCGGAGGATTCGTTCTCTGAAGTTTCAGGCTTGTCCCTAAAAGACCGCGGAATTCCAGTGTTTCTTTTGACCTCCTGCTGATCCTTTCCCAAAATAAAGGGGCAGTTTTTTATCCAGTGACCGCTCTTTTTGCATTTGTTGCATCGGTAGGATGCTGGGACTTCACCCACTTGAGATTGCCCCTTAATGCGGTGGTACCTGCACGGATTGACATGCGATATAAAAGGTCGTTGCACGTTTCAAGTTACTTACGTCTTGGGATCATAGTCAACCGTGCTTTGCATCATCATGGCTTGGATTTTGTCCTCCTCGCTTCCTTGCATTTTGGACAAATCCATGTTGAAGTTGTCCTGCTTGGTTGGCGCCGCTGCAAAGGCATTATCTGCTGCCGGTGGCTCCCAACCTTTCTTTGTGGGGTGGGCAATTGGAATGCGCGAAATAATCAAGGTGGTGTTTTTCGGAATAAGTACTCCATCATCCTTATATTCTGCGAAAAAGTACATCAATTTTTATACAGATAAAATGCTGGGTTACGACGCACAAACCTTCTTTACTCTGAGCATTTGTGATTTGAAGATCAAAGTCGATTACTTTTCCCAGTCGCTTCTGCTGCACAATCTCTCTTTTCAAGTCACCAACGGAAATGTGAAGTCCATCAAACGTTATTGTATCAAAATTGAGGGTACTCTTGAATTTATAGTGTACCGACATAGTTAAATAAAGATGAATTCTGCGGTGTAGAAATCAAACATGATTATCTTTTAGTGTCCAAGGCAATTTGGTTATCAGAGTCAACACAGGTAGACCCAGAATACACTCCATAAATATCTTAATAAACAAACAGATAGACCAGTTTACATAACGAAGGGCTTGAGGTTTTAGGGAACTGCTGGAATTAAAACCACCATTAAACATTGCCTTATAAAAAATAATTTCAACTTTAAAGTGCGAAGGTCTTTACAACATACACATATTTTGACCGAACTTCGGTATAAATACTTGGTAATAAAAGCCATTGGCTTCTACCAATTTAGCTTAAACATGAAGGTCTTCTAGATTAGTTTCACTTTATTTGATTCACGCACAATTATGCCAACATAAGAATTTATATATGTACACACGAAAAATCGTTTAATTGCAAAAGCAATCCGCCAATTTATTTCCTAACGTCATAACAATAATTTCATATAGGCACTTTTTCTAGCAAAGTGACGCGTTGCACTAATTTTGCAATTATGTTAACAGCATAAATTGCATGTGCATAAAAATACACACTCGATAACATACATATGTACACATAGGTTTTGACCCAAAATAATGACTAGTTCTGTTTTTAACTAGATTTAAACTGTATTCAAGGTGGCAGGACAGCGAACATCACATGAACTGTTTACTACCGGCAAGCAATGAGCACAAAAATAGCAATTACTTACACTACTTCGCAAGCACATAAAAACTCCGACAATTTTATTTTTTCCAATGGCTAGAGATGTGTGCATGCCGCAAATGTCCTAGAGACGTGTAAAGCGGCGTGTTCAAAAGCAATCGATAAAGCGATGTTTTGAAATCGACTATCGTAAAAAATACTTAACTTTAAAAGCTAATTTTATTTTCCTTTATTATATCGATACATACATTTGTACCGACTTATAGTCACGCAGAGAAACGGGATTTTTCTTCTGCTTGAAACGATGAACTGAAATGCCTGTTATTTTTGCGTAAACAAACATATAACTGCTGTGAATACGAAAAATCGCAAGCTTACTTTTTAAAAATATTTTAATAACAAAATCCATCAACAACCAAATTTAAAAAAAAATAGGTATAATTAACTCCAGAAAAGGAAGGGTTCAAAACTTTATTAACAGCAGTTAGACCAAACTACAACCATTTTTTCTTAGCTTACAATCCAAAAAAATCGATGTAATCTTAATTTATGCTTAATTTATTATTTACATCAACAACTTTTGCGACAAATTGCATATAAAAACTAATAAAATCTATTCTTTTTGTATCACCGCCTTTCGATATTTGCACATGGACTTAATTATAATACAGGATTCCTAATTAGGGGAAGTAATGGTAGATTGGGTGCGCTGAATGGATTTAAAAATTAACCAACATAGGCAAAGGGATTGTATGGTGGCGGATAGTAGTTCGGGAAAGATTGACCAGGTTGGCCCGGAATGGGAATCGTAGCTGTTATGAGCTTTGTAACAGCTGTTGGAACAACGGAAGTCGAAAATATTGTGGTATAAGCGGTTCTTGCGCCAAAAGTCAGTTTCAAAACTTTGGAACTCGTTTCGGTAACCATGGATTGCTGGACTTCAGTAGATGTAATAAGCTGCTGTGGAGGAATGGCTAAAATTGGATTAAACGGATTGAATGGACTAATAGAGAATGGATATTGCGATGATGGAACTGGCATGGATATTGTAGCCACATCAGTAACGTATTCGGTTTTTTCAACAACGCCAATTGATTTCGAAAGAGTCCTCATGATGGTCTCGGTTCCTCTTACCAGGGGAACCACATGGGATTCCCAAAGGGTTTCAAGTTTTATGACAGGTCGCGTTGATGTTATCAAGTTGTTTTGCTGGGTTTCTGGGAAGCTAACCAAATCCGGTATTAGTGGGTTGGTTACATTACTTTTAATGTCCACTTTATTTTTTGGTTTGATTTTTGCGTCAAATTTTCCAGTATTATCTTCGTCCCCGAACTCAAGGTCCAAGTTTATCTCCGAACCAGCCTCGTCCAAACTTCCTTCAAAGTCCTTAAAGTTCTTTGACGGACTAAAATCTTCGCTTAACGGGGATATGGTCTGCGTTACTGTGATCAAGCTGGTATAATCGTAAGTCTGAACAAGCGTCACTTGGATAGTTTCATTTCGTTTTTCAAACACAATAGGCAGGATTTGGGTTTTCAGTTTAGTCTGGGTTATAGAAAAGGACTCTGTTATTGTCTCCAAGTTGGGAGTTTCCGTCTCCTCTCCCAGATAAATGGTTTTTAAAGTTGTAACACTTCCCGACAAAGTTTTATCCTCGGTGCTGGCAGTAGCCTCCAAAATATTCTCCGTTAAAGGACCATCGTCTTCAGAGTATTCTTTAGTGTGTTCTTCTTGAATAACTTTTTCTATGGTTGATGTTACAGTCAAGAAACGTGTTTTCTTAACCACTCCGGCCTGAAAATAAAAAAATAATTTACTAGAAGAGTGAACGGGGACCACAGAAGTCAGAAAAAAGCTACTTAAAACTTATATTTTCTTATTTGATAGAAAAATTGTAACGAAGAATTACCTGGAATATAAACGGAGTTTTAATGGTGGCAATTTCATAATAAGTGTCAATAAATGGCTGCGGTGTTGATATTTCAACGTTAAGTGTTTGCACAAAGTATTTTGAGTTAGGATCGTCGTTATTATTATTCGCAACAGGACCGTTTTGGGAACCGGAAGCCTCTAAATCCCTTCCATTGTTAATAGCCTGATTGGTAATGATTTCCACTGGGATATCATCAATTGGAGCTGTTACGTTTTGTACGGTCGTCGGGACATTCGGACTGGCGTTCTTTCTTATGTTAACTTTGGGCTTTGGCGAGGACTTGTACTGCCACCTTCCAGGGCGCCTATTCAGTTTAAAAGAGTTGGGACTGACGACCGACACTGGTTCCTCCTGTACAGCATTTGCAATTGCCTTCGTTCGATATGAATGACGAGAGGTAGTTTCTGTTACTGATGGAGTGATGGTCAGTTTGGAACTTTGGGTGTGCTTATTCCTCCTGAAAATGAAGTTAGTAAAGAAATTGTATTTCAAAAGCGGTAAAAATACTTTTTAGTTATGTATGCCAGTTGCTATTAAAACTTCGAATAGTGAAACATTAATATTACCTTTTTCCTTTGGGTCGGGAAGATTTTCTGCTGCTCGATGATCCCCTGTTGTCGCGACCACTTTGGCTTTTGCGAGGAGGCTTAGTGGATAGCTGGGTCTGAGAGGTAGACTCCTTCAGGGTTCTACTTGGTTGAATTGAGGCCGCCAATGGCTTATTTATTCGCGTCTGCCGGGGCTTACTCTTCTTTTCCGCACTCGACACAGGGTGCACCTGAGAAACCTTGGAGAATTTACCCGTATCCTTCGTCGCCGTGATAATGCTCTTAAATTCACTGGATCTCGGTTGATACCCATTAATAGTTTCTTTTTTAGACTGATATATCCTTTGGCGATCGGCATCGCTTTTCGATTTGAAGTTAACCAGGCGATAGGTTTCCTCCGCAAACTGCTCGGGTTGCCGGGACAGAAGGTCATATTCGGGAGTATTTAAAAGAGTTTCAATGGGCGAGATCGAAAGGCTACTGTTGTAAGATTCTATCTCGGATGTTTTAGTTTCGACATGGACATTCGAGTGAGTCACAATTAAAGGCGTTGGCTTGATTCCAACCTTTTCCTTTTCTTTTTTAGTAACTTTCGGTTTAGTTTCAATAATATTTATAATCTCGTGAGTATTGTTGGATTTTAGTTCTAAAAAAACATGCACACCCCATTATTTACGTAAATTTAAGTCACAAGCAAAGTCCCAGCAAAAGACTTACCGAAGGTTGGAGAGCTTTGTGGTGAAAAAACCATAACAGTATTGCCAATGGTAGTTGTAAAATCCAGGAATCCATAAACAGTTTGGGTAAGTAACTCAACATCTCCGCAAGTAGCTAGAACAATTAATTAATTAATGCGTAATTACTAAATTAGAAACAAAAAGGTTTTAAATCAAAGCATATTAAAACTAAACTTCATTTTTATATACCTAAACTCTCCCAACTTATATGCATTAGAGGGAGTGCCTTTGAGTTGAACGCAAAAACTACGATTTCTTTAAAAACCGGTTTTTCGCAATGAATTCAAAATCTCAGATTCATTTTTATCGGTCATTTTTAAAATTTATGTATGTGAAATCTTTGAAGTTAATTTATTCGAAAAGTAAAATAGGTAAATTCGTATGTTAACAAGGTCTTAGCTCTATGTTTTATCTTTCAGTTAAAAAAAGTTGGAGATGTATTGGTAAGTTTTGATACTATTATAGTTTTTTTGTGCCAATGAGTTTGTTGTAAAAGTATATACTTATTAACTTACCACTTCTTAAGGCGCAGAGTATTAGCAGGTAACGCATCATGTTTGCAAAACTGTACAGGTCAAAAACTTAAGATAATTTGAAAAAAATCTGTAAAGCCAAAGAAATAAATATTCGCTAAATTACTAACGGTCAGTAAACAATTAAAAGCTTTCACTTAAAATGATTCCGGTAAACAAACGTTTTTATTAACTGTTTTTTATAAAACTGATTTTAATTTGAAACACAAACGTTTAATTAACGCTTTTAAAGCTGGACTCCGTGAGATTGTTATGATTACTTCTTATTACATTTTATTGCGTAGGGTCCAATTAAGTTGCCATAAGATTTTTAATTGGCCACTCAGGCACTTGTTGCCATGTGTGATTACTTTTGGCCAGTATGTGGGCTTAAAAGTGAGTGTTGTTCATTGAGCGAATTACCATTGCAAGTAGGTCTGTTATGTAAAGTTTTATGTGCCCAACATAATACGGTTAACTTTGTTTGGATTTCGTACGGCCGAATGGTGATTGATCATTAGTTACAAAATTTGGTTTGAGCCAATTTGCTGACAGCCAGATCGTGTATGGTTAAGTTTATTTATCGACCCCTGTTTTTTCTGGCATTGAATGGGTAAAAACTAGGTAGGGTGACCCGCAATGATAAAACACAAATGTAATCTTTCGGCAGATCACTTTGGTATTTCAAAGGCACTGTGCAAAACGCTTTGCCTCCCAGAACTGGTCAGATCACTTTTGAAAAACATTGAAACCAGCCGTGGAGTGCGAGCAATTTTCTCACCCACTGTATGTAACCATTCAGCTTATGCACACGCACACTTGCACACGAAGACAATGAAACATTAGGTCATTGAGAAATATCCAATAGAGAAAGGCTTTAGCTGCGTTTTGGACTTCCAACAAAAGTTAATAAATTCAGTTTCTTTTCCGCAACGGGATAATTCACTTACACTTCGTTCAAGGTGTGGGTTTCTTTCAATCGAAACTCATATTTTTATGTTCGCCACAAACATGCCACATATGTACGCCTATAAATGCATTTTTAATCACTTATTCACGCAGTAATTCGATGCGACGGGGCTCTGATCTGATTAAAACATATTCCGAGCAAAATCATTAAAGCACTCTGTTGGCCGAGACAATTATGAAACTGTAACAAATAGACGTTCAGTCAAAGGTTCAGTCCCGTGCGAAGCATAAAACTGAAGTGACTCCGAATCCAAAAGTTACCATGGCCTGCACACATGCGCACCAGGTCCAAGTCTCGAAGAGAACGTCAACATCGTTAATTGTGGTTGGCCGAAGCAGTAGGGTGGCTCAATCCGAGCTCAAAACCAGTTTGGCACTCTTGCTTTTTCCGTTCCGATACGCCGTGGGAATATGTAAACTTTATGAAGGCAAGAGATCCGCCGATTCGAAAAAGTTTCTTTCGAACTGAGCAACAGCAAAATAGGGGTAAAAGGTCTTAAAAAAATGTTAATAAAAAACAAATAGCTTGATAAGACTTTAGACCTTTGTTTTCAATTTAATCAACAATTTACCCTTTTCGTAAATTTTTATTCAGATTTTTTACCGCTTTAAAACAACAACATTTGCCCTAAATCCCGTTAAAAGCTTTGGCATATTTAAAGCCCGGTAAAAACGAATAACTTATGCAAATAAAAACTCCCAAGAATAGAATACAATCGATTTATGGATTCGAGGATCGTGATACTTTTATAAATAATTTGTTTGTTGAAGCTCGAATCACTGTTGGTTCCAACGGGCCTGGCAACAATCGTAGGCCATGCCCATACCGAAGCCCAGTCCCAGCCAAATCGGATACGTTTGTGGTCGCGTGAAAAACAAGGTGAAAACGCCGCCGATTACCAGGCCACTTCCACCCTTCAGGCAAAAGTCAGCCAAGCATTTGTCCATGATAATGTCCTCTGCTGCCAGAACTGGAGCCTGCTTTTCGACTTCTTTATCGGTACTATGTGTTTCATGAGACATTTTGGTGGGAAGGGTATTTTAAAAAATTTCGAAAGTTATTTGTATTTTTTGTGTGTGGGAGTGTGACATTTGATCCAAATGAAGGGCAGATGATCTTCAAACGGTTTTCTACTACAGAGTATGAGAAACGATAATTTACTGCATAGCCGAAAAATTTGATGTTTCTATTTAATATGGTTTATTTAATATCGTCTATTAAAAAAAAAAAAAGAGTGCTTTCAGGGGTTAACAGCATTCCAATGGTGACGTAGGCTAAACAAATAAAAGCAGCCTGAGCGAAAGGAGATGGATGACTGCCATAGTTACAAAATCCTAGGCAACAATATTTTTGTGTATTTTCGCCATGGCAACCGGAAACGTCGCGTGCCTCGAAAGATTGCGAGCAGTGTCGCATAAGTCCAAAACAGAGAAAGATGTGAAGGTAACGGACGAATCATGGAGTGCAAAAGAAACTTTCTGGCTTCCTTAGCCTTGTTGTTCCACCTAGTCAGTAATTACTGTTTAATTTGTGTGCAATGCGTGGACGCGCCCTTTATCCACATTCCGGGCAACGGAGTGATATCCGGAACTTATCTGAAAATGTTTCGAACCCAAAACATTAAGGCCTACCTCGGCATTCGGTACGCACATGCCAGAAGATTTCAGCCACCGGATATCGAACTAACACCCTGGAAGGGGATTTTCAACGCAACGGTTTTCCAGCCGGACTGCTGGCAGAACGCCATGCCCTCCGTGGGCAAAGAAACCGAGCAGATTCTGAAAATCATATCCTCCGACTCGGGTTCCGAGGATAATGGTCGAAAGTACGAAGAAAACTGCCTGTATCTAAACGTTTTTGTACCTGATGGTAGGTGCTACAAATATATGAACTTTTTTGGATTTATTTTGAGGATTTATATCATAAATGGAAGGGGAAATCAAAATTGTACAGCTTTGGGGGTTATTGTACACTTTTTCTTTTGGTTTAGGTAGTATTTTTTTAACTTGTGTTTTAATCTCTTCCGTAAAACAGTATTTTTTTAATTTAAAATTGACCTAGATTAGTAATATACATTTTTTTGTGATAATAGTTGTTTGAATGTATTTTCTTAAGTACATAATACAGCTTTTTAAGTTTGAAAAAACTTGTTGTGAACTGAGAAAATATTAATAGATCAAAAAAGAATTACCAATATAAAAAATTGTTCACCTTTTACCTTAACTTGGGATTTCTCACCCAGGATTGCCCGAAATCAATGGATACGCAGTCGTTGTGTGGATCCACTCGGGCGACTTTTCCACCGGCAGTCCGGCGGACGTGGAGCCCTTTCAACTGGTGTTTAAGCAGAAGGTGATTGTGGTGACCTTCTCGTACCGGCTGAACATCTTCGGGTTCTTCACCACCGACGACGGCGAGGCCCAGGGAAACTACGGGCTGATGGACCAGAGCGCAGCCCTCTACTGGGTAAAGAAGAACATAAACTTCTTCGGAGGAGACTCCAACCGAATTACCCTCATGGGGCACGATGCCGGAGCGGTTAGTGTGGCGCTGCACATGACATCGGGGGAGTGGTCGAAGGGAGGGTTCCACAAGGCCATTATAATGTCGGGGAATCCCCTGAACCCCGTGAAGATGCCGTACGAGTACGAGGGATCCCTGGACCAGGTGTCGAGCACTTTCGGCTGTCCGCGAAGGCCAACCTCGCTGTTTATTCAGTGCCTGAAGCGACTGGACGCCAAGAGGCTGGCGGAGAATCTGCCGTCGGTGAGTTGGGGACCTGTGGTGGACTTTGGGCTGAGCAACACCTCGTATCCCTTCATTGAGAACCAGCCGGAGATCCTCTTCAAGAAGGGCAGCTACCACAAGGTCCCTGTCATCGTAGGAGTGACTGATATGGAGGAGGTGCTGACCTTGTTCAAGGACAACCTCGACACGGAGATAAGCACCACGGACCTGGAGGGATTTTACAACGACATCGCTGTGAACGACATGCACAAGCTTGTGAGGAACTACGAGTGGTGCTCTAACTATGAGCTGATTTCCGACGCAATCAACTTTATGTACACAAACGACTCGGACAGGGATGCCAAGAAGGCCAACAAGCACATCATTAGCGCCCACACCGAGAAGTTCTACATCACTCCGATGCAAACCTTTGCCGACTTAATCAGCAACGAGAGCCAGGTCTATAGCTATCTGTTCAAGATGCGGCCGAGGTCTGTTCTCCAGGATCTTCCTAGTTGGATAAGCGTTCCCAAGCACTTCGACCAGATTTTCGTCTGGGGCAACCCCTACATGACCAACTCCGTGGACTGGAAGTCGACGGACAAGAAAATCGCGGACATAATCATGACCTTGTGGGCAAACTTCGCGAAGACCTCGAACCCCACGAAGTCAAATGTGTACGTGAAGTGGAACTCGATGACCCCAAACAACGACTCAGTGCTTTTGATCGACGAGAGCTTCAACACGGACAACCTGCTCAACAATCAGCGAATCAACTTTTGGAAAACGCTCTACCCGAAAATTCTAGTCTTCTCCGCCGATTGTTGCAACTCCACATTCTCGGGCAGCGCTCTGGTGATCGCAACTTCCGTTCCAATACTATGTACCCTTAGCTTTATCGTTAATATATTCTAAATAAAAGGATCTCGCAAAATAAAACCGCTTAGACCCTCTGTCAGTAATCTGTCCTACCGTTACTTATGTTAATAAAAACCTGAACAAACAGAACCAACAAGTACAAACTTTGCCATTTGTCGTTTATTAGTCGTTCGTATCATATAGGATATTGGATTGTCATTGCGACCGCCATACATGAACACAAAATTGGGAATTTTCGTTTTCACAAGTTACACATCGAAGTTCAGCCGGAGCTTAGAATGCCTTTCGGTACTTAGTTTCGAGTCTCATACAATTTTTAAACTAATCACCACTAACTTAGACGCCGCTTATACTTTCTAATTAAATGTCGTTGTCTTTTGGAGCTAGATATAAATTTTATATGTGGAATTACAATACTACACTAATCGTCAGCCTCAAAAATATGGGCGTTCGAGGGCTGAAAGCCCCGATATGAATTTTTGGAGCTCATTGGATACCGGGGGCAGTCCTCGAACGCGCTTTTTTGGTCGTTGTTTCAAGCCATTGTCAGTGTGCCAGCTCCGATACCATAGCCCACGCCCTTCGGTCCGTAGAACTTGCCATAGCACGATCGGCAATATATTTCCCCGTCGGGCCCATCATTCAGGTTGGTCGAGTCCAGATACTTGCGGCACTCCGAGCAGTAGAAGCACAGCTTGTGCCACACGTTGTTTTTGCTCTTCATTTGCTCTGCTGCGAATACCATGAATCCGCACCTGGGACACCCATTCTCTGACTTTTGCCCGTTGCGGTCAATGGTTCCCCAGCTGAATAAAAAGTCAATGAATATAGTTAGGTTATTGGAAATTCTTCCACAGGATAGGATTATCATTAAAACGAATGCTTTGACTGCCACTTTTTAAGATAGTACTTTATCATTATTCTACTTCAAAATCAGTTTAAAGTTGATTATTAATTTTGACAACAAACTTACACAGTTATCAGTAACACTTACCAGCTGGGCGTGTACTCATAGTTGGTGGACACAAGAGTAGGAGTGTGGCCGTATCCGAATCCCTTCGGACCGTACATCTTGGCGTAGCAGAGCTTGCAGTAGATATTGTCATCAGGACCATCGCAGGCGAGCACGGAGTCCAACGGACGATGGCACCTTGCGCAGTTGAAGCACTTTCTATGCCACATCTTACCCTTGGACAGTTGCAGCTCGGCGGCAAACACAGCTCCTCCGCAGCGGGGACACCCGCAGCCGTCCGGAGCCATGATCGAAGTAGTGTCCGGAGCCACAAAGGGGCGCATGGACCCCAAGTCCTCGTCGCTGTAAAGAAATGATAATTGCAAAGGTAAAACCAAATCCAAACAGAACCGTCGATAAGGTATTTCCGGTATTACAACTTTATATAACTTTGCGGAAAAATAAATCAATAATAATAAAATAAATACTACTCACGTAATGCCATCGGTTTGTAAGAAGCTGGAGCCACAGGCGAATCCGTAGCCGTGTGGACCCCACTTCTTTCCGTAGCAAGTCTTGCAGTAGACCTCGTTGTCCGGACCATCGCAGGCAATGATGGAGTCCAGGGTCTTGGTGCAGTCCCGGCACTTGAAGCACTTCCTGTGCCAGGGTCTTCCCTTCGAGAGGACCTGTTCCGCGGCGAACACCACGCCTCCGCATCGGGGACATCCTTCTCCGAGAGGCGCCTGAATTTGCTCCACATTTATGGCAGAGGCTTTGGGAGCCATGTCGCTGGAAACCACCATTTCTATTACCAACTTCCTCCAACTAAGTGTTTTGAGTGATCTCACCTTTGCCATTCGCAGTCCTTGATGTCGGACATTAGCCCCAATGACGAAATGCCAATGTGTCCATAGCCCCTAGCCCCAAACTTTTGTGCATAGCAACCTGTAATACTTGTAATACTTTTCCTAAGGACCACCCTCTAACTAAGCAGATATAGCTGTACCTCTACAGTAAATATCCTTATCGGGGCCATCACAGTGAAGAGTTGAGTCGAGAGTCTTGTTGCACTGAACGCACTTGAAGCACCTCCTATGGTATCCCTATAAACCACTTCATTAACTCGAGTAACCAGAGATCACTTTGAAATGTCACCTTTCCTCTGGCCAACATCTGCTCGGCAGCATATACATATATGCCGCACCGCGGACAGCCCAGCCCATCAGGTGCTTTGGGGGGAATCTTGGGCTGAACAAATCTAAAAAGATTCAGATGCTTCCCTCAATTATAGCGCTCGAAATGGACATTCGCTAGGGGAGCATCTTAGTCACACACAAGCACACACACACACACACACTAACAAAACAGAACGGAAAGGTCGGTCGTTGTGCCCCAACAAAAAACAAAGTGGGGGAAACATAGCGGATCCACATAGACAGCGACCAGGGGCTATAAATAACACATGAATAATCTTACAAATACTTAGTTTTATTGTACATTTTATTTTATCAATTTACAGTCTGTGGGCGTTGTAAATAAAGATACAAAGGTATTTTCCACCAGGGACCACAATGTATGTGTATTTCTTCGGTATCGTTAGAGAAATTTTTCCAGGGAATTAGAAACTGGATACTTTTACACAGACAAATGGAAGATTTTTGGGGTTGATTTGGGCGTTTTTTGAAAGGGGTGGAGAACATTTAAAACATACAGGTTCTAATAGAAAGCAAAACTACACATTTAATTCAAGGAATTTTACACAATTTTCATACAAAACATATTTTTAATTTAGTCCTTACTCTCTGTTTAAGTGGGCGCCAGTGTCCGTGGACAGGCAGCCGGCACCACCACCGAAACCGTATCCTTTGGGACCGTATTTGCGACCATGGCAGTTTTTGCAGAAGAGCTCCTTCTCGTGCTCCGTGCAGTTGGTCGAGTCCAGGGCCTTGTTGCACATGCCTGAAACGGAGTGGGGGTTTTCGTGTTAGTCGACGATCCGGCTCGAAAGACCAGGTCCTGTGGATCGTAATACTCACTGCACTTGAAGCAGGTCTTGTGGAATTTGTAGCCGCCGGCAACGCGCTCCTCGGCGGCATACACCGACTTTCCGCACGCGGGGCACTTGGGGGTTTCCACGGGAACAAAAGGCATTGTGATCTGAGTGCGTGTGTGTCTGAATGGGGCGAAACTCTGGTTAGTAAACTGCAGTGGTTGTCGGCTGGAGGTGGGAAGTAGTGTGTGTATATTTAATCCCCGGGATATATACCTCGGAGGTACTCTGTGAAGTAGTTCCTATTCGTCGGAAATGCCGCGGACTAGACTGGAAAGATTCTGTACACAGGTAGTCTATATTTGTGGATGCACACGGCACAACTAAGAAAATACAGTTTGCGTAATAAAAACAGCACTTTCTGAATATATCATTATTTATCATGCAGTGCCCATGGCTGTATGTGTGTACCCGGCTATATCCACGCCGATGTCTCATTTCTAGGATGGTAACAGCCGAGTTTAGTAACCAGGAATCGCCAACAGCCATTTATGGGTTCTCCAATCCGGAGTACTGCTTTGTTGCATTCTCGACTGGGCTGCGTGCAAGTGTTCTTGGGAAAAATACAAATCAAAGCAGCTATTTTCCACGTACGCCTTAGGCTCTACTTAATTCCCCCACCCCCACCCACTCCCCCTCCGTGTATGTAATCCGATTTTACGCAACAATTAATTTATTAGCTTTCGACACGCACACCAAAATCCGCGCAGATGTAAATACGTATGTTTGTAGTCTAAAAATATATGCACACCACTGCGATGTGTATCAAAGTACATTCATGGCCTTATTTTAGTCTTAGGAATACAAAAATAGCTCATAACTGGTCAACCCAAATCCATAAATAAATGCGCTATGCGTACATTAGTTGCTGATCTGATCTGTGACAGATATCGCCGTTCGATACCGATCGAAATCGGATTCAAGCGCTCAAAAATACGTTCCAGCTTTTCGCAAATTGGTTTGTGGGTGTGGATCGGATAGCCACAAGTGTTTCATCGGGAGCCGAATAAATATGCATATGGAAGTGAAGCTTTTTTTCATCATCGGATGCGATGCCCATGTATAAACATATCTATAAATAAGCGGGTCTATAGGTGTTTGTTAATTGTAAATCGCTCACTTGCGATTGGCAATGAGCCTAACAATTTATGAAGGCCAGACCTATTGACTCGTGATTTTCAACAGCACAGTCTGGCTTACCCGCATTGTTGTGTTGCTGTCGATCGGATAACGACCATTATTTTGGCGACAGTTCAGGGTTATTTAGCAAGAATGCCGGGAATTATCCACTCGATCGCCCCGAAAAATCACGGAAGTACATTTTATTTGGCTCTACGGGTGGACAATTAATATAAAATAGAAAAGTGGCGCAGCACTGAATCATTTATATTAATAACCGCATCGCGCATTATTATGAATATGTAATTTAATTATTTACCATTTCTTTGGTTTCGCGTATCTTTTTTCAGCCAAAGTATGCAGCTTAAGAAATGACTATAGGCCGCTGACCTGGTCTCCCTTCGTTTGACAAAGAAGGCCTCACCTTCAAGCTATTATTTGAAAAAGTGTGGCAGGCGTTTAGCATGACAAAGAAACGAATTTACAGCAATCAATTCCAGATGTTTTGATAATCACGTTTATCAGATATCATTTATTTTTTATAAAATAGATAAGCTAATTCATATACAAATAATTATTATAATTGTACATTTGACTTCATCATTTATTAAACCATCCAATAGTTAATCGTAATTTATACAAATTACAGTTGCTCCAATACAAATTATGCAAAATAATGTATGTAGTTTAGAGTCACTGTAGAAATATGATAATTTAGGTTGAGTCCGACTTCAGTCGATTGGCAAACTCGACTTGCTGGATCTCCCTCCATTCCTTCTTTGGCTTCATTCGCTTCAGCTGCCCATCCCAGACCAGATCAATCAAGCCTCCCTGCTTGGCGATGACGCTCTTTACGCGGTTCGCAAAGACGATCGCTGACTCGCCTTCCTGCCTGTACATCGGCGGCAGATACCATACGTCGCAGACAATGGCCCACGAGGTCATCATCATGTACAGATACTGCATCATCGAGTACTTTGCGCTGTTCCAAAAGGCGTCGCCAAATCTCGGGTCGTACCTTAAGACGAGGGAAACAGGTCAGATGGTTGCATAAAACGTGGCTCCCTTTCGACATATCTTCACTTTCAGTTACTCACTTTATGGCCACCGGGTAGATCACACCTCCAACTTCGAAACTTCCCTTCTTGAACTGCATAACCGATGTATTGTTGATGCAGGTTCCCTCCGGGAATATGAGAATCGGTGGGTTGTTTGGGTCGGAAACGTGTTGCTTGAGTCGCTCGGCCACCAAATGCCGATCCTTGGCCTCGCTGCGTTCAAACCAAATATGGGGAGATGCTCGGGCCAGAGCTCTTTGCAAAACTCCCAGGAAGCCTCCATGGCGTTGGCCAATCTAGAAATTCAGTTGAGGCTTATTATCTGGGTTAAGCAAAGTATGTTGCTAGTGCAAACACAAAAGCAATAACATTAAACATGCAACACGTAAAAACCATCACCACAGCAAGCTTAATTTCGGGTTAGTACCTGCACGTGCAAAAGGGAAAGCCAATTTTCAGTTTGAATGGGATTCGGATATCTCTATCCCACTTTAACTTAAGTTCCTAAGGCTTAATTTAAAAGGTTTAAATATATTTGTTTTCAAAACCCAGTGGCTGAAACAATAACTGGTTCCCAAACCATTTGTAACTTATTTAGGATAATGCCCAAAACGAATTAGTGTTTTTGACATTGTTAATTCTGTGTGGCTCTACAGGAAACTAAGAAAATAATAAATTCCGATACAAAGGATTGTGGTTATTTCCATACAGTGGTTAGTATCTTCAGATTCCAGAGCTGCCTTACCAGAGAATAGGTCGAGTCGCACATCAAGACCAGCACGTCGATGGGGCTGGTATGATTGGCAACACAAATGCCAGACGACGGCCGATTGTCCTCGTTGTGGTAAGTTATAACCGCCGAGATAGCGCTGGACAAAACGCCAAAGCACATCCCGAGCACCATGTTCACAAGTCTGCGTTTGTAGGGCCCGTCCTTCAAGTATCCCACTGCCGCCGTACAAACTGTTAACCACACTACCTAAGATTGCACAAAACGAGAATGGGAACAATGAGGGAATTCAATTATATAGAGCTTCAAGGACTGTGGCACAGGCTGGATAGGTAAGGTAACTGAAATTCATTGGAGTGGGGTTTAAGCAGGCATCTTTGCATCTGGCTTCTTGACTCACATTTCAATCTGCCTTAGAGTCAGCCTACATTTCCCGACCTATGCATTCATTGAATATGCTGTAAGTAAAGTGATAACTCAGTCCTTTAGCTTGAAGGTCAACATTTCGGGTCATAGCACAAACGGTATGAGTAATTTCCGCCAAGCCCGCCCCAAAACCAAAATCCTTAGGGAAACCACACAAAACAACTCAAGCTAATCGTCAGCGGAAAAATAGGAAGTGAATAGTAGACGGGCAGCTGTTATGGCAATAAATTAAATAATACATTAATTGGATCCCCGTGGCGCTTATCTTACCTGATTTGCGTGCTTGGATACTGGGACAGCAAACGATCGAACTTAAAATCAGCCAAACTTAACGTTACAGACACACACGACGCGAGTACGATAACAAAAGCCAATGTTGCAACATAAATAACCACAATTAAAACTAAAACCCTGTTGAAATTCATGCATGCATTCTCGAACCGACTATTTGTCCGAACTCAGTTACACTTATCAGGTTGTTATAAAATAATTTATGCCAGCAAGGTTGACCGAAAGTTATCGATGCTTGTAGGTATGTTATTATGCGTCGGGTCTAAACTTCAGGTATACAAAGATAATGGCTATCAGAGAAGGCATATACAACTTTGGTAACTTTGATAACATTGGTCGAAACTAATAAAGCCCCAGAACAATTTATCTGCAGTTACCAGGCTGTTGACAAAAGTCCAAAAACTGATTTTTAGTAAGAGGATTTAGTAGTTATAAATATAACACAAAGATGCGGTTTCGGGGATCACATGCATGAATAATTAACTTAAATGAAACCAATTTTATGTGAAGCATTTTTGATAAAATTTCTTTCTCACCAAAGAATAGGTACAATCGGTCGATAATATTGCCACATCCAAGGGAGAGGTATGGTTGGCTACACAAAACCCAGAAACTGTGGGCTTATACTGTTTATTGTGGAACTTGATAAAGGAAGACATAGAACTTGCAATAAGGCGAAACGTAACTTTGAAACACAAGCTCGCTAAGAAAAGCCGTAAAAATTGAAACGGTAAACAAGCCACAATAAAGTTTGATAAAACTGCAAATAAAACCTAGGAATTAAAAATGTATATTAGAGAAGTATTGAATTAAAAGACGGACACAAAACATAAACCAGATTGTAATCGTTATGGGGGAAAAAGGGAGTTGATAAAACTGTAAATAAAACCTAGGAATTATAAATGTGTATTAGAGAAGTTTTGAAATAAATAAATTTGTAGTCCTTATGGGGGAAAACAATTAGTGATTAATAAACAGTTTTCAAACTGCAATTCTGTTAAAACGAAATTCATCAACAGGACGAGGCGAAAAGTAAAATTTTGTGCAAGCATTATAGTTTTTTGTCTGAAATTTACTATCCCATTGTTTTACCTAAATTTCACATAACTATTTGTAAAAAACGATCCATGGTTGTTATACATTTCAACCAGTCCAAGTTTGTTTTGTCAGTTTCTTTTTGTTTACTATGGGGAAAAGTAACCGCCAGTCCAATTCCAATGCACGATTGTGGTTTCACGAAAAAATATTAACGAGATTATTTTTCGTGGGGCAATTAGTTACATGCATGGGAATCGGGATAGGCCGGTCAGTTGTAAAAAGAGCACTTAGTTAGCCGTTGATACTCACACCAACGAAGCAGACCAGCACTCGCAGCGGCATCAGGATTACGTATCGAATGAAGAAGCCAAACACCCATATGGCAGTTATTTTCCAGGAAATGAATTCGTAGTGGCGATTGGTGCGAGTGAGCATATTCCAGCTCTTGAGCTCCTCCGCCTCAAAACGCGATGTCACATCGTCTTCGATTATGGCCTCTACGCCTGACTTAACGTAGTCCAAACACTTCTCAAAATCGAAATTGATCTCATCCTGAAATGCAAAGAGTAACGTTCATTTTGGGGGGTCATGTAAAGTGATTCGCTTTTACCTTCGTGGAGGAAACTGGTTTCTCAGGCGCGGGCTCCTGCGCTTGGGGCAAGAGTACTGCATCTCTGGTGATCAAAGTGGCCCCATTGGTGCCTTCTTTGGACTCAGTATCGTCAACCAGTTGCACTCCCTGTTTGTCATCAGTCTTGGGATTGTGAGAGGAAAAGTGGTTCTCTTTGGATGCTGTCTCTATACTGACTCGGCCATACTGAAAGTAAAGGCACAATTAATTTTGATCAGTTATTACCAAGTTAGTAGTACGGATTATCTTAAGATAAGGAATATCATAATCAGGCGAGCTTATGACTAGCAGACTACATGTGACAGTTCAAATTTATTATATGTACTGATTATATTATTTTATATCGACTTTCTGACTTTTCTTTAGGATAGTTGGCTTAATTCTTTGCTAAATTATTGCGACAAAATTATTGCGACTACGTTTACGTTATTGTTAATGCGTTCGATAGACGTGTGTATACTTTTGCTGTAAAGCTGACTATATTTATGGACTTTGGAATACCTTAACTTTCGTAACTCAGCACCTTTAGCAAAGCAATCACTGCACAAAAACACACTAGTGGGAATCGTATTTATTCACAAGTTTGGCAAAACAATTTTTACCTCGAATATCCTTAGGAGCAGGCTCACGTACGCCTTTCGGACGCCGATGGACTTATTTATGACGGAAATAAATATCAAAAATGAGAGGAAGCCCCCAATGGGAATCCAGAATATGTCCAGTATCGCGCCGATCATTTTACATTTGGTTCATGGAACATTGGTTATTGTCAACAATTATCTTTAGAGCAAAACGCTTCCGAATTGGTCGTGCGAATATATACCAGTGTTACCTGAGCTGCAAAATCATCGTATTTACAAACGATAGTATCGATGATTTGAAACCGTGGTGGTACTTGTAAGTGTTGAAATCCTACCTCTTACTTGGCAAGTGTACATCTCTATTGTAAGCCGATAAAAATAGGAACGTTTAAAGATCTGATAGCTAGCGGAATACGTTGAAACAGCCTACGCATGTTTCTACGAGAATTTTATTTTAATACTTTATATCATCATTTTTTAATAAGAATTAGAATTAATGCTGGCACAATATAAAAAGTGGAATTCTTTAGTAAAAATTAATTAAATTTGACTGGCAGTAACAAAGCGTTAATCTTGTAAACGATTTTCTGAAAACCACAACCCTGTATTTACTCTTGATCGAAGTACTAATTGCTACTTAATGTAGCATCGATTAAGATACTTTAGAAATAGTTATGCAATGAAAACACAGATAATAGACTATGATATAGGTACATCACGAATATTGCAGTGGTGTTGTAAAACTAATAATTAATTCCAAATCAATTTATCTAGCAGCGTGTGTACCCTGATTTTTAAGTACGTTATTCTTAAGGTAAAATGAATTGTTATGGGGCTTGAAAATAAATAATTATTAAACTAATGTCTTTGGCATCCAAAATCCCCAAATAGTCTAAAACCGCAAAATAAATCTAAGGAATACCCCTCACATTCCGCAGGTGCAGCCACGAAACCGATAACCCGAGGAACACTGGAATCGGAATGGACAAGTGGATGGTGTTCCCAAGTGTGTTTGTTTTATGTTGGCAGTTCCGTAATTATTATTATTACTATTATTTATTGCAACGAAGTTTAGTTTTTAACACCTTAATGTATAGTTTCGCCCAGCGCGTAGCGATGGAGTGATATGTATATGAACGAACATATATGTGCGCGTACCTAATCGCTAAGATAATTCTATGTAGTTTGTCATTTGTATACAATAAGTGCCTTTTATATGTTAACGACGATGTCAGCCAGCAGCAATACAAACAGCCTGATCGAGAAGGAGATTGACGACGAGGACATGTTGTCGCCGATCAAGTCTAACAATCTGGTGGTGCGGGTCAACCAGGACACGGACGACAATCTGCAGGCGCTGTTCGACTCCGTCCTGAATCCCGGAGACGCCAAGCGCCCGCTCCAGGTGCCCCTGCGCATGCGGAAGCTGCCCAACTCCTTCTTTACGCCCCCGGCGCCCTCGCACTCGCGAGCTAATAGCGCCGACTCCACCTACGACGCGGGCTCCCAGTCGAACATCAGTGGCAAGGCCGTCCAGCAAACAGGAGGTCCCGATGGTCAGTCGCCCATCGCCGCCATCCCCCAGCTCCAGATCCAGCCGTCAGCGCAGCACAGTCGCCTGGCGATACATCACTCCCGTGCCCGCAGCAGCCCTGCTTCGCTGCAGCAAAACTACAATGTGCGCGCCGCCCGGAGCGACGCTGCCAACAATCCGAACGCCAATCCGAGCAGCCAACAGCCGACCGCTGGGCCCACTTTCCCAGAGAACAGTGCCCAAGAGTTCCCAAGCGGCGCCCCGGCCAGCTCTATTGATCTGGACGCCATGAACACCTGCATGTCGCAAGACATGCCCATGTCTATGCAAACAGTGCACAAGAAGCAGCGCTCCTACGACGTGATAAGCCCCATTCAGTTGCAGCGTCAACTGGGCGCCTTGCCACCGGGTTGGGAGCAGGCCAAGACCAACGATGGCCAGATCTATTACTTGAAGTGAGTATCCATTGAATTTAAACCTGTTGGTCGTAGCCTCATCAATGTGAAATGGTTTTAAATCTTAAATTAGGTTGGGTTAATACTTTAAAATTTTAGGTATAATAACCACATTAACAATTTAAACAAAAAATATCTTACTTCCAGCCATACTACAAAATCTACGCAGTGGGAGGATCCAAGAATTCAGTTTCGCCAACAACAGCAAATCTTAATGGCTGAGCGAATAAAGCAAAATGGTAGGTCGCATTTGTTACTTCAAGCTTAAAGATAAGTAAATCGTTAACTGCCTATGGCTACGTTTCATTGTTAACCCATTAAACACATTCGTTGGAGAACTAATCAATGCTCTAGGTTAGGCAGGGACAAAATAGGATCTAACTCATTTCATTTAAGGCATGAACAGCATAAGAACAAATCTTAGGGATTTCATTTTGTGTAGTGGAATGTAGTTCCACACGTTTGCGATTGGGTTGGAGTGTAATCATTTTGGCATTCGGGAAGTGGAGGTTAATATAGATTAAAATTTTCTGAAATTGATTTTTTAATGCGCTGCATGCTGTTCGCTAGTGCCCCTCAAACATCACCCGCTTACACTGCAGCATTACGTTTTAGACCTATTTTAATTTGCTTTTAATTTACTTTGGTTTGTAATTCATTGTTTTTGTTCGATAGATGTTTTGCAAACTACAAAACAAACTACCACATCGACCATTGCTAACAATTTGGGTCCACTGCCGGATGGTTGGGAGCAGGCAGTTACCGAGTCCGGAGATCTTTACTTTATAAATCACATTGATCGAACGACTTCATGGAATGACCCCAGAATGCGTAAGTCTCGTTCCAACACCCCAACTAGCGTAAGACAACGAGACACATAGATATCATAGAGATATCGCTAGATAACACTTGAATGCGCAGTGGGCGGGGGGCGGATCACGTAATTCCCATGGCATCTCTGCTTTCACTAGAGTACTGATCTTGAGATAGAGGCTGAACATTCCTTATCTTTCTCATGCCTTTATTAACATCTCTATTAAAATATATCTTTGCAGAATCTGGGCTTAGCGTACTCGACTGCCCAGATAACTTAGTGTCTTCCCTTCAGGTGAGCATTCAAATAGCCACATTTTGATTGCCGAGTTCCACCACTCTACTATTTTCAGATTGAGGATAATCTTTGCAGTAACTTGTTTAATGACGCACAGGCCATTGTAAATCCGCCGTCTTCCCATAAACCTGACGATTTGGAATGGTATAAAATTAATTAATTCAAATGTATACATCTGTATTAGACCTAAAAGTTTTATATTTTGTATTATTCTAAATTAAATATTTTTCAAATTTTATAGTACTTTTTTACATACATAATTTTGTGAGTACGTTCATCATTGCGGGGGTTTATGTGTTGGTCGATTGCTCCGCGTCTACATATATGTAAGTATTTAAAATAAGCGAGGCTTATTAAGGTGAATAAGTCTGCATGGCTAAGTATTTCAGATGACTCTCGATCAGCAAAGAGATTTCAAGTGGTATGAAGGTGTGGTCAGTGCCGATGACTCATGTAAATATATGCACACCCCTCGGCTTTGGTAAAGTGCGGGTAAAAAAAACACAGAATACTTCTGTAATAAAGACGTAAAACCATCAACCTTGGTTGAAAAAATAATTCCTGGTGGCTCTCATTCTCGACTTTAGCTAAAACTACGTATTTACACTAACTTTTGCAGTAGCCCTTTTCAAAGAATATTAAATTTTTTTTTGGTTTTGGTTTTTTAACATTGAAAAATATACACTAAACTAAGGATGATAAAAAATTTAAGGTCACCAAGGTGTGCTTTTCTTTTAATACTGGTCTATAAATCATTACTCTTACGTTCTTCCAATTCTCCTTGGATCAGTGTTTCCCAAACTTGTCGGGACCGCAACACACTTACAAAAAAATTGCACAATCTATATGAAAATTAGTACCCACCAAAAATCTACCCGCGATCCACCAGTGGGTCGCGACCCACACTTTGGGAAATACTGCCTTAGATGTTTTTATTTTTTAACATTTAAAGCAAACTAATCTCGGCTTCAAGCTCGATTTTTTTTTACCGCCGTCTTAAAAGACATTATAGAGTGTACGTGTCTGTGAATCACTCTCATTAAACAAAAATTCGTTCTAACTTAACAAAATCATGAGTCTTCCCAGCGATTAAAAAGATGCGCATATTTTCGTTATCTATTAAATATTAGTAATTTTATTTTTTAACTATAATAATCTTACAATTTTACAAAATTTCTATAAAAGCGTACAACAACAGTAATTTTTTTTTTGCCGGTTTTCTTGCGTCAAATTCATCTCTCGAACGATGGTGGCGAATACTTCGTTAACGTTTATCCGATCCTTTGCTGATGCTTCGATAAATGGACAATCCCACAGTTGTGCCAATGCATTACCTTTATGGACAAAGCATTAAAAAGAAAGCTCATTAGTACACCTGTTTGAAATTCTTAAAGGAACAATTTATAATTGTCTGCCAAAGCTGATTAAACCTTTGGACTTTCAAAAAAAGGTCCTTACCTTCAGCGGTGGATACCTCTCTTTGGCAATCTAAATCGAATTTGTTCGCGACTAGTAGGATGGGTGCTGGCTGACTTCCTTTAACTCGAGTGATCACATTTTTCATACTAGATATATCCTAAAGAACAAAGCAGACATATTAATGAGCATTGTTAAATAAACTTGATTAAAGAAAAAATTGTAATGAAAAACACACAATGACCATAAATGAAAACCGTGTCATACCTGAAATGTTTGATGGTTCGTAAGTGAATACATTACAATAAAACCATGACCATTTTTGATATAGAGATCTCTCATTGATGCAAATTGCTCTGTTCCCGCGGTATCCAATATTTCCAAAACGCATGGAGAACTGTCCACCTGCAAAGAAAGGGTTTCATTTATTAGTAGAATTGAATTGGGTCGATGAACTTGTCTGCTTAGATACTTGGTTAGATAAATATTTACTTGACTTGGGACGGATATCCCTAAATAGTTATTTGCTTTTCGAAGGGTTTGTCAATAGATTTAATTTTTTCGTAAGTAAGGCTGCAGTATTAGGGGATGTGCAAGTGCTTTCAGTACAATGGGGTAGTATACATATATACAACTGTGGGCATGTGCAAATGCGGAAGAAATGCTTGCTCTTTGTCTTTTAACATCATTAGATATATTTTGTGTTTGCCGAAGGCGGCTTTTATGCGCTTGCATCTGGTTTTGAGAACGAAAAGCTCGTTTCGGAGATTCATGAAATATTGGATATCCAACGAACTTACGCTTGTGATAGTGTGAATGCATGTGACACTTTGTGTTTTTTACACTGGGCTGTTGACTTGGATTAAATCGTTTCTTATATTTATTCCAAAAGATTTATAAGGGCCCCAGGATTCAAAAATACATATGAAATATTACCATTTCTTGACTCTATGGAAGGCATTCAACCATATTTTGAGTAAACACGAAATAGAAACAATCAACGCACACTGTAATATGGCAACCGAACAAGTCTAGAAGGCATAATTAAACAAGAGTTGCAGTCTTATGATTGAAAAGTTAAGGGGACAGTGCAGGTTAGCCTTCCGCTTAATATTTAATTTACCCCGCAAGAAACTACGCCTATGAATCATTTCGGAATTGGCATGGCCATTAATCCTTACACCAACACCCACGCCTATGCTCAAATATGCATATTTGCATTGCATATACACTAGTGAATTCATGAATTACATACTTTATGTGGGCTTGTAACGTCCTCTTGTGTACATAAGCACACATACACGATCACATTTCGCACCTACAAGAACTACTATGCATACATATATATATAATTAATCGCCCATTATATGTATCTACATATATATGCATACATATGCCCGTATGTGCCTGTAAGCACAGACGTTTATATGTATGTGCGCGATTACGCTTAGTACATACATATATATGTATGTAGGTCTGAGCGTGTGTGCTGCGTTTGGGTTTGTAAATTGATTATGCCTGCCGATATCATCATATCATATGAACAAACGGTTTACGTACCTCAATTTCCTTGCGGTAGAAGTCCTCAATTGTCGGATCATACTTTTCAATAAAGCATCCCGAGACGAATTGCACCGTGAGGGCCGATTTACCAACTCCTCCAGACCCGAGCACAACAACTTTAAATTCGCGCATTGTTAAATAAGTTTTTCTGTTATTCGATGCGTACAATATAGTTGCAAATGTGTGTTCTGTACGTATTTATATTTAACACTATTTGTGTATATGTATTTCAACTTAAAACCGTTTACAAAGCAAAATATTATGTATGGATTAACATTGCGTTTTAATGCCCGTAATGCACAAATTCGTCTGCAAGACTGCGGTCTACTGGTTCATCGTCCTCAGCATGAATTGTTTTTCATTTCTCCTAAACACATATTATATTGTAAAATATAATAATCAAATGATAATTGATAAATGATGACACTGACACTTATGGAAAATGGAACGATGCATATGTATAGAGGAAATGAAATAATGGTTTTAGAACAAAAATGTTAGGGGCAGATACACACGACAATTGTTTCAGTCATCGATAGGCATGATATCGGACTTTCGGGATAAAACAAAATTTACATAAAAGAAAATAAATGTATTTATAATATATTCATATATATATATATATTATTTATATATATAATCTAATATAAAATTACAAGTTTTATATCATACCATTTACCTGTTTTGCACAAGTTTAAGTTCTTTGCTTCAAAACCCAAAAACTTTAAATTGACAAAAATTATACTATCATTATATGTAACTTAACATTCTTCACACCTACATTATATTTTTTTATATTTAGTCTAACTAAATTATTCATATATTTTATAACTTAACTTTCTAAAAATAAAGTTTGAAATTAAAAACTTTTAATTATTTGGAAATGACAGCCGCCTCATGATTAAAATTCGTGTTTAGTGTTTTCCGAAAAAGTATCTATGGTTTTAAGTTTATGTTTTTTCTAGAAAGAAAGCTTTAAATTTTTTGGAAAAACTTTTGTTTTTGCAGTCCAATCAGCTGATTTCTGATTTCGATGGGAACGCGTCAACTTTCTTAAGCTAGCAATAATATTTTTTGCTATTACATTTTTGTATTAGAATAGAATTTTCGGCAAAAAAATTTTAGTTGTTTTATTTATTAATGAACTTATTAAGCTTAACATATATTTGTTTCTATTAACTTTTCAGTCGTTCCTAATCTAACGAGTTTTTCAACTTGTTAACTTATCGAGGTATGCCCATCACCAACGTTTCTTTCTTTCCGGTGTGGCTCGTTGAATAGATCGGACGAAATGGTAAGAAATCTAAATGTTTGTTTGAGATCATAAGAAATTTTTTTATTTTCACGGTACTAAATAGTTCTTATTGGTTTTCTTTACTAGGCTGCACATAAGTCGTTCAGAATAAAGCAAAAGCTGGCTAAGAAGCTGAAGCAGAACAGGTCCGTTCCCCAATGGGTTCGTCTACGTACTGGCAACACAATTCGGTAAGTAAACTTCGACTTCAATTTTGAGCTACATTTATAGGAAGATGGTAGAAGTTTTGTTTTTAATATGGTCAAAAGAGTGTAAAAGTTCCGCATCATTATTTATACAAGATCAAGATATATGTTGCGTTCTGTGCACCGGCATTTTTGTCAAAACAAATTTTGGTGTCTTAATAAAGTAATGCCAAATAACTGTTGGATACGAATAAATTACAATTAAATGCACAAAAATATAGTTAAAAAATTATCTGGCGCCAATGTCATTTCATTATTTTTTCTTCTCGTTTCAGCTACAACGCTAAGCGCCGTCACTGGAGGCGTACCAAGTTGAAGTTGTAAGCTGTTGATTCCAGAAGCTCCACAATTTATTGGAATGCTAAAGATTCTTGAAAAGATATGAAATAAATTCGATTTTCGGATTAAAACAGTTGTGTTTATTCTCGCGGCACGATTTTAGTTTCCGGGGCGATTTTAGGACATATTTTGGGTAATATTGAAAAATTTGTTTTTATAAAAATAAAGTGACCGTCTTCGGCCAAAGTACCGCGAATATTGCAAGTTCCTCAAAAAATATGTGCAATAAGTAATTTCGCCCGCACTATGAAAAAATGTTCTTAAAATTAAATCGCCCCGAAAACTAAAATCTCCCCATTCTCGCAATACGGTTGGTTGGGGATATACGTCTGAAATTCTTTCAATCACAGAAAGTAGGATTATTGGGAAGTGCTTCCAAAGTATCATCCATTAAAACCTGCAGGCGCTTAAATAGAGTTCCTTACGCATTTTCATTATTGAACTAGCTAATCAATGAATGCAGTTGAAACAAAATCTACTCCGATATATTCTAGTCTGGTTACTTTCAGTAAAATTACAATTTCCAGTTTTCGCTTGATAACTGGTCTACTTTTTCTTATCTGAAAGCACACTGGCGGCAAAAATTCGGTTCAAAGTAAAATGCTTTCCGATAGGGTCAATTATTACAGACTGTAACGCGTACAATTTATTAATTCTTGATTAAAAACTGTTTATTCTGCGGGAACTTCAATGGAGCCCTCGTTCAGCTCGTCAATAACATCGTGAGGGTGCTTTCCGTCAACGGTGCAGCCGACGCTCTGGGCGGTACCCAAAACTTCCTTGCAGGTTCCCTTCAGCTCACGGGCCATGGACCTGGGCCTCATTACTCGGGCGATAGCCAGGATATCATCGAAGGTGATGTTTCCACTGTGCTTGACTGAAAAAATAAAGTAAAAATGGTTGTTAGTCGTTTGGTAAACAGTTTGGAGATCCGGGTTTTTAGTGCATTGCTTAGGCCCTCATGAAAGCTTTTTATTATACGAACAATGCAGTTTTAATCCCAGAAAATCGTGAAACACTCACTGTTCTTCTGCTTCTTGCGGTCACGTGGAGGTTCCTTCAGAGCCTTGATGATCAAAGAGGCAGCGGAGGGAACCACGGAGATGGCAGCCTGTCGGTTCTGGATGGTTAGGCAGACGGTGATCTTCAGACCCTTCCAGTCGGAGGTAGCCTTGGCAATGTCATCACCAATTTTTTTAGGCGACTACGGAACAATTTTTCATTAACACAAGTGGGCAGGTAAACAAACCGGGTTCCATGCTTACCAGACCAAGGGGACCGATCTTAGGGGCCAGGGATGATGTGGCTCCCACTTCTCCGCCCACGCAACGCAGGTACACTGTAATTTTTAGTATAATAAGTTAGTATGTTGTTAAAACGCTTCTGTTGATTTAGAAGTCAGGCTCTTCCTATCAACATTTGAAAACTCACCCAATTTAACTTCCGTGGGGTCGAATTTGGGAGGCATGGTGGTATCTTGGCTTGAACAGTCGCTGCAATGTAAAGATTACGTTATTATTTCCCGATTTTTTTAAAGACATTTTAGGCTCTGTACTTTACCGCAAAAAGACACACAGAAAAAGAAAGAAGAAGATTATCGATTTCCGGCAGGAATGTGTGCAGGGTACGTATCGCTAAGAGCTATCGGAACGAAAAGGGTCTTAAATGAAACGTGGAATTGAAACATGTTTTTATATGTCCTCATTTAATAGGAAAATTTTAAAAATATAATTAATATATAAATATTATATATTAAATAAATTGTATATAATATTTATATATTATGTAAATTAACTTCCCGCCATTTTTAATACCTTAAGTGGTAAATTATTATATATTATAAATAGATATATATGTATGTATACATATATTCGGAGTGATTACGGTTTTAAGTAGACGAGAAGTTAACTTAACTTTTGTTAAAGTGCTTTTCACAAGAACGCCAGTAATAAAATTTATTGAAATTTTTTTTTACCAACCCAATACTTTTTTGATAGATAACTTTAGCATATATCGATGGTATGACGTTTAGTCTGAGTAAAAACTATCGTTTGATTTAATTTGAATAAACGAATATTTGACTCTGTTGTAGCCATTCTCCTATTTTTAGCCATTCCAAAACAGTTTATAAAAATTGCCTTTTTTTTTATCGATCAATAAAATGAAGATTGACCTGCCTCAACAACACATACAAGACAAAATGGATGTATGTATGTACAAAGAAAAATTTATTCTTCTGGACCAAATGATGAACCAACGGAAATATTTTTAAATACAATTTTTTGATTAAAACACAGTAGCATCACCCCATTTAGTTCCCGCCCTGTTTACTGATAGCTTGATAAGTGACGCCACTTATTGATGCGCCAATCAAGCCTTTTGTTTACTATCCCGTGAGTAACGCCAGTTCCATCTTTACCAGGCGTCTGTACCAAATAAAACAACGAATCGAATTTTACGGATGACGTTTAGGTAAAAAATTTTATTGGCAAACGTGTATCTTGTTACTTAGTTATTCAAACATGGATGCTTTGAGTTTCTGTTATATTTATTACAATCGTTAGAACCAGATTTAAGATGTAGAGCCAACTAGCCTATAACAGCATCTTTGAATAAATTTGTTTCAGATGTAAATGCAACAGAAATTTACAGCGACACATTTTGCTTATTTGTCCAGAGCAGTATTGTTCTTAATTGCGATAACACACTCTTCTCCGCACGCCTTGAGAACGGTGCACTGTGAAGATAAACAAATGGATACAATCAATAAAGATAAATAATAATAATAATCCGGCACTCAAAATTGATCGAGGAAGCTCACCAGTAAGTCCTTGCCATTATCAAAGTCTGAACGTAATTGATCGCCCAACTCGCCTTCCGGAACCTTCAAGTCTTCACGCAAATCTCCGCCTTCAGTCATCAATGTAAGGAAGCCATCATCACTTATAGCGATCAGCTGAAGATCTTCCCTTTTCACATGGGGCACATCCATGTTATGAGTAGATGGGCAAATATCCTCATATCTGCAAAGTTCGTGAACAAAGAAATGTTTAGTAAGGGATGAATGCCTAGAGAAAATATGTGGATTTGATTTTTCGTAAGACATCTTGCATAAAGCCTTAGGGAGACTCCAAGTTTCCACCACAAGTTCATTGATAATATTAGTCCGTGATAAGATTATTTTCTTATAAATTTTTTTGATAATAATAATGAGCCCACGATGCTTTCTTAGTACTGCAGCCACAGAATACTCACTTCTTGTTGGAGAAAATGTCAATGCCGACCATATGAACCTTGGCGTGTCCGTGTTTTCCAGTCTTCGAAGTAGACATCTCGACAATCTTGCATGGCCGGGACTTTAGCATGACGAATCCGTTTTTGCGCAATGCCGAACATTGCATGGGATAGGTGGACGATGCGCCGGAATCCACTGCATCGAATTGATCCAAGTCCAAATCAGCCATTTCTGTCACCACATAATAAATTGATTTGATTAGATATTTGGTAATTAATTGCAAATTAATTGAAGTCACAATAAGAAATGTAAGAGTACATTATATACATCGGCGTTCTATGGTGTACATACAGACAGATTCGCACATATGTAAATACGAATGTGTGCAAGCCGAAAAAAATGCACACATGTATAAACGTCGGTGCCTATACGTATGTATTCAAAATGTCGTATGCCAAATGCACACCCAAACACTTTAATGATCAAACATTTAAATTGGCAAAGTCATCTAGACGTCGGCACTTGAAAGTTGTGTACTGCAGATTTGTGTGTATGTAAATACTTTCTTTCGCACATATTTGAAGGAGCCCAGCGGCCGGAGATTAATTCTCTTGCTCCGACTATGTTTCCACTGTTTGGTCAAGCCCAAAGTGCAAACACACATTTCCGGTGTTTTTCGGATTAATTTGCAAATTTTTTGTCCGCAAAATAGCAAATTACTAACCTACTTGCGAAGTTCAGTGACTGTTCCAACCGAAGATGTAAAATGAAAGAACCCTGCTATCGAATCAAACCCACGTTTTGTTTCCGGTCAATAATAAAATAGAGGCAGGAATGCATCTTAGCACTCTGAAATTTCAGCGCAATCAAGTCGTTTAATTTTGAAACTGTGGAATTGAAACATTAAAATAGGGGAAAGTTCTAGCTAAGCAATATGTAGCTTGTCAACTCAGTTTAAAATCACGATATCAATAAATAAAGTTATTTGTTTTTCTTTGTTTTTAATAATTCCCACAATGGTATTTATTATTGGCAAAATAATTTTAGAGCCACTTTAGCTTTAAGCAGTCACTCTCTTATTGCTGCAAAGTACCTAGGTGGCAAAACGTTTACAAAAAAGACAAAGTTTATTGGTGCTTCCAAATATGTTTTTAATGTATAAATAATATTTTTTTAGTTTTTAGTTAATTTACAAGATTTATAAGCATTTCTTCAAAACTTTGGTATTTATTGTTGATTTACTTTTTTAAAATATACTTCAATGGGCAGAGTCGGTATAAAATTATCGTTATCCAAATGTTTAATTTTTCTGGCGCTGTGCTGTTTCCGGTTTACTTTTGTTAATGGCTGTCTAATTTTTACATTGCCACTGGAAATAGTCATAATGGCGGATTCTGTGACTAAGGCGGATTTTTCCTCCGGTACTCCATCGGAGCGAGATTTTGCAATAGTGTGACTGAATACGTTCGTTGAATTTCGAACGGCTAACTTTTCATCGACAATTGCTGTTTTTCGCGAGGTGGCTGTTGTTCGGCGCCTGAACTTGTTGATCGAGGTGCTAGCAATTGTTGTGTTTTTCACTGGTTCTGGCGCTGCAGTGGTATTCAAGTACTTGCGTCTTTGATAAATTCTTTTTGATTTTTTTTGCTCTATTTTGGCATTGGAATTTGGTAAGTTAATTGATACTTGGATCGGAACCTTTTTAGTTGAAGCTGAAACCCGGAGTTTTCTTAGTTTTCGGTTGATATTTGTTCGTCTGGTTACGGGGGTTGAAGTGGTCGTAGAATCGGGCATTGTGGTGTTATCGAAAACAGCTGATGTGGTTAGATTTTGAATGATTCTAGGGGTTTCCTTTGTGGTAACGAGATTTTTCAAATGAAGCTTTAACAGTTTCAATTTTGTTTCAATATTTGAAGAATAGTTTTTAGTAGCCTTAATGGATTTTAGTCTATGTTTGAAAGACTCTTTTGTAACATTCGCTGGGGGATAGGTAATTTTTACAGGTTCCGACGTGGTCCAGGTTGGGGGGTTCTTAAAAGCAGACGGTTCTGTTGTCGTTGTGATTGTGGTAAAGGTGGTTGGACTGAACCAACTTGGTCTGGTGCTATAATTCTTATCCAAAAAAGTTGTTCTTGTTGGTGTTACAGCTTCTACGGTTGTTGAAGTGGTGGTTGGGATTGGCTCTGTGGTGCGCTGAAATCTCTCCGTAAAAGTCTCTTGGGGAATTTCTGTAGTAAATACTTGGTGACTGGGTAGAAATGTGTGTTGATCTTTGGTGTCAGGCTTATGGAACTTGGATGAAGAATGGGGTAAAATTACATCGTCAAGTGTAAAGTAGGTATGAGCAACATAATTAAAATAGGGCATTGTAGTTGTTGTAGTGACTGGTAATTCTATAGTGTGCGAGCTATATTGGTCTTTTGGAATATCTTGCAAAGTGTTTTTAAAACAGTTTTCCGAAACACTACCAGCTGTATAGATTTGATCTGGACACTTTTTCCAATTTTCATTGGAAAAGTTGGATGGATTCCAGCGTTCTGAATTTGACAGTGTTTTAGCCGTTAGCGGTATGAAGGCGTTAACGGGGGGGAAATTAAAATCCACAGGAGGGCTTACTGGAGCTGTACTATATTCGATGACATTAACTGGCGCTGCAACGTAATCCACTGTGGTAGCAGGCGTTGATGTTACTTTAAATCCGTGAACATTATTCAAGTCTCTAAAGACGCTTCTGGAAAATTGGATTAATTAAGCACATAAAGTACCACTCATATATAAAGTGTATACCTCTTTGAATTGGCATAGGCCTCGTGATATTGAGCGGGTGAAGGCATATATCTTGGCAGCATATGCATGCTGCGCATATAGTTTTTCAGTCTCATTTTTCCTACTAAAATTGGTGTCCTGGTGTTATACCAATAAAACTTTCGCATAGCGCTTGGATGTTGTCGATATAAGACAATCGATGGATGATCTACAGACCACATCTAAAAGTTTATTGAAGGGACTCGCTATCGCTTTTTTTGTAAAGATATTTCTTAATATTTACCTGTCGTTTTGATCTCATGAACGTGGAAGATGCCTTAATATTAAGCAATATGTAAAACAACCCTAAAGGAGTTTAAAAAGTTTAGATTGTGTTTGTGTTACACTTAATTGCCTCACCTATTGTCATATAAATGACAACAATTCTGGGTTTCACTTTCCCCAACATAATATTTGAATACTTTTTACAGCAGACAACCAACGACTACTAACATTCGTTTTTCTTCAAAATTATTGGATACTTGGATCGAAATTCATTTTCGATGCACCTTCAGACTAAGCAGAAACTGTAAATCATTCACACGCAAAGATGGTTTGAGATAAAATGTTTCCCGAGAAAACCTAAGTATGTTATATGATAACAATAAATCTTTAAGCTTCATTAGCTTTTAAATTTACCTCTGTGAGTAAGCAAAATGTTCTTAAACAGTAACATAGTCTTCTGTTATTTCAACTAAAGTTGCCCTGTGAATGATTGTTAATAAAGTAGTCTTCAGATGCTGTATCTAAACCATAGCGTGTGTGCTATGGAGCATAGAAATCAACGCTTGGACAAGCTCATCTTGCTGTTATAATTGTTGCATCTGTGCAGCCGTATGGTTAAACACACTTTCAAGAGGTACGTTTACTTCCCAAAAAAATACAGCCATTCGGTTTGGACCTGGTAGATACTCATTAAGGCAGTAGTCTGCTTTACAGACTTAAAAAAATCGATTTTTTTTTTTTTCTTAAATCTATTCCAAAACTATCCAAGAATATGTGTTCAAAACTTTAGAGGCCAATTCGACATATTTTCGAAGCTAGATCAGTTTTAGTGGCCAAGCGTCGAGCAGGTTCGTATGCTCGGGCAGACTTTACAGCCCGTTTTCTCGAGTTTTTATTTTCACAAGTCTTGGAAAACGGTGCCGGCCATAGTAAAAAAAATATATGTCCGATCGAAAAAAACCAAAGTGATCTAGCTTCATTATTGAATTATCTTCTATTTGAACTAAAAAAAATGGATAAAAGTACTATTTAAATTACTTGTTTACAAAAATTACAAAAAAGTGAATTTTTTTTCAAACTTAGAAAAAATTTGGAATTTCGTAATTTCTTCGGACTTTTTTAGTTCATATAGAAAAGGAACTTATAAAAAGTAAAAAAAATTTGGTTCCACTGTTTCAGATGCATCGGACGAACTCTATCACCGGCACCGATTAACAAGTGCACACTCTAGCCGCCCCAGAAAAATCGTTACAACTTCCGCTAATTTCAATTATTTGCAATAATAAAAATTGTTTTTTAAAGTTTAAATATAATATTATATCGTCTCAAAATTTCGTTCACCGCAATCATTTCCTTCCCTTTCAAAAAAATTGTTGAAAAAACGCTCTTTTTTCGGTTCCTTAAGCAGACCACTGCCTTAATGGATTTAAGCCTTAACTCCAAAATCATTTCAATTTAGAAATAGTTTATGTGAAGGAACTATAAAAGGCTATATTATGGGCGAGTCCTTGTTTAGAGCTTGTAAAAATAGTCATACATATTTTGTAGTTCTGTTTTGCAGTTTCTTTGAAATGCTTTTCTGCAACTGACCTTAAGTTATTAACAAAGACCAGAGTAAGCTAGTTACTTATCCTTATGCCTTTTTAAGGTCCAAGAAATAATTGTGGGGCCAATGGATTCTCAATTTTTTTTACTAGTAAGTCGCTAATAATATATATGTATACTCTATGCACTTTAGAAGCAATCTTCCTTTCTTGTTTAAAAATGTAGTTCTCTTTTATACTTTGATGGGCCTTGTACATGCTTTCTCAAATCAATAAAATCTACAAGAAAAACCAATTTGGCGGTTATATTTAAGTGTGCTTATTGTTGACTTGTTTCGTCCTTGTTTCTTGTGAGCGAGCCACTGAAACTTTGCATGCATTTTTAAATACAAAAAAATAAGGGATTGGAACCCAAAATTGCGTGCCAGTTTGCGACATATGTATGTATAATATATATTAAATGATTTTCTATGCACATGCACATCTAACAACAGAATACTGTGAAATTGATTCAGCCAATACGAAGCGAAATGTCGGGAAACACAGTCAAGGTTTTTATACGATCAATATCATATCTTCTTCAAAATAAAAAGTAAGAATTTTTGGTTCAATTTTGAGTGTATTAGTCGTGGACAAATTCAATAATGATATTTTCTTATCATTGCAGACTATTTTATATACCTGTGCTCATCGTTTCGGGATGGAGCATGGTTACAATTTTCATTCTTCTTAAGAATAGATATGAAACCGATTCCACTAGCTTAGGAGTCTCTACCTCTTATAGTCGGTGGACAAACACCTTTCCATCGATTGCAATATGTTTGTCAAAAAGCCGGACAAATGCAGAATTTTCAAGTGCGGTCGAAAAACGTTTTCCTGGAGAAAAAATAAACTTCGTCTATTTAAGAACTTTATACGACTACCTTTTTATAAACCCAAACAACTTGTATATGAAATCCGATCATTGCAAGAATCTAAATTCCAGTTGCGGAGTTGACATTTTAGGAATGAGAAAGGAGGTAAAATGTTCATTTTTATTCTTAAACTAATATACTAGTACCTTTTGGTGGTAGTTATTTCCGACAAGCTGCACGAAGTTTTTTCAAGAAATTTACTTTGCTGAAAAATTGCTTCCGGACTGTGAACAAATATTCAAGTTTCATGAACTAGAAATGGGATATTGTTTTCTAGCAAATAACCTAATGGATTAGTAAGTCCGAACAACCATATATGTACTTTGCATATTACTTAGATACTAGTTGAATATTTTTTAGTGATAGTATTGAAAATATGCCCTTGCAATATTCTTCACTGGACGAACACCGAAATTTACGCGTTTCCCTGCGAAGTGGAATGGTGTTTAGCTACGAGGTGAGAGCTTCTAGATAATGACATTTTCGACGTTCAAAAATGTTTGTTGTTTTAGTTGTACGTTCACAGTCCAGAGGATCTGCCCTATTTCAATGCCGTGACGTATTCGATTTCCGCCGATCCTGTGATCCACAGCTTCAACGTAGAGGAGATTCATAATCACGAAGACGTCATTAAAGAGCCAGTTTCTCAACGGCTGTGTAAATTTCCCAGTGAAAGTACTATTAAAGGACTTCCCTATAGGTAAGTCTGCTTTGGAATGAATTGGAAGAAGTACGTTTTCTGGCAACATGATCTTACAGTTTTTCAACATGTATGTCCATTATTCGGAGTCAAATTGAGAAGGAACTCTGCAACTGCACTTTATTCAGTTATAAGGATTCAAGTAAGCCAGACAGTTCATCATGATCACCATATGCAACGCATTGCCTTTTAGGTTCTGAGGACTATTGTGGATTCAGGGAAATATCCTGCCTGGACTTCAGTGTGTGAATCGTCTCTTAATTACACGAGTGCAATAATATAATCATACTATTTTAGGCAAACTGGCCGAGAAGGTAAAGCACTATGTTGGGTCTAATATGGCTTGCCTGCCATCCTGCGTTGAGCAACAGATAAGCTTTGTTGGGTAAGCGAATGGCAAGCGTTTTGTTAAAATTGTAAAACCCAAAAGCTACAGGTCCCGAGAGGAAAAGAGTAACAGAACCAGCAGCGGCGCTCAAGTGGTGGAAATTCAAATAGCATCTCCCCCGACCGCTAGATATTACAGGACAGTGACCCAAACCAAGCTTGATTTGATAGGTAGGATTAATAAAATCTCTTATCAAGACTAACACTAAAACTACCTTAATATTAACAGTTGGCATTGGAAGTGTAATTGGACTCTTCTTCGGCGCATCCTTGTTAAACCTTTTGGAAGTGATCTCATTTTTTTTAAAAAAGCTTAAACAATTGCTTGTATGTTAGCCCCTTTAATGTTATAAACTCCCCAGCAGCAGCAGCATAAGGTTTTTGAACACCACAAAGCTATTAAATGAATTTTTTTTCAGCAATGCTAATTAAATGGTTTATTTCAAATTGTGCTGTTTGCGGTTAATTATTGTTCTCAAACAAATCTAAATGATAGTTTGCAATTTCGTTTTCTATAAAAATATTAAGGTCACGGGAGTTGTCATTCTTGACTTTGTGCACAGAAGTGTTGACATTTTGCTTCTTATACCGCAGTCCAACTCTAAAAATAAGATGTCATCCATTGCGTGTCAGGAAAACGCTATAATAACTTACATCCTTATAGAGGGTATGTCAGGAGAGCTTCTCATTTTATCGGATGACTTGGCCCTCAAAAAGCGATGCTTGATGTCAACTCCTCCGTGTTCGTCCTGAAAAGTGCGGAATCTTTAGACATTTTCGTTAAAACCATGGTGCTGCCTCTTACATCTCTCATATTGTACGTTATAACCAAGTTGTTTACGAAACTGTCCAGAAATTCAGGATACGAGTCCAGAACGTCCAGCAAGTCGTCCCTGTGTAGTTTGTGAATATCGCAATATGTCAGGGCTCTAACCACTGCATTGGACTTGCCTAGTGTTGGATATATGCATGGATTTTCGCCGAAAATGTCGTTCTTTCCTGTAGCGAAACAAAACCTTTTTTGCCACTGCAGCTATAGTTCAGATGGAATAAGTCTTACCTAAAACGATAATGTGATTGCCAGCTTTTTGAATTTCAATGGATCCCCTGGCTATGAAAAACAAGGAGGTAAGTACATCTCCTTTATGAACTAAGATGTCACCTGGCGGCGCATGGGTTGTTTTAAATTTAAGAGAGAACGCTCTGAAAATAAATACCATAAGAAATGGTTCAGTGGCTTTTTTCAAACTCACCTTAAGCAACCAGGACTGGCCTCCGAAAAAGCTGCGCAAGTTGTTAATAACTTTCTGTTTAAATGCAGGCAAATATCGGCTTGCAAACACTCGGGAAAACCTTTAAGCAACGAGCTCATATCGATTCCGTTCGTATCTTAAAGATCAATTGATTAACAACAAAAAGGAAAGTATATCATTAAGAATATTACAGGTCCATGCATGTTGAAAATATTCCTCCAGTCTCTGCCTAAGCGGGTTCGGAATCTAAGGGAAGTGCAAGAAGTTAGAGTCCAAAAAGTTTACAAAGTTTGGGGTCCTTGATACCTGGTGAAATCGAATGAATTCCCGAACGCGTAACATTTGTGTATGATATCTTGCAGTTCCCGAGTACAGTCTTTGTATTATTGCAGAGACGTTTCCGAAAATGCTTGCGTACATAAGAGCTGAAAAAGGTAAAATTTCTTCTGTAAAATATAATTTTAAAGAAAGTGTGAATTTCGCCTACATCCAACAAGCATTACGCAAATCGTAAATGCTTTTTCGGCATCAGTATTAGGTGCCACATTCCCAAAGCCAACGGAGGTGAGCGAGGTAAATGTGAAATACAAGGCGGTGATATATCGTGACTGTAAGAACATTATATTAGATTCAACCGCTTTTTTAAGTCAAAATAAAAAATTACTTTTATAGAGGGTCCACCAGTCCGGTTGTCAAAATAGGGTTCCTGGATATCGTAGGCCAGGGAATTCAGCCAACCGATGTTTTTCGACGCGATAGATTTTTCCGCATTTCCAATGGCATACCTTGAAATATATTTTTAGTTTTAGAAAGAGGGGACGCTATAGTCGAGTCCTAGACTATCAGATACCCGTTACTTAGAAAATTGGCAATAGGCGTTGCTACTTTTGAATCTCAATGTCCATACAGACATCAGAAGACAAACAGTCCAGATCGACTAGTCTGCTGAACCTGATCAAGATTTGATATACCTCGTGTATATAAGTTGTGAGTGCCTCCTTCGACCTGTAGCCAACTTTTCAACAAAAACAGTGTACTGTACTATACTTACCATATGCAGGCCAGCCAATGGGCAATTAAAATAAACGTTGCCATCAGTAGTATTAGAACTGCAGCTCCGTACTCCGAATAACGATCAATTTTTCGAGCCACACGGACCAGTCTTAAAAGTCGCGCTGTTTTCAAGAGTCCTATCAGGGTCGTGGTCTGGAATTGCGAACTCATGTTATTTACAGAAAAAAGAGAGGGGGAATACCTCACCTCATCGGTATCACTTCCAACTAAAAGCAAATCGAATGGAACAGCTGCAACTAGATCAATTAAGAACCAACCGCTTAAATAATGGACTGCTATACGTCCTGGATGGGAAACCTGTATTAATTGTATTTCTTTTTGGATTTGTTATTTCAAATTGATTGTTTTTACCACTTACCACTTCATCTTGTGCGTTGACAAAGGTAGTTCGAAAGTTAATTAATATATCGACAATGAAGGTAACATCCACTGAAAAAGATACTTTAATAACGAAATCATAAAAAGTAACTTTTCAGCATACCAATTAAATCAATTATTACAATAGGGTCAGAGTTTATGTATTTGTTATTTCGTCTTTGGTAATCCTGTTCCCCCAACAAAAAGGCAGCCACGTATGGGGTAAAAATGGCAGTGTACATCACCAGGATCAATATAACCCAATCCCAAACAGCTTTGAAGGGCGAATAGTGCAGCAAAGTCCACTTATGGTAGTAGTTATTCTGTAACTTTTGATCAAGTATATTTCCCCCCAGCGAAGTAATCTGTTGAAGAGAAAAGTTTTAACAAAGAATGTAGTTTATATGACGATTTATAATTTACCATGTCGTTGGGGTCTTGCATGTTGGGTTCGCTCTTAGAGCCGAGAAGAGCTTCTTTGTCCAACATATCATCGAAGGAACTCCCCAAAACATTTTCTGTCGTTTTTTCGGTTTGTTTGTATTTTAAATTTTTAAACATACACTCGTAGGAATTTCCCTTGTGGGCTTGAAAAATGTCGTTGTTGTTTTTACGCGATGGATCGTATGAACAAAGCAAATCGCAATCCCTTCTGGCTAATGTCTGATAGTTTTTAATATACAGCTTTTTTTTATCACATTTAATGCATTTTTTCGAGGCTTTAATACTAGTGTGCTTTTTAGGTTGACTTGATTTAAGCTCGTTAGAGATATTGTTCTGCTCGATTTGATTTTCAACCTTACTGGACTTAACCTTTTTCAAACACTCTCTTTTGTTGGTGATTTTTAAAAGTATAGGCGAAAAGAAGCAGTCCCCTGAATACTTTGAATGCTTTTCCTTGGACTTTGACTTGGTCTTTAGTTCAATTATTTCCATATCATTAGTGGGATTAGTCCGAAGGAATTTGTGATAGACCAGAGTGCTATGATCTGTTACATTTTTGGGAAATCTCGACAAACTCTCCTTCTTGTCGTCAAACATACTGGCATTTATCAATATATCTGAAACAAAAACTTGTTTCTTTTCAATCTTATTGAGGTTGCACATAAGCGAGAAGAGTTCCCTCTCCACAAATTTATTGGATTTTGCAAGGCAATTTCGTTTAAATTCCTTTAAAGGCGGTTTTATAGCGGAATCGTGTACATTATTGTTAGACATGTACAGCTCGCATTGCTGCACTATTTTATCCAATTTTCGGATTTCGCTTAGTTCCACGCAAGACTTGTGGGACATTTTTAAATCTGCAAAACATAGGAACACAAAAGGTGCAAATTAAAAACAAACAAACGCGATGAAAGCTCTTTTGGCTGAATAAACAAAAACAAAAAAACAAAAGCAGCGCTAGGTCTGCAGTTTTCACATAATCAGAATTTTTATAATCCGAAATATCAAAATCTTACCTAATGCACATTTATTTTCTTTTTTGCAAATCAAACACGTATCACTTATACACTTAAATGTTAAGCGTTGTCAAGTAAATTTAAAAATAAACATTCAAATATTTAAAATTAAACTTGTCGTTAACCTTTGAACTTTGGATAAAAGAATTACTTTATACAGATATGATAAGATATGAAATATGCCATAACTTTATTATAAAACAAAGAACTTTGTAAAATATTATTTTTTTAAGTGCTTTCAAGCCTTATTTGCTTTTAGAAACTTGTGGGCATGCGTACTTAGTCACTTTTTAAAATTTACATACACCGTGATTTCTAAATCCTTCTTTTTTTACTGTTTTCCGTTCGGTCACACTATCTGTAAATGTAAACAATTGATTTTTCCTGCAAAACAATAGCTGACGAAAATGTCTGGAGTTGCTGCTAAAAAGATAGCCGAAGCGGAGGATTTGGTGAAGCAAGCGGAGAAGAGGTACTTAAAACGCATTTTACTTGGTATAATGATTTTTATATTAAACCAAAATGTCTTTTCAGCTTGAAATTGTCTATGTTAAAGTGGGTACCTGATTACGATAGCGCAGCGGATGAGTATTCCAAAGCTGGTGAGTTGGTTTGACTAATATTTCACGAATTTTATAACATTAAAAATGTACAAAAATAAGAAGGAAATATATCTTCTCCCAAAAGTGCCATTAAACGGATAAGATTTTTGGGTGATACATACATTTTCGTAAGCCTGGTGTACACATTTATGTAAGAAACAGTAGAGGTGTTAATAATCACAAAAAATAATGGCTCTGACCATTTTACACACTTTTAAATATTAGAAAATTAAATATGTTCAATCCCTTTAGCTACTGCATACCGAATAGCCAAGAGTTATGATAAAAGCAAGGATTGTTTTCTGAAGGCCATTGACTGTTACAAAAACAACAAGGCCTGGTTCCACGCAGCAAAATCATATGAGCAGGTGGGTTAAACGAATATAAAAGCTTTAACAAATACTTAAAAATATTTGTATGTTGTAGATTATTTTGCTGTCCAAGGATTCTGATAAGCTGCTCGAAGTTGAGGAATTCGCTAACAAGGCTGCAAGCTTATATCAACAGCATGGGTCTCCAGAAGCTGCTGCTTCAGCACTTGATAAGGCCGCAAAATTAACCGAGTCCAAGCATCCAGACATGGCATTGAGATTCTATCAACACGCTCTGGAAGTTATTATGGTGGGTGCTTTTGAGTTTTTTCCCTCGTTTTTATTTATTTTTGTTTATTACCGCTGTACTTAGATTGAGGATTCTGTCCGTCAAGCAGCTGAATACGCATCGAAAGTTTCAAGAATATTGGTGAAGCTACGAAGGTAAGCTTTCCTCATATCAAATCATCTTTAATTATAATTAACATCAACAATTTAATATCTAAGGTACGAGGAAGCCACAAACGCGCTCAAAAAAGAGATAAGCCTAAATCAGCAAACGGAATCTTATGGACAAATTGGGCGTTTAGTTGTGGCTTTGGTAATGGTACAGTTGGCACGCGGAGACTCCGTAGAAGCCGAAAAGACATTCAGAGAGTGGGGAAATTGTTGTGAGCCCGAGGAAGTATCCACATTGCAAACGCTATTGCAAGCTTTTGATGATGAAGACCCAGAGTTAGCTTCAAGAATGCTGGCATCACCATTTATCCGGCACATGGATGTTGAGTATGCAATTTTATCCAAGAACATTCCATTACCTCAAGGTATACAACTGGAGAAAAAGGCCAGTGATAATACTGGAATTGTAAGTACTATTTTTTTTGTAAACTCACTTGTAAGGTCTAACTTGTGTATATGTACATATTTGGTTTACACATTTACGCCTCATTCCACTATTTCGCAATTCAAGTTTTTAATTATCGATTGCACAGAGCGTTTTAAAATAAGAGCATTAATACTAATTTTTGATTTTCTTTATTAAGGAAACTCAAGATGCTGAAGACGAAGGAGGTTTATGCTAATTTTATTACAAATTTACGGTCTGCTTAATAGTCAAAACATGTTTGTTGTTAATAAAACCTCTTTTAATATATAATATGTCAAAAAATATTAATAAAATATCGTTGTACTAAATACCTTAAGAAATAAATATAAATACAAAAATAATCAAAACCTTTTTGTTCTATTGAGTTAGATTTTTTAATCAAGGTATTATATTCTTCTTAAGCATTATACATTAATATGTGGTATTTAAAAAATAATGTTAAAAAAAAATTGGCATTGTGTAGTTTTATTATTGAGTTTATTGTAAAGAATGCGAAATTAGGTAATTGTTTACAAGTGCGGTGCACGGTAAATACAGCTTAAAAAAATAAAGTAAAATATGGAAACGATGTGGTTTTTTCTAAAACTTCGAAATCCGTTGGCGGAGAGTGAAAATTTTGCACCGTTTTTTTGTTATTAACAATTAAAGATGCGATTTGTAGTACAAATGTGGATCTGAGTGACCGTATTTGCATGTGATGTGCCGATTATTGCAGTCGTCTGGTGGCGGATTATTGCAAATACGGTCACTCAGATCCACATTTGTACTACAAATCGCATCTTTAATTGTTAATAACAAAAAAACGGTGCAAAATTTTCACTCTCCGCCAACGGATTTCGAAGTTTTAGGAAAAACCACATCGTTTCCATATTTTACTTTATTTTTTTAAGCTGTATTTACCGTGCACCGCACTTGTAAACAATTACCCGAAATTATTAAGGGTAAATAAGACAGTAATTTAATTGAACGTAACGTTAATAAAACCATTACATACTGTTTTTCTTGAGCAAACTTTATAATTATTAAATTGAGAGCAATAAGATTTACCCGAAACTGTAAGTGTTCCCTTTCATCGTTCCAAACCAAGGGTTCACGCTAATGACGCGTCATGACGCATGTTGATATTTTCCATGGGCCTGGCAACTCCTTACCTATGCGAAATAACCGACCAAATTGATTCGTCCGGTTGTTCGTGAAAGAAGGCGGAAGGTTAAACAGTATTTGTAATATATACTTGGCAATCTATTTGAAAATTGTGAAAGTAAAAAACTACAGGAAAAATGGTACGTACCACTGCGACTTCCATTCACACTCAGTAAGGAAAACAGATGGTTAAAGTAAATTAATGGCCAATGGAAGCGAGTAGGAGTGCAAATAAGTGTCTTTGATTCGATGAATCATATAAGCATCTCCTTTGAAATCTGTATACACATACATTTAGATAAGTGTGTATATATACCAATCATATACATATATATTTCAACTTTTCTTTTTTTTTTTTTTTTTTGCTAATATGTACGTTGGCCATATTCGGGCATATATAGATTGACATGAATGTGTGCGTATACATATAAACCAAATTAGTCATTGGTAACAGCGGATATTACTCATTTATTGAAGTGTTTTTGTACTCTTCATCAATTCTCAAACTCCTAAATGGTTAAATCGCCAACAGCTATCGCAAAATAATGTTTAAAAAAGCAGCTGGAAGAATGGAGCGATTAAAATTAAAATGTTGGAAAGAGAAATGCACACACGTTTGAATTTTTATGTGTATATATTTTTACACACTTGAGGGTGTGTGGGTATACCGCTTTTTTTATATTTCGTTGGCTATAAATATGTATGTACATATGTATGTAGCTGCGGGAAATGCTTATTTTCTCGCAGACGCAAAATGTGTGTACATAAAACTATATTACCATACAGAAATATGTATAAATATATATCCATATATGTATCTGCAGACATACATATTTAAGGTGTGATCGTTTCCTTGCCGCCTTCGTATGCATGTGTCTGAGGGTGTATGTGTGTGTAGGCCATAGACGTCTGTATGTATGATTTTGATATGGTCGGCACTTTCCGAATATTATGGAAAATCGTGCATATTCTTCTGTCTTGTGGTCCCACGATAGTATAAGGGGAAATTTACAATCAGATTGCCGCTTCCCCATTTTTTTTCTCCCATTTCTCCGTCTTCTTGTCTCACCCTTAAACTTGCCGGCACTTGTGAACTTACCCTTGAACTCGTTGAGCGCCGGGTGAGAAATGTAAACGGACTGTAAAAGGGGCCACGCCCACCACTCCCAAATAAAATATATTATATATAAAACCAACTACCGTTTGAAACCGGTAAAAGTTAATCGGTGGCAACGCATATAAAAAGCATAAATGGTATGCCTTTTTGTTTGTTATTGCCGGCAATCAAAGAAATAAAATTTGCAAAGCTAAAAAGGGACGGCTATACTGTCAGCTGAAAGGTGGGCAGTTATGTCGGCAGTTGTTCTCACACACTATAACAAATGTACAGGGTGTCTTACACTTCAACCGAAACTTTAGTAATTATTATCCCTGTAAATATTTTTTTTGTCGAAAAAATTATTAGTTCACTCTTGGCTAGTCAATTAAATAAAGTAAGCTAAGCTTAATGTTTAAATCCGGCAGGAAAGTTGAGCACCCTGTGGACAGGGTGCGCATTGTTTTTGCCTAAGGCTATGCGCGCTTTTAAAATTCAAAATATTTTTATTCTACTTTCTTCTTCACAGGCTTCTGGAGTAACTGTGTCTGATGTCTGCAAGACTACATACGAAGAAATAAAGAAGGACAAAAAACATCGCTATGTCATTTTCTACATTCGCGATGAGAAGCAGATTGATGTGGAGACTGTGGCAGATCGTAACGCTGAATACGATCAGTTTCTAGAAGACATCCAAAAATGCGGTCCTGGAGAGTGCCGGTAAGTTTTTATTAATTTTATTAGTTTATTGCCAATATCCCCGTAATATTATTAGAAGTTACTAAGCAGATTTGAACGAAATTGCTTTAAACGTATGTTTCATTTACAGATATGGATTGTTCGACTTTGAATACATGCACCAATGTCAAGGCACCTCTGAAAGTTCAAAGAAGCAAAAGCTGTTCCTTATGTCGTGGTGCCCCGACACTGCCAAGGTATATTTACCATCTAAAGCACTGTAATACCAACAACTAATTTAACGAACTTCACTGCAGGTCAAGAAGAAGATGTTGTATTCCAGCTCGTTCGATGCTCTAAAGAAGTCGCTGGTGGGCGTGCAAAAGTACATACAAGCCACTGATCTTTCCGAAGCCTCCCGGGAAGCCGTTGAGGAGAAACTCCGGGCCACCGACCGCCAATAAACTGTACGAGCATTGTGCATTGCATTTAACAAACAAGGCATGCATGAAACAGCGATGGAAACACGTATCCTGTTGAGATCGCCAATTTGTATGAGAATTTTCTACATAATTTGTATTTTCAGTAGAAATAAAGAATGAAATATTTAACTTGATAAGTTTGCACTTTGACATTTCAAAACACATTACATTAAAAAATTTGTACTATCGTATAAACTTTATTTTTAGGAGTTAAGAATATGCATACGTAAGAAGTCTAATCTTATAAGCTGAACTTTTAATAGCCATGCTGAATCACTATTGTCTGGAGGACCTTTCGAATTTGGTGGCCAGTATTCAGGCACGATTTTAGGCCCAACGAAAAGGCTACCATCAGGATATCGACTGCGTGTTCCTGCAGCAGCACCGACATTTCCGGCAGATTGTCAATGGCCGTCGCCGCCACCGACGAGTTCTCGTCCCGCAGGCACTGAATGTAGGCGTTTAGGGTGCAAAGGTTGATGTCCGAGTTACCGGGGTTGTGCTTGAGGTGTCGGATTAGTATGATAAAGGCGATGGACCGGATCTGAGCGCTCGGTGAGAATATCAAATTCAGCAAACGCTCAAAAAGTTCGTTGATGAAAACGAATCTCTTGGAAGTGAGGCACTCCAGCTCCTGCATGGGTCCCAAAACCACGTCCTCTGTGTTTGCCTGCTTAATGATCTTGATCAGGTCAAGGAAGTGCGGGGATATGTCTGTAAAGTTTGATCTGCTGTATGATCCTAAGGTAAGAGCCGAAGAGGAACCCCTGCTGCCGCCAGCATCGATTGGCGTGGGCGGGTTCCCCTCGACGAGTTCCTCGCTCACAGTGGATTTGGTGGCCGGCGGCTTCACTTCGAAGTGCTCGTCTAGGTCGTACTCGTACTTCACCTCCTCGTCGTCCAGCTCGGAGGCCGAGTGTGACTTGTGCTGCAGCAGGGCCACTGCTTGAACCAGAACCTGCAGCTTTCCCAGAGAAGTATACTTCACAGCAAGTTCTTTAAGGATGCCCACGTACTGTTCGATAAAGAGCAGGGCGCTCGACGGGTTGTAGTTGATGTAGGCCTGCAGCATCTGCACGAACTTGTTCAGCATCTGACAGGCCTCCTTCACCGAGCTGTGGTGCTTGAAGAAGTTAAAGTAGCACGACAGCGTATTCTGGATCTCGTTCTTGTACGAGTCCTCGAAAATTGTCGGCTGAAGGAGCTCTAGGGTCCTCAGAATCTGGACGAATCGGTGAAAGTGGTGCTCCTCGCGCAGAGCCTTCATGCTCATCTGTGCGCGGCCTTGCATAATCGACGACAAAACACTCAGCTGGCGCAAAAAGAGCAGAGGGTGGGAGGCGGCCAGCTTGCGGAGAAGCAACTCTGTGTCCGATGACAGGGTTTCAAAGTCCTTCTTGCCTACAAGACTTCCCAGGCAGGTGATCAGATTATTGGACACCTTATCCGCCTGACAGCCCTTCAAGCTCTGCAACTTGTACGCCTGTTCGCTGGTTTTGCTCCGTTTTAGGAACTTTACGCGCGGATACATAATATACATTTGCTGCAAAGCCTGCAGTTTAAGGTAATCCGACACTGCACTGTTTTCCACGTGCTCCATCACCCGGACCATTAGGTCTCTCCGCTTCTCCGTCAGCTTGAACAAAAGGTTCATTCGTGAACAGAGTTTGAAGTCGTAGTTTCTGCTGTCCGCTTTGATCTCGGAGAGGCCCTCGTGCAGGATGAAGTGAGCAAACGGTTCCAGCTCCGAATTTTTCAGTAAGAAAAATGCGTCCGGGCGAACGTTCTTCGACATGTACTTTTCGCGACCCTTCCACAGTTTTGGATTTGTGGTCAGCGCCTCGAAGTAGTTCAGAACCGTCGCGTAATCGTAGTCACCATGGAAGTTCTTGAACAAATATTCGGCAATTCTTTCGATCGTGTCCCAGTTGGTTTGGTGGTTAATCAATGACAACAGGTAAAACCTAAACTCGCGACAGGATTTTGAGAACAGGAAGCGCTCCTTCATCAGCTGCGTGGAAACGATTTCGGGATCTACTTCGGACAGCCAGTCGATGAAGAGACCGTTGTGAAAGAGCTGGTCGCTTTTGGTCTTCGCAACGGCTTTGCAGTCTTTGCTCTGATCAAAGCCCTCTATGATGCCCCTGACGATCCGCTTTCTTGCCAATAAGGCGGTATTTGCTTTAAACTGCTGGACGTAAATCTCTCGGGAATTTCTCAACATAAACACGAGGCTTTCGTGGTACAGCTCCGTTTGATACAGTAGTCTGGAGTCGGTGAAGTTGTGCTTGAAAATACTGAAGTTCTTTTGCAGCGTGTTCTCTAGGATGTGGTACTTGTCGCTGTGCAACATGCAGCTAAAAAATGTTCTTAGAAATGTGCAGGCGTGCCGACTCATAATGACGTCACATCCCATTGCTATTACCTCTGTTATGGCGGTGACCAAATCATTTCCATTGCTATTAGAGCTGACCAGCATTTCCAACAGCTTCTGAATCAAGGATCGACAGTCACCCCTCTGTGCAGTCAGGTGATCGGGCTGCGTGAGAATGCTCTGGGCCACCTCCTTGGTGGCCAAAAGATCGCTGCGACCACTAGTCATCTCCGAGGTATCGTAGTCTCCGATTTCCACAGTCTCCTGGATCATGACGCTGATCTTTGGCAGATCCGGCACGGTTTGCGAATGGGAGTGCAGATCGAGCGCCTGCACGGTGTAGTGGCCATTCTTCGCCCCCCGCGCCTGCTGAATCTCGATCAACTGCGCCAAGTACGCTTTGTTAAGGATGGCGTTCTTTACGAGGTCGAACTGCTCCAGCACAGCGGTGTCCAGCATGGCCAATAACTTTGACATCGAGTTGACCGGCGTGCCGAAGTTCTGCACAAACAGCACAATCTGGTCTGGAGTCAGGTCGTAAAGTGCAGCCTCGATCAGCCTGTCCACCGAAGAGCGTATCATCTTTAGCTTCAGCCAGTCAGGCAGCAGCTGCACCTGTTCTTGGGGCATGCTGGGCAAAAATGCAACGGGCGCCGGTCGTCCTGGCGGGAACCAGTAGTCCAAAATGGGTATTGACTCGGGCATGTTGCTGTTTGAATAAGTCAGCAGGATTATAAACGCGTGGATTATGTTTATGTGCAGGGGCAACTGCACTCCGTCGTCAAACTGTACCATTAGTAGGTCCGGGTACTCGGTCCACTCATACGGCTCGTGGTACTCCCTAAGCTTAATGATATAATTATTAAACATGACGAACAGGCATTTGAGAGTCTGAATGCGGTTCTCGTCTGGGACGTAATCGTAGTCCTCTTGGGAAATAATAATGTGCTGAAACATTGTGCTGCGCTCCACTATCAATTGCGCCATATCGATTACATGGTCCAGCATTTCGTTTACCGGATCGTTTAGCGTGTGGGCCGTAATGAACTGGATATACGCCATAATCAGTTCCGGGCAGTTCTCCACTTGGCAGGCTGCCCGCAGCTGGGGAATAATGAACGGTTTAACCTCAAAGAAATGGGGAATTTGTTGTATCGACTTTAGGAGCCATTCGTTTTCAAAGTCTCCCGAGTGCCTGAAAATGATCTTCAGACCCGAAAGAGCAGCTACCCGAGATTGCTTCACGGTAGACGACAAGCGTCTAAATATGTAATCCAAAAGTTCGCAAACGATTTGGTGGCTGAGATTCCCGTCGAATATCAAATTTCGCAGGAAGTTAACCAGTTCGGCATCGCGGCTGTTTTCCTCGTTTATTATGTGCGCGTTGAAGAGCAGGAATTCGCACAGACACTGAACTGGAAGGTGACTGAAATCACCCTCGCTGTTTTGGACTAGGTCCGAAAGCCAGGGCATGGACTGTGTTGTGCCCTGTCTCTGGATTATGTCCAGCAGCAAGTCTGGCTTGCGGCAGCGGCAGAACAGGTGGCCCAGCTTGTAGGTCTGGTTAAGAAACTTCAGTTGGTCTAACACCATGGAGGGTACCTTGCGTGGCGTACCCATTGGGTCCATCAGCATGAGCTGGGTAATGAGGATCGCCGTCTCCTCTGTGATAACTGCATGTGGCGATGTTTGGGCAGCTAAGTACGTTTCGAACTGCAGAATGTGGTCTCTTTCCACTGTGATTATCTAAAAAAAAAAGACTTTATTATTACACAAACAGCAACCAGTTATTTTTTTTAAATGTGTACCTGCAACTCGTCCTTGTTGGCTGCGGAATTGTTAAATTGGTTGGTTATGCATATTTCCATCATCATCTTCATTGTTGGGTAGTGATCCCAGCAAAAGGCTCCAAAAGTAGAGGGATTGTGCGCAGATATCATCAACAATATGAGCCAGGCCTTCCAGTAAAACGCAATGATGGCCAGCTTAGGTGGCTCATAATCTGAGGGCAGGCGAATATTCTCTGGATGGTGGTATTCCGACATGCTGAACAGAAAGTCGATGATGTCAAACTTGTTGGCCTGCACAGCCGGGATGTTGGTGGCCTTCATCCCTGAGACTCGCTTGATAACCAGCAACAGCACATCGAAGGTGTTCGCAATGGAGAAGGGAATATCCTTCGTAATGCCAATCAGGATTATGCGCAGCAAAGTCTCCTCGTGAATTGGCGTCTCGGAGATGATTCTCAGGATAGCCCCACGTTCCGGCTCCGAGGGCCACTGATCGCAGCGCGAGTATTGCTCCGGGCTGTCCAGCAGCAGCAGTTTGTGCAATGCCTGGTGATATTCGGCGGCAGGAATCTTGAAGATAGTGGGCACGGTTTCGTACATCCACGAAACTGTGTCCAATTGTATCTGCGACATTTGGTTGTACAGCTTGAGCAGAGCGTGGTTGTTTTTCGTGTCCCGATTGGTTTTCAGAGACAAACTGGCTTCCCTAGCTTGTGGCGTGGCCGAAAGAAACATGCAGAGACACACGATGTCCACCATTGAGTGGAAGATGCGCTCCTTGAACTCAAACAATTCTATTTGCGGTGTGAGGTCTTCCCGTTCACTTAGAAAGGTTTTGCAAAATTTGACCAAGTTCACATCAAAGCGCAGCATCCGCACAAGCTCCCTTAGAAAGACTCGCAGTGTCCGCAGACAATCGTCCCGTTGGAGCAAAAACTCCTGATAGATTTCAGCCAGATTTGCAGCGGACTGATCAGAAGACGTTTGGAACATTGTGGCTGTTAAAAATCATTTAATACTGATAAGTATATAAAGTTAATGGGGACTTTGATAATTTACCTAGCATTCCCATATTGTTCGGATTCCTGGTGTTGGACAATTCATTTTGCACGACCAGCTTCATCACAGTACTTAAGATATCCGGCTGCAGATAGATCATCTCCTTAAGGCACGACATGTAGTGGTTAATCAGGGGCTTTGTTTTAAGCCGCATCTTCACCAGAACCAGAAGAACTTCATTGTCCTGCGTATTGCGCCCTTTTATGTTGAAGCATATATACGAGAGCAGCTGCTGGGCGAACTTGACCAGTTTTCCGTTGTGAATCCACAGCTCCAGCCGCGAGATACTGAGACATCGCACCTCTGCTATACCGGAGGTAGTACAGAGAAATTTAAGAAAGTTTCGGGTGTAGTTATCCTGCTGCTGTCGCTTGTTTAGCTGATCGCGAATGGCGTCGCTGACATGCTTCTGAACCACGGCATCGCTAAACCTGGGTTTTGTGGTGCACATTGCGTCGGAAATGGGCTCAGATTCGGCGTTCAGGGGACTGGCATCCAGGCTCTGAGTGGAGTTGTCCCCGGAGTCGTCGTCCACAGTCATGCTATCCCTGTGCGCCTGGCCTGAAGGAAGGGCAGTGCTGACATCCCAGCGGAGGAGACTAATGTGTGGAGTTCGGGTTTTGAAAGCGGCGCAAATGTTCTTTACTAAAGGAGCGCACAAGTCATTATCTGCCCAGTATCGCTCGTTGACCGCATCGTCTATATACGTGCGAAGAAGGATCTCCGGCCATTGCGGAATGTCTACAAAGCCCCTGGTCAGCAAGTTGGCAAACAGGATGTGCAGATTGGTGTTGAACCTCATTTTCACATTGGCCTCTCGCCGCAGGAAGGATAGCAACGCGCAGGCTACAATATCAGTGCAGAATATACTCGGCTGCAGCTTGGCAACGTATATAAGGGCCAACAAAGCTATGTTGTCCACCTTGGAACGCGAGGAGCTTGTCGTGGTCTGTTTAATAACGCCACAGACCAGCCGACCCACAGTTTCGCTGTCGTTTTGCTCCAAGGCCACGTAAATGGTCTCGATTACTGTCTCCAGATCACAATCGATGGCGAATTGCTCCCAGGTTTCGCATTGGCTACTTCCGGAGGATATATCCGTGGCGCCCGCATCCTTTAGATTGCCTCGAAATCTCTTGCTCGAACTGGCCAATGAAGACGGGGCCTCGCGCTTCCTGTCCGACGAGGATATTGCCTTAATAGGCATGATTTTGGACTTGGTATCATCGCGAACGCTCTTGGTGCCGAGGGCAAATAGTTCTCCACCCAGCGGTACCTTTTTTTGGGATCTATTCGACCCGCTGCCTTTTCCGCGGTCCATTTTTATTTTGCGGATTGCAACGAATGCGACGTAGTGTGACCGAAGATTTTGAAACGCGCAATCCCCTACCAACGCATTGGGGCGTCTGTGCGATATCTTTAATTTGAAACAACGGAATTGTTGTAAGCTAAATCACGTTCTTCGCTTGCCAGTCCCCTTAGGGTCACACTAAAACACGAAAATTGCTTGTAAATTTGTAGGGGGAAAAATCCCTTGAAAAGTTGCGATATAAACAAAACTTAGACAATATGTTTATGTCCATCGCACCGCCACTCATGGACTTCGAAGACGAGCTGTTGTGGATAAATCAGTCGAACAGCGAAAAAGTCGAGATCTTATATGACAAGTCTAACTATGTTACTCCCAATACCAAACACCTTATCGAACAGGCATTTCTTCAGCCGCTAAGTCTGCAGGATCAACATATTTTGTTTGACGACTTGCTAAAACAAAACACCGACATTGCTCGCCAGTATGGATTGACTCCGGCTAAAGTACGTTTTTGAATCCACAAACTAATAAAACCATAACAGTTTTTGAATTGCAGTTACCTTTGCTGGTTGAGAACAATCCCCTTATCTCCATTGAGATTTTATTAAGACTGATGATGACCACCGACATAACAGAGTATTTCAACATATTAGTTAATATGAATATAACGCTTCACTCCATGGAAGTGGTCAACAGGTATATTGGATCAAATGTTAATACCTAAGACCTCTGTCATGTATAATTCATTCTCTAGGCTCACCACGTCGGGTCCTCTGCCCACGGAGTTTATCCATTTATACATAAGCAATTGCATCTCTACATGTGAAACAGTAAAGGATAAGTACATGCAGTCCCGACTCGTGCGGCTGGTTTGCGTATTTCTCCAGTCCTTGATTCGAAACAAAATTGTTAACGTTAAGGTAATTACAATTTGCTGAAGTTCAGTCAGTTAACTTAAACAAACCGGCTGTTTCCAGGAACTTTTCATTGAAATCGAAGCCTTTTGCGTGGGTTTCAGCAAGATCAAGGAAGCAGCCGCCTTGTACCGGCTCATCAAACACCTGGAAACCGGAGAAAGTGCTCTGTCCTCGAATTCGATAACAAAGTAGCAATCTGCCGACGTGTTACGTTTAAAGCTTAGATCGTAAATAGCCAATTAAAACTCCCTTTGTACATGTAAAACAAATTCGCATTTAATAACTTAAATATCTAGTGTAGAGTTGTGTGTTTATGAGTGAGTGTTTTTTGCTACCGCGCTGGTGTGAAAGTAGAGTGGCTCTGTTGAGGGCTTGGGGAAACGGCTTAAATAGCGTTCAAGTCTTAGAAATTTAATCGAAATCAGGCGCTTGTCAAACCACCAGCCGTTGATCTCGTTGTGAATAATGCCTGCGTCCTCCTCGCTGGCGCATCGGATGTATACGCAGCAGGACTGAATGTCTAGCTGGACGTCACAGATCTTGCAGCGAGAGCCAACCTTTTCAATGATCGACTCCACAATGGACTGCTTAAGGTTGGCCTGATCGACCTCTGAGGAGTCAAACATGTGTCGTATTTTTAGGCAAGGCGTCGGTGGATTAACAATCTTGTTTGAGTTGTCGAAGGCGGGACTCTGCCATTTTTTCACCAGACTCAGATCCTTTTTGTCCAGGTTCCGGTTCCACGCAATCGTGCGCATCGCCTTTCCGTCGCGATTTACCATTCCAAACAGCACACGGCTGTCGTTATTTTCCAGCTGCTTGAGAGCCTTGTTCCACGCAGACAGGTTCTTAGTGCGCTTCTTGGCGGGCAAGAATTTATCCTGCAGCTGACTTATGATCACCTCAGGACTCTCGGACTGGGAACTTAAGTAAATCAGCTCGTTGATTATGTCCTTTGAAAATTGATCAACCGCCAGCAATGCTTCCTTTTGCTTGACTCGGTAAATTACCACCGCAAAGTAGACGGCGAGAAAAGCAGCTACCAATAGAACCAACGTCCCGATCACGGCGAAGAAGCGGGTCATTTTTTTTTTTGGCAATGCACTTGAGGGGCAGATTTGGTTCGGAGAGCTCAAAGTATGCCCCCTGACCAATGTGGTTAGAAGACTCCACCACTTCAATGCTCCACTGCGGATTTTCAGCAATAAGATATTTGGCAGCTAAGAGGTTGCTGTGCAGATTTCCCCTGTGAGTCTTTGGACTGCTGACCATTTCTCTCACAAACTCACTAACCTCAAGGGTGGGCGACAAACTGGCATCTTCGCAGTGATGAAGCCTGGCTCGCTCGTTAAGATGTCTAAAGAGTTCCTCGCTTAAATCCAGCGCACCTTTCAGCGAGTCTTTTGCTAAGCAATTAACACTTTCGCTGACCATTTGCAAGTCGTTGGGGTTACATAATGTATACTTTAAAGCGGTTTTGTCAATAGAACTCTGCTCGAACCTCTTTCCCACATACAAAACCGTTATTATTGTCAAAAATATTAAGAACAGCAAAATGAGCACTTTTGGTATTACGTATGGTCGGTTGTCAGGGTTTTTAAAAAACGATTTAAGGTCCGACAAACCGAATCTAGAAAGTCTTTCGCTCCTAGGCGGGATTCTCGACGCCTGAGTTGTTGGATAATTGATTTTTCGCTGTAAAGTTGTATCCCTAAAGCTGAGCAGTCTGTTTACAACGCCTCCATCGGACATCTTGACCTTGCCGCTGGATTTTCCATAATTATTCGAAGTGTCTACAGTGTACGGTAATGAGCACTGCTGTCGGTACTTGCCATTAAGACCTAAACCGTGGGGCGAGCATTCCCCATCGTAATTGGAGGCCACCACAGGCGGTGGGGCGTACATTTTGGAAGCAGACAAGTGTAGCGGACTCGAGTCGCTCTCGTCAAAACTTCGATTAAAAATGGAGGAGCTGCGGCTCAGCTCTACGTCGTTATTATTGTCTAGCCCATTCGCGTATCCAGGGGGCTGGTACTGAGGAAACTGTGGGTAGCCTGGCGACTCCAACTGCTGTTTGGAATACAGAACGTACTTGCTGCTTCGCTTTTTAAGCTTGTCCGCTCGGGTGTGCTTCCTCAACTTTTCAATTAAAATCGATCTTGTTGTCTCCGTGACCGGGGTGCTGGGAAAACCGCTCTGGATTAGCTTTCTATGTAGCTCCTTGTCGCTCAAACTATTAAGGCTCTCGGTTGACATTTTCCTTCGCTCTGCAAAAGACAGAAAATTGTTTAAATTGTTTATATGCATACATTGCAGTCAACAAATTCCTATATATGTGAAATTGCATTGTGAAACACATTTTCTCCAGTTCATACAGTAAGTTTTAAATGGCCCATTGGCCAGTTAATCGTACTTTACAAGTATTTATACAAACCGTAATGCTATATTACCATTAATCTGTTTATAGTACAACAAACATGCACAAATTTGCAATATTAACGCCGTTCAGAGATAACTTACCTATACAAATACACTGATATAGAAAAGTCTAAGAAAAGATCGCATCACTCAATGTGTACGATAATTACATAAAAATAAAATAAGTTACAGAGTTTAAAGCAACAGTCTTACAACCATATTTTGATTACATTACAAATTTATACGGCACATACTAAATTATTAAGTCAAGGGTGCGGCGAGAGATCAACTGGAACGGAGATAATGAAACATACAAAAAATCACGACATCGGGTCGAAGTATCGTTATGTCCTAACTTGCACTTAGTTTAAAAATTCAAAAAGATAATATTATATTTTGTTCGAAAAGAAAAGTTGGGCTAAATTTTTAGTTATTATTGATTAATTCAGCGTTGGGGATGTAGTAGTAGTAGTAGTAGTAGTAACATAAGAGACGTTTAATGTGTATGATTGTTAAATTGTAGTATGTTGCTTGTTGCATTGTTGTATGTTGCTTGGGACATTGGACGCGTCCTAACCTAAAATTTGCTTATTGAGGGTTGTATATTAAATATTGGATGTTTTATATTGATTGTTGAATGACTTGTTAATTTTTCTACAATCAATTCTCAACTAAAATCGCTTGATTTTTTTGTGAAGTAATTGTTAGATACCACACTTTGACCATGCTAAAGGTGCAGTGCATCATTGCTCACACCATTAAAAAGTAAATGTAAACTTATTCTAAATTGAATATAAAAAATTCAAAATAAGTATTTAACGAAAAATAAATAAATAATAAACTTACCGCTTTACGTTCCTTCCCTGTCGTTCCAGAAAACAAACTAACACTTTGCTTGCCTCCATTTCTATCGAAATTGGCTATTTGGAAAGCGATGGCAAACTATCGGTGGAGGCCAATCAGTTTTCTTAAATTGTAGATACATTTATATGTGTTTGTGCTTTAAGAATTAAAATATTGTATGCCTTTTGCAAAGGTGCGTATACGGAAGCTACCTGTTCTCAATCGATGGCGAGTTTTCCTCCCAGCATCGTTTGGCATTTTCAGTGCGAAAGTGTGAAAAGTGTGTGTGTACACACATAATTTGTAAATGCAGTGCGACATATAGACAAGTGCATACACATACGCACCGTGCCACCATAAAAATATACCAAACTGTAGTCGGCAAAATGTTGCGTGGAAACTTAAAGATTTTGCTTTCTTTTTTAGGCTGACGCGAATGCCCGATACAACTGACCACAGGCATGAATCGTAGGGGTTTAAACGCTGGCAATACGATGACTTCTCAAGCGAACATTGACGACGGCAGCTGGAAGGCGGTTTCGGAGGGTGGATCGATGCTGCCTGCGTCCAATTCAGCGGCTTTAAATCCGGACGGAAGCAATCAGAGCGGCTTCGCGCAGGGCGGCTTGCCGTACAACTCGGGCGGCAATCCCTACCCACCCGCCGGCCAATCCTCACCAGCTGGCAACCAGTCCATCGTGTTCCAGAACTCCAACCAGCCTGGCTCGAACACACCTCAGTATACCTCTTCACCTGCTCCCTCAGGCTCATCGACACCCGGACCTGTTGGTGCGCAGAACATTCCCGGCAACTATCCACAGTCTGCGACGGCGGGCAATTTTAACGGTCCCGTAGGCGGACCCTTCGGCTCGCCTTCGTCTGGGTTGGGCCAATTCAGTCGGCCGGCCAGCTCGGGCACTCCATTCAACAGCGGCCAGGCCGGGCACTTCTCATCGCCCACGGTCTTCGGCGTTGGCGGGCAGTTCAACCCGATGCCGCCCGCATCGCCATTTGGGCACGGAGGCAACCACCCGATGATGGGAGGACCCCAGCAGATGGAGCGCATTGATCAAGGCTTCAGGCGGCACAATTCCTACTTCAGCCACACGGAGCACCGCGTCTTCGAGCTAAACAAGCGTCTGCAACAGCGAAACGAGGAGAGCGACAACTGCTGGTGGGACTCCTTCACCACGGAGTTCTTTGAGGATGACGCCCGGCTGACGATACTGTTCTGCCTGGAGGATGGTCCAAAGCGGTACACAATCGGGCGCACTCTCATCCCGCGCTTCTTTCGCAGCATATACGAGGGCGGCGTTTCGGACCTGTACTTCCAGCTGAAACACGCCAAGGAGTCGTTCCACAACACGTCCATTACGCTGGACTGTGACCAGTGCACAGTGATCACGCAGCACGGCAAGCCCTTTTTCACGAAGGTCTGCGCGGACGCAAGACTGATCTTGGAGTTCATGTACGACGACTACATGCGCATTAAGTCGTGGCATATGACCATCAAAGGACACCGCGAGCTCATTCCAAGGTCCGTGATCGGAACCAGTATGCCGGCCGATCCGATGCTGATGGATCAAATTACCAAGAACATCACGCGGGCTGGCATAACAAACTCCACCCTGAACTATCTGCGCCTGTGTGTCATTCTTGAGCCGATGCAGGAGCTGATGTCACGGCACAAGGCGTACGCTCTGAGTCCGCGTGACTGTTTGAAAACAACGCTGTTCCAGAAGTGGCAGCGTATGGTGGCCCCGCCTGGTAAAAAGACCCTCAGCGACCTCCTAATAAAAGGCGCAAACGGAAGGGCTCCAACTCGGGCGGCGGTAACAACTCGAACACGCCGCCCGTGACGAACCAAAAGCGCTCCCCCTCCGGCCCCAGTTTCTCCCTATCCTCCCAGGATGTGATGGTGGTTGGCGAACCGACGCTGATGGGCGGCGAGTTCGGCGAAGAGGACGAGCGGCTGATCACCAGGTTGGAGAACACGCAATACGACGGAACCAATGCCGTGGAGCACGATAATCACACCGGCTTCGGGCACGCAGACTCGCCCATTTCCGGCTCAAATCCGTGGAGCATCGATCGGGCGGGAGCCATCCCGGCCAGCCCTGGGAACGGAGCTGCCCCGCAGAACAACGCGAATATATCTGATATAGACAAAAAGAGTCCCATTGTATCGCAATAGAAATTAATAAAAACTTAATAATTCGCTATATTGTCAAATGTATTTTCATACTTGCATGTAAAAATATTTAAATAAAGCTTTCAAGTTTAGGAAATGTATATAAGACATACATACATACATATTAAATCTATTTAATTGTACTTTAAGTCCTCTATTCTATTCATAATATCTATTATATAATTGTAGCGTAGGATATTTCTGTTCTGTCTTGACTGCCTTGCAAAGTACTTAATGTGTTGTTTTAGTAAAACATTACTTTTAAGCACAACGCAAAAACATTGAAAGCTCTTTTTTTTACATGTTTTCGTATGGATCAGCAGGCTCTGACCTTTTTTGGGGGGTTTTTTGAAGTTTCTACCGATTGTAAGGGCTTGATTGCCTGTGGAACAAAAGTAATATGTACAAATTCCTATATAGTAATTATTAAATGAAATGGGAATGTAAATGTATTAAAGGTATTATTTTTAACTCCTCTTTTCTCTAGTTAAAGCTTTAGACGTGGCATTGCCGTCTATTTAGTTGGGATTGTAATCGCATTATTTACCCATTGCATACCCTACCCATGATTTTACAAAGTCCCGCTCCTTTGCGCATGCACGAATATCTGCGGGATACAGATACACAGTTTCTGCTCCACATTCAGTTATACTATACAGTCGCGCGTTTAAGAAGGATGCTATTTCTAAATAAAAACCGAGCGCTTTCTTTGGTGTTTAATTTTCTTTTCTTAATTATTCTCATGTCATCGAGTGTCCAAGCAGATGAGAGAAACATAAATAAATTACTTAACAACCAGGTGGTGGTTAGTCGCCAAATAATGTGCATCTTGGGAAAAAGCGAATGCGACCAACTGGGGCTACAACTCAAAGGTAATCAAACGGGAAACCAGTTCAGTTTCTATAAAAAAGAAGTGCCGGGATAAATAGTTTTTTAACATTTTCCAGTTTTAATTTATACCTATTTCCGTATAAAAACTTTAAATTAATTTTTTTTTAATAACAGCTGCCCTCCCAGAAGTCATAACCAGAAAATGCAGGAACTGCTCCCCACAACAGGCTCAAAAGGCGCAAAAGCTAACCACATTTTTGCAGACTAGATACCCGGACGTTTGGGCAATGCTTCTAAGAAAGTACGATAGTGCCTGAACGTGGCAATTAAATGTTCTTCTCATGCATCGAAAATAATAAATTAGTCTCGACATCACTCCCGGCACTGGGCTTTTTTATTTATGGGCTCCTTCTCCTGAAATTTGTAGTGGAAAATCTTTCTAAACCCTAAATAAAAATAACACAGGTTTATACACACGAATGTATTTTACACCTTATCATTATATAAACTCTACAAGTACGTCTTTAAGGGGGCCATCATTTGCTTTGGCTCTCTAGATAGACTGTGGCATTGTCCACACCCAAGAACTGATGTATACTCAGCGTCGATAGCATTTTCATCTGTCCCTGATAGAGGACATCGGCGATAATCTTCTCAGCATATATAGCCTGGGTGCTGTCCATCGATCGCAACTTGTGGGCGATGATTTTTCCAAAATTCGAGAAATGATCGTCCAGTTGGCTGTCCGCACTTTTAAGTGCTAGCGAAAAAAGTCGGTCGAAGTCGATAGTGGAGATGTCCGCTCGGAATTTTCCAGGCTGTGGCTCGTTATCCTCTGATATTTGAGAGGATACAGAGGAAGAACGTTTCCGGGTGATGTGGTTTTGGACCTGATTATGGTTCTGTTTTTGTTGGCTGTGAACCACAATGCGCTTGCTAGGCGATTCGGGGTCGCCATGAGGGGACTTGACCAAGTCCGGGACGGATTTTCTTCGGGCTGACAACAGCCTGTTGTTCGCGGGCACCACGATCTCAACCTCCTTGATGGTGGCGCCACCAGCATGGTTGTTTGGATTGATTGACTTAATACTGATAACGGGGTCAGCGGCGGCGGCCTCCTCGAAGATGTTGGCACAAAATTCGTTAGCGCTGTTATTGGGCGACAACTTGATCGCATCCGTCGAAGGTTTTGCAGGTTTGGAAAGACTCTCTGCGTCGGAGAATTCGTCGCAGATCTCCGGTTGCACTAGCTGAACGGAGCCGCCTTCCAAACACCCCGACTGCTCGCGCTTGCACTTCTTGTCGGGAATCTCTTCGTCCTTCAGGAACATCAGGGACTCGAAATATCGCCGCTTTGGGCAGTAGGGCTCGTACTTCTCTCCCTTCTTCTTGACCTCGTTGTATTTCCTTAACTGATGACGAAATGCACAACGCAGATTGTTTATCTTTTGCTTTGTTCGCTCGACATTGTACATTTCCCCATGCTTGGTGGCCACCTCTATCAGTTTTGCATAGGCCTCCTGCCGGCGACTGCGGTTTCTAAAGTCCGCCGAATCCGCCTTCCATAGGCACGGATTGCACTTATATTCCTCTATAAAGTCGTCTATAAAGTCCATTTTTGTTTACTAAATGAAAAACACTGTAGTTGACGGGCCACCTAGTGTATGTTTGTGTGCATGTGTGTAGCATCAATAACTATCGTTACGCGATTGAAACGAGAGAAATCGAAACAAAAAATGGCTTGGGCTGAATTTTAGTATATTTTATAAATTTAATTTTATTGTTTATGTTAGTGATTTAAAATTACTTTCTGTGACATTTATTATAAAACAAAAACAGAGAAATATTTAAACATAGATATGTAGAATTTAATTTTAAAAAATTAATCGTTATACAAAATCCCTTAATGTCGGTATATATTGTTACGCCCTAATTTCTGCATTCGGTCACACTGCCCAGAACTACTTCAAGCTGGTAAACATTTAAGCAATAAATTAAAATAAAAATGAGTGGAGCTCACAGAGAGGCGATCCAAAAGCAAATCCACCAGGACTGGGCGAACAGGGAATATATTGAAGTGATAACTGCCAGCATAAAGCGTATCACAGACTTTCTGAACTCGTTCGGTAAGAAAACATATTCATCGGGCACTTCAAGTCTCTTTTGTGTGAGTCTATTTGTTCACATTTGTGTTTGTAAACGTAAAAAAATATTGAGAAATCTCTGCCATTGCCATCGACTTTATTTACTCTAATTGAAATCCGATAAAGAGCAAACACAACTTTCGGCTTGTTCGAAAAATTAACTTGGGAATGACATTGTATTTGTGTGTGCAAGATAAAAATCGGCTTTTGGCAAAATACGGTGAATATCTTCAAGTCATATATGAATGTACATACATATGTTACATACATGTTTATATGAACAGATATGTAAATAATAATCTGAATAGAAAAGCTTGTACTAGAATACATAATAGGTATAGAACTTTTCCTTTAAAAAGAATATTAACTGAAAAAAAAACTATTAAACAAATTTCAAACGAAGTATGTGGCTCTAGCTAAATTTTATTTCCTTATTTTAACGATAATTTAATTTTTTTTCCGAAAATGTTTTTCAACATAAAACCTTTTTTTCCTCTTTCCCAGATATGTCCTGTCGCTCTCGTTTGGCGGTACTAAATGAAAAACTAACGATCCTTGAAAGGCGCATAGATTATTTAGAGGCGTGTGTGGCCCAAGGTGAAACATTAACGTAAACGCTCGTATGTTTTGCCATCAATATATCACTAAGCTTTGTACATTTATAAGATAATTAAAAACTAATGATTTAAAATTTAATTCTCCTTTGATTCACAATGTAAGCTTGCCGTGACATAATAATCCGTATACATTGTTCGTTCTTTGAAGGACAGCATTTCACGGTTGAGTAATTTGACGGCCACTGGTTTCGTTCATTGCCCCTTTAAAGAATAATATAAATAATAACTCAGAAGCAAAATGAACACGCGATGTTTTTGCCAATTAACCCTAGCTGCCTTTACTTAGAATAATAATGCAAATGGACTTGCCATATTTAAACAGTATATTAAGGTCTAGACCTAATCTTGAGACTGGTTTGTTAGACCTTTAATTGTCTTCAGATTAGTCATGAGACTGGCTTAATTACCGCTTTGAACGGAATTAATTCATATGCTATTCAGACTAAACAAGGCATCGAGTACAAAACAAATCTCTTTATTCGGAGCACGATCTTAGACAGAATTTCGATGAAAACAATTACGTAGACCTAATTAACAGTGCATATAACAAATTGCTCCAGGGATCTGGATCGGAAGTTAAACCTTGATTCCGGAGGCGGCGGCGGTGGAACGGTAGCGCTTGATATAGATCTCCTCGGGATCGAACTTAGCCTGCAGCTGCTTCCACTCCTCCGGTTTGTTGTCGATGATGTAGCGGATGACCTTGTCTGTGTTCTGGCGCTGTTTCTCACTACACTTGCTGCATTCTGTCTTCAGGGCGTCTGGCAGGGATTTCTTCAACTCGCGACCCTCGGGAGTGCACTTTCCGGTGTCCACCAGGCACTTGAAGTAGTTGCTGAACAGGCGGTCTGACCTCAAAATCTCGTCCACGTCCAGGTTGTCGTACTTCGTAGTGTATTTTTCCTCAGCTGCGACCAGAATGAGTCCGAGGACAAGAAGCGCAAGTGTCATCTTCATTTTGAAAGGGTCTATGGCCAAATAGAGACAAACAATTATTTTTCGTGAAATTTTGAAAGGCTCTCCGGCCAAATTGAGATAAGCGATTATTTATAATGGAATAGTAGGTCTGTCGGTCGTTCGGTAACCAGTTTTGTGTTTGGGGAACTTTAGTCGCTGTTAATGGAAATCTTTTTGGGGCTGCATTCGCAAAATGTATCTATTAGATATGTATGCAAATTAATGCATGGCAAACGCCACTTTGTATGCGTATCCGAAACACATTTATTGACTGCCCAACTACTGAAAAGAGTCACTATTTACACACGATCAAACTGGTTATCAGTTTTATTTGTTTTCGAATATGTGGATACCCGATCCGATCAGCACCAAAAAATTAAAACTATTGGCTTACGTTGGAGCTAGGCTTATAAACGGCTCGAAGTAGATGTGAAGCAAAGCAGGTGCTGGAACTAACTGAGGAATATTACTATGTGGTTGGCTTTTATACCTGGTCAAGCTTGCGATTGAACTTCAAGTGTAATACACACATCACGGAGTAAGCCTGTATTCCGGCTTGAGGCGTATCCATATGGAACTGCACACACTTTAGACTTTGAAGCGCAAATCGTTATTGCTGAAAAGTCAACCCAGTGATTAGTCAATTGTCGTTATAGATTTATATAATATATGCGATAGTTATACATACTTAATTTGACATGAACATTAGGCGGTTGACGTGTACTAAGTGGCGATCGAAAGTCGGACTGTGAGGGATTCGCAACCATTATTTACGGGTAAACATAATAAAATTTATTTGTGTATCAAATTTAACGATCTCATCTTGGATTTCCATTAGCAACTTCTCATTTATTACACATGAGGGGTGTGCAAAATGACCCTTCTGTAGTTGATTAAGGCTGATTGATTTAATAGTTCTCCGAACAACTATAAGCTTTCCATTCGTCTTTCATTCAAATCTGAGTCATCTAGTTAAAAAAGTTAGGTACAGTAGCACCAATGGAAAACATTTAAACTTGCAATACTCCAAGTTTTATTGGGCATTTTTGGCTGTTTAGGATGACACTAAAGCATACTCACCAAGTAAAAAAATAAACGGATCGAATAAAATATACCTTTTTTATTTAGTTGTATTAAAGTTACAAATGGTGAAATATAAAAATTCACAAAAACTTATACATTTTAGAATTCTGTACAAGGAAAGTAGTCAACATGTACCCTTCTCGAGTCATGGTATGTATTTAGGATTCCTATAAGCATCTTTAACTTTAGGCTTAAACGTTGTGTGGGTCTCGAAATAAATTGTCAGGAGGCAGTTATCAGTAATGGATTATTGCGCCGGAACAGATCATAATTGAACGGCGGGGCGCTTGCGTTGGAATATGGTTTCAATGGTTGAGAAGACGTCGCTGGATTTCTTTGCGGCGTCCACTTTAAAGTGAAGACCTCTTAGACCGTAGTAGTCGACCAAAGGCCTTGTCTGCTTGTGATATGCTTCCAGGCGCTTCTTTAAAGCCTCGGCGTTGTCATCACTGCGTCTAATAAGAGGTTCCCCGGTGACCTATGGATTGGATAAGATCTATAAGCATTAGGTTCTTGTAAATATCTTAACGAGGCACTAACATCATCCGTCATTGGCTTCTTAGGAGGGGCAAACTCATCGTGATACGAACGCCCGCTGGCCTGATGAATCAAGCGGCCAGTGATTCGCCGTACTAAAAGACTGTCATCGATGGCAAACTCAATGACGGCATCCAAATTGGTTTTTCTCTTATCCAACAATGTGTCGAGCTGAAATTGTGATTCCATAGCTACAGTTTGATATTTTAAGATTAAAGATGAAGGTAGGCTACTTTCTCGGCTTGAACGACAGTCCTGGGGAATCCGTCCAGGAGAAATCCGTTTTTGCACTCTGGCTTATCCAGATTGGAGTCTATCATGTCCACCACCAGATCATCCGAGACCAGTTTACCAGCATCCATGACCTTCTTCAACTCAGCTCCCAACTTGGATCCAGACGAAATTTCCGCTCGCAGCATGTCGCCAGTCGATAAATGGCAAACGCAGAACTTCTCCTTCAGGAGGGGTGCCTAGAGTATTGGCGTAATTAAAAACATTGATAAACTTATTTACGAATAACGAATTACGAATTAATCAATTTGGCACCGCTCATATCAGAACAGCGGGCAATAAGGTACTCGCTAGATAAGATGCATTTTATTGCTAGCAAAGAAATTTCTGGAAGCTTTTTAATAGCTATGCTGCATTATATCCTCTTGATTGCAATCGAGGTGTCCCCATTTAATTCGTTTCATCTCGCCCATCTTCTATTTGTTCTCGGGGTCAAATACATTCTTGGTACAAAGGTTCCTATGAGTAGATACATACATAACTTTCACATGCACGTTATTATATAAGCTAGTTAACTACCGATTTTAAGAAAAAACTTGGTTTTCCCTAGTTTGACCAAAAAATGCCGGACCATTTGAACACGTTGTACTTATTTATAGACGACATAGTGTCCGTGCCACAAAAACACACATTATGTAACTTGGCACCCACCTGCGTTCCTTTGCCGGAGCCTGGGGGACCCAGCAGAATGGCGTTGATTCCAAGGCTTTGGGGCTCATAACGCTCCACTGGTGCAGCTGCATTCGGCGCCATCGTTTTCAATTTATGCTCGAGTGATTACTTGGGTCCTAATTCATAGCAAGCCAAAACGGAAGGCCGTGGTTTTTATCAGCTTCTGTGAGCACTGTTGCCGACTTAGCTATTTTCACGTCAAATTTGGCTATTTTTAAAAGTCGTTAACAAGAAATCATTCGATATGGCATGGCTATTTGACTAAATTGATCAGCTTCATTTGTTTTTTTTTTAAAGTAAAATTTAACAAGATGATTAAATATAATTTAAAACAGAACCAATATTTATGCATCATTCGTTTTTGATAACTCTTAAAAAAACGACGCGGTGTAAATATTTTGGGTTTGTCTATAAAATTTACATCTGTAGCTGTTAAAACTTACGGTTCGTTACATAATTAATAATAAAAATACTAAGCTACAATATTAAAACAATTTTTTGTTTTTAAGACTAACTGTTTTCGATCTTACAACCGATAGCATCGATGTTTTAAAATTATTCGCTGAATCCACCGACCGGGTGGATGTCTCCGACCTCCCAGGTTTTGCACCACGCTTTAGTGTATCATTTTTTTTAACATTTGCAGAGCAGCGTTTGTGGACGAGAGCGGAAAGTTCCTGTTCGAATTGTTTATAAATTAAAAACGTGTGTTCAAGCAAAAAACGTCGTTTTTCAATAGTCCACCAAAAGACAAAGGGATATTTAATTTAATATTACTATAACAAGTTTATTTATTCTGGAATTCGCGTATTACAGTTGCCATGGTACATCTTAATATTGCCCTCGCACCGAAAATAAGCGTCGAATATGTCGCTGTATCCGTGGTCCTTCCACCATGTGCACAACTGACGGTTCCAAATGCAGTCCAGTCTATAGATCAAGTTGGGGTATTCGTACCCAAGGAGCGTAAAGAAGTCCTGGTCGCCCAGGTGGCCCTTGAAGGAATACTTGGCGACCAGGGTGTGCACCTCCGAGTGGGTCAGCTTTTCTAGATAGGACCTCGAGCTCCTAATGCGGTTTAGGAGGAGCAGGACAACGCCGGAATTGAGCCCAGGATAGCCGTGGTGAATATGGCTGTGCTGGCTGCCCTTTTCGTTGTTCATCGGGTAGTAAGGGTTGCCGAAACTGGTCTTGGGATAGCGCACGCGATATCGGTAAAGAATATGGCGGTACACGGGAGTGAGCTCTGGAGCCAGTCCGTAAAGCTGGTGCGGCAGAAAGTTATCGAACTCGTTGAACAGCAGTCGCACGTCGGATCGGAAGACTATATCACAATCAAGCAAAATGGCTCTGTTTAGGCTTCTATCGGCGATTCTATGTAGGCCAAGCGACAGAAAAAACAGGGAGTCGCTGTAGTACGAGTTGGGAGTTGAGCTGAAGTAAGGAGACAGCTTGGCGGCGATGTCCTGTATTATGCTGGAGCAGACCTTCACGTCGTATATGGTGTATATCACCGTTCTCCGGAATCTCCTGATCTGCCGTTGCAGGATCTCCAACACCGAGGTCTGGCTTTCGCTGTCCGTGATCACGTGTAAGTGCAACTGGGCATTGGTGTGTTTCAGCAAACTGTGCGCGAAAAGATCAAACTTCAGATTTAGATGGTAGTTCTCCCGTGTGTAAATGACGAATATGTTGTAGTCCGAGGAGAAGCCATTCAAGTGGGCGTCCAACTCCAGCTGAGTGGAGGAATAGTTAAGCATATAGTGCGTTGGCCTCAGAACCGGAGGAAACGCAGGAGTCGTCGCCTGGATGTCCGAATATCTCGCCTCCTGTTTCTCTGCATGTGAAAGCTTATTTAGCCGACTGGAAAGGAAAGCCGACAGGATGTTCCCGCGAACTAAAAGATGCGTGTTGGCGAAAACAATTAGAACGCACATACATATAAATATTAACAACAAAACTAGCTTCTTTTGCCACTTGCAACGCAGAAAAGTCCACGTCCAATTCTTCGGCTTCTGGCGAATTGAATTTCTTCGATTGATGATCAGAGTCACATTCTCCTGATCCTCCAACAGTTGCGATTTGCACTTCATCCCGTACATGTTTTGGTCCGCCGGAAACGTTTTGTGTTTCTGGCTGATAAAAGTCTTAAAGCTGTTCTTGGCCATTTCGAAATCAGAGGCGGCGCACCTATTGTAACAATTCATCAACGGGTAAATATCATATATTTACATCCTAACGTTAGAACACACTAAACGGAAACTCGGAGCAGATGAGCAAAAGCGCACAAAACATTTCGGACCGACTTAAAACTTAATTAAACTAGATCGATAAAGCAAGCACAGCGTAATGCAAGTCTTTTGGGGGCAGTAAGACCGTTATTAGATATCCGAAAATAACCGAATATATCGACCGGCACCACTTTCTCAGTCACAATATCAAATATATTTCAGATATCGAGAGTTAAACGTAAAATAAGGATTTCATATTTAAGTTGTATATGTCCAATTAATTTCACTCAATAAATTTATCGATTAATACCGATAGATGTATCTTAAACCTTAATCACTACAAATCTCAATCATGCGCACTCGTATTTTTTTTATCAGTATAAGTACATGTTATGGTTCTTCCAGAGTTACAAAGCCACTGGACCTACGCTGGAAAAATGTAAAAAGCTAGAGCCCTCTTCGACCGACCTGCAAGAATTTCCCTCGAGTCGAGCATTTTTAGCAGCGAAACAATGGACTGCCATCATCGCATTGAAGTGCCCCTCCGGGCAGGAAAGAAAATGAAAAAACGTCGGGAGCTGGACGCCCTGATAGCCTCCCAGTCGTCCTCGTCGAAGAGAGCCAATCGAAGAACCCCAGGCGGGGGAGCCACACACTCCCAGGACAAACTGCTCTCGGTATCCACCGATGACCCTGAGGATTACGCATGGGTAAGGCATTTACTATACTTAAATAGGCATTCACATACTCGATCAAGTACAAGGTTAGCTGTATTTGTATCTGTGTATCTAAACCTGCCAATTAAAACTTCTTAAAGATACTTACTCTTTTGAAATTAATTTACCCAACCATGAAACAATGAAATGTGCGGTTTCACAATAAAATTGCGCTTCATTCCAGACAAACGTCGCTGGTTCTAGTCGGCGTAGTCATCGGAAAATTGCCTACTTCCGCATGTGCGGCCCACTTTTATTGGGAATTATTGGCATTTTAGTTGTGGCGATTTTGTACTGGTTGTATTTCGATCTACGCCAGCAGCTGAACGACTATCGCCAGAAGATCGAGGAGGGTACTGTTTTGTTTGTTTACTACCTTTTTAGTATATTAATTACATAATTTTACAGTCTCAGCCATGAGCAAAAATTTTCCGGACACTTTGCAGAGATGGCACGAGACTTCGTCTTACCTCCTGAAGAACCAAACCGCCGTCATATCGGAGATAAACGAAATGCAGAAAACTATGGAGAGTCTACGCAACAACTTCAGCAATTTGGAGGTGGCTGTGGTAGCTCAGAGAAACCATGGAAAGGAAGAGAAGCTGGTGGCTGACTTTGGAGCTAAGATCGAAGCCGTTGCCACAGATATAGAAGCCATTAAGGAACACTATAATAAATACACCGAGGTTCAGAAAATTCTGCAGGCCGAGACAGAAGCATTAAAGGTTAAATTGCTTGTCCCTTTCATTGTAATGTGAGATATTTCACAATATAAATTCTTTGCAGGTCAATCTCTCGAACCTACCAACGCTTCAAGCCAGCGCCTTCCCCGCAAATTTGTCTGAAGATATTTCAGCCATTAACAAAACCATTTCAAATTCCTATAAACTATTGGCCAACGATCTAAAGGATGTGAATAATACCCTAAGCCAAACAACGAAAATGCTCAGCGAAGAAATATCTCTGCATAAGGTAATCTCTTGAAAATGTGTGCGTTATCGGTTCTAATTTTTTTTGGTTCACTACAGACAAAAATAGACGACTTGCTGGATCGGTCGGAGAATATAACGTCCCATGTAGCCACAATTAGTAATAGTTGGCCCGAATACAAGCAGAAAGTAGCCAGCTTCGATGAGTCTTTAGATAAAATTGAGAAGGAGGTAAGTCGAATGGATTTCCGGTGGCCAGAATCTGAAGATTAACTAATATTTATAAACCCCAGCTATCGCAAACAAACAGCAAGAATATCTTGCTGGCTGCTTCAATGGATCAGCTAAAGAGCTTTTGCATTCAGAGCATGGGCAACAAAAAAACACCCAGCAGTGAAGATAGGCCGTCAGTACCTAAGGTATATGTTTCGATAGTAAAATTTCTTATCTTTTATTAACCTTTCATTCTGATTTGCAGCCTGAAATGAACGCCGCCAAGCAGGAATTTATAAAGCCTTCTGCAAATGCCACAGTAAATCTAACGGAACCCTTGAAGCTGTAAGCTAATCCTTTCCCAAGTGGTGCCTGTTGTATTACCAAATTTTTTCGTTCCGTGTTTAGCCATTAAGACTTCATGGGTTCCATGTGACAAACTCACAGCCATCGATAACTAAATTACATTTAACACACGAAAGCTGCAATGTACATAAGGTTCAAAGAGCTATTAACTTAACGACGAAATATAGGATGTCCAAGTGCACGTGTGATTTCATTTAAGTTTACTTTAAAGCCCGTTTTAGAAAAGTAACTGTACATAAGGGAGTGAAGTAAGATGTAAGTCCAATATTATTCACATTAGATACAGTACACGATATGTATTTTATTTCCACATAATAAAGTCAAACTAAAGCCAACAAAAGTTGGACTGCAAATCCATTTTATTGCAGAATTGAAATGTAAAGACAAACACAAAATTTAACAGGATTTTTCTAATCATCGTCGTACTGATCGGCGAACTCGTCATCGTCGTAATCCTCGATGTCTTCTGCGACGTAGGCGGCCTTCTGCTGCTTTCTCAGAAGCCACGCCTTGTAGGCCTCCTCCTCCTCAACCGTGGGATCACTGGCCTCAATGAAGTCCTCCTGCTCGTGGGGGTACTCCTCCTGGATTATCGGCAAGTGCTTGAAAGGAATGTTTCGGGCGAAGTACTTATGGCCCCAGCCCAAGTATATAGACTCGCACGTCTTCTCAAAGATGAAGGTAAAGGCGCCAGGCCAGATGTTTGACTGCATGAGGAGCATCCGCTCCTTTTGGTTGGTGTACTTGCTGGTCAGCCGTACCAACCAGGGAACTGGAACCTCGGCGTACATATCGTTGGCACAGGAGGAAAGGATACTGGGTCCGATTTCGGGCTGATTGAAGCCCTCTATCATACCCTCCTCCTCGCCCTCCTCCTCATCGTCCTCCTCTTCCTCCTCTTCCTCCAGTTCATCCTCCATTTCGCCCATCAACTGCATTTTCAGGTAGAGGGCGAGGGCTTTCTCCCGCTCCTTTCGAGCCTTTTCCTCATCGTACCAAACTACCCGCCCTTGATTAAGGATGTTAGATCGTACGTGGACCCAGGCCACCGGAGTGGCCAGAGATCCTAGCGGTTCCTCCTCGTACTTCTCGTTCTTCAACAGCATTACGTCGTTATCTGTAATTGCGATGATCAAAACGATTATGTAATAAGGGCCTTATGAAGCTGAACTAAAATATTTTGTATTGGATTTTTGGAGGGCATTTGTGGTGTCTTATGAACGCACCTTCTATTTGCTCCTCCTCGCCTTCGTTGAGCTCCTCCTCCTCTTCTTCCTCTTCCTCCTCTTCGCCCTCGCCTTCATCCTCGCCGTCGAACAGTCGCTTCTCCTTCTTGGTCATCCGTCGGTAGTAACCCACGGGGGCAATATAAGTGCTGGCCGTAATGCGACCTATCAAAGCCCTCAGGTAGTGCTTTTCTTTGCCGGGAAAACAGGGGTACGAGACAACATCTGCCTCTAGGTCGCCAGTGAGGAATTTTTTTATCTGCCGTGAGACGGCGATCTGCCTGGGTGTCACTATTGGCAACTCGATCCAGTCGTCGAAAAGAGAGTTCACCACGAAGTAGGAGTACCTGTTGCAGCCGAGCCCAATCAGTTCTGGGGGAATGTCGTAGAACTCCGCTTCCTCGACCAGGGGAACGGGAACAGCCTTGGGTCTCATCTTCTCCAGTTCCTCGGGCGGGTACTCCTCCCAGCCGTAGATTCCCGGCGTGAGTTCCGGACCGATGTGCGCAGGCAGGGGCTTGTCCTCCCTGTCCTTGCGCATCTTCAGGGGAGTCTGCTTCTCCCTCATCTCGTCCTGCATCATAACCAACCGGGAGGCAATCTCCTCGCGGGTCAGTGAGGCCTCGACTATGTAATAGGAGGCCTTCAGCCCGTTGATACAGCCCCAGAACCTGCACTGCATGATCGAGGGATGGGTCTGCAGGCGGTTCATGGCGCTGGCCAGCTGGAAGATGTCGTCGTTGCAGATGCTGAATCCACACTGCGTCCAGTAGAACTGCAGCTGCTGGACTCGTTCGTTGAAGGTGACGAAGTACCGCATGGAGTCGTCGATAACAATGCGCAGTTCCTCGTTTGTCTTTGTATCCTCTACGGACATATCCTCGCCCACCAGGTCCTCACCTTCGATTATATACGGCAGCTGAGGGGAGACTGGATAGTGTCAGATCCTTGTGGGTTAGATTTTTTAATACCTTCATGGACTGGAGAATCCGCTTGGCCACCCGGAAAGTACGAACTTCGTCGAACACTCCGCTTGGAGGAAAACGCTCTGGCAAATGGAACTTCTGCTCACGAACATTCCTGCTGAATTCCTCGAAGAAGTCTATTACATTGGGAGGACGCTCGTCTATCACCCGTTTTATAATGTCACTCAAGTGGTCGTATCTGTTAGGATGGTTACAATATTATATTCCTGATTGCTTTGCTTAAATGTAAAAACAAAATATGATTCTATACTGTATATGTATAATATGTAGGCTATAAATACTCACAAATTGTCGCCACTGAGAGTGCTGTACTTCTGAAGAATTGACTTGGCCACGTTCAGTTCATAGCCAATATTGGGGGCATCGGGAACTGGTGGATTGTGGAGGTTGCATTGCGAGTCGAAGGCCCCTATCGATATGGTGGTCGTCGAGGAAGAGGACGACGATGTGATTACGTTGGAGCACTGGGGAGAACTCTCCTCAGCAACTGTCTCGGGCTTTTGTTTTTCCGGCCTCTTCTTTTTGGGATTGCAAACAGGCGGAAGTGCAAATTGGGAACTGGACGTGGAGTCCAATGAGAAATTTTGGCAAGAATCTTTATCCATTGTAATATAATAGTGAAACTCTAGTTGATAAACGCTAAAAATATGTGTTATTTGATCTGGGAGAACGTTAAAATTCTGTTTGACAAAATATTCAATCAAAAAACAGCCTATTTGATTTTTTTTTTAAATTAAAAAAAGGAATGTTGAATTTGAGCGCCTTCTATCGTTATCGATCAACTAGCTTTGTAGACAGTCTTCGGTCGTTACCTTTAAACCGGTTTATGAGAATTTCTTGTTGTTGAGTTCGTGTTGCTACCAATACACCTGATTCTCGGTTTCTTATTGGCAAAAAGAAAGTGCTTAAGAAAGAGGTTGTTTGTTAGTGAAGCAGTTAACGAGTTTTATAAGTTGAGTTATTGTTTAAAATTTAATAAGCGAGTTTTTCAGTTGCGTTGAAATCAAATGGCACAAATTCTGTGTATCTACCTTCGAATACAAATATCAAACCCGTAGCTTTGGGAAAAAACTTTCATTACAACTGAAATAGGTAATTTAGGCCATTATAATATGTAGTTGCCAACCATTTCGTTTTAATTTTATGTTGTGGTTATACTCTTGAAGTTTAGGATCGCTTGCAGTAGTTATTTGGGCAGGGTCAGTTCATCGCACTTTGCGGCAACAAAGGCTTGATCCAAAAATGTATTATCTAAATAACGAGACTGTTGCGCTTCCATCTGCGGGGAGTTTCGCCCAAAGGGAGACACAGTCATCGACCTTGGAGTTGAAAAGCGTGTCTATAAATCCGGATGGTGAGTGCCTGCTAATAGCATTTTACTCTTGGAAAAACTCCAAACTAATAACTCATTTACAGACACTTACACTGTCCAGCAGGCGATCAACGCCTTCGGTTTCGGATGGTTCCACGTTAAGCTCTCGCTTTTGGTCGGTCTCTGCTGGATGTCCGACTCCATGGAAATGGCCATCCTAAGTATCCTCGGACCGGCTTTGTTCTGTGAGTGGAATGTCACAAAATTCCAGCAGGCTTCCGTCACAACGATCGTCTTTTTGGGCATGATGCTGAGTTCCAGCTTTTGGACCCAGCTAAGCAACAGATATGGTCGAAAGTCGGTAGGACTTGTTAGCCCTGTTGCTTAATATATCTAGTTAAAGTATTCAACTTTCAGGCCCTCACTTTGTTTGGAGTATTATTAGTCTTATATAGCATTCTTAGTTCAGTGGCCCCCAGCTATGCCTGGCTGTTAACCCTAAGAGGTTTAGTGGGGTTTGCCATCGGCTGCGTTCCCCAATCGTGAGTAATTGCAATTGTTGGGAAATACTCCAAATGACAAACTTTCTTCAACCCAAAAGAGTCACCTTATATGCAGAGTTTCTGCCCACGAAACACAAGGGAAAGTGCGTAGTACTAATGGACGTGAGTATATAGTTATTCAAGTATACAATATAGTGTGGAATTTATGTTTGTTCTAGTGCTTTTGGGCCTTGGGAGCTTGCTTTGAGGTCGTACTGGCCCTAGTTGTGTATCCCTATTACGGATGGCGCGGACTTTTGGCTCTCTCAGCTACGCCTTTATTAATTTTTACGATCCTCTCACCGGTAATCTCCTTACAGATTTTGCTCAAGTTCTTTAATGACTGCTTTAAATAAATCTAGTGGCTCAGCGAATCGGCGCGCTATTACTCATACAATGGGCATAACGACAAGGCCGTAAAGGTCTTGGAGCAGGTAAACATAATGGGGAAATAGTATTACTAAGCCGATGTTATTTTGGAACCTCTATTTTCAGATAGCTCATAATAACAAGCGGCACATGTTGATGGGTCGCCTGATGGCCGACGAAGAGCCAAGTTCTACGGAAAGCTTTAGATCTCTGCTCAGTTCCAACCTTTATCGGACCACTCTACTGTTGTGGTTTATATGGCTGGCCTCGGCCTTCTGTTACTACGGATTGGTCCTGGTCACAACTGAGCTCTTGGTGGCCAGAAACAAGGAGAGTAATCGTAACGAGTGCGTTACCTTCATGACATCGGATTTTATGGACATGTTGTGGATTACCTTGTCCGAGTTTCCGGGCATTCTGTTGACAATCAAGGTCATCAAACTTTTTGGCAAGAAGATAACGATCGTTCTGCTGTATCTGGTTCTTGTCTTCTGCACTTTAGTGTTAATGTCGGTAACCAGGTAGGATATACTTTTCAACAGATATTTTAGTCAACTACTAATGTTTTCTTTTACATTTTAGTCGGTTTTCAACTTCCCTAACTCTTTTTATTGCACGAGGAACGATATCTGGGATTTTTCAAGCCATTTATGTGTACACCCCGGAGATATATCCCGCCGCTCTGAGATCGGTGGGAGTTTCTGGATGTTCTGTTTTGGCCAGACTTGGAGCCATGATGACCCCCTTTGTGGCGCAAGTTTTGATGGATTCATCCAGAGTTCAGGCCTTGTCGACTTATGCCCTTGTGGGCTTACTGGCTTCCATAGCCTGCGCTTTTCTGCCCAGAGAAAATGTTGGCTATCATTAGGTTTAATTTACGATCATTATAAATTATTATCAGATTTTAATAGTTTTAAGACGTCCTATCATTTTTGAGGAGTTCTAATAAGTTTGCCTAGTTTTGGGCTCCGTTTATTGTTTATTATCTGAAACCAATTCTAAAAGTCTATTCTTTGCTGGTGGTTTGGCGGTGAGAACTAAAATAAGATGTCTCAGTCTTTTTGCAAAGTAACAAAGCTCTTAAGCCAAAAGCTTTTGTTCGCTTAGCACAAATATTTTGGTTTAGGATTTACGAAAGAGCTGATGGTAAATTGCAATTAAAATTGAGATTAATTTTCTTTTTCTGAAAGTCCAATCCCATGCAGTGTATCGAATAATCCTGTGATTTCGTACTTTGTAAAGCCAATTTTCCCCTTATTTATTCGTCGGCGTTCGGCATCATTTCATTACGATTCAAGTGACAGGAGGAAATGCACTTGCAAATTAATTATAAAAGTCATTATTCGAGAACATAAACATGACACATATGCACGTATAAATAAACTTTTCGCGCATATATTATAATACTTAATTAAATACGTATGCTGGCGCACTCTTGGTGCCGAAATCTATATGCACTCCGGTGACGGCCATAAACTTTTGGTGTCCGCTTGTATTTAAGTAGCCGAGAATCTCGAGGAGCACATGGCTATGCACATGCAGATGGCCGAGCTGCATGTGCATTATTTTTAAATTGTAAAACGATTTTCGAGGGGAGCTTTTGTTGTGATCAGCGAATATCGATCAGTCGTACAGTTGTCGGGATGCAGTTAAAATCATTGGTTTCCGCACGAAGTAGCTATTATTTCTCACACGACGGAAGATTAAATTTAAACCTATTCCACTTTTGAATTGGACTGGCCCCCTTGGAAAATTCAGCGCAGATTGGATTATGACAAACGAATCCGAGTTCCTTTCAATTTAGTGCTTGAATGATCGATTTTCGGTCCCGATCTTGCCTAAAATCCTGTGCAAATAAATTAAATAAAATTCGAAATTGCTCTCAGTAATTAGTTATGCAATACATTTTCGAATACGTGCCAATGTGCGTAAATAAATGAAGTGTGCGAAGTTAATCGAGTGATACGAAATCAATCTAATCAGCCGAAATGGACGCCGTAAGTTAAGCGTGTCCAAAACTACCCATTAATCGGTTTAAGAACCAGTGCCAGATTTACTTATTAATACATTTGTGCAACAAAATTCAAGTGTCAAAAATGTACAGTGGCTGACTTTGCTAACAAAAGTGACTTACAGAACCAATCTTTTTTACCCATTTTGAGAGTGGTAAATCCACATTGTAATTATTGTACAATTATTGTATGAAGTGCAAAACAAAGAAAATTGTCCTTTTAAAAATAAAAACTAATTAATTAACAGAAATTGGAGTTTTGGCTAGATCAATAATTAGAATGTTACTATTAGATGCAGTTTTTTTTTTTTAAATATGAAATCTAAACTTGTGTTTTAAAATCCACTCTTGTTTTTATGCAATTTGGATAAAATAATATATAACTGTTTTCAAAAAGATATCCGAAAACAACCTTTTAAAGTTCTACATATCCGGTTTTACTGTGGTCTTGGATCATTGGCCCGAAGTGAAGAACCCTGTTCGAGGGAGATAATCAGCTGATTCTTTGGCTGCGCAAGCTTTTCACTCAGTAAAATTGGACATCGGAATAAATAGCCGAGCCCGCGTGTCTATGTCAACGCAAAATAGACTTTCAGCTAACGAGCTAAATATTGCACAGCCACTTTTTGTTTGTATACGTTGAATTTGAAAGTGTTTTGGGAGGAAATCGATAAGTCTTGCTGATCATTGAGAAATACCGGGCGTATTTGAAAAATTACAATTGCCGGAAGTCCGGCCTCAGAAAATAACAGTGTATCTGAGCTAAGAGTATTGAGAAACTTGTTGAAAACGAGAAAATGGCTGAAGGAAATGTGTGTGGTGCAGAACATAAAATCAAAATCGGTTTTAATCAACAGGTCGCGGATATTGTTTTTGTAAATCGGGATTACCAGGCTCAATCGATGGCCACCGACGAAATCAGCGTTTCGCGGGGAGATCTGGTCGAACTTATAAGTTCAAAAGCTTCGGAAAAGTCAAGGTACGTCGTTGGTCCCCAAGAGAGTTCGTTAATTGTTCATGCCCCCTTTCAGATGCTTTGTTAGAATATTCGACAGTGGGGATTCCCCCAAAGAAGGCTGGGTGCCCATCGAAGTACTTGAGTTTAATCCCACAATGAGTAGCTCGAACGGCAAGGAGAGTGTTGGGGATGCGGAATTCAGAAAGCAGTAAGAAATTTCTAAAAATAGTGAAAGGGACATAATGCTAGCGGTAATTTTTGAAAATTTAGAACCATCCTCAGGGAACTGGTGGAAACTGAGGAAGAATTCTCCAGGGATCTGATGCATGTGGTAGATAAGTATATAAAAGGTATAGATAAACCGGTGGTGCCCAGATCCGTGCGCGATAATAAGGATATAATATTCTGTAACTTCCTACAAATCGCCGAGTTCCACAATAAGTAAGCCACCCCCCGGTTTTATTATTTAGAAGGGAATAAAAACACTTCCGATTTCAGTGTGCTGAAGGAGGGTCTCAAGTGCTACAGTAATCAGCCCAATATGGTGGCCAAAACCTTTTTACGGCTGGAAAGGGACTTCGACAAGCATGTGGTGTATTGCCAAAACGAGCCCTTGGCGCAGGATTACTTGAATTCAAGTCCCGACGCCAAGAAGTACTTTCAAGTAAGTATCGAAAAGTCTCAACAGTTTTCCCGGCCAAACTCACGACAAAAAAAAACATAGGGCAACACAGTGGGCTTCATGCCAAATTAAACGTTTTCGTTTACTTATTGTAATTGTGGGTTAAAATCAAGAATAATAAAGAGTAAAGAATTAAATAAATCTGAAGCCGCGCAAACGTTGGAATCGTCTTCAGATATTATGCGTGTGCTATGTGCGAGAATATCAGTTTATTTTTAAAGGCAGACGCTTTTCAATTCTAAAGCTTTTGCAGTTTTCAGTTGCTTCCGAGTAGTGTTCGCGGTCGTGTCGTGCTAATTATTCATATACGTAACCGTTTCGCTTTAGGTACTGAAGTTGTCTACCCATTGACTGGACATACCATTATTCTGACCCACTTTCGTCCGAGAACGGTTAGCTTCTCATTAAAGTCGGTGCTCCTTAAAAAATTAATCTCAGCTCATCGCTTGCCATTCAACATGAAATAACTCCAGCACGGGGCAATTAAGTCGCTGGAAAATCCATTTTTCAAATAAATCTGTGAATATTTGTGACGTTTGCCCGTTATGCAACATTTCCGAAATTTTACTGTGCGAGAATATATTTATTAAAAGATCCGCCAATACGTATACATTTATAAATACATATATGTGAACAATTTTTCTTCAGCCCACATATTTCGACCTCAGATCTAAAAGTGTTTGAATATATACTGGCAAAAATATTGTAACATTGACTTTAATGAGTTCACTTCTACTCGTTCGTTTCGAAATTGCTTCAGCAGTGAATATTCGTAGTTGGTGAATATGAACAGGGCGCTTGAGTGAATAAAAATATCCGAACAAACATTTGAATACTAATATTGGGATACGTATGTGGCGTACATATGTGTATAGCTTTCCAAACCGAAGTACATGCCTATAGAAAATCATTCACCGACGCACGCACACGTATCCGTTTTTGCAACAAGTGATAAATTTTTAAACATCGTTCCAAAAATAACCCCAAAAGAGCGAGAGATCGGGAAATCGTGTTTTGAATGTATACTCGTACGTTCGTTTCGCTGGGCGCAAATTCGAATTCTGATGCAGAAAACCACCAATCTGTTACCAACGATAATTATTACTATTTCATTTCCCAACACATTCAAATCTGGCAGACCGCAGTCCAGCGACCTTGCAATGCCTGAGATATATTGACACACAGCTATATAGTTGGCGCTCTACTAAAACACCTGTTAACTTTGCCTTGCAGGAACTTTCAAAACAGCTTAGGGACGACAAATCGCTTTCGGAGCACCTGAAGCTACCCATCCAGAGGATAAACGACTACCAGCTTCTGTTCAAGGTTTGGTGACTCACCAGAATATCCCTGTTTAGTGTTAACCGCCAACTATTTAACCACTTAAGCTAACCACCTGCCGCTTGCTAAGCTCCATTAATGTTTGTTTCCGCAGGACTTCATTAAGTACTCGCTAAGCTTAAAAGAAAACGTTAAAGACTTGGACAGGGCCCTAGAGTTGATGCTAAGTGTGCCCAGTAGAGCGTACGACAATAGGTTTCTTTCCAGCATCGAGGGCTGTCGGGGCAACATCTACAAGTTGGGCCGCCTCCTGCTGCACGAGTGGTGCAACGTGACCGACAAGGAGGGCAAGGCACACGAGCGCTACTGCTTTCTGTTCAAGTCGCGCGTGCTGGTGACCAAGGTCCGGAAGATTTCCGAGCACAGGTCCGTGTTTATTCTGCAGAACATCGTGAAGCTCCCGCTCTGCAACATCGAGCACAAGGCCGACGAGAAGCAAATCCAGCTGAGCCTGAAGACAGCGGATCCCAGCTCGTTCTTGCCCATAAGCATTAGGCCCCACGGGCAGGAGTCGCATTTGACCTGGTTCAACGAGATCTCCAGCCACATCAACCAGGACGTCACCTTGCAGGAGCACCATGCCGATGATCTGAAGGTCGACTCCTCCCAGATCGCCTCCGAAAGTGAGCTCATCCTCCACCTCCCGCAAAGGGCCGAGGCCCACGACTCGAACCCCAGTGTCCGACCCTCTGACGTGGCAGAGAACTATTTCCTGAGCAAGGAGACCAAGGAGCGTCTTCAGCTCGAGCAGCAGGAGCTTCTGAGACTGGAACAGGAGGCCATAGAGCTGTACAAGAAGCAGCAGTCCTCCAAGACAACGTCTTCCACCACCGAATTGGTCCAGGTTACTAGCTCCCACGAGAAAACCAGCAAAGTTGAGGTTAAAGAGGTTCCCACCAAGGTGGTTTCTCCGCCTCCACAACCCCAAGCGAAGGTACTGACTCCTCCGCCTGCACCACAGCCGCAAGTAAAGGAAGTTACTGCCACGAAGGTGGTGGCTTCTCCACCGCCACCAGAGCCTTCCTCGCTTGCGTCTCCTGTAAAGGAGGCCACTCCTCAGAAGGAGGTAGCTGCTCCACCACCACCTCAAGTGGAGCCGAAGGAAGTTACTCCTCCTGTCAAGGCAGCCACAAAAGTAGAGTCCGCTTCACATTCCAAGGAAGTCGAAGCTCCCAGGGAAGTCCAGTCCAAAACCGAGACCGCAATCGAGTCTGTTGTGGTTCAGCAAGTATTGAGCCAGTCTAGTCAGATCCAAGAGGAGTTGTTGGTCACTGAGGAGAGCTCCTCGGCCGGTAAGCAAGTCGAAGAGTTCAAGCGCGAAGCGTCACCCTACTCGATTCCCAAGATCCAAGTCTACCGACCCGTAGAATGCGACTCCCCTGTGATAACCCCCAAGCACAAGCCCATCGAGCTGAAGGACATCGTTGGCTACAGCGAGTCCCTTCGCGATGGCGACACCGTTCCCGGGGGATCGGGATCGCAGGGCCAGGGCCAGGGCTACTCCGCCAACATAACCGACCACGCTTCACTAACCGTCTGGAACAACCGGCTGGCCAACATAGCCGGCGACCGCGGGGGTCTTAACCAGCACTTGCAGCGAGCTGGACCGCCCCCACCGCCCATTCCGCCCAGCTTCACGCGCATGCCCGGCTTCTTCCAACCGCTTCCACTAATCGCTTACGAGACCACTATCGAGATACTAATCGTCAAGGCACGCCCCCCCTCGCCGCCGCCCCCGCCGCCGCCGACCATCAAGCGCGTCCTTGTCCACACTGAAAGTCTCGAGCAGAAGACCCAGAACTTCTTCGAGGGCATCTTCGATGCTTCCTCCTCGGACACCTCGCTTCGCAACGCCAAGCAAAAGATCCGCAGCATCAAGAACACGGTGCTGAAGTCGAAGGACTCGACCAACTACGCCCAAGACACCGTGCAGAAGGCCAAGGCCCGCGACTTTCTGCACATTTTCACGCCGCCTGTTAAGAAACGACCCATTTACGAGATAGTCGAGCTCGAAGGCGAGTATACTGAGTCTCTTGCTGACGATTTCAGGGAGCCAAGTGCCGATTTTGAAGCCAGGGGCCAAAGCGTCGCTGGTATGGATGATTACTATTCCGGCTACTCGAGGGCTTCGACACGTCGCTATGAAAGTAAGTTGCCGACCGGCCAGTCGCCACCAAATAGTTGTGTATTGACCGGTTCTTGTGTCCACCGCCGGATGCCCGTGTTGAATGTCAGTTAAACTCAATGTCTGGGATGCCGTAACTAGCAGAGAACTTCCAGTGTAACCTCGCAAGACTGCTTGTAAGCCAAGTCCGCGTCTTCAAGATCAGCTTTCCCATTCGTCACGTCTATCATCACACACATATTTCTATTGAGTTACTCGTAAATAACTTTGTTGAACAATATATACACTTCAATGTCTAGATACTTTCTTTGTTGCTAATTCTTATGTTTACCTGTTTTCCTGAATTCAATCCTACTTTTCTCCAATCCTTGCTATATCCAAGTTTAGATTGAGCATTCTTTAATGGAGGTGTGTTCTTAAAATCTGTACAACTCTTGGCTGGATAAAGAAAAAAATACAAGCTACGGTTCTGGGAACACCCCTCATTTTGATCAGTCTGTTGGGCATAAGTTTAATGTTTATACTGTTTTGCTTTTAACCTCGCCACCCGCAAAAGGCAAATCGAGGGACTACGACCGGGGAACCTCTTACGACAGCACCGTAGAGCGATCCCAGTATGGCATAAGCTCCCGCCGGGATCGCAGTTCCGTTGACAAGGTAGAAGCTCGGTCATCTCTGTTGGCCACTGGGCGCACGGAAAGTCGTGCCGCAAGTCGCGCCGAGAGTCGTGCTGAGAGTCGAGCCTCCTACTCGGTGGCTGAATCGCGTGCTGGAATCCGGTCTTCATCCCGTCTCCAAGAGGATCGTCCCCTTCGCTCCGTCGACAAGCCCGTCGTGGTGAAGATGCTGAAGAGCGTGCAAGTTGACCGTGGGTTTATCACATTAACTAGCTAGAATTTAGCCTTCTAAGTGGTAATTTAATCCCAAAACAGCTGGAGAGACTGCGCATTTCGAGATCCAATTCAAGGATCAGCCCGGACTGGTCACCTGGCTGAAGGACAACAAGCCCCTGGAGGATCGATTGGCTGATAGGATCACCCAAACCGCGGCCCCAATGAATTCCTACCGATTGGACATCAAGAACTGCAGGTTGGTGCACACGATTAGCTAGTATTTATCTAAATTGCATACATGTAAATGATTTTTTTAATTACGTAGTGAGACTGATGCAGGGACCTATACGATTCGGGCCCAGTCTGCCTCCGAGACAACCACTCTATCGGCTCAGCTGGCAGTTGGACAGGGTTAGTGTGTATTCAAGAAATCCACCACTATTTACTAATGACAGCTCCTAATTACAGCTCCGGGTCACGATGAAACGAAGACCAACACGGAGCCGGCTTTCCTGGTTAGCCTAAAGGATGCCGAGATGATTGAGAACACTCTCTTCCGATTCATGATCAAAATTAAAGGGGATCCCAAGCCTAGAGTAAAATTGTAGGTTTCGTTTTCATTAAAACCTATAACCCGTTAATAAATGTTACTTGTTTTAATCAGCTTCAAAGATGGAAAGGAAATCCTTGAGACCGATGACAGAATCCAAATAATCCGCGATAAGGACTATCTGGGATTCTATGAGTTGGTGATTGCCGAGGTGCTGAAGGCCGACAGTGGAACCTACACGTGTAAGGCCACGAACAAATACGGTGAAGCCGTTTGCGAAGCTGTAGCCACCACAGTGGGTGAGTAATATAACCTGCAGTATTGGATATCGGATGGTGTAAAACTGCTTATTTTCACAGAGGATAAGAATCCCTTCGGAGCTCTTAGCGGGCAAATCCTGCCAGCAGGCGAGAAGCCCGTCTTCCAGTGGAAGCGCAACGGCGAGGAGTTTGATCCCGAGGAGCGGTTCAAGGTGCTTTTCGGCGAGGACGAGGACTCACTGGCCTTGGTCTTCCAGCACGTGAAGCCCGAAGACGCGGGCATCTACACTTGCGTGGCCCAGACCTCGACAGGAAACATCTCGTGCAGTGCCGAGCTCTCGGTTCAGGGGGCTATTCAAACCCTGAACCGGGAGCCCGAGAAGCCCACCCTGGTGATCGAGCACCGCGAGGCGAACGCCAGCATCGGCGGCTCGGCTATTTTGGAGCTCCAGTGCAAGGGCTTCCCCAAGCCGGCGGTGCAGTGGAAGCACGACGGTGAGGTCATCCAGGTGGACGACAGGCACAAGTTCATGTACGAAGACGAGGAGACCATGTCCCTAGTGATCAAGAACGTGGACACAGTCGACGCCGGAGAGTACACCATCGAGGCGATCAACGAGCTGGGCCAGGACGAGTCGAGCATCAACTTGGTGGTGAAAGGTACAGTACTATAGTTCGAGCTTTCCTAATTCAAAGTGGTTCGATTTAAAAAGGTTCCACTATACTTCATTTAAACACCTTTTCGCCGGTTATTCTTCAATTTCCCAAGTGATTATTCACAGAGTCATAGTCACTCATGAAAGGGAGCGACTTTCGCAGAGGAATCTCCACTGTAACTGTTGTCTTCTTATCTTGTTCCTTACATCCCAAATTCATTTGTATAATTTTTAAAGCGGTCTTAACGATTTTTAACCACCTAAAGCTCCTCCCAAGATCAAGAAGATCACGGACATCACTTGCTCGGCCGGCGAGACCATTAAGATGGAGATCGAGGTGGAGGGCTTCCCGCAACCCACCGTCCAGGTGACCAACAACGGCAAGGACGTGACGGCCGAGAGCAACGTTAAGATCTCCACGAGCTCGATCGGCAAGAGTCTGGAGAAGGTCGTGGTCGAGGTGAAGGAGATCAAGCTCTCCCAGGCCGGCAACTACTCCATCAAGGCCACCAACGACCTCAGCCAGACCTCGGAGTACTGGAGCTGCACGGTCAAGTCGAAGCCGGTGATCGTGAAGCACTTCGAGAGCGAGTACATCCACGGGGAGAGGGAGAACGTGCAGATGACGGTCCGGATCGACGCCTATCCGGAGGCCAAGCTGATTTGGTACCACGACGAGACGGAGATCAAGGTGACGGACGCCAAGTACACCGTGACCAGCGACGGCAACGCCTACACCCTGAAGATCTCGGGCGCCACCCGCGTGGACGCCGGCAAGTACACCGTGAAGGCCACCAACGAGCACGGGTCGGCCACCAGCTCCACACAGTTGCTCATCAAGTGCACGCCGGAGTTCACCCAGAAGCTGAAGAACATCACAGTCGCCGAAGGCGACTCCAACGTGGAGCTGGTGGTGGGCGTGGACGCCTATCCCCGTCCGCACGTCAAGTGGTACATCGACGGCATCGAGATCGACGAGAAGCGCAACGACTTCCGCCACGTGGAGGAGGGCAACGACTTCAAGCTGATCATGAACCAGGTGGCCACCAACATGCAGGGAAACTACACCTGCAAGATCATGAACGACTACGGCAAGCTGGAGGACAACTGCGTGGTGACCGTGAACTGTGAGTGGCCAGCATGTGATCCTTTTCAATGGCTTATGAATCCATTTTATGCCAGGCAAGCCCAAGGTGAAGCGGGGTCTGAAGAACATCGAAGTCCAGGAGGGCAAATCCTTTACTCTGGAAGTGGAGGTGTACAGCGAGCCAGAGGCTAAAATCAAATGGTAACTTTTTGACTTATTGACGTTTTGTTGGACTGGTAACTGACTATATTTTAATGTAGGTTCAAGGATGGCCACGAGATTTATGAAGATGCCCGCATCAAAATCTCTCGGGACACCCAGCGTATCGAGAACTACTACCTCACCTTGAATCTGGCCAGGACCGAAGATGCGGGCACCTACGAGATGAAGGCCACAAACTTTATTGGCGAGACCACCTCCACCTGCAAGGTGGCTGTTTTAAGTAAGTATGTGGTTGGCTCGAAACAGTAATTTGATAAAGGGTAAAAGACGAAAGGGAAGCAGGCACTTCATTGAACCAAAGTGTATTGGACACCCCTCATGAAACATCAATTAACCTAATCTCCCGTCTCCAATATAAAACTCTGATGCAGCTAGCGATGCTTTGTCTCTGGGACAGACCGTCACAAAAACAATGATTGCGACCACCGAAGAACCTGAAGAAGGGGGTAAACCAAAACCATTTTCAATGCATCAATTATAGCACAACTAAAAATACTTGGGAAATGCACATGAATGAGAACGAATCAAATAATTTTAGATATAAACGTATTAACCCTGAATAAGACAAGTAACCGTGAACATTGCACAATAATTAAATGGTGCACGCTCATTGTACATACCAAGCACATTTCACACTTAACCCAAAACATTTATCACAAAACTGTACAGAAATTCTAAATTAAAAGACGAACAATAACAAAGTGTAGTAAGTAAGTGGAGGGGTGTATAAAATTTGCACGATCATTGGGAAATTAAATCTGTTCGCACGGCCAAGTCGGAAATCTTTTAATCCGACTAAACATTTACGAACTTGGCATTGGATGTGTCTGAATATGATATGATAGGTGATAAGTAATGTAAAATATATATAGTGTAAAATATCAGATATTGGAGATATCGTAAGTGATGCACTGCCAACACTAACCAACCGAATGAACTATTCACCGTGTACAGAAATCTAATAGTGGACTCTCACTTATTTCGCCAAAGATAATAACAAAGAATAACTGTATTCTTATAGCTGTTCCCGAAATCGTGCACGTCGATGTCTTCCAGCAGCACAGCTACGAAAGCGTTCCCCTCAAATACGAAGTCATTGCGACGGGAATTCCCAAACCGGAAGCGATTTGGTATCATGATGGCAAGCCGATCTCCCCCGATAAGCACACCGCTATCACCGTGGATGGGGTTGGTTTTCATTACACAAGTCCACGAGCATTGAGGATAACATTTTGAACACCCACAGGATCACTACAAACTGGAGGTGCAGTCGCTCGATCTCGTGGATGCGGGAGAGTACAAGGTGGTTGTGCAGAACAAGTGTGGCGAGAAATCGCATCAGGGCGAGCTTTCTCTGTCGGGTAAGAAAATCTTGGTCAAATGATAAGCAGCATCCTTATCAATATACATATCAATGCTCCATTTAAGGCATCGCTGAGTACCGCAAGCCGATCCTGACCCAAGGACCTGGCCTGAAGGACATCAAGGTCAACAAGGGAGACAAGGTTTCCGAGCCAGTTGTGTTCACCGCAGATCCTGCTCCTGAAATCGTTCTGCTCAAGGATGGCCAGCCCGTCAAGGAGAGCAATAATCTCAAGCTGAAGGTGGAAAAGAAGGACGCCGAGAATGGTTTGGTTCAGTACACTTGTACGCTGAACATTTTGGAAGGTATTAACAAATATATACACCTTGATATAATTTAAATCAAAATGGGAACCAAATTTGTTGTAGCTGAGATTAAGGATTCCGGACGCTACGAACTGAAGGTAAAGAACAAGTACGGTGAGCTGGCCACTAGTGGTTGGATCGATGTGCTGGCCAAGCCGGAGATTTCTGGCCTGGACGACCGCAAGTGCCTGCCGGGCGACACCATTTGCTTCGAGGCTCTGGTCCAGGCTAATCCCAAGCCCAAGGTCACCTGGACCCGTGGTAACGAGAACCTGTGCAACCACGAGAACTGCGAGGTTATCGCTGACGTGGATGCGGATAAGTACAGACTGGTGTTCCAGGCCGTTGCCCCCAGCGAAGATGGCAAGTACACCATCACGGCCACAAACAGCGAGGGAAGGGCCACATTCGATTTCAACTTGGCAGTGCTGGGTACGTAGCCTTCCCTTGGGATGCAACCTATTCTATATTTCACTACAACATGCAGTGGAGAAGCCCACTTTCATCGTGCAACCCGAGAGCCAGAGCATCCACGACTTCAGACCAGTCTCCACGAAGGTTGTGGTGCACGGCGTTCCTCTGCCCACCATTGAGTGGCTCAAGGACGACAAGCCCATCAACTACGAGGCGGTCAACAAGCCCGGCAAGGACAAGCTGTACAGCAAGGAGGACACCAAGAAGGCTTCCGACCAAATCGAGAGTGTGTTCGATATCAAAACGTTTAGGGAAAACGATGTGGGCGCGGTAAGACCTAAATTTATCTTTGACAATAAAATTTTTATATTAAGTTTCTATATTTTCGACGATTGTTCATATGACAGCAATATGCTATAGTCCTCCTATTTCTTTGAAATCGAATTCGAAAAATATCATTAAAATATTTTCGTTTTTTGTCTCTATCTCAGTAAGCATTGATCCAAGTATAAAAAGTGATACACCGATGAACTCGTAATAAAATTCTGAATCGGATGTCATACTCGCCTAAAAATGTTGAAATTTTGTCATTTTTCGCATAAAATGATGATGTTACCTCTTACAAAAAAGGCGAAAATTGGCTAAAAATCTTTTTTTTGTAATAGTCGAAAAGGGGATAGGGATCGTTAACTTAGGTTATAAGGTGCCAAAAACAGCATTTGCTTCCGCTCTGAGTCACTATTCCGCCGTATTACAACCTAAAAACCATTTAAAATATAGTACTTTTTAACAAAATTGGCAACTTATATTTTCCAAATTCGTTTTTCATCAACTAACTAAAGGATCAGTTAAATTACAAATAAATTGCATTCAATTATATAGATTGTTGGGCTCTCCTTGTTTTTCGTTTCTTGCCCAAACAACACACAAAAAAAAAAAACCGAAACGCCAAACCAAAAAACGTTGCCAACTTCTGGCCAAAATTATAATACCCACTGCAAGAGCTTAAAAAAATCGAGTTTCTTTAACAAGATTTATTTATTAGTACACCTGCGTGGCCACCAATGAGATCAGCGTGACCAAGGCCCCCTTCAAGCTGGGACTGCTGGCTCTGGCGCCCAGCTTTGTGAAGAAACTGGACAACGCTCTGGATGTCCTGCAGGGCGAGCCCCTGGTCTTGGAGTGCTGCGTGGACGGAAGTCCCCTGCCCACCGTTCAGTGGCTCAAGGATGGCGACGAAGTTAAACCCAGCGAGAGGTGACTCATTTGTTTAAAGTTGCGATTAAATACTCACTGTTTTCCCATCCTCAGTGTTAAGATATCCACAAATCCGGATGGGCTGGTCAGGCTGGAGATAGACCACTGCCAGCCCAATGATTCGGGAGCCTACAAGCTGATAATCTCCAATCCTCACGGCGAAAAGGTGGCCCTGTGTGCCGTGGCTGTTAAACGTAAGAAATTTATAGATATCCAATAAAACTAAGTTAAGCCTTCGATAACCTTCAGCTGAGGAGATGCAGCCCAAATTCTTGAAGCCCATCACCAGTCAAACTGTCGTCGTGGGCGAGCCTCTGAAGCTGGAGGCCCAGGTCACTGGATTCCCAGCACCGGAGGTCAAGTGGTACAAGGACGGCATGCTGCTGCGCCCGAGTCCCGAGATCAACTTCATCAACAGCCCCAATGGTCAGATTGGCCTGATGTGAGTCCACCAGATGTGACACCAGATAACCAGATTCACATGGTGTTTTCTTTTCCAGAATCGACGACGCCCAGCCCCTGGATGCCGGAGTCTACAAGTGCGTGATCGCCAACAAGGGCGGAGAACTCGAGGGAGTGTCCAAGGTGCAGATCGTGCCCAAGGAGTCGAAGCCAGTGTTCGTGGCCGAGCTGCAGGACGCCTCCAGCATCGAAGGCTTCCCTGTGAAGATGGACATTAAGGTGGTGGGCAACCCGAAGCCGAAGCTGCAGTGGTTCCACAACGGCCACGAAATCCAGCCGGATCCCAGCCACGTGGCCATCGTGGAGAACCCGGACAAGAGCACGAGTCTCATCATCGAGAAGACCGTGCCCGGCGACTCGGGACTGTACGAGGTGATTGCCCAGAACCCCGAGGGATCGACAGCCTCCAAGGCGAAGCTCTACGTGGCGCCCAAGGCCGACGAGACGGCCGCCGAGGAGGCGCCCCAGTTCGTCTCTGCCCTGCGGGACGTGAACGCGGACGAGGGCCAGGAGCTGGTGCTCTCCGCCCCGTTCATCTCGAACCCCATGCCCGAGGTGATCTGGTCAAAGGACGGCGTTACCCTGGCGCCCAGCGAGCGCCTGCTGATGACCTGCGACGGCAAGCACATCGGGCTGACCATCAAGCCGGCTGAGGCCGCCGATTCGGGCAACTACAGCTGCCTGCTGGCCAACCCGCTGGGCGAGGACACCTCCGCCTGCAACGCCAACGTGCGGAAGGTCTACAAGCCGCCGGTGTTCACCCAGAAGATTTCCGACCAGCAGCAGGTGTTTGGCAACAACGCCAAGATCCCCGTGACCGTGTCCGGCGTTCCTTACCCCGACCTGGAGTGGTACTTCCAGGACAAGCCAATCCCGAAGTCGGACAAGTACAGCGTGAAGAACGACGGCGACCACCACATGCTGATCGTGAACGACTGCCAGAAGGAGGACCAGGGCGTGTACAAGTGCATCGCCAGCAACCGGGAGGGCAAGGACATAACCCAAGGACGCCTGGACATCGTGAACGAGATGTGGGTGTTAACTGTTAGATACTTACGAGTGATGGGGTAATCCAAGGTTGTTTTTGCAGCAAGAAGCACTCGCGGTCGGAGCCACCAGTGTTCCTCAAGAAGATCGGCGACTGCGACATCTACGAGGGCATGGTGGCCAAGTTCACGGCCTGTGCCACCGGATACCCGGAGCCCGAGGTCGAGTGGTTCAAGAACGACCAGAAGCTCTTCCCCTCGGACCGCTTCCTGATCGACGTCGAGCCCAACGGCCTCCTGCGGCTGACCATCAAGAACGTGACCGAGTACGACGTGGGCCGCTACTCCTGCCGCATCTTCAACCCGTACGGAGACGACATCTGCCACGCCGAGCTGTTCTACGACTGTAAGTCAAGTCGGGCACTTTTTGAACAGCTTTTAAAGGGTCCTTTCAGCTCTGGACAGTCAGCAGAAGCCCCTGGAGGACCAGTACACCGACTTCAAGAAGTACAAAAAGTCCGGCGCACCTCCGCCATTGTCGGAGGGTCCTATCATTTCCCGCATGACCGATCGCGGGCTGCTCCTCTCCTGGAACCCCTCGGTGCCCCTGACTCCCCGCTATCCCATAACCTATCAGGTGAGCTACCAAAAAAAGCGTCTCTTTAGATGCATGCCACTTATTTATTGGCCAAATCACAGGTCGAAATGATGGACTTGCCGGAGGGCGATTGGCGCACGCTGAGAACCGGAGTTCGCAGCTGTGCCTGTGACATCCGCAACCTGGAGCCCTTCAGGGACTACCGATTCCGGGTGCGAGTGGAGAACAAGTTCGGTGTCAGCGATCCCAGCCCCTACACCCAGACTTACAGGTTGAAACAAATGAATTTACTGGTTAGGTAAACTATAATCCCATTTGACATAACTTTGCAGGCAAAAACTGGTGCCAGAGCCACCGAAAACCTACACCTATCTGCCACCTGGAACTGACTTCAGACCGGAAACTTCTCCCTACTTCCCCAAGGACTTTGACATTGAGAGACCGCCGCACGATGGACTGGCCCAGGCTCCTCAGTAAGCAGTTCGAATTGTTTCTATTTTCGTGAGACTAACTCTTTTCAATTAAGGTTCCTTCTGCGCGAACAGGACGTCAGCTACGGCGTCAAGGATCACAATACTGAGTTGATGTGGTTTGTCTACGGCTATCCCAAGCCAAAGATGACTTACTACTTTGACGACATGCTCATTGAGTCGGGTGGCAGATTCGACCAGAGCTACACCCGAAACGGACAGGCCACCCTCTTCATCAACAAGTAGGTTACAGAAAACCAACTTAAGGTTCAATTTACTTTACTTCAATTCGTCTTCAGAATGCTGGATCGCGATGTTGGCTGGTACGAGGCCGTGGCCACCAACGAGCATGGAGAGGCGAGGCAGCGGGTGAGACTGGAGATTGCCGAGCATCCCAGGTTCCTCAAGCGCCCGGATGAGACCTTCATCATGGCCCGCAAGAACGGAAGGATCGAGGCCAAGCTGGTGGGCATTCCGCTGCCGGAGGTTCACTGGTTCAAGGACTGGAAGCCCATTGCGGACTCCTCCCGCATTAAGGTAACTTTAGCGGTGGAAGAAGAAGAAGGAGGGAAAAATCTATTATATACATTTCCAAACCATTCAGATCAGCTCCTATGACCCGGACATTTACGTGCTCTCGATCCACGACTCGATAATCAAGGACGGAGGCTTGTACTCCATCAGTGCGAGGAACATTGCCGGCTCCATCAGCACTTCGGTGACCGTGCACATCGAGGAGAACGAGGACCAGTATATCTACAAGACCTACGGCAGACACCCGTATGTGCGCTCCAAGCAGCTGCGCTACCAGGACAAATACGACATTGGAGACGAGCTGGGCCGCGGAACCCAGGGCATAACCTACCACGCGGTGGAGCGCTCCTCCGGCGACAACTACGCCGCCAAGATCATGTACGGCCGGCCCGAGCTGCGGCCCTTCATGCTCAACGAGCTGGAGATGATGAACACGTTCAACCACAAGAACCTGATCCGACCCTACGATGCCTACGACACGGACCGCAGTGTGACCCTGATCATGGAGCTGGCTGCCGGCGGGGAGCTGGTGAGGGACAACCTCCTCAGGCGGGACTACTACACCGAGAGGGACATCGCCCACTACATCCGGCAGACGCTGTGGGGACTCGAGCACATGCACGAGATGGGCGTGGGTCACATGGGTCTCACGGTAAGGAGTGGACACTAGTCACTGGTTTGCACTAACTTTTAATCCCTGCTCAACGAACAGATCAAGGACCTTCTGATCTCCGTGGTCGGCGGTGACCTCATCAAGGTGTCGGACTTCGGACTGTCGCGCAAGATCAACAGGCACAACCTGTCGACCCTGGACTACGGAATGCCCGAGTTCGTCTCCCCCGAGGTGGTGAACAAGGAGGGGGTGAACTTCTCGCACGACATGTGGACCGTCGGCCTGATCACCTACGTCCTGCTCGGCGGCCACAACCCCTTCCTGGGCATCGACGACCGGGAGACGCTGACCAAGATCCGCGAAGGCCGCTGGGACTTCAAGGACGAAATCTGGACCCACATCTCGGACGACGGCCGCGACTTCATCAGCCGCCTGCTGTTGTACAGCCCCGAGGAGCGGATGGACGTGAAGACCGCCCTGAAGCACCCCTGGTTCTTCATGCTCGACCGCCAGGTGACCGACCACGACTACCAGATCGGCACCGACCGCCTGCGCAACTACTACGACCACTTCCGCGACTGGTACGCCAACGCCTCCTGCAAGAACTACTTCCGCAGGCGGCGGCTTAGCGGCTGCTTCCAGCACCCCTCCAAGATGGTCTATCCCCCGGGACACGTCTACACGCCGGAGAACACCCCGGAGCCTCTGCCGGAGCCGAGGATCAGGGCCAAGCGCGAGGAGGTGGTCTCCAAGTACTTGCATCCCGACTACGAGCTGGGCCTGATTCAATCCGAGAGCCAGTGAGTATGAGCAACTAACTTAGTCATGAGTCACTAAGTTGTGGCGATTCTCTTTAAATCACTTTGCTTTCTTTCCTTTCTTTCCCTTTTTAGCTACCAATATGGACCCGATACCTATCTCCTGCAACTGCGCGACGTCAACTTCCCGGTGAGACTGCGTGAGTACATGAAGGTGGCCCACCGTCGGTCGCCTTCCTTCGCCCTTAACGACTCGGTGGACTGGTCCGTAAGTAACTAGAGTACCCTGCAACCGAAGGAGTAATAACTGGGTTAATTGGCGATAGCTTCCCGTGATCCGCGAGCGACGTCGCTTCACCGACATCATGGACGAGGAGATCGACGACGAGCGCACGCGCAGCCGCATCAGCATGTACGCGGCCAACGAGTCCTACTCCATCAGGCGCCTGCGCACCGAGCTGGGCCCGCGTCTGGACGAGTACACCGAGGCGGACGCCATGATCGAGACCCAGCGCGAGGGCTACCCACCGTTCTTCCGCGAGAAGCCCCAGACGATCGCCATCACCGAGAACCAGCCGAGCCACATTCACTGCTTCGCCGTGGGCGACCCCAAGCCGTGCGTGCAGTGGTTCAAGAACGACATGGTGCTGACCGAGAGCAAGCGCATCAAGATATCCGTGGACGAGGACGGGCGCTCCATCCTGCGCTTCGAGCCGGCCCTGCACTTCGACGTGGGCGTCTACAAGGTGGTGGCCCGCAACAAGGTGGGCCAGACCGTGGCCCGCTGCCGCATCGTGGTGGCCACGCTGCCCGACGCCCCCGACTCGCCGGAGGTGTCCGCCAACAGCGGCACCGAGATCCTGCTCCGTTGGAAGCAGCCGCGCGACGACGGCCACTCCACGGTGCTCTGTTACAGCCTGCAGAGCAAGCTGGCCAACTGCGACGCCTGGACCACGGTGGCGGACAACATCGACCACGAGTTCTACCTGCTGCACGACCTGCAGCCCAACACCGGCTACCAGTTCCGACTGGCTTCCAAGAACCGCATCGGCTGGAGCGAGATGGGCATCCCGGTGGGCGCCTCGACGGCCGGCCCGGACGCCCCCAAGATCCACATCACCAAGGCCATGAAGCATTTACAGCAGCTCACCGAGAACGGGCACCAGGTGCTGCCCGAGGAGGAGCGCGTGCACACCGACTACCACTGCGAGCGCGAGCCGCCCAATTGGGTGACCGACGCCTCCGTGAGCGACAAGTACAGCTTCATCTCGGAGATCGCGCGCGGCCAGTTCAGCACGATCGTGAAGGGCATCCAGAAGTCCACCGACACCGTGGTGGTGGCCAAGATCCTCGAGGTAACTGACGAGAACGAGGACAACGTGGTGGCCGAGTTCGACAACTTCAAGACCCTGCGCCACGAGCGCATCCCGGCTTTGTTCAGCGCCTACAAGCCCCTCAACGTGCCCATCGCCATCTTCGTGATGGAGAAGCTGCAGGGCGCCGACGTGCTGACCTACTTCAGCAGCCGGCACGAGTACTCGGAGCAGATGGTGGCCACCGTGGTCACCCAGCTGCTGGACGCCCTGCAGTACCTGCACTGGCGCGGCTACTGCCACCTAAACATCCAGCCCGACAACGTGGTCATGGCCTCCGTGCGCTCCATCCAGGTCAAGCTGGTCGACTTCGGCGCGGCCAAGAAGGTCAACAAGCTGGGCGTGAAGGTCACCCCGTGCGGCTCGCTCGACTTCCAGCCGCCCGAGATGATCAACGACGAGCCCGTGTTCCCGCAGAGCGACATCTGGTCGGTGGGAGCCCTCACCTACCTGCTCCTGTCCGGCTGCAGTCCATTCCGCGGCGCCGACGAGTACGAGACCAAGCAGAACATCTCCTTCGTGCGTTACCGGTTCGAGAACCTCTTCAAGGAGGTCACCCCAGAGGCCACGCGGTTCATCATGCTGCTCTTCAAGCGCCACCCCACGTGAGTAAAATGTGGGACTCAAATGATGGGTTCGAAATTCTGCAACTTGAGCAGATTCAAAAGGGCATAAGTTCAAGCTTTTGTAGAAATAATTCTAAAATACCTACAATTATTAAGATTATTCGAGTTTTCCGATGGGTTGCAAGAAAAAACTGACACTCCAGAGCCTAAAACTTTCGCCATTTCTCTTTGATTTTAAATAGCAGAAATCTAAACGCTTGAAGCTAAAATATTTAAAATATTTAACGGAAGATGGGAGATAGATTGTTGAATTTTCCATATTCAGATTTTGCCAAACATTAAAAGAAATCTTTTAGAACATGTAAATTATTTTTTTGAAAATATATTTAGGAATAGAAGGCTGTTTAATATAACAATTCCGCAACAGGGCCATTTATGATAGATATTGCCAGCCATTTGACAACTTTTCTCTCGCCAATCAATCTAGAAAACGACCATACACCGAGGACTGCTTGGAGCACAGGTGGCTCATGTCCTCCGACTACATGGTTAGGAAACGCGAACGTGCCATCTTCTTGGGCAGCCGTCTAAAGGTAATAAATTCCGATATTTCGTGTTGAAAGAAGACATGTCTCATGGTGTTGTCTCCCCCCAAAAACAGACGTTCTGCGACGAGTACCATGACCTAAAGAACGCCACGGCCACCTCATCCAAGGTTTTGAACACGGTCGCAGGGGGACCCACTCCTACTCAACTACTTCGATCGAACAGCATCCAGGAGGAACTGCTCACAACATTTTAGTCAATTAGCTCCGAAGTAGTGTTAAGGGAATGTTGTTTTTATTTCTTGTATATATGGAATATAAATAATTACACAACATCTAAATTCTATATATATAAATATATTATCTGGTTAATTAAACGAACGTTTCGAAGCGGTGTGTTATTTTTAATCTGTTGACAGACACGCCCACGACTCATCGCCCTTGCCAATCAATAAAGTGCGAGCGACCTTCACCAACAAAAGAAACTGATGCCAGGGCCAAAAATAGCGCTCTTGCTCAGGTGCTTGTGAAGAGAAACGTTTTCCGCTTGCCTCTGATGGAATATTGGGAAAATACTAAACTTGGGTGGAGGGTATCCCCAGTTCGAGCCAACGAATCGCTCTGAAACATAGGTGTTCGTCGAGAGGCGAGGCACCCGAACCCGCGAATCAGAATCAGAAAATCCGAAAATCGGTTCGCCGAAATCAACTCTGCGAAAAGCTTGTCGTTCGAAAGCTGCCCAAAGCTTCCTTATCACTATTGATTAAATTTTCCTCCGAAGCTTATATTTTAGAGTGAGTGCTAGGTACAACACGCAAACACCTCAATTAGTACAACACAAAACACTGTTTAGTCACAATGTGAATCAAAATAAAGCAGATCTCAACACACACACAGCGACCGAGTTCCCAGCGTTCATTAGCAGTAGAAAAATCAATGAGTGACAAGCGCTGGTCACAAGATTACAATCCATCGAATTCGCGACTACGAACAAAAGGTGCTCGGTAGCCAGCGAGATCTTGTATATATATACTTCTAATCGAAGTGCTCGAGTAATCTCACTTGAAAGGCCCAAAACCTTTTCGTTTTCGGACTGGCAAACACGTAGTCTCGCTCTCCGCATGTCTTTCCAAGTGTGAACCTACACAGAGGGTCAACTGGCAGTCAATTAAGCGCTGAATAGCAATCGTTTTTTCGGGTAAAGCTGCACCTGACTCCCGCAATGGCAGAGGGCGACCATTCGGCAAAGCAAGAGGAACGGTGAGTACTTTTATTACTCATGCGCCCAGTAACACCGTATCTTATCTCCCGCAGCACTGGGCTTCCGGCTCCGATGATCTCCCGCAAGGAGGTCAGTATCTGGGCCATCCTTAAGAACTGCATCGGCAAGGACCTGAGCAAGATCACCATGCCAGTCATGCTCAACGAGCCACTAAGCTTCCTCCAGCGACTCTGCGAGTACATGGAATACGCACAACTTCTCACCGAAGCCGCCCACCAGGAATCCCCGGCGGACCGGATGAAATACGTAGCAGGTGAGTGCTATCAAAGGTTATCAGCGGCAAACAGGTGTTCCTCAAGTCGTTAAACACTGATAAGTCCAATTATCCAGAAAGTTCTGCAACTCGAAAGACAACTTGTCTGTGGTTAGTAATCACTATCTGTCCAGCCAATGCGCTTTTGCATTCAATGACCAATGCGATTGCATTGACTATAATTGAAATGAATTGAACCACAAACCCCAATCACTAAATTAACCCATGACTTATTTACTAATATATCATTTAACTATCCAACAGCGTTTGCCGTATCCGCATTAGCCTCGAACTGGGAGCGCCTGGGAAAACCATTTAACCCTCTTCTCGGTGAAACGTATGAGCTGCAGAACGGAGACTATCGAATTGTTTGCGAACAAGTCTCCCATCATCCGCCAGTATCTGCTTTCCATGCGGAATCCAAGGACTTTAAGTTTCACGGCACAATCAACCCAAAAATCAAGTTTTGGGGAAAGAGTGTTGAGGTGAACCCGAAGGGAACCGTCACCGTGGAGTTCCCGAGGTAAGCAATATCTTTGCTTTAAAGGTTTTGGATGGTAACCGCAGTGTAACAACATCTTTTCTCAGATGGAACGAAGCCTACAGTTGGACTAATGTCAATTGCTGCGTGCACAATATTATTGTGGGCAGACTGTGGATAGAGCAGTACGGAAAGATGGAGATCACCAACCACTCCACTGGCCATGTGGCCAGCCTCACCTTCAAGTCCGCCGGATCTGGAGCTAAGAACTTACATCGCGTCGAGGGATTCGTCAAGGATGCCAGGTGGGCACCTACTCACTGATACTTTGAGTGTAAGCTATCAAGTTGAATATGCCTTTGCAGTGAAACAAACCTTTACTTCCTGTACGGCAAATGGACCGAGTTTATCAAGTGCTGTTCCGCCGAGTCCTACATTCAGTATCTTAAGCAGGGAACCAGAAAGAACGACGATTTTGACGGCTCGCCTAATGGCACCCCGAAGAAAATGTTTTCGAAACTGAACAGCTTTAAGCTGAACTCGTTCCGCAGCCTGTCCATTCAAGACGTAAGTGTAAGACTTTCTTGGGTTACTGTCAAGGAGTATCTCAAAAATTGTTACATTTCAGAACGACAACTATCCTCCGCTCGAGCAAGAGGGCGACATACCGAAGAGTGATTCCGCCTACTCGATTGACATACCGGACTCCACAACACTGTGGAGTTGCAAGCCCAGACCTTCCAACTGCAACGAGGTGGGAGTTGCCCTTTCAATAATTTAGTTTCGGCTGCTTAGCCCTCTGTGTCCTTCCAGTATTACCAGTTTACGCATTTTGCGCTGCAGCTTAACGCCATGAATAGTAACATGAAACCACCGCTAACACTTTGCCCTACCGATTCGCGACTGCGACCTGATATTTTATACTTAGAGGAAGGAAACCTGGACGGAGCGTCCAAGGAGAAAACACGACTCGAGGAGAAACAAAGGCACACGCGGAAGCAGAGAAAATTCGCCAATAGCGATGACTGGACTCCGAAGTAAGGCTGTTTCCCTAGTTGATTAACTAATTCACTAAGTAATCCATATTCCAGGTGGTTCAAGTTCACAACTAACCCATTTACCAAGTCCGACGACTGGCTGTACAGCGGAGGCTATTGGGACCGCAAATATGAGAACACCGACACGATATTTTAGATACGTTTTGTAGATCGCTTATGCTAACCGTATACATATTTGTAAAAAGTTTAAGAGCTGTTCGAAGTTAGGAGTCTTCAATAACTGGCAAACATGACTTTCCATTGAAGCGATCAGTTATTGCATTGACTTCTAGTCAATCAAGTCGCACAAGCATGCATATATACATTTAGTTGAACGCTTACTTTTGGTAGTCCCTATGTGTGTGTATAAATAGTTGTTAACTCGTGACGATTCCATACGAAGCAATTAAAGTGTTATTCAGTTATTTGTTGCGCAGCAATGCAAGAAAAGAATGCAAAAGAATGTGTGATTTTTACTAAGAAGGGTACGGTGAAAAGGTAAGATGAATTCTGGGCAGTTGAAAAGCACTGTAATGTAACAATAAAATTGATTTATTTTCCTCTACTCTTTGGTTTTTCCGCCCACCCCATTGTCCTTTCACAGATGCTATTTACACATGACAGTATGTCTAGATTAAATTTACACATGGCCAACAGATATAGAACTCTAGTTTATATCAAGCGTTTTAGGTTTCCTGTTCACGTCGTGCAAGCTAACTACGTTATAGGCAGAGACGCAGGGTTCGAGTTTGTTCTTGAATATGTCGTTCTCGGACTTCGAGGAGCATATGGAGCCCCCGATTTCGGGGTGGCTGGAGTCAGGTAACGAGGCCCTCAGCTCGTGGTTGCTCACCGAGGTGTTCAGCTGGAACTGTTTCGCATAGAGCGTGTCCATCTTGTTGTGTTTGGCTGGAGGAGGAGGGGATGAATGTTTGTTTTACTCAATAACTTCCTAGCTCACCTTCATTGACACACAACTTGAACCCGGTTTTGTGGCCGGCCAGTTTGGCCTCATCACTGCCGCAGATCGAGGACTCTTCGATGTGAGAGAAGCTCTCCTGCGGCGAAATGGTGGACAGCACGGAGGTGCTGGAGTAAAGGTAGCCGGAGAAGTACAGGTCCGGGTTGGCCTCATGCGCCTTGCAGGGCACTATCCAGGAAAAGCTAAACGCCGAGGGATTCACCTCCTGGGTCAGCCAGGGGTCACTGATCAGCTGGTGCATGGTGCAGCGGTACTTGGGGTCCTTGTTCAGCATGGAACTCAGGAGGCGGCTCAGCTGGTCGGACACTACCTTTGGTATCTGGATCTCGGCCTTCAGGGTCTCCTCCACGTCGATGAACGGGTTCTCGAAGAACATCAGGACATACAGGGTGACCCCCAGTGCCCAGATTTCCAGCTCGGGCCCCACATACCTGTTTCCCGCCAGGACCTCAGGACTGCAGTACTCCGTCGTGCCGTAGAACGTGGAGAAGAACTTGCCCTCCTCCATGAAGGTGGCGGATCCGAAGTCGATCAGCTTGATGGTGAAGTTGTGATCGATGATGATGTTCTCGTCCTTGATGTCGCGGTGCAGGATCTTCTGCTCGTGCAGATAGTTGACGGCATCGGCGACCTGCCGGAATATGTAGCTGCCCAGCTTCTCGTCCATCAAGGGCCTCCGTTCGATGAAGGTCCACAGGTCCATGCCGGAGCCGTGCTTCTCCATCACTAGCTGGTAGAAGAGGTCGTTCTCGAATACGTCCAGCACGGACACGATATTCTTGTGGCTCAGGGTCTGCAGCAGGTGGATCTCGATAGGAACTTCCTTGCAGTCGCGGCTCTTGACCATGAACTGCGAGCAGAGCTTTTCCTTGAGGATGAACTTGGTGATGACCAGCAGGCGGTCGGAGTTGCGGAAGGCCATGTTCACGTACCCGTAGGCCCCTCGGCCGATCTGCCTGATCGAGGTGTAGTGCTTGCTGTACTCGCCCATGTAGAGCTCGTCATCGTACTTGCAGACCAGCGAGAGGGAGTTGGGGCGGCTGGAGTTCTGGGCGGCCGTGGTTTTTATTACCTGGCCCAGCGACTGCTCGATGGTGCTGGCCATGCTGTTGAACGTGGACGTGAGGTTCGCGTAGCTGTATTTCTCCCCGTCCAGCCGAGTGCTGGGATTGCGGCCCACCCAGATGCAGTAGACCCGGTTGGAGCAGGGCAGGGTCTGCAGCAGCACGGAGTAGACCACCTCGATCACCGTGCCGTCCGCATGGATGGCCTCTCCCACGAAGCTTCCGTTGATGGAGCTGAGCAGTCTGGTGGCGGGATTGCTGCCGGACCCATCGCAAGTCTCCGTGGATGCGGACTTCGCCTTGTCGAGCGAATCAATATCGTTAGTGTGCGAGTGGGACCCCCCTTCGAACTCGTCGGCGGGGAAGCTACTCGAGGCATTCACTGGTGTCAGGATATCATCTATTGTGCAATCATCCGGCTGACGCAGATCGCAGAACAGTCCTCCGCTGTTCTCCGGGTGGCAGCCCAAGTGGGCCTCGTTGGCCGCTTGCTCGTTGTTTTGCTGCTTACCAGCCGAGTTTCGTTTGCAGGACTGCAGTGAGGAGTCGTTGTCCAGGACGAGGGGATCCGTGTCCGGCTCCCAGTCGTTGCTGGTTATCGAGGTGTTCGACACATTGGGGCTCTTGTCCTCGCGGGAGTCCTTGCCAAAGTTGGGCAGTATGGCGGATATATGCATGTTCGTGATCCTATCCTGGCCGTAGCCGAACATCAGCAACGAGAAGGGCTGGTTGCACATCAGGATGTTCCCTACATCGTCCACCACAATAAGTCCACTGAGGTTTTGAAATACCCAGACGGTAATATTGAACACGCTGTGGCCAGGATTGGAGTATCCTGCCACCACGCTTTCGTCCAGAGCGATGAGCAGGCACAGCGGGAACTTGACGTTGTCCGTGGTTCGTCCTGTGGCCCGCTGTTTTCGCAGGCTCTTCGGTATTTCCCTGCTGTCCGGATCGGGGAGCTTTATGAAGGGAATCAGTGCGGTTACGTTGACGCCCACGACGCCCTCGGTGGATTCGTAAAAAAATATGGTGGCCGTGGTGGAGTCTGCAGAGGTTATTACCCCGAGACGATCGGTGCTGATGTGACAGATGTGCCGCTCCACGGGCTCGGCGACGGCTATGTGCCTCCCGTCGTTGCTGATCTGACGGATCCAGAGCGAAACCAGGATCTTGTTTCCCGACTTCGTCTTCATTTCGATGACCTTGCCGCTCAACAGAACCACTCTGCCCTCGTCGCCCTCGATCTGCATCTCCGCCAGGGAGGAGATGTGGCTCTCCGTCTTGCCATTCAGCAGGTCGAAAAATCCCTTATTCCTCAGCTCCTGCGATGTGTAGCCCAGAAGCTGGCAGGCCTTGTTGTTCACTATGAAAATCTGCCCGGTGTTTGCATCTATAGTAAATATCGCCTTGTTCGGATTGATCACCTTTGAGGAGTGGAGATTGGGAGGCGGCATGCTGAAGGAACTGGTGTCCATCAGGTTCAGCATGCTCGACGAGTCCTGGCGTGACTGCTGGGTGTTCCCAACGGGGTCATCTATAATTCGAACGGTTGGTAAATAACTCAGTTCTTTAACTTAGTTAAACAAGAATTACCGTTAGCGTATCGGCTTCTGGGGCCTGGGGTTTTCGAATTACTCAGCTTACCAGCGCCTTGTTCGACCACATCACCCAGATCCTCCATTTAAACGTCAAGTAAAGTACAAATCCTAAAAGATTCAACTTAAGGCCTACAGTTATATCTTGAAGAGCGCTCCATAAACATTGGAACTCTGTTTGTAAAAAAATCAATTGATTGACGCATGCGCGCAACGAATTCCTCCAGTATGTCGAAGCATGTGTAGCAGTATTTTAACGCCATGTTTTTAATGTTCATTTATTTGTTAACAGGTGTTTTTCACAGAAAAAACCTCTACTAGCTGGAAATATTTATATTTCCTGCTGCATTTTCAACCCAACAAGTGAATTTTTGAGGTGTTTAAAATGCACCGCTTTCAAACTTTTTGTACCCCTGGTTTCACCATCGATATAACGGCTCTAAGTATCGATAACAGCCCAGAACACATATATATATAAGCTGGGCCTAGCTACGTGTGGAAAAATATCAGGGGCAATACGAAACGTATTGTTCTTCCGCTCAGGAAGGTTTTTGTTTCGTTTTCTAAAAAGGACATTCAGTGCTTAGTGGAATAAGAGAAGTCCGAAATGGCGCGTGTATCCGAAATCTGCGCTCCCTTGGGAATCCTCCTACTTTTCAACCTGATAACCGTTGACGGCCTTGTAAAAATGGGGGTTTACCAGAACTCCGTCTATCAGCAGGATCTAGATACCAATTCGGCAACAGGCACCACGGCTTCCTTTCCGTTCCTGATGCCCAAGGTTTCCCCACAAACCGTAAGTGCCCTTTTAAAATAATAGATTGACCCATATGGAAGAAAAAATTCCCCCAGCTGTGCGTATATATTTTTTAATGAACAAAATGCGCAAATACACAGAGAAAAATGTAATTACTTTTGTTTGCACTCTATGTGGGATGTGCATCATTTCTGTGTTCGGCGAAAAAGATTTGTATACTGTAAAAATTGCTCCATATGGTTAGTAAGGTGCCTCGAATACACACGATTCAACACCCACATGTAATGGCTTGGATCCAAAACCTGTAGATTGCACTTCTCGAACCTGCGCCGTAGATACATTCGTTATTCTACTTAGGGGGTGGCAAAAAAGTCTGCGAAGGCCACACACTTATTTAGTTTTTTAACTTGTTGACTAATCCAATTTAATATTTTCACTCTCTTTTAACAAAATATAACATATAATATACAGCCGGATTTGTACTTGTGCACCCCTGTTAAAGTTGATCCAACTACCACCTACTATATCGGTATGTTCAGATACATCTTCAGGTATAAGAATCTAATTTGTCAATTTTCACACAGTTGGCTTCAATCCCAATGCCACCATGAATACGGCCCACCATATGCTGCTCTACGGATGCGGAGAGCCCGGGACCACAAAAAACACTTGGTGAGTTTTTAGATGGAGTGCTACCATAACCCACTGATATCCTAATATTCCCTTGAACAGGAATTGCGGAGAGATGAATCGAGCTTCCAACGAGGAGTCAGCTAGCCCCTGCGGACTCCATTCGCATTCCCAGGTACGAAACGAACTTAAAATACAGACCACTAGACACTTAGAATTCGGGACACATGCAATTTTGAGGACCAAAGACGATGGGCTTGCAGCCTAGGCAGATCGGCCGTCCGCAAACGATCCTGAATTCTCCGGTGACGATCCTTTGACGGCAAATGGAACACCTGAAGCATTTCTGATGCCACTTGGTGCTCAGCGCAACCACGGCTCTTTCTTCGATGGGCCCGGCACAACCGGCACAGCGGGACGAAAACAGTTCCCGGAAGTGTGAATTGCAGAAGAGGTATCCGTTCACTTCGTAAAAGCCAGACGAGATCAGCGGTTTGCCGCAGCTCACGCACCGGAAACACTTTTCGTGCCACTTCCGCCCGACGGCGGCCACTGCGCGTTCCAAAATCGGAGTCCGGCAAGCGGAGCACCGAGCGGCATGGTTGCCCAAGTAGCACTCGCTGCAAACCACATCATCATCTACCGCGAAAAACAGAGCAGGATCCACCACGAGGCTGCAGTTCCTGCAGGTAAAATGGTGCGGATGGTATGCCTTTCCGGAGCTGCAAATGGCCCGGGGCCAAATTTCCTCGTTGCAACGGCAGCAAATGGAAGGGGACATGGCTCAGCTTAGGCCTTTGGACAGATAATTTATTTTTTCGAGAATTTTTTTTTTTTGTATCGAATAGCGTTCTATTTGGACATTAGTGGGGCTGCCTCCATTGTTGAGTCCAGTTTTTGATTTGGTAGCCGATGGTAATCATAAATAACTGTTTTACAATTGGTTTTTTCCAATCCATAAATTTGAACTCGGTCATCGACAAGCAATCATCAAGGCAAATAACTACTGTTTCAAATTGCCAATATTTACTGAACCATTTCTTTAATCTATTTACAGATCTTATATGCCTGGGCCAGAGACGCACAAAAACTGAATTTGCCCGAAGGAGTGGGTTTCAAGGTGGGCAAAAACTCGCCCACCAAGTACTTGGTATTGCAGGTCCACTATGCCCACATCGATAAATTTAAAGGTGAGTGGTAAAACCCGCTCAAAAAATGAAATCTAATGTATATTTTTATTTCAGATGGTTCAACCGATGACTCAGGAGTTTTCTTGGATTATACAGAGGAGCCGTAAGTCCCTAACACAAATAATATTTTTTGATATTACTCAAACTGTTTCCTGACAGTCAGAAAAAGTTGGCTGGAACCCTATTGATGGGCACGGACGGAATGATTCCGGCAATGAAGACGGAGCACCTAGAAACTGCTTGCGAGATAAGCGAGAAGAAGGTCCTGCATCCGTTCGCATACCGGGTGCATACCCACGGACTGGGAAAAGTGGTCTCCGGCTACAGGGTCAGGACGAACAGCGAGGGCGAACAGGAGTGGCTGCAGCTGGGTAAGAGGGATCCCCTCACTCCCCAGATGTTCTACAACGTTAGCAACAGGGATCCCATTGTGGAAGGAGACAAGATCGCTGTTAGGTGCACTCTGCAGAGCACGCGACATCGGATAACCAAAGTGGGGTGAGTAGCAGATCCTTAATGTCCAATATCCCTAATCAATCAAACTCACTCACGTCACTTATTTCAAGACCGACGAACGAAGACGAAATGTGCAATTTTTACCTCATGTACTACGTGGATCACGGCGAAACCCTGAACACGAAGTTCTGCTTCAGCCAGGGCGCTCCCTACTACTACTGGTCCAATCCTGACTCCGGCCTACACAACATCCCACATATCGAGGCGAGCACCTTGTAAACTGCGGAACCAGCTGCGGAAAGTGAACGAATGTATACCACCTTACTGTCTGGATTATGTTATCGTGTGTACCAAGTGATGATGGCCTAGCATCATTCTGTATCCTATTCTGTTGGCCCCCAATGAGTTATGTAAAATATTTGTGCGTGTAAATAAACATATGTAGATAAATCGCGAGAACCCAACGAAAACCGCATTGATTGAGTTTGGAAACAATTAGCAACGAGGTTAATCCCCCGCTCGTTTGTCGTATATAGAAAGAATTCCGCTACGCAGTTAAACGAAACTTCCATCGTAATGTTTTCAATGCAATGCATTTTATTCTCGCTTTTTTTTTTGTATATAGAATTTATGGAATATATAGTATTTATCTGTATACATACATACATATATATAATTTGGTGTAAAATTATAATCGTACAATTATATTAGTTATAAATTACACAAACTTAAATATCTCTCACATTTTGTAATAACTTGCAAACTCGTACTTGTTAGTGTTAAATTCTAGATGACTACCGGTTGGCTGAGGCGGCAAGTCCTCAAATGTGTAGGCTAGCAGAGCTCCGTTGTTGTCGTGTGCGGCGTAGTTGAGATCATTGTGTGTTTCAATTACACTTCCGGTGTAGTCTTGTTGGGTGTACGTGCACGTGCTGCCGATGGCGTCCGCCTCCACGAAGCCGGCGCCGGCGAACCCGATCTGCGGCGAGTTCGAGCTGGTCAGGATGCTGCAGTCGCTGTCCTCGGCGGCCGACGGGATCGGGTTGTAGTCGTCGTTCTGGAATGTGTGCCCCCCGTCCGGGCCGCCGTATGGCATGGTGCAGGTCATGGTCATCGTCACCGTCTGTGGCCGCACCTCGAACTCCGCCTGGTGGGAGGAGCTGTCCCCGCCGCAGTCCTCCGCGAAGCAGTCGTGGCTGTCGGGCACGTAGGGAGGTATTTGATGGCTGGCCGAGTGCAGGTTGGCGTCATTTACGATGTTGTCCTCGGAGTCGAAGACGGGCTCGTTCAGCCCGGAGCCGTCCAGCAGGCTGGACTCCACCTTCAGGCCGGGCCCGTCGCTTGAGGGATTCACCTCCAGGTAGGGCAGGAACGCGGACAGCTCCTCCGCGGACAGCTCCTGGGGCTCGTTGATCGGGCTGATCGCGGAGATGTTCTCCATCAGGCCCGCCGTGGGGTCCGACTGGTTGTGGTGGCCGTGCGACGCAGAGCAGAAGAGCGGCAGCAGACCGTGCACCACGTCCGGCAGGTTCTCCCGCGCTTCCAGCGGACCCGTGCTCAAGTCCGAGTGCAGCTTCTCGTCGGCGTCGGCGGTGCTGTTTGTGCTGAGAGGTAAATAGTCGGACGACTGGTAGCTGAGAAGGTTGTCCGCCGAGGGCAATATGATATCCACAGAGCTGTGCTGCTCTGCGGATTCCGCCTTGAGCTCGAATCTCGGCCTGGAGGCGTCGCCCGAGTCGGTCCTTATTCGCTTCGAACTGGATCCCGAACCCGATTGACATGTAGAGGTAGATCGTTTGCTTTTCCGACCGGCAGTGGTGGTTCCATTGATTGCAAGAGTGGACAGTGAGTGGTTGGGAGTGTCATTTTTAGCTTCGCAGCCTTCTGCGTCCTGGTTCTGCTTCAGCGATCCCGGGGAGCGCGCCTGCTTCTTCTGCGGCCGGTACTTGTAGTGCGGGTACTCGATCATGTGCAGCTTCCGCAGCTTCTCGGCCTCTATGATGTACGGTTGCTTGTCGTCCTTGCTGAGGCCCTGCCACCGCCGGCCCAGCTCCTTGGATATCTCCGCGTTATGCAGGTCCGGCGTCCGCTCGCAGATCTTCCGCCGCTCCATCTGGCTCCACACCATGAAGGCGTTCATGGGGCGCTTAATATGGCCGGGAGAATGTTTCTTGGTCTGTAAAGAAAGGGACAGGGGCTTAGATACTTTTACTTTTTACAAACAATTTAAACAAGCAAATAAAATATACATATTTGCCAGATTGCTTTTTCTTTTTAAAAAGTTAAATTGTGTATTAATATTGTTATTAAGTTGTTTATTAACCTTAACATGGTAAATATCATTGCTTTAGACAGCAACGTATAGGTTTCCCTTACATATATTCAACGTAGCTTCCGGTATTCCCAGAAAATAAATTACTACACTCCCTTGTTTTTTAAATCTCCTTCCCTTAAGTAGAAAAAACCTCAAATATGTAGGTAGATACGCTCCGTTAATTTGTTCATGCGAAAAACACATTTACCTATTATACATTTGCGTATATAAATGTTCGCTGCATATTAACGTATCGCAGATAAAGAGTTAGGAAATAAAATTCACACCAGAGGTGTACTATACGTATACCTATAGCCGTCCATCCGGACGCCTGTGTGCGCCGACATATATGCAATTCGTGTATCGCCTTGTCTATGTCGGTATGTATGCACTTGTATCTGTTCAAAAATACGTATTCGCAGCGTTTGAAGTTCAATGTCCCGCGCCAAGGTTAACAAAACGCTCCTAAAACGAAATATGGCTTGCGTTCGAATGTTTGCTGTATTTAAATGCTGGGATCGCGGACCAGTAGCCGGGGCACTGGGCCTGCACCAGCTTCCTGGTTCCCTTTGATCCGGACAACCCGATCCCGGGAAGCGAACGGTGCACTTGGAATAGGTCATAGCACGGCTGCGGTGACGCGTCTCGCGTCGCTTGGTCAATGTGAATAACCGTTTTATTCTCGCCGCGAGAGACGGCAGAAACTACCTATTAATAGCGTTAACTTCGACCTTGCAGCAGTTCGTGTACCTCGCGAGTTCATCCACATCCGAAGTCGAGGCGATACCCTTGGCACTGCCGAGTCAAACCGAACTGGCGTGGAGCGAGCTAAGCGGAGCGGCCGATTGGAGCAGACTTTCGGATGGATGGGTAGATGGTATTGGGGCCGACGGGATGCGATGCTCCATCGGCCATTGCCTTTGCCATCGCCTCTGCCATCGCCGTTGCCTTTGCCTTTGCCTTTGCCCTCGCAACTCTGCTCCGAACCCGACTCACTCTCAATGTCGCCGTCAGTCAGACGGTTCAGTTCAAGTCTAATAAGCAGCCGAGTCTTGTAGACACAACACACTCTCACCCGGCCCAAACACACACACTCATACAGAGGCGGCCAGAAGTTGCAGACACCCGCATCCGTGGGATACAGCAACAGATACAGATACATTTACAGAGACAGGCGCATATACAGAGACCCGTGTATGTACGCGATGGGGAGCAAGTAAAAGTGATGAAATGGAACTGGGAACTGGGTACTGGGAACTGAGGTCGGGGCTTTCCATTTTAACCGCTCCTGCCGCACGCTTAGATCCTAAGGTCATCAGCTCGAATACTATATTAAACACATTTTTGCAGCAAAGATAAACATGTAGCCGCAGAAGTCAACGACTCAGTTCTATATGTGCGCGTAATACGCAATTGAGTTCTGCTCGTGACGCCAAAGGCAAAAGGCAGCCATTGCCTCCGCCATCCGTCCGCACTAATAACCGTAAAAAGCAAACTGCTAAGCAAGGTCAATGCACCAAATGTGTATTCGCTAAATTCTACATACGCTTAGCTCTGGATAGGAGTTGGTACACGAATTGAAATAGAGGCATTAGTAAGTGTTCTGGCTAGCTGTTTTCCTCAGCCGTGTGGTAAACAAGATGACGAGTAGATATTCTCCGGGTTTCAATAGATCGCCATAAGGAACTCGTGCCTTGACAAAAACATATCAGCGTATAGAAATATAAACAAATATGTATCGGTCACAGTTAAGCGGCGCAAAATATGGACGTACTATCCGCCAGAACAACACATCCACCAGATACATATCTACATGTGTATATATGCAAGCTCGGCAATATTGTGAGTCATCAGGGAAGCGAAACGCGAGTACAACCGCCCCGTAAAGGCACGGGGACAAAAAATGCACTTCCACGCATTCAGAGAATGAATCTATGCTCGAAAGCCCAGTGCAGCCGGGGTTCAAGCCCAAAAAAATCAACCATCAATCTTGTGGGTATCCACCTAATTGGGTATTTCATCATAATAAGTCAGAAATGAAGTTCAGCTTTTACGATCAAGCGTAATAAATACAAACGTCCATTCGATTGCTAATCTCCATTAATTGTTTTGCCGTGCCTGTATTTGTAAACAAAGAAAATAATCGCAAAAAAACTTGATTCTAATCTGGAGGAAATCTTATCAGTCAAACTTTTTGTTGACCTGTCCGGTCTGGAAAAAGTATTTGTATGTGTTTTATATGTAGGTCTCTCTGCCGAATGTGAAGTGCGATTGCCTTGACGCGACAGCTGTGAGTGTTTATCTAAGTAGTTCCCATTATAACTGATAAGGAGTGCATCGCTGGCTAAAGTTTCGGCTCGGACGGGTGGGCACACCGACTTACGGTGTTGATAAAACGCATCTTCCTATCGAGACGAGATCAGGCCACCAGATAGTGGAATTTGGAAGGCTGAATGACGTGTCATCCGAAATGAATCGCTGCCTGCACGGCAATTAAATGATATTAAATTATTTGCTTAAGAAATGTTCTCGTCTCAGTTTGTTATAATATAAGCCAGGGAATGGAAGTTCTAATCTCTCAATAATATACACGAAACATTTCCCCCAAAGCAAGACCCCAGAACTCGACCCGATTTCCCCCAGTGTCGCCGGGGCTGTGTTACTCACTCGAGTTGCATCCGAATACGGGGTGCTGGAGTTGACAGGAACCCGTGCAGATCCGAACACCAGGCTGGAATCGGGGCCGCTTATGTTCAGTGCCATTTCATGGCCGCTGTGGCTCGGAGATCTTTCGCCGTCCATATTGGATTCGGTCTGGAGCTCGGGGGCTAAGAGGTGGAGGGGATCCGGATGGATGGAGGTGTGGGCGGTGGGGCTCCGGGGGTGCCGGGGCTTCGGCGCAGCTGCAGCAACAGGCGCGGAAGGCGAAGCCACAGCCGCTGGATGAGTAATAGCTGACTGGCTTTGTGTTCGGACTTTGGGGGTCTGTGCGGTGCGGGGAAGTGGCTCCGGTTTTGGTGCTGGATTCTTAGCGCTTGCTGGGCTCGCTGGGGTGGTTGCTGGAACCGTTAGCACTGTTCCGGGGCGAAAACTGAATGGTGGTTCGGTGGTAGCCTGGTTGGGCTTAGCTATCATCTTCTCAGCGTGTCAGGGATATCTGGCAGGACTGCTGCGTCGCACACTCTGTGTCTGTGTCTGTGGTTTCCCAGGGCAGTTGTCGCGATAGCCGCTCGAACATAGTCGCAAAAACAGAGGCAGTGGTGGAGTTCCGATAGTGCGGAGGGTTCGGTTCCTCCGGGGCTTTATCACGAATTATGTAGTGAGTACTAGATGCACTATGTATGCACTATGTACTCGCAGTCGCGGTCTGATCGGACTGTTTTATTTAGCAAAATACTCGCGTTCGCCTCAGTGTGAGTGTGCACTAGGTATTGCTCCTCAAGGTGAAACTGGTTCCTCGTTATTTATTTATTTTTTGTTTTGTGTTTGCAATATTCCAAGACTCACGTTCGCTGCGTCTGTGTAATGAGCTTATATACGTACGCGTGTCTCTCACTCACACTCGTGCTGGGTATTTATTGTACATTTTATTAATTTATAAATGCACTGAAACTGAATTAAATAGATTGGCTCGTACTTATGTATGTGCAGAGGTTTACACCCGTCTATAATGGTGCACTTATGTTACGTTCGCTGTGTTTGAGTGCTCCACTAATACTGCTGCACTCGCGTTAGTGTTTGTGTTTGTTTTACGTGTTGATTTTGAAACACCAAATATTTTGATAATGTTTTGGTGCAGATTGGTTTGAAATTCAGCTGGCACCAAATGTTTCTGTCTTATCACTTGACAATAAGTATTTGCGGGGATCAGGTATTATTTATTTATCTGGGGGATTTAAATCACAACTAGATTTATGCACACAGGTTTCCGTTACTAGATTTAGTTAGTGGGTGTTATTTGAGGGTTCTAGATTGCTTATATCTTCACCGAGTCGCGCGAGACCAGGGCATTTCTTCCTGTCCAGGCCAATCTAAACTAAACATCGAATCGAACTTAACTGAACTGAACTGAAGAAGCAACGCAACTCTCGGCACAACGCAAAGCAGCGCAGCGCAACGAAAAACGAAGCGATGAGATACGAGTTGGATTGGAGTGAAGTAAAGTGAAGAAACGAAACGATGTGAACGACGCGAGCGAATAAACTACGCAAAAGATTTTACGTTTTTATTTTGTTGTATATTTGTGTATATTTCTGATTTTGTTGTACTTGTTTCTTATGCAGCCCCCATATACTGCGAAGTATGTAATTATGCATATACAAATGTATATGCGTGTCTATATGGGGTGTCTGTGTGTTTGGTTCCCGACCAACGTCGATCGCTCACAGCTGTTCAAGTGAACTGACTGCAAAGTTTACGATTGAGTCCGCAGCACGTAGATACAGATACATGCACCCATACCAGCGTCAGATACATTAGCTGTGGGTGTGTGCGTGAAACTGAGAGAGAGCGCAGGTTTGGAGCGCGTGTGTATGTTCATGACTCTCAGTCATACAGAGTTCCTCAACTGGCCAGGTGGGGCCTAGCAGTTAAATGGTGATTAAGATATTAAATTGATATACATCTTTGTATTTTTAAGCAGCATCTCAGTAATTGGGTACTAATATAATCATATATTATAGTGGCTTTCCTTTGATACCTTAAAACTAAGAAGCGCCCCTCAAATAGGCGACACCTGCAGTCCGCCCCTGGATTTGTTGATATCAACTGTTGCAGTAGAATGGCCAGCTGGTGTGTGAGTAACTGAGTGCGCACACATGGGTAAGGGGCGGGGTATATATACATGTATTTTCGACGCTTATGAATCAGCTGTTCCAATGTGTTTTAATCATATGGCTGTTTGATTAATCTGTACGTGTGCTTGTGTGCATATACTGACGTGAATATGTATATACGCGTGTAAGTATGTGCGCATGAATATCAATCTGGCTTCTGTTTATTTCAGACAGTTCTGAACGTTTTGAGTACGGAAAATCAGAATAATACATGGATATAATACGTATTGGTTCACATATTCTGACTCTGCTGCTATATTCTAGATGTCATACATGTTTACAGATACAAGTTCGATGAGTATATATATATTTATCTATAGAATGACGAAGCGGAACATGCACTTGCATTTTCATACAGTGTCAGGTATAAATATCGGCTAAAGAACAATATACATACATACGTAAATGTATAATACACGGAAGTAATCTTGTTGATCGCATCGACCGCAATTTTTCTTTTTAAGTTTTTAAGATGCAAATAAATGAAGAAATTTGTATACACTCTAACTAGACTCTTAGTGATTAAAGTTGATCTACAAGACTGTCACTTTAATTTATGTAAATACGACCAACACTGGTTAAATATTTTATTTTTTAGCTGACCTTCGTAAAGGACATCCGTTTTTACCTTTATATTATCTCCTAAATAGAAATTGTATATTTAGAAGTTGTTAAGTAAGCTTTTAAATAAAAATTTATTGCTAAAAATCGGTTTTTATCGTCTTACTAAATTTCTAGGCAGTCACAACATTTTATTAGGGTGACCATGTTTCTAGGTTTTAACTAAAATAATCCTTTTTTATATATGTGTTTCGTCACCCAATACAGCTTATAAAATATTCTTGCATAAATAATATTTATTCATTGTTAGTTTATCGGAATTATAATATATACAAACAACATTCTTGGCATGAATGAAATTGGCTTTCTGACCACACTCACTGGGACCATTTTTTAATGTTAAATTGTTTTTTAATATTATTTTAAATACTAAATTATTTATAAAACTCAAACATAATACTTAATCACGGTTTCCAAATATTATTATAGCTACAATGCTTTACTTTTGGCATGGATGTGAAAATATTGTCGGGTGCGCGGGAGAGTGGTCACAATAACAACAACCTCCCCAAGGTGATTCAACAACTGTAATCGATAAATTTTCAGCTCTAGTGAAAAAGTATGGAACTATTCTGGTATAAAACGTGTAAAACTCTGAATATTATTGTGCCTGGACTTTATATCTCGCTATATACGCTCAAAACGAAAGCAGAACTAGCTTACAACTGAAAAACACATTTGGACAATCTATCGGATGCAAGATATACGTAACATTTCACCATATATGTGCGTTATTTCACTCCCCATCACATTAGTTAATCGCAGTAGTCATGGATAAGTCTGCCTCAAATTGAGCTGGCCACAATGCCACCCAAAGCCAAACAGAAAAAAATGGCTTTTCGCAAGGGATACCCATCACAACATACTTGTGTCTTTAAGTTCAGATGTCGAGATTTCATACCCTTATGGGCGCGCTGTTTGACCCCTTCATCTTTGTTCTCCGCCTGATTGCGAACATGAGTTCCCCAATTTACGAGCACTATCGGTGCGGACCTACGTCGCGTCCCCTTCCTACTGCGTCTTTGTGGACACCAAGCAAGGGCCATCAGGAGCCTGCTGCCAAGCCGTCTGAGGTGTCCGAGGATTTACGGATACCGCCAATACAGCCAGATCCCATGGATCCGCTCGCCACCATGATGTCCTTCAAACTGATGGCTATGGACGTGGTCAGCCAGATGCAGACCGCCCTTCACAAGTGTGTTAACGCGCAGAGTCCGCCGTGCGCCAAAATGGCGGGACTCGAGCTTGACGCTCTGCGCCGTTGCGTCCCCTCTTCTTGCTACTTCTTTATCGACCTTCACCCGCGTCACGGATTCAAGGAGGCTGCAGATGAGTTCCCCACTAGTCAAGTGTCCAGTGACAAGAACAACAATTCGGGAAGCTCTGGGGGATCGCCTGCCAAGGGTTCCTTGCAGCGACAGCGCAGCATCTCGGAGTGCAGCGAGGATAGCTTCATCTGCTTCGAAGACGACACCGAAGGAGAGAATGAAAATGACATTGAAGAGGATGACAATGAGGATGATGATGACGACGACGACAGCAGCGTGCAGTTCGTGTGCGGTGAAGATGAGGATTACGAGGAGCCCAAGGCGTATGAATGCAGCCATGACAGCACCACAACGGCGAAGAAGGTGGGTTTGCCCACAGGCGACTTATATTGAAGCGCAATACTAATCAGTTAACTTTTGATTTCTACAGGTTCGATTTAACATGAAACCCGAAGTTCACGTAATGCTCGCTTGGGACTACGCTTATCGGGCTGCCAGGAAGAGCGAGTGGCAGGTGATGGCGCGGGATCGAGCCCGCTTTCAGCAGAGGATTAAGCGCATTTCGCCCATTTTAAACGCCGTCCTTACTCCAATTCACCGCGAAAGCGTCTACCATGCTCGATTCTTGCCCGAGGAGGAGCCTGTTTCTAACCTGAAGTAACTTTTGATGTACAGATTACAGTTTTAAACGATTACAAAATTAAATTAAGCACAAGTTGTTTGCGTGTATGTATAAAGTGATCGATTTAGCCGCTGAGTTCGTGATTTATTTCTGAAACCAAAAACTGTTAAACCATGTAAAGTATATCAAAAAACAAGTACACTTTTCTTCGCCCTTAGTTTTAAAACATTTAGATGTTTGAATTTGTTAATAACAGGATTAGCATATTATAAACATAACTTTAAATAAATTAAGCATTAGACGTACCTTCTGGTTTATTGTGTTTTGCATGCTTTTTGTTTAGAATCTTCAAATCATTTACGGAAAACAAGTTTTTTGGTAAAGGCTTTGCAGTGTACGGTGAAAACAGATAAGCCATGAATAGAATTAGATAAGACGATGGTTGGAAAAAATTATTGTTCATCATGGAACAGTAAATTTTAAAAACGTTATCTCTTTTATGCACATTTTGTTCAATTATTTTATCAGTCGCTTTCAATTTAATTTTGATAATCTCCCAAAATTTATTTCGCTAATTGGTAAACTCCACCCGAGAATATAAGCTTGTGCTCCCTGACTTTTCGCTGTAAGAAGTGTTTTAGCTCATCCTGAGTAAACTCGACTCCTCCGCTGTGAGAAGCAAACAACTTAAGCATCTGATGGATGCGATCTATTGGCATGGAGTCTAGGTTCGTGAGCATGCCAACAATATAGGACCAGAAAACCTAAAGGAAAAAATATGTTGTACAAATCTATAAAATATAACTTGGCTAATACTCACTTGAAGTTCTTCTTCCCTTTGATCACTGGCTGAAGCCATTGCAGATTCCAAATCCTCTTCGTCGGCTTCTGCCAAACTCATGTCTTCAAACTGAGACTTCTCCGACTCCTTCTCTAAAAGACTAAATATTCCTGGCGTTGTTTCCGAGATCAACCCGTGATTTTGCCAAAAACTCAGCCGACGTCGTAGGGCAGATGGTGGAACCTTTGTAATAGAGCTCAGGTCCTCAATAGTCCATTCGCCTGAAACCGTTAATTCTAGCACTGCATGGACTTTATATTTTAAATAATGGTTCTTACTCTTGTTTTGAAAATGGTATATTATGACCGCCAATGTGGGACTAACAACCATTTCCATGGTACGATCCCCAATCTCAATTTCGATGTTTACACGGCCAGTCACCGTTCGCCAGTTCAAAGTTCGGTTTCCCTTGTACGCCTCATAGGCCTTTGTATATTTTTTGAACTCATTCTCGATCTCTTCCGGCAACTGAAGACTCTCTTTGTTAAAGGAAGGCCAAAACTGTGCCGATACTATCAGCGAGGAGATGTCGAATAGTTGATCTAATATAAAAAGATTTGTTAAACAAAATATTACGTAAAAAGGTTAAAAGTTATTTACTTTCAGTGCGGTTACTATCGCTGTGAATGTGTGCATTAATTCGTTTGGAGTCCGTGACGTCTTTCAACATCACCTCACAGCTGTGAAGGAGAGATTCTCCGAAGCGGATCTTCAAAAGCTCCAGATTTCGAATTTCCTTTTCTGAATTGAAATCCAGCTGAGCCAGTAGTCGATCTGCCATTAGATTGCGGTACTCCGTCATAAACAGCTCCTTACTGCCGTATATATCAACCACCATTGATATTATATCAGCTGATCTCATCTTCCTTGAGCTATTGTACTGCATAATAGTAGCGTCTATTCCAAAGGGGTCCGGCACCCAATTCTCCCAGTTGCTGAACTCATCCGTACCGGAGTCCTTGCCTTCTTTTATCGACTCACCCTTGGCGAGCTCCTCGGACAAATCAGTTGGTCCCTCTTCAGTCAGCCCAGTTACAACACGTCGCACGGTATCGTTACGTTTGCGCAGATAATCCTTGATTGGGGCCGTAACCATCTCCAAGATCACTCCTGTGTTATCAAGATGGCGAATAGCTTTTATCGCCGCCACGTACCCGGTTAATATGTCCATGGTGTTAACTCCAGGATGCAAGATCCGGGCTTCTAGAGAGTTTCTAAGAGATTCAGTGAGGTACGCCCGCATATCAATTTTCTCCATACAAATTTTTAGGTCATCTATTGCAGGTATGGAGTCTGGATAGTCTATTTGCCAAGTATAAAATGTAAAAAATTATGGCCTCAACAACTTGAAAATCCTACCTATTATAATGCTAAAGAATTGACCAATAACGCTTTGCGCAAAAGTTTCGTACATAAAGTAAGTCAGTTTTACTTTAAATGATTTTACAGAATCTGGAACTTCCTGCCCGTTAATACTATCTTTAGACTTCCATTCCGTGAATATATTTGTAAGCCAGGACATAATAACATCCGACAGCCACTGCAAAGGTTATACGTCAATAATATAAACTTCTTATGTGGTGCTTTACTCACAGTTTCTAGCTGTTTTAAATGACTTCTATCAAATATTCCCATGCAAGTGTCGTTAATATGCTCCTTGATTTTGAGTTTGATAAGGGCAGTTAGAGCACTACCAGTTAGGCGATCGATAAGGTTCATCTCGAACATCTTCATGTTTGTCTTATTGACCATTTCCGTGAGTCTTTGACAACAGCACTGCTCCACATCGAAATTACAGCCGACGCATAGAAGTTCATCAAAAACATCAGAGTCTACAAAAAATAAATAACTGAGTAAATGTGGAAATTTTTTTTTTATGATCCATACCAACTGGGGCCAATCCGATTTGTGAAGCTTTGGTAAAGAGTTTGAAATGCACCCAGTAGAAGGCGCCCACGACCACACTGAATGTGGGCGGAAGTTGGGCCAGCAAGGAGTCCCTTAGGCAGCTCTTGATCCCATCTTCCTGCATTACTTTTACCGAATTCGGAGCTGGTTTTCCCTCTCTCCCAATAAGTTTTATCAACATGGGCTTAACCTGCATAAGTCTTTGGAATCCGTTGTGCAGCTCGTTAATGGCATCTATGAACTGGGTAAACAAGCGGTTTTTGTCGGGCAGTGCTTCTATGGCCAAGGCCTGGTCGTTTATCCCGCCTTGCAGCTCGGACGGAACTAAGCCGGAGTGAAAGTTCTTCCAGAACCTTGGAACCAGACCATTTCGAATGGCCGACTGGACCTCTAGATCAATTATGGCCGCAAAGGTGTCTATACTGCCCAAGATATTGAGGTGCCGGCGAACATTTTCAAACACCTTTTCCTCGACGGGCTTACTGAAAGCCGCGCTCTAAAAAAGGTGTGCGAATTTAAAAACAACTCTTTTAAGTAAAACTAAGGTATGAACTTACACCTCCACTTAAAACCGGAAATATTTTCAGAACATCCACCCACAAAGCATCAAAGTCGCTCATTATTTCTTTTAAAATGAAATACAAAAACAGCCCTACACTTTTGCAAATAGGGCTGACACTGCCGGTATCGATGAGACATGGCACCCATATCGATAGACGAGTTCTTATTTAGCATTAGTATTTTTATACCCTTGCAGAAGATATGATAATTTCAGTCAAAATCGGAAAACTATATGATATTGCTGCTATAGGAATGATCGTAAATATATATACAAATAATGGCAAAAAAAATTATAACATGTTTTTTTTTTATCCCACGAGCATAATTTTTAGAACATCTAGTTTTTTAACTACCCTTGAATCGAGAAGAAAATTTCATAAAAATCGGATAACTATATGATATAGATACCATAGGAAAGTTTGAAATATATCTATGTAAATAATGGTAAACATTTTTTATCCCACGAGCATGACTTTTAGAAAATATCATATACCAGCCATAGGAAAGATCGAAAAATCTATATGGAATTAACGGAAATAATCGAAAAAAACAAAAAAAATGAACCTATATGTATATCCTTGCAGTCATCAATAATGTCGGACAATATACATAAAGGCTAAACAACATCGAAGTTTATAGCTTTCAGGAAAATTGAGATTAATTTTGTTTTTTTTAATCAAAGACGGTCTCTTCCAGTTCCCAATCCAGACAAATAACCGCTGTAAATTATTCTAATCGATGCAAAACAGTAGCCAAAACGTAAAAAAAACAACAAGAGGTTTAAAAATATATCTTCATGTTTTGGCAAACACAAAAAAGTACAAATTAAAATTGCGTACAACTTATTTACATATGTAGATAAAAATTGAGATTTAAGAGCCAGCGTAAAACTTGCATAGGAATAATGTTAGATTGCGAATTTATTTAATTTTATTGTACTGTGTGCGTCACCCGACGCACGCCCGCGTTTTAGCCAATATAAACTGGTTGCCGATGGCTAGCGACTTAAGGATTATAACTAGGAAACTATCGAATCTTCAAATGCGTCTGTTGGTGTTTTTTTAAGTGGTCGCTTCTCACGAATCTTCTACAGCACTGAGGGCAGGCGTAGGGCTTCTCGCCAGTGTGCGTTCGTATGTGGCGGTTGAGGTCGTCCTGCCGCTTAAACCGCTTCTCGCACTGCCGGCAGCGAAATGGCCTGTCCTGGACAAACTGGGGCATGCCGTAGGTGCCGGGACCGTCCGCCGGCGGTAACTGAGAGAGGGTATTTACAATTTCGTCGACTGGCTCATATTTCACCTCGGGCTTGGCCTGGTTGAGAAAAGATGGCAGCTGGCTCTGATTCAGACTCTGGCTCTGACCCTGATTCTGGTGTTGGAGTTCCGGGGCCACGATCTGGTACTTGTCACTGTGTTCTGGTCGCTCCAGCTTGATTTTCAGCGGCTTGTGCTGACAGGCAACGATGTCCGCAGTCTGCTGCTGATGATGGTGTTCCATTTCTTGCTCTCCGCAACCAACCATGGCTGCCATGAAGTGAAACCCCGAGTCCGATTCTGTCTGAACGTGCTTCTTTGGGGGCTTGAGTCGCACTGCGCTACTGGGCGCTGATCTTTTCGGTGTGGTGCTCTTTAGTTGGCGGTCGTGGGTGGCTAGATGCTTGGTGAGGTGATCGCTGCGCGAGAACTTCTTTGTGCACTGGATACACTCGAAGGGCTTCTCGCCTGTGTGCGTTCGCAGGTGCCGGTTAAGCTCATCCGAGCGGGTGAATCCCTTTCCACACTTAGGTTCACTACAGACGAAGGGCTTGATGCCCGTGTGCCAAGTGAGGTGGGACCGCAGGTGGGAGCTCTTTCCGTAGCTCTTTGTACAGTTGTCGTAGGGGCATACGAATTTGCGCTTGGGATCTGACGATTGCGGCGAAGCCATCAGTTTTACGCTTGGCATTATCCTGATTTTGGAGTTCCCGTTTCCGCCGTAAGGTGAGTTCTCTTCCGGCTCAGTCTCTACTCCATGGGGCACATTCTCCAGATTCGCCTCGTCGTGTTTGAGGTCTCCAAAAATAGTGGATGCCCGTATTATCATATCGGACGACTGCTCGTGTATGTTTGCACCGCTTAGCGTGGGAAACGCTGGTGGTGGTGGTTTCATGGATTCTATGGGCGTTGATGTCGTCAGCATTTGGGGTGTGGGCGTGTTTTGTGGTATTACTTGTGACATTGCGCTTACGTTTGAGGATTGGTTTTGGCCAATCCAAAGTGTGTCGAATTAAAAGGGCAGGTGCTGTAGAACCCAGACGCTCAACTCCAGCCGCCAACCTACCCAATTAGCGTTTATCCAAAACTAAACTCCTGTACAGGAAACTACGTTCAGTGGGCGTCGGCTTCGGATTTATCAGAAATGTGGTCCCTCGTCACCATAGCCAGTACGGATCACAGTCTACATTTGTCCAGGGTGCTTTGTACACATTTTCCAGTTGTTTTTGGCTAGCGCGAATGCATATTCTACAGGACTTATTTATTTTACTTTATTTTATTTATATACTGGATTACATCTATTTAATTGCGATGAGATATATCGACTAGTCGATTGTTGTAAAGATGCAACTTTATGCGCTTGGTTAAACTATCGGCAAAGCAGTGCAAAATAATATATTATGTTTTGTTTTTATATTGTTTGTCCCCAAACAATTGAAAAATTAAAAAATATGTATTTTACTAGAGTTTTTCATAAAGTTAACATGTTGAAAAATTATTAAAACTGCTGCTTCGAGTGATGTTTGATATCGATAGTAACGAGCTATTCGATAGCATTAATGTATTAATGTATTTTACTTGTCGTTAATTATTTACTAAAATGCCAAACGGTGCTGTGGAAACGGACGATAATAAACTGAACAAACGACAAGGGCGCGCGAGAAGAAAGCAGACAATTTGGACGAAGGAGAAGATTGCCAAGCTTATTGAGCTGTATCGCTCGTCGGATTGTTTATGGAACCATTATTCCGAGTTGTATAAAAACAAGGACTGTCGTGCAAAAGCCATCGAATCCATTTGTGCGGATCTTGGGATAACAAAAAGCGAGTATGGCAAAAAAGTGCACAACCTGCGTAATCAATTCAATTCGGAACTCAAAAAACTGGAGCGACGTCTTGAGGAATCTGGAGGTTCTTCGGCCGAGAAGACCTGTCGATGGGAGCACTTCAAAACCCTCATGTTTTTGCGTTCCGTTATTGAACCCCGACCAGGATACCAGCAGGGGACCCAATGCAAGGTGCGCTTCAAAAATCTTTATCTAAAGCACTTAAGTTCTCAAACGTTCTTGCTTTTAGAAACTTATGACAAGTCTGAAGTTTAACTACCCTGAAAAGGATGCAGAAAACCAGAGTCGAATTGACGGTCAGACAATAGACAGCTTGGAATCAATGATTGGCGAAGGTGTAGAACTAAATAGCGAAGTTCCAAGGACCACCGCCGACCAGCGACCAGAGCTGCCTTCCAAACCGTCTATACCACCTCGATTAGCAAAGGCACCCACAGCTTTAGCTCCTGTCCATGTCCCATGTCGGGATCAGTGGGACGCCTTTGGAGAATTAATAGCCAGTGAATTCCGAAACCTAAACTCTGAAAATTCACGCAAAAGGCTGAAACGAAAAATAATGCATGTTATGCTAGAAGTCGGGGAAGAGGATGATCTGGATCAATCAAGTGCAATCAGTTGATTTAAGAATTAATGTAGTCGATACTCGTTATAAAATTTATTTTTAAGATCACTAAAAAAGCCTTGAGAAATAGATGCTTTGTATATACATTTTAAGCATCATTCGAAATAAAACAGAAATCATGCTATTGGCATTTAATTTGCATTTTTATTCTGTGGAGGAGATACATTAAATAAATAGGACCTTATATTACGGAAAAAGAAATCCAAGGAATACGTCGATCTATTACAGCGGACGAGCTTTAGTGTTAACAGATTATAGACAGTTGTGAGATTTATGAAACATACATTTGTCAGAACTTAAAGTCTTTAATTGCCTGTGGCAGATCAGGAAGCTTAATGTCCTTAATCTGTTGCGGAATATTCATACTCTTTACAGCACTAACGGCACGAGCGGGAGCAGCCGAAATACCCGCCTCCTGCTTAACGATCTTGTTTTGCTCCTCGATGCGTGCCATTATGTCGTTCATATTCGTCTGCAGAACCATTCCTCCCATCACCAGTTCTAAAAAAGGTTTAGATGATTTAAACTTGAAAGACATGGGAGTTTTTACGAACCTGACAGTATGTGGTGGACGGCATCGGCGTGAAATATTAAGTCCAGCTCACAGACATTTTCAAAGCATTTGTCGAGCGTTTCCACAAAAACTTGAATCAAGTCGAGAATTCCCAGCTCGCTTTCTGAAGAGTCCACACAAAAAACAAAGTAAAGCGTGGCATAATGGCGGTAGATAAGTTTATAGTCCGATCCGCCAATCAAGCTTAATTAAAATAAGTGATTTTTATATTCTGAGCGTTGAGCAAAGTATTACTCACCTTCCACCCTCTAAAAAGTTGCAGACATTATCATCCCGCTTCGAAACTAGCTGAAAAGTCTCCTTGATTATTTGTTGCTGCATGCTTTCATCCTACAGAGTGGTTCCAAAGTGAATGATTATTAAAATTTTGATAATACCACCAAACACTTACGAAGTACTGATAGAATTTGGATAGCCTCGGCTTTCCATGATTATTAAAAACAAGAATAGCCTTTATCATTTCAAGTTGTATGATAAGTCAAATAAGAAATGTAATTGTTGTTTAAACTGCCAGCTGTTTTGATTTTTCGACCAGGGCTTCAAAGTCAATCCTTGGTATACCTCAATAAACATCGATATCCCAAAAATTTACTTTTTATTTAATAAATTCTATTAATTTTTAAAATGTATTATCAATAAAATATTAATATACAATGTATTAACTCTTATGCAAACATAAACTATTTGAATATTAATTTTTTATTTACGAATGTATTCGCATGGTTTTCCATCTCTAACACATCTAACCTCGCGGTTCTCGTTTTGTTTATTTCTATTGTTTTTGAAAACAATGAATATTTTATCAGAAGTTAACTTTACTTGCAGGTATTACTTAAGTAACATTTTAGTTATTTTTCGTAATCCTTTAATTTTGCAGGGTGAGCTCGGTTTTGAACAAAGAAGTAAAGCAATATGGAAAACAATTCATGTTTGACAAGAAAGAAGACACTTCGTGGAGTTCGGATGAGGTATTTGATATAATTTAAAAATAAAAAACTTAATTTTAATGAGAATCCATAACTGTTGAGCCAATCTGATAAAATCTCACTTCCAACTAATTTTTTAGGGAAATCCCCAATGGATTACCGTGAGTTTAGATGAGCCACAAAACATTTCGGGATTTAGTTTGCAATTTCAAGGAGGATTCGCTGGCCTTAAATCTAGAGTGATATTTTATTCCACTGACGGAGTCCAATTACATGAAGAGCCATTTTATCCTGAAGATATCAACTCATCTCAGGTGTTTCAAGTTAAGGATACAGCCCGGCAGAAAGCTTCTTCAAAGATAAAGTTGGTCTTCGAATCCAGTACAGATCTTTTTGGTAGAATCATTGTTTATAACCTCCAGCTGTTTTCGTAGCCTAGGAAATAAAGGAAGTGTTTACAAACTATATTGTTATCAATTTCACCAAAAATTGACCAAACATACAATTAAACCAATAATGGGTAGGCCATGGTTATCAGCAACAATTTTGTTGACTCACCCTGCCTCTGCTAAAAGTAATGGCGTATCAATTTCATTAATTTATTTCAAACATGGTAAGCCCCTAAAGGGATAACAATAACGATAGCTCAGGGGAAGTTCCATGTTTCCAAAATGAAAAATTCTAGTAATGTTTATCTGCTTCTGACTTTGGGTGGAGGTTAAAAGAGTCGTCTTCCATGCAAATTCTTAATTATAATGCCATTTGCATGGACTTTGTTCGTGAAACACGCAACTTGTTATTGAAGGTGACATTCAAGCCATGAATTATCACCCATAAGCCCATAAAACCCATAAAAAAATTACATGATATATATTGCACCAAAACCATTGTATTTTTTTTTCTCCAAAACCAGTTAATTTGTAGAACGTAAATATTTCGAATGCTTTAGTTTTTAGAGGTTTTTCAGAGAGGGATACTATGCAGCAACGGAGATTTCCAAGCGAGGACAGTTGGGGATTCCACATTCAAGATCGGGGGAGGCATCCTGGTGCCAGCAACTCTCCGAGTTGCAGAACATGCATGCGTTTGGCGAAAGCGGGACGTTGGTTGAGAGGTCCACCATTTCCCACACTTTCTTTAGATCGGTAACCAGGGCGTTCATCATTTCGAAAGTGTGAAAGGGAGTGGGTGCCAGTCGGAGTTTCTCCTCACCGCGAGCAACAGTTGGGTAGTTAATCGATTGCAGATAATGCCCGAATTGTTCGATCAGCACGTTTGAGATCTGACTACTTTTTAAAGGGTCTCCGATTTTGATGGGAATGATGTGACTTGGTGTTTCCTCGACGGGAAAACCTGAAGCGAAATAAAAAATATTGTCAATAAAATTAAAAGAGCGTTGAAATTTCGTTAATTGTTTAATCCTAACTATGGCCGAAAATAAAAAGAAAGTTCGAGAATAACCTTAAATTACATAATAGCACAAGGTGCAAGACTACATATTACCTTCTCGTTTCAGCAAGTTTTTCAGGTAGGAGACGTTTCGCTGGTGCATGTGCCGTAACTGACGACCCTCCTCCGATGCCAGGATGTTAACGGCCTCCAGGGCTCCGCATAGTACAGTCGGCGGCAGGGAGGTGGTGAAGATGAAGCCAGCCGCGTACGAGCGAATCATGTCGACCAGCTTGTCGGACCCAGCTATGTAGCCTCCAATGTTACCGAACGCCTTGCCCAAAGTTCCTGATATAATGTCCATTTTGTTCAACACCCCGTCCCGCTCACCGACTCCGGCTCCATGATTGCCGTACAACCCTACGGCGTGCACTTCATCGATAAACGTAATGGCACCGTAATCGTGGGCCACATCCAGTAGCTCCTCTAACGGACAGATGGCCCCCGTCATGGAATGCACCGTCTCAAAGGCTACGATCTTAGGCGTGCTCTTGTCCGTCTGCTTCAATAGCTGGTGCAGGTGGTCCACGTCGTTGTGTCTGAAGATGTGCTTGGGCACCCCGCTGTTCCGGATGCCCATGATCATAGAGGCGTGGTTGCCCGCGTCCGAAAAGATCTGACAGCCTGGTAAAAGCTTTGCAAGCGTGAATAGCGTCGAATCGTTGGCCACAAAACACGAGGTGAAGAGCAATGCAGCCTCCTTCTGGTGCAGCTCGGCCAGCTTTCGCTCGAGGCGTTCGTGGTGCAGAGAGTTGCCCGAGATGTTCCTGGTGCCACCGGCCCCGGATCCGTGCATGTTGAGTGCTTCCTGGACAGCCCTTTTAACACTAGGATGGGCGGACATACCCAGGTAGTCGTTGGAGCACCACACCGTGATGGGCTTCTCCGTCCGCTCTGAGTACTCCAGGGCGTGCGGGAATAGGCCGTCACCCGCCAGGCGGTTAACTTTCTTAAAGACCCTGTACGAGTGGTCCCGCTTCTTTTTCATAATCTGCTCGTTAAAAAAGCGCTCGTAGGGAAAGGTCTCCGAGGGGGCTTTTTCCTTTTCAGCGGGAGCTGTCTTTACGTCAGCTCCGAGGCCGTTTCCCGCAGCCCCCCGCCCCAGTTGAGAAAGACCTTGTAACACTTGCGGCGACGAGCGAAAGTTTCTTTTCGCCCGAGCTCAAGGTCTTTCCCACCACTGGGCAGTGCATCCCGTAGGATTGACAGAGGGTTTCCGCATAGTTGCGTAGGAAGCTGGCGGTGAAGCGATTCAGGAACGGACACTGCATGACTAGGCGCTTTTTCACTTTGAAGACCCGACCTAAATCAGCGAACTTTGAAAGTGAATTGAGGTGTAATTCGTAAATTATGCAAGAATGTGGCTGCGAAAGTGTGACCAGATTAGTCCAAACTTTGGTCTCCTTAACTTGCACAAGATGTATCCCTGCAAAATACCAACAAACATTTTCAAACAAATATTTGTTTTTGGTTGCTTGAAATGTTTTTCCCATCGAAAAAACCTCTGAAAGATGCCATTATGAAGAACATTTACCTTTAAACTTATTATGTGGATGATATGCAAACGAAAAATACCATTTTACGAATTTAAAAAAACCGTTATAAACTTCATGCTCTCAACGAACAAGTACATTTTATTGAGTCATGGATATCACACAGGGCGTGTACGCAATTTTTAATCAAGACTCTAATTTAACTTGACAAATGTTTCATCGTCGACAATAGCAAATTTATCCTCTCGAAAATGGAGCAAGTTGTCGTTAAAACATTGGCTGCTTTCGTTGTGTAATTTTGTCATAACAGCTTTGATGTTCACCACTCCGGCAGTTTTTGACAAGTCTGTAAAGTAGTCGATCTTGAAAACAAAACAAAAAGTTTTTTTAACTGAGTACTGCAATAAATGAAAAAAAAATCTCACTTGTCTAGGACCCAGCATATGAGCTTGCCGTTTCTTGTAGCCCGCTTCCCAAATCCTTGCCATTTTATCCTGGGTGTCCTTCAGCATTTCCTCTGTGGATGGCAGCTTATTCGATCCATTGTAGTAGCTCATGATGAACCTGGCTTGAATATCCATCATCTGGGCGGCACAAACGTAAAACGGTAGTCCTATCAGGGCCATCGATGGGTTCCTTATGTTAATGCATTGCTTGTACAATGTTTGGACGTAGTTGTCCTCAACATAAATCCCGGAATTAACAGTCAGGAAGGGGAAGCTATACTTATATCCTGTGCAAAAGAAAACTGTGTCGAACTGCTCGTAGGATCCGTCAACAAAAAAGGCTCCTTGCTCATCAAGTTCCAAAACATCGGGCTTTTGTTGCACATTCTCAAAAAATATGTTTTCTCCAATATCAGTAAGGTGGTGACTAATTGTAACTCGTGCCGCCGATCGGGAAATGATGTTGGACAGGTCCATCCCGCTTGGCCCAGCTCCAATAACAAGAACAGATTTACCTTAATGATTATGAGAGATATTAGTAACATTTCTTAACTCTAAATGACCTGTAGTCACCTTCAAAAACTTTCCTCGTTCTGAAGTCATGGCTGTGCAAGTATTCGCCCTTAAAACGATTCATATTTGGGATTTGACTATAGTTTGGGGTGTGATAATGCCCGTTGGCCACCATAATCTTGTCAAAGTAATGGAACGCTACCTTATTGGAAGCCACATCTTTAACAAGAACCTATTATCGGTACGTTTTAATATTGACTATTTTAGGAGTGATTAAACTTACTTGCCACTTTTCATTTCTTCTAAGAACTCGAATAACGTAGGAATTAAACCTGATATGCTTTTTTAAATCGAAATGGTTAGCGTATTGGTTTAGAAAAACACAGATTTCATCAGATCGTATGTAAGACATATCGTTTGTAGCGATTTCAAAATCTGGGTATCCCATTACTTCTTTGGGCAGATTAGTGCTTTTTTAAAAATCTCAAATAAGAAAGGTAAAATTTAATTATCAGAAATAATACTTACCGTAAATTTTCATACATGCTGCTGTGAACATCGATGCCGTTTACAACACCTGTTGCCTCGTTGTAAACCCAGGTTCCGCCGATTCTGTCAGATAGTTCAAATACAGTGGTCTCAAAACCATTATCAATCGAGTGTCGGGCACAACAAAGTCCCGCTGTTCCGGCCCCAATTACGCAAACTCTCATCGTGTTAGTTTTGTTAATGTTTCTTGGTGCGATTCCAGAACGCTTCTTACACTCTGTTTGCCTTAACGAAACTGAGAATCGCATCGTGATGAACTTAATTGCTGGTCCGCGGTTGATACCCCTTAAAAATCGGGGTACTTGGATTTCTAGGCTGACTACATCAAGCCTTTATTATCTACAATAAGAAAATACACTACAAGTTACTTGAACTAGGTAAAGAAATTAATTTTGACACCATATAAAGAATTCAATATAGTAATATAAGAGCATTTGGTATTCGCAACTTAATGAGGTCATTGGGTTAATTGTAATCGTACTGATAACATTATAAGCATACGGCAATATTTTCCGCTGAGCTTCTGTACTTATATTTATTTTTGTTTATAGGCTAATATATATGTAGATCAGGCCTCCACTTATACTTATTTTATTGATATTTACTTTGCCGATAAGAGTACGAGCATAAAACAACAATATTTACAGAAGCTTAACCTGTGCTCATTTGATAGTACAATTCAAGGTAATGGTTATAATTGGCAGAAACGCAGAGGTCAAGTTATATGTTTTTCTTGTCCCAGTCAATTCTTTGACTTCGGCTTTTCCCACACTAAACAGCGAAACCAAATGTGAGAAAATTTGCATGGCTCAGGTAAATTCTGCCCCTACGTGATTCAGTATTAAAGTTGTCGTTAAGATTGTCTAACATGGGACTAAGCGCTTGTATATGCTTGAAAGTTCTTCAGCTGGAAAGTATCTTTCAAATTTCCTATTCAAAGTGATTTTCTTGAACTTATTCTGTTTGATTATGTAAATTTATTTAGTGCAAAAGTTAAAAAAGTAAATACCTTATCAAAACCTACATGATTCTTTGATAGATTGCTACTGTGGCGGCGTTGATTGTAAAAAGGCTGTCAGACAAACATTCGGAGAGATTGTTTCTGATTAACAAAAAGCAATCCAGGGAATGGACTCTTTTGAACAATCTTTCTTGGTCAAAGGAAGGCGATGATTTTAGCACTCTCACGTTTGTGGGATACACTTTTGTGGCATCAGCTTTACTACTCACCAGGTAACCAAGACATCTTTGAAAAATTGGAGCTAATTTAATTTTTTTTTAAAGAATAACGGAAAAAACATCGAACTATGGTACTTGTGAAATAATTTTTTTAACCTGTGGAGTTCTGTTTTTCATCATAGAGGGTAATTCATGAATTACAATACAACGTACACCACTTTAAAACTTAATTTCCTAGGGCTACTAATATTTTTCACTGTTGAACAACTACCTGAGAATCTCTTAGTCTACGCCTACTCGTTGGGAACCCTTTCATTTATTTGCGCGACTCTGTTTGCTCTGGACCTGATGTTTTTTAAAAACTTGCTTAAACTGAAGAATTCTACAGCCCAAACAGAGCAGCTTAATGAAACAGTGGCACTGAAAGTGTATCACTTGTCCCAAGAACCAAAGACGAGCTGCTGCAACAATAGTCCCCAAACACAAATTATAAATGAAACAAATAAGAAATACTTACGAACGGATTTGTAGACACAATGTAAGCAATCCATATACATATCTGCATCTTTTATTACCTTTATTGCCGTTAGTTTTCGAATGTAGCGAAACAATATATGCATTATAAGATCGTGCTATTAAAACAACTAATTGGATTTTCTTAATAAAGTTTTTGACATTAATCATCGCTAAAAGCGGCCTCAACTAATACACAAAATGTAATTTATTAAGAATGCTAATAGTGTTCACACTATAGTAATAAAAGATTTGGACTCAGAACAGTAAAAATGATACCCTCGTCCTCCGCGCATCCCCCTTGGCTCTTCGAGCCATCCCGTAATGTCAAGGAATATCGCTGCTGCTCGTCGTTCCCTTGGAATCGCACATTCCACCGGCCATGTTTTCGTTAGTCCTTTCCGAAGTGAGTCCTCCAGTTATCCCAGTTAAATTTAGTTTGTACTGAAGGGACGGAATTCGTAATATGTAAGTTAATAAGTCTTGGTCATCAGAGGGTTTTTGAGAAGCTGATTAGAGTTTTTTAGAAAAACTAAAGTTCTAAAACATGAACCAAGAAAAAATGTTGAAAATACAATATTACAAAAATCTACAATAGCCAAGAAAAAGAGTTGGGTTCATAAATGCATACATTTTTACAAATAGCTGTCATTACTAAAGTTTTGACTAAGTGTTTACATTATCATCGAATATACCGATAAAGAAATATTTTAAATCAGATTGAAAATAGACGAAATCATTTCTTAAATAATATGAAACGAAGAAATTATTGTCCCCTCTTTGGAAAAAAATGAAAACTTCTTAAATCATACCTGTAATAAAGCATGCTTTAATATCACAGTAAATCATATAACTTATACACATCCAAAAATTAGTCTTAATTATAAGAAACGGCTCTATGGGTTGGTTTAGATCTATTTACCTTAGTTGCGCACTCAAAGCACTTCGATACTACTTTATTTATAACATTCATAAGGTTTTTGGTTTCTCTGATGACATGATCAACTTTCACAAATGTGGCAGCTTTGCCAACCGTGTGATCTTTGACTGTAAATTGAAGTGCTTGGACAAAAGTCGGCACTCTATCTAAAATGTTAAGGAGATCCTTTTTGTTGTCACTAGCGGGAACCTAAGGAGGATAATGGGTAATTAAGAAGCGTAAAAAAGGCACGGAACCACGTTACCTGGTATGAAAAGTGTCGGAGGACTTTGTAAAGTCGATTGGCTTCCTCCGCAAAATATTCGGCTTGGGTAAACAAATCCTGAGTTGTCCTTAAAGAACCGTTTCCCTTTGTAAACTGGTACATCAGGAACGCCATTGCTGACATGTTCTTAGCTCTCTTTAATATGTCGTTATCGTCCGACAAGTCTTCGCTCCATTTTGATTGATATGTGTTTAGATCTCCATTGTTTTTGCCTTCAAGGCCAGAATACTCGACCATTTCTCCGTCTTCTGTTGCAGGTACACCGGATTTCGTTAGTTTATCTGTGCTTTCGCATTTCTAAGAAAGAGATTCGAGTTGTTAGGAAGAAAAGACTCAAAAAAGGGTAGGGGACCCACCTCAGTTTCAACTTCTCTGTCGCTCTTAGTCGTGTTAATTGATACCAGTATCTTCTTGGCGATCATAGAAATCTCGTTAGTCAGCCATTTCCACATGTCTGAGAAGGACTCGAAGTTCTCGTTGGCCGCGCTACTATTTGAATACTTCCACAGGATCTTGGCCGCGATGAAGACCTGCGGACCGTAGATGCGCAGGTTAATGGCCAGACACTTCGCTTGCACCTGCAGCCGCTCCGTAGGCGCGATGTGCTGCAGAAGCTTGCAAATGTCGAAAATGTGGTCGCAGCAGTCGTGGAACTTCGTGGAGCGCTGGTTGAGGTTGTCTATGTCGTAGTTTGTGGCCAGCACGTGGAAGGACTTGACCAGCTTGGCGCAGATCTTTAGCGACTCGTTGAAATCCTCGATCTGGCTAGACACGGAAACGACTAGCTGTTTGCAAAGCTCCTCGAGGCTGCTCAGCATTCCCAGCTCGGGGTCGCGCCCCTTTACCTGCACCCCTGCGGTTTCGAGCGGGTCCTTGAGGATGGTGTTTAGATACAGGTCGAACTCTAGCTTGCAGTTGTCGCAGTAGGATAGGATATTCTTTCGGTGGTTGTGGCTGATGTACGGCGAGTCTGTGAAGTCGTGCGCCTTTTCGAAGAGCTTCTCAAAGGCCAGCGACAGCTCCTCGCGCAGATCCATGCTTTCGGAGCTCAGGTGCTTCCTGAAGTTAGTGTTGTTCACGATACGGCCGCCTCCAGCCGAGGAGGTCAGGTTCTTCTCTGACTTCCAGGGGTCGTCGTCCAGGAAGTTGAAGTAGGCGTCGGCATTATTGTTACCCTCGTTGTTGCTTTCGTAGTAGCTCATCTGGTACTTGTACCGCTTGATGAGATTCACGATGCGCTTTATAGTCGTGTAGATGCTCTCGTTTTCATAGTTCGGGTTGCTGGCCTGTTTGTCAAATGGCATGTGCTTTGCAGAGTCAAAGATGCTGTCCTTCACCACGAAGTGTATAAGGTCCATGGCCCGCCGTATCTGGCAAAAAACCGTGTCTCGGTTCTCCTTTACGATCACACAGTCGCTGTGGATCAAGCTGTTTTTTGAGGACGTCAGCAGGATGGCAATGGACTTCTCCAGGATCTGCCGCGCCGAGAACATTTGGGCTCGCCGCCGCTCCTCCTTGAAGGAGTTGCGGTGGTGGCCCGTGAGGTAGGCCAGTTCGATCATCTCCGTGCCGAAAACAGAGAAGGCCCGCACGAACTCGGTAAAGTTCATCACCGACTCCAGTTTTTCTAGGCTCTCGGAGGCGCGTTTCTTAGCGGTCAGCAGTTTCTTCACAACAATAATGTCCACCAGCAGTAGAATTCGCGTGACAGAGGACAGCAGCGACCTGGCCGCCAGAATAATGGCGCCATAGTCCTTTAGGGGCTCGATATGGTGGCGAAGCTCCATACCACACAACGGTGATATATCACAGAGGCGTTCGATTGATTTCCCTGTGCAGTGGTGTTAACTGGTAAATATAATACTCAGGATAGGAAGGGTTAATATATACCTGCATCCCTGGCCTCCTTTGCTGCCTCATACATGTCTCCCTTAATGTCAATATTCTCCTCGGCAATTATCTCACCAATTGTTATAAATCGTTCCACAGCGATGTTCAGTAGGTGTCCTATGTTTCCAAAAGTCGACATGATTTGCTCGTTATCCATATCACGAACTCGAAAGCGTTGATTCTGCAAGGAAGCCAATATTGATCAAGTTTCGGGGACAATCAATAATCGCAAAAGAATTAAGGTGAGGCAACCACAGTTTGTTGCCCAGTAAATTGGCAAGTCATTCCAGCGCCGGCCAAAAACTTACGTTTACTGTTGATTGAGTGATTCCGTACATTTTGGAAACAACAATTCCTTGTAAAAAAAATTGATTGTTTTTTTAAATATCCACAAATCGTACTTTAAACGTGTAACATTTTTATTTACTTCCTATTGATTTTTCTCAATACTAAGGTTAGCAGAGCGAATAAACATCGAAACTAAATCAAGTATTTGGCACTCAATAATACCGTCACTTATTAATGCGTCATAGTAAGAGGGTTTATAGGTTTAAGCTCAAATAAAAGTCGATTTTTCAGGCAACGAAAGCTCCTTGCTTAAATTACTGATATATAGCTAGGTGTCTGTAAACAACGTGTTTATTTGTAGGAATATATACATACATATGTATGCTCCCAGATTTGTGTGTGATTCGAGCTTGTAACAAATTGGTCTGCGCAGAAATTCTGCGCATAAGAACCATGTAGTACTGTAAAATGTAATAGATTAAGTCAAAAATCCGTTGAGATTGAAGACCTAATATTTGTTGAGATACCGTTATGTTAAGATCCAAGTCATATGAATTTGAAACCAGTTTTCAAGAATTAATTAAAAGCCAAAAGACAACCTCTTTATCTTTCATAAATAACAGTAAACAAAACATTTTTACGTGGCAATATCTTAAGAAATTCAATGTTTTTAATGTGATTTTTAAATTCAACGACATAATTTCTGATTTATTTCCAATTTTTTCCGGAGTACCCCTACCCTTGCGCACAGGTGCTTCTGCTCAAAACAATAAATAGTTAGGCAACACTGCAACCATATGATTTTTGCCGAGCATTTTGTTTCCAAATGTTGTTACCTAAACACGAGCGAGTGCTACGAATTTCCGCAGGCCGCCAAAGAAAAACAGCTTTTAACCTGGGTCAACGTAACATTTGAATGGTTTAATATACAGCCAAGGTAGAGCTGTTCTGGGGAAATCAGTTTCCGGTAAAGGAAGTGTTATACAAAGTCCTTGCAAGATGATGCGAAATTTCGGGATGTTATCAATTAGGAGGAGCAGCTGGATGACCCACTGGTGCTCTAAGGAACGGGCGTGGATGTCCACCCTGTGGCTAAAAGTGCCTGATATTGCAGCATGCCCTCAGAAGTCGTTAAAATGCCATAACCTTAAGCAATGTCGAAGTCTACACGAGAGCACTAATGCGGAAAGAGAGCCCGGCAACATCAAAGAAAACGCCAAAAAGCCCGAGGACCTGGACAGAGCTTACGAAGTTTTAAGAACCACGCTGCCCAAGTTGTTCGTGGAGCCCCTAGACTACTCCATATACAGCCCGGACCTCATTTTCCAGAACAACATCACCGGTAAGCACACGGTGGGATTGTATCACTACGTCAAACAGATCGCCATACTGCGCACGGTGGGACATCTAAAGTACGCCTACGTGAAGTTCGAGGTCCTTAAGATTACAAAGCACCAGGATGACTACACGGTGAGGATAAGGTGGCGAGTGAGGGGCATTTCCGGACTGAAGGTCATGTTCCAGTTCTGGAAATACAAGCTTTGGCAGCTAAAAGAAGTACTAAAGGACCAGGAAGCATGGTACGATGGATACTCCATCTGCTACCTTGGCGACGATGGGCTCATCGCCAAACATATTGTCGACAAAGTGATGCCAGACGAGAGTCGGGAGGTGGTAGAGAACCCTTCTGCAACGGCTCTGCCCCCCGGATCCCTGGCGGCGACCTCTTCCCAGAAGATCAGCTGCCAATAAAGTCGTTGCTAGCTTTAAATGTTACTTATTTATTGTATTACTAAAAGTAATAAACTGAAGCTCTAAAATGTTTAGTAAGTGCATTGAGGATTTTTTTAAAACGGGAGTTGAAACCTTCACTGCTTAAAGGCGTACACCGATCCCTTTTTAATATATTTGTACGGTCGCGAACGGCATCGCTTGGCAAAAGCACTTATGTAGGGTTTTTCCTTATTGTACTCGACGGTACTTTGCATAGAGCCCTCTGTTTCGAGGAATATATCGAAGCTGTAGATGGTGCGGAAAAGTTGGGAATACAAGAAGCGTTCATTGGCCTCTAGCTGTTTGGGCTGCAGCGAGTTGGTCCAAAACTCCATCATCTGAAGATGATACAAGTTAAATGACGTATAAGCTAATTTAAATAAAAGTGCTTACCTTAATGGCCGAGTTATTTTGCGAGGTGTGACAGCCGTTCCAGTGCACGTTAAGAATCCAAAGAGGCATTTCCATTGGGTAATTACTAGGTATTCTGATGAAACACTCCATCTTAGCGGAGCCCCTGACGATTACGGCGCGGTAAGAGTTGTATGTTTTACCCTGGTCGTCCGATGGAATTTTTAACACATCGGAGATCTGCGAGTAAAATTCCTCGTGAGTAATGGCAGTCCATTGGACGAGGCTGCATGATAGGCCGGCAGGATATTTGTTTTCTTTGACGGTTGACAAATCAATGTCCTTGTATGTCAGCCCCCGAATTTGCTGGCTTAAACGCAACCAAGAGTTCCAGCGCCTGGCAATGCGAAGAATAATCTCCCTAGTGTTCTTTGTCAAGTTTAGTTCGAGATTGTAAAGCATAGAACTGTTGACGGTTGCAATGGAGCACATACTTTGCAGCCAACAGAAAGGTTTTCCAAAGTCTTTGGCTTTCAGAAAGCGCAAGCATTCTTCAGCGGTTAAGTCAAAATTACGAAGCTAAAAAAATTGATTTTTATATTGGCAAAGTAAAGTTATTTAAGGTATTACCTCGTAATTAATTCCCGGAATGGGTATTTCATTTCCGAAGTCATTGGCATACAAATGTTGCAAAAGGTGATGGACAAAATTGGTATCACTGTAAAAATACTTTTTAATTTCGATATTTCTTAAAAATATTTGATACCAACCACTGGCTATTGACATTGCTGGAAGAGTCAAAATGGCCCCAAACAGTAACACATTTCATCAAGTCGAAATAACGAATCTGCAGGGTAAGCTGGTTGGCTCCGGCTGTACCAATCTATAAAATGGATACATGTGAAGACAACGATATAAAGGAAACCTTTATTTACCGTTAAGCGAATGTGCAATGGATGGGGGGCCAGTGTATCTTCCAAACTTTTTTCTATGGGATTCTTTCGCGATTCAATTTCCTTTTCAGGGTGCAATGTTGCATACTGCTTTTCCTTAAGCAACTCTTGCATTTGAGCCTCGCTCTCGTAGCCCACTACCTCAGCGGTGTAGGCTAGGTCCTCGCATGATCGTTGCAGGGATTGCAGGTTAATGAACAATACGTAGAGGGGCTTGGGCAAGTACTTGACCACGGCGCTTAGCTTCCACTCCACGTCGAGGGACAACTGGAGGGCATCGTGCAACGGCTTTGTTGCACCCAGCAACGTTCGCAGGGCAGGCGCGAATGAGATGTACCTTTGGGCGTGGTTAAGATTGTCCTGAAGCAGTTCCTGTTTGGACGTCAAAAGGGCGCTGTACTGCTTGTCAAGATCCTTCCGCAAGCGAAGCTCGCAGTCCAAGCGATGCAGGTGCTGCTTGTGACTGGACAACTCCTCCTTTTTGTTGGCCATGTCCGGTAACTTGCTGGCATACTCGGCCTCCGAAAGAAGCTCAAGATTGGTATCCCGACTCTTAAACTTCTGACAGCGCACAATCTCCTTCTTCAAATGGCTCACTTCGTACAATAAGTTTTGCAGCTGCAGCCGACTCAGGTCCACTTTGCACTTCTCCAGGTGCAGCTTATCTCGTCCAGCCTTTATCTTGTGCTTTACATCGCGGTTGGCGTGCTTCAGCGCCACGAACATCAAAGTGGCAGCGGTGCGTCCTTCGTCCGAAGACAGTCCCTGTTCATAAGAAATACGATATAAGTGGTGTTTTTGACATTACGATCACACTTTACTTTGCTCTTTGCCTCCATTATATCATCGATGGCCTTTTGCAGCTGCTCGAACTGCGTATTTAATATTGTTTCCATTTCAATCACCGAAATTGTTTATATGAAGCCAGCAAAGTATTATTTGGTGACAATAAAATCAAAGAGTGACCAGGCTGATAAAACGTTAAAACTTTCAGTTTTTTGCTTGCGGTACTTAAACAATGTTTAGTATATTTTTTTATTAAACCATCAGCTGCTTATGCATTTGCCAGCGGCTTTTTACATATTTTGACTATTTTTGTTATAAGCAAGGGCAAGACTCGTAAACCAATTAACATAATGCTGCGAATCCTCCAGAAAAGAACCAGTCTAATAAAACTGTTAGTACCTGGTCCGCGGCATAATCAAACTCTTTCGCAAACGGTGATAAAGGTACGTGTTTATCATAGTGATTACATATATGTAGTAAATATATTATCCCCCTACAAAGATTTGTTATAATTATGAATTACTTATTTATACCCTACATATCTTTCAGGAAATCCCTGCAATAAAACCAATACGTATTTCAAGTAGTGAAAAAACTGTGGGAAGATGGTTTCTCGGGGTCAGCGGAATGGTTTTTGTGGCAGTTGGTCTAGGTATTAACTTAGCTTACCTAACAAGTTAATAGTTCTTTATTAGGGCTTACCTATTTTAGGTGGAGTTACCAGGTTGACAGAGTCCGGACTTTCTATGGTAACTTGGAAACTTACGGGTGAACGGATGCCCAGGACGCAGGAGGAGTGGATTCAAGAGTTCACTCTCTATCAGCAATATCCAGAGTATAAGCTGTGAGTTTAATTCCATCTTCCATGTCCAATAACAATGACAAAGTCTTATTCATTTAGAAAAAATGTTAATATGACAGTGGAAGAGTTCAAATTCATATTTATGATGGAGTACATGCACAGAATGTGGGGTCGCGCCATCGGCGGATTCTTTTTCCTGCCTGCCGTATACTTCTGGAGAAAGGGATACTTTTGTGCAAAGACCAAGAAGAGTGTATTACTATTGGGCACCTTGATTGGTCTGCAAGGTCTGATGGGCTGGTACATGGTTAAATCCGGTCTAGAGGACCGGTTCCAAAATCCCAATGACGTACCGAGAGTATCCCAATACAGACTAGCTTCCCACCTGGCAGCTGCCTTTATCCTGTATTCACTGTCGCTGTCGAGAGCCATGGCTCTGCTGATTCCAACAAATACTTTCGTAATCCAAGCCAAAAATGCATTTAATATTAAAGGCTTTTCCCATCTCACGAAGGCAATGGTCCTATTGACAGCCGTTTCTGGAGCTTTTGTAGCCGGGCTCGATGCTGGATTGGTGTACAACTCATTTCCAAAGATGGGGGACAGCTGGATACCCGATGACATGTGGCAATTTGAGCCGATACAAAAGAACATAACCGAGAACCCGACGACGGTGCAGTTTAATCACCGCATTCTGGGGATCAGCACAGTCACCCTGACCACAGCACTGTGGCTGGCGACCAGAAGGATGCAGCTCCCCAAGCGTGCCAATTGGGCCATTAATGCTGTGGTGGCCATGGCTTGGACTCAAGCCACCCTAGGAGTAACTACCTTGCTGAACTACGTGCCCGTTCCACTGGCGACTGCCCACCAGTCTGGATCGCTTATTCTGCTGAGTTTCGCCCTATGGTTATCCCATGAAGTGCGATTTTTAAAGTATCTGCCAAAATAATTGAAAATAAATAATTGTTTATTCAAAGTAAACGCTTATTTATTTAAAAAATGCTCCTCTTGATTTGGTCATAACAACGATGAGTGATGCGACTTTAATAGCAATAACCATTTATTTATTCCTATTCAATATTCATTTTTACACTGTTTTTATCCTCCTGCAACTCCTTGTATTCAACGTTCTTAGCGTTTAAGCAGGCACCGACGCCCTTAATGTTTTCCGAAGACTTGGTGGCTTGGTTTGAGTTGGAAACGTGGTTGTACACCGCCAGGGCCTGAGCCACAAACCCATTAACATCTCCGGGATTCGTGGGCAAGATCATGGTGTTATTTGTCTTGGCCAGCTTCTTAAAGGCTCCAATGTATTGCTCGGCCAGCGTAAGGGAAGCAGCATTTTGGCCATCCTAGAAAATATAACAAGGATAGATAACCGTTTAAAAAAAGAAGTGATATTTAAGTAATCATCAGTAAGTAATAAAAAATATAATTCCCAGGAACAAAAGGGGTACGTGGTAATTTCGTTCTCATCTGATGGGCTGATACAGGTTAAGCACAGAGTTTGGCAGTTTGGGCGGCTTCTGTTTTGTGAATACGGTCCAGAATCGAAGAGTCTCATCTGCCCCGCCAGTGACTATGGACTCTTTGTCCGGGCTCACGGACAAATAGAGCACGCGGTGCGTGTGCCCGGTGAGCTTGACCACCTGCTTCAGCGAGGGATAGCGCCAGACAATGATCTGTGGCTCCGCCTGTCCGTGGGTGGTAACTAGCTCCGAGGAATTTCTCGCCCAGGCCAAGTTGCTAATCTGAGCGCCAGTATCTACGCATTGCACCATCTTGCCAGTCAGCACGTTCCAGAACCGCAGACACCGGTCGGCAGACCCACCGCCACTGGCAAGCAGACCGGATTTGTGTGGTGACCAGGCCAAAGCCTTCACCACCGCCTTATGCTCTTTGAAGGCGCATACCGGCTCCGGGCAGTTCTCCGTCCACACCAATAGGCGGTTGTCGCTGCTTCCACTGGCTAAGTAGCGGTTACTAGGCGACCACTGGAGGCCGCACACCTCGAGTTTGTGGCCACGCAAGCAACGAGTAATGTGCTTCGGCGGATTGCGAACATCGCGCTGTAGAATGGAACGGTCGCGGGAGCCACTGGCCAAGCTGTTTCCGCGCCAAGCAAGCGCAGTGACCCGGGACGAGTGGCCATCGAGTCGGTTTAGCTCCTGCTGACCCTCTGCGTCCCAGATGCTGACATAACCAGACAGGGTCCCAATGGCCACCTGACGGCCTCCACCGTGCCAGCTAACCGCCGTGACCAGGTTGTCCTCCTGGCTGAAGTCGCACAACCGGGTCACCTGACCGGTGACCGCGCTCCACAGGTAAGCAGAGCAACCCAGGCCCACGACCAAGGTGTTTTCAGACGACCAGTCGATGAGGTTGAGGTAGAAGTCATCCTGCAGCTCCGGTGCATCGAGTATCTTGTAAGGCAGTCGCGGCAGTCGACGCACTGGTCTTTTGGCAGAGCTTAGCAACCGGTGGCTAGATTCACTGATGTCTGCAAATGGCGTGCGCAAAGATAGCGAACTCTTGTTGGCAAACCGATAGATGCCCTGCGTACTCTGATCTAGAGAAGTGATCTCCGTGTCCAGGAACTCGTTGCGCAGCAGACATGCATAAGCAGAGTTCTCGCACAACTCGCTGGAGTTGTCAGGTGCTAGGGCATAGTTGCGGGCCCACTGATTGCCGGCCCGTCTAGGAATGCAGCGAAGATCCAGCTGCTCCTTTCTGCAATCCAGGAGTCCCGGAAGCAGGCGCTGTTCGTACTCCGGTTGAAACATTTTCGAATTTTAACATTTGTTTGTTTTGCTTGTTAAGGTGTACAATAATCATAAACGATTTAATAAGGAACGCCTAGTATTCTAACTGCCCTTACTCAATTCTCTAAGCAACACTCACCAGATGGGATAGGGACTTGGCGATGGCCAGCAGGCTGCGTGCTCTAGCATCGGCCACGGCTATAATGGCTGCCGCCTCTCCACTGGCCTTGTTGATGTGCTCCTGGCGCTCGGCCTCTGTAAGAGCAGGGATCTTGAGTATTAGGGATACATTTTGAAAGAGTTAAGGAAGGTTACCGGAGGCTAGGATTCTGGACTTTCGCTTGCCCTCGGCGATATTGATTTCAGCTTCACGAACACCTTCCGACTCAAGAATAGCCGCTCGTTTACGCCTCTCGGCCTCCACCTGCATCTGCATCGCCTCGTGAACCCTGGTGGGCAACTAAAAAAAAAAGAATTAGTTTTCCTTTGAGCTCCATTAAGTCAGCTTAAGATCGCAACGCACTCTAATATCACGGATTTCGTAACGCAAACAGGCGATTCCCCACGCCTCGCTGGCCTTGTTAATAGAATCCACTATACTGACGTTCAGAGACTCCCTTTCACGGAAGACTTTGTCCATGGACATCTTCCCCAGCTCGGATCTCATCGTCGTCTGGGCCAGTTGTGTTATAGCGAACTCCGGATCCTCCACGCCGTAAGATGCTTTGTGGTGATATAACAAATGAAGCAGACGATACAATTGGATTTAAGTCCCACCTTTGTAGGGGTCGATGATTCGCAAGTAAAGCACTCCGTCGATACTTAAGGTCACGTTGTCGGAGGTAATGGCACTTTGCTTCGGGACATCGATGGCGATTTCCTTTAGACTTTGCACGTATTTGATTTTGTCCGCCACTGGGACCAGAATGTTCAGGCCGGGGTCCAGAATCCTATGAAACCGACCCATGCGCTCCACCACCCAGGCCTAGAACAAGGAGTAACAAACTGGGTGAGCGGCTCTTGGCTGATCTGGCAATGACACCTACCTCTTGCTGAGGCACAAACATAACACACATGTTTATGGGGGTTGAGGCCTTTCCCCTCCGAGACTGTGACGGAATCCATGAACCGGCTAGCAAGAAGTCTTGCTGTTGGTACAGTTATTTAGGGGGAGTTATTATGTCATTAAATAATCAAAACATATAGCACACACCTGGACCAAACTGGGAACAAATCTTTTGTTCAAGAGAAATCTGGACATTTCGCAATATGTGTGCCGATTTTAGAGGGATAAAGTTAAAAAAATACTAAAAAGAAAACATTATGATAGTCCACAAACAGGGTGGCTCATGTCACATGGAAATCGATTATTTTGGGTTAGGGGTATTTTGACTCAGCCATTTTAAACATTTAATGAGGACGGTTTAACCGTTTCGCAAATGATCGCGAAAATGCAAATGAAGGATATAATTTCAATTTGGCGCTTTATGGTCTATTTTAAAACCTTAATGTGCAAGCACCCATCTGGAATCAACAGATTAACGGAAAGACCAAGGCCTTCGTATCCAAAGTTTAGGATGTAGTTTTTGGCCTACTCAGACTTTTTCAGCCATTACCAAAAAAATGTACAATTAAAGTTTAAATATTTAAAGCCAAAGTCTGGTTATCGTCAATGGTTTAGACACGCTTCTCTTCATCTGCACCATTTGTTAAACCTTGAAAGTTTCTGGCTGAATTAAATTCGCGGTTAACTTAATTAACCGGCAAATGACGAAAGCAAAGGACACAGAGGGACCGCCAACTCTTGTATAAATGAAAACTAAATCTAATAACTGAACATATGTCTGAGTGCACGTATGTTTGCTGAAATCTTGACACCACTCTGGGTCTGTTTGTAAGAGTATTTACCATTAGTTGCCACAAATACGGTGCAAGTGACGCATTAAGAGCATAAAGGAACCGCACGCCCGCCCAACAACCACTAAGCTGTTAATAACGGGTGTCGTTAGTTATCTGCATCATAAATTTCCCATCACCCTGTTTAAGCCAGAAGATATTCGGATATAAAACGAACCCCGGCAGCAAAAAGCGCCAGTCTTGCTTAAAACTCCGGCGAGTTCTGTTTTCCAAGTGGACCACTCTAAAGGCCAGCAATTGGAAACATGAACATTCTCATTGTCCTTGTGGTGGTATCCGTGTTCCTAAACTTTATTGAAGCAGCCCCGAACGTGGTATGTCTATATTTTTTGATTTCGAAAATGTTTTTTTTTTTTGTACGAAACTATGCTGAAAATAAAGTTCAAATTTTTGTTGTACTAAAGGATATTTCAAATGAAGAACTAATGGATGGAAAATATCTTTGCGAAGGTAACGAAAATGATCTACGAAAACGGTTTGAAACTTGTAATTTATTCTTCCATTATTATATTTTTTAAGTGTTTGCTTGTAAATTAGCAATTAATTTCGTATTTTATTATTTTTAACAGATATTTCAGCATTAAGACAATTCGGTAACGGCAACAGCGACGATTTAACCGCAACGCCGTTGCTAAATGATTATTACAAACTTTTTTTAAGAGATGTGAATCGGTTTCTGTCTAAAAACAAAAATTTTGAGGGCTTACAAGAGAAGTTGTCTCGAGCTGTCTCAAAACGAGGTTTAGACAGCATTGGAGGAGGACACTTGATAAAAAGGACTGAAAATAGACGGCTTTTAAGTGACTGAGCTATTCTAGGAATTATACCACATCATTTACTTTGACCATATCTTGACCACCGAAGAAACTGTTATGAAACGGATATGTAAATAAAAAGCATGAGATCTATTTTATATGTACATATAAAATGATGTAGCTACCTAATTGTTAATAAATTATTGCATTTATAAATAGTTTTTCTTTAGAGCTTGTATCTAGCTCCCCAATCTTGTTGAAAAGAAGACACAGATGACATTTGTTATAGTTTATATAAAATCCCATCAAACTTTACTAACTTATTATCACTGCTAACACATGCTTCGTTCTGAAAAGCTGGCTCAAAGAAGTACGAAGGATCCTTTATAGTAAGGTAAGTCCCCATTTACCCACTCCAGACTTGGTTTACTGTATAATTATTCCCATAAAACCCGTCTTTCTATCCTAAAGATTGATTTCCGCTGCAAATGGACAATCAGTCGTTTGCTACGAGTGCAGCCCGTCTGATTTTAAAGCGAAGTACTCTGTGAAACCCTGCGGAGATCGGTTTATGCCTGGAAAGATGGGAGCAAGTCACCACAGAGACTTGGTTCCGTACCTGGTCAGAATGGACCCGGTGTACAGGGACACCTGGAACAGTAAACTGAAAAGAAACTTCGATGAGATCGACAAGGCTTCCGCCAGCTTCAGCATTCTCAACCAACTCGTCTAGTAATACACGTCCAAGCCACTGTAAACGCTCAAGAACACGGACACCGCTAAAATCACGAATATACTCTTAAAATGCTTCATGTCAAGGGATTATAGAAAATAAAAAACGTGCATCCTCATACCTACTATCAATAAAATGACCATGTTCTGTTATTAACACGTTTAAAAAAAGGGGGCTTCTTATGCCATTAAGCCATTACCACAAGCACACCAACTAGTTAACCCTTGTGTCTCTGACGAATATGAGTCGCAAGTTCTCAACCGCGAGGCATCTGGAGTTACGAGAACTCGCCAAGCTTCTCCCCAGTCGCATTTTGTGTAAGCTTATGTCGAAATATGCGGAAATCCATTCTTATATGATTTTATATTATTTTTCAATTGTACAGGCCCATAAGATGGTAAGATGGGAGCGCTCTACCAGCAACGACGAAAAGGCGGACAATTTATAGTTGTCGCTTCGACAGACTGGATTTCCGTCCCCGGGTATCGTCTTTGAAATCGAGGGCAGGCCAGAAAATACCTACTAGAAATAAAACAACCATTCCTGTTATTAACATGTTTATTTATTATTCTGTAATGTTGAGTTTTGTGAAAGGTCATACCAGATCTAAATGCAGCGAATTTTTGTTTAATCAAGGGACTATTTAAATACAAATTACATTTGATAATTATATTTAAAACAGTAAGTCATTAATATTTTTATTTACTTGCATTACGGCGATGGGGATAACCTATAACAATTCATATTGACGAAGGTGCATCCTTTGAATAATGTCTCTGCAATCATTAAACACCCGTTTAATGTTTTCCGTGTCAACGGCGCATGTGAAATGTGGATAGCAGTAGTGTTTACCGTCTCCGCTAGCAGTAGATATACGCTAATTGAATAACAGAAATTAAACAAATTAGTTTGTTAAATTATTTAGAGAGCGCAGGATAACGAACCAGAAACTCGTCTCGTATGAAATATTTTGCTCGTATTACTTCTGGGTCGTCATTGGATTCCATTATTGCGTCACCTGTGTCGACAGCACATTTGAAATTAGACAAAACATATTATCCATTAAATTTCTTAAGTTAATTTAGGTATGGATTTTAATTTTAAACGAAATTTGTATTTAATTTCCTTTTACACCTTTAAAAAGTGTTTTGTATTTGGCAGTTAAGGAAGTAAAGTGTTCCCATCTGCTAATATTGGAGCCAAAAAGAATCGTGATATTTAAAAGGGTTGCTAGGCGGATTCTTGTGTTCTGCTATTTTACTTACTTGGCGTTTGGTATTTGTTAAACTCGGAGAAATATTCCGACAATTTACTTTTTCCAGCCTTAATTTTCTCTGCTAACAAATCTTGCTTATTTAAAAATAGTATAATAGAAATCGTGCGAAGCCATCTATAAAAAACTTTTGTTAGTTTTGAGGTTTCTAGTTGATAGAGCGTCACGTGTCACCTGTTGTTCCAAATACTCTTAAACAAATCCAAAGATTCTCGAAGTCGGTTTTGGGTGGGATCTTCACGCAAAACCATGTTATAACTTGAGCACGCAGTTACGAATATAATAGCAGTTACATCATTGAAACATTGAATCCATTTTCTACGCTCGTCTCGCTGTCCTCCGACATCAAACATGCTGCACACGTACATAAGGTAAGGTTACTTTTGACTAAGTTCAGTTCACCAGCTTCGGAAATACTTACTGAAAATTTACTTTGTCCACTTGAAATCTTGTTTCAAAAATTCCAGAAGTCAAAACACGGCACCGAAGAATATCCTGCTCATTAGGGGTATAGTTTGGATTCTTGATTGTGCTCACTCGATCCAGGAAACTTTAATGGGAAATATAAAAAGTAAAGTAAGTAGGAGTAGGGATTACATACACCTTTTTAGTGCCGAGCTCATACTATTGTTGAGTCTATTTAATTTGAATTTGCTTAGCCTAGAGTAAAATACCGATATTGGGAACAAGTTTACTCTTAGAGGCAAATTTGCCAATCTTCTAAAAAGCCAACATAGTTGTAAGTAGTTACATTAAATTAAGCGAATTAACTTTTTAAAATTAGTAAATGCATACTTTCGATCCAACGAATTTTCTTAATCTTCAGTCACTTCCAAGAAAAACACTTAGTTAAGCTATCAGAATGATTGACATGCACTTTTAGAATTGATAAACAAAATTGTTAAGCTACAAAAATAAATTTTCGGCTGACCACATCGATTTTTGGTATTCAAAACAAGGTCAATACTTACTATTTCGCACAATCAATTAATTGATACTCATTCGACCTTTCATAGGTTTGAAGAACGCCTTTGTCTTTCCATAGTTCTTCTGTATGCTCATAAAATTCAGGAGGATAGTTAAAGTCCGGACCTGTGGGAAAAAACTTGTGTTTGAGGTAATTCAGCCAAAAAGCAGGCTAAATGCCTTACTAGATGCATAATCCTGAATGTACTCCACTCTGGGTTCATTTTCTTTCTTTTCTAAAGCTACAGGTGGATTAAGTGTGCTCATGGCTCCTGTAATAGTCTGCAAGGAGGAAGGTTAGTGGTAAGCAGTGCGTTTGTTCTACAATTTCTATTTAGACAAACAAGTTGTTGGAACTTACCAAGATAGCGTCTCGAATATTCTTTTTAATATCATCAATTTTCTGTTTCTTCTCTGTTTCAGAAAATCCGTCGACATGCAATATTCGCATTTGCTTGACTATAGTTGATTTGCCGGACTCGCCCGCCCCCAGGAGGAGCAGCCTGTGTGTGGCCCTGTAGAGCTGTTTGTCCTTCTGCAACTGTCTAGATATTGCATCGCTCCGGCGCTTCTGGCTCTTCGAGTCCTCCGAGTTCACGTCCGACTGCTTTGAGGTGGGTGACCCAAAGCAACCCATCGCAGCCCACGGGGTCCACCAACACGTCGCTCGGTTTTCCTGGTTCGCGTCGGGTGACTCGGCACCCCTTGTGCTTTCTCCGTTCTGCTCCAGTATAGCTGAGTTCCCCGGATCAATACACAATGTGCTTATGTACACCTTAGGTCCGCGATCTCAGTGACACCACCGTTGGCTCAGCGCTTCAGCAGATCTCGCTAGCAAGCTGGGATTGACAAAGGAACGTAAGTAAGGAGCTTTTAAAACTGCAATATTGTTATAAGAACTACATTATTGGCAACAACCGATGCATTTACTTGTCAATTCCTAATTATAAGTTGGGCTTCAACAAGCAGGTTGGTACTCGAAGGGATTATAAACAAACATCATGCCCCTATATCACCTTTATCGCCCATAATAGCCGCCAAAGCCAAGACGACATTTCTGACATTGCCGCCCACGAAAGCCGAATGAATCACTTATATTTCGAGTCCGAAAATAACGCTGGCTCTATTATCGAGTGCAATCAATGCCGAAATTTACGAGAACTAAATCTAGGCTTGGCAAGACAAAGTTTAAGTACACTTAAATCTTTTAAATACAAGGTTGCGTTGACAAAAACGACGAGCTTGACTGGATTAGCTGCTAATTTCGAGCAAGGATAAATACTGCCAAAATCGGGCTGAATCTATAGTACCTTTAGCAAGGGTATCAAAATTACTCCACGCAAAAATTCGACATTCTCGTCGGGCGATTGGAATTCATCAAATTCACATTCATATTCACATCGGCGTAGTGTAACAGGTGAAGAAGAGGGCGGGTGGAATTTTCGCGCATACTAAGGGGCAGGTACGCATGTACATATATAGAGATACCAACATAATTCCATCTGCAGTTATAACTCGGATGGTTGTATGTACCCGCGGTACAATGTTTGCGAAAATCTACATATATTAGGCAAAAATTCGATAAAACTTTTTCTCCAACATGAATTTACTAATTATATTTTAATCTATTAATTTTTGCCGCCCGACGATCGATAAAATTCGGGAAAATATATATCTAACGGACATATAGCCGTAGATCTGCAGATTTAATGTAAATAATTAATAATTTAAATAAATTCATCGGGATCTAAGCGGGCGCATATATATCTCACAGATATGTGTACACACCGCTGTGTATCTACTCGTATATACGTTCGTATGTATTTAGATATATACACAAGTTCTCGGTTCGCATGTGTGAATGGATGTACATAAATAAATGTATGTACATATATCAATACGTATGTGCTCCGTGCCTCCGAATATTTGCCATTTCTTTGACACTTTGGGAAACTATATTATACTTATACCATCGTGATTCGGAGAGAATAGTATTTTGAATATTCATGCGCGAACGATTTTTCACTGATTTCAGGTTTTAGGACATAGGACGTCAGGAAGTCGGACTCGAGTATAATCGAATCAATTTGAATCGAATAGAATAGATATAATTTCGCGAATCAATCACATCTTAGCGCGAATCTAATTACGTATTTGAACGTAGCTTATTCCCTATGTTTGACAATGGTTATTGTTTACCGTGAAATTACCGAACATTTTTATTCATGGGAGCAACTTCGGGCTGAAACTATGGGAGCACGATTCTGTTTGGGGAGCGACTTTCGGGCGCTGAAAAAGGCTTATTCTATGGCACTACACGCGACAGCCTCTGTTTTTTAGTGAACCAATGTTCTCTATATGTGCGTGGTCGTAACGCATAAATTTGTTTCTTAAAAATTACTTTTAATACCAGTACTAACTCACTTTTTATATATTTTTTATTTTATGTATCAACCTAGGGATGCAACAAAGTAGATACTTTTATCGATACCTTAACTTACTATCGGATTGTGCGGGCGGAATGTAAAGATACTTTTGCAGATACCTTTAAGCATTAGCGTTAAGTGATGGAAGATTATATGTTTTATTTAATTTGAGGAATTATTTAAAATAAATAAGTGTATACCTTTTTAGATTTAGAAGATTTTTTAATGACTACGAATATTTTACATACAAAGGTTTTACATACATTTTTACATAAATGTAAAACGAAACTTATAGTCAACTATTGGTTTTAAATTGATTATTAGACTCTAAGAAAAGACAATATTTTGATAATTTATAATTTTTATTTAATTATAAAAGCATTTATCTTTTAAACAAATGTATCCTTCACCTGCAAAAAGAAACACGAATTTCTACTTAAGATAGGTCTTTATCAAATTCTCCAGCTTGACGGTATCCACGGCAAACTTTCGAATTCCCTCTGAAAGCTTGTCGGTGGCCATGGCATCCTCGTTGAGCAGCCAGCGGAACTGGCTCTCGTTTACGGTGATCTTTTCGATATCCTGCAGCTTGGCGTTGCTTACGGACAAGTAAGTGGTGACCGTTTCGGTCTCGTTCTCCAGCTCCTTGAGCAGGGAAGGACTAATGGTGAGCAGATCGCAGCCTGCCAGAGCTTTGATTTCTCCCACATTCCGGAACGAGGCCCCCATAACAAGTGTCTTGTAGTCAAATTTCTTATAGTAGTTGTAGATGTTGGTTACCGAGATTACTCCCGGGTCCTTGAGGGCCTCAAACTTCTTTGTATCCGTGTTGGCCACGTACCAGTCAAGGATCCTGCCCACGAAAGGGGAAATCAAGGTCACGCCAGCCTCTGCACAGGCCACGGCTTGGGCGAACGAGAAGAGGAGTGTCAGGTTGCAGTGCACGCCGTGCTCGTTCTCCAGGATCTCGGCCGCTTTGATGCCTTCCCACGTAGAAGCCAGCTTGATCAGGATGCGCTCCTTGCCAATGCCCAGAGACTTATACAAATCAATCAGCTTCAGGGCCTTCTCCACGCTCCTCTTGGTGTCGAAGGAAAGACGTGCGTCGATTTCAGTGGAAACCCGACCGGGGACGACCTTTAAGATTTCCGTTCCGAACAGCACGCAAAGGTAATCCATGGCCTCGGCTACTTGTTCACTCACGGAGCTGAAAACATGTATAATTGAGTATGTTGTCTCGAGTTCTTGATTTACCTCTTTACCCTTTTTTTGCCTTGCCGTAGTCCACTGCCTTCTGCACCAGGGGCTGGTACCGCTCCATGGATGAAGCTGACAAAATAAGAGAGGGATTCGTGGTGGCATCTGTGGGCTTGTAGATGTTAATAGCTGAAAGTAAAAACACTGTTTAGAGCCTGAAACTTTGCATAATCACTGGGCGAGCAACTGAATTACATTGCGAATTCTAGGCGAACACGAAAACCTGTTGAGCCGCTTTCATTTTTTAATCGCCTGACCGAAAATGTCTTTGAACTTTTTGATTTCTGAGCAGGTTTTCGCACGAAACCTTATCAGTGTGTCATACTGTAGCGGTCACAGTTCCAACACACGTAAGCACCTAAGGTCAAACTAAAGTCAGCTTCGTTTTATTTTTTCACTTTTATTTGATCTTCACTGCAGTAGATAAGACAAACTTCTATGGCTTAAGGGTCCATGACGTTTGTCTATCATTCAGATCAATTTCTGTAAATAACAAAATATGTAAATGGTCGAAATTTGACCATGTGTACATAAGTATATGGGCCTGGGATCACACACTTTTGTATTACCCGGCTCAAGACTCCCGGCTTTGATAAGAGTTAAGCTTTACTTTGAAATATAAAACTAGTGAATTCTAGTGTATATTTGTATATTTACCTTCAAAGTCGCCGGTGTCAGCAACAATGGTGGTGATTTTCTTAAGTTCCTGTAAAACCGACATCTTTTGCTTTTTTAACGTGCGATCACTTCCCATGTCCCGACTTATAAGACAAAAAAATTGGACTCACAAACGCTAAGTATCGATAATTTGGAATTGTTCGATGCATCGATGCTCTGAAACATCGATATTTTTGGAGCCCTGGTTTTTATTGTTGAAATCAACCAACGTTGGTTTAAGGCAAAACGTTACAAGAACTCTTCAAATCAATTTCGACTTGTCAAACGAAAGCAAGTGATATGAACGCAATCACAGTTTAAATGTTAATGATTTTGAATTTTAATAAATATGTCAGCATTTTTGATAATACTGTCTTACTTAAACTACACTCCTGAATGTAAAGCATTAATAACCAAAGAACGAACCACATTCACCACTTTAAATTAAAATTTTTAAATTCAGAAAATTTGATCTAATTTAATAACTTTCATTATTAATTAAATTATGCAAAGACCGAAGCTTATCAGAACCGTTAAGTTTGTTAAATTTGATTTTTACAGTATTTCTTGGGCTTAACAAATACCATCTCTATGAACTATCGATTTTTTCGATCAAGCTCGACAGACCTATGTTGCCGCACGTGTGTAAAACATACTTCTGATCAAAATGAAACATAAACATCCGAAAAACAAGGCCAAACCCTACAATAAACCAACGCCTGCGCGTCGAAATGACAAGTTCTCCAAGAACTATAGTTACATCCAGAGGAGCAAGCAAATGGAGGAGACGCGTCGGAGGGAAAGGATACCGACAGTGCCTAAACAGGAATTCGAGCCCGTGGCCGAACTCCTGCCGGAGATTCAGGACGAGACTGGATTTTATGAACAGCTCGTGACTGGTTTTAGTCACATCCCAACCAGTATGTGTTTGATAAGATATTAATCCAAACGGTTTATTACCAACAATTCGTGTTTTTAGGTCAAATTCTTGGTTCAAATCCGGATAAAGAAATTGATCCTGTTACTAAAAGTGTTAAAGCCAAAAAGAAACAATGCTCTCAAAAAATATGTGCAGAATTGGAAACATACAACACGTTTTCGAAACGCTTTGATTTTGAGCTGTCCACAGACAATATCAACGATTTAATTGCCGGTAAGGATGTGAAAACCACCAAGAGCGATTGGTCTGCCTTGGGAAAGGTGAAGTTTGACTTTCCACGACTGTCTAAAGAATTTAAAGAGCCGGACTGCACTGAGCCCAAGCAAATTGTTCAGTCTTCAGATCTCCAGAAGTTGGAGGTAAAAATGCCCATTCCCGGAAACGCCAAGCTTCCACTCACCGCACTGCAGTCCCAACTCTTCTACATTGCGAACAACTATCAGGATCTTTACTATCCCCAAAGAACGCATGGTAATGGCGAGGATATCAGATATGTGTATTGTCTGCATGCCCTAAATCACATGCTCAAAGTCAGATCTCTGATATTGCGAAACAATGAAAAGGTCTCCGTTCTTGCCAAGACCCAGAAAATGTCACCTAACGAAATCTCCATACCAGAAATTTTTAGAGACCAGGGATTAAAGCGAATGAAGGTAGTTTTTATAGTGCCTTTCAGAGAATCAGCTCTAAAGATAGTAAATATTATCGGGGACCTACTGTTTGGCGGTCAAGACGGTGAGTAATTTAAGAAAAAGCTAATAAAATATTTATCTAACCCACGTATTTTACAGATCAGGCCAGAAAGACTTCTATTGCCAACTATGAACGCTTTCTACAAGATTACTCTGGCAACACAATTTATTTCCCAAAAACCAACCCCAAGCCGGTTGACTATGAGCAGACATTCAGTGGCAACACAGATGACAACTTTAAGCTGGGTATTCGGTTTACCAAGAAAACCATGTCCCTTTTCTCCGATATGAACTTGTCGGATATATTAATTGCATCTCCGTTGGGATTAAGAATGCTAGTCACGGACAAAGACAACGATTTTGACTTTTTAAACTCAATTGAGCTGCTTGTAATTGACCAGGCTGAACTCTTCTTGGCCCAGAATTGGGAGAACCTTTTGCACTCTCTGGACCATTTACATTTGCAACCGCAAAAGCTGCCCGATGCAAATTGTCAACGGGTTCGAACGTGGTGCCTGAGTGGAGCTTCAAGTTTCTACCGCCAAACCCTGCTTTTCTCATCTCATGATCTTCCTGAGTTTCGAGCAGTGCTTAATAGTAAATGCAAAAACTACCAGGGAAAAGTACGAATTGCAAATCAAGTGGAACACGGAGACATCCGCAATGTGCTTACACCACTTCAGCAAGTTTTCCGCCGAATTAGTTGCTCAAGTGTGGAGTCCACATTTGACGATCGATTCGAGTACTTTGTAAAAAATATTATGCCCCAGTTTAGTAAGCCAGGGTTTTCTCATTGCATGCTGTACGTTCCCAGCTATTTTGACTATGTACGGATACGAAATTATTTCAAAACCGAAATGGTCAGCTTTGTGCAGATCAATGAGTATACGAAGAAAGAAAAAATTTCCCGGGCGAGAGATATATTCTTCCACAGCGGAGCATCTGTTCTTCTGTACTCGGAAAGAGCACACTTCTTCCGGCGCACCCGAATTAAGGGCATCCGGAATTTGATTATGTATCAGCCACCCAATTTTCCGCACTTTTATTCAGAAATGATAAATTTAATGCTTGAGTCCAATCAAAACCCGCGTGATGGATTTGGAGAAGCAATGTCCGTCAATATCCTGTACACAAAATATGACTTGCTTACTTTAAGTAACATTGTTGGAAGCGAAAACGCCGTCAAGTTGACCTCAGGAAAAAAAGATTCTTACTTATTTTCCACCAAAACGTAATTGCTTTCAATACCAGACTAAGAAAAATATGTACATATTTTATTTTGAATTAAAAAATATTTTTTTTAGCATAGTAATCAGTAACATTCGTGATAGTTCTTCACTTGTTCATCTATTTTTGTATTTTAATGTTTTTGTGACGTAAAGCTTTCATGAGGAACTGGGTTGGTGATTGATCTAATGTTAAGAGTTTCCAACCGCCTATATCTAGATCATATCTTCTCTTTGTTGTTACGTAAAACAGAAATATGACAAAATGAATAATTGGCGAATAGTTGTGTAATAAACTGTGGCAATTACAGGTAAATTATGTTTCAAAAATAACTTGAACAAATCGATTTTTTATATGCTTTCAAATCTTATTTTAAAATGAAAAGAAAGAGGAAGCAAATCAGATTATTTTTATTAGAAATAAATGGTTAAAATTTTAGTTAGTAAAATTTGCAGGTTTTTTAGTGTGGCCAACTGCATTCTTCAATATTTGTTATCCAGCGGTTGACAACAGAATTAACCCCAGATCTCGCAGTCTTAAAATAGTATAATATTCTTGGCTGTATTGTCATTTATCAATATTTTTAAATATATAGGTAGCTTATAAAAGTTCTGGCCTAGACATATAGAGGTAAAATAGTAGCCAAATGCATATTTATGGGTCTCTATGAAAAGTCGTAATAGTTTCTGCACAGGGCGGATATCATACGGGAAAAACGTGTGCGGAGAGCGCTCTTGCCAACTTTTGAGAGACCGTAGAGGCATTACAAGACTATTTTTATGCGGCTAAAGGACGGCTGCCAGTCTCTACTGAATTTAAGGAAAAAGTAGAAAAGCCAAAGAAAGAATCCTAAAACAGAAAGCCGATAGATGCATACACTATTCGCTGTTATGTGCACCAAGAAAACTATTAGGAAAAATTAATAATGAATCAAAAAAGAATTATTTGGGGAGCTGAAACAAAAAAGTATGTTACCGATAATATAGAAACCTTTTTGTCAATGGAAAATAAAAACTTCCTTTCATGGTTTGCACATGACTACTTAATAATTAATTAATATTAGGGGCACAGACCCCTAGAGGTGACAAACCGTTTATCTAATCGAACACATTTTTCCTAGATTGGTTTAAAAATAACATTTTCTAAATATTAGACAAACACACGTGCATTTTTCGAAATAAGTCTACACTCACAGCCACAAGTGATCTCCCCACATTGCTCTAGACTTTTAGTATCTGCGCTCCCGCCGATCTGGATATATATATTCGTGTGCTTGTGGTATTCCCACCTATGTGCATATATCTCTGAGGCTGGGGACCACAGTATAATTTGCTTCAGCGAGATACGAAAAACACGAGCAGATCAGAACCGCCAACAATTCTGATCGCATAGGATAGGTGGTAAGTGCTCAAAAGTTTGTGCGTGCTAAAAGTATTTTCCCGGGCCAAAATAGAGAGTGTATGTAGTTTTGGGAATTTTGCCAAAATATATGAATTTTGTAATTCAAATAGACACTCTCATCGAGCAGCGTTCTCCTTGCTTTCAGTTGCCGTTGATCGTTATAATAGCGCGATCTTTGTGTTAGCTCTTGGTCTTCCGACTTAAATAAATTTATTATATAATAACGGAATTTTTACTAGGAATAATAATTGTAAGTTTTGTTGATTTTTTGCAACAATTCCAAAGCGAATTCAAAGTGATTTGTTCCGAATTCCATTGGATTTGGAAAAAATAAAACCAGCAATGTAAAATATTAAAATTCTACCGCGCGCAAAATAGAAAACCTGGAAAATAAAAAAGTTATACCACATCTACATACGAACATGCTTACACCCAAAAAAAACCGTGTTTTAAAGTGTCTTCCCAGTTTGGTTATCACTCTCCCTATTGTCCCAAAGTCTAAAAAACTTCAAAATACCCGTAAGGAGCACAAACAGTGAGCGACCTCGACCTCCGGAGTCGAATTGAAAATTTTGAATGTCACCAATACGAAAGCACTCCACGAATAGATCCGACACAGATGTAAAGTTTCCCCAAGTGCCTGAGGTCTTTGTATTTGTGATTGAAAATCTTGTTATGCAACCGCTGGGAAATACGTATATGCCTTTATCCCAATGTAATCACCGCACATGCTCATTGCAGTCTCCTCGAGTCCTTATCCGCATATTTTACACAATGATTGATTCAGTGCTTCCCTTATAAAAGACATAAAGCCAAGCTGGGGAGCATCGAGAATATCATAAATTCGTTCTCCCCAGGTCCTTTGACAAAACATGCCCTAGAAACCTTTTCTTTACCGGGCTTAACTCATTTAAAACGTTATACAACTCATCAGAGGGACTTGTCAATCGGAATTATTGGATCAGGGACATGGGAAACATCTCGCAAAAATGTCGACATCCATTAGAATGCAGATATCTGTGCTCGAAATATCATTAGCTGTTAAATCATACATATAACCGAAAAGAATATTTCTCCCTACGATCGTCTCTCTGAATATATGTGCACGCTTATTTATGTGTTGCTAGTATATATCTTTATATATTTACGAATGTTCAAAATTGAGCTAGTATTTTTCGGGTGCTAGAACTCTATTTTTAGCCCATCTCGGACAGAGGCGATTTTTTGCTCCATAATGCACACGTATGGATCCACACAAGCACAAGATGTGTCATTAGTATATTAGAGATATATAGACTGAACGGCCTATAGATGTTTTTGGAAATACGTCTATGCGCTCAAAAATAAGTGGCTTTCGCGAACATTGCTTGACAATCTTTTAAAAAAAACGTATTTTCAAGGCGGGAAACTGTCCAGCTCTCGTTATCAGCAGTTAAGTATGTTAATTGTGCTTTTTCTAGCGTAATATTCAAGTATTATGCGATTTGGCTGCCGTTCAAAATTCCCCGTATGGCCTGAATCTAGTGTCTGCTCGCGAAAAGATTAAAATTAAAATTTAAAAATGTCGCTGCCAGCAAATACCTGGCACCCAGATCTATTTATTGTGGGCTCTTGATCTCATTAATTTGGCAGAAAATAAGTAGTCTTGGTCTCGATGTGGTGGACAGAACGGCAGTCTCACTTCTTCACCGGATTAAAAAAAAATGAATTGAAAAATGTGTGATAAGGATTTTAAATTGCATTTTTCATTTTTATGAAATTTGCAATTCTGATAACACTTGAAAATGTTTCTCTCCACAGTTTTAAAAACTGGATACTCACCAATTAACTATCGCAGCCTTGTACTTAACATCGATAGTGCCGACAATCGTATTCGATTGCACAAATTTACCGCTGCAGCAGCGGTTAAATTAAGCGGTGCAGTTAATATATATTAAGTAGGTAAACAGCCTTTTAATTTTGGGTGATGAAAGAGGTAGAACTCTTTCGATCATCGCCGAAATTGCGATACACGTTTTAATTCAGCCCTGAGGCGAATAATGTCGTGTCATGTCAGGTAGAAACGACGCCGATAGGCAGTAATGCGCGGCCCGAGACTTAGTGCAATAGTTATCAGCACCCATATTCAGAAAAAGCGCCATGGCCTATAATATATAGAGAATCTGTGGAAAAAAGTACTTAACACACGCAGTGCGTCGTTTGCGAGGCTAACGTAGGAGCCGACTTCCGGAACACAATTCCCTCATTGATCTGCCTGTCTGAAAACGCAGAACCTGAAAACTGCGTCTGTTGTGCGAAGTGACACGTGTGTGAATCTCATAAGCGGAGCGATTTGGCAAGGGTAATCCCATCATTCCAGCATATTCTCTTAGTCGGTCTGATCCGTCCCGATCCCATCCAAAGTTGGCGCGATAACTGCGCTATTTTATAGTGGCCAGAATCACTGGAAATTAGCATATAGCACCTGTGTATGTGACCATGTATGTTGGAAAGTACCCGTGTGCACATGCACATTCGTATGTACAAACACTTATTCAGAACCTAATGAGGTAGTTTTAACTGCAAACGGCCCCGTACATACATACACATTTGCTATTCCAGTCAGTCGTAGCACCGTAGAATCAAATAACCCATAGAGCCTCGAGAACTAAAAAGTGCCTTGCTTTGCGTTTTCTTTCAAATCTGAATAAAAAAAACTGGATGCAGGCTACTGAACGAAGAGGATAACGAATCAAGATGGAAGACGGTCACTCGAAAACCGTCGAACAGGCTCTCACCTTTTTCGGAACGGACGCAGAGCGCGGCCTAACCCTCGATCAGATCAAGTCGAACCAGAAGAAATATGGACCCAACGGTGAGAATCGCCTGCTAACCCCAAAGGCCTCCTGAATTGACTGACGTGTTTGTTTTCTTATCGTTACAGAGTTGCCGACCGAGGAAGGTGCGAATCAGACAATTCTCTCTACCCCCACCTTGTTATTCGAATGTGTTTCAATACTAATTTTTGTATTTCACAGGAAAGAGCATCTGGCAGCTGGTCTTGGAACAGTTTGACGATCTGCTGGTGAAGATTCTGCTGTTAGCAGCCATCATCTCATTTGTAAGTCCACAATGGTGCACCGACAACCACCCCCAAAATGTAAACCCCTTTTATTATCTTCCACCCCAGGTTCTCGCCCTTTTTGAAGAACACGAGGAAACGTTCACTGCATTTGTAGAGCCCCTAGTTATTTTACTTATTCTGATAGCCAACGCTGTGGTCGGAGTATGGCAGGAGCGTAACGCCGAGTCGGCCATCGAGGCCCTCAAGGAGTACGAGCCCGAGATGGGCAAGGTGGTGCGCCAGGACAAGTCTGGCATCCAGAAGGTGCGCGCGAAAGAGATCGTTCCCGGAGACCTCGTAGAGGTTTCCGTCGGCGACAAGATCCCAGCTGATATCCGCATCACCCACATCTACTCGACTACCCTCAGGATTGATCAGTCCATCCTTACCGGAGAGTCGGTGTCCGTCATTAAGCACACGGATGCGATCCCCGATCCCCGCGCCGTCAACCAGGACAAGAAGAACATTCTGTTCTCCGGCACCAACGTGGCCGCCGGCAAGGCCCGCGGCGTCGTTATCGGAACCGGCCTGAGCACCGCTATTGGCAAGATCCGTACCGAAATGTCCGAGACCGAGGAGATCAAGACGCCTCTTCAGCAAAAACTCGATGAGTTCGGTGAGCAGCTTTCCAAGGTCATCTCCGTCATTTGCGTGGCCGTGTGGGCCATCAATATTGGCCACTTCAACGACCCCGCCCACGGAGGTTCCTGGATTAAGGGCGCCATCTACTACTTCAAGATCGCCGTCGCTCTGGCCGTGGCAGCCATTCCCGAGGGTCTGCCTGCCGTCATCACCACCTGTTTGGCCCTGGGCACTCGCCGTATGGCCAAGAAGAACGCCATCGTACGCTCGCTGCCCTCTGTGGAGACCCTGGGCTGCACCTCCGTCATCTGCTCCGATAAGACCGGCACACTCACCACCAACCAGATGTCCGTCTCGCGCATGTTCATCTTCGACAAGGTTGAGGGTAACGACAGCAGCTTCCTGGAGTTTGAGCTGACCGGCTCTACCTATGAACCCATCGGCGAGGTCTTCTTGGGCGGCCAGCGCGTCAAGGCCTCCGATCACGATGCCCTGCAGGAGCTTTCCACCATCTGCATCATGTGCAATGACTCTGCCATCGACTACAATGAGTTCAAGCAAGCCTTCGAGAAGGTCGGCGAGGCTACCGAGACCGCTCTGATTGTGCTGGCCGAGAAGCTGAACAGTTTCAGCGTGAACAAGTCTGGCCTGGACCGCCGCTCAGCCGCCATCGCCTGCCGTGGGGAGATCGAGACCAAGTGGAAGAAGGAGTTCACCCTGGAATTCTCCCGCGACCGCAAGTCCATGTCCTCGTACTGCACCCCCCTTAAGGCCTCCCGCTTGGGCACCGGCCCCAAGCTTTTCGTTAAGGGCGCCCCCGAGGGAGTCCTGGAGCGCTGCACACACGCCCGTGTTGGCACCACCAAGGTGCCTCTGACCTCGGCCCTGAAGGCCAAGATCCTCGCGCTAACCGGCCAGTATGGCACTGGACGCGACACTCTCCGCTGCCTGGCTTTGGCCGTCGCCGACAGTCCCATGAAGCCCGATGAAATGGATCTCGGCGACTCTACCAAGTTCTACCAGTACGAGGTCAACCTAACTTTCGTCGGAGTTGTGGGCATGCTGGATCCCCCCCGTAAGGAGGTGTTCGATTCCATTGTGCGCTGCCGCGCCGCCGGTATCCGCGTTATTGTGATCACCGGTGACAACAAGGCCACTGCCGAAGCTATCTGCCGCAGGATCGGTGTGTTCGGCGAAGACGAAGACACAACCGGCAAGTCCTACTCCGGTCGTGAGTTTGATGACCTCTCCCCCACCGAACAAAAGGCCGCCGTTGCCCGATCCCGATTGTTCTCCCGCGTGGAGCCCCAGCACAAGTCCAAGATCGTTGAGTTCCTGCAGAGCATGAACGAAATCTCCGCCATGACTGGTGACGGTGTGAACGACGCCCCCGCCCTGAAGAAGGCCGAAATCGGTATTGCCATGGGCTCTGGTACCGCTGTCGCCAAGTCTGCCGCCGAGATGGTTTTGGCTGACGACAACTTCTCCTCCATCGTGTCCGCCGTTGAAGAAGGTCGCGCTATTTACAACAACATGAAGCAGTTTATTCGTTACCTCATCTCCTCGAACATCGGTGAGGTCGTCTCCATCTTCCTTACTGCTGCCCTCGGTCTGCCCGAGGCTCTGATTCCCGTCCAGCTGCTCTGGGTCAACTTGGTAAATATTTATTTGCCCAACAATCTATCCGGAATGGTTTGTAATGGCGCACTTTCCACAGGTTACTGATGGTCTCCCAGCCACCGCTCTGGGCTTCAACCCTCCTGATCTAGACATCATGGAGAAGCCCCCTAGGAAGGCCGATGAGGGTCTCATCTCTGGATGGTTGTTCTTCCGGTGAGTTACTGGCACATAAACCCATTCAAATTGATGCTAAGGATTATTGCTTCTGCTTTATTCAGTTACATGGCTATCGGCTTCTACGTCGGCGCTGCTACAGTTGGTGCCGCCGCCTGGTGGTTTGTGTTCTCCGACGAGGGCCCCAAACTGTCCTACTGGCAGCTCACCCATCATCTGGCCTGCTTGGGTGGAGGTGACGAGTTCAAGGGCGTGGACTGCAAGATCTTCAGCGACCCTCACGCGATGACCATGGCCTTGTCCGTGCTGGTGACAATCGAAATGTTGAACGCAATGAACAGGTGAGTCAAACCGTAACGGATACAACTAAGTCATTAGACACGAACTAAACTTATTTTGCTTGATCAGCTTGTCTGAAAACCAGTCGCTGATTACCATGCCTCCATGGTGCAACCTGTGGCTGATTGGATCAATGGCACTCTCCTTCACTCTTCACTTTGTTATTCTTTACGTCGATGTCCTCTCCGTAAGTGCAAGGCGATTAGAGCCTCGTTTTTCAAAAAGCTAACTTCGTTGTCGTCCACAGACCGTCTTCCAAGTGACACCGTTGTCTGCAGAGGAATGGATAACTGTGATGAAATTCTCAATTCCTGTAGTTTTATTAGATGAGACATTGAAGTTTGTTGCTAGAAAAATCGCAGATGGTGAGAGTCCTATATATAAGATGCATGGGATTGTGTTAATGTGGGCTGTCTTCTTTGGCCTGCTGTACGCTATGATGCTTTAAGAATATAATTATAATCCATAAGCCCAACTTCATTATTCTAATTTCTAGTATAAAAATGTTACTAAATATAAACAGAACAAGAAACCCACAATTATATACATCTAACGTAACGACTTTAACCCACATGAAGTTTGTTCCCAAATACTACTGATTTCCACCCGGTGTCACAGAATTGACTGGTGACACCAAAAGATGGGCCGACTGACTCACTCCTGGCTTTTGGCTATGAACAAACAGCGTGAAACGATCAACACATTCTTTGAGCTAACGATTTGTCTAACACGCGTACACCCTAAATCTATATTTGTGTTTGTATATTATTAAATTTAGCAGGATTGCTTTTTGTACATACAATGCTACATATACAAATAAGAGAGTTCTACACCGGTATTTTCAATTACATTAGTCAGTTTTCGACAAACAATTTCCCGTGGGTTGCCAAAGGAAACTTTTCGAAAAGGTCTTATCTCTAGAAGTTGATGTCTTTTTGTAGAAAACCAAATCTTCTTGAACTTCACAACTTCGTCTCTGTGTAATACTGCAGTGTAGGCTAAATCATGCAAAAGAAAAATTCTTTCTAACAGATAAACGTTCATGAACAATTTTTGTTTAATCCGTTTAGGTAAAACTATAACTTTTTCCAATCGAATCTAATTGTACTTTGATGTCTTAGCAGGCCCCAACCTAGCGTACCATTGCTTACGGGTTGTTTACCCGTAATTGCGTCATATGGCTACTCGCACCGAAAAACAAATATTGGTTAATTCATTCCATAATTGTAAGAATAATTTCGAGCACAAGATATTAAGTGATCACATGTCTCGGTACACAGTTAACTCCCAAGTTCGGTGTCCGTGCCCATTTGTATTGTATTGTATGTACATATATGAGCAAATGATTAGGAACAGGGTTTCTGACTATCGTGCACACTGCATAAGGCAGCCACCCGACAAAAGTTCGGGCGATGCGGCAATCGAATCGAAATTGTTTGAGGGATTCATTGTGTACTTATGTCAGCCTCAGTTGTAAGGAATTAAGTAATCCTCTAGCATTTTTAGAGAATACCTTATTAAATTAACATTATACATAATTTACTCTGTTATACAATTAGAGACGCTGTGAATTGATTAAACAAAAATTACCTACACATAACATTAAAGAAATAAATTATGCAGAACTAAAACGTGCTGGCTCTTCGAACCCCGACGACGAGGACCCAAACCACCCAAAAAAGCTTATGTTCGCTGCTGCTAGTTAATCATTTTAATTCCGTTTAATTGCACGTGCACGTGACTCGTTAGTGCGAAAGAATCCTTCTTGGCAGACACTACCGAAGATTTGATATTCCTCCACCTCTCCACCACCTATTCGCCATCTCTCAATGAACTATTGTTTTATTTTATACAGTCAACCCCAGATTTCATTAACTGGACCCCGATTAGTTACCATAACACAAATTGAATCCATCCCTGCTTTAGAAAAGTACGTGCAGTTATTACATTATGTTCGAGTGCGCCGAGTTGGTGTGAATGTAGAAAAGAACAATTGCTGTACATTATGGTCTATTACATTACCGCACTCGCCGGCATGAACGAGAAACACACAGATTTGAAATTCAGCATGTAAGATATCTAAACGTAAACGAAATAATAAAAGAAGAAATCCGAAACCAGCCCGTGTACTTTTCCCCTCCGAGTAGCTCCATTCATTTCCCATCCCACTAGGCTGTAAGTATGAGCCCACCGGGTCTGCTAAATTCCAGAGCTTCGGAAGACGCAGATCGCTGATCACTGATCGCTGATGATGCTTGATAATCCCAAGCCCAATAAATCCCGATTACCCCCGAGTTTTGGTTTGCTCTTGCGTTGGTTGCCCCCGAACAAGAATCTCTGGTAATAATGCCACCGTTATTCGCCTCAAAATGTAGTTCCTGAAGTCGTCGTCGACAGGATGTAGAGGTTTGGACCACCTAAGCCGATACGAGTGTGAAAGTGAATGTGAAGGAGGACAAATTTTTCTGCCTTTATCATTCGTGTATTAATCGCTAAGCCAGCCCTGTTACTTGCAACTGCAACATTAAATCCAACATAAATCAATTATTTGCTTTAGAAAGTAAAACATTAATGGAACTGTGGGTTAGTAAGAACGGATTTAAATAAATATATACCAAATATATAATGCAGTGTTTTTATTAACTAGCTGATTTTTCAGCCTAGCGTTCGGTTTGTTGTTTAATAAATTAGATCAGTCTGAACAATTCTGCAGAAATACAATATTGACAACGATATATTAAAGCCGTTTATGGGGCGTAATTTGGCAATTACGAGGGCGGCAGGGCCCACAACGTGGCCGTCTTGTCCGCAGACGTGGAGATGAAGGAGAACTCGGTTGGGTGCCACCGGATGGTGATTGCCTTGTCCTTGTGCTCTGCCACCACCACGGAGGAGAGTTCGTGGGCCAGGTCTCCCTGCAAGTCCGTCAGCCTAATCGAGTTGTCGTAGCTGCAAGTCAGCATGTAGTAGGCGGATGGGGAGAAACGGACGCATCTAAAACCACATGGGTTACCCAGATTAGTTATAAGGAATCTGCCTGTCAAAGTACTACCTTATCTCTGCGCTGTGGGGATAGAAGCGCTGGATGGGTCGGTTTCCTCTGATGTCGAAGAGCACACAGGAGCTGTCAGCATGTCCGGAAATCAAGAGTCTTCCCGTGGGGTCCACACAAACTGCGGTTACAGCCGAGTTTTCCAGGCCACCATCCTTCCGCTCGTTGTCAAGGGTGTTCACAGAAACGTTTACCCGCAGATCCCAGAAGCGTATTGTTTGATCCTGCAAGTGACCACTATATATAAAAATTTCTATGGTGTATCCTAGTAACCCACCTGAGATCCAGACACGAACATCGCATTGTTCCAACTGTAGAGCGACAAAATGTGGCCGGAGTGGCCACCGTAGGCCTGAAAGGGAGTGCCAGCGCCGCAGTCTGTTATGTAAATCTTGCAGTCGCCCGCCCCGCCGCTTGCCAGGAGTCTGGACTTGGTGGACGCGTCGTCAAGAAAGCACATGTCCCGCACCGTGCCGTCATGCATGTTCAGCTCCATCTCGTGGCCCACCAGCTGGTTGGTCTCGTTGTTGAACCGCATGTACTTGATGGTCTTGTCGTTCGATCCGGTGGCGATGAGCTCCCCGTCCCGCGACCAGCAGGTGCAGTATATGGATCCCCGGTGGTGCTTTGTCCGCTTGCAGAGCACCGAGGGGGGAAACACCGTCTGCTGGCCATGTCTTGGCAGGAACAAAAGAAACCCATTAAAATTAATACAAATTGAATGAGGCACAATTGTTAGTACCTCAACTTAGACAGCTGCGGGTACTGGCAGATGCGAAAGGTCTTCGAGTTGGAGCCCACCGCGTACAACTTTCCATTCGGATGAAAGTCGACGCTCCGGATCGCCTGGGAGTCCGCCAATGTGGTCACTGCCTCAAAGTGCGGTCTTTCTACATCGCCCTGTGGCAGAGAAACTGGTCAATAAACACGGCTTTCGCATCAACCCAAATGCATATATTTTCAGTTCTTTTGTTTGGCTTTTACTGATAGATACCAAAAGTTGCTTGCGTGTTCAAAATAAACAGAGGAGCCGCTGACACAAATGCGCCGAACAAACCTTTCTCAAATCCGGGTCTCTCGTTTCCGAATTCATTAATGGAGTATTTTGGGAGGATCTTTTGAGTATTTAGAGTGGTTTTCCAGTATTTCCAGGCTCTTCGCTGGGATCTATTTAGCCTACGAAGTTTCTAAGCCATCGAAGGTAATGCAACGTACAACTCGCTACGGTTCAAATAACAAAAGTTGGGAGAAACTACTCAATCCCAGTGTTGGGCAATCTTCTAGATGTCTCTTATTTTACGACTGTTGAATTTGCCATGGATTTAGGTAAATAAAAACAAACTTGTTTAATTCGTTTCCAAGCGACAATGCCAAAGCAACAAAGTAAATTAATTCCTCCCTGCAATTAAAAACCTCCCAAGCGAAAGCACTCACTTCTTATTGTTACAATTTTTTGATATTTTATTTACGTAAAAATAAAATATTTGGACATATGATTGAATATAACAAATTAATAACCTTCTTTAAAAATTTGATTGATTCTTAAACTTGTCTAGTGTTGCGAACTCTTATAAAACTGAGCGATTAATGCTCTTAAGAGTAAATTGTTATAACTTCTCGGCCTCCTCCGCGAACCATTAACACTTTCTCAAGGCCCTCTGTTAATACCTCCAGAAATTCCATATCTAAAACGAGCAGAGTATGGTTAGGCTTGCAAAACGATCGACCTTATCAGGATCTTACAATTGCTTTCACGCTCCGCTCTCACTTCCCTAGGAGGTCCAGGTAAATTCATTATGACCAACTGGGCATCCTGTGACTTTTCTACAATAACTTCGTTTAGTTTTATTGCTGTGTGCATGCGACGAACATTGAACTCATCCCTGTGGAAACGGATTTAGTTAGCATATGGTAAAGTAAAAGAAAGTTTTCCCATACGGTTTCACACTGGACTTAAAGTCTCCGTCGGCTTTCTCTGTCGATTCATCCTTGTTAGAAGTAGTTTCGGGTGTGTCCGCGTTTTCGGGACCATCCAAATCAATTGAGTTACGTTTCTCGTCGTTCTGAGAATCCTGCAGAGTTATGATTAAAAATTAAATCAGAAATCTAAAACTGTTCACGTCCTCGAGTTGAAATGACAAGTGCCGTCGATTTTGGAAACTCAAAACATCATGTAAAATCAATGGTAAGAAGCCAAAATATCACTTAAACTTAAACTTATGTCAACTCAGAAAGGGATGTTACTATGGAGGTATGGTCTATATTATAATGTTTCAGGCTTACATTTGATGAGCTCGTTATTCTCACTTAACTCTATATTTATGTATATATGTTCTCATGTGGATTTTTGAGAGATTAGAGACAATTATAAATAAGAATCTAAAAGCAGTACATACGTGGTGTTGTATTTCTTCTATAGTTGGATCGGCGAAGCGAACTTTAGACGCCGTTTTGGTGGCGTCATAATGGTGGTCTACAATTGTTTGAACCTGAAAATGTTACCATGAGGAGTATGAGAAAATAGGTTGCAGAAAAGTAGAGAGGCCAATATTAGAGGAGGAAGTAACTATTCTCGGGATGCATTTCGCAAAGCAGGTAAATTTTATTATTCGGGTAAATAAAGTTTATACCGAAGCATTTACTATTCTTTAAGCAAGTGTATTGACTATTTAAAAAGCTTTTTAATTATAATTTAACGGCAATTCTTCGATGCACCGAAGCATTTCAAAACAAGATAGGAACACAATTGACTAATTTTGACAGAGATTCTCAGATAGATTTGGGCTCAGACAGCTAAAAGTAAGTCTGCTGATAAAGGCTACTCATAAAGAAATTCCGATAGTAAGTGTGGAGAATAATTTAGAGTGGGTACAGTTAAAATAGATAGGGGTGAGCGTTAGCAACATCACATCGACACAACACAAAGGGAGTTAATGATCTGTATGAGAATGAAAGGAGCTCACATGCTCCCGCCAAAAAATGCACTGATGAGACACACATAATCAGGTTTCGTACAAAGTTCGGGCTATGAAAAGTTTGTATCTTGATATATCAATATAATCATTCTGTTTATACTCTTTACCAAAGATAATTTATTATCACTGGGTGTTTCCTTAAAGTCCATAATAGTCTGAACCTTTTGATTTTCAAATATATAAAGTGTAAAATTTTAATTTGGATCTCAGATAGTAAAATGATGTGGAGATTCGAAATACATGAGAAACAAAGGGTGAGATGGTTTCCTCTCAACTGTTACTCAAATCAAAATACGCAACCTTTAAAACGAACGAATATAAAACTATGCTAATAAAGATAAAAGTAAATGAAAGACTAAATGTGCATTATGGCCGTGTAAATAAAACAAGAATGAGTTGAACGTATGAGCCTCTTCGTTTTGAGGTGTTACTGATGCAGAATGGATGTCGTGAATGGCAGCCCACCCGAATATTGACCACTTACCACTTTGGAGTTTTCTTTCTTATTTAAACCTAATGCTCTCAGCATCTGATTACGCTGTTCCATCATCAGAGTCCGCTCGTAGGTGTAAGCTGAGATGTCACTGTTGTTCTGCATAAATAAGAAAAAATGAATTAGTAGGGGTTTCGATTGACCCTTCTAGGGATTCTATACCATCTCAACAACTTCAACATCCGCCTCAATGCGGAGATGGTACAGGAATGTCTTTAGATCCTTCTTCATTTGGATCGAGTTGTCCTCGATTTGAGCAACTGTGAAGATCCTCAGCTTGCAATTGCGCCAGGTGCGGTGTTGCTTCAGCAGGAAGGGCAGCAGCATGAGCAGGCCACCGTCGTGGACAATCCACCAGATGTCGATGTTGCCACCAATCTAAAACAGGACTTCCCGTTACTGCAGGAAAGTTACGATTAAGGTGCGATAATACTACTTTGTGGTTTGACTCCGGGTAGAAGTTGATGCCCTTGGGCACCATGAGGGCCATGTGGCAGGCGGCCACTGTACGGACCGTCTGGATGAAGGTCTTCCAGCTGTTCCTGCCCTCCTGCCGCCAACTGTAAGGCCACCCGATAATAACGGTGTTGGGCTTCATGCCTCCGAGTCCAATAGTTTGGATTCTGATTACACAATTATATAATTAGTCCTATAATAAATTATCCCCTATCCAACTTACACTGAACTAAGGCCCTCGCCGATCTGCTGGGCGACCAACACATCGCAAAATCCCTTTACCTTCTCATCGGTCATGTACTTGCGCAGCGTGGCCTTTGCGTCCACGGCCTTGTTTGTTATCTTGGTGTGGTCGCCCTTTATCACAGACACACAGATCGTCAGTCCCTTGCCGGCTTTTAGCTGGGTGGCGAAGGAAAATATCTTCCTGTACTTTGGCAAGAGGTTGTCGTTGAGCTTCGAGAGCACCAGGATCTGGGGACGCCAGTTCTTCGTGTGCGGTGGGCCTTCCTCCAGGCGGAGGAGCGAGTACCTGGCGGCGGTGAGGGCCATTCCACGGATGCCGTCACCCCACTCCTTCTCGGCACTGAAAGTCATCGGGAGATTAGGCGCTGTTTGCTGCAAAGTGTACCACACGACTTACCCTCGGTACTCGATATACTTGTAGATGACTATTGCCATTCCCATGGCAATCAGGGCGAAGTACCAGGAGGTCATGATCATGACTGATATGCAGAGCGTTAGGCCAATCAGCGAGAGGCTCCAGTGGTAAAACTTGAAGCGCGGTCTCCAGTTGGGCGTCCTAAGCAAAGTCTGCACGGCACAGGCCAAGTTCACAAAGCCGTAGCACATGAGGAAGAACATGGAAAGCAGCGGCGCCAGCAAGTCCACGTTACCTGCGGGCATTCTGGGGATATAGCCACGAAATCGGAATAATTAAGAGCTTACCTAGCAGAATGCCGCACTGGCAGATGACGATGGTCAGGAGAAGGGCCCGCGTGGGCTCGCCGCGACTCGAGGACTTGGCGAAGGGAGCCAGGAAGGGGATGATCTCGTCCCGGGCAATCGCCTGCAGCAGGCGGGGTGCTCCAGTCAGACTCTGCAGGCCAGCGCCCAAGGTGGACAGAAAGGAGCCGATCAAAATCACCCACTGGTTGGGCCAGGCGATGTTGGCCACGACCAGCTTGCCACCGATGGACTGACCGAATCTAAAGGGGAATACCATTTAGAATCAGAATATGTTGGGCAGGAGGGCACTACTCACTTGTCCCTCAGCAAGAGGTTGTCCACTGTGCCGGCAAAAAACAGCACGCTGGACAAGTAAACCGTGCTGGTGGTCAGAATGGCGCATATCGTTCCGATGGGAATGCTCTTCTGGGCGTCAGCCAGGTCACCCGATCGATTGGATCCAGCCATGATGCCTGGTTTCAGAAGGATGTATACATATCATGGAGACCATGCACTAGAACTCTTGAAGGCACCAACCTGTCACCGAGGGGAAGAAGATGCCGATGAGCAGCGTAAACGACGTTGTGATGTCGGCCATGATCTGATTGTACGACTGCCCGCTGGTGTTCTCGATGTCGACCGCGTTCTTTCCGTATGCTATGAACTGACCCTTTTCCAGGAACGAGGGAAAGATGTTGTCGTAGAAGACCCCGCTAGCCAGACCCTTGATGCCCTGCACTTGGGTCACGTTGTTGGCTATGGACCCGGGATAAAGTATTGTAGATTCGCTCGGGGGACACATCTCTTAAGAAATCCTTACCTAAGAAGTACTCCTCACACTTTCCACCCGGGCAGTATATGTCGCGCATAAAAGAGTCCTCCTTTGTGCAGTTGGCAATGGGGATGTCCTTCAGGAGTCGCTTGCCCAGAACACACATCCTGTAATCGAGCAGAGCTTAGAATTCAGATTTAAGGGAGCCCTAAATTACTTACTGTAACTTGTCGTTGCCATGGATATTGTCAAATATTCCCACATACACCGCTATTATTGACAGGATTACACAGGCGAGGGCCACCGTTGCAAACTTATTAACGAACTTCACGCCCACAAACACGATGAGACCTGGATGGGGGCAAGGACATTAACTTTACAGCCTTCAACTTGAGGGCTTAGTATAACTCACCCATAAAAATGAGCAACAGAGTGCCGTAGACCCTGAAATTGTTGTACATCGCGTCGGCATCTTTGGTGAAATCACCGAATATTGATGCCCACGGCGCCATGTATGTCTGAAGGCAGTGAATAATTAAGTGAGGCAATAATTAACATTAACATTTAGGTAGGCTCTCAACTAACCAATACGATTTCCACAGCACCAACAATGTACATCGCCGCTGCCAGAGTGGTTCCCGTATAGAACAGCATTCCCACCGCTCCACCGAACTCAGGACCAAGGGATCTGTTTCGAGAAGATATTAGATTTGAATCGATTATTGGCCTCATATGATTACCGTGATATCATGAAGTAACTTCCTCCCGCCGGAACCACTCCATTCGTTGCAATGGCCGACATCGAGATCGCAGTAAGCATTGTCTGGAAAACATGTTTTGTATGAACACCCGAAGAATACATCCCCTTCAACTACTCTTACCACACAGCAGCAGGTCAGCACGATTAAGAATCCACACACGGCGCCGGCCGTTCCAACAACCCATGTTAATCGAATGAACAATATGACACCAAAGATATTTTGAATGCATGGCAAGAACACTCCAATTAGGGTACCTTTAAAATTTGGGGACGGTTAACCGTTAGTTAAATTTCGGTGCCAGAGTTATTAAGTATTTCGCGACTCTTAATGTTGCACAGTGAAGGTTAAACCACTTTAAGGGGATTAAAGCAATCATTCTTCGACAGCTCACTCGAGCTGCGAACATTGCAGTCCATTGTCTGCTTCGAGTGCTTTTCAATGTGAAACAAGAAACAAGCAAGTTAATTAATTCGCCGCGAACATACCCATTCGAGCCGATGGAGCTGCCGGCTTTGCATCGGGATCGGTGGCCGCTGGTATCGTGTTTTCATAATTGGCAATTGATGAAATGAACGTTGATATATGGGGCCTGGTCTCCAAATCATCATCGTACAGATAGAGATTTGGATCGATATTGGACTTCTGGTTTTCTTCGGCCCTGTGGATATCACCTGAGTCTGGAAGAAGAAGACGAACGTTGCCCATGGTTAATGACAGCATTCGGACTTAGCTTTCGCAACAACGTGAGGAAACCTTCTTTTTACATAGGACCCATCACACCAATCCGGACATACCTTCATTTTTTGGGTCGTGCGATGTTCCATTGTGTTCGGATGGTATTATTTCCATTTCATCCGAGTCATCTTTTGCACTGTTATTTTGCATGTTAACGTTATGTTTGGCTCAAACCCTTGCTCTATATTGCAATTTTTTCACTTAAAATTAGGTAACACTAGAGTGCGGACAAGAATTAAATGGGCTTAGCTTAGAATGAGCTCTACGTGACGGCATTATATAACCGAAAGGCGTGGCCGATTCGGTGTATATTCACATGCCTAAGGACGTGTACCTATATACTCGAGATTCGAGATTTCGGAAAGGAGTTCATAATCGGGAAATGCCCCGCGGCCTTCGGATTCAAAATTCAGCGGGGAAAGGAGGGATGCTGTGCACTCGCAGCTTCGAAATTGTGCCAGCTCAGACAGAAAAGTATGTAACCGATAAATTTAGGTCAAGGATTTTCAGGCCACCATGGTGGGGCGGTAAATAAATGCCGTTAAGTCTTCCTTTTCACTGTAATGCGGCTCTCGAGTTGGCAAAATGCATAAAAAAGCGAACGCTGCTGAAAACTGTTACGAAATGAATGGCTTGGCGCTTCTATGTGGGAATGCAGGCCGAATTCCCGAACTAGATAAAAATTAGTAATTTTCCGCCTCTGAAATGCACACACTTTGCAATGGAACGCACTTTTATTCATGTATTTGATTATTGTTAGAATTTCGTCGATTGTTTAAAGTATGTTATTTGTTAAAGGTACTCAAAAAGAACTGGTTTTTCATTTTTTTATTATTATTTGAAAGAAGATGCTTTCTTTAATTATTTTCGGCGAGCGAAAACGCTCGGATGTATGCTACTTTTCGTGTGGATTAATAGAAAAACTAAGAAAACTGTTGGTATTCGGCCGAATAAAAATTATGTTGCCCAGGACCCTGAGCATTCAATTGAGATGAAATCGAAAGCTTTTGTCTACACACATTTTTAATACACACACTCTTCTTCGTGAGCGAACGCGATGCTGAGAGAGCGCCACTGCAGGTGTACATTTCTTCTCCTACAGCCCACTGAGCCAACGAGCCTTGGCCAGGACTCACCATCCACACAGCCCCACATCCGACCAACAGCCCCAGCACTCTCGCCCAGCATCCATTCCATTCCAGCGGAAGGGAAATCCAAGCGAAAAGCTGTTTTGCCTGGGCGGCACTCTCTCGGAGCTTTCCACAGGTAGAAGGAGCTTTGGCTCACAGCTGCCGCGAAATGTGTCAGCAGGACATCTTGGACTCGGGCAACTGGGGCAGCGCAGGATAGGATTGCAGGCCCGCAAGCTCTATCCGGGGATACAGTGGGCACTCGAGGGAAGGAGTGCCCAATAAGGCCAGCACTTTCATCTTTGCTTATAACTTTAATATACATCCCCCATTCATTGCCAATTATATGAGAGTAACAAATAATGTTGTTTTTAGAGGTTACCTCTTGCATTATTTTTTTTCTTAAAACACTAGTTATCCTTACCAGTATAGGACCCATAGTTCTCACCTAGGGTTTCGTCGTGGATGTCACCCAGAAGTTTTCCACTTGCAGATTCATCCTGATTATAGTCCAATACGGTGTCTTCGTCTGCTTTTGTGACTTGAAATCTATCTGGCATATTTCTGAATATAAGGCACTCTGAAAGCAGTGGAATTAATTAAGGTATTTCCCTATAAAAAAGAAAGTCAAACATCAAAAGCATTCCCGACAATCGTTATTCCACTTATATTGGTTCCGGATTTGTAAGTCGGGTAGTTAACATTTCGCCGATAAGAATACTATTTTGGCTTGTTTCGCATTCACATAAACCTAAAAGTCAATAATCTTTTGAGACAGTTGTTTTTTCAGCCTCACCCTGTTAAGTTAGTACCCCGTGATCGAGGGTTCTTTAAGCTGCTTCACATTATTTGCATAATATATATTACCGTCACATGACTATTGAAGTTGTGCGAAAAAAATTACACCTTTGATTTATGCTCCACTTTCCAAGTAAGATAAAAGTTGTTTTCGATCTCTTCGCGCTAATCGGTTTACTCTTTTATTGTGAAAATAAGATAAGAGCTTTTAGTACGATTCTCGGGTGTTATGTCACGTTCTTTGATATAAAAAATATGACTTAGTTTCTATCAAAGATAGGGTTTAAGAATTTCAGCTTTTGAGACTTATATAACTTCAGTTCATCGTTCATCAGTGGTCTCATTTTGAATATTTGAACAACACCTTGGCGGCATTTAAAATGTCCAGCGCCACTGTAATTTTAGCCTGGACTGATAAAGGAAAAATAAACAAAAAAATAGTCATGCACGAGCAGAGAAATTTGGGAGAGCATCGGAGATTATTTGGAGCTATCAATATCTAGACACACTTGCTCAATCCGCATGTATATATGTACATATATGAACTCAGAGCTTATTAAGATCGGGTCGCATCTCGATTTCGGTTTGAAAACGAGCAGAACAGATGGCCAAAGTGGGGGTCTAATTCATTGATAAGTGCATAAATCTGTTCTCATCGATTGGGGGCTTCTTAGTACCCCCATACACACGAAATCGTTCCATAGATTAACGTAAATACTGCGGAACCACAACCAAAACCAAAAACTGACTGGAAAGCGCATATTATCTAATATATATATTTAAGGCCAAAGGGTTCGATTCGATCCGCGGATGTACGGAAATCACTTCCTGCAGTCCTGAACAATCAGACATACGTACGGAACAAGTCGGGAATGCTTTTGGCTCGGGGAAAATATAATGTTTACGCGCAGCGAAATTTTTTTCCATTTACTTGAGCAAGCGCCTTGAACAACTCGCTTTTCACCGTCGATCCACTTGTGCTAACTAACGTCCTTTCTCGGTTTTTATTTGTTTCTTAATGAGCTCCACTCTTCAGCCAATTTTTTAGTGAACTTTTCAATTGTACGAATAAAATAAAACTATCATATTAAAGGCGCATGAGTAATACAAAATGATTTTCCACTGTATATACTTTGGAATCGCGAGTGGGGGAAACTGTTGTATTAATGAAAAGTCTAATTGAAATCAAATGTAACGCATAGGGGACGCATGAATTCCGATTGTATTTTGGAAAAAAGTCCGCCAGTGATATATTTATTGCAATTAGCGCCCCAAATCCCCATGATACCATCTTATGATAATTTCCTTCTCACTGTTTGTGAACGCAAAAAATTACTGATTCTGAGCAAAGTTTATAAGGCAGTTAAAATGCGCCCAGTGGCTATAAATGCATACGATGTGGGTGTGTATAAATGGATAGAAATTTTGGTCGCAGGAAAACAAATGTATAATTTTATATTATAAATGGCGCAGCTTGCACTTATCGTGAATTATTGTGCATTATGACGTACAGTGTTTTCATATTTTTTGTCATTTTTGGGCTGGAAATTAATCAAAATAAATTGTGTGGGAAAAAACATTAGCCATGGTTTTAGTCAAGCAAAACTCTTTAAATGTAGAGAATTTATATATTTACATATTATTGCGCATTTTAACCGATAGTTACAAATAGTTATTCGGGGCACCTTAATCGCATTGCCTAGAGGGTTGTCAAAATAATTAAGGACTTTTTATTTAAGACTAAGTGATTAAATATTACACAATAAACTTAGATTATTCAAATTTAAAAGTGAATAATCAGCTTTTCTTATTTTTAGTCTTGCGATAGTATCGATACACAAATTGGTATTGGCAGAAGCTAGACAAGCGTATGTCTTTAATAGTTTTACTACCATTAACAATTGTAAGTCTAGGTTTTTTAATAAAAAAAAATAAGTAAATATATTCGGTAAAAATTTAAAAAATAAATATAAATATAATCGATAACACCATCTAGATTCTAGATGCGAGAAAGCTGCTGGGAGTACAGGGGCACTCGTGTGTGCTTGCGGATTTCCCGAGTCGCCTGAGCGACCCTGTGCTTCCCGCGAACTTATGCCATTTCTTTTTCGTTTCGGCGTCGCTCATCGTGTCTGGTCCAACTGAAGGTAAGCTGGATTTAACAAGTATTTCTGTGTGATAAGTAATTAATTAAGGGGCAGTTCGTTGGGCCTACTTATGAGTAAAGTCCCGTGCGATAAAGGCGACAGAAATTTTTTAGTTTCCTTTACAACGGTGCAAATTGATTCACCACGTGTTTTCGAAGAACGCAATGTGTGGTAATTTGATTGAATCGCACATGCACACACACACATTTTTGCCTGCCGAACGAATGGCGTATTAGTTTTAAAAACGCCCTTCGGTGTGTGCAAATGCTAAGTTCTATAATATTTAGCCACACAAATAAACATGTAGTTCAAGTTTTGCATAGGCATTCAGTCTGGGATTCCTTCACAGTTGTAATTTTCTGTATGCCTGTCATATGCAATGTATGTATGCATGTACACATGTGTTCATCAGTCTACATCAATTGCAAAACGAAATTAAATTTTTTACTCAAAAACTAAGAAAACTTTAATCTTTCAGTGAAATCAGCATTTATTAAAGAATGGACGCTCCGCCAGAGGGAAACGTTGACCCCGAGTCCTGCAACGAAATAGAGGATGAGAAGTCTGGTTCCGAGTGCCAGTCGATGTGAGTAGTGACGACATTTTGGCAGCCAATCAAGGACATAAAATAACATCCGAACCATCCCACAGGCCGGCCTACATGAACTCGGTTCTGAGGCGTCAATACCTTCAAGAAATGGTCAAGTCTCTGCCAGCTCCGGTGCAGAATCGTATTGTGTTCTTGAAAAACCTGCAGTTGGAGCACCTGAAAATAGAGGCCGAGTTTTTTGAGGAGGTCTACAAGCTGGAGCAGAAGTACCAGATCAAATACCAGCCGCTGTTCGACAAGCGCAGGGAAGTCGTCGAGGGCAAGGTAGATCCCGCCGAGGAGAAACCCAACTGGAAGGAGCCAGAGCAGTTGACGGACAACGAAGCAGATGCTGAGCACTTCCGCGAGGCGCTCAAGAGTTTGAAAAGTATTCCCCAGGATGCCAAGGGCATTCCCGACTTCTGGCTGACGGTGTTCCGCAACACTGAGATTCTCTCCGAAATGGTGCAGCCCCACGATGAGCCGGCCATGCGCAAACTGACCGACATATCCATTAAGTACGACACTGGGGTAAGTTTTGTACTGTTAATTGTTTGTTTGCAAACTAACAAACGTTTTCTCCAGCATTCGTATACCTTGGAGTTTCATTTCGACAAGAACGAGTACTTCACCAACTCTGTTCTTACAAAACAGTACGTGCTGAAGTCTACTGTGGATCCCGACGACCCGTTCGCATTCGAAGGTCCAGAGATTTATAAGTGCACGGTATAGAAACTTGACAAGCTAACCCTTCTAAGTGCTTACTCATAGTAAAACTTGTTAAAGGGCTGCACCATCAATTGGGAGAAGAAGATGAACCTGACCGTCAAGACCATCCGAAAGAAGCAGAAACACAAGGAGCGTGGCGCTGTGCGCACCATTGTCAAGCAGGTTCCAACAGATTCTTTCTTCAATTTCTTTAATCCACCAGAGGTTCCAACCGGCGAGGAGGAAATAGATGACGAATCTCAACAGGTATGTTTGCCCCGATAGCAATTAACTCCAGACATGCTGCTAACTTTTTGACACGTTAAAGATATTGGCAACCGATTTCGAAATTGGGCACTTCTTGCGCGCCAGAATTATTCCAAAAGCGGTGCTTTACTATACTGGCGACATTGTTGATGATGAGGACGACGAAGATGAGGAGGAGTTTGACGAAAATGAAGATGATGAATACGACGATGATGATGCCCCGCCAGCAAAGGGCCCAAACAAACCTACCGGCAACAAGAAACAGTCGCCCAACGACTGCCCGAATCAGTAGGCATATTGATATGGATGGTTTACCGATATAATGTATATACATAATTCAAATTTGATTTGAAATATATTTTTGGTGAATTAAAAGTAAATACAAATGATTATGAGCTGAATTCTAATAAACCGCACAGGATTTTTACCTCGTTCATTGAGGCTTAAAATTATATCTTCTCAAGTATTTGTCATTAATTTGTGTGAACTCATAATTTAAATCATGTATATAAGCATATTTTAAATATATGTATAACAAGAAAGGAAGCTGTCTTCCGCGGGCCGAAGCTTATATACCTTTGCAATCATCAAATATGTCGAACAAAATACATAAAGGCTAAACAACGTCGAATCTATGCCACTTAGTTCTGCTTTTTAATGAAATTTATTTCGAAATTTGAGAGGCGTTAGAGAACTATATTCCAAAAATGATGATTGTTTGCTAAAAAACAACAAAAAAATTCGTTGATTAATATATAATATATTAAATTATATAGTTATCCGATTTTGATAAAACCGAAATTCGATAGTAGCTAAAACACCTATCTGGAAGGAATCAAGTCAATATGATCAAAAACAAAGGCGTGAGAATTTTTTCGATCTCTCGTATGGGAGCTTTTCGATATCGTCGCTCGATCCGGACCGTTCCGACTTATATACTGCCTGCAATAACTACACAACTTTTGAAAACTTTTCAGCAATATAGCTTTAAAACTGAGACTAGTTTACAAAGAAACGGGCAGACGTACAGACGTATTCGAGATCGAGATGATGATCAAGAATATATATGTACACTATGGGGTCAGATGTGTCTCCTTCACTGCGTTGCAAACTTCTGACTGAAATTATAATAGCTTCTGCAAGAGTATAAAAAGAAATGGATTTAAATTATCGTTGACAATGCAAGGGGTAACTCGGCTGTATAGCGCTAACTATTATTTTTTACCAGCAGCTTAAGTTGTTTTTTGGACAGGTTATATGGGTAGTGCAAGCTAGTTGGGACAAAGATCTGTCCAGTGACTTGAGTGTCGAAGTTTTCGTCATAACCAACTGTATAACCGTCTGGTACCTTGGCTGCTTTTTGCCAGCTAAAGCACTCTGGAGGCGTTGAGTTTAAAGCATAGAAGGGATAGTCAAAGGTATTGATGTATATGTCGACGCAAAGCCCATGGCTTCCCAAATGAAGTTGACTGGCTACCGAGGGCTGTTTGAGACCACAACTGCCCAGCATAACGTTCCGGTGACACGAGTACACAAAGGTGCCTTTATCCCTACTCGAGTGGAAACACTGAACGTGTCTTCCTGCTTTCGAGTGATCAGTTGCAATAGGATCGAATCCGGGTCCAGCCATATCGCACGCTGAAATGTAATGAATATTTAACAAACTAGGAACAAATTGGAAAATATTTTAAATACCTACTATCAATGTTTTCGATTATGTGATTAGGCCTCAAAGATCTCCCCACTGCTGAAGCCAGTTGTCCGCCGAAGCTAAAGCCAAACATATAGCCGTGTTTTGGGTCGAATCCTTGCTTAAAAAGCGTTAAAATTATTGACGATATGGCTCCAGTAAGGGTGTCGAAGTTTGTATATAACCTTTGAATATTTCCGAATCATAATAGGAATTTTTGTATTGCAGTGGGATTACCTCATGTATGAAGAACTGGCCACTACACTGTAGTCAATGCATATAACGCAACCGCCCCGGTAGAAACTAAGCCCTAAAAATTGTTTACATATTTAAATGAAAAATTCTAAACATTACATTTTTCTTACTATCAATAAGAGTCAATGCCCATTCGTCCGAGCAACTCTGAATCCACCCATGTAAAACTATTGCGAATTTTTCAGAAGGTGAACAACCGGATCCCTTGAGATCATAGGTATCGTCATAAGCTGGTGTTTCCAATGTTTTGGTGTTGTTCTTATAAAAAATAACTTTCATGGTCTTCTGGGCCTCATATTTGATTCTCTGTTGGTAGGCTTAAAAATAAATTTTACCATTTCGTTAATAGTAGTTTGTAATTTCTTTAAATCTCTCACCAAAAGACTCATTTTTTGAATAAGCTGCTTGCTTTTGCCTCAAAATAGCATATTTAAGATTAAGTTTAGAACATATCCCATTAATTAAAAGTTGAATTGTTAAAATATTTAAGATTAAAGAAGAGGCACTGAACAAATGCATCGTTATTTACAAATGGCAAAAAGGTAATGCTGGCACAAATTTCACAAAACCAGTTTGGTGGGATCCCAATGATGCTTTCTATGTTGAGCCAGATCGATATTTTTGTGGGATACTGGTAATCGATTAAGATTCAGTTTTGGCGCCAAAGCATGACTTTCGAGCAAGAAATTAAATTATACGTTAATAAATGCATGAACAGTTGTTTCCGAAGAAGAAATCATTATGAATAAATTATTAGGTATTGCATTCTTTTTTATTTCCAGTTAAATTATTTCTCTTTTCCTAAGTAGAACATTTTTCATTGTCATCAAAATCCAGTGAGTTAAGAACATTTACATCCAGCTCGGGGTCCGCGTACTCCAAAATATTGAAGTCATCTCCGATATCAGAAGTAAGGGACTTCAGGAGGTCATCATCGTCGCCTTCGCCGAGTCCTAGCAAATCGCTAAATCCAACGTTTTCCAATTCCACGGCACAAGATGTGGCCTCCTGCGGCTCGGTCATCTTCACATCCTGCTCCAAGGCCCTGCCTTCAGGCGGCTGAGATTTCCCACTAATGCTCAACATTGGATTGTTCTGGGTTATCGGGGTATTTTGCATCACGCCCAGCCGCATGACATCATTTGGTAGGAACAGGTCAGAGTTGGCTCCCATTAGCATCGGTTCCGTGCTGTTCTTTTGCAGCAGATTGCGTAGCTTCTTATCACCGATCGGTTCGTTTCCATAAACCGTATTTAATGACAGTCGATTGTCCACAGGTGTTATTTTCAAAGTTGCAGCTGCTGTTGCATGCACCTGAGTCCTTTGCGACGTGGCTTTTATCACCAAATTATCGTTGACATTTGGCATCACACTTTGCGGATTAGGGTTATTGGTCGTTGGCTGCGCCTGGTTACCCACATAGGTAGCTACGCCATAGGCATTTCCATCTGAACGAATACATAATAAATAAAACGTTCTAAGGATTTTTATAAAGTACTCACTGTACGTGACAAACATGTTCGGTTGATCCTCCTTCAATTTAGGCTGCTGTTTCCACACTCTCCCAATTTCTTCCTGCTTTTGTGGTTTCGGAGGCATTGGAATCTTGTTTTGCTCACGCCTCTGCCGAAGAGCCGAGCGATTGTCCTTTGCCTTTTGCAGGAACGGAGCCTTTTTCTCGTTGCACAGCGAACGCCACCTCTTTAAAATTTGCTTGCAGCGATCATTCCAGTTGGGGAACAAGTCCTTGAGGTCCGGATGTTCCGTATTGGCATACAAAACGGCAGAAATGGTAGCCATTCGACCAAGGTCTGAAAAAGAAAGTTAATTAAGTAAAAAATCGGATATTCTTTAACACCACTCGTACCCTCGTCCTTGCGCATTTTCTCTGCTGTCTTTTGAGTGCCAGCATTTAAATTTTCTGTGACGGGTTCCGCAACCTTGGGCTCATCCTCTGGTCTCTTTTGGGATTCCAAAACTACTTGCCCCATCATAGTTTGCAAATTTTGCTTATTAACATTTTGTGCCTTTAACTGATCTGTCTGCTGACGGAAGTGAAGCTGTTGTGCGGAATTCACCGAAATATTTCCCGGCAAGTAAAGCTGGTTATGAAACTTTTGATCCTGAGGCAACTGGTTAGGCACCATGTAATTATCGACCAACATTACTGGCGACTCCCTGTATAGCAAAATAAATAAAATTCAACTTCGGAAGAATAATTTAAGCCCTTAAGACTTACCGCATTGGCTTTTCAATAATTTCTGATGATGGAACCGCATTTACTGGGTTTGCTGGGTCTAGTTCTGAAATATTTGGTGAAGCCAAAATGTCCAAGGGGTGTCTATTGGCAAACACTGTGTTTGAGATTTCCGTATGTAAAGGATCTGTAATAAAATTTCTTCGTCGATTAGGTCTGACAAGGTAATCAAGATAATGTTCAAATTATTACCAAACACATTCGAAGTAGGCGCAATTGCGTTTTTTTGCTGATTAGCCATTGGCATTTGCTCAATGAATACGGTCTTATTGTCGGTTTTCTGCTCAGATTTGACTTTCTTTAGGGACTTTGCTGGACTCTTATTCACCGTGGCAGACTCTTGGTAAGCAGGGCTCTTGCCTTCGGGTCGGGTGAAATATACCTTCATGGAAGCATCGATTTCGTCAGAAGAATCCGATTCGGCCATGATAAGTTCGCCACCTTCCAGAAGAGGCTTTCCAAAGAACGCCTCTTGCAGATAGACAGGATAGGCTTCAATGAGCTTGTTTTTTTGCTTTTTCCGTATGATTTTCTTCTTTTTGTCCATGGCCATCATCGAATTTAACTGATCAGCCGCCGTCGTCTCCTCACTTTCCTTTTTTAGACCGCGATTGCGAACGGAGAACCCTCCAATGCCCAACTTCTGCAGATTGCGTTGTCGCTTTTTACGTAAAATATGAACTCCCTCGTCGTTGGTGGAGATGGTGAAGCCCTCGGGAATTGCGTTCTCCGTTCCATCCCAGATCATTCCGTCCTTGTACTTCTCAAGGGTCTCTTCAGCGCCGCCATCCGGCAGTCCGTCCTTTCCGTTGCCAATGGGCTGTCGCATCTTGCGCTTCCGCTTGATCTCCGTGGACAGTGACTTGATCATGCCCAATCCGCTCTCGCTAAGGCACACGCCGTCAATCCAATGGAGGGCCTCTGGGGCAGCATCTGGCAAATCGCCGGACAAGGAAAGATGAGACCGCTCGATGCCGCTCTTCGCATCGAAACTGGATCCGGAGGCTGTTATCTGCACCAATGCTTTGCTGGACTGGGAACCGATGGCAAGTGTGTCGTCATTGCAAAACTTGGCATCTAAAACGGTCAACGGGCTCTTCGTGGAGCAGCGACACTTCAGGCACTTGTACACATTATTGTCGTAATAATCTATGGTTAGCTGGGCGTTGATGGTGTCGCAAAAAAAGTGCGACCAGAGCTCACACTGCTCGCATTGGATGATCATCTCGCCGTTGGCGTACGAATTCTTGCACACGAAACAAGACGATTGACTGGAGCAGGGCAGGCACTCTACCATGTTCGAGTCTCCGAACTCGTTCTTCTCTGTCGGATTGCGTCCGCATTTTTGGCACAACGTGCAGAACGAGCATTTCCAGTTGCCTGTGGGCACTGTTTCAAGTGGAGGATTCACACAGTAGATGTGGTAAGAAATATCGCATTCGTCGCACAGGAGAAGACGGGCCTCGTCGTTCTTCTTGCCACATCCCTCGCACACAGTGCAGTCCAGACAACGCCAGCCTTTCAAAAGAATGCCCCGCGATGGTTTGACCCCGGCGCAATAAGGGTGATAGCATTGGCCACACTGGGCACAGGTGATCATCGCTGAATCGCTCTCGATGCCAAGCGAACCACACATCACGCAGATGTCCTGGGCTTGAATGAACTTGTCCCGCGCCGAACAGAGCAGCAGTTTTTTGTCGCTCGTTAAATCAGTGTCCATGGTGCGACTGAGGCATCGATCGCTTGGGATGTTTGGCAGAACGAGCTGGCGTCCCTTACCACGCGTGCTGCGCTTTTTGTTGATTTGCGACATGACACCCATGCGGTGCAAAACGAACTTTCCGCTTCTGCCGCGTACATTTGAAAGCCACACTTTTTTCTTGACGGTGGGCAACTTCGGTAACTCATCGCTAGATGGATCCAGTAAGGGTTTGCCCTCCAGCGGGTCTAGTTCTATTTCCTTGAGGTTCAGTTGCTCAGAAGACGAATCCATGGCGGACAACACGATTGAGTCGATTGCTTGTTGCGATTGCCCTGAACTCGATGAATTACTCTTACAATTGGGGCACACGTAATCATAGTCAGGGTTTTGCTCCTTCTTTTTGTGGTAAGCTGTTAAATCCGCCTCCTCGTCACATGTACTGTGCACAAATCTGAAATCGAAATTCATGGAGAATCGTGAATGCGTATCTAATACGCCAGAAGCGAGCAAAACGTACTTGTGGCACCAACTGCACTTGACCATTTCCTTGTGGGAAGCTGCTCTGTATGCCTTCTGGCAAATAGGGCACGAAAAACCCTTGTTCCGCTGCTGATAACAAGAATCACATATTGTGTAGTGACTGTGCCAGCGGGATGAACTCCCGCCACCAGGAGTTCTCGAGCCGCAGTCTGTGCAGACGCGACAACGCTAAAAAGAGTATAGTATTCGTTGGCAATCCAATTAAAATATATTTAATATTATGCTTACGTTGCACTTCCAGCCGTATTTCGGAATTGCTGAAATAACAGGTCGCAGGCAAGAGGCATGATAGATCTTTTGGCACTGCTCACACTTGACATACTTGGTGTCGTTCGAGTCCTGCTGCCTGCAAATCTGACACTTGGTGCAGCGGGCGCAGTTCCACCCAGACCGGGTATCTAGTAAAGGAGCGGTTATCGTGATATTTAGAGGATCGAATATTTGACATTTCTTACCCGGCAGATTGGCCAGACCAATACAAGTTGAGTGGAAGTGATCCCCGCAGGTACTACACATAATTAGTTTGGAAAGGTCGCCTAGCGAGGAGCACGATAGGCATTCCACGTTGTTATCGCTGCCTGCAAGTCGAACCATTAACCTCTGGGGGAGATTAGAAACTGACCACTTACATATAACAGGCACTTGGCTCAAATGCTCCGTGCAGAAGACCGTAAAGCTCTCCAGGATGAGAAGGCACCCGGCGGCGGCAGCGCATGGCCAGTGATGGACCTGGCGGCAGTTCATCTTGCAGTTGACGGAGGCCCCATAGCGACCGCAAAAATTGCATTTCTGCTCCAGAAACTCGCCAAAGTGGATGGCAAAGTACGCAGTGTCCGCGTCGCTCAGTTGGCTCTTTCGCAGTGACCACATTATGCACATGCGGTGCACGTAAACGAAGCCCTCGTCCAGAAACTCGGTGGGGTGCACCACCTCCAGCTGTCCGATCTTGTCCAACTCGTAGTGGCACTCGCCCCCGCTGAAAGGGGCCTGTTTCAGGCCGTAGTGCATCCTGGATCCATCTTCCTTTAGCCGATCCGCTGGGTATTTATCCCTGAGTTCAACGGGCGCGGGTCCCTTCAGCTGAAGAATCTCGCCCTGGCCCAAGGCACTCTTTTCTCCTAAGTGGCACAAGCAGCACACTTTGCCCGGAAATTTTTCCGGGAAGTACGGCAAGTCGTCGACCAGCGCCTTCTCCTCCATGCTCGCAACAACGTTCGTGCTCATCGTAACCCACTGAGTTTCATTAAAAAACACAAAATAGCCGCCGCTTATTTTGTATACATTACTCGACAGCCAAATAAAATGTAAGCGTGCAGTGTGCCCTAAGTTATCGAACTGCCGACAAAGTTTTCGGAAGCGATTTGCAATGAAAGAATCTATTTTGGTACAACATTAGTTCTCAGGTTAATTTCAAATTTGTTTTGTAAGTAAATGTATATTTTAGTTTTATGAATATAATGCATTCCAACTGATGTACAAATCAAACAGAAGCATCAATATTTGTTTGATATTATATGTACATTTTCGTTAACGCAATAACAGGTTTTCACGCCTTGTTATCGATAGCATTCGCCCATCCCTATTGGCCGCAAAAAAAGAATTTGTTTAGAACTCAGAAAATGTAAATAAAAAGTTACTTTTATTAATTAAATAAAAAAAAGATGGCTGTTTATCGTCCTCGAGGCACTTTAGCACGGGTGATCCATGCCAAGTTTCACAACGACAACTCCCTAGAAAACATAGACACTCGAAAGGTAGGAAATCTGTTTTTAACCTTGGAATGAGCAGTAGATTTATGAGCATTTGGTTATCGTTTAGTGGTATTCCTTAAACCACGAACTGCCGCAAAGGTTCCAGGCCATGTTCGTGCCGCTTGAGCCAGATGCTACGACGGTGAGCTGGCTTGAACGCACCAAGGCCCTGTCAGCGAATATCTGGACCCACTTGTGGCACGCTCTGGCCAGATCTATTCTACAGTTCTTTATGACCCAGACTGACATCAACGGGTTTCTGAAGCGCGGCTCCATGTTCATTCTGTCGGAGGAACAGTTCCGAAAACTACTCCTGGCGGGTGGCTTTCAACCTGCTTCTGGAGATGAACCGGTGAGCTTAACTGTTCTGCAGCTCGCCGTTGCTAATCCTCCGCATTTAAGGTTACGATACTAGACATCGGAGCTGGCGACGGGGAAATCTCCCTCCGAGTGGCCAACACCGTTTCCGAGCTGAGTGGCAGTGCAGGTCTTCAGGTTTTCGCCACGGAGGCCAGTTGGACCATGCGAGATCGCCTAAAGAAGCTGAACTTTAACGTGATCACCGAGATCAGCAGCCTGCAGAACCTAGAATTGATTCTGTGCCTTAACGTGCTGGACCGGTGCTTCGATTCCTTTAAACTGCTGGAGGATATCCACTTGGCACTCGCTCCTAATGGAAGGGCCGTGGTTGCCCTAGTACTTCCCTACATGCACTACGTCGAGACGAACACTTCGCATTTGCCTCTGCGTCCGCTTCTCGAGAGCAATGGTCGCGTGGCGTCGTTCGAGGAGGAGGCTGCCCGTTTCATGGAGCTGCTTGAGAATTGCGGCTTTCGCATAGAGTCTTGGACCAAGGCGCCCTACTTGTGCGAGGGAGATCTTCACCAGTCCTTCTATTGGTTGATCGACTTAATCGTTGTAATATCAAAAAAGACATTCTAGATCAAAGCTTCCAAACGCTACACAATACCCTCTGAACTATTGTATCCATTTTCCTCCTAGAGATAAGTGGCTGCATTGATAAACTGAGCATTTATACTTATTACAAACGTAGGCTATAAATTAGGTAAAGAATTTATTTCTAAACAATTACCAAAAATGTAAATGGAAGTTTATCCATGTTTAATTAAAAGGCGATAATTCAAAGCCGCGTTTAAAACTAAAATACCAAAATGTTTTTCTTTATAGTTTGAAAGAAATTTTTTTTGGATTAGCAAATAATGAAATAAGGACTATCAACATTTCTTTGGTTATCTTAACAGTTGATGTTTTTACGTTTACATCGTTTTGTTATTTGTAAAAATTACCTCCAGGTAGTTGTTTGCATACACAACCCTTTCAGTGTCCTCAGGGGAAGGATTGTGTACAGGTAATATTTCACGGTAAGGATTTTCGGTTATGTTGTAGACTCGCTGGACGGTGATGTTATTATTTCTGGCCACTGTATTGATGGCCGTCAAATCAGACATTGCCTGAATTTTTGAGATCGAGGTGTAGCATATGGGAACATTAAAAGATCGAAGGATAATAGATAAACATTCCTGCCAGTCGAACTGATCTGAATCTTCGTTTTTTGTGGTTAGCCCGCAGACAAGGCTCTGGGTTATTTTCCCTGTGTTAATAAAATCGGGCTGCAGAATGAGAATTAGGGTGGGATCCACATTATATATGTTTGCGAATTGTGAAAAAGTAAGTGAGTAAAAACGTTTGAGTACGGTTCGGTTTAAGTTCTTGAGATCGAAAATCGCCTCAACGTCTTCGATCTTGCCTAGTTCTTTCCCAATAAAATGCAACTCCAAATTTCGAATGCTTGGGTACTGTAGGAACAAGAACCTGATGTGAATAGATTGAAAGTATCGCAGATGCTCCTCGGTGGCGCCCACCACATAAATGATGACGACTTTATCCGGATCATGGACCCAGGAAATGTTTGATAAAGCCAGACAAAGGCTGGCGATTCCACTAAAAGAGGAACAACTGGCGAATGTGTAGTACTCTTGCAAATCAGTCCATGGTTTATCGTTTATCTTCAGGGAGGTGGCTTTAATAAAAGCCTCAATCAGATGAGATTCTTTTAAAGGACTGCTTTCGTAGAATTTCCTGATGCTTATAAGGCAGTCCATTTGTCGGAATGCTGTAGAGATCAGAGCTAGAGTGCGACAATCCATAGAGCTATGAGTATCCTTGGCTAGATGACGGTGCTTCTCTGAGCAGTACGCCACACCGGCACATCCTACGCAGGCTTCCAGGTCTCCAGTGCTGAAGCAAATCTCGCATACGGCTGGGTTCCCTATAAGTTGAATTTCCCTCGGAAGAAGAGGTCTGTCTAGTTTGATCGACAGGATCAGTTTCAGCTGAGAAATGACGAGCTGCAGCTTTCTGCGATCCGAAATCCTTCCTTGCAGGAGCAATGGGCGGTTGATCTTCATTATCTTTTGGAGATCCCTAAGCACCTGGCAAATGGGTTGGTGTTCCGCACGATCCGCCAAAAGATGGGGAACGCCGCAATAGCGCTGCATTTTGCATCCCCTGCAAACAACTTTGGCCTTTACATGTCCTCTTTCTAGAAATTTCTGTAGCTTTGAAAGGTTATCTTCCATATGATTCAATTTTTCGTGGCTGCATATCAATATATCTTTCCAAATCTGCGCTTCATTGTAAACGCAAACGTAACACTTAAGGGACGATCCCAATGGAGGCTTTAAAGTTGTCATAGTTCAATTAGTAAATTCCTGCAAGTCGTGTGGTTAATGCATAAATCAAGCTCTTAAATACACTTTTAAATAGCCTTACCAAGTCCTTTAAAAAACGGGCATTTGCGCATTTACAACGTTTTCTTAACCGAATACTTTTAAAAGTTTAGCAGGTCTGGGTAATTAAGCGTACCTCTAGTCAGCTTACGGAGAACTAGTTCAATGGTTCAAGTCCAATAAAGATGTCGTTCTAACATATTTTTAAGTTTGTACATATATTTCTATGAAAATATACATTTAAAAAAATTTCTGGTAGCGGGCCTATAATTAAGAATCGATAAAACGCTAGTAGTTCCGAACTTAATGTGCCATCTCTATTGACTCCACATCATGCTTGCTCTTGCTCGTATTTTTGTTTTGTTTTGATTTCAAATTGGACAAAATAATCAGAAAATGTCTGAAACAATAGCTGACGAGAAGCCCAAAGATAAATCTAGGGGAAACAGACGGAAGGACAAGAAGGACAAGACCAGCCAGATCGTCAAGGTAAGACCCAGAGCATGAAAATTCTCCCTCCTACTTTTGAGCTCACTCCAAACGCAGATTGTGATGCGGCATTTACCGCCCACCATGACAGAGGCTGACTTCCTGGACCAGGTTGGTCCATTGCCAGAAAACGACTCTTACTATTACTGCTCTGCGGACTGGTCCTTGGGCCAGGAGGCCACCTGCCGCGCCTATATCGACATGTCCATGAAGGACATTGCCGAGGTGCTTCAGTTCCGAGACCGATTTGACGGCTATGTCTTTGTTGACTCCAAGGGCGTGGAGTACGTGGCCATTGTGGAGTATGCCCCCTTCCAGTGCTTCTTAAAGAACAAGGCGCGGAATGACGACAGCAAGGTGAACACCATAGAAAGCGAGTCGCACTATCAGGAGTTCATCCAACGGCTGGCTGACGAACGTGAGGAGGCCAGTCGCATGGGCGAGGTCAAGATCGAGTTCAACTTTGACCGGCGAGCGGACGAGAAGGTCAAATCCACACCGCTACTGCAGTACCTGGCGAACAAGAAGGAGAAGCGTCGGGAGGAGGCCCGCAAGCGGAACGAGGAAAAGCGCAAGCAGCGCGAGGAGCAGAAGCAGGTGCGCTTGGCGGAGCAGTCGAACGCGGGAAAACCCAGGGAGGAGGGAGGTGCTTCAGGAGACAACAAAAAGCCTGTCGGTAACAACGCTAAAAAGGATGGCAAGGAGACCTTGTCAACCGTTGCTCAAGGCAACGAAGCTGCGAAGACTTCACGTTCCAAACGCCGCACGGAGCGCGATCAGCGCCGGCGGGAGGAGCACGAGCAACGCAAATTGGCCCGCAATCGGGCCAAACGAGATAAGAAAAAGCCAGAGGGACAGGGCAAACAAGACAAGGACATTGTCATTCTTAAAAAGGAAAACAAACCTGAGGCAAACGATAGTGAGGAGTTGCCAACTTCTTCGAAAGTGTTGGTAGATGAAAAAACCGAGGTTCCAGAAGCTATAAAAAAATGTGTGCAGGCTGCCGGAGTTCAGAAGGATAAAAAAGCCAGCGGGGAAGCACATACTGCGGCTAATTCGCAGGAATCAACTGCCGAGGACGCCATAAAGGCGGCTCAATTTCGGGCATCGGAGGAGCGACGCATTCGCAACAAGGTTGATTGTTTGTTATACCATTTTCCTCCTTGTTAGCTCAAAGTTATTTATTCTAGGATCGTCCCTCGATTGCTATTTATCAACCTAAGGTGCGAATCCGCCTAGGATCGGAAGAGTTGACCCAAAGTGTGGGTTGCAAAGATGCTTCGGATGGCGAGATTTCTGTAGTTGAAGAAAAATCGGGTAAGAAAGGCAAGCGCTCCAATCGGCGAAACAAATCCAAGCCCAAGGAAACCAAGGAGAGCCAGCTGGAAGACCGACGCGTTTCAAAATCCTCGGAAAGCAGCAATAGTGTAAAATAGCGATAAGGAAATTTATTGTTAAATAAGCGTTGCTCACTTAAATGAACCGTAAGGTCAGTAGAACTCATCCTCCATCTCTACCTGTGTACATGATTTTTGATTATTCTTAACCTGGTCCTGTGACTGATACATATGGGCCACCTGATTGGCGTCCGTCGCGTTCTCGCTGTTCTTATCCTCGCGAATTCTAATAAATCGGGGAAACCGCAGAGAAATTCCTCGCTCGCCGTCCACGATGCCAATGGCTGCCCGATGGATCGGGCTGAGAGAAAGATCGGCGCACTTGACTTCCCACACTTGGACAGGCTCAAACCAGTGATCGGGCTCCAGGCTAGGGTCGTATCTATAGTAGGACTTGGCGGTGGGAGTCACATGCTTGCCCAAGAACTCAGAGTGTGACTGAAGATCCTCGTCGGTAAAGCCTAAGTAAATATAGGATGACGTTGGATACATTCAAATAAAAAAAAAACGGAAGTACCTGTTCCAATTTTGCATATGCTTTGATATTCCTCGTTTTCTGTATCATAGCAGGCAAGTAAGAACCCTCCATAGGTACCAGTGCGCCGGCCCTTTCCCTTGTAGCCGCCGATCACCACGAGATCCAGTGAGTCGCCCACATTAGATAAGTAATCTTTTTTTAGTTTTAACCAGTTTCTCGATCTCTTGGCGATTTCATAGGTAGCCTCCTCATTCAGGGTCTTTACCATGAGGCCCTCACAATTTCCTGTAAAAATGACATTCAACTAAATGTATGTATTGTAGGTTAAAAATCAAACCTTTAATGGATTCCTCTAGAAACGCTTGCACCTCATCAATATCATTGGTATCCAGTGCAGTAGCGAATTTCCACTCGCCTTCAACTTCCTGGAAGTGCTTCAGCAAAAGTTTGCGTCGCTCTGACAAGTTTTTAGTTACCAACGCGGCGCCATTAATGTAGAGAAGATCGAAGATGTAGACGCAGACTTGGACCTTGATTTCCTCGATGTCGACATTCTTTCGCTTTCGAGTGCTAAGCACTTGGAAGGGAAGAATCTGCTTTCGATCTACATCCCATGCAACAATTTCGCTGTCAATGATATAGGACTTCACTTCGCCCTTAAGGAACCGACTGCTTCTGGCAATCAAATCCGGATATTTGGCAGTATTGTTCTCAGAGTTTCGGGAGAATATGCTGATTTCCCCCTTATCGTTGCAGTGAATCTGGGCTCGCTCCCCATCGTACTTCCACTCGCAAGTGATTTCCATGCCGCCAAATCTCTCGAACACCTCGTGAACGCCTTTTGTGGGCTGGGCGAGCATGGGCCGTAGCGGCATGCCAGGATGCATTGGGCAGCGTTCCTGCAGCTCCTTAATATCGTACTTGAGAATGGCCGGAATGATAATGTCGTAATTGGGACATTGGCTAAAATAGATCGGTCAATACGATTAATTTGCTTTGCAAACTGAGACCCACCTGTATGCAGTTTTAAGCATCAATGTCGTGTCTGCAATTTCATCTTTGTAAACATCGGGAACCTTGCTGGCTTTGCAGTCATCAATGTGGTTCTTTTTAACCAGGCCAATAGCCAATGCTGTGAGCAAACTTTGTTCGGCAATGCCAATCCGCAGCTTGCCAATCAGAGATCGAATGAAGAAGCGCGCTTCAGACGACCGGCAGGCCACAAACATGTTATAGACCAGATCCATTTTGGACTGACCGGATATATTGGCTATTTCACGCAGCTTCCTAAACACGTCTCGCACATTTAAGGGAGCAGGCTGGAACATCATGCGCTGCGAAACGCGTGACTGCTCGGCAACAATACCAAGGTCACCGATAAGGTGCGTTTGGGATTTAATATGGGCCAGGTTGCGGCCCGTAGCCTTGCAAATGGCCTTCATTAGAGTGGTTTCGGCCACGCCCAGCTCCAGTCCCTCGTAGGCAGGCGCCAGTTGGTTAATGCTGAGATACACGCTTGGCACCAGGTCCTCCGGACTGACCAACATTACAGAGCTGAAGAAGTTGCTTAGCGTGTCGATCATCTTAAGACGGCCTTTAGTTTCCTCAATTACTTGAAATGTGCGGGCTAATGCCAAGTAAGGAGTGCTGGAAAAGGTCTCCTCGGTTTGTATTTGGAGGTGTGGAGCGTTAAGTTACGTTACTTACATTTTGTTGTCCTTCCAGTAGGCATTTTTGAGTGGATGATAGGAATCGGCTGAGGGATCATAGTTCTCCATGTCCTCCTTGCTAATTGAGGAGGAATTTAAACCTATGGTTGTGACCTTCTTAAAATTTTGCTCCTTTTTAAAATCTTTCGATGGACTTGTCTCTTTTTCCAAGTCGGCATCCATCGATTGAACTTTTGACTTAGCTTTCGGAGAGACATTTTCAGTTTTAATGATGGGTTTTTCTAGCAGTTCTGAATTCGCCTCGATCCTTTATAAAATATTTTAATTAAATTAAGTTTATGAAACATTAAGGCAGCTTACTTTGGAATTTTTTTTGGTGGCGAGGGGCTGTCGATGGTGTCGGATTTCTTCTTGAAGAAGGAGCTGAAGCAGGGGATTGCTAAATGCGGAACTGGAACCAATATTGGTACTAATTACTTACGTTATAGACTTTTGCATTTTTATAGCAATGGCTTTTACGGAAATATAAATTAGAATGCTATTAGAAATTGGTTCCCGCCAGTTTGAACGTTGTGTGACCAAGTGTGATTAACGGTGCAGGGACAAAACACTAATCTTGCCAATACAGAACATTTTTTTATTTAAGTAGATAAATTATCAAGTAATCCATTGACTTTACTAAGTTTTTCAATTTGTGTATCTTAGCTCCCAAAATTAAATAATTTAAATCCTTAAATATCCAGGATATAAGTTATTGTGCCAAGGACATTCTTCCCTATTTTTAAGAACATAAAGATTGTTTTCCCTTGACTTTCTATATATATATAAAAAATAAAATAAAAATATAATTGTAAGAATAATAAAATATTTAATAAGTAAATGCATTTAAATGTTGGTGGTACGATTTTGGTATGTTATAAGAGCGGTTTAGTATATTGCACACTTTTACCAGATTGGTCACACTACATATATACGTAAGGTATTGTTGAATTCACAAATAATTACGATAGCCTGAGAAATTAGCACCGCGACGATACCATGGCTGACGAAAGCATCACGCGAATGAACCTCTCGGCAATTAAAAAGATCGACCCTTACGCCAAGGAGATCGTGGACTCGTCATCGCACGTCGCGTTCTACACTTTCAACTCGGCGCAGAACGAGTGGGAGAAGACCGACGTCGAAGGCGCCTTCTTCATATACCACCGCAATGCCGAGCCCTTTCACAGCATCTTCATCAACAACAGGCTGACGCTTACGTCTTTCGTGGAGCCCATCACCGGCAGCCTAGAGCTGCAGTCGCAGCCGCCGTTTCTGCTCTACCGCAACGAGCGCTCCCGCATTCGGGGCTTTTGGTTTTACAACAGCGAGGAGTGCGACCGCATCAGCGGCTTGGTTAACAGCCTGCTTAAGTCCAAGGAGCAGGGGACCAACGGGCAGTCCCAGCGGCATGGCCCTGTGCCCCAGCTGCCCAAGCAGGACAACGCAAGCATATTTAATATGCTAAGCAAGGCGCAAAAGGACTACAACGCCCAGGTGAGCGGCCAGCCGAAGACGCCTTCGACGGAGAGCGTGACGGCCGGCAACGTGCTTAAGTTCTTTGAGTCTGCCAAGCAGGCCACGGCGGAATCCCTCTTTCACCGCGTCCAGCCACTGTCCGTGGACCAGCTGGAGAAGCAGCAGCGGGCAGCCACTCCTGGCGAGGACCTACTACCCTTGGCGGGCAGGGACAGCCAAGACAGTCGGCTGTCCCCGTTTCAGAAGGCCCAGCAGTTAAACACCCAGCTCCTGAGTGACCTGAAGATCGGTAAGAGCTTCGCCACGCCGCCTTCCCCGACCACGGCCCCGAGTTCATCGTCCTTGGGAGCCAACAACGATGCTGGAAAGTGCCTGCGGAGACTGCTGGCCGGGGACAAACCAGGGCCGGCTCTCATGCCGCCCACCATGTTCGACGCGCCCAACAATGGCAACCCGGAACCCCAGCAGCCCCTTAATTCGACGCAATTCGTTCAGGCATTCACATACCTTATCCAGAACGATAAGGAGTTCGCCAACAAGCTGTACAAAGCCTATCTCAACAAGTGCTCCAATTTGCTGCTCGACTCCAGTCCCACATATCAATAAACTGTAATACCCAACATTTCCGAAATTCATCTCTTTTTTCTTTACATTGGAATTCGCAGCCTTTTAGCTAACAAAATAAAATGTCTCCGACTAGACAAGATCGACGTTGGCCCCCTTTAGATTGAAAATCTAGAAGCTGCCATTTCCAGATCAAGTTCAGGCCAATGCATGAACCTTTACTTCTTGAGTGGTAATTAACAAAGTTGGTTTTGTGAAGTATTCGTATTTATTTACAAAATGGATATGTAAGTCGAAAGAACGTAGAGAAGAATTTTTATGGCAAACAGAATTCAATAAACATAATTTTAGTAACAATAAATAACAACATTTTTATTTATATTAAGATGCCCAGCTTAGAGAGCAAGTAGTACAAAAAACAAAACAGCCACAGATTCAGGCCAGCGTGGCTAATTCCCGCCGATGCGGATGTGGCTACTGTTGTCAGGTTATTTGCGTAGCCGTCAAATGAAACGATGCACTGGTAGGCATCCGGGTCATCGTCAATGTCGTAGACCGCCACCACCGCAGTGCCATTGAAGTACCCGTCCTCGTTCTCCTTAACATTGGGCTCACGCTTCACGACGTCCTGGTCATTTGACCTGTAGGTAAAACATACAGGTTAGTACTGATTGATGCGCTTAATAGAAAAGGACTCCTTACAGGATCGTTATTATGGGTCTGGGATACACGTTGGTTACGATGCACTCCAGCTGGGTTTCGTTGTGGATTGGTTTGTGGAGCAGCTCAAGGGTGTAGTTCCTCACATCTATGACCTGCACCCTCTGGTGACTAGTGAACGTCTTCAGTTCGGTCTGAACCAAACACTTATAGTCCCCGGTGGTGTTGATCGTGGGGTTTATGAGAGCCAACGAGCTGTATTGCTTGCTTGGATCCGTAGAGCCCTCGTAGGAGATGTCTATTTCATCCCTAAACTCAGGCTGTAATGGGACATTAGCTATTATTTTAAACAAAAATATTCAATAATTTTACAAACTCACAATAGCATTTGGAGGTTTTCCAAAGATCCATTGATATATGTTCTTTTCATCTCTATACCACTTTACAGTGATAAAGGATGGATCCCTTTCGACCTCATAGTCACACTCCAAAATCGTTGGCTCCATTTCTTCGTTTTGAAGGACTACAATCTTAACGTCGGACTCATCTTTTGTGGGATAGCACAGTGCATCTGAACAAAATCGAAACTCCTATTAGAAAGTTATTACAGAATGTACGAGTATATCATTGTCTGGAGCATTTTGTAGGCAAATCCATATAACATTCATTACCGCACGTATACAAACACATAGGTGGGAAATCTATATAATTTTGCGAAACAGCACGAAAGCAAGAGAACAGATGCCTGTTTTGTTTAAAAATAGGAACCAATAACAAACAAAAAGCTAGAAAAATTTAACATTTTTCATTTGGTAGCTTTTCATGTGTGCCAAAATGCGTGGAACGTCTCTTAATAAAGTACATTTTACTGGAGAAGTCCAGTTTTTAACTCTTGATTTGTAACTATTAACTATATTTTGTTTGTGAACTTTATGTTTTTTTGTTGATTGTTGAAACGAGTTAGTTACACTTTTTTTTTAGTTAACTACTTCCACTTCCTCTCAGGCAGCCAAGAACTTATTGAGAATTGTTAATCCTAGGTAGTTCAAAAAGGATATCCGAGTTTCGCAGCCACCAGTTGTTTTGTATTTTGTTTAAATGCACATGTTAACTCAAAACTGTTTTAGCTATACATTCTTATTTATAGATATCCGATTTGTCATTATTTTTCTCAAGGTTTGTACGATGTACATTTGCTGTATTCGTATAAGTTTATATTCTCTTTTTGCCCGATGAAATGATTTCATTTCTTAATTTAAAAATAGTTCTCCAATGCTAAAGATTCATTACACCGCCGCATATTTCGAATATACCTCTGTGGAATAGTCCGATTGCAAGAAGGACAATAAGAAGAGGCTCCATAACGGTCTATTTACACTTCCTCATATAACCACCGCGGTAAATCGGACTTTCACAGGTGATCCCAACTCAGCCGTCCGCTCGGCATGGTATAACTACAGCAACTGAGCACAATTCGAGAGCTCTTGGCCAAAACCCACCCAGCGTAACCAAACATATTCGTATTTGGCAGAGATAATGCCGGCACTTCCTCTCTGGCACACGATCCAAACGCCGTGGTCTTTAGCCCGTGCCACTTGTGCTTGGCTCTCGGGAGAACCATTATCGTGTGGACATGTGCTAGTGGGTCCGCTTCGGGGGAGATCACTGTGCAGCTGCCATAGTAAATAGCCCTGCATGTGTGGGGGTTGGAAAACCTTTCCGCTTCGATACTCTCCGCTGCTCCTAGCTGCCGTTGCATATTTGAAAACCAGTCGACGGCTTCTCTCGGCCCACTCCTACAACTAACGATAGCCAGTTCAGTTTTCCCGACCGATCATGGGATTCCTTTACTGGCAGGGCGTCGAACCAAGGCCTTAAGGACCCGTGGTAGTCGGGGACTTGGCCACCGTTAATATTCAAAAAACTTTGTCCCCATAGCAACAACGATTATTAAATCTCCTGAAATGGTTTCGTTTTCGAAACTTTTAACTACCGCAATATATTGAGATCTCTTGATTTGAGTCTAGACTTGGCTAGATATAGTTTGGCTGAACTGAACGATGCACATTTATCAAGAAAGTAGATTTCTTTTGTAAAGACTTGGTTGCTCGTTCCAACTCGCTGATTAAGAAAGGAAAAAAGAGAATACTATTGTAGCAGCACGTTATAAAACCCTTTTTTGCTTACCTACAAGGTACATAAACTTTTGACTCAAACGTGAAAAAAACCTAACTTATGTCGGAGTCTTTCTTAAAACCCTAAGAAATCTTAGCATCAGTTTTGATAAGTCTTTCGTTTTTGCTACAGTATGTTACTTCAAGATTTTTCTATACTTTTAAAATTTTAAGATAATTATTTATGTAAAGGATACAATTCCTTCTCACTTCTTTAAAGTTTGTTAACTAATTTTCAAGTGTAAAATGTATTACATTAGTGTAGTACTATTTTTGTTAAACTAAGAGCCTCGTTCCAACCCGCTGAATAAGAAAAGAATAAAGGCTGTAAGTATGTAAAGACTATATGTAAGGCTCTCTAAAGACTTTTATAAAGTCGTAAAAGATACCATTGCCATCTATCGCCTTTGGTATTGGTTTCATTTTTTGCTTCTACAGTACACTTTACTGTTCTTACCATAGCAGTTAAAATAATAACCAAGAAGGTATACAAATATAAAAAGATTCGAAATTTTTCACCCGATCACTAAAATGTCTTCTTATTACTTTAAATCACCTAAACGGATAATTTTGATTCGAGATACAACAACCAACGTCAGATTTCTGAAAAAATTACATTTGGGTCTAAAAGTTCACATACACTGAATATTTATTGAACATTCATTACATTTTATTTCATAACTTAGATTACATATTTTATACTTCGTTGATATATAAATAACACGATTATACACCCCCCAACATTTGCAGCCTTTTTGAATCTCATCAAGAATTAGGGTGTCCGAAAACAAACTTCTCCAAAAAGTAAATACAAATTAAGAAGAACTCGGGTTACGAAAATTAACTAATCGAAATAATCCGCAATGTAAACAACTGTGTTTAAAATAGGGTTACACCCTCCAAGCTCTTATAAACAACGTTTCAATCAGCCTAATATTATGAACATGAAAAGATAGTAAGGTGTCCCGTTATTCATTGTGTTAGGTACAACACCATTTGTTTAATAAAATTGCTTCGGCGCGGTAATCGGAATAGTACACCCCCAGATACCCTTTCTGACTGAAAAGACTGATGTTTCGAATTTTTTTTAAATTTAAAAATTTCCATGATACATAAACTTTATTTTTATGTTGAACTTAATAGTGTTTTATATTATTGTTTTTTAATTCTTTAACGTTGTTATTTTCTCAACTTTCCTAAGGAAAGTACATATGTAATTCATCGTTGAGGAACGAGCCAATTTAATCTTCTGAGTGTTGCTTTTTGAGGCCTGTGAAAATTTGTTCACTCAAAGAAAAACTTACTAGTGACTTGGTTTATGAATTGTTTAATTTTGGGAAACAATAGATCATTTTAAAAATCTCCAGCGACATAATTTGAGCTTCCGAAAATCCGATGTGCTACCAAATAAATTTAAGCAGCTAAAACTATTTTTTGTTAAGATTTCTTTAGTAAACAGGGCTTGCGATACTTGGCTTTCCCACAGTGCATGACACGCGCCGGAAAGTCGGATTTCCACCCTTATGTCGAGTGGAGCTCGTTAGCACCGCCTCCAAACGCGGAAACGAATGAAATTTTCCGTCCCTTTCTCCCGAGACAAGTGCAGCATCCTTTTTCGTCCAACATTCTGTAGTTGATACAATCGTAATCGAAGCTTATTTATTCAAGGGCAGTTAAAAATTGTGTTTTCTGCGAGACTATCCACAACTATGTGTTTTATTAGCGAATGACTCATTAACGGGCAGTAAATTTTATTAAGTGCTGTATATGTATAAGCATCTGGTGCGATGGAATTTTCATTTATCAACAAGGCGAACTTTGACAAGGATTGTTTGTACAACGCGAACTCGGACTTCTATAATAATAGCACCAATGGAGGACTTTCCGTGGCTAACCACATGAATCACTATAATCTAATGATTGACTCCAGCTATAAGCTATGTGCAAACGAGACTGCAATAAGAGGTTCACTCAACCAGGAATCGAGCTTACTATTTTCCAAAATCACAACTGTTTCGGAATTTTACCCTGGAACTCATAACATTGCGTCTTATAACTCAGGTAAAATATAAAATGGAACAAACCTTGTATTTTTTCTATTGCATAAAATAGCTTTTGTGGCAATTTTCATATTTCGCTTAAAGTTCTAAACTTTAAACCAATTTTTCCTCGTTTAATAGATTTCCATTTAAAGTCTTATGGAGATGACGGATTAAGCTTGACTGATAAATCAAAACAGAGACGGATTCGAACAACATTTACATCCAACCAACTAAACGAGCTGGAAAAAATCTTTTTAGAAACCCATTACCCAGACATTTATACTAGAGAAGAGATCGCATCAAAACTTCATTTAACAGAAGCCCGAGTTCAGGTATGAAGAAAGTTATATTTGAGACTATTAAAAAATATAAAACTTAACAAAAACTTGCGATGATGATTGACCCAAGTAGACAGGGTATTCTTTTAAAGTCTTTTAAGTGTTGCAACCCAGAAAAAATGAATACTGGGTTTTAATAGACATTAAAACAATATATGTCTGCGTCTTTATTATTGTATTTATTAACCAAGTTGAAAGATAAAAATTTTATTTTTAGATGCTTAATACAGATAACAATCGAAACATATAACAATAAATAAGCGCTAAATTTTCATAAATGTTCGTCTTTCAAATATCAGACCCACAATTAGACGAAATTAAAATAGAATGTGAGAAAAATTGATTCTTCAGGCTTGTCTGATTTTACATAATATGTTTCATTGATATATTTGAATAGCCTTTACAAGTTGATTTTGTGCATTTCAGGTTTGGTTTCAAAACAGACGAGCTAAATTTCGAAAGCAGGAGAGACATGCAATTTACATAATGAAAGACAAGTCCATTAAAATGGATAGCCGAAAGAGTTCTGCAGCCGGCTCAAAGTATTCTGGTCCATCTCTTAAGGGATCGCAGAGTACCCGTCAAATGAAATGCTTATATGATCAAATATAGAAACCACTAATATCTATGTAAATATTAGTATACATTTTGATGAACCAATTATTTTGATATTATTTTTACTGAATGTTTTGGAGCGAATTTGCGTTAAATAAATAAGATCTGTGTATCACCGCTGCTCTTTTCTGGGAACCAAAAACCATATTATATCGGACAGCTGGATTAGCACCCTGTTGAGGGCTTAGCTGGTCTGAACCTGTGGAAAACAAAACAAGAGGTTTAATGGGGGTTGAAAGGTCACTATCTATAAGTACCGAATCTCACGCCCCTTTGTTGTAAATTGTTATCCAATTACTGCATGGAAAATTGATTAAATCGGAGTAAATTGAATAAAAAGTCGATGACAGCTATTTTTTGACTGAATAATTATTTAAGGATATGGTTAAAGATAAGATGGCAAATAAAAACGTTATTGTTTTAAAAGACCAGTTAAAAACCAGTAAAATCGAAGCTCCCTGAAATTTGGAATTTTTATGAAAGTAGTTTATGCTATCAATTTAATATGTACTTATTCATACATATCGCATTGAGAAATATCCTACCCTACATTTGATTACTAATAGACCCCTGATTGAGGAAAAAAATTAAATAGAGGGCTCTTTAAGGCAAATTATTAAATTGGAAATCGAACTTCTCAACTTATAAAAGAAATTTTCTTTTTAAATAAAGAAAATCCCTTTGCACAATTTAAAAAATATATACATATATATATATATATACATATATAAATAAGTTGGTTTTTTTCCCGCTTACTCCTACAAAAAGAGAAGTAAAGTCGTTGCTAATACACCTACATTTTTAAATTTCAAACATCGGATTGAGTAGTGATACACTTCTTTAAGAACGCGATATTTAAATAACATTTCCATACATCTTCTTAAATATTAATTTTAAAAAAAATTTTTTAATTGCATATAATATAAATTTAGTTTAGTTTTGAACAGGACATAGCGGAGTTACACTCCCCAGCTGGGACTTCAACACACACTCTGCCTAGGGTTGTAAAATGCCACAACCAAGACACATCGATACTATCGAATGGCCTTACTTCCAGCACTAAAAGTCGGCCTGGTTAAACCTTTTTATCTTTTATTTAATGAATTAAAATTGATATCTTTAACATGTTGAGATCGAGGATTCTCTGCTCCTTATCAAACAGAAGATGGGTATCGTACTTCTCGGAGGAATTTAAAAAGTTGGCAAACGAGGGACCTGCTAAGTTTGCCACATCCAGCAGTCATGCCGTAACAAGCATTGACTTGGATCTGTTTGTCAATCCGGATAATAGACCCATGGATCTAGTGGACCGGCTGCTTAAGCTCAGGTGGGTAAAGACGTTATCTAAAGATATGATGACAATAATCTGAAAACTCGTTGCAGGAAACAAAAAGAGGCAACATTGGTGCCACTGCTGCCAAGTGTTCTGGTCAAACAACTACTAGACTCCACAAATCCCCAGGAGGCGGTATCGATCCTACGTAATCCCACGCAATACGGCCTGTTCGTGGACCAATTCTCGGGATGTTTCCTGCTTGACTATTTTCTTCACAATAGCCATGCGGTGGAAGCGGCTCAGGTGGCCACGATTCTCGTAGATAGAAACTTATGCAACAACGAACTGATTGAGGCCCTGGTCCTCCAGTCGTTCTGGACCTTTGCTAAAGACTTTAAGCCATTTGAGTCTTCTCAAATTCAACCTCCTGCCAAAAACGCTGAAGTGGTAAGACAAACTAGGTCTAGAAATTAATTAACATAGAGCTTTAGCTACATATTAAACTTATGTCCAATACTAAGTAAGTTTACTTAACTTATATTACGTTTAACTTCTAGGAAAAGGTTCGAGTCAAGTTTATTCGCAACTATCCCGAAGATGACAGAGAAAACACCGAAGAAAAGAAATTGGGTCGCGCCATGATTCGATTGGCTTCTGGCGATGGGACCCTAAAAGAGCTAAAGCAAAACATTACCTTACTTGGCTATATCCTCAGCGGACAGGTACCTGAAGCTTTGAATTTTCTTGCCAAAAACCAAGCTGCTCTTCACAAGGAAACCTTGACCATCGCTCGAAGTGTAGCGGAAATCTTGAAGCTGGAGGATTCAGAAGAGTTGCTAAAATCTTTAGAAGAAACCCTCAACAAGAGTAACAAATCCAATGCCATCGATGACCTGATGCAGAACATTGTTAAAGGCAGTGCACAGAAGTTTGAGCCGCAGCTGTTGGCCGACTACGTTGGGTCCTATGAGGAGTGGGCGAAGAAGTTCGAGTACGCAATTCAACACCAACTGGAAGCCAAGAATCTGTCTAACCGTAAAGCCAGCATTCAGAAGACGCTCGACGAATTGGAAGCCAAGCGCCAGAACCTGTGGTTCTTCGAGAATCAGGACGACATCGATATCCAGATCTATAAGAAAAAGGTGTACTATCCCAAGCGGTGGTTTGGCAAGAAAAAGAAACCTAAGGCAGCGGACACCTTCTACGTGCCGCCAAACATCACCCACAACGCCTAACTTGATGCCCCCAAGACCTGGCCACAAACAAGTTAGATCCAATTGTTTTTAAGCTTTAATTAAACTACTGGAGAGTTAATCCAAATTCAAATGTTGTTTCTTTTCTTGAACAGTAAATTGTTTAAAATTACCATAACGTAACATTGAGGGTCACAGTTATATTCATTCCATCTCAGTTTACAACATTTTTTTTATACTTTTTCTTTGGAGTTTCCATAAATTTGCAATCTTAAAAGCTAATCGTCTGTCATTTGTGCATGGCCGAGGGCAGAGCAGTTTTTAAAACCCGCTGCCCTGGTGCCGAAGGAGATAGATTGATGGGCGAGGGCATGTCGTGCCCATGCCGCTTGTCCTGTATGGTCAACGGTAAGAACTGCTGCTGCTTCTTTTTCCGGTTCATGTTGATGGGATGGGTGTTGTCGTTCTTGCCGAACAGAATGGTCAGGTGAACAGCACAGAAGATTCCCAGGCTCTGTGAGGGATAATCCTTTATGCGTAAATCTTGGACTTAAAGAAAAGCGCTTGGAGACTCACCTGGAAAATGGCTATGATGGCAGCTCCGAAGGCGGTGATCAGCAGGCGGTTTCTGATTTGCTCAGAGACGACGGCCAGGCAGCCGCGTTTATAGTGGGTATCACATGCTGACTCGTAGGCGTGCTCAGGACGCGAGCAGCAGGACCAGGGCAGCGAAAGTCGGCGGTAATCGAGGGGTCCGTCCACACCGCAGCATTGCAACTAGTTGGATTTTCAAAAAGTATTATATCAAGCCCTTAAAATCTTATATTCACATTTTTTTTATTTAAAATTTTGTGGGTTTTGATCTTTATTTAAGAAATTGCTAAATGATACACGTCTCTCAAATTTCAAAATCTAAACTTTTAAGTTTTTCTGTTTCTAGTTTTTCTTTTTGGTTAAAAATTTATTTATTTATTAAGAGTACCTTGAATATATTTCAAAATAATGAAATCTTGTTTTCTTAACGAACTTGTAACCGCCACAAGCTTACCTGCGACTGCATCCGATTCCACAAGTGTAGATTGTCCACCTTGGTGCGCGAAAACTTGTCCAGGAACTCGACGAAGGAGTCGTCGATGAAGATCTCCACGGAGGTGGGGAGATTCTCCCGCATAGCCAGCGACCAGCCGCAGATAATGAACTGAACACAGATGCAGGCAACCAGAAGGGCGGCGAACTGAAAGCAAGTCCAGTGGATACTCGTTAGTAGGGTCAATGGACAGGGCCCGATTGGCTGTTACCATTCCCAGTAGGCAGCGCTTCCGCTGGTTGGTGGCCTGGCAGCCCATCCAACAGAGAATGAAGGTGACGGGTCCCAGGCAGAGCAGGATCGCAGCCGGGGCCCACAGTTTGTTTTGCACAATTCCATAGTAGACCGAGTGGCCCCAAAGCAGGGATGTGCCCAGAAATATCTGCGCAGCTCCGGTCAGCTGAAAAAAGGATAATTCGGGTGCTGCTGTTATCAAAGGCTCGAGTTTTTCATCTCAAGGCCCCGCACATTCGGTGTCCTTGGAGAGGCTTTAACTGCACTGTGTGTATTCGGGATGTACTACGAACTGTATAGATGGGGTCTACTCCCTTTTGACGTCACATGTCAAGGAGCCTGATTTCCACGCATGTGTGTGTAAGTGGTCTTCCACATACATACTTAGACGCAGCTTTAAGTAGCTCAAGGTCACGCCAAGTCGGGACCAATTCGCGAGGCTTTATCCTGACAGCGTTGTATCATGTATGTACATATAGGATATAGGAATTTACTGGCGTAGAAATGCACTTAGGAGCATGTATCAATAACGTTCTCTACACAAGTAAAAGTACAGGACTTGACACAGAGATTTGACACACTTTCGTAAGTAAATAAATTAAAGTATTTTTGGGAAAATAAAAGGGAAGGGTGGGCACTTTCCTATTCTTTGACGGAATTACTTGGATTTTAACGATTTTCATATCGAAAATGGAAACTGCTTTGTGGTCCACACACACACAAATGCGTGCTGCTTTAACTTTTACCTTATGTAATTTGACGGTAATTATGCCCTCGTTCGAGCGAATACCCATGCAACTTACCGCTAGGAGCACCACATAACTGTAAACCAAATATTTAAAACATTTAATTTTCTTTGGCAAAGCCATCCTTTAGCGTTATCCTTTCTCCTGATTGGCTATCCCTTTTTTACTCCAAGTTGACAATCACTGAACTACCGCTAGTAAACTTAATCTTTCGAATGTGTGTTGTGCATATGGTGCAGTGGTGTGGGCTATGTTGATTTTCGATCTGGAGTTTTTCACCCGATTTCCGAGTTTTCGTCACTAAATTCCACGCTCTTGGATGCTTGTCCCCATACACCACATAGTCGCGACTTAAACTCGCCGTTCCCGACTTATCGGATGCAATTTTTAACTAAAAATAGCAGTTAACGTTAACTCCAGCGACTCGAAATCGTCCACAGTCGAAAATACGTATTCGACGGTCTGACCAGTTAGCTCCTTGTTTTGTTATACTTCAGCGACCAACAGTGCGAATATTATCTATAACCGTCGACTCAGTTGCAATCATGTTTCGATGACAGCGCCACTAGAGCGCCAAACTTCGTTACATTTCAAAGAGGATGTTTAAAATCAGCTAAGATTGGCGGTTTCTGTCACTAAAATCTAGAGTTTGAAATATAATTAAGTAAAGCAACACTAAAGAATATAAATATAGTTATAATAATATAAAATAAGTATATACTTCATTAATTTATTTATTAAAAGTGTACACTTTTAGTATAAGCTTTTGTTAAAAATTTAAGGGGCTGCCAACTCAGGCTTAAGTAAAAATATCAACTCCAGGAAAAATACATTTAAAATACCAACATATTAACGGACTTTCGAGTCGTCAAAATTCAGTTAACGTTTGACAAGCACTTACCGCTTAAAAAATCCTTTCCCCCCTCATTGAATTTGATACAAAATACAGGGTCTTTTTAACATAAAATATATTTCTAAAAATGGTTCAAAGAGTATAAACAAAACGGAAATGCCTTTCTGATTTTATTACGAGCTTGCGAAGTTATACTGTACACTTTACACACTTTGCGATTTTAGGAGGGAATATGTAAAATCTTAACATGAAAGAGTGTATAAAAATCTAAAAAAATATTTAGGTTAAGGTTTAGGTAATGAAGCTTATAAAGGACAGGTTGGAAATTAAAATACCTTGCGTATAAAAATATGCTTACAATATAAGTGCTCCACTGTGCATGGACCAGCCGCTTAAAAGGAGTGGGGGTCTTAGTAGGAGTGGTAGTGGGTGCGTTTGCAGGAGTTGGATTTTATGTCGAATAAAATTTAAATGAGAAATCAACTTGAGTGGCCTCCGGGGTGCGCGCACAAACATAGATCGAGGATCATGCGTATTCGGATGTGGAGCTCCAGGCTATTGGCGTTGGGTGAAACATTATCAAGCAAAGTCGCGTGAATGTGTTTGATTTGTTGGTAAACTTAAAATTTAAAAGTAAACTTTACATATTTATACACAATAGGCAATTAAATCTGCTACTGTTACCGTACGATTGTTTTGTATATATTTAAAATTCAGGTCTCTTTGCAGTTGTCCGTCCGGCGGATCGCGTCGAATCGGATCGGACAGATGGGATACTCTTGGTAACCGATGCCCAGACACTATTCGCGTAGATTCTTGGTCAGCAGCAGGTTATTGTGGTGGCCGGACAGGTGGCGAACAAGCTCCTGGACCGACTCGAAGCACATGGAGCAGAAACAGCAGCTGTAGCGGTTCTCCGTGTCCGCCCCGTTAGTGGTGGTGATAACATTCCGGTGAACGGAGCACAGGTGCTTCAGCAGGTGGGCCTTCTGCTTGAACATGGCCACGCAGAGGCGACAGGCGAACGGCTTCTCGCCGGTGTGGACGCGCAGATGTGTCTTAAGGTTCCACGACATGCCGAACTGCTTGCCGCAGTACTCACACCGGTACTCGCGCACCGAGGAGGCATGCGTGTTACTGCCGGCCAGATTCGTCCCAGATACCGCGGCGGAGCCACTGCGACCCTCTGGATGGTCCAGATTGAGGCCCATGTGAGACAGACTAGAGAGTCGCGACTGCAGATTGGGCATAGCGGACATGGCGGCGTTTTGGTTGGACTGCCACTGGTACACAAACTGGGGACCTAGGTGCATCGGCATCTCGGGGCTCTGTGCTCGGTTGCGCTGCGCATCTAGCAGGTGCTTTCGGTCCGGCGTCATAGTATCGCCGTTAAGTGCTCCGTCCTCCAGGTGCGCCAGCATGTTCTTCTCCGAGCCGAAACCCGAAATGGGCGACGTCGTCGATTTGGCCATGCGAAGTTCCTCCAGCAGACTGTGTGGGTACGAGGTGAACGGCTGGTTGTCACTCTGCGTATTGTGGAATCCGGGTCGCCGCTTTCGATGCGGCGTGACCACATAGTTCTCCGGGGAGCTGTTAATGTCTGACCCGTCTGACAGCGGCTTCATCACGTCCTTGTGCGAGTCGAAGAAAAGGCCCTTGCGCTTTGTGCTCTCGCTCGCTGACACTGCGAGGTCAATGCCGCTGTGGTCGGATCCGGAGCCCATGGTTCTGCTCGCCGAGCTCTCGATCTTCGTCCGAAGATCCAGTGAAAGGTTGACGGGATTGATAGCTGAGCTGCTGTTGTTATTGTTGTTGTTATTATTGTTATGGTGGTGGTGGTGGTGCGTCTGCTGGTGGTTGCTGCTGCTGTTACTGTTGCTGCCACTAGTTCCGCTGGGCGGGGCGTTCGAGAGGTTTACAATTTCGTCCGTGTCCTTATCGCTCTTGTTGTCCTTGTGGGTGCAGTCGTCGTCTTCCTCCTCTTTGCCATGGCTCCCGGCACTTCGCTCGCACTCGGGCGCACTCTCGCAGTTGTCACCCGAGTTGAATGCTGATGAGAAGTCAGCTGCATTTCGCGACTCGTCCACGCTGTCCACCTCGTACTTAAGCGTTTGATCCGGCTCCAGGTTCTGCGGGCTGGCGTACTGCTGCTTCCGCCGATCCACCCGATCCCGATGGCTACCGCACTTGCTGCTCAGATAGGCGGAGTCGGTGGTCTTCCAGCTGTCTGATTTGATCTGCAGCAGCAGCAGCAGGTCGTGCAGGTAATTTACGTCCCTCGAGGTGATGCACGTCTGCCCAGAGTAGAGGAAGTCCAGCAGAAACTTAAAGTAGGTGGCATTCACGTCGGGGAAGTACACTGTGGTGGAACAATCGCTTAGGTGGGTCTCCTCCAAGAGGTTCCTGTGGGTATGCAAAGTGATTACCGGACTCAAAGGTTTGGCTTTGAAGGGATTACCTTATCAGCGGGCTGGCTGCTGCCAGGACCAACTTGTGGGCATGCAGCTTTACTTTGTTCTCGCAGACGATGGTCAGGTCCGCCGGGTGCTCTCCTCTGAAGGCTGCTCCGATTTCTTTGAGTATGCACTCGCCATGCTTGCTGTATTGCAACATCAACATTCTTTGAAACTGCAAGTGGACAAACAAGCATGTAGGGATCGTTAGATTTCTGCTATTTTTTTGGCCTGAATCATGGGTTTCAAATGGCCGGGAGTCCCACAAAAATACCACAAAAATAAGAGCCCCAATTCCGTAATTGCCATACTGAGACATGATTTTTAAGTAAGGTTAAGTTCTTAGAAACTATGGAGATCGTTACAATACTTTTGTTTTTCACCGTCGATTAATTGTATTAAGATGTTCTTTAGAGGAAAAGGAAACATTATGAATTGTATTAACTGAAAAGGTTGTCCATCCGAAAAAAAAATTATCGTTTTTCAATAAGTCCCCTTACCAAAATATCTAAGAAAGTTCGACCTCTTAAAGGTTCGGATATGAAATATTATACAAATAATAATAACTGGTAAAGTTATGGGCGTTATAAAATTTATCATAAGTTCGGGATTTAGAAGATTAACTGTTTAACTGCGGTTATTTACGAATGCATATGTGGAGCATGTGGTAAAAATTAATATCAGTGAATTAGAAAGTTTTGAAGTGGGAAGTTTGCATCTGAGTCTGTTACTTTTGCTTTAATATTATTACACAATCCGCCTTTCACCGAAAGTGTAGCCCTCTCTTTTCTTCCCATTTACATTCTCTCTCTCTTCCTCTCTTGCGATTGTGTCATACACTCATACAGCGCCACAACGCTTTGTGTTAGAAAAAGGATCGTGGAAAGATTCGAAAGTGCTTTCCATAGCGGTTAAATACGACACATTAGTGGAATTTCAGCATGCGAATGTTATAGTGTGCGTGTGTGTGCTGGCATTAACAAACTTCCCATAAAGCAATAGTAAATCTTTACTAATCAGGTTTTTAGGTTTTTCTGTACTTGGTGTTTTTGTAATACTGCAACCCACAATCGTCATATGTGTGAGAGTGCTTTGTTGAAAAAGATGAAAGCTTTACTTCATGGAGCTCCACTAAATTGTTGTTAGTGTTTTTGGTGTTGCCTACAAAAAAGCTTTCCCGCTGTGTTGAATATTATTGTTGTTTGTTTCTTTTATGCGATGAAATTGTTACACTGAAATTCACTGGCTTGTGCTGTATGTGTTTGTAAACACCGAAAGAAAAACTGATCATATATAAATTTCAGTACAATTTCCTATGGTTTCCATTTTAAAATTGACATTTTATTATAGTTTTTTGCAATTTTCTGAGTAGTTTAAAGGTATTTTGAAAATCAAAGATGGCTCAAAACAAAGGCTATTAAAAACCATAACATTTAATAAAAATGGGTCTGTTCTTTTAATTCGAACAGTTTTTTTTCCTCTGTATCTGATAGTATCGGTGTAAGGTCTGCGCACTTTAGTGTGTGTGTAGTGCAGTGGGGCTTTTGTAAGTGTGGGTTTATTGGGGGGCCACCATTATTGGATTGTGCAAGAGCATGGCTTGTAAGCTCTTTTTTCACTGCGCCTGTGTGCGTGAGTGTCTGCATGGCCCCACAAAAAATAATAAACCAAAAAGCGAAGCTAAAGTTCAGCAGCAGCAGATCTCGAACAAAAAAAAACGTCAGAAAGATAGTCTTGCTTTTTGTTACGCTCAGTTGCGTCTCCCCATACTCCTCCTCCCCCTTCTTGGCTCCACTACTCCTTTTTGCATGGAGACGAAACGAAACGTTCACTTTCAATAAAACTTGAATGACTGGCTTGGCAGAGAGCAAGAGAATGGAAATGGGGAATGTTGTATTTTTTTCATGGGAATGGGAAGCGAAAGCTGAACATGGATCGGTTTTTTGCGCTGAAATGGGAAATGAGATGGAGATGGAAAGGGGGATCTTGTGTGCTCATTCTAACGTTAGATAAATTCTAAAACGGTATTGATAGAATGCATAGACATGAACCAATGGATGGTTGGCTAATTCATGCTTCTATGAATCAGGGCCATTCACTTTCTACAAGTTTTTTCGTTGTTTCGCAATCGGTTGCGAGCAAAGCATGACTTAAGATCATTACAACATTTAAGGCAATCAAAAGGTGAAAGTTCACAGTAACAATTCCTTAAATTGAGTCCATGTAGGGATATATTTCTTAACATTTCTCCTCTTTTTGCCAGACTCACAGAAACACAAACACAATGGCAAACTGGAAAAGAGAATGTAAGGGACAGAGCAGACGAGGAGGATTGAGAGAAGCGAGAAAAAACATAAAATCACCTTTCACAAAAAGCTTTTCTCTCTATGCTTGTGTTTGTCTGTATGTCTAAAGATCGGGGTATAAGGCTAAACAAAACAAATCTACAAACGGCCAGACATACAGACAGAGAACGCAATAGTTTGTATGTTTCTACACTTTCCGATTTTTGTCGTCGTCATCGTTTCGATGTAATGTAAATGTAGTTTTACAATTACTCTTTCTCACATTGTATACATACATATAAGTGTGTGCAGATTGCGTGAGTGTTTACGAATTTAAAGCACATGTGTCTATTTCCAGTGGAAGAGAACGGGAACTAAAACTACAACTGGAACTGCATGGATCGTTTCAGACCGAAGGCCTCAAAAGAGAAAGCTACAGTGATTTTGAAAGTATTATAAGCTCGTAAAAGGTAAAAAGTTAAAAAGGGAGCGGGCAACACAAAACTCGTTTTCCTCCCTCTCGGTCCCTCTTAAGCACTCTCTACCCCTCTCTATCACTCTGCCGCTCTTTTCCCTTTCACGAAAAGCTCTCTGGCAAAGAAGCTAGGGAAAATGGCAAAGAGTCGCAAAGAGCCGCCGTCGTACTTGTTGTAAATGCTACACTCGTAAAAGTGACCCAAATTTGAATTACATAACTCCATAAGTTGGTCGATACGGAGAAAGATATCACGGAGGTTTGTTAATGTTTAATAATGCCTAACTAAGTATGTATATTTCATGTTGGATTTACGTTTTAAAATATCTGTTGTTCAGGGAAATCAAAGCATTTACTTAGCTGCTACATAATTGCAAGATTTAAAAACAGTGCCGAGGAGCAAAGGGGTTGTCTAATTCAGAACTTAAAATCAGCATACCATTTTGGCATACAAGCTAAAAGCAGCGTTAGAGGTACAATCTTTTGATTTTCACCTCTTGGTAAAATACCTACGCCCCTGCCCCTGCTAACAGCATATTTTGTAACATCTGCGCGATCGCCCTGTAACCGCGAGTATGTTTTTGTCTGTCTGTGTGCTTATATGTATAGTGTGCTTTTTCACCTTCACTCTTATTGGAAAGCAGTTAAGTTGGTCGAATGCTTGTGTGTATGTATGTCTTCAAATTTCATGACATGCATACATCACACAGTCGAAGGGTATTACGCAGACAAAAGCACGCGATGAAGGTCACTAAGCCTTTCTTGTCTCCAGTTGGTGTTGTTATTGTACTGCTGCTAATGATGTTCATGACGGCGAAGATTGAATCCAAAGCTTTAGAGCAAGTTTTGGATACCAAAACCGAGCTTGGAATGTTTTCTGTTTTCTCTACCACTATTAAGTTAGTTTCTGACCTTGGCTGCTTGTGTGCTTAGGTGCACAAAGAGCCAAACACGTACAAATCAACAAAAAGACCTAAACCCCTACTTTTTATCTGCATGTTTTCGTGTCTCTAGCTAATTGGATGTTGCAATGCCGAGATGTGGGAGTCTCAGAAACGGAAAAGCCAGCTTACCTCTTTCATTAAGTTGGTTTTTCAGCAGTTAGTTAAAGCCAGGACGAAATAGTCAGTAAGCTTCGCACGTTCGGTTCTGGATTGCTTCTTCCGTGTAACAATTAAACGATTCCCAATTGACAACTTTCGGTTTCGTTGATCATGTTTGTTTATATGTCGGCTATATCCCTTGTTTACGTGTTTAATGCCTAATTTCTCTTGGCTTTTCCTGCCGCTGACTCTTCTTCTTCCGCGACGCTACGCAAGAAATATACACCAACACTAAAACACCGAAATCCACACAACACAATACCAATGCGCGCGGACACACTCACACAAGTTCAATACAACGGCACAACTACAACAGCAACATTAACTTTAACTAGGTTGAAGTTTTGTTTTTTCTTTTTGTTTTATTGCGAAATAAAAAACTTGATTGGTAAAACTTTTTCTGGCGCGAGAGCGGCTGCAAGTGTGAGTGAGAGATCCGATCTCTTGTCGGGCCTCTCTCTTGTAACTACTTCACAGTTCTTTTTGTAGAGTTATTTTTTTTTTTATTTTACTTTGTTAAATATTTTATTTTCTATTTTATTTCTTATTTCACTTGGTTTTAGTTTTTTTTCGAAAAGACGGAGCTGCAGAACCGCTCGCTATAAAATTCGGAAAACGAATGAAAAAACGCAATGGAATCGCGATCGGTAAATATGGTGGAGTATAAGGTAGTCTCGTCGGGTGCAAATTCGTTCGGGTCCAGTCCATTAACGTTCAGTGAAACTTCCGTCTCGAGGCAACAAAATCGAGCGAAGTCTTGGCCCGAAGATCGAACGTTTGACTCTCCGTGAGTATATGTATATATGTACATGGGTTTTCGCTTGGTCTGCGAGCGAACCGCTTGGCGGAAACGAGAGTGAGAGCCACCAGTTCAGACACATTTCCCGCCAAAAAGTAAGCTTTCACCAAAACTACATTTATCTTTATAGAAACGATTTTTCTAAATTTTTGATTCCATAAGTTAAAAAACACAAAAATCGTTTTATCGATTTCAAAGCAGTTTGTAATAACTCGCGGAAAAAAGGGCAAAACCCACCCAGAACCTTTTGGCAAACATTAACATTTTATTTAATTTTTATGTAAAACTATTATATACATAATATAATTCTGTACATCATCCGTAATATACATATGTTGTTATATTATTGAGTTCTGAAGAAACCGGCTACAAGGCTTTGGTATTATAAAAGATTTCACCTTGATCCCCAATAAGTTGTGATCCTTTCAACATTTGCTTCCATTGTGAGTCCTTAACGATCGGTAATTTGAAATGCACACGCCGCCTACATTTGCATCTTACCCTTTGCTATCCCATTTAAAATACAATCACACTTGTCCTTGAACCTATTTTCCCTTGGCATCAAACTATTTTGTAAGCAAATGAATGGGTTTAGGATGATACAAAAACTAAAATATATTTTATATTGCAGTTAAAGTATTCAGTACATAAAATATATTAGCTAAATTATTAAAACAAATAAACTTTGAAAACAATATATTTTCCATTTGCATACAGATTCCGTTGACGGTTGCCGTAATCAGTTAATCGAGTTCAAGGACACGACTAATGGTTTTCTGTTATGGAAAAGGGTATGTGCACAATTTGTAGGTGACGAATGGGCGGACTGTTAAACGTTGAAAACAGGACATTAACCGTTGTGCACTAGACATTAATCGACACGCAGCGAGGATCAAGGTCCCTGCAAACATTTATCCTTTTATGTCTTTCCGAATGTTTTGAATACATTTGAGTAAAGAAAAAATTTTCTAAATTGAACGGTTTTCGTAATTATAAAAATTGTGGAAAATAATGGAGTTGCAAGTCTTCATTAAAAAACAATTAAGTTATATAAAAATGAATACATCCGAATTGATTAAAAAAAAACTTTTAAGATTCTGTAATTTTATTTAAAAATTAAAAATATAAAATACTAAAAAGTGTGTGCAATAAAGAAACGGTATAAATATGGAAAAGGTATACGGGCGCACTTAATTACACTTTACTGCAAACTAAAAGTTAAACAACGTCGCGAATCTGAGACAGGCGAATCCGAAAACTTTTGTAAAATGAGCCTTCAAAATGTCTGCCGCAAGGGCAATGCCTTCAACCTGTTGAACGTTTCCAGGAAAGGTGAGCTTAAAACTTTACAATGATCTTGTTCCGATCCTAAGTAGGACTGCACCAGTTGGACTTTGCCTTTGATAATTCATAACGCTTTGTGGCAGCAGCCGGCGGCTGAGTACAAAAGGGCCAAAGTCCAAATCGAAATCAGCAGTGACGTCGGAGTCGAAAAGATAATAATTTCACCCCACATCATTTTTATAAATAAACTGAAGTTGCATGCTACCTTTAATTGCAGTTCAATGCCGCACCTTGTCGGTTGCAATTCCGCAACCCAAGCAGAAAAACAGTCAGAACATCGTATTGGTGGATGGAGTCCGGACACCTTTTCTGACTTCAGGAACGTCCTATTCCAAACTAATGCCTCACGAGCTGGCCAGGCACTCGCTTTTGTATGTTCCTAAATAAAATTAGTGGGCCAATAGTAAAGAGTCTGACATTTTTTACCCCAATCAACAGGTCGTTGCTGCAAAAGAATCGCCTGGACAAGGAACTCATCGACTACATTGTGTACGGCAGCGTTATCCAGGAGGTCAAGACCTCGAACATTGCCAGGGAGGCAGCTTTGGCAGCAGGATTTAGCAACAAGACACCCGCCCACACAGTCACCATGGCCTGCATTAGTTCTAATGCGGTAATCCCACCAAAAGTTGTTCCTAGAGTATGATTTAGCAACTCCAGTTTTTCAGGCCATCACCACGGGCATGGGTCTGATTGCCACCAATACGTACGATGTCATTGTGGCAGGCGGCGTAGAGTTCATGTCAGACGTGCCCATTCGCCACTCCCGCAAGATGCGTTCCTTGCTGCTGAAAGCAAACAAGGCCAAGACCCTGGGTCAGCGACTGTCTCTGTTGTCGACCTTCAGGCCTGACTTCCTGGCTCCCGAATTGCCCGCCGTGGCGGAGTTCTCGTCAGGCGAGACGATGGGTCACTCGGCAGACCGCCTGGCCTCTGCCTTCAATGTTTCACGCAAAGAGCAGGACGAGTACGCCCTGCGCTCGCACACGCTAGCTAAAGAAGCCCAAGAGAAGGGTTACTTCACCGATCTGGTGCCGTTCAAGGTGTCCGGGGTGGACCAGATCGTAGACAAAGACAATGGAATCCGCGTTTCCAGTCCCGAGAGTCTGGCCAAGCTAAGGCCCGCCTTTGTGAAGCCCTACGGAACTGTAACAGCTGCCAACGCCTCATTCCTCACAGACGGCGCCTCTGCTTGCCTAATCATGACCGAGGAGAAGGCTAAGCAACTAGGCCTAAAACCAAAGGCTTATCTGCGTGACTTCCTGTACGTGTCCCAGGATCCCGTCAACCAGTTGCTGCTCGGTCCCGCCTACGGAATTCCCAAGCTGCTTAAGAAAGCCGGACTCACTCTAAAGGATGTCGACTCCTGGGAGATTCACGAGGCCTTCGCCGGACAGATCGTGGCCAACCTGAAGGCCCTCGATTCCGAATGGTTCTGCAAGACGTACTTGGGTCTGAACGAAAAGGTCGGCACCCCCGACCTATCGAAGTGGAACAACTGGGGCGGCTCCCTGTCCATCGGTCACCCGTTTGCCGCCACTGGCGTCCGCCTCTGCATGCACACGGCCAACCGGCTGGTCCGCGAGGACGGCAAGCTGGGAGTGGTTGCCGCCTGCGCCGCAGGGGGACAGGGTGTGGCCATGCTTCTTGAGCGCTACCCGGGCGCCACAGCCGACTGAAACCGCAACTGAATCGACAACGAAGAGAGTGCAGTGTGACTGCGAGATTACCTAGCTTTTATAAACTATAGAACTTTGGTTATACGAATAAAGAAATCTGAATTTTAAAATCAGTTTAATTCCTAACAGGCACCAACATGAGATGCACCTAAGTAATTCTAATCGGTCTCGTAGAGCTCTTTCTGCCGAAGTTTTGTCTGCAGAATGTCGTTCTCATTATATGTGAGATGCAATGGAGGTATCAGAGCGCAGGCTACCATGCGGTTCTCAGCATTCAAGAAGTTAAAGGTGGCGCAGGCCTGGAAAAAGTGACTAATGAACAAATAGGACTTATCTCCACAACAAAGGCACTTACTTGCTCCGTGCGAAGAACTTCAACGTTAATCTTGTATTTCTTCATGAATTCTATAATTCTTTTGGAGAGCGCTGGAGGCGGAGCTTGGTCGCCGATCCCTATAATTAGTACGTCGATTTTTGGTTCAAGTGTGGGAAAAAGACTGAGACTTTCCTCGTTTATGTCCTCGAAGCTATTAACGTTCCAGGAGAGAACTGATCTAAAAATATAAACATGTTTGTAAGAAAGTTTTGGTAATTCTGAATGATTAACCTTTTTGTTGTGTAGATGTTGAGATAATGACGGTAAAAAGTTTTATGTGAAACTAAAATGAGAAGTACATTGTGTTTTATTTGTGTTTTGTGCTTCATTGACATACATTTTACAATTTTTTTAGTGAAACTCTTTAACTTTTTAAAATTATTTTAATAACTTTAGTAATCGAAGTTGAAAAGCGGCACCTTTGAAAACCACCAGATAAACCACATGCAGTTGTTTACATAATTAATAATATCTCCGCCACAAACCTTGGAAACACGGAAATAGGTCCGATGAGGACCATGTCGTTGTTGAGCCTGAAACCGTACTGGCTATATCCAGTGACCATAAGACCCAGATCCGTTTCGGTGTTGAAAATTGTGACTTTGGTTTTTCCATCGTGGTCGTAGGCCTTGCTTAAACTTCCCGAATTCGCGTGAAATGGCCGGCAAATAGTGCACCTCGGCAACAAGATGCTGCGGGTCTGCCGACTCATGGCCGTCAGGGTCCTCGCAATCATCTTCTTGTATTATAAAAATAAATAACGATTTAAAGCTAACAAAATAGACTGGAATTGAAAAGTTTATCAGATCAGCGTGACCAGGCTTGTCGAGGTGGGCACCCCGCAAATGGTACAGATAGTTCGACAAGACCCACGATAGTTGCGCTGCGTTGGCCACACCGATCGCCTATTAATTTACGAAATTTACCAACAATTAACATAAACTTTTACATTGATCTGTGTGTTTTCAAAATAACAATATATTTTTGTGCTGTTGTTGACTACGTCTAAGTGCCACAGTGTCTGCAGGACGAAACTCCAACCAGTTGAATGAAGTTCTGCAAATCAGCGTGATAAACACCAGAATGTTTTAATGCTGTGTATATTCGAGTGCAATGATTCAGCAAGGCGGTGAGTGATCCCATGAACTATGATTGCCTCAGTTATGAGGGATTGATTCGCAATTCTGGGCTAATAAATGGGCAATATTACCATATGCCCCTTATCTTTCGACCCCACATAAATACATGCACACGAATATTTATGTATGTATGTATGATTGATTGGTGCGTGCACACACACAACCGAAGCCAAAATAGAAGCCCCGTTAATCGTCATTGGCAGTTAAAAGATAACTAATAGCAGGTTTAATTTGTAGTGCCTCGCTAAAAGCTTTAGCAAATACCTGAAGGTATTTCAGGCGTGTAGATAGCAAGCGGGTGGACTGATTCTTGGGGATGTGTATGTATGTATGCCCAAATAGGCGGTTATTCATCCATTAGACCATATTGATATCTTTTCCCTCTTTCGTCACTACAGTCGCCCCCAGAAATCACTTCGATAAGAAAATGTAGTGCTAAGGGTTAATTACAGGAATAATATTAAAATCGTTCTGAAATAGTTTTCGGTTTAGTTTAGTTTATGTATGTATTAGGATAGAGCATTTTGAAATTTATTACACGAAAATATTTACATATAGACCTGTTTTCTTAAGAAAATATAATGTTTTTATTATAATTGTTTCATTTCCAAAAAAAAAAAATTTTCTTTTCGCCGTCATTGCAGTCACTCCCTGAAAATCAACTCAACAAGAATTTAGTATTAAAGGCTACCTCAAAGTGTCACCATGATCGGGCCCAGTTCGCAGATCAGCAAGATCCTGCTTACCCTGTTGTTCCTGCTGATCATATTTTACGTTTTCATGGACGTTGAGCTTTACCTGCGCATTCACAACTATGCTATCGAGCGGAATTACCATACGAACGAAAGCATCTCTTCGCCTGTTTCTACCGGAGGACAGACCACTTCGGAGACCGGAACCGGGGGTAGTAGCACGAAACTTCCCACCGCCGCCGACAGGCAGCCGTCCTACGAGGACCACACCTGGATATCCTGTGATATAAATCCGCTCTGCCATGTCACCGTGAAGGCCATCTTGCTGGACCACACCAACCACTACCTGTTCGCCCCGCTGGCCACCATGTTCGACAACGTGATCGGTTTTTCGCGCTCCGCCTTCATCACGCCCAACATGATATCGTTTTTCCACGTGGGGGTGGCCTGTCTGGCGGGCAAGCTGGTGGCATCGGACAGTCTCGGTTACCGGCGGCTGGGCGTGCTGCTCTTCCAGATCCGCACCTTCCTTGATGACTTGGACGGCCATGTGGCGCGCGTGAGGAAGCACATACGTGGCGAGCGCTCAGAGATTGGCACATCCGGCTACTATGTGGATGGACTGTGCGACGGACTCGGATGCATTGCCCTACTGCTGGGTATATTCTTTTACCTGAAAAACAACCCGCCGCGAAGGGGCTACTCCATTATCCCGATGAGCGACTCCAAGCTGCCAGAGCCTACGATGATGATTTCGAAAATGAAGGCTACCACAAGGAAGGTGGCCAAGAACGTGATCAGCTTTACTGGACAGCTGCTACTAAGCTCTACAGCGTGGAACCGTTATATAGCCGTGTACCAGAACATGCTGGAGCGGGAGGATGTGAGCGGGAGTCAGTCTCATTGTCAGGACTACGTCTTTAAGTCGTCGTGGTTCTTCTGCGTCGCCTGGATGTGGCGCATCGTCAACGTGCACGCCCTGCTTCACTGCGTCCTGCTGAGCATCTTCTGCGATAAGTTATGGGACTTTTTGCGTGCAATTCGGTACAGCGGTTACATAATCCTGTTAGTTGCAATCTGTTTAACTGAAATGCACATTCTAGAGGCCCAAAACTACATTTTCAACTCTACGGCGTGCAGTAATATTTCACTGTGATTTTATTAATCTTACGAGAAAATACAATAATATTTGTGTAGTGCAAATCAACGATGCCTTTTTTATTGTGTATAGTAATGTATCATAATTGTTAGACTGCTCACGTTAAAGTCGGCACCGCCAATCACTGATATTTCGAAACCAACTAATGCATTTTGTCATTCAATCGCGGTCTGCAAGAGCAACTTCAGCTGTAAATAATAAATGTTATTCATTAATAAAGTCCTTGATGTTTTCATGAAAAAAAAAATGTGCCCTAGTAACTTGGGATAGTTTTTACTATTTTTAAATAATTCCTTCAGGAAGCACTATAGATTGAAATGCTTATCATCGCAAATAAGGCTGCCAAGTAAGAATGTTCATTCCGATTGGTCAGCACTTCAACTGGTCTTTGGCAAAAGGGTTTTTTGGTGATGTCCAGGTTTTTATAATTTAAAATGAATATAAATAAATTGCACAGTTTTTTTGTTATAAACAATTAAAGGTGCGAACCCGCGGGGAACCACCACAGCCTCCTTCATCCGGCAGCAACTGCTTTCCCAAACCCAAACCACTGGCAATTTTCCGGTCCTCCAGGGTGCTTGGACTACTGCAGAGGCACTCGAATTCGTCGCTGGCCACGCCGCCAAGTGTAAGTCAGGTAGATTTTTACCAATTATGAGCTCTATGAAGGTACACAATGACAGTCGGAACAGATGTTGACTTCAGCAAAAGAGGTAAAGCGTCAAAACAGTTAAGAGTGAGATAATTCATTCTACTTTCCATTTAGACTTCGCCCTCAGCACAGAGTGCATGGATCCTATCATTGAGTCGCCCAAAATCAGCTGCGGAGGGGATGTCACGCCCATTCGTCTACCATCGAAGCCCAGAGATCATAGCGGAATACTAAAAAGCGTAAATTAGTTGCGACTCCGAAGCCTATTCCCACACGAAACTGTTCGGAGAAGATGCCCATTCCCGATCAAAATGGCTTCAAGGGAAACCCAGTATATGAGGAATCAAATAGTGACATAAAAGAAGTAAAACATGAGCAAAATACAGAAACGGCAATCTAATTCTTAAGCAATTTGAATATATTTAACATGGCCAACTGTGATAATCTCGATATGGAAGATGAAGAACTTTTTTACTACTATTGACATCCAACGCAAAAAAAATTGCATAAATTTGTATTGAAGAGGTTCTAAAAAGACTTTAAAAACTGTGGAAAACGCAGAGATTCTGAAGATTTTGACACAGCTTTCCTTAGCAGTGACTATGATCCTGAAAAAGGATTAAACAAAAAAATGGTTAGGGTAGGAAAAGCCGACGATTCTAATCTTATCTTAACGTGAATTTAACCGGGCCTCATTCCGTTTTGCATGGGTTGCAATTTGTGATACCCGATAAGCATCCACGAATGAAAAATTATTTTGAGTTGAGCAGTATTCCATAAATTCTTTTAGTAATCCAATACACGCTGTAAATTATTAACAAACCTACAAAACAGCAACTAAAGCTCGGAAAACCGTCAAAAATAAGGCGCTTGAAATTTAGAACATTTAAAGTGTGACCGTCAATGAAATAATAAAATATACAATTTGGTAATAAAATACGATTCCGCTAGGGATGTACCGATTTAAATTATATTCTATATTTTCACTTTAGGCCAACGGATTTCGCTGTTTTATAAAAAGACGAATCATTTGCGTATTTTACTTTTTTTTTTTAAAGTCGTTTTTACCGTGAATCTCACTTTTAACTATTACCTTATTTTTAATGAGCTTATTAACACTTATTTCCAATATTTTTTTTCTGTCGGTTGGTATATTGACCGTATCCGTATTGGTCACACTTCTGAAAAACTTCAAGCGATACATACAGGAAAAATCGGATCCGAACTGAAATCTGAAAATATGGTCCACTTTTCTAAAGAAATAATGTTGAAATATCAATTGTAAATATTACCTGTTTCTTATTTCGCACGGATTGAAAGTGGATGTGCATAAAAAGCGTGTGTTGAGTCGAAAAACGAGCGTGGAACGTAAAGTGACTTCTGAATTCTGCCTGAGTGTGAATCGAATACGTGTGAGAGAGCGTGCGAGCCTATCTGAATTTACTTGCCACATAAAGTATATCAAGAATATTGTGTGGGCGCTGCAAGAAATCGAAACATATATTAAAGTGAGCTGTGTCAAGTAGAGCAGCTTCCAAAAACCCCTATCAATAGTGTAAGAATTGTTGTGTAATCACCTTTTAGGACCGTCAAACTGGATTTTCCATTTTGTCTACTCCCAGAGTGTTTGTGTGTGTGCAGCGTGTATGTGTGCCGTACACTTGGATACACACAAACATTAGAACTCTATATTTTGGGGTTTATGCTGTTGTGGGTATCCTTCGTTATTTTTATGTATGGTATAGAATAATCGATTTCATCGCTGGTTTCATACATATGTAGGTCAATAGCAAATGTACATAAATCAACAGCAAGTACATACATATATTATAAAAATAATTTTTCAAAATTGGTGTAGCTTCATTTTCATGTAAAATGTTTCTGATTTAAATTTGATGAAAGATAGTTCCTATAAAAGTTCAAAGTAGGTTTAGGTATAGGTAAGAGTGTCAAGTTATTGGGGTTATATTATTTTTCTTAAGGTGACTTTAATTTCATTTTTTGAAACGCATCTGAAAAGAGCGGATGGATTGAGTTGAGTGAGTGCATTTCATGAATGCAGGGCAGAATTTGTGGGATGCTTCAGTTGATTGAATGATATGGTGGATCATTTCTAGAGCGAAGTGTACGACCAGTGCGGCGATTGAATTCCCTAACTCTGTGTCGTTTTTAACAGTATCCCCGGCAGGAAGGCCCTTTGTAATGGATTTCGTTCAAGTATCGGAGGAGGAGGGTGACGAGCCCATCGAGCTGCCGGCCGAGGAAGACGGCACCCTGTTGGTGTCAACCTTGCAGGCTCAGTTTCCCGGATCTTGTGGTCTAAAGTATCGCAACTTGGAAACCAAGGCGGTGCGCGGAGTTCGCTCTAATGAGGGAAGACTGTTCCCCCCCAGCGTGGACTGTGGCTGGGGGGAGTACCTGTACTTCTGTGTGTTTCCCAAGGGTAAGACCTGTACTTACCCCAAAAGTTCGATGTTTTCAACTTAACCAGCTTTACCGCCCACAGAAAACAAGCGCAAGAGTGATGACAACTTGGAAAATTCAACGGCCAAGACCAAACGCATCGAGACTCGCCTTAGATGCACTGATCTTATTGTTCTTGGTCTGCCCTGGAAAACTACCGAAGACAGTTTGCGGGAGTACTTTGAGACCTACGGTGAGGTGCTGATGGCGCAGATCAAGAAGGACACAAAGTCGGGGCAGTCAAAGGGCTTTGGGTTCGTGCGTTTTGGGTCATATGATGCCCAGATGCGTGTGCTCTCCAACCGTCACCTTATCGATGGTCGTTGGTGCGAGGTAAAGGTGCCCAACTCCAAGGTGAGATCTCTTAAAAATCTTTCTGAACTCCTCACCAGGTAATCTGTTTGATCTTTCAGGGCATGGGCCACCAGGTGCCTTGTAAGGTCTTTGTAGGCCGTTGCACAGAGGACATCAACTCGGACGACTTGCGGGAGTATTTCTCCAAGTTCGGAGAGGTAACGGATGTGTTCATTCCCCGTCCCTTCAGGGCCTTTAGTTTTGTCACCTTTCTCGATCCCGATGTGGCGCAGTCTCTTTGCGGAGAGGACCATATAATCAAGGGTGAGTCGGTACGGTTCAAAGCGAAGTCTCATTTACGAAGGTGCTTTTCGTAGGTGTTTCGGTGCATGTGTCGAATGCCGCCCCGAAAGCGGAGCAGAACAGGAACCAACAGGCGCAGAGCTACAATTATAACTCCACCAATGGCTTCGGCATGCACTCGTATCATCCACAGGGCAACCACATGAATACGGGCCGCAATGGACACCACAGAGGTAATAACCAACACAGTGCTCACGGCAGTGAGAACACCATCATCGCCAACAATCACAGTAGCAACGGCTCGGCTGGTTATGGCATGGGTGGCAACAGTTACGGCGGAAACTCGGGCGGGGGCTATCACAACGGCAGCAATCACTCCACTGGCGGAAACGTGAACCGTCAGGACGGTGGTACGCAGTACAGCAGTAGACAGGCTAACTTCCATGGAATGAATCCGCAGCACAACGGAAACGTGGGTGGCAGCAACGGGTGGATGAACCGGGGCCACTTGGATATGCCCAATTTGCAGGCCTTGGGCATTAATTCGCAGGGATCGAGCTCCTCTAACCAGGGCCAGAACATGAGCAACCAGTCGATGCTTAACTTGAACTCCTTGCCGATCAATCCCGCCCTGGTAGCTGCTGCGTTGAACCAGTGGAGCCTGGTAGGCAACCAGCTACAGAACCAAAACCAGGACCAGCAGGCAAGCATCGACATTCCGTCATTGTTTCAAACAAAAAACTCTTTCAGTTCCTTCACAGGGCGGAAATTTTTTATCGTGGATGGCCCAGAACGGTGGCCACAACAACGCCAACAACTTTGGTGGCCGTAAGGGATCGAATAACCCGAACAATCCGGGCACTAATGGGATGAGCAAGGCCGACAATACCGGATGTAATGACCAACAGGTGGTTATATACATTTATAAATATGTTATTTATTGTTTTACTTTAAATTTCAATAACAATTCTAGAATGGAAACACGGGATGGTCAAATCAGAGCAGTGGCTCTCAAAACTCCGTGGAGAAGTCAAACTTTCTTTAAGGCTGTAACATTAGCACTACTGGGAACCATTAACTGTGGTTCATAATAACTTTGATTTAACCAAAACTTCTGTAGCTTACTTAAATATATATGTATTCTACAATTAAAGAAATTAAGAATTGTATTTAATATAAACATGCTAGATATTTTAATAAGTACAAGTAATGATGACACTCAATGGAGAAAAATACAATTTATACCTAGAACCCTGAGTAAAATAAATTATGGTTTAGAGCACATTTTGTTGTATTTTATTTGTTTTTTATAAATCTGGCGGGCACAAATATCATTTTGCCAAGGACCTTCCTAATATATACATATGTATGTACAAAGACAAAATTAAAATTACATTGAAAAAGCAATTTCATTTACATATTAGAAAATACAGATATGCCCAATAAAATAAGATAATCTTAAAGCAAAGTTAGTTTTTATCCGTTTTTAAAAACCATTAATCAATACTTGGTGCTTCACATTCAATAAAGTCTAGAGAATACCCCAAACGGACAAGCTTTGCTTTAACAAGAATACAACACTGGCTGTTTTATTCCACCATTTTAATTCTACGAAGACCGACATAACGGATTTATTTTACGACGAGGAAGTCGAGACATGATTTGCAATTTTAGTGGAAAGTCGGAGCGATTGGTCTCTAAATGAACAAGATAATTCAGGACAAGTTCATCCCGCAGCAGTTGCTGTATTTTATAGCCGGCAGACGCTGCTGCCAGCAGTTTCCGTGCACCTTTCGGTCCAGCGAACACGAAGCCTTCGTCCACTGCGCCACTGCCTTGGGGCTCCGATCTCAGGTTGTGCATAGCGACGGGAATAGCAGCGTAAAGATTTACAAGCAGGCATGTCGCCACTACCTGGAAAAGCCCAAGCTACTCACTTTATCGTCAGGGGCCAAGCTGAACATGTTCACGCTGCTGGCCAAGAAGTCCTTCATGGGCAGGGAGGACATGGAGCTCACCGCCGACATGGTCCCACAGAAGGCCAGTGCAGCAAGTATGCCGCACCTTAATCTCCCCCTGCCTGATATTCGTCCTCCGATCTCGCGCTTCTGGACAGAGGAACAACGGAATTTTCTGGCCAGTTTTCCGGGCCACCCGATGCGCAGTGAAATCATGAGCGCGTTGTATGCCCACCGGGTAATCGTCTTTAACGCCGAACTCGCATGGGACAAGTCCGTATTCCTGCCTCTTCTTATTCTGGACGACTGCCAGACTAAGAAGTCCAATGCCAAGATCATCTGCATTGAGAGGGAGGTCATTGTGGCCCTCTACAATAGCCAGCGGATCGCTAACTTCTTCGGAGAACGGCTTGGCGAGATGGTGGGCGTGCAGTTGCCACACTTTAGCACTCTGAGCTCCAATAGCCACATAATTTTCTCTACCGGAGAGTTCTTCCTTCGTTGCCTGGCTAACCAGAAGTTCCGCAACATCAGCCACCTGCTGGTAAACGATGTTCACCTTCACGATCCCTATACCGATATTTTGTTGAGCGAGATTCGCCAAGCGTTGAAAAGCTACCCAAACTTAAGGGTGATCCTGCTTTCGCAGATGAGAAATCCCAGGAAGTTCATGGAATATTTTTTTGAGGGAACCGTGCTAAACTTATTAGGCGAGCAATCGCAGATGGCTCGAGCGCGCATTTCCTACTTAAACGAGCTGCACAGCTGCATTGCCCTGGCGGGGATCCACAAGGGTCCAGACGTTTACAAGGATATTCCAGACGGCTTCCGCGGCCAGAGCCAGCGAAACAAGCAGATGGACAAATGCCTGCAGGTCTACGCGGAGATAGGAACGGATACGGCCATTCGTCCGTTTTTGTACGCCGTAAACTACGATCTTGTTCCGGTCAACTACCGCCACTCGATGAACGGCAAAACGGCGGTGCACATCGCCTCCGAGCTGAACAACGCTAATCATCTGCGCTTATTGCTTTTCATGGGCGCCGATCCCTTTATCATGGATATGTCCCACCAAAACGCCATCTCTTTGGCGGCCATGAATGGCAATCATGAGTGCATCGACATCCTTAACAACTACAGCCTGCACGGTTTCGTGGTGAAAAGGGTCAAGCCGGATTTTGTGGATTATGATCTCATAATAGACATTATGTATCTTTTGCGTACCAAGCCGGAGTATTCGCCAGGTGAGTGCTTAAGATCTTAATATTGGAAATTAAGGATTATTTTTACGATTAACAGCGTTTATGGACTAGAACTAGATATATGTAGTTGTAAGGTTCGGCTTAGTCGGTATTCGTTCAGGAATTTTTAACAGAAGTATCTTTGATTGTAGGACAAATCAAAAATTAAAACCTCGGTTGAGTAACGGTCCATTAGTGACTCGTCCTCCAAGCTTGAATGCGATTAATCGCGGGAAGTAACGCTTTCACCGCCGCGCAAAAAGTTCCATCTGCAACGGCAGCTATCGATTAGTATCGCTTGGCGATTGGGCATTGTTTTTTTTAGAAGCAGCAAGATGAGCACCTATCTACAAAGCAGCGAGGGCAAGTTCATCCCTGCTACAAAGAGGCCGGACGGCACTTGGCGCAAGGCGCGCCGAGTTAAGGACGGCTACGTGCCGCAAGAAGAAGTTCCCTTGTACGAGAGCAAGGGCAAGCAGTTCGTGGCCCAGCGGAGCCAGGCCGGAGTGCCGCCTGGCATGTGTCCCCTGGTGGCCGCCGAGTCTAAGAGAGAGCGCGAGAAGCTGGAGCGGTCCAAGGCCAAGAAGCAAGAAAAGGAAGCAGCCAGGCAGACGAAAGCGCCTACGCCCGGCGTCCTGGTAATGCCACCTAGCACGCACACGCAACAAAAACCTAACCAGCAGTCATCTGGCAGCCAGGACGTCAACTCGGTTGCAAAAACACTCGAGGATACCCTACGCCTAAACGGATCTCAGGAGGTGGACTCCGCCAAGCAGTTAAAAAAGCTGCGCAAAAAGATCCGCGAAATCGAGCAAATAGAAGCCCGGATTGAAGCTGGCGAGCAAAAAAGCTGGACAAGGATCAGCTGGACAAAGTAAAAAAGAAGGCGGAGATCCTGCGACAAATAAAGGCGTTAGAAACCGAGTCGCGATCGTAGCCCCCAGGTCCCAATAAACTCAGATACTGCTATATCCTCACCTCGTGAACAAATCAACGACCAGACGTCGAGCCGCCTCTACAAGAAACACATACACATGCCTATGTCTGTTAAATAGTTGTATTAGTTTTAGCCGAAGATGTCAAAGCCATTTAGTAATATCGATCTATTTTATTAATGTGTGTCTATCTTGAAACCTAGTTTATACGAATGCAGGAGTGGCTCGTTTATTTATATATAGGTAACTTTGTAAATCAGATTTAATAAATTGAACCCATTTAAAGCAAGGATTTTTGTTATCGATTTGAATCTACATATGTTCCGTAATATATATTATTAGCATAGATGAAAAGCTTTACTAGTTTTAAATTGCTTTGCAGGCAACATCCTCATCATTTTGCCCACTTACTACCACATCGTCAAGCTGAACTACATGATACTGAGTCACTGTCTAACCGGCAACCTGCAGGAGCTCTCCATATTTCTGCTGCACGAGAACATGAGAAAGGATTACATCGACGCATTGGTTAATGCACCCGCCGATACCGTGATGGTTGTCCTGACCACGGACATAATCGAATCACTGCCTTTAAAGGTGCCCTTCAAGTACGAAATCGACACCGCCTGTCGGCTGACCAACGTATACGACAGCTCCAATTACAGCGGAGAGGATCGCTACGAATGGGTGGCGAAGGACTGCCTTCGGCGAAGGGAGTTGATTCTTGATCCGAAAGGTTTGTAGTCTCAGTATTTGAAGTAAATGGTTTCCTTAACACTTCGACCGCAGCTGCTGATGCTCAATGCTTCCGTTTAATATCAAAAGAGGCTTTCGAGGAGCTGGGGGAGACGAGCATGCCTCGACTGCAAACCATGCAGCTGGACAAGATCAGCTTGGCGGTCAAATTGCTCTCGCCCGACATGGTTATTACCGAATACCTGAGCTTCACCATCTCCCCACCGCCACTGATTAACGTGCACCATGCCGTGCAGTTTCTCAAGAAAATAGATGTATTGGATGAGGTGGAGGATGTCACCTGGCTAGGCTGCCGATTGGTGGACATCCCGGTTCCCTGCCAACTCGGCCGTATGCTGATCTTTGGCATTCTGCTGCGATGCCTGGACCCAATTTTGACAATAGTGAGCTCGCTGTTGACGGCCGATCCGCTGGGAATCCCGTTCAACGAGGACATTGACCACCTGTGGGACAGGTTCACCATTTACATCCAGAACAGGATTAAAAGCGAGCGGGCTCGTCTGGCCGACGACCAGTTCTCCGACCACTTTATCTTCGTGCGTTTGTTTCAGGAGTGGCAAAACGGACTGCATAACAAAAAGGCTCCGCTTTATCTCACGGATGAATATGACTTTGTACTGAACGGGTTAATGGAACAACTTAGCTATACGCGCTCCGAGCTTGTGAGCAGCCTCCGGGCCGCGACATTGATCCACGCTCGCGGGAAGCTATCCATCCAGAATCTTAACCGAATGTCCGGGAACTGGCAAGTTGTCAAGGCGGCCTTGACGGGAGGGATGTATCCCAGTATTTGTGTCGTAGACGACGGATTAAACCTACTAAAATCAGCTTTTTCCGGCACTGTTTACCTGCATCCCAGCACAGTGCTTCGCGAGTTCTTGCAGCCAATAAACTTTTCGGCTCTGAATTTCCGCACGTCCTGGATTGTGTGCACCAAGCAAAAGAACCAAATTGTTTATGCCACCATGGTTGTACCGCTGGCCGTGGCATTATTTTCTGGTAATCTAAGTGAACTTCAAGTTATTAAAGCCTTTAATTTTGTTTCTTTTTTTTTAATAAATTTTATTATTTAGGGCGTCCCCGTCTTCGCCTTTCCCAAATATGTGAGAGCCAAGTAACTTCGAGTGATCACGACGTTAACATCTTTTTAGATGAGTGGATATGGATGGTGACCTCCAAAACCTCTGCTGAGATGATCATGAGAACGCGTCAGTATTTCTTTAAAATGTACTACGAATTTTTGAAGCACTGCAGCGACCAGGAGAGGTGGCGCAACGAGTCACCAACGGGGTCGCACTACGCGACGTTAACTGAAACGCTTTCGAAGATCTTTGAGAGCGAGGAATCTGCCGTGGGCTTCTCCAAGCCCCTGCCCATAACCTACCTACCAACTAGTCAGACGCCGGCCTCCTACCTTCTGAACGTCAACGCTCACTTCAGTTGGATCCGGGAAAAAGAAGAGAATCGGCACTTTTTGCAAAAACCGCAGCAATTCAACTCTCATTTCGTCGAGAGGCAGTTTTTCCTGCTCTTTTCGGAGGGCGAATGCGAGGAATTTTATAGCGCCAGCACAGCGGGCTATATTGAAAGTGTTCTCGGAAAATTTGTCAGACCCATCGAGTCTCCCAACAGGCATATCTTTGTGATTCTGTACAAAAAGGATCCGAAAGTAATGCTCAGCGTAAGTCGAGCTAAGACAATTAATGGCGAATTTACGCTAAAGGAATACTTTCGAAACTCCATTCCAGTGTCTGAAATTGTGTAAGTAAGAAACAGCTTTGATGACGTCCTATTCTAATGTGCTTCCTTTCAGAGAGGCCTGTATGTCGATAAACGTAAACGCGCCAGTGTTTGATGGTCGCCTAATGTCTTGCCTTATTGACAAACGAATCGGTAACTTAATTATGGACTTGTTTGCCTTCCGTCATCATTGGATTCATAAGGAATAAGGCTTTGATTTGTTTTTGCTTTTTACTTGGTCAAAACCAAGCTTGAAAATATGTATGAATTACTAGCATAAATTGGCTTGCAAGGGTCTAATATTGTTTTTTATTGAACTTAAGATGAATTAAGAGTTAATCAAAATGGCATGTATTATGGAAACCGAAGTATTACTTACTTTACTAGTTAGGAAGTAAAACACTTTTAGTTTAAGTGGAAAACCATAAAGATCAGAATCAAAAAATGGCGTATTCAAAAACATAGAAGAAAGTTTAAAGATTTTGTGCGAAAATACTTAAATACTTTTTTGTATGCATATATTTGTTATTTAAATTAAACCGAACCATTTAATAAAATAATGAACCTTAAAACTTACTGTAATTATTTACAAAATTTCGGCCATTGGCCACAATTTACCACCAAGAAAAAACTATGAACCTTGTTTTAGTTAGGTACAGCGCTGTATATTTCTATAAAAAATATTCGAGATTAGTACAGAGATGGACATCTACACAGAAATGCTTTATATTTCTTAGCCTAAGTGGTAATTTGAATTCAATGGCACCCGCAGGATTTCACAATCATGTTTCTATACTTTTTAAGGTTGACATTTTCGTCGTTCAGGTGGTAGAGCACCGGGAGCGCCCCCAACCTGGTCGGAGCACAGCACGGCTTGGGCACCTTCTTGGGCTCCAGCAGGTGGACCAGAGTCTGGACGATCGCGTGGTTCGTGGCGTTCATGTGCGCGTTGAGCGGGAAGTTGCACTCGCCACTGCAGTAGAAGGCTCCGTAGCCCTCCGGAGCGATGATCCAGTCGTGCCAGCCCAGGTCCTTGAAGTCTATGTACAAGGTCTGCATCTGGCAGCTGCGCGTGCTTTCCATTGGCTCCAGGAGGGGCACAGTGTTGGGTGACACAGACTTCTTGCGCTTGCGCGGGTGGGAGGTGCTTCGCTTGCTTCGGTGGTGGCTGCTGTGGGCCGTCGCCTTAATCAGTTCTGGTCCGCGGAAGAAGCCGATCATGAAGGGCTGGAACTCGTCGTCCACCTTGCGGTGGATAAGCCCGATGTCGTCTAGCTTGACTTCGCGGTCGGGTCGGTTCACAGCATGGGCCCCGATATAGATACCATGGTTGTCCTTCGACTTGACCAGCCACTCGTGCAGGCCCTCGGTCACGTTCAGTTCCAGCCAGCCCACATAGTCTCCCGTGGTGTTTACCGAGGACAGCGTTTCCATGGTGTGCTGACCCAGCGTTCCGGTCCCTATGGCATAGACCGTGATGGTGAACTCCCGGTTGGTTGTCAGCCACTTGCCCTCGTTGGCGTTCTGGTAGATGCGCAGCTCAGCCATCACCAGGTAGTTGTCATCGGGCACTTTGGAGACGTCAAACCAGAGACGTCGCCCGTGCTCGTGACGCAGTTCGTCCACATTGTGGTGGCGCTTGTTCAGAAAGGTCATGATGATGTCACTCTCGTCGATGGCTCTCTTGTCCAGATCGGTAATAAAATTGTTCTGCTGATCATCGCCCTCGTCCTCGTCGAGATCGGCGCTTCTCCTGGACCGGTGACCTTCGTAGGAGGCTCCATCATTCTCCTCACGGTCGCTATCGCTGGCCAGACCCTCCTCCGCCGTGATGCGGTGGTAAACGTCTAGCAGGAATTTGGGAGCTGACTTGCGAAGCGACAACTGGTGGCTGCTTAGGTGCGCTGGCCGCTCGGCGATGCCCAGGAACTCGAGGATCTCGTAGGACACGTCCAGCTTGTCGTCCTCGCTGAGCACCCTGTGCATGACCGTCTGGTCCTTGCCATTGTCTATATAAATTCCCGACTGGGTGGCCTCCACCGCGTTCGGCGTCGTCGCCACAAATATCAGCACAACCAGTCCTAGTCCAAAAGAAGCCAGAACTGCAACAGCCTCCAAGGTATTTCGCAGGCCCGACAACATATTTAAAAAGCTTGATTGATCGCTTCTTCGCTTTACACAAGGCTAACTACTATGAGGTGGCATTCAGGTGTACACAAACATTTAATTCCTTGTTTCGTGGGTTTCAGCGAACCGCGGGTTCTGAAAATTCTGACGCACTTACGGATGGTTGTGTGTATCTTAATCTTCGAAATGCATTTTCTCCCTATTCCGAAGGGAGTTGGCAGCCCCTTCACCAATCGCAGATCGAACCAGGAGAAATGTGTAAAGTGGTTCATTTGAACTGCGATCGTGGAAACAGTGATAATCGAGAAATGCCTTGGACGATATTACAAGATTTTGTATGCAATAACGTAAAACTGTATCAGGAATTAAACTAAAAGGTTTTCAAATTAAGAAATGTAATTAATCGTTAACCATATTTGTATAACAATATGCATTTGTATCTTGCAACAGAATTTCGAACTTCGATAGGCAGGTTATTTTGATTTCAAAATCGAAATTTAGCTACTTTGTAGCTAAATTTTCAACACTGCGACAATACATCGATATATAAAGGTATTTTTATAAGATTCCATCACATCCCTTATTCTTCATTCCGTTGGCGGCGTCGCGAACTCGCGTTGTTTATTTCCGTTTAGTTTTAAGTTAGCGCGTTTTTCCCACCGCCGGTGTCGCCCAAATTATGCGAGACACAGCCTAGAGCAACGGTGAGCCAAGAAGCAACACCTGGTGGGCTTTAAATAACTTTGCCCATTTATGACCAGGCACAACACCTAGCACTTAACCGCCACAGAAGCATAACCGAAACGGAGAAATGGGCCGCAGCCGAAGTCCCGCATCGCCGGCGCATAGGAGGCGCGAGAAGGAGCGATCCGAGCGGAAGAAGCGCAGGGAACGCCGTTCCCGGGAAAGGGAGGCCATCGGAGTGGCTCCCGCCGCAGGATCAGGACCGGGATCAAGTCGCCGTGACCGGAGTCGTAGCAGGGAACGTGAGCGGGATCGCGATCGTGCTCGGGGCAGGCGTTCTAGGTGAATAACAAAGTGTAGTGTACCAAAAGCCAAGAAATGATAAGTATACAACTAGTTGCTAAAACCTAGAAGTAAGTTTGTCTGGGACGTATGCAGATTAACATTACTGGGTTGATAAATTATAGATTTATCTTTAAATTCTTTGTGGGAGAATATACTCCATTGTAAAAACTTGTTTGTATACCGGCAAATACCGATAGGCAGTACATACGTATAGAGCGTACCTGGGGTCACATTCAGTGTGTTTTTTTTTGAACTGACTCGAAAATATTAGTTAAGCTAAAAACAAGGAGTTTGCATTTTGAAAGTCTTTAGGTGTTGTGTGGGTGGGAAAAAGAACCTCCTCATACTTCTTCAACCCCACGCTTGTTTGTTTACTTGCACGTATCGATAAACTCTTGGCTCGATAGGCAGGCAATCGACGGCCATGCAGCTCTGACCGCTCAACAAAAAATTACCACGTGAAGCGAAATTGTGCGAATTTCATCACGGCGTTTAAAAAATTTCCGGCAATTTAAACCAAACGCAGAGGATCACAGGGTTCGGACTCAGTCAGGCCAGCAGATCCAATCAAATAGAAACCCCAAGAGAAAATCAACCCGAAACACACAGAGAACATGGCGCTGCGAGTGCAATTCGAAAACAACGACGACATCGGCGTCTTTACCAAGCTAACTAACACATACTGTTTGGTGGCCATCGGGGGATCTGAAACCTTCTACAGCGCCTTCGAGGCGGAGCTGGCCGAGACAATCCCTGTGGTGCACGCCAACGTGGGCGGCTGCCGAATCATCGGTCGCCTTACGGTGGGCAACCGAAACGGCCTGCTGGTGCCCAATTCCACCACCGACGAGGAGCTGCAGCACCTGCGCAACAGTCTGCCGGATGCCGTGAAGATTCAGCGCGTGGAAGAACGCCTCTCTGCGCTGGGCAACGTCATAGCCTGCAACGACTATGTGGCCCTAGTGCACCCTGATCTAGACAAGGAGACGGAGGAGATCATCGGTGATGTGCTCAAAGTGGAGGTCTTTCGCCAGACCATCGCGGACAACACACTAGTGGGTTCCTATGCCGTTCTGAGCAACCAGGGCGGCATGGTCCACCCCAAAACCAGCATACAGGACCAGGATGAGCTGTCGTCCTTGCTGCAGGTCCCCCTTGTTGCGGGAACAGTGAACAGAGGCAGCGAGGTGCTCGCCGCTGGCATGGTGGTCAACGACTGGCTCTCCTTTGTGGGCATGAACACCACGGCCACAGAGATTTCGGTGATTGAAAGCGTCTTCAAGCTGAACCAGGCGCAACCCGCCACGGTTACGACAAAACTGCGAGCCGCCCTCATTGAGGACATGTCCTAGGCATCTAGACACCATCAACCTTTTACGATTGGTCTAAGCGATAATCTGTTATCTTCTACGAATTGTCATTTAAGAACGAAATACAAAAAAAAAAACCATAAAAGTGAAGCTGCAGTCATATTATAGTCATAGCGAGTCTAAAATAGTTTTGTTGTTATGGTCGGCAGTTATTTTTGGGTGAACTAATCTAACTAATGCTGATTTTTAGCAAACCCCTTTCTCTACTTAAAAATAAGTTCTTGGGCATGTGATTAGTTATACATCAATAACCAGTTATTTTGTAATTAGGATTCACTTAATCAGCTTCTTTTCACATCCTTACGAGCCGGTTCTTCGATGCATTTATGAATATTTAGCGGGTTTGGGCCCTTCAATAGTTATGGGTGAATCGCAGTTCAGATTGTCAACCAAAAACCAAGACGTTAATAAGACCTTTAATGAACCCGACCGACCGGTCGCAAAGTGTCGTATTTCGCCTAATTAAAACTTCAAATTGCTACTTTGGGTGCACAATGCTCAAGGTCGCCCCAGTTATTTCCCAGGCTCGTTGCAATTTGAGTGCAATTGCGACTGGTCCTGTTACTCACCATCTGAATAATATCCAAGCTCATCATGTACAATTCACGGATTGCAGATCGCGGTCGAGGGGCGCCGGAGGAGGAGGCGGCGGAAGCAGCGGCGGCAACAGCAGCTCCGGACCATCGACGTCGCGAAGGACGACGAGGAACAACGCGGCGGCCACAGCTGCCGACCGACCCAAGATCAACGAGGCGGACCTAGAGGGTAAATCGCCGGAAGAGGTCGAGATGCTCAAGACAATGGGATTCTGCACGTTCGACACCACCAAGAACAGGAAGGTCGAGGGCAACGATGTCGGAGAAGTGCATGTAATCCTAAAGCGAAAGTACCGCCAGTACATGAATCGCAAGGGTGGCTTCAACCGGCCGCTCGATTTCGTGGCTTAGCAGTCCTTTTCCTCAGCTCGACTAGTTTGCTACGCTTTTTTACTTGTCCGTGCTCTTTGGGAGACGGACGAAGACCTGCAATTTTATGCAATAGACCGGTTTACGAAATTCAGCCAGCTTTTGGCCCTGTCAAAATTTCCACTCATCAATCAAGTTCTGCAAAAGGACACACTCATACCTCAATAAGTTATTTAGTAGTTTAAGCCTGAAGTGCGCCTTTGTTATGGAGTTTGCCCCCAGGTTAATCTTACAACAAATATCTGGGGCTGAAAGCGATTCCAAACCTCCTCGGTTGGAGAATCTGCTTTCAGCTGCAGTTAAGCGCGCACCTCGATTGCTTTTTGAATATTTCAAAGAAATTAACAATTGTTTTTGTTGACATCTCGCCATTTTGTATGAATACGAATTAACTGAAGCCTGAAATAGCCCAAACACGAAATTCGCACCAGCAAAATTTCCAAACTCTCATACCGACAATTACTTAAAGTATTTGAAAACACAACACAGCCCAAAACGAACCAACTATACCAATCGCATCCTTATCCCCATCCCCTATTCCTCACCAGACCGCCCAACAAACTTCCTCCATACGCTGCAATAGTACAACTTTTACAACCAAACAATATATATATAATATATATTTTATATACAAAGAAATTATTATATACACACACACCACAAGTACCTTATCCCCGAAACCCCAGAATAAACCTAACAATAGCCATAGCAATTTGTTGAAAGATTAATTATTTGTTTAACAATCAAAATGTTTTAATAATCCAGTTAATTCCGATTTAAATCACAAGTGCCAAGAGATCAGGCAAACCAACGCTGAAGATGAATCACGTTTTTATAGAGATATTTGTATAATCACTTGTACTCTTTTTTATAAGGTAGCCATGAATTTTGTATGCCGCAGCAAGCAAACTATTTTAAGCTACAGTTACCGTTTTTTTTTCGTTTGAAAAACCATATTTATTTAAAAATTTGAATTATTTTGGCCACAGCACTCACACCCATCTTATACCAATAATTTGTAGTTTTACACAACGAAATTGCAGGGATTTTTGTCTTACTTTATATTCTCCTACAATAAAATGATAATAAATTTATAAAACCATATAAATGAACACTTTTTAGTTAAAACGATTAATGGAATAATTATAACTGGGAGTAAATTGGGAATAACGAAACCATTTGCGGTTTGGGGTTTGAAGAATAAAGAAAATTAATACTCGAGAATTGTATATCTTTTTTAAAAGCATCGAAACTTTACCTAGACACGGATATGCAATTTCATGTATTAGCACCAGCCAGCAATATAACCACAGTTTAATTGGTCTTTAGTTTATTTTGTAATACGAAAATTTAATACAATTTGCAATTTGAAATGCAATTACAAATGAAATGCTTAAGAGAATACAATGCTTGGCAAAAGAAAATAAAAGTGTATGACTACATTTAAATTTAGTTATTGTTACGCTTGTTTTTGCTTAACGGGTTATAATTTTCTTTTACATAATTAAGAAATACATGGGTTGCCAGTATCAGGCTAGGATTAAGTGGGGAAAACATAAGTTTTGTGCGCGAAGGCAAAGCAGGAAATCTGCTCGAATGATGCTTGGTAAGAGGTTGTGTTCTCTCGATTCTGTGTGTTAGTCTTTTTGTTGCCGCTTCTGATCGCTAAGGCTAGTGATCCTGGTGATCCTGGGGAATTTGGCTGCCCCTAGTCGCCCTTGCGAGGCTTACGCTTGCGCACTTGTTCCGTCTTCTCGGGCGCAGAATCTCCAACCTGCTTGGGCTGTGTTTTTCCGGTTTTCTCCGGCTCACCTTCGGCTTCCTTCCCCTCAGATGCCAAATCGCCCGCTTGCTCCTCGCTATCCTCCTCTTCCTCTTCATCGTCCTCAGGCTCCTCCTCGTCGCTCTCGCGCTGCTCATCGTCGTTCTCCTCGACCTCACCATCGTCCTCGATCTCCTCGGTGGCTAAATCTTCCAGACCTTCAGTAAGATTGTCTTGGGACTCAGAGAAGCTCTGGCGTTGCGATTTCTTGGGTGGATACACAAAGTCCACAAGGCACACGAGCAGCAGCCCCAGGGCGGCGCCAACGAAGATGGTGGCGATCGCAAAGAGGGCGTAGGAGCCCCACGTGGGCAGTCCGTACTCCTCTTGAAGCCGCCCGTTGAAGTCCTTAAAGAGTTTTTGCGTGTGCTATTAGTACATGAACCCAATATACGAGGCAAATAGCAGAGAGCAAAGACCATAGTAATGAGTAATGAGCAACAATCTTTGGGTCAGCGGGATCAGTCTGCCGATAAGCTTCCGCTTGTGTCTCATGCAATGAACTGAGGTGATAAGTGGGATAGGTGAACGTACCTTTAGAGTGTGGGACAGCTTGAAGAAGTAGGACAGCACGGACATGTGGATGGTATCGGGCTTTTTCCAGGCGGACAAGGGTTCGATGCTCTGCCACTGCTGCTTCTTCACGAAGTACAGGAGGGCATCGCCATCCCGGGCGCCGCGATACTGACGGAACTCGCCATCCTTTACGCTATGAAAAGGTAAAGGTTATACTAAGCAATTTCTGGCCCGAAAAGGGTTGTGCGACTCACTGGTAGATGGTTGGCAGGGCAGTGACAAAAAAAGCGCCCACTAAGCGAGGGCGAAGTGGTGACATCGATCTTGGCCACCTGCACCTGGACATCCTTGGCAACGCGGGCAAAGCGCTCCCAGGTGGGAGCCAGGTTCTTGCAGGCCGGGCACCACGGGGCAAAGCTGCAAGTTTGAGAGAAAAATAAACGTCTTTAAACAGCTGCTATGAGTCATTGTTGCGAAGAAAGGAGTGTCTGGGACTCTGAGGAATGAATAAATCCAGCTTGCCGGCTTAAAAAAGCCGGGGCACCACGCCCCTTTTGCGTTACGTCAGGGGCTACGTGTGTTTCAAGAGGTTGGGGCTATTCTTTTGCACTTACAACTCAATCATCCACTCGCCCTGGAGCATCAGGTGCCAATTGTCCTCGTCCAACTCGATTAACTTGCCACCTGGCTGCAGTCCTGACTGCGCCGCAGCCGCCGACTGCGCTGCTGCGGCCAGCAGAAGCAGCACCGTACATGGCGCGGTCAAAAGGAGCGATTTGCAAAGCATTTGGGGGTTCGTAATCGCCGGTGAGTTTTCTGAAACTTTGGACGACCGGCTGCTATAATTTGCTAAATTGAACTACGTTTCCTTTCTTCGTGTTGAAAAGTTACAAAAAACTGTGACGCCTGCTGGAAAATTGATAGAAACTCTGGTTCGATATCCGTCAGTGATGGCCGTTCACTTCTTTCCCGCCAAATCGACAATGAGGGGCTTCCTCCAACTAATTTAACATGGGGAGAAGACATGTCTTCGCGGGAAAATAATTGTAAAATATTTAGTTTATTATCTTCTTTTTGGCAATGCAATTAAAATATGTCAAGACACTTCTTCCTTTTACAGTCTTCCCATCGCTGGTGAAATCGATAGCTATCAATCGACGAACAACAACAAAGAAAAAATAAGTTTATCAAAACACATCAAAATTAGACAATTAGGAAGTTTCTCTCGGCCTAAAAATGGCACACAACTACTTGCAGCCAGTACATGACCACTTTGACGACGTGGACAGATTCGAGGATGTCGACGATGACCTTTTTCTCCAAAACAAAAGAACTGGAGCTCCCAAGATTCCGCAGCAGAGGAGCACAAATCCTTTCGAGATTGAGGACGACGACGATGATGAGTTAACCATGTCGCCCTCGGTGTCCGCTCAACGTTTGGCCTATGCGGAAAAACGAAGGGCCATCGAGCAGCGAACTCTGGACTCCACCAACAAGAGCTTGGGTAACAGGGGGTCTATTGACAATCAATCAAGGGGCGTTACTTAAACGAGTGCTATCCACAGGTCTGCTTTACGAGACCCAGGAGGTGGGTAAGGCCACTGCAGTGGAGCTGGCTAAGCAGCGGGAGCAGCTGGAGAAAACCTCGCACCAACTGGATGAGATCAACTCTACGTTGCGCTTCAGCCAGCGTCACTTGACTGGGCTGAAGAGCGTCTTCGGCGGACTGAAAAACTACCTCTCCGGTAACCGGGACCATCCCTCCACTGCCGCTGGATCACCTACCGCTAGTCAGTCCTCCCAGGAGGCAAATAGCAACATTGATTTGGGCGCCTGTGGCGGGGTAAGCCCACCTGGACCGCTCTCACCAGCCGAGCGTTACGAAAATCACCCGGTTAGCCAGATGCGCGGTGACCCCAGCAGCACCTATCATCCTCAGCGGCAGACGGGCAATCCCTTCCAGGCCCAGATTGACGCCAATCTAGAGGAGATGTGCAGTAATCTGTCGGTGCTCAAGATGCTAGCCACTGATTTGGGCGGTGAAATCGAGTCGCAGAACGAACTGCTGGATAATATGAACTACAAAATCGAGGACGTTGACTTGAAGATTCACAAGCAGAACAAGGACATGAGCAAGCTTCTGAAGAAGTGAGCCCGTATTCGTCGCGATACATTCATAGAATAGCCTCCCTTAAATATACAGATCATAGTTATACCATGTCGCATGATTGGAGCACACCATTAGGCCATTTCAAATGCATTCCTCATTGTTTTTTAGTTTTTTATTGTTACACGAATCGGTAAAGAGCGATAAGTGTCCAGTTTTGAATAAAATGCATACAAAACAAAAGAGAAGTCAAGCGAAAACGGATAAGGGTACATACTCGGCTTCTTTGTTATCTTAAACGATGCTGATGCAGCATTTTTCAGAATTGAATTATGAATCACGGAAACGTCTTTTTAATTTCAAATAATTTTATAGGGGTGAAAGAATAAACTACTGTTGGTAGTTGTTTTATTAATCTAGTTCTTTCCTGCAAATACATTTAAATTGAGTTGTTTTATTTTAAGATATTACAATTCAATTACAATTGATTTACAATTTCAATTTAAAAAGTATTCAGGAAGGATTTTTGTCCCTTTCGCTAATGCTTTTGCGATCAAATTATTGGGTTCTGATCTCGGAGTGGTAGTGTTGGAAATGGCCTGGGGGATAAAGTTTTCCTTCGCTTTCCAGCACTATTGCCTTATAAAATAAACCGCAATTTCAGCACTTTATAACTTCTGCACATAAAACCAGTAACATTTCCAAAAATGGAGGATTCCTATTTTTCCAGCCTTCCCCAGGTGCTTAAGAAACCCTTGTCCTTTGCGTAAGTCCTTATTTAAAGGCATACAGCATAGAACACATAGCCATGAACCTGTTGCTCTTCCTGCAGGGACCTCGTGGAGAAGGGCACGGAATTCGAGGTGGACACGTTTCGTCAAGATACCGCCGCCACCGAATTTTTAGGTAGTGACGGAGACAGCGACTACGAGGACGCAGAGGGTGTGGACAACGAGGCGTTGCTCTCCCCGTGGATGCTGTCATTCGAGGAGCTGCGTTGCCTGATGACCAAGGTCAATGACTTCATTTATAAGCGGATTACACGAGAGGGGCACGTGGATCGGGATTTAGTGCCGCAGAAAGCAAGGGTCTCAGTAAGATACAGTGGCTACTGGGAGGGCGAGGGCGCTCCTTTCGACTCTTCCATGCTTCGGGGGGCCAAGTTCGAGTTCGAGACGGGTCAGAACATGGTTATCGAAGGCCTGGAGGCTGCAGTGCGCACCATGCGCCCTTACGAGCAGGCCGAATTCATAATCTCTTACCAGTTGCTTTTCCGGGAACTTGGCTGCCCGCCTAGGATCAAGCCTAAGGCGGATGGACTCTTCAAAGTGGAAGTGATCGACTACTCCCTCATTGGCGACTCGGAGGCTCTCAACGCGATTGCCAAGGAAGACCGCGACAAGTTCTGCGTGGTTTATCCTAAGGCGCAGGATCTGCACCTGCACGGAAAGGACTGCGTGAAGCGCGGGCGCTATCGAAATGCGGCCACTGCCTTTGAACAGGCATTCAATTCCTTGAACTACTGCCGTTTGGCCAATGAAGAGGAGGAGGGGAGGCAAACCGAATTGCTGATTACTTTGTCTGTAAGTTGCCGACAGCTTAAATAAAAACTCATATAGTATATATATATATTTGCATAACATGACTAAATATTTTTAGCAAAACCTTATGATCGTATACAACAAGCTCAACAAGCCGCAGCGAGCCTGCATCATGATGAAGTCCGTGCGGCGTTTGACCGAGAACAATCCCTCCTGTAAGGCGCTTTTTCAGGAGGGTCGTGCGCTGGCTTCTTTGGGCGAATACGATAGAGCCCGCAAGGTCTTCCTGCAGGCACAGGCCAAGCAACCGGTAAACAAGGAGATCAGCGATGAGATTATCACCATGGACAAGAGGATCAACAAATACCAAAAAGCCAGTCGGGATCTTTGGGAACGCGCCTTCTCTCTAAAAGGCTCTCAATCAGATGGCCCGAAAACAGCATCTGAATTGGAGAAACAAGCCAAGGAGCAGGGTTTTAAGCAAGAACTTGAGACGATTATTACGGACTTTAAAACCTCTAGCCAGTCAACGTTGGGAATTTCCCGCAAAATGTTTTCAGAGGCCCAGTTTGGATTGCTTTGTACTCTGGTCAAGAAGCACAACTTGAAAATTACGCTGTCTCCTATTCACAAGGATGTTTTGACTTTGTCGAAGATGGAAGTGAAATCGGACTAAATTTTCACATCAAAGATTGGTTACTTACATACATATGTAGTTATGTACGATTTAGATTTATGAAGACGTTAATCTGAAAGTTATTTTTTGATATACAAAATAAGTTTTTGGTGCATAATGTATTTAAATACTATCCACCAATAAATGTACTCGTTGCATTAAATACAATTTAGGCCTTAGGTATTATTTTTCAGCTTCATCTCCTTAGCTAACTGACGATGCAGACACTCCAAACAAGCACATGCTTTGGCATGAAGAACATCGGGACCCAGGATATGAACCTCCTGCATTTCAAAGATATTCGAGTCGTAGGTGGTTGACGTTTCCGATTTTACGAACTTGCAACACAGGCAGGTGCACACTACAACGACTAGAGGTGTAAAGGATTATAAAGCTTGGCATAAAGAAACTTGATATATTTACTTATGGAGACCATCCAAAAGAACAGCAGGAGCAATGGGCATAAATAGTTGCTCAGCATAGGCAACGTGTCGTCGCTGATGCTTGTGTTTTGTGCAAATATGTTCAGGACATTTTGCTTAAAAGTTTGCGAATAAGCTTCGTCGTAAGAGACCCCTATAAAAAATACTATTGCCGAACATATACCTGGTCGAAGTGGCATTTTCGATGCGCTTCAAAGAACAACTAGCGAATGCTTTAAATTGATGTTTAATTCAAAGCAATTTTTTGTTTACTTATCGTTTGATAAGAAAACATATGCGTTCCCTTGAAATCAAGGTACATGTGTTTATACACCTTTAGGAGGGTGAAATCCATTTAATTCCTTTTCGGCTCATATGGCCACCGGTAAAAACCACATTTTATTTATATATTTGAATACAAAATGTTAATTTACACAAATTCCATCTCTTGCCACCGTGCACCATTTGTAGCCCTTAAATCCTTTGGCCGTGGTTTTATTGATGAGCCCGGCCAGTATAATCACAATAAAAACATTTATGAAAATCATTTTAGCGTTAATATTCTGAGTTGTTTATGAATACGTTTGACGTTGTTGAGTGGACACAATATATTCCATGACAAATTAATTTTACGCAGTTATAATTTTAATCACTTTTTACTTAAAAGGCGTAAGAAATTGAGAATTGAAAAAAATTTACATATGTATGTAAATAAAAAACAAATATTTATTGTTAGCAGCGAAACTCGAACCCGCACAGCATTGTTTTATAGTCGTGCGCACTACGCTCTGCGCCACAGTGCCAGCCAGCCGCCGCAAAATATAGCTCATGTTAAGGGCGGCGAAACGGGTTCTTAGAAGTACACAATATGAAATTAAGACAACCCCCATCTAGTGTCGTCAATGGCGTTACGCGTTGAGAGTTGGGACCGGTAGAAAAAACTTTTATTTGTTGAAAATGCCCCTCTATTTGGCCGGATTAATTCTTGTTATAGTTAATTCCGTATATGCAAGAGGAGAAGGTAGAGTGAGGAATGGTGGGGATTACGCCTTCGGTGCTCGACTTGGTTTCAAATCCACGAGATAACTATCATCCTTGTTTCCCTCCACAATTTTTTATTGGATAAACAGTACACGAACAACTTTATTTTGTTAAAACCAATAAATATTTATTCAGGAATATTGTTTTCTTTCGCTTATCGTTAAGTTTTAACATAAATATCAATGATTTCTTATGTAGTTTTTGGCATCTGTGGAATATGTGTAATATTTGCTTACACTTTTATTTTGATATACATAACATACATTTTTGATTACCAGAACAGCAAAAAGGTTATACATCTATTTAATAAGATATTTTGCAAGCCCCTTGTTTGTGGTGTGCAGTTTCAATTAAACGAATGGGCTGAAATTTTTTGGTTTTTAATCAGTACGGTAAGTTACTGTGCATCCTTTTAATTACGTCTGAAAATATGTAGCTTTCCTGATTATATGTATAACTCTCGGCAAAGATCTTGTGGTTGAGAATTAAGACTAAAAATCAAAGGAGTCGTGTTGATGGTTAGCATTAACTAAACATGCTCTTCGGAGAAAAATTTTAACATTTACCATACTCTCTGAATTCGTTTATGTACGGTTGCAACATTTGCTTAAAATGAAAACACTAAAAAGATTTTCTGCTTAAAAATATCTGGCTCGTTATTTATACGAATTTGACCTTGATCATGAATATCTCGATCTTTGATTTTAATGTGCACATTGATCTGATGTGTTAATTGCAGGATTATTTCGGCTTACAGGGATATGAATGGCTATTATTTGAATTCTTGCCTATTTTTTGCAGTTTCATTAAATATTTTGAATTCTTAAGACTCATCCCAAAGTTACATATAAAATTTGAAGCTCCTTTGTTGAATTTTTAAAGTAAACTCTTCTTATGTAACTATTTTACATGCCAATTGAGTAATACGTTATTTTGTAAAATTAAAATATCTTGTCCGAATTGACAGTTTATGTTTCCGTAAATTTACTTGCGACTTATTTTATTTTTGAGCAAATTGCGGCAATACATTAGCATTCGTGTGAAAATGCCCGTATTATTATTTATACTTTTACCTTTTAAACAGCCATTACATATTTCCTTATCTAAATTTATTTGATAACTCCGCTTTGATTTATTTTCCGTTTCTATTTTACAGGTACACATCCAGTTCAACTAACAAACATGCAACATTGATGGCCTAGTTCATTACTCCAAATACCCATATGTATATCGTTATATGTCTGATTTAGGGTTTTTGGCTTTAGAGTCTAGCCTATAGGTACATATGTATGGATGTTGGCTTGTGTCACAGCTACTGCGCTAAACAATTAACAACAACAAACTCAAATTACAACAATTTTAACTAGCATATTAATATATATTCCTGTTTCCAATTATTCCACTTAAATCTAAAGTATGTTTGACACAAATTGAAAATTACTTTGAGCCGGAGCAAATTATTTATCACACATTTTCAGGGGCTTTATTAAAAGTGTTTTTGTTTTTCGATTTTTACGTGATAAAAATGCAAAAATTAAATAAAACTCAAACAGAAATAAGAGTATGCGTTTCTTCAGATTAAATCGTTTCTGAACAAGTGGCATATTAATTCATCCAACTAACTACAGGTACAAACACATATAAATATTTACGAATATTATATCGGCTCCTATACTTGTATATTTCCATATTTTATATAATTTGTTTTTCAACATGAATACACAACAATGGTTATATAAATTCTAGAAATTTACTTGTAGTTATTGTTTTTTCTGATTTTAGTGAGCATTTGTTCCTATTCGGCTTAGCTTCCTTCTACTCCACACATAAAACATTTCTAAATATTTTGCCTTAACTATAGAAATGCACACAAATAGGGATTTGATGCAACTAGATTAACATTTAGGTACATGAGTCTCTCGTCAGCACAGAAAGCATAGAGCAGAGTGAGCACATAGATACTTTTTACACTGCAGAAAAAGGTTTGTGTTTGCGTATTCCAGGTGATGTATACGGTTCTATTAACAAATGTACGCACTTACAAAACGGAAAAACCAACTCCGCTGCCAATGTTCTGTCCCTCCAAAGTAGTCTTAAGAATATTTACCGTAAAAAACCAATCGAACGATTTCTCATTTGTAAAAATTGATTAGTTGTAACCGTGTATATTTGTATATAAATTTATATATTTTAAAACTCAACGTTTTCCATTGCACTTTTAACATTGCTCTCGAATTACTTGAGGCCCTCTGACGGGGTCCAAGGGGATATACACAAAACTAAATAAACACCAGGAGTCCTGACCTAAATTCTACGTTAACTTGTTTGGTAATTACATTCGAGTCTTTCCGCCGTCGTCCTGCCTGCCATCATCACCATCGACTTGAAATTAGGTACTAAGGAACAGCAATCCCACCGTGATGACTGATAAATAGGTACTTTCGCATAGGAAACATGAAGGTTCGTTCTTCCATTCTCGCCTGGCCAATCAAAATTAAACAGCTATAAAATATTTGATTTTAGCTTGTGACCGGTTACATAGTCGCCTAGTTCAACTCTTTACATTTTACATTTACAGTTTACAGTTTACAGTTTAAGTGGGTGCTTAGCTCGTTAGGTACATACACATACACATTTATATATACTTATAAAAATAGCTTTCGATATTGGGAACCACGCGTTCAACCTTCTTCTTTGACCCCAACAGATCCTACCTGGAATTCCTAGGGCTTATTATTTCTTAGTTGCCGCCGATGCATTGCCTTTCGTTTTGGCCTGGCTGCCAGACGTTGCTGCCTTCTTGCCGCTTCCTGCTGCACCCGAAGTTGCTCCTGCTCCTGGCTTGGCGATCGCTCCTGTCTTCACCGCTCCGGCCGCCGATGTCGCTGCTTTGGTGGGGCTGGTTTGGCCGGGCCTTACGGGTTTTACTGGGGACTTTGTGGGGCTAGTTTCACCCGACTTTGTTTTCCCAGCTCTCGCAGACTTTGCTGACATGTTGCTGGTGGTCGCGCCACTTGCTGCCGATGGATGATCCGATGCCCTGTTGCCGGACAGATCGACCGAAGCGGCAGGCTTACCGCTTTCCGCTGCAGTGGCAATTGGCTTGGCATTTGAGGCAGTTTTGGAGGATGTAGCTATTGCAGTTGCCGCTTGCGGCTTTGATGTTGCTGCTGTCGTCTGCTTTTGGAGAGCAGCTGGCTGTGCAATTGTTGTGGTATTTACAGCAGATGCCGGTTCTGCTGCACTCGGGTTGACTTTTCCACCCGGCCCGCCAATATTAGCCTTTGCTGCTGTCGTCACAGCGCTTGCTGCTGGCTTGCCCTCCGACTTATGAGCTGGTGAGGGAGCCGCTGGCTTGGAGCCAGAGTCAATACTTGCTTTCGGCACCGAGCCCGATGGCTTCGCTGGCAGCGCAGCAGCAATAGTTGCCGCAGGAGCAGCAACAGGAGCAGCAACAGTTGCTGCTGGTGTGGTTTTCACTGCTTGTGCTAATTTTACTTGGGCAACAGTGGTATTTGTTGGGTCCTTTGTGGCAGTCAAGCTGGCCTTCGACTTGGCTGCAGCTGAAACTCCAACAGCTGATGATATTGTCGTTTTGAGTGGAGTCGTCTTATCCAACTGCAATACTTTGACCTGAGCTGCAGCACTGGCAGCGTTGGCTGCTTTGCCACTTGCCCCACCAGCAACTGTGGCTCCTGTGGAGACAGTGACCACAGTTGTACTTGCCACACCAACTGAAGGCGATGCCTTGGTGACTCCCGCGGCAGCAACACTGGCTGGTATTGCCGTTTTGGGTGGCGCCGCCTTATTCGATGGCGCTGCTTTAGCTGGAGCAGCACTAGCAACATTTGCGGCCGACGGCATCTTTACACCTGGAGCCGAGGCTCTGCCGTTCGCCGAAGCAGCACCTGTTGCTGTCGCAGGTGCAACACTTGTCGCTGATGGCACTGCTTTGTTTGCACCCACAGTAGCAGTAGCAACAATGGCCGGTGACTGGGTGTTGCTGGCGGCCGGCGTGGCTGCCACAGTTGTCGCTGCTGTCGCGGAATTGGCCTTTGTCTGACTCTTCTCCCCACCACCCGCGAAAGTGGACATTGTGGTGCACTCCCGTCCGCTGCTCAGCGTCCCTGCCGCCAGGACTTTTGTGGTGGCGGCCTTGTTTTCCTTGTCCTTCTCAGCTGCAATGAGTGGTTGCTTGCTGGGACTGACTTCGGGCGACGACTTGTGAGCGCCGTTCTTGGCAGTGGTCTGCAGGTTGCTGCTGCTGCTCTGCTTGCTCGCTGACTTCACGGGACCTGGCCGCTTGCCCACAGTCGCCAGCGGAAGGCACTCGACGTCCACGTCCACATCCACATCCAGGTCCACGTCGAGGGTCAGCTGCTCGGGCTTCTTGCCCGCCTTCTGCTTGGGCGAGGCGTCGTCCTCGATGAGGATCTGGGTGTTGGTGACCCCGTCGTAGTTCTGGCTCTGGTACCGCTCGGCGTGCAGGTTGACGCAGGGTCTTCCCGCCGGTCCCCACTCGGCGGTGGGCTGCAGCAGGTGCTTGATGCGCTCCCGGAAGCTGAGGTTCTTGGGCGCCTTCCATATCTCCTGGAAGGCCACCAGGAAGATGACCAGGACGGGCAGCAGTCCCACGATCCAGCCCACGGCATCCGCCCACATGGGGTACACGTAGTGGCCGTACTTGGCCGGCTTGTACTCCACCCAGTTGAAGAAGAGGATGAACTGCCGATGAACAATGCTGGGTTAGGTAATCCAGACGGGATTAGACTGGAGTGGAAAGAGCTCACCAGAAGAGTGGCCGGGGTGATGTAGCGCCACATGACGCCCCAGAAAAAGTTCCAGAACCTCGATCGCTTGCCTATCATGCCCTGGATGTCGTTGAGGAAGCGCTGCGATCCGTAGATCCAGGCAATCAGGATGCACTCCGAAATGGCGATCAGCAAAACGGACCAGTTGGCCGCGTATTTGTCCATCAGTTGCAGCCAGTACATGCCGCTCTGAACCAAAAATCAAGACAGAAAACAGTTAATTGAGGAACTTAAGGGATCCTAACTACCCACATTGGTGGTAAAGCCCAGGCCACCGAGGTAGCCGAAAATGGCGACGGACAGGACCACCCAGATCTTGTACTGCCTGAGGTTGGGGAAGCGGTCCAGAATCGCTGTGGTCACCGTCTCCATCAGGGCGAACTGGGAGTCCAGTCCCAGGGTGAGCAGCATCACGAAGAACAGAACGGCCCAAACCGGCGAGATGGGCAGTCGGGTGACCACCTCCGGGTAGACAATGAAGGCCAGTCCCGCGCCCTGGTCCACCACCTTCTCCACGTCCACGTTCAGCTCGTGGGCCAGGAAGCCGATGATGGAGAAGATCACCAGGCCGGCGAAGAACGAGGTGGCTATGTTGCAGAAGGCCACGATCAGAGAGTCCCTTCAAAGAGATCGGTTCTGGGGTTACTTCTTTGCTTTGGTGCTTGAGTAACTTTAATTGAACTCTACTAAATCTATATTTCCAAGAGGAAAGCTCTAGGAATGGGCTTACTTGTAGCAGTTGTTGGAGAACTTGTTGTAGGACGAGAGCGTGATTAGACCTCCCCAGGCGGGGCTGAGGGCGAAGAATATCTGCACGGCGGCGTCGCCCCAGACCTGCAAGACGGGTTCGGGAATGAGGGAGCAGATCTGAGGAGCAGATTGCCCGCAGGGACAATCACCTACCTGGGCGTTCGCCAGCTGCTTCCAGTCGGGCGTCAGGTAGAAGAGGATGCCAGTGCTGGCGCCCGGCAGAGTGACGCCCCGGACGAAGAGAATCACCAGGACGACGTAGGGGAAGAGGGCCGTGAAGTAGACCACCTTGCCGGAGGACTGGACTCCCTTGCACAGGCAGAGGAACACGATGGCCCAGGCCAGGAAGAGGCAGGCGGCCAGTGACAGCTTGATGCTGCCCGTCTCCTCGATGCCCTTCGAGAGTCCCAGCACGAAGTTGCTACAGGGAAGAGTTCGAGGTTAACAGGTCGGCAGAGTTAGCGTGAATGAGTGGGTTGAATATGCAATTTGACGTATGGTTGAAAATTGTCAGCATTTGAGGGCTCAATAGGATTGCTTTAGGGAGTAGAGCAAAAGCAAAGTACTTCACCCTTCAAATTAATTCAAATTGCGTTAAGGCCATAAGAAACACGATGTGTTCGGCTGATTCGGTTAGGCTGTTCTTTTAATTTATAAAACGAGTATTAGTCATTGGTTGCGATATCAGCTGGGGTAGAATCATATGGTGTTTCTCTGGAAGCCCTCTCCCACTACTTGGTATACCCACTTGAAGTACTCCTCGGCGGGCGGGCGCTTCAGGGCGACGAGGGCGAGGGCCGTGATGTTGTTCTCCGCCGCGGAGGTGGCGTTGTGGCAGGTGCGCAGGTAGTAGGTGCCGTTGGTGGCCTCGCACTGGTCCGCCTGGGCGTACGAGAAGCAGTCTGCAAGAGATTGGGCTGTCAGCCAGTTCGATCCGCTTTCAAACCCCTCCCCTGAATTATGCATGAGTGCCGAACGCCGCTTTAATATTTATGAACTATTTGTCGGTCGGCTGTGCAACTTTATTCTCCGTGTGTCCGGCTACATAATTAAAAGGACAAAGTAGCAAGTCGGGGGAGCAGAAAAGGGCAGCCCCAACAACAATGGATGGCCAGGGCAAACATAAAAAAGGGTCTGCGAATGGGAAAGTCTTTTGGCTAAAGGCTTTGTCCAACCCTTTTCTTGCAACTTGTAACTTTGGCCCAGAGTCGGGGAGGTGGAAGGTCAATATCAGAGCAATCTGTCCTGGTTTCCTGTTTTTCGGCGGTACTTTCACTTCTCAGTCCTTCGTATGACGGCATTTCGGTACGAATGCCCTTAAAGAAACTTCTAATAGGGCTAATATTTTCAGCAAAACGAGAGATTTTATAATCGCTTTTTTGTCCAACCGCAAAGTGTGTTTACCCGAATTTGGCTCCACTTCCAAATTTGGTTGCTACATTTGACCGTTGTGAGCTGACGAAAGTGGATGTCATCTAGAACATGTCACATTCAAAGTTTTCCCCCAAGAATAACAAAATGACTAACAGAATGCTTGAACTGCTTTCAGTATTTCCTAACTGAATAAGTTTCGCGAGGAGAATCGAATTTATTTATTAAATTTATAGTCAAATAAGTCAGAGAAAAAAGACCCTTTTCACGCCCGATCAGCAGCTGTCAATAAAAATTACTCATACGCCGCGTTTCCGCTTTCCTTAAGTGAAACCAGAAAAAAGCCTTGGTAATTATAGACGAAACTCTGAGCCAGAATCAAGGCTGAATTTCGAGCGGCCCCACACACATCCATCAGACCAATTCATCAACTTCATTTTCCGACGGGGAAATAAATTTGAGAACAATTCGGTGGCTGGCGGTCGGCGGTTGGTGAAAAACTTCAAAGTGTTTACACGCCGTTTAATTTGCCTGTCTGCATCTGTTTGTATCGCAATTAATTTGATTACACAAACACACTCGCGTGTCTGCAGCCCCCAGATGCGAATCATAGGAAACGGAACAGAATTTATTTGAAAACAAGAAAGGAATTAGCTTCGGCAAGCCGAAGCTTTTTCACCCTTGCCGTCATCAAATATGTCGAACGAACAACATTAAGGCTAAACAAAAATTGGCCAAAAATCATTTTTTTTAATCGAGAAAAAAGTGCAAAAATAATATGCTCAAAAACGTGTTTGGCTTCGCTGTTAGTCACTATTTGGCTTTATTACAACCCAAAAACTACTAAAAATAGAGTGGTCTTTACCAAAATCGTCAACTAATCTTTTCCAAATTGGTTTTTTTCAACTAACTAAAGGATCAGTTAAACGACAATTAAATTCCATTCGGTGGGGTAGATAGTTGGGCTTCTCTTGGTTCCAAATTGGTTTTTATCAACTAACTGAAGGATCAGGTAAATGATAATTAATTTGCATTGAAGCAAATAGATGGTTGGGCTTCCCTGTTTACACAACTTCAGCAAGTTGGTTTTAAAACTGAGAGACAAAGAAACAGACAGATGGACAATCGTATTTCGATTCAGATCGTAATGCTGATCAAGAATATATAAGCTTTATGGAGTCCGAGGTGTCACCTTCACTGGGTTGCAAAATTCTGGCTGAAATTATAATACCCTCTGAAAGGGTATAAAAAAGAAACGAGGACTGCCTAACAAATTCGGGCGGTTCACACATTTAAATAAATCCCTGTGAGTGAGTGAGTGAGTGTGTGTGCATACATGTCCTGGTGGCAAAAGGATACACACGCCCCGAGTTGCTTATTCAATTTGAGTGCTGCTTCTGGCTTAGGAAATTGGCCTTAAATTTCCTGACCTTTAAGTTTGATGGCGAACTTTGATGAGTTGTTCGGGCCCGAAAACAAAATGTCGTGATGATGTGGAGCTCTTGCATCTGATAAATGGATTGTAAATCGTCAGCCGCACGCCCTGTGAGCTTATTTTCGTTATTAGCCACATAAATTCTATCCGAATATTTACTGAGAAAAGACAAACACATAAGCAAGTGGAAAGCCAAACAGAGTGCGACATTCAATCCGTAGACAAACAAAGTTAAACACATTTTAATCGTGACACTAAACGTAAACATTTGTCATCTAAAACAGACCGGGCAGACGAGGACAAAGGCTTCCGACGAGGTCAGAGAGGCTGCCATCCTTCGGAGGAGCATCGAAAGTGTCAATAAATAAAATCCTTAAGAAATTGCTTGTCTGCCGGGCGCTCTCCGCCCCTCCCCCGCCGAATACACAATATTTTCCTCTGCCTCAACTCAACTTTCTCTCGTTTCGTGTCCCGAGAGCTTAGGCCAAAGCCTGGCACAAGGTTGCTGCTCCACTGCCAGCGATTGGGTGTCAAAAACAGTTAAGACATAATTGTTTGTCATTTTAACAATTTCAAGCTGCCGTGTGGAACACCCAGAAGGTGAAATACGAGAAAAGAACGCGACGGGGGCCTCTCAATAGCATCCCTTATCGATTTCTGGGCTCCCGCTAAAACATCGGAAATGGCAGTCGATTTGCGAAATAAGTCTGATTTAATTTCTAGATCCCTTGCGAAGATGGTGGCTTACTTGCCTTCCTCTTAAATCTCTACCAAGTATCACGAATTACTACTAAGTCGAAGACGTGGATTTTTGAAAATATTAGGTAGCACAATATGATTGACCAAAATTTCGCTTGTTATAAGCCCCAATATTTATAAATACTTAATGCCGAAGAGGAAATCTAGGTATGCCTAATGTATCAAAGAGCTTAACTGAATACTGTTGGGGCTGTCATCATTTTTGACCTAAATAAAAACTTTTCCACGCTTATCCGCCCAAGTGGGTAAATTACGCATCTTCTATTCCAGAATCCTGGAAGTGCTGGCGTTCGATGCTCGTTAAAGATTTATGAGTTTCGCGTGGCGGAACGCTTTAAAGTGTCCCTGTGTCTGTGCTCGGGCAAGGAAATCAAAAACAGACAGACCCATTTATGAGAACGCACTATGGGGCATTTGCCCACATTTGGTGGCCGAAACCCATTTTTTAAAAGTCGTTAAAAAATTTTTTTTTTAATCGCAATGAGTTAAGATAACATTGAGGTAAAATGTTACGTACTTAAAATTTTAACAGACCGCACCACTGTTAAGATATCAGCTGTCAAAGTCAGCTGTTTTTTAACAGAAGCACATGCTGTAAAATCGTTTGTATTTGTTCAAACTTTAAAATGTTTAAAAAGCGCATTTAAAACCAATTTTTGTAAAATGTGTGAATGGAAGTCGATTCAGAATGGTTTGGATTATGTGTTTGTGAGCTTAAATTATAAAAATTGATTGTGGCGTCCCTATAATCTTGTGTAAGTTCTAACCTCATAAAATTGAAACGTAGTCTTACATTTTTGTTTTTAAATGGAGCAACAAAGTGAGTCCAGCGGAGTCCAGCTCTAAAACTTGTTTTATTTTGTAGAGTGATCAATTCTCCTTATACTCAGTTAATATAAAAGTGCAATTTTGCGCACTTTCTTCAAAATTTAACTTTTAAGGTGCTAACCTAGCAATAGAAGTTTAACACAGTTTGAGAGAAGACATGGCACTTGGCTAAGCTCGCAAACATTTGTTACTATAAAAAACGCTAAGAACCAAGTGGACCATAAAAAATAAGTCAGAAAAACATAAACATATTAACTAAAAGTAAAGTTTTATACTTTTTTGTTACAGGGTCTTAAAAAGTGTTCCTTAAAATACAAAAAAAGTCGATATAATTATTTAAAAAAAGTTAGGACAACGAATTTTTTTTTTAGTTGTTTTGTTTAATAATTCTAGTTAGAAAATAAAAAAAAAATTTTTTTTTAATATTATTCATTAAAAAAAAATTTTTTTAACTAAAAAATGGGCGGAGCCACGCCTATTTTTCTTAAAATACATGCCTTATTTTATTATTAACTCGAATCAAAAAACAGATCCCAAAAATGTTGATTAGTTTTCAAGTTATTAATTAATGTCACAAAAACTGGTCATTTGCCCCATAGTGGAACGCCCTTCCAGGCACACACACACTGTCACACCCGCACACACACTGGCACTCACACTCACACTGGCGCAGCTCTCACCTCGCAATGTCAAACGAGGCAAAAAAACAATTGCCTACTTCAAGGCGCCTAGGATTTCCCCATGCGTTATTGTTCCATCTTGTTTATTATTATAATTCTCGGCGAAAGTTTGTTCCTACTTCGCTTTGTTGGCGTGTGCGTGAAGGGCAGAAGACAACGGGCCGCCTCATTTCTGGGGGCCAGGAGAATGATGAACTTTTGATCCCCACGGAATTATGCTAACTTTAACTATTTGGATATATTTTGAACTTGTCGGGGTTTTTATTACAACTTTTGCAATGATTTGCAAGTTTCCTTGGACGTTTCCCTGGCATCCAGTGTGTGTTTATCTTCGCCTCAGTCGTGTCATCTTCGTTGTCCTGAATCAATTGTCTCCGGGGTCTGCTGGTTACACAACATCCCGCCCCCATCTCCCACCCTCAACCACCCAGCTCCCATTGTCCTGGCCATGTGTTTTCCGAACCGAGCCACGTGCCGGCGACGGACACAAACAAAAACAAAGCCGGAGAAAAGCAAAATAAAATTCCACTTTTGACAACTTGCAATTTGCTTAATTTATTACCCGAAAAACGTAACAAAAGATCCGAATCTGGCACCCACTGTCCCCAACCGCCCTCAGTGTCTTGAGTGTTCTGCCCTATTAATTAATTGGAGCCATCATAATATGTCTCGGGGGAATTACTCACACTTTGTGCTCCAGGCGGGCTCGCAGTTCTGCCACGGCAGAACCGGGGCGAAGGAGGCGAACATGTAGAAGATGGTCCAGGCGATGATCAGGTTGTAGTAGAGCATCACAATGGCGGACACCAGGATCATGCCGGTGCCCAGTCCCCGGAAGAGGGGGCAGAACCTGCGGTACACGGCCACGGGACCCAGGGCGGCGTACTGGCCGAAGGAGAGCTCCATGAACATCAGCGGCAGTCCAGCGATGACCAGCATTATGGTGAACGGGATGAGGAAGGCTCCTGCGGAGATTTACATGTTGCAATAAATAGTCAGTGATCCCATAAGGATGACTCTTTCAGTTTTTGGGGGTACGCACCTCCTCCGTTGTTGTAGCACAGGTAGGGAAAGCGCCACACGTTCCCCAGGCCCACCGAATATCCGAGAAGTGAAAGAAGGAAGTCAAAGCGACCCGTCCAAGTGCCACGTTCGTGCTCCGACTCTCCTGCGCCGCGAGAGGCATCCAGCTGAATAAGGGCCGTTCCGGAGGCACAGCCACTGATCGCGGTCGAGGGGCAGACCACGCCCCCTCCACCTCCGCCTCCGCCTACGCCAGACCCAGACTTGCTGCTCTGCCCCATTCCGGTGGCAGTCCTCGGCGGATGGTTGACCCTCTGTTGAATATGCAAATATTTTGGAATTCATTAGGCAGTTTCCACAGGTGACAACCGTTTGGCCGACTGCCAACATTCACAGCTGGCCAAGAGCGTTTGATGGATTATACTGACCTCCATTGAAGCCAAAGGATGCAATTGAAAAGGTCACAAGCTAAAACGCCAAAAGCTAAATAAACACTGCTGAACAGAAAAAATGAAAATGCATAAATTGGCTCTGATAAACATTCCACTAAAGGGCAAGACTGAGAGTCAAATAATTCCACTTTATTTGCTTAAAGTTGTGATTTTGAGAAGCTTTCCTACTAAATAAATCTAATTGAAGCGAGTGTTCTAAAAACAATTTTGAAAATGTTTTTATGGAAAATTTCTCAATTAACTTTGGAGTGTGAACTTCACGCTATGAATATTTGTATTCAATTATCAGAAGCGGAAGTAAGAATTTTGAAACGAACGTGAGAAAAAACATTCACCTTAAAAATAATTACAAGTAATAATTACAATATACCTGCACTGCCCTAAGCCAGGTAATTTAATCTCAATTCAAGTTCAGTGGATTCAGCATCTGCGAACACACTTCTTGATTTCCGTTTCGGTTATCAAACACACAGGCAAACGCGACTTTTAGACGGTGCGCCGAGGATAAATGAGTACTTAAGAAAATGACGCGCCGTCAATGGCACTTGACGCTGGGCGGCACTCACACTGGCTCACTGGTTCGCACATGTGTGTGTGTGTGTCCCGTACATACACTATTCAGACCGACTGTCACACTTTCTGTAGTGGCCATAACATGGTGTGAGGGGAAATGCGATGAGATGTGAGAGGGTTTTCCATTTCCAGCTCTTTGCACTGCCTGAGTGTCTGGCTGGTCACGTTTTTTGTGCCTTTTCTGGGCGAGATGGCGATGTTTTTTTTATGGCAATTCGTTGACAGCCTCGTAATTAGGCGACTAAATGTGTATTTAACCAAGTGAATGTGCCAATGATGCCGTTTATGTGCCAGCGATGATCTCAGCGAACCTGTGAAAACGGCTCGAGTCAGGGAATTTCATCTGCGAGCGGAAAAGGCCGCAGGGAAAAGGGAAAACCACAATGCCCAATTCCCAATGCCATTTTCGAGCGAGGTTGCTGTGCTCCTGACCTGGTTTTGGGTTCTCCCTTCTGCGGTCCGGCATTCCGCCTGCAACTATTTCGACCCGTTCGCAATGCCGGTGGCATTTGCTTAGCAAATAGTTCCTAATGATTCCTGGCCAAGAATGCGATTCAGTGGCGGGGAAGGGGGGACAGAAGCAGGGAAACAGACAGCAAACAGGCGGCGAACTAACTGCAGCACAAATAAACATTTAGCTTTGTGAAAAGTTTCGGGATACGGTTGAAACACAACCGGCTGACAATGCGAGTCGAGAGTTGGCAGGCGGAAGCGCCAAAGTTTCCATTGAAAAGCGTGAAAAGTGGCAGGAAAGTTGTGCCTCGCATCGGTCAGGTGAAAGCGAAAACGCTTTAGCACCCCGAGAAAGTCTATACATTTTTCCCTTTGGCGAATTGCGAGCAATCCGATTATTCCGGGCACGTAGAAACGAGAGTCCGCACAAACATTTGGCATTTCGGTGGGCCAAGTAACTGGGTTGCTCCTCCTGCAAGAGAGTTGCTTGAAATAACATACTCGTCCGGTGATGTTTACGAAATTGTAAAGCGAATGTTTACTCAGCGATTTGTACTTGTACTCTAGTTCAGAGTTTGAATGGCAAACTACTAGAAATTGTTTGCGAATTAAACGGGTTAAAACAATTCAGAGAAAAGCTCAATTAAAGATATCATCAGGTATTTGTAGTTGAACTTCAAAACGGTTTCCATGGAACTATCGTCAGTGGATAAAGCGACCAATTAACAATTCAACTGGCACGTGTGTGAGCGAAAAAACAAATCTAATGAGTGGGAGTCGAACTCCTGCTCCATTTTCCACCCAACATTCCGCTTCCCTCGCTCTCCGGCTTGTTTGTGTTTGGTCAATTCGAGTGTGAAAATGTTTTCGAGCTTCTGCCGTCGCTCGCTTGTTTACGCTTGATGAAAACGAACGGGTGGCGATGGGAGGTGGGAGCTGGGAGGTGGGTGAGTTGCATTTAACGACCTTGGGAATGTGCAATGCAGCAGCGGGGGAAGCGGGAGCAACGGGGTACCGCTTACACGAGCTGCATTCTAGTTTTCCTGTCCTTTTTTTTTGCCATCAACCCGCCGACAGCGTTTTCCGCCTTTTGGCATTTCATAATTTTCCCTTTTTTGACATTTTTATGCGAAAGTTAAATTTCCCTGGGCCGGGAGCCCAAGGCGAGACAAGGGACCTTCGTCATCGGCATACCCATTTCCATTCCCATCCCCATCATCATCATCATGACCGCCCCATCTGTACTTTCCGTTGTTGCACAAGTCACGGCAATTATGAAGGGGCAAACTCAGAGCACTTGAACTTGAACCCACGAAGGCTGCCGCAAGCGGCAAACAAAGCGAGTGGGTGACCTCGCCCGCTGGGCGGGAGTGGGTGGCTTAGGCTTAGGTGGAAGGGAGGGCGCAGGACATGTAAAGCAGGCCTGCGAAAGACTTACACCAATACTCAATACCCGCTTTGAACCCATAGCTGGGCTAAATTGTCAAACTTTGGTATTCAAACATCAGAATGAACGCTTTAAAGATCGATTGGTGTTTGAATCCTTTGCCCAATCGAACATCCGTCCGTCAGCGAGCATCAGAGCCTTGAATAATAATGCAGCTCCGAGTGTTGCCCCTTGGAGAAGTGGATGCAAATGGAGGCATCGGAAGGAACAAAAAGAGCGGATGATGCTGGCCTCTTTTTCCGCAGTTGGTGTCGTTCAGTGGGCCACTGGTGCTATTTCAAGTGCTTGACAGGCAGTATCGATTATTCAGTTTGCGGAGCGGCAACATGACCATCGGCGGAGGCCAAAGCACACGCATACAAATTTGTCTCGATGCAACGAAGTTGCTACCATCCCCTCCGCTCGCCCCCGGAAAATGCTTGTGGAAAACAGATTTTCACGTTCTATTGCACCTCCTCGGCTTCTCGGCTCCTCGGCTCCGCACCTCAGGGTCCTTCGTCTTGCGCCCCTTGGGGTCCCGAGCCCCCGCATTAAATATTCATCTACTTCGTCATCGTCTGTCGTCCTTCGCTGTCATCGTCCTGGTAATCGCAAATTCAGCGCTAAATCACAATCAAAATGCGCGTAAAGTGGCATTTCAAGTGATTCGCCTCTTTTTTATGAATTTCAAATTGCAAATCATTTTGTTGATTAAATTGTTGCAAAGGACAGAGTAAATTCGTGTTGCCAGCGGCCTTACGTTCCTCGATAAAAGGATAGTTCCTGGGACTTGAGGAATAGTAATCATAACAGTAATCAAATTTTTTGTCACCCTAATTGAACTGCATTTTAAAGTCCTTTAAGTGGATAACAAGTGCGGGGCATTCATTTCAGGGAAAATTGCTGCAATTTAAGGCATTATATTCACGACTTTAACAAAGGGCACACACATATTCCCCAGTGGCCTATTTTTAATCCATTGCCCCACTATTGATTAAAAATTACGCCAACTAAAAGCATTCGTGTTTGCAGTTGCCTTGAGGACACCGTGTAAAATCATTTTTGAATTTCAAACAGCGTGGCAGTGTGGCAGGAATATTAGTGCATGTGAGCGAAGTGTGTGGAAATGAATAAACAAGGACGAGCAGAGATAGCTGGCGGTTAAGTGAATTATGTCTGCAAATGATTTTTTCTTGTTATCCTGAATTTCGCACAGCTTTCCTCCTTCCTTGTGGGTGGCCACCTTTGCATACATTTCACGCTTTCGAGTGCAGCTGACTGTCGAGCGTGTTGGGTGCGGTGTGTTTTGTTTTGTTTCTGTTACTTTAAATTTGCAATTTAAATGTAATTTCTCAGGGCAAATGGGTTACTTTTATTTGGTTTATGACAAATGCACACCCAGGCAAAACGCACAGATTTAATGCTTTCAGACAAGTGGGCGGCACCGAGGTGGCAAGGTGAGTTCGCTGGTGGCACCCATGAAGGTTGTTCATGGCTCGTGAGGACCTGTGGCAGTGTGGCAAAATAAATTACACGTTCCATACTTAAAATATTATATTTTTCAGCACTTTTTGAACGAGTTCGGATTGGCCACTTCCCATTCAATTAGAATAAGTAACCACCTCAAACGGGGTTAGCAAATTTTGCATTCGGCATCCGAGAGCAGAGGATGCGGAAGGAAAATGCCCCAAAGAAGCTTTGAGCCGATTAGCACTGGCAACATTTTCATTTGCAAAGAAGTTTGCAAGCCGATTGTTGCTGTTTTACGGCGATGTCGCCATCTGCTTGCAGCTGTTTTCTTTTCGTTTGTTTCCCCTTTCGAGTTGTTTATTGTTGGCTGAAAGGCGAAGCAAGCCATTAACAAAATGTCTTTGGGGCCGGGCACTCGGTGCACTTTCGTCGTCATTGCACTTTGCATTTTAGTGGACCGACGTCACTGCCATGGGGCCGGGATTCGGATTCGGGAGCAGGCGAGCCAGGACTCGCTGTTGGCCGAGGCTCAGATGAGAGTCCTTTTGCTGACTGTCCTGGGCCTCGGCCTCCTGATTCTGCTGGGCTTTCTGGGTAAGTTCGAATGCCCCCCAGCGCCTGATCAACTCACGGAGCGGAGATTTTTGATTTCCTGCCCAGGATGTATCTGCTGTTTCTGCCGGATCCGCCGGACAGCGGCCACGGCATCGACATCCGACGGCCTCGACGTCTACGCCCCGCGAACACAGAGCATCGTGTGGCCCACTCTGCCCCAGGAGTCGGGCCGCGTCCTGGAGGTGACCTTTCTGCACACCCCCAAGGTCGCCTGTCCGAGTGGCGACTGCCGCCTCGCCAGGAACTCACTCTGCACCGAATCCTGCGGGGTCATCGCACAGTGTGTCTAGAAGCGTGGATGCCACTGAACTAGATTCACCCAAGCTACAACTGACTGCCTTTTCTCTCAAATATATTATTATACATGCAGACCTCTTACTTAAGCCGAGTTTATTCTACAATTACGACTATGTTTTATCTAGGTGCAAGTTCCCTAACTTTCCTTTTGTTACGTTTCGAATTCTCTTGGCCCACAAACAGCTTTCTGTTGATAAGTCTCGGCCGGGCACGAATGCCTGAGGTTTGTTCAGTTGCTTTACAGCGATCGTCGAAGCACCATGAGTATTTCCGTCCAGGGAAACCTGGCCAGGTGGATCTTACTGCTGGTCACCTTCTGTTCCCATGCTCACCTGTTCGGAGCCGAAGACGACTTTACGGGTAGGTGCAGTGCCCCTGAAAGCGGGTTGATTGTTGTTTTATCGGATCTGTATTTCTATGCATTCCCGGAAAGACTTCGACTGGCTGAACGAGACGCAGCTGCTGTTCGAGAACGAGCTCGAAATCGAAAACAACACTGGCGAGAGTTCCACGGAATTCGATGTGGAGGCGACCGAGCTGGAGGTCACCTCGAGTGTTGGCCAAACGGCTGCCAATATCAGCCACAATGGCCAAGTTGAAGTTCCCTTGGAGGAGCTGCAGCATCATCGCCACTTCGCCCGATTTGTTCTCATGGTTCTTCTGTTGCATATCGCCGTTGTGGGAGTTGGTAATTTGAACTTGACTAAGAAAATCTATGATCTGTTCTAAATGCTCGGGGTTCTGTTCATAACACCTGCTGTGTATCTCTATTTACTGATAATATGATAAAGCTATCCCCACAGGCATAACCATCTACTGCTGTGTGGTCTGCAAAGTGAGGACCTTGAAGAAGCGCTCGAGGAGGGAGGCGCAGCGACGCTTGCAGCTGACGAGCCTGCGGACCGAGCACATTCCGAATTCCCGGGATTGCCCGTGCCACGGATGCATGTTGGCCAGGGAAATGCTGCAGGGCCTGATCATGCAGCAGTGGCAGGAGGTGGCCGAGTGCTGACGCAGGCAAAAGCACAAATCCCTGGCACGAATTCGTCAGGTGAATGCAACCTTCGGCTGATACTGAGGCAGACGCAAGCCAGCAGACATTCCAAAATAACGTTAAAAAAGAAAAATGTGATGAAGAGAACTATTGAATCAAATGCCCTTTGAACCAGTATAAAATATTTGATAAGCTAATTTTAGTATTTTTCTGTGTCGCCAACAAAAAGATTCTTCAAAACCTCAGTACGAAAATCTCTACTTTCACCCCACGTGCGGCTGTCTGTTTACGCAATCTAATTTAATTGTAATGTTACATCGGGCGCGCTTCCCTTGAAGGAGTCTTACGCTCAAATGGACACAAATGTCAATGTTAGCCGCACACAGCCAACACAATCGGCCTTCCACATCCTCGGATATTGGCAGTTGCATTGTCGGGGAAATGCAACAACATCTGCGGCGGAGAGATAGTGAGCGAGTGGAGCGGGAAGTGTCGGGAAAACAGGGAAAGCTTCTGCTGACATGCACAAGCAGTTTAACAGCTTATTGCTGTAGCAATGGCTAGCTTTTCCTGCTCCCCCCTCCCCCCTCCTCCACCACAAACAGTCAAAGGTCAAAGTTCGTAGCAGTTGCTGTCGCGGCTTCTTTAGTTAATCCCGCACGTTTGAATTAATAAATACATCTAATCCATTTCGCCTTCGCTTTGTTCTTCCTGCTAAAAAATCGAAGAAATCATCGCAGAAATATTTGAGGGAACTTCAAAGTTGGCTTTATAATACACGAAAACTAAGAGAAAAAGTACAACATTGATTCAAAAAGAGATATGCTCTTCCAAAAACCCTCTTCAAATTATCAATTTGCCACCTAAGCCCTCAACAAGTTCCCCGGACGATAAGTCAACACATCCAACACATTGCGTATACGCCGTGGGCGACACAGACAAAACACGGCCAAATCCAGCCATCCATCAAAATTTGGCTTCAAGTCTAATGCACTGGATACCACGATGTCGCCGATCATTTTAGCCAGCTTGCTGAAGTTTTTATTGTTATTTGATTGCGATTTAAACGTACACATAAAGGAAAAGTGCTGGGAGCTAAGCTTGAAAACATAGCAAATAGCAAGGCGAGCGGCAGAAAAAACCGAGAACTGGAAATGCTGAGCCTGAGCCTGAGCCCTGGCAAACACGCACAAAACACGGACAGGCCAATGCCAAAAGCCCGAGCGCGAAGGAAACAACGCACGTTCATGCCGAACAGGAAGGAAGGCGCAAGGCACACAGGAAAGGAACAAAAACGACACGGCGGGACGAAAGACGAGGGGGCTGGGATGAAGGGAGGGTGGGGAAGGACCCTAGCGGAGGAAGAAAAGCGCGCGCCAAGGGCAAGGATGCTGAGGTAGCGAGAACAACGAGCGCAATAACTATACAAAAGTGGGACTGGAATTAGGGTCTACTAAGTGAAAGCATTTAGGGGAAACCTGAACTAAGGCAAATGCAACTAAGAACATTACCATTAAAAATCAAGATTTGGGTATCAGGTATTTCAAAACAGTTTCCTGTTTAGTTTCCTGCCAGCCTAATTACGTTCGTTCAGGAGCCAAAGAAGGTATTCCTTGAACGGGTCCTTCAGAAAACAGTTGCAATGGGAATGGGAATGGGAATATTCTGCCTAGCTCGTCTGTATAACAATAAAAAAAAACTCGACATAGACATTCCAATAACAATGAGAAAGGAAAGCGAAGAACAGTCCTCACTGGGAAAAGGAAGCAAGAAAACTTAGGCCGAAGGAGCGAAAGGATAGCAAAAAGTTGTAAAAAGTTATCGGAACTCGGGCTGAAGACGCCGAAAGGACCTCAGTGGGTGGAAGCTGGAATTAATTTTGCGTTCATCCACGCTTGGCTTGAGCGGAGGACCGGGATGAAGGGATGAGGGCCCCACTCTTGGCCAACTTGCGGCAAATATTTGCTCAGCCCGAAGTATCCATTCGGCCCGGAATTGGATGCACCTGATGCCCAGCCGAGCGATTGCATTTGGGAGGCGTGGGCCGGCAAACGGGGAGCGGGGCGGGGAGGCGTGGTTGCGGAGCTCCCGACATGAACATGCAAATTTATTGGACAAGCTACCGAGATAATGAAAATTACGCTTCCAATCAGGTTTCAATTTCAGCTTAATCTGGGCATAAATCGTGCCCATCTTAAAGCTTGAATTTAACTTTAACTGATAATAGGTTTCTGGCAATTGAAAAGTTCTTGTAAACTGTAATATATTTGCCATTATATTTTATTAGGTGCTGAAGTTTACTAAGAAGTTATTGTAAACCATTTGGGTCTCTTCGCGTTTAATTGATTTTAAGCTTGCTTAACTGTTGTTTAGAGTTGGCGGGCTTCTAAGGTAATTCCTCCTGTATAATTCGGGTAATCTTTCGCTAAAAACCAAGGCTCTACTCCACTCATAGTTTCTCCGAAAAAGTAGACTACGAAATTGTTGCAGTAGCTGCGTATTTTCATGGCCATTTCTAGTGGCCATCTGTCTCCGGAACAGAGGAACGCAGCTCGGGTTAAGGCTGGTCAGGATGGCCTGTAATCAGGCTGCATTACGGCGAATTAACCAGGCAATGCAGTTATCCTGCGCGCAGGACGTGCGACGGGATGCCGCCTAATTAGGGCTGTCAACGGGTCCTGCGGGACCTTGGTGAGGGCTTTCGCTTTCTTCTCGTTCTCGTCGGGCTTTAATTGTTTTTAATATTTACTGGCAGGACTCGAAGGACACTCCCACCAATACACACACGCACACGCACACGGAGCACACAAACGCACACACACATGCGTACATTACGCGTGACTTACACAATTAATAATTGGCTTTCGGTTTTCCCTGCGGTTTTCTTCACTTTCTGCACTGTTGGCGAGGATCAATTTGGTCAGGAGCTTTGGCGAATGTCACAAAGAGGGATTTGCAGCCGAGGTTGTTGTTCTGCGGTCTTAGCACACCCACTGCTGTTGTTGTTTCTGAGCCTGCTGCCGTGGGTGGATCGAAAGTTACGGGCACTTGGAGCGTCCAATTTGGCGGACAATTCGAAAGCAACTGAAAGTGAAACGGAAGCAGCAGCAGGAGAATCTCGCTGCGAGTGTGGGTGCGAATTGCGAATAGTGAAAAGTGAAAAGCGAGCGGGAAAAGCGAGAGCGAAAGGCGAAATGCGAACGCTTTTCTTTTACGGGAGCGCGAGCGTGGAAAGCTCTCGGATGTTTAAGCTCTTCCCACGCTCGCTTGCCATAAAAGTTTATGGCAGCTGCTGGGCGCTGCTTTTGATTTGCAATTTGATTTACGGCCCAATGGAGTGGGCAAAATACGAAATAAGGCAGTGGGAGTGGTAATGCCATGTGAACACTGAGCGAAAACACAGGGACAGGATTAAATGAAAATAGGTATGTCCTCAGAGGTATACTGTAAAGTACAAATTTTAAAATCTATTAACTCGTGAATAATATGAGTGAATTTTATGCCTAAAAAAGGTAAGAAATATGTTGTTTTTTTTTATTGCCAGACAGTAATGTAAGGAAGAAGCATTTTCACCAAATATCTTGCCAAACTCCCTTACTAAGTATCGGAAATTTTTTTCAGTGATTGCCTTACACTGCGTCGACGAGCTTTTCATACTTTTGTGGGTGGTTGGGGGCAGTTAGTGAACAGTGAATTCGTCCTTGAACAATAACTCACTTAATTATGCATTTGCATGTGGGTGCATGTGGACGTTTTGGGCGTCCAGTTTTCAGACGACAAACAATGCGCGGATTGACAATTAAGGCGCGTATCGGAACGCAATTGATTGGTTGTAAATTTAATAATTTCATTAGAAACACATTAGTCAGCCAATTTGGCAGGCAGAAAAGCCTTCCTGCTTTTGGGCAAATATTTGATTGGGTTAAAAAGGGTTGGTGGTTAAGTCAATGCTTAACTTCATTTGCCGCTGGCTGACTCTATGAGCATCCCTTGCCGTCGGTCGATAGTTTCCGCCCGCTCTGCAATTGTAGCAGTCGCAATAAAGGGGGAAATCCAATACAGACACTTCGAACTGTTTGCCAGGCGACCTTCAGGAGAAAAAGCTGCCTCGACCTAGACAATGAAACACTGGAGCATTAAAAAGAGAGGGAAATCGGCGAGAGAGCGTTTTTCCCGACGCTCCGGGTGATACATTTATTTGTGCAAGTGTTTGAGCTTAGCGAAAGGAAACGGAAGTGGAAGAAAAGTCGGGAGTGGGCGGGAGCGGTGAATGTCGAGCATCGTAAGCCGCTTACGAAAGCTCTCGAAAAAAACGGGAATAAAACAGTTTCAAGCAGTTTTCCTCTGAAAAGAGTTTACACAATTAGCCATAGTTTCCAGAAACTCAAAAGTGAGCCAGCGTAGCTGGATGCTTAAATGAGTTTTCCCCAATTACCTGGCCATTTTATCTTCCCCACTGGGAAACAGTTCATTGCGTTTTCTTTATGGCTGTTGATGCTAGCCTTACTGTCGTTGTTGTTGTGCAAGGTTATGAATGAAAAGCTCTTCCAATTCAGCTTTGGTCGAACCCTCGGGTAATTTCCACGATTGTTTTTTTCTCTCCCGATGAGAAAATTTAGAAAAGCATGAGAGAAAACGAAAGGAAAATAAGAAAAAGGGGAAGCGTTATTTAGATCTTCGGTCTGGGAAATAATTCAAATTTAATATAATAAAAGCTTTTTGAAAATCTAGATCATTAGTCAAATCCTGACTGAGGTCCTTATCAGCTAAATTTTGGGTAAGTTATTTTCTGCGCCCTTGTGTGCGTTCCTAACTGGGAAACTACTCGTATGTAGAGCTAGCCGTTTCTAGATTCCATAAATTGACACCGGCGATCTACTTTCTGGTTCTAGTATTGGCTAGTCGAAAAGCTCTTGCCAAGATTTCCTCGCTCAGAAGAGAGGGAAAGAGAGTAAATGGGAGCCCACATAACTGTTATAGTGCATGATGGCACGATCAGCTGAGATCTTGGTCAAGCGAAGCAAGAACCTTTTTTGCAAGCGTGCTGGCGCAGCAGGCGCTTGTGAGCGAGACAGCAAGAGCGAGCGGTTCGCAACGGCGTGCAAAAGAGAGGGAGAGCGCGAACCGATCGCTCATAAATAAAAGCCGCATCGGAACCGCTTTGCCAGCCAGTGTGTGTTTTGGCATGAAATGAAACCGTCGTTGCTCCGTAGTCGCTCGTCTTTTCTTCCAGTGTCTCGTTTTGCCGGAGATCGGAGATATATATATTGACCACGCGATCGGGTGCCCTGTTAAGCAAATGCATCTGAAGCGAGCGCACTAAGTCGCGACCAGTTATATAAAGGGCAAAAAACGCAGGAATTCCATAAATTAATTCCCAAACTACTTGAAATAATTTGCCTACATTAAGCTGGCCAAAATGAGTGTCGAAAGGTAATAAAACAAATCAAAACAAAGCAACAAAAAAAAGAATAAAAAACATTGATTATTCGTGCATTTGTGTTAAACACTGTGTCCACTCATCAGCATTTTTTGCGAATTTACTGTCTGGCCAGCTAAAAATACCCTCTTCGACTTTAAACCCCAGCCACCATAAACAAGTTTTCGGCTTTCTTCGGGTAGTTTGTGCATTTGTGTTGCCAAGGTCCAGACGAAAGGGACTCAAGTGTTCCCGATGCGAGATTAGAATCAGTTTGGTCCGCCCTTTGATAAGTTCAAGGCGCGTTTCAATGCCAGCTAAATATTCCTTATCTCAACATAACTGAACTGCCAGTAATGTCTGCAGATCTTTTGTACAAGGTGCTCCCTAGGGAATGATTTCCGTTCCATTAGATTCTTTTCTTGAGTGATAATAAATAATTTACTTCGCTGTGTATTAGTTTCAAACAGAGATTAGATATGGGGTATTTACCAGACAAAACACGTGTTGATTGAAAACAAAAGTACATTTTTTTGGCGCCCAGCTTAATTTATAGACCGAAAATGTGCATTGTTTTGAAATGAATGTAGAGGTTATTTTAAGCTTATCAAAACTCACGATGAGTCCAAGTATTTCTAGGCTGATTACCACATCAATCAATGACAAATTTACATGCATAACTCAATCCAAATTGCGTTGCCTTCTAAGTACTTTGAGCCCTCCATTTCGCATGCTTTACATAAAAATATTGATTGACTTCAAATTACTCATGAAAAGTATTTAATCAATATTGTGAAATTTGGGCTAGACTCTTCTGGGTATTCCTTTGAATTTCCCTAATTGGATTGCTAAACTTGGCTATTAATTGGCGATAAGAGCCAACTGCCTTCGTTTTGAATTACCTCAACCAGTTACTGAGATTTTTTGATTTTTCGGCTTTTTTCCACGCTTTTCTTATCTGGCGTTTTGGCATTTGGCTGCGGCTGTAGGAATCAGTTTAGTTATCAAGCATACGCCGAGTAGGCTGGAACTCCATGACAACCAGTTATGAAATTAATCCGTGACGGAGAGCTGGAGATGGCGCCATCAGCCCACTGAGTTTCCCTCTATTCCACACCGATTGTCTCAATTAGGCAAATCATTTGTTGACTGGCCATTCGATTGGCAGCCACATGCTCCCAATGATTGTTTTATTTGAGTGTGTGCCTATGTGCTATAAATTATCTAATTTGTGGTGTCAACAGTGGGTGAGCACTTTAGTTTGGAGAAGCCATCCAGTCGTGCAGGCGACTTTTTCAATTCACACATCAGCACATTGATAGGCTAATAGGAAGACTTGGACTTCAGTCACGCCGACTCATTGTGATTGGAAAGTTTACCTACAAGTTTTTAGATCATAAGAAGCTTATTAAGATGTCAATTTCAAAGAATTTTCGCAGTCAGCGTTTCATTGTTGGGGAAAAGTCTGTTTTGGTACATTGAACCGTTGGCATTATCTTTGTACTTCCTCAATCGCAGACGATTTCCACCTGCGATACTGCCGTGTTATTAATATTGTATATGACCACCTGAATGAATGTTTTGTTATTAGAAGTTGGGCCAAAATTAGCTTGCTTTACTTAATTTTTTGAAATGCGTATCACGATTAACCGACTTATGGTATACCCAATGCTACGAGTGAGTTTTAGATGTCCAAGGCTTGCAGTTTGTAGATCAATGCTAAGGGGAAGTGGCAGATATGTAGGCCTAAAAGCACCCCCTTTGTTTTATTGCCTTGCAAAACTCGATACAGAAGAAAGTTTGATTCGGTTCATTAAACGTGACTCCATACTGACCTTGGCAAGCGATAAAATATACGTTAACATTATTTAAGCAGTTAAAAACACAAACAAAGCAAGAGCTTCCGAGCTAAAGAGCGAGAGAGCGAAACGCTGCTAAAAACTCAGCAAATTGCTCGATCGTTTTTGTTTTTTCTTGTGTTTCTTTCTTATCGCAGCGCCAAAACAAGCTGAAACCACAGCTGGTTCCCAGAGTGACGTATTTCTTGTCTCCGGCGGACCCTTATCACTCCGCCTCCCGCCAAAGTTTGTCAGTGAGTCAATTGCCCGGATTAAAGTGCAACGAAATAGGTGAAACAACAATGGGGAATGCAACCGGATTGATTTGAGTGGCGTGTGAAAGGGTTGCCCTGTATCGCAGATCCGAACTGTTCCCAAGTGACCATGAAATTGCCAATAATTGCGAGTCGTTAGGCCCATTAGCCTGAAAAAGTGTCGGAGTACCTTGGCAATAAATGCACCTAATAGAGGAATATTTTACGTTAACCAGTAGTTGAAGCTCTAAACATTATACAGCATTATTCATTCAAACACATTTGGACAATCTTATCTGGGTGTGAAATCGATTTGTTATTACCCATTTACAACTCATTGATCATCAAACTATTGTTACTTAGCACCTAATCTAATATATCATTAAATAACTGATTGCAAAGTCGCTTTATTGGCTGATAACTTGTTACGAGTTCTGATTCCTTTATTGTTTTATCCAAGAAATAGAGACGACGAATACCTTAAGTTTGTGCCCCACTCAAAGTCATACCATGTGGTTCCTGGAGCGGAGTTTCAGTGCAAACTGGGCAGCCACAAATGCAGAAAGCTATCGACCATCGACGAGCAGGACGACGATGTGGCCAATAGAAAGGGAATGATGCACCAGGTGAGTTAAAAGGGATGTGTAACTGGGGAATTAGAGATATGATTCTGTTGAGGGATTCTTCTGGGAAATACCTGTACATTATCAAATTAACAACGTTGCGAAGAAATTTGTAGATCTTACTACCATTTCTGAATAGTGCCCTATTTAAGGTTTTTCCATGTTGCCAATCCAACAAACCTCGAAGTTTGTTCATAATCTTGGCAGCCCCTTGTCGAGCTACGGACATCTCCGGGGTTTCGCAAGACATGCGTGACAGATACTAAATACTCCATGAAGGACAAAATGATAAGATACGCAATTGAACTTTCTTCGCGGAATGATTAGAAAACGCTTCTGTTGGGGGCAACATGTGGCGGACATGTGACGGGGCCCTCGAATTGACTCGAATGAAATGGCGGCGAATGGCACAAAAGTCATTCAATTCCAGTGAGTCCGCGTCCAGCCTGCTCACGTCACAAATTGAACTGATCAGTGATCACTATATAGTAATCAGTGGGCAGCGAACGCAGATCGTTTGTCACTATCAGTGCAAATCAAACTAAAGTTGTCCGTGATGCAATTGTAACATTCATTGCTGGCAATTGGTTGACAGGCGCCGCAACATTGACATCATGTTGATTCAATTAAACCCAAGATACTGTTGCTTACAATCAGGTATCAAATGTAGCAGACATTAGGTTAATATATTTGCGTTTCAGCTACCAATAATACAGAACTTATGACTTCGTTTCAGATTCTGGCCACTTGTGCAGTTCTTCTGCTTTCTGCTGGCTGTGGCATGCCCATCGGGTACTCCACTATCCTGCTGCCCCAATTGAGGGACAGTAACTCCACCGAGATTCCCATCGACTTGGACACGGGTTCCTGGATTGGTGAGTTTGCCCAGCCCATTCCAGCAGGAAACCCATTGACTTTTCCTATTTCTGCAGCCAGTGTCCACAGTTTGGCCACCCCATTTGGATCCCTGATCTCGGGACCCCTGGCGGACTATTTGGGTCGCCGCAAGACCCTGATATTGTCGGTTATCCCTCTTCTCTTGGGCTGGAGCACCTTGGCGATCGCCAAAAGCGTCAAGGTGGTGATCCTCGCCAGGTTCCTGTGCGGATTCGCGACCGGAATTTTGGGTGGCCCCGGCCAGGTGAGTGCGGAGAATTCAATGCCATTGGCCAGGGGTTCGTTCACGCGGAACACTCTGAGTACCCGGAACCGTACGTGATTGTCCGACTGACCCATTAACCGTAATCGGCAGAGCCTTGAACTCCCGCAAGTGGACCTCCCGGGGAAGCGAAAAGAGCAGCCGTGACAGGTGGACAGCCGTCAATTGACCACTTGAGGCTCCATTCTAGATAAATTATCCGGCTTCTCCGGTCGGTTCCATTGTGTCTACGCTAATACGCGTCGTCAGCCGGCGCTATTCATTCCGTTTATTTACGAGTATCTTATGGATATGTCCGTGACTTATCTTGCGGCCAAAGCGATAGCGATATTCGACGGCGTCATCGCTCCCGGACTTTAAATGGCCAGCGCATCATTTGCATTAGCAAAGCTTTCCGCACACACGAGCCCACGCTCCGCTTTATATAGTACGCGTAGTAGTTCCGGATTCTTGACCTTAGTCTATAATTTCGTTGATGCAGCTTGTGGGTGTTTCTCGGGTGGACGGACTGTCGGGGAGAATGGATGGATGAATGGGTGGCTGACTTGCTGCGCGTGTTTCCCGGCGGGTTTCGTTTTCATTAATGGCTCGCCGACTGACGTGATTTACGATTTTATGATTACCATCCAAGAGTTCCCAGAGATTGAGATGTTGATGCTTTTGTGGCCCCCAAATATATCAATTTGTTTTGCTGGCGAAAGTTCTAGCTGGGTTCAGGGTTAACACGTATCAAAAAACAATTTTGTTTTATAAGGTTTTATGAGGGGGTTTCTAAATGGACTTTATTTAATATTTGGGTAAGGAGGTAATACATATATCCACTGGCTATTAGTTATACTGGCTAAAGGGCTGCCCCAAAAAGAGATAAAGGTTTTATACATTGATACTTTTATAACCATTAATTGTAATTACCCTTTCCCAAGGTCTACATTGCGGAAACGGCGGAGCCGAACTTGAGAAGTCTGCTGATCGGCGCTCCCTACGTGGCCTACTCGAGCGGAATCCTGCTGGTCTACTTCCTCGGATCGATGATGTACTGGCGCAATGTGGCCTGGTGCGCCAACATCCTGCCCCTGCTCGCCATGGTGTCCATATTCTGCATCCCGGAGACTCCGGCCTGGCTGCTCCGCAACGGCCATGAACGCCGCGCCCTGCAGGCGCTGACCTTCCTCCGTGGCAGCGAGATCAGCGCCCAAAAGGAGCTGAACGACATGAAGCAGCGCTTGGCCAAGGAGCGGGTCACCACCAGGACCAACGAGAACATCTTCCGGCTTTGCTGCCAGCGGGTGGCGATCAAGCCCCTGGTGATCGTGATCGTGTTCTCCCTCCTGCAGATGTTCTCCGGCACCTTTATTGTGATCTTCTACGCCATCGACATGATCGCGGAGTTTGGAGTGGACTTCGACTCCAAGAAGGCGGCGATTGTGACGGCGGGAGTGCGGTTAGTCTGCTGCATGCTCTTCTGCGTTATCCTGATCTTTGTGCGCCGCCGCAGGATCATGATCGTGTCGGGCATCGGCTCCGGAATATTCTGCCTGGCCCTAAGCAGTTACCAGTATGCCACATTCGGGCAGCCCAAGATGTCCTACGACGTCTTGGTGGGCGGTGGCTGCCTGCTGGGCTACATCATCTTCAACACGGCTCTGATGGTCATGCCGGGCATCATGATCGGAGAGCTGTTTCCGGCCAGGATCCGCGGCCGAACGGCGGGCGGAGTGTTCGCCTCCATGAACGTGGCACTCTTCTTCTTCGCGAAGAACTTTCCCGCTCTGCAGAATGCGCTCAAGATGCGCGGCGTGTTTCTGGTCTTCGGGGTATCCAGCTTCCTGCTCACCGCGTTCATGTGCATGTTCCAGCCGGAGACGAAAGGTCGCAGCCTGGAGCACATCGAGGACTACTTCAACGGGAACAACTGGCTGTGGTTCCGGCGGGATCGCGGCTACAAGACGGTCAACTTGCAACCCCTGCAGCCGAACAAGAACGATCGGGGGACGGACGCATAATCCGGGGTCATAGTTTTACTTCAGCTCTTAGCTTAGATAGTCTTAGGCATTCTCATAGTCCTAGCCACTGCGCCTGGTAGTCGCTCGAGTTTCCAGTGTCCCAAGCTTGGCACCACCGACAGGGAATCTTCAACTGTTATGTTTACCAATTCCAATTGTGATCGCTATGCTTTAAATTGTGTCTTATTGATAATTAAAACTATTAATAGAAATACAAATCTGCTATAATTATGGCTGGTGTTTTATTGTTGTTTATTATTTATTGAATAATATATTTGCAGAACAACAGTTTAGGCGAATATTCATGTCAATGCTTTTCTTATTATTTTTAATGGTCATAAAACCTCAAATCATTTATTACCGCACCTTAAAAAATCAATAATTAAATAAATTAACAAAGTTAGTATTTGTAACGGATTATTCAAAGTTGTCAAAATTAAATTTTCAAATTGAGATACTCTACAAGTTGGTATTAAAAAGTATGAGTGGATTGTTTGCTTAAAGTGAAACGGTCACTCTGATTACAGAACTGCGCGAAATAACGAAATGAATAACGTGAGTTGTTGAATTTGCAAAATTGTTCAAAATAAACTAATCGTTAGGCTTACAGGAACTGAAAACTAAGATTGAGAGCTGCGCCCGTACAGCAGACACCTTCACGCGTCTATACTACGCCGCAGTGGACAATCGCCGCCATGTAAGTTCAGATCCCTTTGAAGAGCCGGCATTTAAAAGGAATAACGAAATAACGGTGCTCTACAGCAAATTGGTCGCCTCTACCTGGACAACGCCACTTTTAGCTGGAACGGAAACGGGGCGACCGGACGTGAGATGATCGAGCGCTACTTCCTAGAGCTGCCCACGTCCAGCCACCAGATGAATACCCTGGACGCTCAGCCTATTCTCGACCCTGCGGTGGCCAGCCAGCTCACCTATCTCGTCCTGGCCAGTGGCACCGTAAAGTTTGCCCACCAGCCAACTCGCAACTTTCAGCAGACCTTTGTCGTGACCGCCGAGAACGACAAATGGAAAATTGTGTCTGACTGCTACCGCCTACAGGAGGTAATGGTTTAAGGCAGCCGCGAAGAACTCGTAATTTTTTATGCATAATTAAAGTTAAGCTATGTTTTCTAACGGCAACGAGTTTATTTCTGTTTCTTGGCATCTATAATTTACCTAAATACCTATTTTTCCGCCTCCGTCTTGGGCTTCTTGGTGGTCGGCTCGTCTGCGGGCAGTTTCTCAGAGAATATGGCCTTCGGCTGAGTCTGCTTGTAGGCCGGGGCTATCCAGTACGGATTCTCAGCTGCGTCCTTGGCGTATTTCAGAATGGCCTCCCTAGGATCCTGGTCGTCATCCACACGCTTGCTAAGGCCAAGGTTGCGGATAACATAAGAGGAGAGAGTGCCTCCGGAGCTAGCCACGCGGCCACCCTGTCCACTGGTGATGGGCAAGTCCGGCCGCTTGGACTTTACAGGATCCATACGCGCCTTCTCCATGCGCTTGCGCGAGGTGCGCGACTTTTCCTGTCGAAACAAGGGCAGGGCGTGTGGAGTAATGATCTGGGAGACTCCCACCATTTCCATGGGCTGCCGCTTGCGATGCGTCTTCACCACGCACAACTTGGCGCCTCGGATGCTGCGCTGCTCATCGTAATAGCACTTAATGGTTCCATTGCCGCAGCTTACGAACAGCTGACTGAGTTTGGGGTGCCACAGAGTCTTAATAACGTGCGAGTTGGACACGGGTATTCGCTGCACTTCCTCGTAGCTCTTTGTGCTGTAGAAATATAGATTGGCCTCGGCCTGGCCCTTGGGCAGCGATTCTCCAGTGACCAGCATCCGATCGTCCGGACTGAAGCAGCAGTCTGTGGTGTCGTAGCGGGAAAACAGATTTGTCCAGGTGTGCAGGGGCTTCTTGAATTGCCGTAGATCCCATAGCTTCATGGTCTCGTCATTACTCCGCGTGGCCAGTTGCTGTCCCATGTACGAGAACACAATGGAGGTGATTTCTGTGCCCTTCTGGTGAGCCTCTCTAACGCAGTGCGTTGTGTTCACATACATCTTACGTGTGTCCCAAGTCTGGATCGATCCGTCCACGCATCCAGCCGCTATGAGTGTCGCGTCCCTGTTGAAGTTGCACGAGGCGGCGTTCGTGCGAAGACCTCCCTGCGCTCTGGTCTTAATCACTTGCACCTGCTCCTTGCTCCTTAGTCCCTGCCAGATGCGCAGGGTGCCGTCTAGAGCCGCGGTTAGAAACTGCTCCCTGTTGAAGGGGTGCCAGCAGCCCGAGGTCAGCTGCGCCACGTGCCCCTTGGTGCGTGACATATCAGAAATGTACTGGTCGCCTTTGCAGCACTCCAATTTTTCGAAGCCATCGCGGTCAAGCACTTTGGCCTGTGCGTTTCCCGATATGACCAGGATCATGTCGCCGGTCACGGAGTACTGGAGAGAACGTATTGGATGATTCTCGCACGGCTGTAGCTGCCGAAAGCTGCGCATGCCCGAGTCCATGCCGGCAAAGTCCCAGAAACACATGTCGTAGTCTATGGATCCGGAAACCAAGCGGGCTCCCGAAGGATCGCCAGCCAGGGCCAGGACTGCCCGAGATCCGTGCTGCATCTGCACTTCGTGTGTGTAGGGAATCCTCTTTGCCAAGCTCTGCTCGTCGTCGGAATCCTCATCGGAGGAGTCATCATCGGAACCTTCGACGTTGGAAGCCGCCTCCGTGGACTTTCCCTTCTCTTCCTCTGCATTTGGTGGCAAAGGACCGATTACGTCTTCCACCTCTACCTCATTCCCCTTTTCATTTTCCTCCAACTTTGCTTCTTCCTTTTTCTTGTCTAGTCCCGGTCGGGTTATCCTAGCTTTTTCGATCTGCTCGTTAATGTCGAATACTTTGGCCGCCTTGCGCCCAAATCCGCTGATGCCCATCACCTCCTTAAGGTGCTGGCTCTCCAGATCTACGACCACATCTTCAATTTGGCTGATCATCTGTTGCTTGTCCATCTTCTTGAACCCTCCACTGGTATTAGGGGATTCCTTTTCATCTCTCTTGGCGGTTTCGTTTGACTCCGGCTCGGCGGGTGTCTTGTTCACGTTCAGCTGGATCTTCCCGAAGGATATTTTACCACGCTGCATGGCTTGTGATTTTCTTCGTTGTTTTAATTAATTAAGAAAAAGTTCTCTCAATAACATATGCCGCTTATTTAGTAAACAAAATTTTTAAGTGACCGTTTTTTAACATGTACCTTTATACTTCAAAATACCAAACTGTTTTATATTTCTTTTTGGTATATAGCTTATCAAAAGCAAATTGGAAATTATTTACGATATTCGTAATTCCAACAAGTCTGGTTTGTAGGGTAAATGTTCTACATAGGCGGCTTAAAATATTTTAAAGCATTCAAATTTAATTTTACAAATAACCACAGGATATTCGGCATTTTCCGAGCGTATGAACTCATAACTTTACGATATAGGGTTAAAATACTAGGGGTATTCCGCATGATTACTGTGTAGTTCAGCGATATACCGAATATACTGCTTGATTCCAAGCAAGGTAACTCTGTTTGTCTCGGTTTGGCGTCTAACCTAAAATTAGGCGCGCAGTGTTGTTTTTTTGTCGGCCGACGTTTTTGCAAAATTGTAGACAATTTCGCAAGGCGACGTAATTTCTTGTTTATTTAATTAGTTAAGAAGAAGGACCGCATAATGACGGACTCGTTGGAGTACAACGACATAAACGCCGAAATGCGCGGTGTTTTGGTAAGTTGCGAAAGCAGCCGGCACTCTTGCACATTTGTTCTGACTGAGGCTCTCGTACCCCGGGCTTTTTTTTCGTAAAGTCCTCAGGACGTCTAAAGCTTACCGACCAGAACATCATATTCAAGAACACAAAGACCGGCAAGGTGGAGCAGATCTCTGCGGAGGACATAGACCTCATCAACTCGCAGAAGTTTGTGGGCACCTGGGGACTGAGGGTGTTTACAAAGAGCGGGCTGCTCCACCGCTTCACTGGCTTCCGGGACAGCGAGCACGAGAAGCTGGGCAAGTTCATCAAGGACGCCTACTCGCAGGAGATGGTCGAGAAGGAGATGTGCGTCAAGGGCTGGAACTGGGGCACTGCCCGCTTCATGGGCTCCGTCCTGAGCTTCGATAAGGAAAATAAAACCATCTTCGAAGTGCCCCTGTCGAACGTTTCGCAGTGCGTCACCGGAAAAAACGAAGTCACCCTTGAGTTCCATCAGAACGACGATGCCCCTGTGGGCCTGCTGGAGATGCGGTTTCACATTCCCGCCGTCGAGTCGGCCGAGGAGGATCCGGTGGACAAGTTTCACCAGAACGTCATGAGCAAGGCCTCGGTCATCTCGGCTTCGGGCGAGTCCATTGCCATATTCAGGGAGATCCAGATCCTCACGCCGCGCGGTCGGTACGACATCAAAATCTTCTCCACCTTCTTCCAGCTGCACGGCAAAACTTTCGACTACAAGATCCCCATGGACTCGGTGCTGCGGCTCTTTATGCTGCCGCACAAGGATAGTCGGCAGATGTTCTTCGTGCTATCCCTGGATCCGCCAATCAAGCAGGGACAGACTCGCTATCATTACCTAGTACTACTGTTCGCTTCCGATGAGGAGACTACTATTGAACTGCCCTTCTCCGAGGCCGAGTTGCGCGACAAGTACGAGGGCAAGCTGGAAAAGGAGATTTCTGGACCTGTGTACGAGGTAATGGGCAAGGTGATGAAGGTGCTAATCGGCCGGAAGATTACCGGACCCGGCAACTTCATCGGACACTCGGGTACGGCCGCCGTCGGCTGCTCCTTTAAGGCAGCCGCTGGATATCTGTATCCCCTGGAGCGGGGGTTCATCTATATCCACAAGCCACCACTACACATCCGCTTCGAGGAGATTAGTTCGGTTAACTTCGCGCGCAGCGGCGGCTCCACTCGCTCTTTCGACTTTGAGGTGACTCTCAAGAACGGAACAGTGCACATTTTCTCCTCGATCGAGAAGGAGGAGTATGCCAAGCTCTTTGACTTCATCACACAGAAGAAGCTGCATGTGAGCAACATGGGCAAGGACAAGAGCGGCTATAAGGACGTGGACTTCGGCGACTCGGACAACGAGAACGAACCGGATGCCTACCTGGCTCGCCTTAAGGCCGAGGCCAGGGAAAAGGAGGAGGACGACGATGACGGTGACGACTCGGACGAGGAGTCCACGGATGAGGACTTCAAGCCAAACGAAAACGAGTCCGATGTGGCCGAGGAGTACGACAGTAATGTGGAGAGTGATTCGGACGACGACAGCGATGCAAGTGGAGGCGGAGATGGCGATAGCGACGGCGCCAAAAAGAAAAAGGAGAAGAAGTCCGAGAAGAAGGAGAAAAAGGAGAAGAAGCACAAGGAGAAGGATCGAACAGTAAGCAAGAAGAGTAGTAAATATAGTCTTACCTAACATTTTATTGTATCACACTAGAAAAAATCCACCAAGAAGAAGGACTCCGGGAAACCGAAGCGTGCGACCACTGCCTTCATGCTCTGGCTGAACGACACGCGCGAGAGCATCAAGAAAGACAATCCCGGCATTAAGGTTACCGAGATTGCCAAGAAGGGCGGCGAGATGTGGAAGGAGCTGAAAGACAAGTCCAAGTGGGAGGAGGCGGCCGCTAAGGACAAGCAGCGCTACCAGGACGAGATGCGCAACTACAAGCCTGAAGCGGGCGGCAGCGACAACGAAAAGGGTGGTAAATCGCCCAAAAAGCGCAAGTCGGAGCCTTCCCCAAGCAAAAAGGCCAATACCTCAGGCAGTGGCTTCAAGAGCAAGGAGTATATATCTGACGACGACTCTACCAGCTCCGATGATGAGCCCTCCAAGAAAAAAAATAATTCCACATCCGATGGCGATGCCAACAAGAGCAAGGCGAAGAGCGAAAGCGAGGCGGAGGAGAGCGAGGAGGCCAGCAATGCTAGCGATGAAGATGAGGATGAGGAAGATGAGGCCAGTGATTAGGCCAATAAAGATAAGCAGATAATTCCACAAACACGTCTCACTCACTCATGCCCCAAATCTAGTTTATACACCCCTAGTTCTAGTTATGTGCTGCTGTTGGATACAGACCAATAAGAGTTGTTTTCTAAATAAAACTCGACAACAAATCGAAAGTTCATGTAATTAAACAGAATCGATAAATGCCCATAATGTTTGATGTTTATCCAAAATTTTTCGGTTGACTTGTTTTTGCTACGCATGAAATGACGGCATACATATGTCAGTCAAAAATCGTTTTTCAGAGTTTGTAGTTATGGCCACGTTGAGGTACCTTTTCCTTTGGAATGGTCTGTGGTGCATTTTGCAGGCAAGTCTTATGTTAAGCTGGTTGGCATTAAGGTTAATCTTTGGCCCACATCAGGTGCAAGCAGTGGCCAAGTTCACGAACATTGAGTGCTTGAGCATGGATGAAAACTTTACCAGCGTCTCCCTGTGCCGATTGTATGCCATCAAGAGGGATGTAGTTGAACTAAGTCTGCGGGTCAACATTTTGCATTGGCCCAAAGGTCCCATTTCGGTGAGTACGCTTTCAATGTGATTGTGCCTAAGGGTGCTAAGAATATCTGGTTGGCTAGACTGTTTTTCTTGGCCGCATAACTATCGTGCATACAATTTAAATTTATATTTGCTAGCAACTTAGTAATTAAACCCTCATTTTTTTAACAAATCTTGATAACATTTACTATCTGTTCGTACGCCAGAAGTGCGCACTACGAATTAGCGAGGGTCAACCGACGGCGGTTGACGGACTGACGCTGTTGACGGACATCCTGGCCGGCAGTCTCGATCTGTGACTTGGCCAGCAGATCCTCAACATCGTCATGGAGCTCCTCCTTCTGAGCGGGCTGCTTGGTTTTTGAGATCGTGGCAGACTCATCGGCGGACGTCTTGGTCATTTTGGGCTTGCGTTGAATCCGGCGACTAAGAATGTCGGAGGGCTCTAGGCTCATTATGTTGTTCTTCCTGGCCAGCTCGCTCAGGGATGGGTGTGCGTGCAAATGGGTGGTGGCCTTCGAAGCCTCCACATGAATCTCTTCGTCATCGTTGAGGATTATCGAGCTGCCGGCGGGACTGGAGTAGCTGGACCGGGTTTGAGCGAAATTGCCAATCGAAGCGGAAGCCGAATCCGAGTCTTCCGAAACCCGAGCTGCCACCCCTCCTGGTAGGTCCGCTGCAACGCCAGAATCCTTTGGGGGCGGGAGCGAGGTGGTCGACCTAGTCAACAGATGGGACACGAACGGCATCGCAACTGTGCGGCTGCGCACCACCATCTGCGACATCCCGGCGAAGACGTCACTCAGGAGCTTGTCCTTGCCACGGTGCAGGAAGTGATCGATCTGCTCCTGCCGCTTGGCCAACACGGGGCGGAGGATGGCGTCGAAGATCCAGACATTGGCCCCCGGGGCGGACAGGACGATCCACAGAACCAGCAGGAACTTGGTGGGCATGTAGAGCGGCATCCACGAGAGGAAGGCGTCCGCCAGCACCTCAAAGGTGACCAGGAAGGCGTAGACTATCCAGTACTTGACCCAGCCCAGGAACTCGTCGTCCCCGCTGTTGAGCGTCTTGTAGGTGTGCCATGCTGGCCCCAAGGTGCCGTACACGAAGAAAAGGATCCGCGAAACGAGACTAAATATACACATCTCGATCTGCATCAAGCCTGGCCAAAGTCTGAGTCTAAATAAGGTGGTTCGACTAATGTCTGCCCGAAAATGAGTAGTTTTTTTACGACAATTCCGAATTTAATGCATGTGGTGAAACTGAATTTGTTATGTATGCGCAGAAAACTGTTCGTTGTGAATCGTGTTCAATGATCTACTGGTGTGTTTTAAGTAAAAGGCCCAGCCTCCCTGGACAACAACACTTTTGAAGTTCCAAAACAGATGTCAGCCACGCCAGAAATTCGGAATATAAACAGCCTCTAAAACTAATAGATCTCTATTTTTCTACAGATGCGCATGCAGTTGTTGAAGAAGGCCAGTGGCTACAAGCCCTTTCTGTACAACATTTGCCAGTCGGATGTGTGTGAATACCTGGAGAAACGGAATCATCCGTTTGTCAACATTATTATCGACCAGTTCGGCAACAGAACTAATGTGCACAAATGTCCAGTACCAGTAGGTTGGATCTCGGTTAACCTGTCCTTGTAACTTTCTTTGCTCTCCTCAGCCCGAAATTATTCTGGATCACTTTCGATTTCCGGTGAAGGTGTTGGAGATTATGCCCCTTCCGTCCGGGGACTACGGCCTGTTCACCACCTTTAGCTTCGGTCGCAAGGAACGAGCTCAGGTTAAGGTGTATTTTACACTTACAGAATACCGCTAATAAAGTGATACACAAGAGTCGAACATTTGTAATAAACATCAGTCGCGGTGCAATAAACCAATTAATAAATTTGCCATAAATTTGTTAAGTGGCCGTAAAAGAGCTTTCCGATTTGATTATCCCTTTGTAATTGTAATAAACGGGGTTTAATTAAAATTATTAATGTGTGCATTTATTTCAGTTTAATATAATATATAGATGCTCCTGACACGTGCGAATGGATATTGTTGAAAAACGATTTCTGGCTGTTCCAGGGTTAGGATCATTGGCTTCTGATTCAGATCGATTTTCGGCGGAAATTTCTTTCACAAACAGACCCAAAAGGTCGGAGTTTTGACCCTGCCCACCGCTGAACGCTCATGACATTTTGGATAGGCATTCAAAAAGCCATCAAGAAAAGGTTCCCATACAATTCACCGACATTTCGGCAATTGAAACCGAAGCCCCGAATCAATTGTAATTGTGTCTAATAAATGAAATGTTGACGGAAATAACGCAAAATACAATGGAGATTGAGGGGGCGGCGGGGAGCATTACGTGTTCGATTGTAAAAGGCAAAAGCACAGTTACCAACATGCATGCATAATTAATTTGTGGGTCAATTGCAAAAACTTGAACTTCAATTCGAGAGGCTTTGGCTCTGAGCTCCACTGGGGTGTCATCTTTTGGCACATCGCCTAGGAAGTGATTTTTTGTGGGATTTCGGGATTTGCATAAATGCCGCCAATTAATTTTGTTATGCAAATTAATGACGAACAATTAGCGATGCGAGACAAAGCCGATTTATTAATTGCACGTTATTATTATTGTTATTTTTTTACAATATATGTAAATGAAAATATATTTTTCGCACTCTGTTTCGCCCGACGTTCTTCATGTTGTTTTTGTTCGACGCTGTCAATGGCAATGCGCGCTTTATCGCTGATTAACCCAAATTTAAATGGAGCTTACCCCAAGCTCCATTCAATCTGAGGAGTGAGAAAAGTGCGGCCAAAGGCCAAGGAACTTTGTAAGAAGCTATTGACATCTCGATGTGGGTGCTGTCAGCTAATGAAATTGTGTTTAAATGTAAATGATTATGAATTGAAATGGAGGACCCATTGTGCCTTGAAAAATAAGAACCAATCAATCCTACTGGGGTTCATTGGGTGATAATAAACCTTGCCATACTGTCACCTTTTGATAATTTAAACGCGCTAAGCAAATTTCCTTCCTGCTAAGCCAAATGAACGCTTGCTTTTATTTATTGATCGGATAATCAAATTATATGCAGGAAATTAATAAAATAACAAATGTTTTTAAGTGATATTCACTTGCTTGGCTTTAGAATCTGCATTGACCCCCGTCAAGATGTTTTTGAGACCCCAATGAACTGAATCCGAGACCCAAAAGATCATCGATAAACAAATCGAAACAAATTGCTTTACAATGGGGCGACGAATGAGTCATTTACATTGCGGTTGTTATTGCGAATTTGCTGAATTTCGGATTTTGATCAAGATTAATAGTGTGCTAATTGCATTAAGATTGTCGCCAGCAGCATTCCTTGAAAAGTCGCAGCTCGCGTTTGTACCGCCGCATCAAGTTCGTTGCTTCAGTCTTTTGTTTGTGCCTGCCGTTCTCAATTAATCAGTGGCAGTCCCTCAACTCCGTGTAAGTGTTCTGCTTCGCTCTCAACAATTTATCGGACACAGTTTTGTTCGCCAATTTGTAATTACAATGTGGGCCATTGGCCAACAAATTGCTACTGATCGCCGGATCATCGATTCCTGGCGCCGACCCATGAATCAATTAACACGCTCGTCCTCTGGCATTGAACTTTTCTAATTGATAATTAATGGGAGGTCGCACCGGCAGCTGCTTCTGTAAACTCCCCAGAAATGAGTCAACACCAGGTACCGGACAGTCCGATCAGATCAGATTCCGCATTTAATCACTGACGTTGGCAAGGGCACGAAAACAACAGCAATGGAGTTCGAAAATCTACTTGGGATGGCCCGGGTTCATTCTCTTACTGCGTCGCAGAGAGTGCCAAGGCCTGTCCTCCTCCGAGTGCTGATCCTCCAGTCTTTGGGTCAGATAGCCGATAAAGTTGTCCACGTTGGTGCTCTGAAGGCCTTCGCCGGATGCCAACTGAGGCCTGTGGAGGTTCCTCCCACTCATTCTGGGCTGCTGGCACCTAGAGGCCTCGTCCTTTTCGATCTCGGCCATTAGCTCCGAGAGTTCCCGCTTCAAGAGGTCGCCGTTGAGCTGGGGCCCTCCTCCCTGGTCCTCCCGATCCTTCGGGATAACCGTAGCCACCAGCGGCGACTGCAAAAGGGTGCGGAATACCTCTTTGCCGAGCGCCTGATGCCAGTGGTCGCCCTGGTCGACGATCCATTCCACCTTGCTCAACAGGTACTTTCCGATCAGATTGAACAGGTGGTTGGTGCTGTACGGGGCACTGAACCAGAGAACGACGGAGAGGATGAGCTTGAGGGCAGCGTAGAACGGAAGCCAGCCGATAAGGACGTCCGTCAGGACTCCGAGTCCTTGGAGCAGCGCGTATATCACCCAGTACTTCAGCCAGAGCTCGATGAAGTGGCTTTGGCCATGGCTGAAGGCTCGCAGGGTGGACCATCCGGGACAGAGAGCGCCATAGTAAATGTACATTAGGCGCAGCATCCTCTTGAGTCACGATGAGTGTCTTTGGCTGTTAGCTAACTTTCCACCAGTACTGGGATTAAAATAGTATCGAGTAAAAAAAGAGAAATTTACAAAAAAAAACATATATTTGTATTCCTTAAAATGTGTTGGATAAGCTCGGAATAAGTGATACGAATGGCCTGTTGCGACGTGATAGTCGAAGTTTGTGAGAGCAAAAAATAATCGTCTATGTGGTCGGAAAAACTTTGGTCTCCCATTGAAAATGGTTTATAATGATTGTGCTCACATTTCGAGCAGCCGAGAGACAATCAAATAATTCCTTGTCACTTCCTAGAGTAAGCTCTTGGAGCAATCAAAAAATCTGTGGCCAGCACTTGGCCATCAGTGGCAGCGCGGACTGGCGGCGGTTTGAGCCAGGCTAAGTGCCTTGGGGCTTTGCCTGTGGCTTTCGCAAGACCAGGAGCCGCGTCCATGGGTATTCGCGTGTGTGCGCCTGTCTTCGGGCCAGCTTTATGCATATTTATAGATTTGTTTGGCCGACTAACAAACCAAAATAAACCGGAGGGAAGGAGGGGAGAAAGAGAGCCAGTTTATGGGCCAGATTGTATTAATGGCGGCGCCTTTTTGGCCAAAACGGTGAAGCTGGTCTATTGGGCATTCGGTAGTCGCCAGCGGATAGTTCGACCTGACATAATGGAAATAATAATATAATCGACTCGGTTGCAATTTTGGTCAACTTGTTCGGCCTGTCTGCCCCTTAGATTTATGAACATTTCTTCAGCTTTAATCGGGACTAAGTTTATCCGCTCCACTTGTTTGATTTTCCCCTATAAACCCGTGATCCCACTTAAACAAGACTAGTTTGTTTGGCTGTCGATGCTTATTACATCATTTAAATAAACTGAACGTTTGGCTTGACAATTTCGTAAATATTTCGTTGGCGGATTTTGAGGTTTCCAAACAAACTTCCAAAAGCAACGACAAAGTAGCGTGAAATGTTAAAAATTATGCAAATTTTTTATGGCTTTTCTTTGTTTGTTTTTAAAGAAATTTTGGGGGGATGGGACGCATGAATTGAGTCCAGCTGGGATGTGTTTTTAAATGGTTTTGTTTCGTTTTTTACTTCTCTTTTTATGTTTTATGTATCATTTGTGTACGCTGACGGCTCGTTAACTCTGCCATATTTGAGAGTGGGAGAGTCGCGGCGATAACAAGCCATATCCGATGATCTGTTAACCTCTTTATCGGCGCCTCAGCTGCGGTTGCCCAACGACCAACGGACCAACGGAGCAACGGTCTTTCTCCACCTCTTCTGGCTGTGAATGTTAGTGCCATCGATGCGGGCTGATTGACATTGACCCTTGACACGGATAAATAAATACGTGTACGAGATGTGGATGGGCGAGGAGAAAAACTACACTTTGATTAATCGGCCAACTGTGGAGCTATTTTTCTTCGATGACCTTCCCAAGTCTACAGAATGCACGACTCCCAGGAAAATCAGTGTTTCTCGCAGCGACTCATCCGAACGCTTCCCAGAAAAAAAAACTCGTTGGGGGTTCAACAATTTCGAGCCTGACAGAAGCGAGAACAATTGCCAAAAGCAGAGGAAAATGTGTCAAATAATATTTAATGCATGCAAAGTGCGCTCGAACGCGATGCACTGTGAGAAAGGCAAGTTTGGGCCAATAAACAGCGCAATTTAAGGGTAATGTAAACAAATGCAAAGCAGTTAACACGAAATCCGCATAAAAGTAATGAGTTCAATTGCCAAAACGAAACCCGTTCGGCAACGCTCACGGATCGGTGGTCAAAAGGGGAAGGGGCAGGGTAAGGGGAGGAAATTCACAGCTCATTAATAGATGGGTATCTCCAACTGCGAGTTAAATGTCGCCTGAAGTGGCACTCCGCGATGCACACAGATATGGGATCTGCACGGGTTGTCGCCGCCTGCAAACGAGGTCGATGAGTTCCACTCACTGTGTGGGTTGTGGGAGGATGGGTTCTGCTTCTCCGCCTCCGTTGAGTCACCCGAGATCCGGAGCTTGGGAGCTCGGTTCGTTGCCGTTTCACCCACAAAGCATTCGGGTATCCTGATGCCACAGCTGCCGGACGTACGTGGCCGGGTCACTGAGCCCGGTGGCGTCGGAACCCGGCCCATTGAGGTCCCCACATCCCACATCCCAGATCCCACATCGATCTCGCGATGTGTGACAATTACCTTTTAATTGGCCCACTTTGAACGGGCCGAGTGGATCTCAATATTTTATCTGACACACGCACTCGCGAGGGAGTCGAATGAGCCTTTATCAATGCGAACATAAACATTTCAGCAGCCGCCCTGCCATTGAACTCGGCGTGAACGAAACAATTTTTCTAACACCTTTGAAAAATGGCTTTTGTTTGTTTTGTCTCGATTGTGCTATAACTGGGGGAAGTGGCTCGAATGGAATTTCGGATTAGATTGCCAGAGTGGGCTAATCATTAAGAGATTTTGGCATAGAATTCTCGGATAAGGCCTTCGAAGTGCACTTGGGCATTTACATGAACAGCACAACAAAAAAAAAAAACACTTTTTATTGCCACTTTAATGAAACCTAAATTGAAATCTATAAAGAAAATGATTGGCTTAGAACCAAATTTTGGTTTTCTGCAGCTAATGAGCTGCGAGATTGACCTATTGCCATTATAAATCAGCCGTTAACATCGATCACGAAGGTTGAGAACTGACTAGTGACTAGTTCTCCGATTTCCCCAGTCGGTTTCCTGTACTGAGCATCAGCGATGTCAATGCCCAAGTGACACCTTCCCAATTAATTTTGCACCCAGGGAGCGCCGATTAAGCAATGTCAAGATGTTCGGAGTACCCGTAACATTCTCGGTGCGAAGATCCCCGCCCAGAGATTAATTGAGCCGAGACTGTGCAACATCAGCCCCACTCAGACCTCACTCAAAGAGTCATTCACGCAGAGGGAGACGGAAAACGGGGCCCAAAGCCACTCGAAAGCTGGCTCAAAGGCGAAGCTCGAACTATGGTTCGAAAAACGCAAGTGTTTTATGTTTTCGCTTTCGTTGGAGCTTTCAAGGCTTTGGCTCACAGTCGCAGCCAGCTCGTGGCGGACCAGATCGTCTAGCAGTTTGGCCCAAAGCTCCGCTCTCGGACCGCCGACAGAGCCGACATAGCCGACAGAGCCGTCCCGCTCGCACCGCCAGCTGTGCTTTGGATCGGTTTTGGACTCCGTCGAGCGGGCCCAGCGAGCGTTAACTTTAGTGTGCGCCGACCTGTTTCCGTAGACGGCCACAAAAAACCGTCAAAGACATAGCCCCGACTTGGACTCTGCCTTCGAGCCACGGTACGCAGATCGCCAAATCGATTTCGAGCGTCCCCAAAGTGACTGCTGCTGCCACAAAGCCACAGAGCAAGCCTCATCTGAAATCAAAATCAAAATCCCGGTGCAGTGACAAGATCGTGACGTCAGGGCGGCTCAAAGTGCAACTCCCCAGCGAAACCAAGCTCAATCCGCAGTCCACAATCCGCAAACCCCGTTTTCGTAATCGTAATCGCATCGTGCAAGCGAAAAAAGAGTTATTAAATAAGTGAATCTGCCATCGGCATCCCGCTCGCACGCCCAGCAGCTCGTACCGCTGCAGTCGACGTCGCCGTCGCAGTCGCCGCCGCCGCCGCCGCCGTCGCTGTCGCCGCGTTCTCCATTGTTTATGTTTTTTGTGTTCTTCCCCCAGAAGGCGGGGAAGCGGTAGTAAAAGCAATGCGCTCGCAATGAAACGAAATTGAGTGAAAAATAATTTCGTTTACAAAAAGCGAAAATAAGAAAAAAATCAGCAGCGAATGAGAAGAAAAAAATTTACTGCCAAGCGAATTTCACGCCGTATTTAATCTTTGCTCACTGACCGCCTCCAGCTTAATCGCTGCTCGTCTTTCTTTCCGTTCCGATCGCGATCGCGAGTGTTCTGTGCCCGATTCTGGCCATATTGCTCCGGCTCTACCCCAGTAACGGCCACCGATCCAATCCGACCCCGATCCACTCCCAAATCCCGCCCTCGAGTCTCGATTCCCGGGCTGTGTGTTCTGGAGATCGCGCGTTTCCCCACCGCCGCAGTTTGCGATTCGGAGCAGCTCCCGAGCAGAAATCGCAGGAGGTTCCTTTCCCCAAACTCGAGAAATTCAAACCACTTCGCACCGATAATGATAGTGCTCTGTGCCCGCCTATGAAAGTGCTATAGAAAACTTGAAAGTTACGTAAAAATCCGTTTGGCTCGCAGCATTTGCTTGGCCAGTGAAGAAAGCAGGAACAAACTTAGGTGAGTTCAGTGACAAAAATTCTACTTACTAAGAAGGGGAGAACAAATTTTACAAAACCCCTTCTTCTTTATATAAGGGGTAGCAGAATATCCAAGTTGTGTCTTGTCAAATCAAGATGATTTAAAGTGTTTTCCTCCATATGCAGTTTTTCCGTAGTTCTAAAACTTGTAACTCGATTATCACATGCTACCATCACCCGCTCTTCATAATTTTCCACCAGCAGTAAATAAAAACCTTTAGGCACATGTCAACCGAACAGAGCTACGAAAACCTCGTAGTTTTCTTTGATCTTTGATTTTTGATTATTACCTCACAAAACCAAAAGTTGTTGTGCTGGCTTTTACTAATTTGCAGACAAGTTTTGGGTCATAATTATTACCACACATGTGTGTTTGGTTTGAACTTGCTAATTGCGGAATCAAGTAGTTTTAAATGGGAGAGATACAGGGCACATATCTAGGATTGGGCATGATAGTATAACCGAGACAAGCTTCAGAGATATCGAAAGGTGGGGCAGGAAGGGACTGCTGGCCCTACAAAACTGCAGAGCGGGAAACAAGATTTCTAGAGCAGGATCTTGAGGCGGGGATACTATATATATGTACATATATACATGCTCACGATACAAGACTTTTGTCTGGCTCTTAGTGCAGCCCACAAAATGGGCTTGTTTCCCAGTTTTAAGTTCAGTTGAGCTGGTTTTGTTTTATATTTTTGTTTCGCTGAAACAACTTTTCGTGCCGATTTGTTGTTGTTGTTGTCGTTGGTGTTTTGTGGGCTTATTATCCCATTGTTGTTGTGTGAGTTTGGCTTTTGGTGTGTTTTCAGCTTTCAGTTTTGAGTTTTGAGTTTTCAGTCTGCCTTTGCGAGGCTCGGACCAATGCGATTTTGTAATATTGCTACAGTTATTATTTCCCGCTACGCTTTGCTCTCCGCACTGTTTTTTTTATTTTTTTTTAGTTATTTCGCTGCAATTATTGCAGTTTTGGTTTCAACAAAGAGAGTGAGAGGGCGAGAGAAAAAGCGAGAGCTTTGAGCTTTCGGATCGGCCTTTGTCTGGATATGTCCACCGATTTGACACTTTCTAACCATTGATATTCTTTGGAACGGATCCCCGCAACAACAGCCCTTCCGTCGCTATGTATTTTCCCATAATCGCCCATTTATTTGTGCCACCCGATAGCCATCATTCATCAGATTCCGAGTTCAGCTCGCTTTCAATTCATCTTTAAACCGTGTTTTGTTTATTGGGATCTTTTTAGCTTTTCATTGACATCGGCGAAGACGAAACCCGAGTAACCTGTTTGTTTTTATTTTTTATTGGTGTTGTTTCAGTCGCCTAGCCACTCAATTTACGTAGTTGTTGTTGCGACTTCAGTATGTTTAACATTCATGGAATAGTTTGTCAGGGTAGTCAATGTACTCGGGTTGATTTTTGTTATTCGCCTGCTCATAGTTGTCGTTGTTATTTAGGTTTGTTTCCTTTACAAATATATAATATTTCTCTAAAATATTTATATTATATTTAACATATTTATTTAGATATATAATCTCATAATTTTATGATGAAACCATCGCATAAATCGAAGCAAAGCTGAACGCAGATTTTAGCCAACGTCTTCTTTAATTTCAATTACAATTTCACTTTCATTTTCATGTGGTTTACGGCTTTTCCGACTTCGACCGCAACGGCGACTGCGACGTCAACTGCGACGCTGACGCAGCACGCAATCAGTGCAAGTGGTTTATGTTGTTGTTGTTGTTATAGTTGTTTTTGGCGGTATTGCATGTTGTAACAACAGCTGAAAAATTATAACAAGAGCAGCAATAGTTGCAGAAACAACGAAATACGGGAGCAAACATTCGATTCCGAATTGCATATTTTATGTTTTTTCGGAGTGTGATGTTGCATGTTCTTTGGCAAATATTTATTTCGTTTTCTTTCCCTGCTCTTTCGCCTGCCAGTGACTGTCATGGCGGGCTCATCTTTAAATTTAATTAGCTTGGCATATTACGTATACGCAGGGCTGCCTTTGTTTTGCCTCCTCTTCCCCGCATTGACTTGCAATTTTTCAATATTTGCGCATTTTATAATGGCATTTTAATTAATATTTCGGGGGGACAAGAAGCGAGACCCATCAAACTCGTTTTCGGTGATGTATCTGCTGTTTGCCCCTCCCCCGAGCAAATTACGTATACGCACCGTGGGGCTGACCATGCCATTGTTGTCTGCAGAACTCAGATGGCTAACCATCTACCATCTAATATACATAAATTAATAATATGCCGAGGAGCAGATGCTTGGACAGGCATCCAAGCCGCGGCCCTGAAACCAGTTAAGAAGCCATGATCTTCGATGGATTATGTCAGCGAACCTAGAATTCAAATTGGGCTCATTCAAATATTGGTATTTGACATTTGGTCTCGCTTTACTTCTTTTTGTTCGTCGTTAACTCCATTTGCACAGCTGTTTCCTCGGCTCAGCGCCGCTGCCGAGCTTTCAGCAGGCGAAGACTCAAGACTCAAGGTGCTGGTTCCCAACCACATTCATTGTTTTATCATTATAAAACAATGGCCAAAAGATTCGCTCGCCCTTTCCACACACACACACACACACACACACACATATGCATGCATATACTCAGGCACACAGCAACATTGAGCAAATGCAAAAAGTTCAGGTCACAGACATTTTACGTAATCTCCACCTCCACTTGATCGTTGTCTGCAACTTGCAGCGGAATTGTCGGTGAAATATCAGAAAATTTATTATCTCTTGTGCAAACCGTTCGCAGTTGAACTTTGTTATGTCACATTTGAGCCGATTTATGTGTGATCCAGTTTTGTGCTCCAGACTGCCTGAGAAGTGGGTTGATTTCCTGCGTTGCTCATACGCTCCGTGGCTTCCGTTCTTGGAGCCAATGTCACTGGTCGACTGGTGGCCAGGCAGAAAGCAGCAAGTGGGGAAATGGGTTCATTATCAGCCGGGCGGAGAGCTTCTGACTCAGGTGCTGACACACGAGTTCGCCAGAAGCAGCTGTTTGTCTGATGATCCAAAGAGAGTGGTGGCCCAAGCGTCAATGTCAATTTAGAGCAAAACGCTGACGCCCTCCGAAAAGATCGAGACAACAAGCTTACAACAGACCCGGCTCCGAGGGTTGTGTCAGCAAATTCATTGAGAAAGCGAGGGGCACAGCAAAGCGAGCCAAAGCCAACACCAGCAGCAACACACAAAAAATTCCCATAAACCGAAACAGACGCTGACTTTATGGTAAAAGCAAAAGCCACAAAATCGGGGGGAAAAAGCGAAATACACGGCCAGGCGGCATAATTATGCGGAAGCTGACAATGCAACTTGCTTTGCTGTCCCCTCGTTTCGGCTTTCGGCGGCTTTTGGCACAATTCCATTTCCATTTCCACACTTTTGGGCCAGCTTCTGTTTGGAATTGGTTGACATTCGATGATGCGGATCTTTTCACTTGTTTCAACCTCCCCCCTCCCCCGTAAGCCGTAATTATATAAAATATGAACGGGAATTATGCAAGCTTGAATATAAATCAAACAACAGTTTTGCCATAGCCGTAACCTTGAGCTGGCTCTGATTCAGATTTATGCATGCACACATATGGCGAACGATTCGACCCTAATCGACCTTAATTATGCAAATGATAGACCGAATGTTGTTGCCATCTTTTGGCCTGCCTCGCTTGCCTCATAACTGTTTCTCGTCCGATTTGGTCCGATTGTGGATTTTGTATTTTGTATTGTAAAATATGAATCGGACTGCAAACAAGATGTTTGCGGTCACCGAGGAGGCGTCACGTTTTGCCCAAGCTTCGGTTTTCGGTTTTCGGTTTTGTTTATGAGCATTTAAATTTCCTGATAATTTGGCTGCAGCCACTGCACATTTGTTGGCTTTCGTTAAACCCTCTTCAGTGCTCTTGATTCGTTTTCGTTTTTGGGTGAAAGTCTTGCCTTGAAGGTTGCCAAATTGCACTTTCGGCTAACCGATGGCTTTGGTGGTTTTTTATGCATTTATGAATGCTTTGCACCCCGGCACAAGCCATGTGCCCTTTGGCCAAGTTGGAAGTGGGTCTCATATATTTGAAGTCTCAAGCATTTTAATAAAGCTTTCGAAGACTCTTTTTTATTCAAGTTTAAAAAACCAAGTTTGTGGTCCAAGTCATTTGTTTCCTGAATGGAAAACAGTATACTATTTTCCACGATTGCTACCATTTCAGGTATCGCTCCGAATTACCCAGCATATAGCATTGGAATCTGCACTTTCTTTGGCACGAGAAGTACTAATACATAAAACTTGTTGCAATCCATGAGCAAGTGTTTGTGGCACTGCCCTTGGGCTGCGTTCCACCCATTTTTGGCAATTGGCCAGCCGAGCATTTCATTAGGATTGATGATGATTGATTCGCCGGCGAGACTTTCTTCGAACCGAAGTGGGCCACGGCAGATCTTGCAGCACGCGGCATGCAAATTGTGCAAACCTTCGGGGATGCAAAATGTCATGCAATTTGTCGTAAATGCCGCCGAGGAGTTGCAACACGCGATTGCAGCTGCCGCTGCCGCTGTCGCTGTCGCTGCTGTTGTTGCCGCTGGTCAGTTCTGTTTGTTTCTTGGTTGGTTTGTCAAAAGGTTTGGCCGTGTCGTTGCCGTCGATGCGATGGCTGCGATGGATGCTGTTCGCCTCCTGCCACGCATCGCTGCATCATTATTGACAATTAGCCGCATTCGATGCCGGGCGGATGTGCAACTGCAACTGCAACAACAGTAGTAGCAGCAGCGACACGAGCAACAACAATCAGCAGGGCCGACAAGATTGTTTTTAGCCCCGAGGCTGCTTCTTGGCCTTATGCAACAATTAATTACTCAGCCAGCGGGGCAGTAAACTAGGTTTTTCTGCAAAACTAAAAGTAAATATTAATTGAAGCAGCAACTAGTGTTGGAGTTGCAACAACAGATGCCTACTGCACTCGCTTTACAAACATAATGCCCATTTGAGCATGACCGAGACAGGTTTGTGGGCAGGAAAACTGTTAACGCGAGGTGGTAAAATTATTATTTGGAAGTAAATAGTAAATACTTTGCATGCCGCGATTGCCTGAAAAGGTTGGGAAAGGTGGGGTAGTGTGCTAGTATTATTATTTACTACAGTTAATAAAGTTACTAATCGTTTTTACCAATTAATGTCTTTCATTCTAATTTAACATTTTTCTTTCTCCATTTTATTGCAGTTTAAGCACTTTAAGGATAGTCTTAGCACCCTAGGAGGCCGGCTCAGAAAGATGTCCCCAACACTGGTCCTAATCTCAGCGCTCCTCCTGGCGAGCTCAGTGTGCCAGGCCCTGCCAGAAGTAAGTACCCGTCGAGGTCCAATGCCAGCGCTCGGATCACGTTCGGCTGGAGTCCGAGAACCCATCAATCAATTCAATGCGGTATGAGTAACCTTTGGGCACTCGCGGCTAAAGTCGGCTGTTAACGGGCACAAAACCAGCAACAAACGGCCGCCAGTCAGCGGTTTCATTGTCGTTCGCATTGTGCGTAATTAGCATTTCAAGAAATACAAAACATTTTTTGTATATTAATTAAATTACCAACCAGAGCAGAGAGCCGAAGAGAGTCGACGTTAGAAATAAAACATTGGCATTGTGTTTTGGCCCGGGTTTCCGAGTGCGCTTGTGTGGGTATCTCATTGAAACACACACACACACCAACACACACACACACAGCTTTTGTTGGCTTCGTTTTGTTTTGAAGAAAAAGCTCGGCCAGCAAAATTATGGCCAAGGTCAGACGTAAAAAGTTCTTGTAATTGTAATTGTTTCAAGTGAGTGTCTGTCTGTCTGTCTGTCTGTCTCCTCCCCCTTTCTGTTTGTTTATTTTGCTGCCACCACTTTTTGCTGTCGTTGGCCAACTGTAAGCCGCCTTCCCCTCCATCTCCATCTCTTTCTCTTTACCATTCATTGTCACTGCTTTCCGCTGTTGCGGAGGTTATGGTTTGGCTTTGACTGAGGAAAACTCCATGATCGAGGCGGGTCCAAGGTGGCTTAATTTCCATTTTCAAGTCCGTTTTCGATTTCCTGCGCAGAGAAACACTGCATGTTGTTTTAAAATGATTTTGAAAAGTGACCAAGCTAGGGAGATATTTTTTTCAAATACGAGTTCAAACTGGAGTTGATTTCTCGTCAAGGTAGGCCTTGATTCTGCTATCGCGAGTTTCCCAAAATTCCACTTGACAATGGTGCTACTGGAGACGAGCGACGGCAGGAGGATTAGAGTGGACCTGACGCTGCTGAACCGCTCCCTGGTGATCCGGGAGATGTGCCGCGTCAGCGAGGACTCGGCGGACGGTGACTTCGTCCTCCCCCTGCACGGCATCCGCAGCAAGGTGCTGCTCAAGATCCTCCTGTGGGCCGAGTTCCACAAGGGACACGAGGAGCCCGCCTGGGTGGCCAACAGCGACCCGATCATGTCCTCGGAGATGGAGGTCCGCACCTCCGACTGGGACAAGGAGTTCCTCCGCGTGGAGATGGACACCCTCTGCGAGCTGATGGAGGGCTGCAACTACCTCGAAATCCCTTGGCTGTTCAAGCTCTGCGCCCAGAAGCTCGTCGGCCAGAGCAGACAGCTCCCGGAGTCGCAGTTCAGCAAGTACCTGGACAAGATCCCCTCCCTGGCCGAGATCCAGGGCCTCTTCACCGAGCAGCCCGTCGAGAAGCGCAGCTCCTCCCCTTGATTTGTCTTTAAATTAGAGAAGTGATGAGTGTTGTAGTTGCTTTGGAGAAATTGTTAGCCACTGTAAGCCAAACTTCTACATACAGTTTTCCCTTCACAGCAAGCGAGTCATTATTACTACTCAGTGTACGGATACTCTTAACTAGACTAGATTTAAATATAGAGCAAGATTTTCGGGCTGATTTCGGTGCGAGTTCGTGTTGGCTGAGAGACTTCGACCCCTTAGCCTTGCCGTGGTCGCATAAATGGCGCTGGCACAGAAAATGTGCCCCATAAACGACTTCGTCTCCGTTTTCCACTGCAATTAAAGTTGACACGCCACACCAACAACAACACAAACAGCAACGACAAGCAACACAGCAACACAGCAATACAGCAACCCAGCAACAACTTTGACGAGGCCCTTCAAATCCCAGCCGAGCATGAAAAAAGTGATGTAAAAAACCGACTTGGGCCAAGCGAGACATGCAAAACACCAGCAGAATATCGATACGAACGCGAATGAGTCAGCTCTTGCTTTTGTTTTTACCTCTTTATACTTTTTATGTGCTGTCAGAAGTGCAGAAAAAATATGAGGTATCCAGATGTTTGCTGGCTATCAATTGCCGGCCAAATAAATTAAGCCTTTAATTGTGAAATCAAGAACGGCTTGTTTCACGATTTGTCGTTGCTCCTGGGACCGCTGTCGTTTCCTCTCGACTACTGCTCTACTCTTTCGAGTTTTGCAGTCTGCAGTCCCCAGCACGTTGCCTCGGTTTCAGTTTCGGTTTTGTTTCTTGTTTTAATCATTTTTGAGCCCGGGTTCTCGGGTCACGTTCTCCCCGCTGTTTCTGTGTGTGTGCTGCGTGGGGTTATAGGAAATCGGAGGAATGTCAGCGAATGAGTAATTGCTGGTCGATTAGCAGATTATGCAATCGAAGTGGAAAAGTTCAGCACTCAAGCGAAACATAATGCTTTGGTTATCGTTAAAAAATGAAAAGAATCTTCCACCAAGGTTAGCATTTATCATTGAAAAGATATCTGTACTATATGTGTTCCTCCCCTTGTGGTAGTTAGATCCTTACATTGAGTAGTTGCATTGACCAATATGTAGTATGCGGTTTTCACCCCCATCCTCCTTAAAAAATAAGTCAGCCAAAATTGTAGTTGGCATTAGACACAGCGCATGTCAAAGGTGTCGCAACACCCTGAACTTTTCGCACTTTGTTAATCGCTGGCATAAACACAAAGTTCCCAAATGAGCGAGGAAAAAACCTGAAAATTTAGCGCCGACAGAAGCGGTTGCTAATTTCCGCCGCTTGTCAGCCGTGGCGACAAGGTCAACACACCCAAGGAAATGGAAATGGAAGGAGAAGTACTGGGAGGAGAGGCGGCGAACGCCAACGAGTTCGCAATTTAGTGGATAGTTAACCGTCCACAGCCCAAAATCTTCAACCAAAATCCATGGCTCTTGCGAGTGAAGAGTGAATAATTTCTTTGTGTTTGACTGACGGCGGGACTGAAAGGTCGAGTGACACTCTTCCGAGCGTCTGCCGCTGTTGACTTTGACCGGCTGGAGGAGGGGAAACCAATTGCTCAACAAACACCGCTGGCCGCTCTTGCCATAAACAGTGTATTGGCCTCAGCCAGAGCCAATTTGAAGCACACTTTTCGCGTTAATATGGCGGCTACACCTTTTACTTTGACTTGACTCTGATTGCACTTGGTCGCCACCGCCACTGCCACCACCATCGCCATCGCCATCGCCATCGAAGTCGTCGTCATGCCGGTTATAGCGCTGTTCACCGGGCGTATGAGTAATATCGCACAATTTCAGTAATTGCCCGCGTACCAGCAGCACCAGCAAACTGCGACCAGCAAACAGCAAACAGAAAACAGAAAACAGCAACCCAGCTAGCCATACAAATTACGATCAGCGCCAATTTCACAACATCCGTCATTGCACTCGGCGAAAACCGAAATAAAATCAAACTAGGAGTAAGCTCGGACAAATAGCTGGGTAAACAGCAACTTAATGGCCACTGCCAGCCGATCGAATCGAATGACAATTCAGCTAGGGCTAGATTCGCTTCGCTGGGCTTCCGGACGCAGTTGGCTAATTTCAGATTGGTTCTTAATAAACTGCAATTTTATGATGGTCTTAGGAAACACAAACAGCAGGCCTGTAGATGATCATTGCTGGTAAAAGATTCGGAACAAATTATGCCTAGTCAAAAGCAATTAAAGAGAATAATGTTTTACTGTAGGTGATACAACAACTGAAGATAATGTCTAACAAGATAGCCGTAATTATTCTAGCGGCTTTTAAGCCCTGCTGTCTTTCATTTATTAGTCAACTCTTCAACAGCTTGTCAGCTTTAATTTGCGATTCCTATCTGTGATTTACATAATTTGCCACCCATTTTCGGTCCTTAAGCCATGAGGCTATGGACCTTTGCAACCCTGGTTTTCTAATCCACGCTGGTAATCTTTTGCATAATTCGCTATTTCTGATCGTGGCTGTTTCTCTCTCATTTGTTTTTAATTGCGATTAATTGGCCGCAAGGGCCGGAGAGCCAAGTGCCAAGTGCCAAGTGCCGATTGGTGTTTGGTGTTTGGGTGTGGTCGTCGGTCGGTCGGAAAGATTTGCATACGGAGAGAGGGGAGACCGATCAAGAATAAATTGCTGCAGGTGCAAAACTTTCCAAATGTGGCCAGCCAAGAGCCCTAAGCCGGGGATTGCACTCCACTCAACTCAACTCAACTCAACTCAGCTGAAGCAAACTTAAGCAAACTCAGGCAAAGCGAAGCAACCTCAACGCAACAATTGCACTCGAGTGGCAAACTCAACGCCTCATCGAAAGAGTAGCCGCTCGCGTCTGTTTTCCTTTCCCAAGCGGCAGTTTCACTTTCAATGGGGCGACGCGATGGCAAAAGTTGCTCAATGCGACCCCAACAGCTGGCTCCTGTTGTCTGTTGCTGCTGCTGCTGCTGTCTGTGGTCTGTGGCCAAAACACGTTTCGAATGAAAGTAAAACTCTTTGGCATTGTGCCGTGCGTCTGAGCCAGCGTCTGGTTTTCTTCTCGCGTTTGTTCACCTGCCATCTCTTCGCCCAGGTTTCAATTATAAAAGAATTATAGAGCTCGACTCTCGGCTTTCGGCTTACGGTTATGCCCGGCAGTGTCATCATCAACAGCTCAGCACCTCTCTTAGCGGTGTAACTGTAAAAGTGAGGCCCGCACTTTGGCCAAGACAGCTGGCCATCTCGTTCGCCTTCGTCTCGGTCTTCGCCTGCTGCTTTTTCGGCTCTGCTGCAACTCCATGTCTGACTCACTTTAGACCTTTTTGGGCAAAGCAAATGCAAGAAATTTGCCTAAATTGCGGGCCGCTTGCTGGCAGCAAGTTCGCTGGTTCGCTGCCAGAGTCTTTTGTTTTTGCGCCTGCGCTTAGCCGTTGCTTAAGGAAATTCTACTCTTGCTCTGACCCTGTAACAGATCTTGTTTCTGTTGCTGCCGCTGATTGGATTGCAAGTGAGATGCAGATTTGGCAGATAAATAAAACGGAAATGCAGTGGAAGAACAAAAACTCTTGAGGTTGATTGATGTAGAATGCCGTTTAGAATGGAACGCCGCTGAAGAGGTATTTCGAGAAGCGGTAAGGTGGCTTATGAATGAAATCCGAACTACCTCACGTATAAAAATAAACCATGTTCGGAATTCCCACTGAATGCTATGGGGCCGAACAGAAGAATACAACTATTTATAAGCTGCAACAATAGCGCGCAGATTAAAAGTCCATTAATAACAATATGAAATTAATTGGACTTTAATTGAAATTCGCAATTATGGCCAGCGCACAATGTGTTTATAGAGAAAAAGTTTACACGCAACTCGGATAAGACTGGCACTCGATATTCGTTTTGGCTTCTTGTTCGGCTCGTTCGTCGAATCGGAAATGCTCAAAGACATGGGTGTCTGCACACAATAAATAAATCTATCAATCGCCGCGTTGACCCTGACCCAGTTGGCGAAGATACTCAAAACCCGGCCGCGCTGCCTTTGGCTTTGGCCTGGCTTAGTCGTTAATCTCCGGATAGCTCTTGAGGTCCAATGCAAACACGAACCGAGCGGCCGCTAGAGAGAGCCAGCCAGCAGGCTTGGCAAACACTCGATTATTGCATTGAATTATTGATAATTTTTCAATTATCCGCCCGACAATTGCTACAATTTGTAGCCTTTGCCCGCGGCAACCTGTGCGTGCGATCGATCGCTAACGTGAATTCATTTCGTTTTGTTTTCTCCCACCCAACCCTCAACTCCAGTTGCACAAACAGATGTCGCCGGAGCAGCTGCAGTCGGTCTTCCACGTGGACAGCGCCGACGCAGTGCCCCACTACGAGCTCGTCCAGCTGCTGCACCACGACGAGCACTCCCGCCGGCGGCGCAGCATCAGCAGCAGCAGCAGCGGCGAGAGGCCAAAGGTCACCCACCACGTGAAGAAGGATCTCAGCAAGAACGCCTACTACAGCGAGCTGAAGCACGAGGCCCTCTCCTCGGGCGGCAACCACCTGTTCGGGCCGGACGTGGCGGCCATCAAGGTGCACAACGTCTCCTTCAGCGCCTTCGGCCAGCACCTGAACCTCAGCCTGCGCGCCACCCAAGGACTCTTCAAGGACTCGCCCCACCAGCTGCGCATGTGGACCGTGGGCAGCGAGCCGAACGCCACCCACGGCCTTGACCTCCAGGAGATCGCCCACGAAGAGGTGAGTACATTTCTTATATCTTCATTTAGGATACGAACTTACTTTTAGGTCTATTTGGGAAATTGGGATGTGAGTAGGAGTCATAGGATTAAAGTAAAATGAAAGCTAAGTTTGATAACTAACAATTAGTAAATATAATATTTATAAAAGGGATAAAAATATTAAGCATAGTCATTCCGTCAGTCAGGTAACTACCTACATTATTTTCAATATTATTGGCAGTCGTATTAATGCCACGTATTTTCCTGCCCTAAATTGTCGTTTTCGTTGCACATTTCCCCCAACAAGTCTTTCCTTTGCTGCACTTTCATTGGTTGCATCATGGCGGGTAACGTGAAAAAATGATTACTTTGCTTTTTGTTGCGTTTTGCTTTTGTACGTTTTCTGATTTGTCGATTCAACACACTTCCGCTTGGGGTAGGCACATATTTTGTTTCAACTTTTATCGGCGCTTCGTTTCAGACTTAGTTTATTGTTTGTTTGATTTTCTTTTCATTTACTGCACTGCGTTTGCCTTGCTGCTCAACTATTTTATTGTTGGGTCTGCCTTTGCTTTCGGACGTATCTAATCGAAGTTAATTGGCCACGTGATAAAAAGATTTTATTTGCCTAAACCAACACTTAGAGCTCACTTTAATTACATTTCTCTGTTACGACGGCGGTTTATTGTGTGTAAGCTTTGAAACATCACGCATACGTCAGAAATCTGGCTTAAAGTCAAGGACGGACGGAAATCAGCTTAGCAGATCGACGCGTAACAGGTTTATTATTATTTTTCTTACTTATCATAATGCCAGGCAATTATATATTTCGGGCCAAACAGAAGTAACAATGGATTTAGACACTTACTCATTTCGCCCACAAGTTCCTACAAAATTCAGTTAGTTGAGTCGAGCCGCGAACGTGACTTGATTGCAATTACCAACAAAGTTCACTTTCTTTTGGCATCGATCCCCTTTTCTTGGGCAGCCTGTGTTTGTACATGTAATTTAATTTTTCCATTTACCCATTACCCGTGTTGTTTTTGGCGCTGCGGTGGGCGTGTTTTTTCCTGCGAAGTACAATCAATTGATCGCACTTTAAATTACGAGATTTATATTCGGCGGATATTAACGTCGGCGGGGGAGAGCAGATCGCAAACACAGCATAATTTTGAATGCAAGACACCGCACTTCGGAAATGAAAGTGAAATGTCATGTCAGGCGACAGCCGAAAAAGAAATGAACCCGGCGACTCGAACTCTTATGTCTTTGGACTTTGCCAACTGCGGAGTTTTTCTGTGTCTTGCTTTTGCCTTTTTAGTGATTTATGTGTGATAATTTCGGTTTTAAGCTCGGCACCACGAAACGCGGAAAGATTCGTTTGGCTTTTCCTTCATCTCTTACGGGATTTGTCTTCACTTTTAATTAAAACGAAATAAGCTGCAGCAGTGTTTTTTTTTTAGCATTTTCGGCACAAGACTTCGAGTGGCCCACGCAAAGGCATTTTCCCCTTTGAGTCTTGTGACTCGGCAATTATTTTTGTTTCGCTTTTCGGACTCATGCCACAAACAAATGGCCTCAAGATATAGACCACATAACTACAGCAAATTCAATGTTTTCTATGTCGGATTTTTCTCTCTTTTTTTTTTGGTAATGGCGGCACTTTGTCAGAGACCTTCCAACAGCAATCAAGGGGGACAAAAACGCCATGAAAAACATTTATTCTAATTTCTGCCATTCTTTATCTTTTTCTGCCTTATTGTTTGGCAACCGCAAAAGTACCCAAAAATATTTTCCATTGAGTCGGGGTCCGAAAAACTGACCCCGATACGTTTTTTATAACGACAAATCCATCGAGCTGCGGGAAAATGCTGCGTTTTTCGATTTCGATCGGAAATTAAAATTAAATTAAAAAATTTGCAGAAATGCAATCTCTTTTGTTTTGCGGTGAAAATTTCTCTGCTTAGCTGAAAAGGTGGAAACCTTGTTTGGAGCTCCGCCCGGTAACACTGTATTTTCCACTTGGATACTCTCGGTTTACTCTAGTACCATGACACTCCAAGGAATTAAAAGGCAAACACGGGGCGTTGCTCGGCACTCCCACTGCCGCATTCAATCGATTAAGGCGATAGGCCCACACAAAGGTCAGTGCAGCCGCAATATAAAGCGAAATGGAAACAAAAGTCGCACAGGTTTCTCGCAAAATTGAAAAGGGGAGCGCTGAGCCAAGTAAGCGGGGTATTTGTACCTGAAATTGCAGGCAATCGCAATTTTATTTCAAATGAATATTGGTTTTTGGTTCGATGGAGTCAGAATTAGGACGAGATTGCTTAAAAGCTTTATAAAACAGGGAGACCGGATAATAAGAAGTTATTAGGAGCCCTCGAATGCTGAAACACCATTAAGTTTTTGATTGAATGCAACAGCAGTGCACTTCGCCTAAGTATCCGTAAAGGTTGTTTCGACTTCTCCATCGAAACAGAGGCCGCCGATCCGGGTTTTCATGAAGTAACCAAGGTACTTCGATAGCGATCTGCAGACAGTGGAGACTGTGCTCGTGGATCACGGCTGCGGTGAGAAGAACAATCCCCTTCGGGGACTGGGGCTTGGCCACCTGCCCACTCGGGACTCCGACGATCGACAATTACCATTAAGGGGAGCTGCAAACGCAAACGCAAACACAAACGAAAGACTTAGGCAACGAACGCGCCATCCAGCGCGCATTAGTGGTGTTCACCCCCTAGCCGCTTTCGATATCTCCCACCAGGCAGGCAGAGGCAGTCGAAGGAAAACCGAAAGCAAACTAATTAAGTTTTCAAAATGCACTTTTGATGGGTGCTAACGCGAAGTGCATAATTAAAAAACGGCAGTAATGAAACTGCAAAACTGCAAAGCTGCATGCCACACAAATGCCGCCGCTGCACTCGTTTCACAAGACGCAAAATTGTATCTTGTCATTGCAAAACGATTCCAACTTGTTGTCGACGGCGGAGAAGCATGATTAATGAGCTGGCGATTTGGCAGCTGAATGAATTCGAAATTAGCTCACTGTGCCCCACACTCTCTCTCCCTCTCCCTCTCCCTCTCTCCCTCTCCCTCTCTCCCTCTCTCCCTCTCTCTCTTTCTCTGTTTCTCTATCTCTATCCATTTTTTTAGTGTGCGGGCGATGCAAGTTGCGATTCCGCAAAAAGAAATAAAAAAAAAACCTGAGGGGTAGCAGGAAAACGTTGCGGCTTAGAAAGCAGTTCGGGCTGCATTTCGCTGGCTGCTCTCCGTCTCGCTCGCACTCGCGGGCCTCTCGTGCGGCTGCAATCGGTTGCATAATGCCGCAAAGTTGCTGCCACGGCCTGACAGTTTCTGTGGTTGTTGTTATGCTCATGTTGCAGTTATTGTTAGCGCCGAGCGGCTTTTCGCTTTGTAGCCAGCAACGAGCTGGCCGCTCACTCCCTTCTTGCAGCCATTAGGGCCAGAAATGAGGAACTGCTGGCTTATCGAGGTGCCCGAACGGTTTCGGGCTTATCACAGTCGCCTGACAACTCAATGGGTCAAGTAATTGGCCGGATAATAGGCAAACAATGGCCAGTTGCAGCCTTGGCATTGTCGTGAAGCCAAAGGCGAGCTGCAAACAACAAATCCAGTTCGACGCGACTCGCACACAATGCATAATGGTGCGTAATAAACAAGCTAACTGCCAAAGCAAATCAGCGGACACACACACGCACCGACAGTCCGACGTTATTATTATGCGCAGCCCGAAAGCGGCCAATGCGGCGTATGCGTAACGACGCCAAACAAATCGGCGGGCAAACAAACCAGCAAATGGAACGAACGAACAAACAGCGACGCCCACACTTCGTCTAATGCGTTAATTGTCGGTTAAGTTGGCTAAATGGCTCGTGGACTCACAGTGCGTACCCACAGAGAGTGTGTGTGGGATAAACGTTCCATTCGAAAGGTCGGACTTTCGTCGAACAATGGCAAATTATCGCGTTTGAGCCGGGTTAAGGGCCTGAGACTAATGCTTTAAGTTTAACCTCCTTCTCGCTTCGCCACCAAGCGAACTGAAAGAGTTCAGAGGCTAATTTTCACTTTGCCAAGTTCGCCGCTCCGGGTCATTTGTGTCTTTCTTCTCTCAAATTTTCGGCTTAATTTGCATAACAAAATCGCCAAAAGAAAGAGCGAAAGAAAATGGGCTAAACTGCTTTACCCAGGAAGTAGTTAGCTCTCGGGGCTTTTACTTTCGTTTTAAGCCACTTTGGAGGCAGAGTGCTGACGTGAAGCATTTTAAGGGTTTGGTTTCAACGTACTTTGCTTTCTACATCCTTTGGATGCCGCAGCCCAAAACTATTTAACAGTATTTTACCATGTTTTTTCGAAACAAAACTCCACAAAATACAGAAATAAAAGGCTTCCCTTTCGCCAACATTTCTCTGGTCAAACAAAAAGCATTCATTGAAATGGTTTTAGGCTGAGTGCGGAACAAAGTTATGGGCAGAAATCGAAGCAAAACCCTTGGGGCAGCCGAGAAATTCGCCTCTTACGTAAGACAATAGCTGCAAATGGCGGCCAAACAAAAAGTCACAAAACATTCCGGCCAGAGCCTAATCTCCTCCAAGATATCTGCATAATGTCTTGTAGCCATTTGTAATTAAAAAGTTAACGGCGCCATAAATAAAAAAAATAACCATAGTGAGTTTCAATGGAAATGGAATCGAAGTGAAAAAGCCGAAGAAAAAATGCGCGACAGCTAACAATTTACAATTTGCAAGTCAACTAATTAAAACTGCGGCCGCGGGAGAGAACAAAATAAGTCAAAATGAGAACGACAATTGTCAATTGGTCCGTGCAAAGTGGTCAAGAGCAAACAGTGCGCTGCAGTAAGTGGCCGACTGACAGTTCATAAATAGTATATGGCCAAAACACTTGGCCAGGCTCCAAGCGGTGACAACCCGCGCTGCTTTTAGTCTCCGACTTCGACTCGGAATCGGATTCAGATTCAGATTCGGATTTGGCTTCAATTCGGATTCATGGCAGCCGAAATACGTGTGGTGGCGTGGGGGTCGCCACTTGCCACTTGTTGCTTTGAACTTATTTTTCCACAAGGTCGCCGTGTCCAACTAGCAAGTACAACAACGCTCCAACAACGGACCGGCGACAACGACAGCAACAACGAATTAAGCCATAAATGCCTGCTGCACATGAAAAGTTTGAGTGTGTCTTTGTTGTTGTTGTTCTTTTTGTTGTTGTTGTTGCTGTTGTTGCTGTTTGTTGTTTTTGTTGTTGCGGCTGCGTGTCCGCACGCTTGGCGGTCAGTTAGCCAACTTAGCCGGAGCCCCGCCCATTCTGGACAGCTCAGTAATTCGATCGGAGCGATAAATAATTGCTCGGTTCTGGCCAGCATTTCTGGGAAGCACATACATTTCAGTTCAAATTTTTGGGGGAATTTTCATTACTGATTCCCATCTCTTTTGGGCTTAGATAAATATTTTTTGGCCTATGCAAAGCCAAAGCCAGATGCACTTAAATATCTTTCAGATATCTGCAATCTATGAACTGACCCACTTTTGTTGTTCTCCTAATGGGACTTACGTTCCCTGAACTTGGATCTGCGAAGTGCAATCGCAATGTTTTATCTTGGCCGCAGGCATCGGAGGCATCTAGATTAGCTGCTGACTGACAGCTCTCATCAAGCCAAAGGCCAGTGGCTCCTTGTCCGGCTTCAAGTTGGATTTTGGCACTTGGCTTACGTTACTTTGATGCATACGAGCACAAATACGTACTGCCATTTATTGCTCCGGTCGAGCGTACTGCGATTAGTAACTGTAGATTTGGTCGCGGGCAGTTATGATTTATGCTTGTAATTTGATAGAGTACCGGCACGACAAGTTTTCGAGGCTCCAATGGTCCGCGGTCCAATGCCAAATGCTGCGGCCGATGTCAAGTGTCAGATTACATTTATTTCGATATTTATTACAGAACTCAACTCAATTGAACGGAATCGAATTGAATGGTCAGGCTAAGCAGCGGCAATTAATTTAATTAGTTCGACCGTAGAAGGACCGAAGATAAGCCGCTGCAATTGAAATTTATGCTAATGCGAGACTAATATCCCCGGGCTATTTGCTGGCAGCTCCCTTGAGTGGCAAGCACAAGAAAAGCCGAGATGAATGTCTCTGCCACAGGATTGGAAAACAGTTGGAGGCAGAACGACCGAGAGACTTAGCCGAAACTAGAGCACTTGGCCAAATGTCAGAAGCTTAGGCTTAGCCGGCCAGCAGCGCTGTTTTCATGGTCAGTCCACACGGCGTATGAGTGACGTGCATGCTGAGGCGTCACATTTGCCGACCACGGGCATAAATCAAAGCTCAGTTTACCGCTACAGCTTCGGCCCCGGCTGCCCCACGCTCCCCACTAAGTGACCAAGTCCTCCGGCCGGCCAGAGCTGCATTTAATTAAACCTACCCGCTAACCACGCGTTTTGTCTTGGCCAACTCAGCTGCGGGCCCGCAAAACATACGTTTGTGAACGAAAACAAAACGAAAACTGCCTTTAAATTTAGTTATGGCCAGCTGTGGTACAGCTGTGTATTTGTTTTACATCTCGCGGAATGTGCGGAATTCGGACCCCTAAAATGTAAAATAGTATTTAATTGCATTTTTAAACAAATTATTTTTATCACCGCAGAGCTGTCTTACATTTATTAATCTACCAAGCGCACTTGTTATGACTTTGAGTTTAGTTATAATGAAATGGATTATGGCAGCATGTTTCTATTATACTTTATCGATTTTCAAAATTATTAGTATATGTAAACAAGTAATAAAGTAAACAAGCCGTTGTTGGGAGACTTATTAAGCGATATCGACTAATAACTCTATTTGTCTTCCTATTTACAGCACCACAAGAACGAAGTGGGAGAAGTCTTTCAGGATGAGAAGAACATGGCTGCGATCCTGATGCGGCGCCACATGGAGACCGGCGACCTGATAATGGTAAGTGGCCAAAGATCAACAGCTCCGCCCCCACTACCGCCCCCTGCTGCCACCCACCTTGCAAGGTCACCGTGTTGCACGGCGATCAATGAACGTGTAGCAAGAATTTCAATTAGCGCAGTCCATTAATGCTTGTTCTTGGCGTTGTTCTGTTACCGTTTTTCTGATTCTGATTCTGTTTCTGTCTTCGATTCTGACTTTATTCTTGTTCTTGTTCTTGTTCTGGCTCTATTCTTTGCTTGTTATGACAGACGGCCATTGTTACGGTCAGTTTTGGTCTCGGACCTGCCGGCCAAGTTAACTGCTGGCTGTCGCACTTTGCAGTTGGGTGCACCACAATTAAACGCCCGTTGATCGGGCATTGAGAGCCATGGCGGATAATTTGCGGATTTAGACAATTTTTGCTGATTAAGCATTAATTTATCGCCGCAAAACCATTCAGGCCGATCGGCAGCTGTAAATGTAAATGGCCAACGCAAAAAGCTATAGAACATTCAGGGACGACTAATGGATACCTATGGCAGGTGCCAATTTAATTTGGGTGATTTCTATTAATGGTAACTCAGGATTTAACGATAATTCTAATAATTTTCTAGCAGTTTGTTAAAAATGGCTGGTTAACCCGTTTATTCATAAATTAATTGGCAATCCTATATACCCTTTCAACACCTTTCACGAATTTTTGCCATTGTCGTTGTCGAGCAGCTTGGCCAATTTGACAAGAGTGAAAACTGCGATGGCGCATGGGCGATACAGCCAAGATATATTGCAACAGACCATAAAAGTCCATGTTAGAACAAACACAATCGTTTAGCCACAGATATGCTTATAAACAGCATTGATAACCCGGGGCCTTGGCAACCAGCAGCCGCAGAACATTCTTGGGTGGATTGAGTTCACTCTTTTCATTCAGTAAACCAACAAATGTTTTGCAATTATAAGGCATTTCCTCACCGCCAAATATCAAGGTCGCCATAATTCTCGGTATTATGTGCCATTTCTGTTTATGCTTTATTTAATATCCAATTTTAATGCTCTTGCTGGTACTCAACTAGCATCAGATAACTTCTGATGACGCTCAACTTAAAGACAATTGGCAATTACCCGAGCGGAAATGAAGCCCAATGTGAAGGAACAAGTTTCGCAAGGAGGAAGTCCGCCTTAATTACCGGCCATTGTGAGTGGGATTTCTTTCTTCGCGGAGGGTGGAAATCGAGATCAGGTAACAGATCTTGTGGGAAAAGAACCGAGGAGGGAACCTTTAGAGCTTTGCCTGCATGGAGAATCGCACAGCCAAATGTCACAATTCAAGCAAATTAATAATCAGCAAGCCGAGCGGACAAACAAATAAGCGTCGGACTCTGAAAATGGCCAACAAATATTGGCAGACAATAAGGTCAATAAACAACAGTCTTGGGGCCTCAGCTTTGCCCCTCCGATTCGTTCGGGCCTTTATTTTTGGCAATTTTTGAGCTCCGCTGACGTCTGCTTGGATTTAATTTGTTAAACAAAAGTCGGATAGGAAAAAAATGTATTTTTGTATTTTTGATAATAATTACAGACAGCCAATAAAAGGTCAAACAGCAATGTCTGGCCGGTCTGACTTGACCGACTTGTTATGGCCAAGTGCGCCGCTGCAGCGGCTGAGAAACAGAAACAGAAAAATTCATAAATAATATGTAGAAAACACCAGCTCACATGTGAGCATGAAAAGTGTTTGCTGGCTGACATTTCGAGGCGCAGAGGCCGGCGAAAAGTTTCGCAATGGGCACTCAGCACTCAGCACAAAGCACTGAGACGCAGCTGTGCCAGCCAAATCCACTGGTCTTCCGGCTTCGGTTTTGACCTTAAACGGACAGGCTCTCGAGCATCTCGCGCCGAGCTGCGGCTGCCAACTTGTAATTAACAAGAAGTCGAAGATGGCCGAAGTTGCGTAACACTTCTAGCCTGGCATTCCGGTCCACTATTCAAACAATGCCGACAAATTGAGGGGTTGCCACCTCCTCCTCCGCCGCCTCGTTTATGGCCGTTTAATTAGGCCCAACTAAACCACTAAACAGTGTCGACCATAAAAATAAATAAAATATCTGCTGCCTCTTACAAACTTCGGAGGAAGTATCTGAGGTATTTGGCCACCGTGGGATAGAGCTGTTTCGTGGCTAAAGGCTTTTTTCGCTGGATCAATGAATCAATGATCACAGCGGGAACATACAAGCACTTAACTGCCACCTAGATCTTTCCACAAATGAGTTCACTTAAAGCCAGCAAATCTCTTACCGATCCACTGTGCGAGAGACTCAAGACTCGAACTGCTGCGCATTGCAAAACATTTTCAAAGGAAATTTCAGGCTCCACGATTTAATTTAATTACAGCTTACTTAAGAGTGGTTATACACGCAGTATTTTATAAGATATTCGAAGTCTGTGGTATGCCACTTTGGAATCGCATTAAAAACGACATTTTGTGGGTTATCGAAGTCCAATTTGGGGTTACTATGCTGAAAATCATTATGAACTTGGAAAAATCTGACATGAGCAGGGGTGAAAATTTCGACCATCGGAAAATGGAAAATTTTGAATGATATGTCCATTTAAAATCGCATACAAATTGATACAATTATGGATTCGGAAAGACCAGTTTAGGGTCACTATGCTGAAAACCATTGAAAACTTAAAAAGTTTTCTTTCGTTGTTCGAAACATTTGTTAAAAACAGTCTGCAGCTATTGAATAAACTTCATTAGTGGGCTTGGAATTGAGGTTCTTCACGAACTGCGATCAAAACCATTCCCACAATCCGCACTCATACTTGAAAACGATGCATCCCAAAGCCGAAGGTATTCAACTGACTTCGATAGTGTGGGAAACAAACCCCGAAATCGAATTTGATTTAATACGTACATGTCAGAAGTTGAAGGTCGCCCCAAGTGCCCTTAGACGACCTGGACTTGAGCATCCACATCCATTATGTGAGCCACCCACTGATGGTCGCGGTAATGTAGCCAAATTCGACCCAATCAATGTTGACATTGACTCGTAATTTCACACAGAGAAACACTTACATGCGAATATTAATTTCACGGCCAATTACTCTCGGATTCCGAGCCTCTTCCAAATGGTTTGTTTGCCTTGCGAGTGTATCCGAAATTGATGACATCCATTTTGGAGATGGCTAATTGTTTGGGCCAATTACATTAGCCTCCCCCTCTGGAAGTTTATCAAAACGAAACGAGCTCAAGGGAACCTGCCCAGCCAAACAAATTGCGATAATAACTCTGGCTCTTGTCTTACCTTCTTCGCCTTTAATGTTTACGGTCATTTGTTTATGCACTTGAACAAATAATGTATTTTGCGGGGGTCTTGGTAACCAAGCTTGATAAATGCTAATTGCGGCCGACATCAGTCAAGTCAAAAGGCGATGCGTGCGGCCGCTGATGAATTGGATGCAGGTGATGTGAGTTGTGCATCCGATGCCTGAGCCTCGACTGCTAATCACCCGCTGCTCCGAAGAGATTGGCCCTGAAAAGCAATCCACGAAAGTCATGAAATGCATTTCATTTCAGCCACCTTTCATGACGAGAGAGCGGCTTACGTAAGCGCAATTATGCAGCACACGTGATATGCATCTCTCTATTAATGAGTTTTGGAAATCTTTGGTAAGGTTGCAGTAAAAGTATCTTCAGTTGGTTAACACAAAGTTGATCAATTTGAATTGAATTGGTGGGTTTCCTTAATTTCCTCATTTAGCCATAGTTGAACTTTCACAAGTTGATCCAATGTAACAGTTGAAATTTACATTAAATAAGGTTCGTGCCTTAAGTCTTTCGTATTTGCACGTACTGCTTGGTAGTTGCCTCGTATTATTTGTCTGCAGAATATTGCTTTATTGTTGTTCATAAATTGTTGGCTCGCTATTTGGCCTCTTTTGAACTTTATCGGTCACACCCCGAAAATGCAGTTGCCCTTTTTTCGAGCCGCTTGGCATTTGACAGCAGTGGAAATATCAATATGTGCATTGCCATTTGAACAAACAGAAATCCGTAATCGAGCAAACAACAACAATGGCAACAAACAGCAGAATTATAAGGTAGCGCAGGCGACATTTGGACACGGCTTTCAGCATTTTGGCCAACTCTATTAGACGGCTATCGCGGCGTCATCATTAAGCAACATTCATGTCCAAAGTGCCAAACAAGTTTTTATTCGTCTCGAGAGAGCTTCTTCGCAGCCAACGGCTTCTCACCTTCCCAGCTAATTGCCAGCCTTGATATTTACAAAGAGTTCACCGTATGCATAAGCGCACTATCTATGTGCGATATGCGATAGTTGTTCTTCTCGGCTGGAAAATGGAAATTCTATATCTAGATACTCGGCTGACCGCTGATTTGATTTGCATTCGCCTCGGCAGCCTCGTCATCAAGCGTTCAAATTGCACAATTTATGGGCCAAAGTCGGCGGAGATGGCTTGACATTCAGGCGGAGAAGTGCAATTTATGCGCCGCCGACATTTACAAATGTTGTACAATTTGATGGCTTTATTCGCTCCGACTTTTGGCTGATTAAAGCCGAAGCATTCCAGCCACTTGATCCGGCTCTGGTCATTGTGCAATGTGCACAGTCTCGGCCCGAGCCAAATTAATGCAAAATAGTCTGCAAATTGGCTCGGACACCCCACCCTGGATTTATATATATATTTCGGCATGTTCGGACGACACAACCCCCCAACTGACGAGTTTGTTGCCTAAGTCATTCGGGTTTCGGTTTCGGTTGCGGTTACTCGATAGCCGCAGGGTGCTCGGCTTGACCGAAAGGAAACTGATCTGAAGCTAAATCGAGTCGACATAACGACGAGCGTGTTAGCAATATTCATAAGTGCCTGGCGGCAGGCCGACAACTTTGGTTAGCAGCCATATAGAGATCTGCAGATCTGCGGATCTTTGGACTGTACTCAAGTCTGCAGCAGGAGATGGCAGCGTGACACGATCTGGGGGCAGAAACACG